ATTAATCTAAATAATTTTTACGTTTTTTATTTTTATATCGCAAGTATTATTATATTTAGTTATAAGTTCGAATTATCCAATATCCTCCGTTCAGAAACGGAAATTCGCTATAAAAACTTTTATTAATAAAGAGGGTTATAGATTTTTATTATCGTCCGGGTTATTATTAAGGAAATTTTTAAGATTTTATAATAAGTAGCGAAATAGCGGTCTTTAAAAGCCTTATCCTATTATTAAGAAAAATAAGTACCTTATTTTATAATATAAGGGGTCGTATTCGTAATCGAAATTAATATTAAAGTCTTTTATTTATTTATAATCTACTTTTTATTAAGCTTATTAATTTAGATTATCTTAATATTAGTCTTAATTAATTTACCTTATAAATTTATTTAACGCTATACGATATAAAAAATTATAACAATTACGGCCTTACTATCCTTTACGCCTACTTTTAATATAAATTTTAATATAATCAAATATAATTTAATATAAAATTCTTTAAAAAATATACGCTTTTCTTTTTTTTTAAACCGAAGTTTTTTAACTTAGCGGAGGGGGGCGTAATTTATTTTTTATATATGGGGATAAAAAGTTATTAAATAGATACGCCGTATTTAATAAAAAGTTAATAGGTTAAGTAAAACCTTACGTCGAACCTTATAACTTTTCCTTTTTATTAAGTTAATTTAAAATAAAAAATAATTTTTTTTTAAATATTTTTTTTTTAATTAACGATTATAAAAGTACGGGGGTTTCCGGCTATTTTATAATAAAAAAGATAAGAGGATTAATACTTACCTCTAGCGCTGGGGGAGTCTTTTTTATTCGCTTTAATAATAACCTCGGTTCATATAAAAATAAACTAAATAGGATTTCTTTCGTAATATTTATAATATTTATAACAAAAAAAAATAGGAGCGCTTTATACTATTATAAATAAAGATATATTTCGTTTTAATATTCATTTTCGTTTTTAAACTATTTAAAAAACGCGGTTTTAAATTTTAATAAGTATATACCCTATATTTATATATAAAAATTTTTTTAATATACCTAGGTACTCTTTTTAAATTTAATAATTACCTTCGTGATATATAAAGTTAAAGTAATAAAGGCGTTTAGTCGATTAAACGCTTTAAGCCGGTGGTAGTTCTAGGCGTAGTAGTTAATTAGCTAGGCGGCTCTATCGGCGTCCTTTAATAAAAAGATAATATTAAAATCTTAAAAAAGATAGATAGTATCGTCGCCTTCTATTAATTAAAAATAATTAATAATAAGATTACGGCTTTTTAATTAACTTACTTTTTAATAAAGTTAATACTTTTTAATTAGCTTATTAAATTTAAAAGAGTTAACGCTTTTTAGCTCGTCTTTTTAAAATATAAATATACTATTTAATTCGTTAAAAAAAGTTATATTATTAATTATTATACGCTTTTATACAATAAAAATAAAATAATATATTAATACCTCTTTTTAAGATTTTTTTATAGATTTCTTAGCGAAATTTTTTAAATATATTATAAAAATTCTAAAAGAAACTTTTAAAAAATCTTAAGGATTTCCTTATAATTTCTTTTAAAAAAAACGAAAAAAATCTCTAGGATTTCTTTACGATTTCTTTTAAAGAAATCTTGGGGAAATCTTAAGGAAATTTTAAAGAAATCTTAAGCTTTTTTAAACGCTTTATCTAAAGGAAATCTTTAGGAAATCTTAAGAATTTCGTAGCCCTCTTTTCCCTAGGCAGCCGTATACGAAAGATAGGAAATCTAGTTACAGACCGTAATAAATATTAAAATATTTAAAAATTATAAATTATTTTTTAAAAAGAGAGAACCTATTAATAAAAAAATAAACGATATCTATAACATTATTAATATATTATACTTACTTATTAAAAAATAAAAACGTCCTAATTTAATAACTAATTACGAACGGTTTATAAAAAAAGGATAAGTATTAGCTTTTAAAATATTAAAAAACTAAATACGTTAATCGTAAAAAAATAATAAAAAACGGCTAAAATAAATAAATTTTTATATTTTATAATACTCCCCGATAAAAAATATTTATAACTTAAATTTTAAATAAACAGATACGATATAAATATTATTATCGATAATAGCGCTTAAAGAATTTTTATTTTATTAAAAACGATAAATAAATATAAATTATTATAAATATAAAAAACGAACTTATATACTTTATAAATAATAAAAAAAGAATAAGTTAATTATAATGACGGATATATTAATTAAAAGACTATATATTTTACGATATATATTAATAATTAATTAAAATAATTAAAATACGATATTATGGAGATTAAAAATACCGACGTTATTTTAAAAATCTTATAATTATAAAAGTATAATTTATAAATAAATTAAAAAACCGGTTAATTTTATTAAATAAACTTAATTATTAAATAATTTAATAAAAAAGGTTTAAATGAGTCTTATATAACACTTAACGAATAAAAATAAACTAAATATATCGTTTTTATTAAAACGATAGAACTTATTAAAATATTCATACTTAGTACAAACGATTAAAAATCGGACTTATTTTAAATTATATTTAAGGAATATCGAATTTATATAAAACTATTCGCTTTAAAAAAAGAAATAAAATTATTAAAATATAATAATTAAAATATAAAAATCGAATTAAAAAAAAGAATATAACTTAAATTCTATTTATTATATTTTATAAATTAACTTAAACGTAACGAACTTAATAAATATATCAATAATAAACTTAAAAAAGGTTATATTAAACTATTATCCTTTTTAATAAAAATATTAATCTTTTTTATATTTAAAAAAAATAAAAAAAAGCTTAGATTTATAATTAATTATAAAAAACTTAACGAAATTATTAAAAATAATTACTATTTATTACCCCTTATTGTAAAACTTAAAGAAATATTATATAAAGCCTAATAATTTACTATAATAAACCTTAAAAAAGTATTTAATTAAACTAAAAATAAAAAAAAAAAACGAATAAAAAACGGCATTCCGAATTTATAAAAGACTTTATAAATATTTAATTATATTTTTTAAATTTATTAATATACCCGCTATATTCTAAATAATAATTAATTACGTATTTAAAAAGTACGTCGATATTTTTATAATTATTTATCTTAACAATATCCTTATCTTTTCTTTTAATTTTAAAACTTATAAAAAATATGTTTATATAATATTCTAAAAACTCTAAGACGTAAAGCTCTTTATTAAGCCTAATGAATACGAATTTTATATATAAAAAATAGATTTCTTTAACTATATAATTATATTAAAATAGATTTATATATAAATATTTAAAATAATAATAGTTAAAAACTAACCTATATTTATTAACGTTAAAAACGTATAATTATTTTTAAAATTCGTTAATTTTTATTAACGATTTTTTAAAAACTACGTTAATATTATTAAACTTTTTAATAACTTAATAAAAAAAAATATAACTTTTATTTAAAATAAAAAATATAAAAAAACTTTTAATAAAATTAAAAACTTAATTATTTTAAAACTAATAATTATAATTCCGGACCTAAAAAAACTATTTAAAATCGAGATTAACGCCTCGGACTTCGCTATAAAAGCTATTTTAAAATAATAAAATTAATAAAAAGTACTTTATTTTTATATATTTTATTTTAAAGCGTTTTATAAAATAGAATTAAATTAATAAATTTATAATAAAAAATTAATAATTATAATCAAAGTTTTCAAAAAATAAAAATTATAATTTTTAAAAATTAAATACGAAATTATTATCTATATAAATTATAAAAATTTTACGAACTTTATAGTAAATAAGAATTTAAATAAATAATAAATTAAATAAAGCGAATTTTTATTAAAATTTAATTTTTAAATTATTTATTAGAAAGGTTTAAAAAACGATAGAATAAATACTTTTAATAAACGACTTAATTATAAAGTTATAGTTTTTAAAGAAATATAAATAATCCTTAAATACGACGATAATAATAATTTTATACCTATTATAAAACTCTTTATAATAATTAAAAAAGTTAATATTAGCCCGTTTAAAAAAATAACTCCTAAGCTTATTATAAAAGTTTATAATATTTAAGTATACGGTTATTAAGGTATTATAAAAATATAAAAACGGATTTATTAATATTATAATAAAACTATTATAAAAATAAAAGTCGCTAAGGCTATTAAAGACTATAATATTTATAAAAAAAATAAAAATAGCCCCTATAAGTTTTATAAAAAGCTATAATTATTATTAATACTTTTAAAAATATAGTACTTAATCTCTTAAGATTTTATTATTAAATTATTAAAATTTAAAGAATTATTAACGAATATATAATACGATAATATTTTGATTATCGTCGACCGATTTACTAAATTTACTTATTTTATATTATACAAAAAAATAAATAATACTAAAAAACTAACATATACCTTCCTTAAAATAATTATTATTAATTATAGTTTACCTAAAGAAATAATTTCTAATAAAAATAAGCTATTTACTACTAAGTTTTAAAAATCTTTAATGTCGTAATTTAATATAAATTATAAACTATCGACCTTTTTTTATTTATAAACCGATAAATAAATAAAAAAAATTAATTAAATTTTTAAAATATACCTCCGTTACTATATAAATTACGACTAAAATAATTAAATAGTATTACTACTAATAGCCTAGTTTATATATAATAACGTAGTTAGCGAAAATATAAAAAAATCCCTTTTTTATTTTAATTACGGATTCTAACTAACTATATATAAAAAAGTATATAAAAAATTATAAACTATAAAAGCCGTAATAAACGTAAATAAACTTAAAAAGATTTAAAAAGAAGCCTTTTTAAACTTTAAGTTTATACGGTAACGTATAAAAAAATACGCCGATAAATTAAAAATTAATAAATTAATTTTTTAAAAAAAAATAACATATATTTTCTTTATTATAATATTAAAATAAAACGACTAAGCGATAAATTAAATTATAAAAAACTTAAACCTTTCAAAATTATCAAAAAAATTTTATTAATTAATTTTAAATTAAAACTCTTAAATACGATACGATACTATCCGGTTTTTTATATTTTACTCTTAAAGCCGGTACTTAAGGGCTTATATATTAAAAATCGTATTATTATCGAACTTAATAAACTAAAATATAAAATTAAATAAGTTATTAACTACCGAATTAAAAAAAGATATAAAAAATACTTTATTAAATAAAAAAATTATAAATATAAAAATAATATATAAGAACTTATTATAAACCTTTAGAACTCTTAATAACTTCTCGAAGAGTATTAAAATTAAATTTAAATTTAAAACTCTTAATTATTATGGCGTTTTAATCGATAACGTTAAAAATACTATTAACTTACGCCTCTTAAATTATTAAAAAAATACTTTTGATATTTTTAAAAAAAATTTTTAATACGATACGACTCTTTTTAAATACTATTCGTTTTTAAAAATAAAAGCGTTTTAATTTAAATAACGATTTATTTAATTTAGCTTAAGCCTTTTAATAAGCCTTAGTCTTTTTTTATAATTCTATAACTCTCTTTTAAAACCGCGATTTTTTTATTTATTTTTTATAATTAAAACGATCGAACTCTACTACTAAACGATTTACTATACTTATTAATTAAGACCCATAAGAAATAATCTTTAAAAAACTTATAAATATAAATAGTATTAATAAAAACATTATATAAAATACTTAAACGATAATATATTCCGTAAATATCAAAATTAAAAAAAACTAAATAATAAATACTTTAAAAACGATAATTCGAATATAATATTATTTTTATACCTTCGTTAAAAAAACAAATAATACGTAATAAATAGCGACGAAATATAACTATTTATAATTTCGATTTTTTAATTCGATTTAATATAATATTAATATATTTCAATAAAAATATTTAACGATTCCTTAATTTAAAAACGAATAATTTATTTATAAGCCTAAAGACTAGACCTTCGAAAAAAAAAGCTAATATTATAATTTAATATGTATTATTAAACTAAGGCCCTACCTTATAAGACCTACGGCGGCTATTATACTATATATATAATAATAAAAACTCAAACGGCCTCCCTTAAGATAAAAAAACTATAAATAAGTTATATAACTATAATCGTATAATAAAATAAAAAACGGACGTTTATAAATAAATAAGATGGGTAATTATAAAAATATAAAATAAACAACCGCTCGGTAAACGATCGAATAATAATAAATAAAATATTATAAAAAATATATTTATAATTAGGATTTATATATAAGATAGCCCGAGCTAAGCTTAAGGATAAACTTCTATAGCTTCTTTAATAATTAATTTTTATATTAAATCTAATGATTATTTTTAATTATCTTTATTAAAAACTCATTTAATAAGATTACGATTAATTATTAAAGCTTTACCTACTTTACGACTTATAGATAATAGCTTTATTAAAGCTATTTTTATAACGACTATTATTTACAAATATTATAGCCCCGACTTCTATTAACACAAACCTCACTACGACTAGCTGGCCGTAATAATAAATTATAAAATAAATAAGGCTTCGGTAATTAATCGTAATTTTATTAAATAAGTTCTTAATAAAAATAACTAAAAATAATCGTAAGATCTAATATAAAGTTAATTATTAAAAAAGCTATAAAAATTATAGACGTAAACCCAGCTTAAGTCTATATTATATATAAGTCCCATATATTATTAAATAGTTCTTTTATATCTAAGACCGATATCGTAAAGTCGGTTTTTTAAAAGTAGACCGATCTTTATCTTATCGGTCTATATTTAAAGACCGCTTATCGTCCGTTAGTCCTTTTTATTATTATATAACTTCCTTATAGTTCTTCCGATCCGTTAAGGTAATATATATATTCTTATTATTTAATTATATATATAGCAAAGTAGCCGCCGTAGAGCAGCGGGGCAGGTCCCTGGTCTATTATATATGTTAGGTCGTAATATTATCTTCTAATATAAACATAGGTATATAAATACCGTTAATTACTTTAATATACCTATTAAACTAATTTTTAATAAAGTAAAGTTCGATTTCTAGCGAGATATACGTTAAATTAAGTAATTTAATAAAGTCTTTATAAAAAATATATATCCTATTTAATATATCATTAAAGATAGTAAATATAGTGTTTTAAGCTATTTAAAACCAATAGGTAGTATTTCTTTACGATATAGAATAGGTAATTAGATATAGAAATATTATTAACTTTTACCTAACCGTTTAATATTATATATCTTTTAAAGTACTTTTTTTTTAAATTACTATTCTAAATAAGTAAATTTAAACTTTGTTAACCGGAAGGTATTATAAAATAATACGTTTAAGCTTTATTAAAAAGAATCGATAATTATAATAACTATTGCGGGCCCGAGGTATATCGGCTTAAGCGGTATTAATAAAAGTAAAGTACGCCGATTAACCTTTTTCCGCCGTTTAATTAATTATTATAAGTAAAAGATAATAATTAAGGTAGCCGTATAAGTAATTACTATTACGTTTAATAATCGTCGTCGGCGTTAAATTACGGCGATTTATCATTAATCGGCGGTAAAAGCGGCTATATTATTAGCCGGTTGCGCTAAGCGTATACGGTAAATCTTTAGCCTAAATTCTAATTATATCCTATTTTAGAGTAGGATTTAGTTTTTAGAGTATCTGAACTTAGAAAATACTAATTATTACCTTTTTAAGGCAATTAAACGACCTTTTAGTATCCCTATTAGTTCGATATTTCTAAATAAGGCTTATAAATTAATATAATTCTAATTTTAATTATATAAACGATTTTAATACCCGATTAAGTATAGCGAGCTTTAACAATTCGAAAAACACCTATTATTTACCCCTGTCGGGCCCTAAGTCCCTTTTCCAAATGCTTTTTGAAATCGAGCCGATCAGGCCCTAAGCTGTCTGAAGCATGTCAGAAGATGGTGATGTTGGCGATCGCTGAGTCGCTGTCTCGTTGAGGGGGAGACGCGACTCGAGGGACGAGGGGAGATTGAGATTGTGCCGCAGTTCCGGGTCCAAAAAAAAACAAACCCCCCAGACGAGTAAGCCGTCATTGTCGTCTGGTGTGGACAAGAAATCGGCAATTGTCGTCGCTGTCGTCATGAACTCTAATAGAGGGTCGATGGTAACCTGGGTGCTCAGTCATCGACGTTCTGCCAAGTTAGTGTGGCGGGATGAACGCCTGCGCAGAGTTGGCGCTGCCAAACCCATCAAATTCGAGGGCCGTCGCGCGCAACAGAGTGGTCTGTCGCCCAGTCTCTCGAAAGAAGGGGACGAGACGCCAATCTTACATCGGACACAGCGAGTAGGGAGTTTGGAATGTGAAACACGAGACGAGTATTTCCCCGCAAGACCAATTCTTTGGCAGCCACTTTAATCCCGAATCTCCCACTCTGGCACACGATAACCCACGATAGACCTCAAAGGTCCCTCAAATGCGCCTCCCACACCCGTCTTTGATAATGTCATCAAGTTTCTGTGTCGCAGCAATGTGTTGCAGTGAGGAGATTGACTGCGGTAGTACTGTCGCCGGTGATGGCCGTTCATTGGCCGTATTCGGTCGACTCGGGTCGCTGAACATCCCGCCAACCCTGTAAATGGGGCCCGGGTTCGTGTTTGTTCAGGACCGTTTGAAGGAGAGGCCCTTTTGGGGGTTCGCTGGCCAATCACAACAGCCAATCCCGGCACTCTCGGCCTTCCATGGCGCTGAAAACGAAGCCGAGTGAGACACAGCCACTTCCCCCCCCTGCTTGGAACCGTGTCTTTCCTCGCAAATGCAGAATGCGCAGGCAGCTTTGGCAGCGAACCGGCTGATGAATCGAGTGCGTGCCTGGCGGGGAAGGGATTTATGGAAGGAAGCAGAGACTTGTTATGTTGTCGAGTGAGGGAGGAGGGGCACTTCCTTCCTGTGTGTCTGCCCACGGGTTCCTGCCCGTTCCTGCGCCTGTTCCCTCCTGTTCCTGTCGTACCTGCATCGGGCGTTGTGCCTGCCATGCGCCTTCCCCCCCCCTTCCCGGACCCTGAGACGGCCACCCCCCTCTCCTGAATAGGTTGGCAGGCAGATTGCCTCGCCTTCCTTCCTCCACTTTCCCCGTGTTTTCAAGGTGTCGGGTCCATTCCCAAATTCCACCCGTTCCCTCCATTCCTTCCTTTCCGTCCCTGCCCGCCTCGTATCGCAATCTTTCCCTCCTTGCCCCCTTCCTGCTTTCCCTCGTAACAAACTCAAACCTTCCGGGTAGTCACTCTTTTGTTCTTCTTCCTGCATATTCTCTTGGCATCGGCCACTTTTTGTGTCTCTGCTCCCGTCCTAGACTGTTCCTCCCTTCTTCACTTCAGTCACTCCTTGCATAAAGAAACCGTTGGCGACTTGAGAGTGCGATAGCAGGGGCACCAAAACCGGTTTCACACAAGCGACACAGGGGCGAATCCACTCATTACAGACCAGGCCGCCGCAACCCGCTCGCCGCAAACGAACGAAGGAATTCGAGTACGAGCATTGAGACTGTCGCGACAAGACGCGGACGGCACCAGCCAGGGCATAAAATACGAAAGGAAGCAGTCAGTCCGACACGACGTGAAGGAGTCTACGATTCAGTCGGAAATCGAAGGAATCCCGTCGCCATTACAAACGCAAATACAATCCACAATCGAACCGTTCCATCATATCCACAACACTCCGATCCCTCCTCTATCGCATCATGAGTTCCTCAATAATCACCAAGAGCCTTCTGGCACCCGTCGCTCGCGCTGTGCACTACATCGCTGCGCGCGATGACTGCGACAATGGCGACACAAGCGCCCGCTGTGAAAAGCCCTTCCAGACCTCCAAGATTATCGGTATCACCGTCGGCGCTACTGCGTAGGTCTATCTGAACCCTTTCAAACTCTACCCTATCCAACCTCCGAGTTTCGGATCGCATTCACATTTCACCCTCCGGCCTAGCGCTCTTGGCAGACCTAGGCAGCACTCATGGCTTAGCCAAGACTAACGTGGTTCTGCTTAGTGCTGTGCTTATCTTTGGTACACTTGGTGTCTTAACGGTGTTGCACATGAGAAGAAATAGAGTTGAGCGTAAGGAGGATGAAATCGACCTTGAGATCGACGGCGACGTCTACGACTACCCGGCCACGGGCAAACCCACGCGTGCCTGGCAGCCGCATGGTGGTGAACACAACCAACCAGGAAACGACAACCCATTCGAAGCCGAACGCCAGCCTCACCAGCGAGCCGAGAATCCTTTCGAGCCAGAACGACGGTAGTTCTCCACGGCCGCCCCGTGATAGGGGCCTCGTCGGCTTCAAATACTGCACTTTCGCTGCACTTTTACACGAATGAGAGACTTCACAAACAATTATGGGTTTTGGGATATGTCGGGTTGGAATCTTTCTTCTGCTCGCTTGGTGAGGGGACTCTTTACACCCCTCGCCGAGAACTTGATTTTCGTCCACCACATTTGCGAGCGTGGCGTTGCGTCTTCGACGCTATTTTTTCATCGCTGAGAGGGTCGGATCCATCACGAAGTCATGGGCTCCGACGTTTTAACGTCACTCAGACCCGCAGCCTGGACTTCGGGGAACGCGGCAAACAAACCGTTAGGCTTGGATTAGCAAATGCCATAAACTTGGCATGAGCATTTGCGCGGCGATCAGAGTCCAACTCTTCTGCTTGACTACCTTTAGGGAAGACGGACGATTGTGGGGAGGTAACTTGCATGTTGGGTTTGGCGAGCTTTGAGCCCGCCAATCCGTGGGAGGATTCTTGTCTTTCGAGAGATGGTCACCAGGCATCTGTCATGCTGGCTAGCCCAGCACAATACAAACATGTTAAACAATTTCCCGGCTTCTCGATCGTGATCTGGAGGACATAATCAGGCTTGCCGTCCTGCTAGAGTTCTGCACCGCATGACGGTGGTCTCCGCAGGCATAACTAAAGTCGCTAGCTTTACGTCCTGCAGGGCGCGGGGTTTACTGCATAGGAGCTTTCGATGCGAATTTCGTAGCTTTCGCCCAGTTCTCGCTCGGTAAGAGACCAATATCGTCGCTTGTACCTTAGTCTGCACACCATCCGAAGTCTTGCCAAACTCTGGCATATGCACGACTGAACTAGGCCGTCTGATGTGGGCTGCGCCTTGTGGTGTTCATCGAATTATGCCTGTGCTCTTTCCGGCGAGAGGTCCGTTCGCTCGGGGCTTGATTCCGGACGCGTGGCGGGATGAGGTTGCAAGTGGATCGCTTCATTACTGCGCCTGGTCGACGACTTGCCTTCAAGATGGGGGCCTTGTATGCCTTCGCGTAAAGGCCAAGGCTAGAGTGATTATGTCACCCTTTGGTTCTTCATGATTTGAGCGCCGGCCTCAGTTCACCACTTGTTGTCTGCTCATTGAAAAGACGACTAGTTGGTGACTTCACATTCTGTTGACCTGTTATCAAAGTGTGGTCAACGATCGCAGCCAAACACAGTTGAGTAGAGCCAAATCCTTCGTTTGATACTCAAATCCACTGTTCGAAGCTTTCTGAAATGACCAATGCGATGGAAAATTTAACCGACCCCTCTTTATCGTCTCTAGTGAATATGAGAGGTTCTTCTCACTTTGCTCTTAGCCAGAGGACGATTTCCCCTTTTGGGACCGCCTAGTAGAGCTGTGCAATGCGACAGGGACACCTATGTAAACTGTAGTCTGGTCCAATTACAAAGAAGATAAGCCATTATGTTCACACATTTCAATTGGCGCCCAGGAATCTTGCGCACAAGCGCTGATGTGTTATACTACCTTATGAGGCGCTGCGGATGGAGATGCTTTGGAAGGAGCTAGACTGAACGAGCACGCGGGGCAGGGTGTTGGCTTCTCGTATTCACAGGCGGCGGTCGCATAATGGGTCGGATTCGTGGGTTGATCTGCATCGCTCGCTCCGGTCGTGGCCGATGAGATTGGAGTACGCACCGGGCCGATACGTCGCAGGTCCTACGACGCGACTTCTCCCACGCCGAAGCGGGATGAGCGTTGGGATAGCTGGTCCGGGCCGTGGCGGCCCAGCAAACACAGATGCTTGGCGACTCGCACATTACACACCGGTTTCTGTTACCCGACAGCTCGATAGATGCAGGTCATGCCCAACGTGGGATGTTTTCATGCGAACCCCGCCTGGCTGTGTCACTTTCCGGCCGGCACGTCCCGTCGTGATCGACGCGGCCTGCCGAGGATTTGTCGCCCTCCTTGCCCATCGCACCGAGGTTTGGCTGCACTGGCCTATCGACTGTATGTTTATGTCTGAGATGTAACTCCTCGGGCGGTAAAGACCTTCATCGCGTGCTACTTTCGTCCATTAACACCTCACTTTCTCAGCAATGGCATCTCGGTGCATCCGAAAGCTGTGTATCGGCAAGCACGACCAGCAACTGGACGTGGTGAAACTAAGATACGCGAGATTCCCGAGCAAGCTCCAAGGAGTCGAGTAGTATAAAGGTCCCTTCTTTTTGACGTTTTCCTTCCTTTCTCCTTCTCTCCTTCTCATATCCTATCAGTACGATAACTTGAGGCCTCTTCGTCCACCTTCGCATCGTTTCCCTCTTGATTAGTGACTTGACCATCCGATACAATGGCATCCTACTTCCCCGAAGGCGAATGCTTCTTCGTTCGGTCATCCCTCAAGTACGGAAACAACTGGTCTGCAGACAACGCGGAACAGTTTTACAGCCATGTCCTCATCGAATACCAGGTATAGTAGTCCCCCCTTTTCTAGTCCTCCAGCTTTCGATATTTGGCGGCTCAACAGCTGCATCTAGTGGAACGGCTGGGTCGGGAGCGGGAACATCGCGCCGACGCACCCGCGGTCGAAAATCCAGGCCGGGTACGCTAGCCTGTATAACACGCGTTTCGTACAATGGGACAGGTTCTTTGTCGGCGAAAGCAAGACCACGGATCCGGGCAGCATGCTCGCCATCACCAGTCACCCAAACAGTCTGAACTGGAATGAGATGCGCGACCTCGACAGGGGCGGACCAAGAAAGTACATTCTGCGACCCGTCAGGATTCGCAACAAAGAGACCGAATGGCTATGGATCGAGTACCATTTACCCCCTTCCGCCCCTGCAGAATTCCAAGTGAGCACCCCAAAAGCTAATCATTGCAAACTAGCGCAACGATCCCCATCCGGGCCATCTACTTCCCCGTCTGCCAGCAGACCGACGAGGCGTACAAGCAGTACTGCACATACGTCGTCATCGACTTCAAGGCCCGGGACACCATCAACTGCTTCAACACGGCCGGAGAGCCCCGCACCTACCCGTCCACCCGTGAGTCCGGTCTCGGCCTCGACCGGGGCCTAACGTGGCTCTTCAAGGTCCCGGACCTCGTCACCTACCTGACGATCCCTCACAAGGTACGCAATCCCGAGTACGGCGTCTACAATGCACAGACCAAGACCGACGCGCTGTTCCTCGTCGCGTATGCGGGGCTCAACTGGCGATCCAACGATACGCTGGCCGCGGAGGGCTTCCACCGCGAAATTGACCTGGCCAAGGTCATTAGCGCCACCTTTGGCGTCGAAGTCGGCTGGCGTCCGTACAAGTATTCCTCCTTCATCCTGGACCTGGTCACGCACGTCGTCCAGCTCGGTCTCGGCTTCATTCCCGGGGCGGGACCGCTTTTGTCGGTGGCGTTTGGGATCGGCCTCCAGCTTCTCAACGATCCTGATGCGTTCAAGGCGGATAATGTCCTGGATATTGGCGCCGCGGTTCTGTCGACGTTGATCGCTTCGGCTGGGAAGTCAAAGAAGTACGTTGCTCCGGGCTTTCTTCCGGGTGCGTCCTTGTCGTCGGCAAGGATGGCGAGTGTGCGGGTGGCGCCCCGGGTTTTGACTTCTGCACCAGAAGCGGACGATATGATGGCTGATGAGGTGGAGACTACGGACGAAGGTGACGTTGCCGAGAGGAAGAAGGCTGGCGAGGAAGAGAATGCGCGAATTACGGCGAGTATCCAAGCGCAACGACAGGTTCTTGAGATGACACTGGATGAGGCATTCCGAAGGGCTGGGTATTGAGACTTGTCTCCCTAGGTAACATGATTGTCATTGCAGGTGGTTTTCTCAACAGAGTGTTTAGTTGGCCAAGGATTAGGGCATTCTGGTGAGAACCCAGGAGGGGAGGGCAGGCCAAACACGCTCACTCTTACGAATCAAGAAATCTAGGCGGCAATGTGCTTACGTTTCTGATCGTGGTTGACAGCCCGAAGATTGAAGATTTGATTTTCTTGGGTAATTTCCAAGGCAAGTGTAGTGTTGTCACCGGTGGGGTGTTATGGTTATTCCGCGGAGAAATAAGCTGACATCGAAACCAACCGAGTACCGATGAATAGCAAAAGGATTACAGGTGCACGTTTCAGCAATTGCAAGTGATGTACCTGGTGTGGTGGCCAACAAAATGCCCTCTACAATGATACATGTAGACTTTGGCTTCGAAGTGATTCAGCCGATGTCCAATTCTGACCTCGTAAGTACCCTGGAATGCCGTATTGCTTGGCGAACAGATCAGGTGGTCGCTGAAGGGGTGCTGAATGATCGGGTGACTGATATCGTCTCCGTGGGCTGTGCTGACTCTCCCCCGCCGCCAAGCGGTGCATGGCGGGATTTGTGTTTCTCGGGACGGCAGCAATTCGGGTCGCGGAATGTCGGCGATTTGAAATCAACAGGCTCCACAAGCGATGCCGAGCCGGGTGTGGGTCACCGGCCCTAGGAAAAGTGGCTTAGAAATGCTGAATGACTAATGGCCACTGGTTCGTGGTGATGTAATCGCTCAGTCGTTTCATTCGCGCTCTCAACGCCCTACACATTTCTCCTCTTAAACTCCCGTCTCCCGACCCCCCCGGCACGGCATCGGATGTCTCAACATTAACCCTGCATTTGACGGCCGTGTACTATTATGAGCACAATCTTACGACGAATCCCAACCCTCACATCATCCATCAAGACCAGTGTCAGATTCAATAACCTTCCCCACATCATCCCCAGTAGAACCCTCGCAACAATGACCACCAGCACCTTCCGCTATGTGGACCCGGCAACTCTGAGCGGTACCGGCAGCAAGCCCTGGGCTAAGGTCGACACAGACGTGACCTCCTTCAGCCGGCTCGAGCGGCGGCGCTCCGTCGTCAATATCCGCGACTCGGCGGAAGAATTCGGCACCGACGTTTCCGGTTTCGCCGTGTACAACTCACCCGCCAAGGAGAAAGACTTCACCGACGACGAGGCGGTGCGCAGTGGCTACTATGCCGAAGTAGAGGCCCTGTTGAGAGAGAAGCTGCCCGGCGTGAAGAAAGTCGTCATTTTCGACCACACGATTCGGAGGAGGGAGAAGAGCAGCCCCAGACAGCCGGTGCAGCAGGTGCACGTTGACCAGACGCCCGGCGCGGCTGAGGCGCGTGTGAGGAGGCATGTTCCCGGCAGCGAGGCGGATGAGTTGATCAAGGGACGGTACCAGATTATCAACGTCTGGAGACCCATCGGACACCCGGCGAGTGACTTCCCGCTGGCGGTGATTGACTGGCGGACGACGGAGCCCAAGGACCTCATTGCCGTGGATCTGCTGTACCCCAGACGAACGGACACGGACGACGATGATCGGGGCAAGGAGGTGCTTCCGGATCCGTCTTTGGCAAAGTCGACGGATAATTACGATGTCAAGGGTAAGTACAGCTAGGCCCATTGGGACAGACGTAGTGCCCTACTGACACCATCGCAGGCGAGACCTACTCTGTTGCACCGAGTGACAAGCATACGCTGTATTACGCCAAGGACATGACCCCTGACGAAGCCATGTTTATCAAGTGCTTCGACTCGAGGAGCCAAGGACAGCCTGGTGGCACGCCGGGACGGGCTGATTACACGCCTCATACTGCATTTATCGACCCCAACACCCCCGCAGACGCGAAGGGAAGACAAAGCATTGAGGTTAGATGCTTGGTATTTTATGAGTAGAGGCTTTGTATTCGAGCACAGACGCCTGTGCTCTGCTGTCTACCTAGCTTACCTAGGTACCGAGATAGAGACAAGTAAAGTCATTATGAGCCATGAACAGCACAAATCAAGGCAGTATAAAATAATTCAGATATCGGGATGGAATGATGATTGATGTTGACCGTGAAATGATTCGTGAAATTATCTAGCGAGCGTGGTTGTGTGCAAATGCTATAAAGCTGACAAGGGGGTATCTAAGTATGCTGGTTGCATATATACAGCGAACGGTGTAGTTACAGGAGCAGCAACAAGACGATATTCGACATGGATCAAGAGCCCGATGAATGCAGGGCTAGATCAGGTGGATTGGTAGACGGCAACGTAGGCGGCCTCCATCATGCTTCCCCAGCCACCGATGGTCGAGCCGTCGGGGTTTCCGGGCTGCAATCGATCAGTTCAACGTCTTTGATCAGTAAAATAGGGGCATTTTAAACTCACCCAGTTACCGCCGACAGCAACATTCAAAATGAAGAACAAGGGCGCGCGCGCCAACGTGTTCCAGAGGCCCTCACTCCCGATCCTGGCGCCGCTAATCTGATGAAACTGCAGCCCGTCCCGGAACCAGGTAATCGTCTCCGTCTGCCAGTTCCCGGACCGGCGATCAATCTGCAGACGCCACGTGTGCCACCCCTGGTCGGGGATGCCAATATTGCCGCCGATGCCGTTGGGCTCGTTGCAGGCGCCGCCGGGGAGGATGTCGCAGTGGACGGTGCCGTAGCCCGTCAGCTGGCCGTTGACGGTCTCGAGGATGTCGAGCTCGCCGCAGCGGGGCCAGCTGACGCCGTTGCGGATGGCGTCGCCGAGGATCCAAAAGGCGGGCCAGATGCCCTTTTTGTTGGCAATGGCGTTGTCGCCGAAGCGAATCTGGGCTTCGGCGACGGTGAGGCGGCCGGCGGCCGGGGTGAAGACGTAGCGGGACTCGATGCGGCCCGAGGTCCAGGCGCCGTTGCTGTCCTTTTGGGGCACGATTTGCACGGTGCCGCCGCCCGAGATTTGGAGGTTGGAGCGGGCGGTTGTGTATTGCTGGATCTCGTTGTTGACGTTGAGGTTGGTGATGATGTTCCAGTTGCCGCCGTTAATGGGGTCGCCCGAGGCCCCCGGGAAGTTGTCTTGCCAGAGGCGGGTGAGGCCGGAGTAGTTGGGAGAGTCCCAGGCCCAGGTGGCGGCCGGGAGGAGGAGAAGGGTTGAAAGGAGAGACTTTGGGTACATGATTGCGGTGGTCGATTCGATGCAAAGCGCCAGGAGCCAAGGAACGTGTGGTGTTCTGACGTCTGATTTGCAAAGGCTTCAAGGAGTGAATAAAGTTTACAGTAAACTATCCCAAGTGAAACTGGAAGGACTGTGATGAGGATCGTTTATAAGAGGAGGGAGAGACTGTAGCTATTCGGAAAGGAAAGGCATGTCTTGGGGGCGGGGCACAAGATCACGATGGTGGATGTTGTTGTCGGGGGGGGGCGGTCGCACGAGGAGCGGGTTGAAGGACCATGGGGACAGAACAGGAAGCGTTCATCATGGGACTTCAGCGTATATATACAATGAAGAAGTCCAAGTGTGAGCCTGCAGATGTAACATTGAACGAAGCGTGCCGTGCTGGGAAAGGGTTTTCTGCCCGGCCCTTGCAACAAAGAAGGGCTACATCAGCGCGGGAGCAACCCGCATGTCGAATCTAGACTTGCATCTGCAAGGCGTAGTGGTCCTGTGGTCCTCACTGTCTACGCGGACGCAAAGTCGTCCCTTTTTCTTCTTGTTTAATGACAAGAGTCTCCAAGTCTCAGAGCCACGTCCAATCTTCAGCAGAGAACAGGAGTCTCAAGGAGGGTGAATGGTAGTCTGGTTCATATATCCTTACCCCCTGTGCTCTCGTCGTCTAGTGTTGTACAGGGGATCGGATATGGGTGTCCGGTCCAGAACATTAGATGGCACATGTACGTCCGCTACTACAGACGGCGCCCCAAGCCCAAGAGAGTAGTGCACCACGCGGTGGGAGAGATGGACGGGGAAGCGTGCTTCTCTGAGACACCGTCCGCCGCGGGACACACATCGAATCCTCGGTGGTTCCAATATCTCGGACCCCCTTGCGCTGTGATCACGGCCCGGCCAATCTATCAGTCGCGGTTGGCACGGCCAATATCCCGAGATGAGGCGGGCGCATAAGCGGAGCGAAAGAATTGTGGCTGGCTTGACAAACGCGCATAGTTTGGGAAAAAAGAAAGATAAGGGCTCTTCAAGGGCAGCCAATAGAAGTTCAGTATCGCCAACTCTAATAAATATATCCCTGTTCCAGGAAACACTGGTAGAACTGGGGTGTTGTTCGGCACCCTGCGGGAGAGGCTTCGTTTCATCTCGGGCGTCTGCCAGTTTGGGACGGAAGATGGCAGGGCTTTTAACAGGGCCCCGCGGAATGAGGGAAGGGGGCCACGGGGAATGACGAGGGCTTCGGTACCAGCGGCGCGGCCCCAAGGCATGTGTCCTTGGGGCTGTGGTTGGTTGGCGAGTTGGAAGTACGTCGTGCTGAAAGCCTTGGGACGGCCACGCGGGAAGTGGCATTCGGCTGCTCTCCCTGGTCCATGGACGAGGGAGCACCCCAGGTATCCGCAGATGATCCCAAGGCCTGGGCCTGCTCGCCTCGCAAGACCTTGATATTGACTCCCTTCCCGTCTTGGGGGTATCCATCGGGACCATCGCCAAGCGGGACTCGGTTTTCGTCACGTCCAGTGATTTTTGCAGAAGGACACCCCAAGACTCTTGGAGAGACATCAGGCGAGAGATATTGGTGACCTTGTGTGACGGACCAGTAAGAATGGGACCGCGGTACCTGAACGCCACCGCGCTAGCGGCAGTTGTGCAAATCAGTCTAGCAAGCTGCAAGATCTAGACACCTGCACTGCGCACTCTAGTTGTTGCCCCCATTCTACTTCTTGTCATAGTTTGGGCAACGATAAGTCAAAGTTGAAAAGGTGACGTTGCAGACCTCAAAGACCGCACGAGGTAGCATATATGGACAGCTGCGCGCCTTTGACAGGTGTCTGAATCAGTCACTCTCTCTTTCTCTTGGGAAAAGGGGGTAACTCGCTCTGCACCTGACATTGCTTGTGTCCAAAAAGGCCAGTTTCAGGGAACCCATCAATCAGCCAGCCCAAATATCCTTTTCTGACTGGCTATTCGTCCACATTGGAGCAGGGAAGAGGGCATGTGAAAAAAACTCAATGGCACCTTGCCAACAGGGCTTTAGTGCGGGTGTGAGGCGCCTAAGCCAATGCGGTCAACTCCCTAGGTTGGTTGCGATTCGGAGTCTGATTGGTTGATGTTAAAAGTGCAAGGGGGCCGTGATCCGGAAGGGGAAGTCTTTTGGTGTGGGTGAGTGCGCGGGTGTGTGGGTTGTGCTGGATGTGCGTGCGTGGCATTGAGGGTTGCAACGGAGAATAGGGAGGGAAGAATCTGACGATGGAAAAACTCGGCCAAGGCTCGTCATGGGAAAGCCTCTTGATTCATGTAGGCCATCCCCTTCTCATTACCAAAGAGCATCTTGCATCATGACAGTGCAAGTCAGCAGCTCCCGGTCACTGGGCCGGCATTTGGTGGACCTCCCGACCGGTAAGCCGGCACTAACCCCACAATTCCCCGCGGTCTTGAGATTCGGCGCTGGCGGTATCGCTTCGGCGCGATCGTCGCAGCGGGCTGGTCATGCGACCAGGTCACATTCTCCATGCGTAAATGAAAACAACCCATTATGCGTAAAACAGCTTTCTGCTTATCCCTCTTAAGTCTCTATCTACTGAGAGCTATTGGAAATTGACACTCTTAGGCAGTCATTGATATTCACTGAAACCTTTATCCGAGTGCGGAACATGTCTTGGGGTTCGAAATGCGCTGCGAGACTCAAGATGTCTCGTGGATGTTCACTTACTTGCTGGTACTGTGCATTAGAACGAAAGACCGACTAGTATCTTTCTTGAGCGAGGTTTCCGACATGATATCTAGAGATGTTCTCTCTGCCGTAATTGTCTGATTCCTCCTTGCGGGGTAAGTACGGATATGGACAAATGAAGGTTCACACCACGCGGTGTAGATCGTAGATTAAGTAGATCATGCATGTAAGCTTCTATTGAAGTATGCGTTGATGAACTGTCGCTTTTGTGTACTAAGGTTTCGGCAGCTAATGTCTAGGAAGAATGGAACATTGAAGGTAAGTAAAGTGGACCCACTCATTCGGCTCCGACGCGACCGCATTGAACTCCCATTTCGTGGCGCATGGTGTTAAACGCCATTCCAGAACCGATCTCTTGCATTTCGCCAACCTTGATGACCTCTGTTCTTCCAAGGCGCCCAGATGAAGTCGCATTCCGACTGCGTTAACGTAGACAATTCCAAAAAGAAAAAAAGAAACAGTACAACCAGCTAAAGCCCGGGAAAGATGTCCTCTGGTCAACTTAGGATGAGGTGGAATCACTCTCAAACTTCAAAGAGGACTAGATCATCGAGCTATCAGAGGACGGGGTGGTAGAGATGGGCCTCATGCTCGCCTTCATATACGGACAGTTCGCCAAAGTATCTTCCCACCTCTATGTCTCCAAACTTGATTGCCTTCTTGTCCGTTGTAACAACTACGACACACTGCCCCTTTCGTGACCCTGAGGCCACATGTGGCTGCAACCCACGCACCGGCACATGGACGAGCGTCATGTACTCTGGATCGCTCCATGCTTTTTCGCAATATGCTGGCGAAGGTTACCGCTGAAGGCCTACCCGCGCATTCCTTGATCATAATGTAAATAGCGTAGATGTTGTGTATTAGCCACAGCGAGTACATTGGACACCACGAGAATGCCACGAAAATGGTGCGCCAAAGATTGCTTTCGACTTTCTCAGGAACTTTCATGTAGACGATCCGTCAGCTGCATTAAAACTTCTATCCCTAGGCGTCAATTTAAAGCAGACGTGTGTTGTGCACAACACACGACTTTTTTATCAACACGTTTATGCAGAATCCATTTTTTTTGCTCGCAGGCTGATGATGGAAACTGCCGTCAAGCCGTTCCACGCTATTCTGCGATAGGCAAAAGATGAATGCTTCCACTCAGTCGCAGGTCGACGTGGAAAGGACTCCTGCGCTAGGGGTGTGTTTCAATGGCCACCGGGTTCCCGGTCATGGCCGGCACGAGAGACGCCTTCAATATATTGGACCCAGAGCTGCCTTCTACGTTTGTTGGGGATTTCAAACAGATCAGAGATCATCTCAGCGGGATGAGAATTGATAAAAATGGGGTCTGCCCGGATAGTTTCAACATGTTCCGCAACAGCTTGGACACTGCGTGCAGTCTATCAACAGCAGCCGTTGCCGACCTATCCGTCTTTAGGCAGGACCAGCAAAAGCACCTCGACACGCGGGCTAGCACACTTTCACTGACGATCGTTGATATTGTGTCTGAAAAGCCTTTTTATACACCTGGTTGTTTCTCTTTCGGGTCTTCTCTGGAATGAGCAACCATTTTGCGGAATTGAAGGACCTGAGCTTGTTTGTGGTATATATTTGTAAAATGGGAAAGATTTTTGAGGACAACAGATACGTCAGTCGTCTTCGTGCCTGGTGTTATTGAACGGGCAAGACACGTATCGTAATTCAAAAATATGTAGTATTCGAGTTTTTCAGCGTTGGGTTAATCACCTCGAGATCTTTTCAAACATGTTGTAACCGGTCGCGCGACTGTAACCGAGTCAACAACTCTCGACGACCGCGGCGCATAATTCTTGTAACAGAGGCACTATCTGGGCATTGCGAATAGTGATGGAGGTTGGTTGTCTATTGAAAGTAGGAAATAAAGGCGAAATTCACCATGAAATACAGTAAGCCGAGGGAGCCCCACTTTGGTGAACCCTGGGTAATAGCCTCACCGAGGTCACGTGACTCTCGGTGAGGCCACGGATAGTTGAAGTCATCACAACGATTCTTTACTTTGGAATTCCTCCCACCGCTGACCACGTCTACTTGCAGGCTCTCTTCCAAGCCTCTCCAGTCTTTGAAGCAATGCTTCACAGAACATTGAAATAATCAATTATTAAAAAAGTCCAAAATGACAAAAGAGTTCACCCCCCGGTGGGGGCTACATCTCTGGCGCACTTGCTGGGAATCGAACTCGAACTCGTAGCCTGTCGTCGAGTAGGCTGTTGGCGTAGGACCTTAAACCCCTCCACCACGTCACAGTTTGACCTGACCCCCCGACCTAGAGGGGCGCCTGCTGTGCTGGTGACAGGAACGGAGTTGAGGTGACCTATAGGGGTTTCTAGTCATCCAGGAAAGTATGGGATGAAGGTTTGGTACGCCTGGCCAGGAAGGTGCGTGGGAAGGAACGAAGGAGGCAGGTGCGAGGGTGGTGGCTGACCCGGTAACCGTTGCGGTCCGCCTACCCTCTCTCTCACCCAGCCGTGGGCTCATTCTCGGATCAGTGAACTGAGAAAATCACACCAACGAGAAATCAGAGAACCTTTTCGTACCACCAAGCGGCTCCATGGAGCTTTCTTCCTGGAAAAGAGCAAAACGCCGCGATACGCACCTCGGCCATGATACGGTGAGGCACCATTGGTGCCCGCAACTGGGTGCGCAGACGTCCCTATCTCTTATTCCGGTCAATGAGCTCAATTGCCTGGAAGTCTGTGATGCAATCGGTTGTTTCAACTGTTGGCTTCAGCCGTCTTCTCTATACGTATGGTTTGCTGATGTTAACAATCTCTCTATGATACCACGGGAGGTATCATCTGTATATCCTAGAGGGGGTCCAGACACGACTGTCAGAAGGAAAAGCAGCAACCAAGGATGTTGATAACCACGTTCGAATCGTCAGCTAGGATCATGTAGCCTCTCCTGAAGAGAAGGCGATGAGGGGTCTCTTGTGAGCCTTGCGAAACGTCAAGATCACTTGGATGTTGGATGCTAAGGAGAGGGAAAGGACTGGAGTACTGACTTAGGGGCGGCAGACTTCGGCTATACTGCGATATCAGGCTTTGAGGGCATCGAAAGGGTAGTTAAGTTCTGCTACACTACTCATCTTACTTGTGAGTAAATGGGCCGAGAACGCTATACACTTACAAAGATGATTAACTGACCAGCCGTTTTATTGAGCACACTATCTTATGCTAGTACCAACCTTCCTAGAGGCATAGTCTCTAGAGGTATAGAGCCGAACGATTTGATAAAAGATATCATTGACTTGGAAGCAGAAGCATCTGGATAACACCGCCTACTCCTAGGTATCAAGTATAAACACCCCGAAATCTCTGGCACCATTATTTCAAGGCTCATTTGCTAACGGATTCCCTCCGATCAGTGCCGTGCTATAGACTCTTCCGAGGTATTGACTACCGGCGAGACTTGAGCGTTCGCAGTCTTCCCAGTAGCGCCAGCAGAAGCATTAACGAAGCTGTCGTCGTGGCTGCTCCCGCTTTCGAGCTGCGCATGCTTTGCTTTTCTGTCACGCAAAATGTCAGACCCATGTCATTGCCTAAAGTAATACGGAAAAGACCTACTCCTTGCGTTTGATGTACATATCGAGAACGTGCGTCGCTACAATGAGCGCAACAGCACATCCCAGACAGAATGAGAATCCCTTGGGATAGCTCGGCGACTCGACGGTCGGGAATGTCAGCAGTGGTGTCCAGGCTGTTGATGACTGGGCAATAATGGTGATCATGACGAGGGTAAATGACCGCTGTTCTGGAGAGTCTCGGAGAATGGTGTTGACCCAGCCATGCAACACACTGGAGAGTGCGTTGGACCAGTACATTGTCGAGAAGGCGAACCACTTGGCACCCTCGGGCACGTCCCAGACCACGAGCATGATGAGGCCCGTGACGTTCCACAGCGAGGAAAAGGTAATGGCCCACGCGGGGCCAAGCACCAAGTCGGACAGGAAGCACGCCACAATGTTGTACAGGATCCCCAAGGCGGGCGCAATGGTCCCCATCTCGTTGACCTGCGCCGGACTGTAGCGGCCCAAGCTCTTGATCCAAAGCAGGAAGCTGCCGGTGCTCTTATGGATGCCGGCGTTCCAAAACAGCACGTCGACGAGCACGACGGTCCAGAACTGCGGGCTGAGAAAGATCTTCTTCAGGTCTCCGAGCTTGAACTTGCCGCGGGTGACGTGTCCGCCGCGTTCGAGGCGAGACTTTGCAATCTTGATGTCTTGGTCGTTGAGAATCCAGCGGTTCGGCTGCTCCACGGTACCCGGGAGGAGGAAGTATCCTAGAATGCCGACGGGGACGGTGATGATGGCGCAAATAATGTACATCCAGCGCCAGCCGGCCATGCCGTTGACGCCTTCGAGACGGTGCGAGGCTCCGGCTGCGATGAGGCCTGCGGTCAGGGTTCCGAGATTGAGTCCGGTGTAAAAGAGGCCGCCTCGTCGTGCGATTTCGTGTCCGCGGTACCAAGAGCCTGTGCCGAAGGTTAGTGTTTTCACGCCCTCTTGAGCAGAACAATGTGATTGCTTGTTTCGTACCGAATACGTAGTGCATGGCGGGGAAAAAGGCGGCCTCGAAGAAGCCCACCATGAAGCGGTACGCCGCCATCTCCCCAAACGAGTGTGCTCTGTATTGAAGCAGGGTGAAGAGACCCCAAAGCACATCCATGGCGGGGATCGTCCAGTACATTGGCACGTAGGTGAATATGAACATGAAGGGCACCATGCCGACCACCGCGCCGACGGTGTACATCGTCTGAAGCTCGACAAGCTCGTTTCCTTTGAAGCCGAGCTCCTCCTTCATACCTCCGACGTAGGCATTATCTGTGCTCATTAGCAAGGTGTTGATAAGCCGAGACAGCTATCATCATGATCTTGAACCTACTCAAGTTTGCTTGGTCTACGGGAAAGCGTTAGCAAGCTGGTGGCAGTCGAAAGTGAAGGCTGGCGACATCATACCAATGTACTTGACCCAGTAAGCCAGAACTGCGTAGGGAACGACGATGAGGTCCAGTTTGATGATAAATTTGCGCTCTTCGGGGGTGTCATCGTCCGAGTACCACTGAATCTTCCACCACTTCTGCCTGGGGACAGTATTGTCTACTGTGGCCATGATCAACACAACGTCCAAATAGACTTTCTTTGATTGCGTTGTCTCGGGCTGACTGCAAAGGAACTAAAAAAGAACCAGAAAGTTTATTCAAAACCCATCCAGAACCCCGGGTTCTGGGCGACAGATATTCGCCAGGAAAGTTGCCGGCCGCGGACACACCCCACACCCCCTGTCTGTCAAAATCCCACCTCATTATCGATTGCGCCAGAGCTTCTCGGACTTGTGCCATGCGAATCACCCCGTCAGCGTTACCTGTATTTGTGGGCAGAGTCCCGCCCGCCGAGCCTTCACGGAAGTCGGGGACCGGCCGACATCGCCAAAATTGAACTCTTCGGCCGGGGGGACCGCGTGGTTTGAAGTGGTGAGAAGGAGCTGCGTATGAAAAGGCCCTACCGGGAGTTGGCCGACATGGTGAGGTATGGCGGGGGGTTAACCCAAAGAGAGGGATGCGTGTGGGGCGCGTGGCTTGCTCGAAGGAATAAACAGGCTCAACGGGTTTGGCTCAAAGTCGTATGGCCTATCCGTGCTGGTTTTTTATTCCGATGCTAACGTGACCAAGAGTGAAAAATAAAGCTAGGAGCTGAATCTTCAAAGGATTCTGAGTGGCGATTGCGGAGTATCCGCTGCAGTTGTCGGGGTTCGTTGACCGGGAGGCTGGCAATGGCGTGCTTGATGGTCTTGATGGTGCTAGAGGTGCAGGAAAAGACAAAACCATAACTGAGGTAAGCGCAAACTCCGTTGTTCGAATGCAATCGCCGCACTTAACTTTTTCTGATGTAGCCTTCTTTGCCTAACGATGTCTGAGGTGAGATCAAGTGTAAATCAAGATAAGGTGTACATGCTTGGCCGGTGACCAGGTGAACGACTTACAAGGAGTGCAGCTGCCACCGCTCAACAATCAACCGTTTCCTACGCAATTGAGGAACTGAAAAAAGAAGTATGAATGCTTCTTTTGTTGCTGTTGCCAGGCACTACACACGTTAGGCCCCAGCGACAGCGAAAACAACGAGCCAAGGGCGTGCTTTTCTAGGCGAACTGATATTGAGACGGCGACCACAAGTACATGGATCAAGCCGGAGCACCTGAACTGCAATGATTTCGGCCGGGTCCACATCTCCGTTTCGCTGGTTCGGGCCGGCTTGATTGATAACGGGACCGAGATGGCATCATGGCCTCGAGCAGCGAGAATGAAAAGCCTCCTTTTGAAAATGTCCAAAAGTTTTGCAACCTTCCGCCGAGCGTCCATTCTAGTGATCATCAGTGTGTCATAGTAACCAACGCTGGATGGAAGTCTATGCGGACGCGAGCACGTAGAGATCATTCTATTCTTTAAAAGAAGAAGTCATCCCGACATTTGTGCCCCAGACCGCCTACGCTTCCGATCCAACCCGCAATATTCAGTGAACTGGAGACGTCTTTTACATGACCAGAATTAAGTAAAAGTCCGAGGAAGGGCGATCGACCTTTGATACCTTTGGAAAAGGTTCCTCGATTCCTCCCCTCTCTTCCACCCAAAGGAGCAAACATCCTCCCAACACCAAATTCCTGCCGCCTCCAGGACAATCTCGACGTTCCCAATTGCCTGCTGAACCTGCCTTCGGATCCCAGCATCCTTGTCCAGCTCACTTGAAGATGACGTTTCCAAGGCGCATTCCTGAAGTAGTGGGAAAGGTCGCCAAACCTTTGACCAGTGCCAGGAGAGCTGTTCAACTTTGCTGAAGATATGTTCGAGTTGGTGTTATGGAGAATCTTTGAAAAAACTTGACAATTAAGCATCCGGCTTGAGCAGCAACAACTGACGGAAAGATTGAAACTCACTTGAAAACGCTTGGAGATAAGACACGTGCGCTCAACAAGTGTAAGAAACGGCCAATATGATCATACTTACATGCAAGAGAAGCACCTGTCCGGCCTCAAGACATTTCCAAGTAATGCACGAAGGGGAAGGGAAAAAAAGCCGACTACTATATCTGTGGAAGGAAGAGATGGAAGTCGTTGGCAGCGCAGGTTACTCATCCATGTACTAAGAAGATCACTTTCTGAAGTTCACGTATTGGCCTCAATCATCGGGTGTTTGGAGAAGGGTTTTCGATTTGGGGAAGTCGCCAAAAAGGTAGTCCAGCCGCCCTTTTACAGATCTCATTTTCACAGCCTATGAGTAATAGCGCCAGCGAAGAATCTAGACCTATGTGCTTTACACAGCAGGCTTAAACTTACCTTCAGTAAGGTAGAAGAAATATCAGCAGGATGTCGCCTCGGCTAATTGCTGAGAAACACGGCAGCTTCAAATGCCTATGAAACAGTCCCCAGTTCCTATTTACTTGCCTGTCTATGGACGTAGTGCACAAGACCAGTATTTAAAGGCTCTTCTAGGAAGCAATAATAACACTGAATAGCTTGCAGCAAAAATGCAGAAATCAGTTCCTTGAATTCGGCTTCTAGATTTTCGGGGGATGACGCAAACTTCGATAGACCTCCCGGATAGTTCCGGTTCCATTGTGTAATGAGCACGAAGATGGACGAGACAAGCCGAGCTGTTCTTATCTTGCGCTTGTAGTCCATCAGGTGAAGTTGTTATCAAAGTCCTTGCCTCTCTTATGCGACTCATGACGCTGACACGTCCTTCTTTATAGTTACTTGAGTTGAGAGGCTGACTTACACGAGTTTTTCATGTTCCGAGGCCAGGATCTCTGATGATAGCCCCAGGATCGATGCATCATTGACACTTCTCATCCGCGATAAGACAAAAAAGCAAGTAAAGAGAAAGTGACAGGTGTGAGGTCTCAGGTATCGTATCAGAAAGGCCACTGGCGGCTTCGGTGTTCGCTTCTACGGCCAAGACATCGAAGACAGCTACTGTGTGGACTTTGATGAACAGCCTGGACGATTGCCTTTATTTTTTGGTCAAAATGCCAGAGATATACCACAAGTTTGTAGGAGATTGGAAGATTTGGTGGAGGTCATTTGATTGTGAAGCCATCGACCATGAGAATACAAGTCGCAAAGATTGGAAAGGGTTGAACCATATGAGCAGAAATTGAATCCAGTTGATCACTTCTCTTGTTCGCTGAGACCTTGAAAATACTGGAAATAAATGAAACTGCAATGTAAAAGGTTTGAAGCTCTTCTATAAGATGAACGAGTCGTGTGCATTTGACAAACATGGCGAATGAGACCAAGGTGACGAGTATATCGGAATGAGATATTGAACCCCTTTAAATTCTACAGGGGACATGTGGGCAAGAGAATATATCATACGCATGCTAATCCCTACAAAAGACCAGCTTATGCCGAAGCCGTGGCCTGCGAACTCCATGAAAGCATTCCTAGCAACTAGAACGGCATTGATCAAGTCACAACAGGACAATACCAAGTGCCTTGGCCTGTGCTTTGATTAGGGAGCTTCATCGAGGCAAAGAGACAGCACAGATGCCAAAAATTGAGTAATGACAATGAGCACATGAGTAGAAGACCCTTAGCCTCATTGACGAATTGATCAGCTTTCCACGAATAGCACGCAACAGGAACAGCATATGGTGACAATTACCCACAGGGCTTTGAGTTCTAGATACACACGCTTTTTGGAATGTACAAGAATGAAGAATATCTACAAGTAAACAGGCCTATGTTCGTATGCTTTTTCATTGAACATCGACACGTATGATCTCTCGCTCGAGGCAAAAATGTGCCCCATCAGACTCCGCAATATATTTCCCCGCTTAGGAGCTCTTGATGTTCGAGGTGGCGTACTTGCAGAACTTGGAGGGACCGCTAGAAATCTCGCTGGGCTCGTTGCCGGGGGTGGTACCCTTGAACTCGGTGCAGATCTCCTTGACGCCCTTGGCGACGATGTTGGTGAAGGTGGCGGTGTCACCAAAGTTGGAGTTGATACCTGGAAAAGGGCCAGCTTTGTTAGTCTCGGGACAAACCGAGGTGAATAGATTCAAACTAGGTGGAGAAAACTTACCAGCAAGGAGCTTTCCAGAGGAGGCGTTGATGTTGTCGAGGATGACGTGGCGCTCGACCATGGACTTGCAGTTGCCGCAGCTGCGGTACAGCTTGCCGAAAGTCTCAACGGTGAAGCCGCTGACGGAGAGGGTGCCGCCGCCGTTGTGCTGGAGGACCTTGTCCTCGGCCCCAAAGGCGCCGCCAGAGGTGATTGTGGTGGTCTCGCCGGCCTCCTGCTTCTTGATGGTGAAGGCGTCCTCGCAGACGGCGGCCCACCAGACGTTGTCGAGGGTGCAGCCGCCGTTGCAGTGGACGCCCTCGATCTGGTTGGGACCGATGATGACGTTGGAGAGCTTGGCGCCCTTTTCGAGGATGAAGACGGCGTCCGAGTCGCCGCCCTCGGCCTGGCCGGTGCAGGAGACGCCGCGGTCAAAGACCTTCATGCCGCCGTCAAAGGAGGCGCCGGGGGCGATGGTCTGGGCGGCCTTGAGGACCGAGGTGCCGGAGGAGGCGGGGAGGCCGGGGGCGGCGGTGCCGTTGCTGGCGCGGATTTCGAAATGGGCGTTGGTGCCGTTGCCGGGGGCGCCGGGGGCGGAGGTGATGATCGAGCCGGGCTTGCGGGTCTTGCTAGCGTGCTTGGTCTTCTTGGGGTGCTTGGCAGACTTGGTCTTGGTTGGCTTCTCCGCGCGAGCGGCGTGGTGGAGGAAATCGAAGTAGCCGCGCTCAGCGTGGGCGATGGCGTTGCCCTGAGCGGCGCCGTTGGCCGCGGGGGCGGCGGTGATGCCCAGCACGAGGGTGCTGAGGGCGATGGCGAAAGAGTACTTCATTGTGAATGTGGCTGTGGATGTTGTTGTTGGTATAAGAGAAGGCTAGGTTGAAGATAGAAGAAACGGCTTGTCTACTTGAGAGAATGAAGAAATAGTTCAAGCCTGCTTGAAAGAGTGTAATGAACAAAGAAGTTGGAAAGGTTGATGAGGTGAAAGCAATGAGAACAGAAGCAGCTTTTGGCCGGATATCTCGAGGTTACTTATATCAAGTGAGATGCCAGGGGCGGACGAATTCTCCCTGCCAGGGTCCATATCGAAGTCCACCTTGGAGTGACCTTACTACCGAACACTCTCGTGAGCCCAGAGGCTCGTCCAGACCAGGCTCCCAGAGATACCAATCCAGCTTCAAACTTTGCCAAGACCAGGTGCTCCATCTCCTCCGCAGAGGATACAGCATCAATCAACAGGCGACGCGGAGGAAATGAAAGCGTCGATGCAGGCAGTGAAGATCGCACTAGAGCCACATCATCCACCAGGTTTCCGTAAAGTGGGCTCAAGCAGAATCCTGTCAAGTGTCAACGGCGCCAACGACGAGCATGTGTGCGTGTGCGTGTGTGCGTGGGCTTGTCAAGTTTGGGTGGCATTTCATGGCCAAGGAGTTCCCATCGGGAGCCCGTCTCCATCGCAGGAACGGAGCCAACTCCCGAGTTGGGAAATGGACTCATCCCAACTTGATTGTCCGCGCGCAGGTCGTTGCCCAAAGCAGGCGGCAGAGGCTCCAGTGACAGTCTCTTGTGGCATGGGACGGCTCGACTAGGGACCCCAGGTTCCTGACTAGCCAGGCCCGCCCTTTATTAATTCGATCTTACTTGGCCCGGAAGCTTGAACACAGACGAATCCCAAGTCTGAAATAAAGTGATCGTCCAGATGGGTGGATCCGCAGAGCCCCTGTCAGTTGCTGCTAAGCCACGCGCCCACACCAAACATGGAGGCTCGCAACTCATCCTCGCATTCCTTCTCAGCTTTCACATATGCACGCACCATCACGCCTCGCATTCAACCACACTCCCAGTCACCCACACACCACAACACGGGAATTCTTGCTGCCCACCTCCCCTGTCAGACATCCGAGGGGGAACAATTCCAACATGTCAATGTCGAACTTGCCCCTTGCAGGACGTTTCGAAACACAGCGCCAACTTGCCCAGGGGGCCTCGGACAAGTCAGACAAGTCAGCCAAGCCAACCACCGCAAAGGTGTCTATCTCGACAACTCCACCATCTCCAGTTTTCCAAAGCAGTGCCAAGACTTTCTCAAACGAAAAAAACTTCATAATGTCCATATTCCCATATTGCTCTCCCCGTGTCAGGACTCAGCTGGCGTGGTCGCGCGGGCAAAGAGCGAAAAAGGAGATGGGCAAGGGCCTTGGCGCGGGACAGAATGGTCGGTCAATTTACAGAATACTCATGGCGATGACGGTCAAGCAGCATGGTGCCTCCCCCCCGGCTTTTCGCTCGCTCGCCCGCTGATTTCTGGGCTTGTTTTCCACCTCGCCAGGTCGGTCGCCTTTCTCGGTACGAAGTAGCCTCGCCGTTTTGTTTACCCGCGTTGCATTAGGCTGGCGCAACGCCGGTCTCTTTGGATCAGACGATATAGAGAGTCTGCTCGTCTGGAGGATCCCATCCGATATCTGTTTCTGATCGTCGGTGGTTCTGGAGATGCGTAACAACTTTGTCCAAAGCAGGCTCCGTATTGAACCGCGGCATTGGTAAATCATATCATGAAAGGTCGAGAATAAGTGCGGTAGGGAACTATATGTCAACGCATATACGCCAAGGATGGCCTTGCAAAGAAACGTGGTAGGCCAATACCGGTGATGCAGCCGCATATATTGGCCCCTATTATGGGGGGTGCGTGATGTGATGGTGAGGCCACAGACCGACCATCTGGCATCCCGGGGGGCGGCCCTGGATCCCTACGGTCTGCAGAAAAGAAAAGAAGACAATTAAAGCAGAGGATTCTGATGCAGCTGTCGCTCACCTTGAGGCTGCTGCTGTGTATTTTTTTTTCTTTCTCTTTTTCTGCCTTCCGGGGGGCGATCGGAGCATCTCACCCACTCTTCCAGAGTCCGGGCCTTTTGGTGAGCAAAGGGTCATTTACAAGAGACCGGTCGTGTCCCGGCCGCTGCGTGCTAGGTGGGGGCCGAGCCAACCTGGTCAGTAAGTGCTCACGGGTTACCTCTCGTTCGTCTGCCCAAGGCCGTGTTTTTTTTTTTGCCTTGTCTTTCTATTATGCAGAACTTTGGTTTCCCGCTTGTCGAGAATAAAGACTGAGGGTGTGCGTGGTCACCCCGGCACTGCGACATCAGCCCCCAAAATCCTGTTCGGATGCCAACAGAATCGAATTCGTCTGATGTGCTGATTCGTGGAAGATGGAGTCATCCAAGGGAACGCTGATCACGGAGTGGTCTGGCCTTTGCTGAAGATGACTTGGACAGAGAGCTTTCAATGCTGTCTCAGGTTCACCCAGTTGCCACGGCGGCACAGCCCAGGGTTGTCTTCGTGCTTATTACTGACTAACGGAGGCGGGACGAGGTGCGACAACAATGCTCAATGCCGTGCTTCGTGCGACGGACGTTCTCTCACGGAGGAGCTCCGCGACTACCATGAACTGAACGATTCAGATCTTGAAAGTCATTACTGCATCTCGACCGTTGTGGACAGCCTGTTTGCGCCAGGAAGATTGCGATCACCCTGCAGCTCCCGCGCCCCTGATGCCCCATAAGCGATGTCGCACTACCCGCCCGCATGTCGCGCGACGAATCAGAATAGAAGCGGTATGGGAAGTTCGGTATCGATCTAATGACGGGAGTCTTGGCAACCATCGTGGGCGGCTCCTCGGACGTTGGACCTTCGCCGATTATCGATGTGTGTCACCCGCCGCAAGGTACGGGATTTCTAATCTGATCTATCGCCAATACCCCCCCCGAATTTAGTCTTTAAGACAGCTCGAACGCGTTCATCCTTTCACAGACGCCAAGTTCTGTCAAGCGCCTATCGTCTGAGGTGACGTAGCTTGGTGCCGAGCCTTGCAACGAAACATCACGAGAGGAAATGGGGCAGAAAACTCTGTACATATACCTGTGCCCAAATGTTGGGGACTGGGTAACTAGGTTTGCCCTGAGTGCCACTTGCTCAATCTCTGCCAAGGGCGATTGACTCAAGCTCATCCGTCCCGAAACTCTGTCACTTAAAAACCAGGAGTTGCTCTTAAGAATTGGTCCCCGGGGCCAAGACTGGTAAGTGCGCGTTGCTGCCTATCGAAACGAGGAAAAACTCAATTCGAGTCGTTCAAAGTGTTATATATGTGGTCAACTATCAAATCCGGGCGAACATTCAACACCACAATCAATGTCGCGAATGCAAAGCCCTTCGTACATAGATCGATCAACTTTTGCGACTGAATGTTGAGGGGCCAGTGAGAGATGATCCCGATCATCGCAGCTAGTTTCTAGTTGAGCGACGATCTTTGGAAATCAGATCTTCCGTCATTAAGGACATGTTTTAACTTTACAGAAAATCGGAGACTGATCATCGGGCTAATTACCAATTCGCTGCGACGCTGCCCGAGTTATATGGGAGGATTCAGGAATGCGAATGAAAGCGAGGTGCTCTGCAACCTCGCACTCGCCCCGACATTACTCATTTGATCTCTTGGCACGGAGCTGTATTCGTACACTTTTGGTTCTTTCATAGGATTGCGCGTTGAGACTCTGAGAGACCTTGAGACGTCTGTCGCTTGCGTTACTGATAAGCTATCTGGCTACCACGGGAAATGAACAGGACTGAGCCGAATAAATTTCGACTCACGAACCCCCAAATATGGCAATATCCACGTCATCGCCCGGTTTGTCCGGGTTCTCCGCCAGGCTCCGTGTTCATTCGTTATGAATCGTTTTCTCTGCCTCCCATGCCACCGCGGGTATTTTTGGCTTTTCCCGAAATCTCCTCTATATGAGGGATTGAACTTAGTGTACTGCTGATGAGACTATAAAAATCGTGTGTCTCTGTTCAACCAACGATGTAGAAATGCGGCATGTAATCGCCAGACTCTTACGATTGTCGCAAGAGACATAATTCCCGTTGCCCTGGGTGCATGCAGGAGGCTAACGTTCATTCATCCGCCAAAGTTCCCAGCGTTATAACATTGAACTCTCCGGTGATGCAGCGCAACTGGATTAAATCGACTTCATGTAGCAAAATGCAACTGTGATTTGGCCATTGGTCGTCGCGAAAGAACAGTATAATAGTAATTATATGAAAGTGGTGCGGTTGAATCTTTGCTTCACAATGTGGCTTTTGCCAACTTCTCCTGGTCAACAGGTACAATGCAGCAATGTGTTTCCTCAGTATTAATGTCTTTTGCTACGCTTGTCTAGAGTTTTACCGCAGGTATGGTCTAATGCCTAGCTCGGTCATGAGCAAGCTTACCAATGGAAACTTCGTCCTCGTGACGAGGCTGGTAGACCAAGGCAAATGCATCAAACGTGGCGTCAATCACTTTGGAATAGGTTTGAATAACTCGGAAGTCGATTGAAACTAACAGACTACGCCGCAAGTCGGGCAAGGCCTATTCGATGGTTCGAGGGCAAAAGTTAGATTTTGTCGTCAGATCACTGACCCATACTGCTCTCTTTCTTTGCTGTTGCAATTTGACTTTTGACCTCCCGTTTTACCAGTTTTGTCGCAGATACCATTACTGGTCATTGAAGCTTCCATGTTGTGATGAGATGTAGTCGAATGAAGCCAAGGTCCTCACCAACAAGCCGGCTAACACGGCCGGTTAGGTCGGCAACCCGCGATCAAGATGGACCATCAGAACCACCAATGTGGGAACAACCCCAGCCTAAGCTTAATCAAAAGTTTATTTCCCTTTTGTTTTCAATCTTATTTCGACTTTGAAAATGGCATCTGCGTCTTGGCATACCACTGCCGCCGTCGCCGCGTCTTGGCATACCACTGCCGCCGTCGCCGCGTCGTCGGCAGCGAGCTCCGCCCGCTGCCGGAGGACAGAAAGCGCCACAATGGATGGATCTTAGTACCTCCCCATCGAGCGCAGAATATTATGGGCGTTCGCCGATTGGCTGAAGAATGATTTTGAAGCGTACCAAGTGCTTCTAAGTTATATCTCTGTCATCGAGGACAATTTAAGCCTTGGCGAGCTCACCGGAGGGAAGCAAAGTGTCCTCGGAAGCGAAGAGGTGCAGCAGATTCAAAATGATATTAAACCACCAGAAATTTCTCACCTTTTGGTATTTGAAATTCATCCATTATATTCTTCACGGGGCCATCCACTACAGCCATCACATCACATCTTCACAACATGCAATACCTCCAGACAGCACTCATCGTCGTCGCCGCGGCGGGCCCATCTCTTGCAGATACGGACTGGTCCGTCGTCAAAGGCACAGGCGCACCACACGGCATCAGCACCGCCGACTGGAACTCGGCGATGGACCATCCCAACCTAACGGCCTCGTACCGCTTCGACGGCCCAGATATATCCGCCGCCTTCCCGCCGTCCAACGATTCGGCCTGGACGGCCGCACCCTTTGACCTGAGCGTCAACGTCGCCGCGCAGATCCACACGACGCGCAACGACAAGCGTCGCTTGCAACAGCTGTCATACCGGCTTCGAAGCAGAGACGAAGACGACGACGACGACGACGACGATGATGATGACAAGAACAACAAGAACAGGAATCGTGACTACTTTACGGGTTCCTCCATCAACCTCAAAAAGTTTGACGGGCCCCAGACCGTCGATGCGGGCTGGAAACTCTGCGTCAATATCTTCCTGCCGAGACTCAGTCGGGTCGCGACAAGCGGTTCCCAAGATGACAGCGGCGACTGCGGTGCTTTCCTATCCGCCGAGTGCCGCCAGGCGCTCTTGGACACATCTTCTACTCAGTTTGCGTCTTGCGGGGTGGCAGACTTGCCCAGTGCATGCAAGGACGTTATCGAGAATGACAAGGACGAGGTGTTTGGCTTTTGTACGCCTTCCTTTTCCCGGCCCCAACTTTGTAGTATACGGTCAATGGCTTACACTGCAGGCACATTTCAGCAACCGATATTGGCTCCGGATCCCAGATCTTCGCCTACGGGTCCCAAACATACAACTGGGGCAGAAAAGACAACGATAATGACGACTGGCGAGGCGGTGGCGAGTATGCCGTCGCTCATCGGATGATTTGGCCCGTGATGCTGACCTGGGGCGGTTCTGGCGATGCGGCGGAGAGCCGGGCTAGTCTTCACTGCGTCCGCGCTAAAGATGTCGTTTCGGGGAGCGCTGTGCCTCAAAATCTCAGCGAAGAAGAAGAAGAAGATGATGACGATGACGACAATGATGACGATGATAACGATGATGATGATGATAACCGGAACCACAACGCGGCAGGGCTCAAGATGCCTTTTGCCGGATGGGCTCTGGCCTTGGCTGCGCATGTCGCCCTTGCCATGCTACTTTGCTGCTAGGCTGTCATTCGAGCTTAATGTGTCTCGATGATTCCGCGGTGATGTGGGCTTTTCACACGTTCCAGTCTGATTTGAGATGAATAGGTCTGGAGATGAGTTGGAAACTTGTGTCACTAGAAATGTGGGAGGAGTATGGTAACTTGAAACCACACCGGAGTATGAGGCAAAAGTTGTAAATTATCATCATGGCGCTTTTCAGATTTGAGATTTTAGTCGTTTAGAATAGACCTGTTTTCAAAGAACATCTTCCCTCTGGATATTGGGAGGTCATGATCAAAACTGCCTACTTGAGCGAAGCCGGCGTCTCCATTCTCTCCAAACACGTCCGCAAATTCTCCAGCTCAATGCCTCGCTCGTGATTCAACGTCTTCTCCAATGGCCAAGAGACACCCTTACCCGCCCCAAAGATCCCGCGGTATTTGTTCCAGGTATTCCCAGGATCGCGCACAAGACTCTCCCCGATCGAGTCCATATCCCACACGTCCCTGCTGAACGCGACCCCGGGAAACCGCGCCTCCACCATGTCCGCCACAGCCGCGTACGAGACGGTATCGCCAGCAACGTACACCACATTCCGACCCTGGCCAGGGACCCCGCGCGGGTCAAACACGATCTCGGCCGTCATCCTGGCAATGTCGTCCGGCTGCGTGAGCGTCACCTCAACCTCCCACCCGCCCAAAGCCCGCAGCGTTTGGTGTTTGAAATCCACGACGCCAAACTCCTCGACAAACAAGAAACTCATAAAGAGACCGGTGCTCACGATAACCCACTCCGTGGCCCCTTGCGCCCTCAGCAGCGCCCTGACGTCGAGCTGCTCGTCAAACAGCGGCTGCGAACTGCCGCGTCCAATGGCATCGTAATCGACGCCGAATTGCCAGGGGAAAAACCGCCGGACCTTGGCCAGCAGGGCGGCTTGGCAGATGCGTAGTTGTGTTCCGGCGGGGCCGACGAAGCCGGTGCAGCTGATGACGGTGTCGTATTTCGCAAACGTGTGGGCGAGGGATTGGAGGGAGTCGGTGACGACGTCGCCTGCTTCGAGGGAGATGCCCAGGGATTTAATGTGTGCGATGGATCGGGATTTTGCTGGGTCGGGTGAGGTGATGGTGGAGGGCCGGAGGAGGACGGAGATTTGGGAGTTTGGAGGGCGTGAGGGGTGGGATGTTAAGGCGTGGAGGATGGCTGTGCCTAGCTCGCCGGCGCCGAGGACGAGGATGGACATTTTGTGAGGAGGAGTAGGTCGTGTGGCAATGATCAGCCAAGTGATGCGAGTATAGTAGACAATGTCACAATTCTAAGTGCTGTTTGGAGTATTCAAGTATGGAATCGAATGTAATGCGAATTCGTAGGTTATTATAGTTATGTCTGTCTGGTTGACACAATAGCACAAGCTCTCCCAAATTTGAATATGTTTCATCAGCATCAGAAACACTGGCCTGGGCCAGACGCAGTGAATACATGTCTACGTAATGCTGTGTCGATCGGGAGGAGTTGCGGAGTCCTCCACGGAGCTGCTCGCCTGAATAAGCACGCGGGGTTACGGCGGCTAAACCAGGCGGTTAAACCCGGCGGTGGAGTTCCGTGGCCGGTCCCAATCCCGGGTATGGCCAGGGGAGAAGCGGCGGCAACCACCGTCATACGTGGCTACCATCCTGGGCTGTAGTCACTGGGATTTCAGATTGTGTACGAAGAACAATATGCAGTGTCATTATTTTGTAGTAAAGGGGGGCGTAAAAGTCATCATATCCAGTCCTGTCCATCCTGTATTTACGTTTCCAACCACCCTTTAGTGCCCGAAAGACGCTGCCCCAAACCGTCCGAGCATCATGCCCCAACTCCGGATATCATCAAAAAGAGGGAAAAAAAATCACCATGCTACTGACAATCAGAGTTAGGGCCCAGTACCTCACGGCACCCACGGCCTACTCTCTTCCACAACGCTCCGCTGCTGGATCACCAGCTCCTCGTACGTGTCCGGGAGCCGCGGCCACTGCGGCTGCGACCACTCGTCGTCCGCAGGCACGGCGGGATATCCGCTCTTCATCGTGAGGACGGCGTCCACCGTCTCCTCGACCTCGTCATCGTCGTCAACCTCCGAGTCGGCCTCGTCGAGCGGCGTGCAGGCCTGAAAGGGCTCCTCGCGCCGCACCGCGTCCACGGCGTCCTTGATGACCTCCTCCCACCAGTCGACCTCGTCCCACGATGCCAATTGGTGATCCTCTTCGTCGTCGGAGGAGGAAGAATCTACCAGCTCTTGAACCTGAACCTGGTGGCCGCTCGTCTCGACTTTTTCTAACCCCTTGAGATCCTGGTCCTGGTCCCGGTCCTCCTCCTCCTCCTCCTCTTCGTCCATTTCATCGTCGACCTCTAATATCTCCTGCTGCGTCGGTTCGGGCACCCTCCGCCCGGGCTGCATGGCATGCACTGCCGCAATCGGCAACCCCGTAATAATGGACACGGCCGTCTCGATGCCCCTCTTGACAGCGAGCGCGCCGAGCAGCAGCTTGAGCGCGTGCTCCCACCGGCCCTGCAACATAAACATCTTGCCCCGGCACCACTCGTACTTTACAAAATTCCCATGGTGGCTCGGCCGGCCCCAGTACTCCCTCTGCAGCTGCGCGTACGCAATCAGCGCGTTCGCCTTGTCCCCGGCGCGCTCGTACAGGTACGCGAGGTATTTGAGTATATTCCGTATCTGCGCCTCGTCCTGGAAGTCGTGCGACGCCGCCCGCTCAATCTCGAGACACTTGCGGTACTCGTAGGCCGCCTCCTCGTGGTGCCCCGCGCACCGCAGCGTGTGCGCGAGGTTCAGCCGCGTCTCGAGCGTCTGCTCGACCACGCGCGTCACGTCGCCCGCCTCGCGCCGGCACATGTCGCGCAGGATGACGACGGCCTCGTCCCACCGCCGCAAGGCTTTCAGGGCGGTGACGTGGTCCTCCATGTTGCGCAGCGTCACGGTGCTGCAGAGGCCGAACCGGGCCCGGTGCTCGTCCAGCACCCGCTGGAACCGCCGGCAGAGACCAATGACCTCGTCGTACCTCTTGAGCCGCAGGCTCGTGAGCCGCGCCAGCTTCAGCGTCCACTCGCCGTTGGCGTAGTGCAGGAGGTCGGCGGCCAGGTCCATGTTGCCAATCTCGACGCGGGCCTCGTCGTCTCTCCCCCGCTCCGACAGGCACATGGCAATGTTGTAGTCAATGGCGGCCTTCTCCTCGTGCCCAAAGACGGGCACCTCCTCGTTCCAGTCCCGCGCGATGCGGTAGGCGATCTCGGCCTCCTCGTACTTGTCCTGGTTGACGAGCATGCTCGCCAGGTCGCGCTGCGCTTCAATCGTCGTGACGTGGCGTTTCCCCCTCCGCCGCACCAGCGTCGGGACCAGCTCGCGCAGCAGCTTCTCCCCCTCGGCCCAGCGGCTCGTGTAGTAGTAGATCTCGCCCAGCTCGACCATGGAGTGCAGGCAAAAGTCGCGCCACGAGCCCGTCAAGAGGGTCCAGCGGAACGACCTCCTGCGGCTGCTGCCGCTGCTGCTGCCGCCGCTGCCCGGCCGCCCCTCGCGGCTCTGGCGCAGCAGGCGCTCGGCGAGGTGAGCCAGCTCTTCGGCCTCGGCAATGTCGCCGAGGTCCTCACGGCGCACGAGGGTGTCGCCGAGGAGCAGGACGGCGCGCATGAGGTAAAAAGTCTGGTCCTCGTTGGGCGGCAGGCCCTCGAGGAGCAGCTTGGCCATGCGCAGGTGGTGCTGGGCCGAGATCCAGTCCTCGGGGGTCTGGTTGCGGTAGGCGTGGCCGACGCTCAGCAGGGCCAGGCCCTCGGTCAGCGTGCCCAAGCCTTGCGACTGACGGAGGGCAAAGGTGCCGAGGCGCAGGGCCATGGACCATTTCCCGCGGAGCTTGAGGAGCTCTGAGATGCCGAGGAGGGTGAGGATGGAAACTTTGTCGGAGTTGCGGCTCACCGCCCTCCATCGCGTGGCCTTGATCGGGCGCATGGCGGATGGTTTTTTTGGGGGGGGGGTTCGGGCTGGCTCACCGCGTCGGGGGGGTTTCGCTATTGGGGGATTTTGCCCCCCGGTAAAAGACTTGATCGTGTTCGCTTTCTGTCGTCGTTATCGGGGGGCGTCGTGGAGGTCGTCGAGACGGTAAAGTCTATGGCGTAAGCCGAGTAGGCGTCGCGAAGCCAAGCAAATCAGTAGAGAAGGCGTGAGGAACGCGTGCCGTTGAAATGAGAGGTGGGTGCAGTGAGGTGAAAGTCAGTCAAAATTTGATGAGCCGGTCAACGGTGAGCTGAGCGAGCCAAACCAGCGGCGGCTGTCCTCCCTGAGAAGCCAATTCTGTCTGGCCAGTTCCCGAGCCCGTTCTTTTGCTGCAAGTCGCGTTGGGGAAGTGTTGAAGTAAGAGATGGAGGCGAGTAAGAAAGTGAGAATGAGGGTTCGCAGTAAGCCACGCAGAAGCCCCTCCCTCCTTTGGCCACACCACACCTGAGCTAGGAACGGGTGCTGCTGGTTGGAGCTTGTCCTGGTTCCTGATTCTGGATGGGTACAATTGCTAGATGGGAACGAACACTCAAAAAGAAAAGGTGGTGAGAAAGAAACGGCGTGGCGGCGGAAACAGAGCTTGGAAATGCCTAGGCTCACTCGCTGCAGCCCGCAACCCAAACAAGTGAGTAAGTTGATGGGATCTCCCTTGATCCTTTGCCTCCGTCTTCCTTGCCTTGGGTGCGAAGGCTTCGGAGGTTGTCAGTGGTTGCGAACCATGGGACAGACAAGTTAGAGGGAAGGGTAAGGGGGGCTGGACTGCTGCGTGCGTGTGCCATGCGACCACTCAGGGCGAGGCACTTGTCCTGCAGATCCAGGACGTGCCAGTGTGCGTGCTTCAGGGCCAAGCCATCTGACGCCCAATCAAGCACAGGACCGGCGGCACGACCGGCAGTCAGGAAAGGGTCCGAAGGGATGCTGTATGTGGACTCGTGGGAAGGTCCAGGCCGGCGTCGTATCCGATCGTCGAGCGGAGGTAGGTTGTTCGTCCAGATAGGTCCTCAGTCAAGCCTTCGAGTAATAGCCCACATCCCCGACAAGGACGAGAGCTTGACTCGAGTGAGTGAGTCGAGTCTCAATAGGACTGTCTTATGGCCTTGATCAAAGGCTGGATTGGGCGAGACACGGTGGAGGACATGGGACAAGGTTGGAACCAAAGGTGGAGGGGAGGTAGCGCATTCTGCTTACAGGGACTTCAAGCTCCCTGGGCTCGCCGCAAGGTTCTCTGTAATTCATGTACCTTGCCTTACCTAAGGTACCTTGGGAGAGCATTCATAAGCCATATTATCTAAGCAGACGCAGGCATCTAGGGACATGACAAACGGCGCCATCGGGACCAAGGTGCCCCGAGCCATCCCCCAACGAGAATCAGGTTGCCGCTCTTGACTCTCCCTGCAGTGCAGCTAAGAGATATCAGAGTTCCGGGATAAACTGCGGATGGCTGGAACAGTCATGTTGTTGCAGTAGCTACACTGCATGCTTTCCATCAACAGATCATCACACATGACAACATATCCAGTGTGAAAAGAAAGCAAAACGTTTGCTTATTCATCCACTTGATTTTCTGCACACGCTTCCATCAGCGCAAACTGCACGACGCATTCCAGAAGGAACGAAACCTGAAACAGGCCGTCAAAGGGGCCCTGGTGGTGATGAGACTGTGCGCAATGCCCGATCCAAACCCCCCCAGAGCCCATCCAGACCCTAGAGACATTCTCCTTCATCTTTTCTCTTACCCCAGACATTAGCATCCCACTCGACAAGACACACAACCAAGTTTCCTCTCGCACAATTCCGTAGTGCCTGTCGATGACTCGGTTTAAGGCGGTCTTTGCGATTTTTGACTAATTGTGACGTTTGAGGTAGACAGCTCAACCCACGCGCGCGCCCTACGCCACGACTGCTGCCCCAACTTGAAGGATTCAATGCCCGCATGCCTGTGTGCAGCGCACGTTGACGAGTTGGCTCCGGTGATGAGAGAATTGCAGTACGTCATTTTCCATCTTGCTCGGGGACACAAAGGATTATGTTATGTGCGGTCTTCCATGCCCGGCCTCCGCGTCTGCAGCTCCGGACTTCGGTCCCCGAGATGCACACTACGCCGGAGTATAACATCGGACGATTCCGTCAACGAGGACTCTTCCCTCGTCATGCATTTCAACTAACTTGTCTCCATCGGGCGTTTTTCATTTACTCAAGGCGACCATGTTCCAACATTGCCTCCGCTATCCATGGCATTGGGCACACATGTGCAGCGACAATGTTACGTGAAGCAGATTCCATGTCTATTAAATTTAGCGATCAAGTCAATAGCAACTTGAAATGCGCTGCGAAGCGTGCAGAAACCAACTGGCGTCATAACTAGCGCCAACTCTAGATCTAATCAATTTTTCTCTCTCCATTCCCACCCATCTGCCTCCAATATTTGGACGTTCTCATGGAAAAGAAATCCCGCTGCATTCCGACTACTCCTTCTGAATTTGCATCCACACATGACAGTAAACCAGGGCAGTCACGACGATAGTGAAGATGCAGTACGCCCACATCAACCCCAAGGTCCTCCAGCGGTGATCAAATTCGACATTGATCCCCTTGAAAAGGTACTGGTGTCCGACATGGCGCAGTGCTGGCACTCGGTCCCGTTGCCAGCATCCGGGTTTGAGAGATAACCCTCGGCAGCGGAGATGTAGTCTGCCAGGTACTGCCGGTGACGTATGCTTTGTGGTAGAGGCCGATGGGAAAGTACCAGCAGTCGAAACAGTAGACAGAAGCGAGCTTGATGATGGTCAGTCGCGAGTATCAAGAAACGGTGAGGCAGAGCAGAGCCTTAATATTGAATTCCAGGCCGTTTCCACCAGAATGTTGGCAAACGCGAATATGCCTTACACGAGTACGCCTATGAGGGTCTCTCGCGTGCTTCATACACGGTCCGCTGCGACACAAAGATTAGTAAGATTGGCTCGACAGCATGGCTGAATACTGTGAGAAAGATGAAGACGCCCAGTACTTGGCTCTGCAGACCATACTGCGGAACAGACTCTCTCGTTGGCCGCGACAGAGTCGTAGCCAGGATCCATAGGCACAGGGTCGAGCAGCGGAAGTCTTGACCAATAAACTCGTTGAATATGACGATCTCGAGATCGTAGTAGACGGGGTTTAGCCACCGAATCTAGCCCAGCCAATATTGTATGTACTAAGGCGGGATTGCGAAACCGGACTAAAGCGCAATGAAGAGCAGCATCATGGACGCTGGCGCCAGGGCCTGGGCAGCCGACTTTGTGACGGAGCTGATGAGATGGAACAGCATCGGCATTTTCAGCATCATCGAGAGGTTGAACTGGTCGATTCGGCGGGACGCGAACAGCTTTTGATGGTGCTCGCCGTCAAAGGGGTGGCGTTGGAGGTAGTCTTCGACTACGTCCAGGAGGTGCCCGCGGTACTGGCTTGCTTTCCAGTCCCAGTCAAAGTCGTCTGGGCTGCGCGTCGTCTTGTCCTCCCAGCCGGGGCGGATGAAGCACTCCTGGTGGCTGGTCATTCAGGTCAGGAAGTCGGCCGTTGTCTGATGCTCCGGGCAGATGAAGCCGAGACCCTCAAAGCATGCTTGGGCCACGGTGGTTTAGCCAGAGTAGATTTGTCGGCCTTCGTACCAAACAAGGAATTGACAAAGACCTTTGAGTCAGTAGCTGCAGTACTTTTTGTGGATTCGTGAAACTCAGACTCCAAGACTTGAATAGTAGGCGTCCTGGGAAGTTAATGTAGCAGCTGTAAAATATGCTCTGGTGTCTACATCTAAATCTAGTGTGTACGTAAAGCTTAGTAGATGGCAATAAAGGACGTACAATGCAATCTGTCGACTTGAGTCCTCAAATGGTGGCAGAACTTGAGGGCGTTCGCGCTGTCAAGACCTCCAGAACTGCAGTGAGGAGTCACTCAAAGCAGCTTCCGCGATGGTGTCTGTCTTCCTGTTGCCGCCACTCATGCTGCAGACAAATTTATCGCCAAAGCGGGTATTGTTTGTACGCGATATGCTAAACATGGCGACGTCACATCCCGAAGGTGCTCGAGGTACTCCTGTCTGCGCATGATGAAAAACCGGCTTGGGAGGTGTACACCTACGCATGGGAGCACGCGCACACCGCGGTGATTGGCCACGACAAGAGCAAGCTCGACGCTGATCAAAAAGGCTTCTGGGAGTTGAATTAGAATGACTTCTTCTTCCGGCTACTGTGCAATCGCCCACCGGCGATAACAGACAGCATGAGCACGTGGAAGGTCAACTTGCCTTGTTTCTGCAACGATGAGATCATAAGCGCTGAGTCCCTTAGCAGACGATGATCCCAGCGCGATTGCGTTCACATTCCACGCGTCGTTGACATCTTAAGCCTCAAGTAACTGACTGATATGTTTACGTACAAAGCCAGAAAACAGCACTTGTTGCATGATGATTCAATATCAGCCGGATCCAACTCAAAGATGGGAGAAACGTTTCGCAAGCGCCTCATTGAAGGACATCATCATTAAATGAAATTCAGGCATTAAGTACCATCGTCTGACGTCTACGGCAATAGAGGGTCTTCGTTCAGCATGTGCTCATAAGCGGTCTCTAGCAAATCTACGCGCTGTTGGCTCCTTGGCTGCAGGTCGAAATCAAACTCATTTGGCTGTACATTGAATCCCGCAGCAAAGTCATACACAGGCGGTATGATCTCCTTACCATTACTATCCGTAGCCCGAGAAATATTACAACCCCAAGCGAGCAGCGCGATTTTGAGATTGAGACTCCGTTCAGCAATGTTGATGCCCTGACAAATCCGGCGACCGTGGCCAAACGCCGTGAACTGCTGCAAGTTTGGGTATACCGTGAGGGGCTCCTTGTATGTCGGATACTTGGGGTCCAACCAACGGTCGGGGTTGAAGCGTTCGGGATCCGGATACGTCTCCGGGTCGCGTTGAATAGCCCACTGCACCGCGTGTACCACCGTGCCCTTTTTCAAGAAATACCCTTGGTACGTATCGTCTTCCGTGAGACGGTGGGGGAACCCACCAGCGGTGATCGGGTAGTATCTCAAAGTCTCCTTCACGCACGCCCTCACGAGCGGAAGCCGCGGCATGTCCTCAAAAGTAGGCACCCTGTCCGGCCCGACGACGGCGTCGACCTCGGCCTGAAGCCTCTCGAACCACCCGGGATTCCGCACAACGCAGAGGATGAACGAGGCGAGAGCCGACCCGGACGTCGTACCCGCAGCCTGGAAGACGGATCCCAGCATCCAGTTGGCCTCCCGCCGCGTGAGCCCCCACTGGTCCTCGGTCTCGAGCCAGATCCGCGCCCAGGACGGCGACTTGCTCCGATCGACCAGCTCCTGGAAGAAGTCCTCGTCGCGGCGCCTCCGCGCCCGGAGATACTTCTTCCAGGGCGCCAGCCACTCTGGTAGGTACTTGAGTGACGGGAAGATGTCGACCAGGTACGCGCCGGGAGACCCCACGCGCTCCAGCTCGTGGACGATGTCGAGCAGCATCCGCACCTCGCGGTCGTGGCCGCTCTCCGCCCGCAGGCCGTAGATGATGCGCAGGCCCAAACCGACGCTGAACCGCTCAAAGAGGGTCTCATAGTCGCGCGGGCGGCGGATCAGGTCGCGGAGCAGCCTGACCGCCTCGATGCGCTGCTCCGTCTCGTACTGCGGCGCGACGGGCGACATGGTGACCTGGTGCAGGAACCTGCGGTAGTTGCGCCATTTCTCGTCGTAGGGGAGCAGCAGGAGCATGTGATCGTCGGTCAGGAAATGCGAGGACGCCGGCGCGTAGTGGCGGTCGCTGTAGATGGTCCCGCGCTGGCGGAGGAGGTCGTTGGCGGCGGTCTCGGTGCCGAGGAGGACGTGCTCCTGGCCGCCCGGGAGGGCGAGGCGGACGACGGGGCCGTGCTCTTTGATGAGCTCGTGGAAGGCCAGCCAGGAGTGCACCGGCGGGATGGAAAAGAGGTTGCCGATGATTGGTTTGGGTTTGGGACCCGGCGGGAGGGTTGTCCCCGGCGGAAGACACGGCTTCCTCGGGCGGAGGACGATGAAGAGGACGGCAAAGAGGATCGCGGCCCCGGCCGTCAGGTAAGGGTCGACGAAGCCTTGCAGCAGGAACATATTCGCCGGTTAATACGCAGGTGTCCACGGCAACGCAGTCGGGTTGTACATGGCACGGTGGTCCGAAGACTTCGTGGACGAGAGGGCGATGGCAATCATGGTCTGACGGACATTCGACATCTCTTCAAGCTTTCGCGTTTCTTTGTCTCGTGAAGAACCCCGCAGTATAGCAGCCGTCATATCGGTCAAACCCCCACTCGTTTCCGCGGTATGCCAATGGGAGGCGGCGTTTTGCAATCTAGCAGCCCGAGAACATGGTGTTATAACGCGTTTAGCGTACGCGAGTCATGCTCACCTTACCCTTACCGGCACCGAATTCGGCTTCTCCATTCGCTAGAGGCCATCTCCCGGGGCCAGTTAGACCGAGAGATAGATAAGACTCGGCCGTACAAAATGCATCCTTTTTGCGTCCGTAGAAGCTGTATGTATGCCGAATCAGGTATACAACCGTGCTGTCGCAAGCTGTGGATTTCTTTTCTAAGGAACCAATGCGCCAAGGTGGCACAGCAGAGTCCGAGCATATGGCGGGGAGGAAGTTGGTTCACAATAGTCTGATCTGATTCGGCGAAGCCCGCGCGCACGCAGCTGCGTGATCTCCTCCTCCCCGCATCCAATGCTTCATAACCACAGCGTCGGGTTCTTTCGCGGACCATGACCTGGCGAATTAAACTCACCTTACCCGCGTCCCGCCCGCACATGGATGTCTCGGCGAGTGGATGTCATGGGGCTCGGCCGTGGTGAATTTATGCCCCGACGACGGAGTCAATCTACCACCAGAGCACAGCCTCTGAAAGCTCTGCCAAAAGACACGCATTTTGGTCTCGTCGAATCCATCCCGCGGGCAAGGAGGGGCTTACACGCACAGGCAACCTATGCTTTTTCAAAGCGGCATCCCACAATGTCAACGATATCCCACAGGGTGCGAGACCACAAGCAGATTCATTGTAGCGTGTTATCTAGGAGGGCATTGCTGCTCGATCTATTTCGTTCCTCAAAGCCATCCAGCTTGTCGCATTCCGCTATAGCCTCAGAGTTTCCCCAAGGATCCTAGCACCTTGCAATTGATGATTCCCAAGCTGGCCACACTCTCATCCATCGCCGGAGGGATGTTGAGCCATCATGGATCTAGTCGATGCGGGCACAACCAAAAACCCAATCCACGGCCATGGTCTGGCGCGCAGTGAGCACGGGAGCCGAGTTCGTACCTGCCTCACTTCGCTCCGCCTGGTAAGGTTCTCAAAACCAAGCTATGCTACTCAGTCGCTATGATGAGGCATGCACGGAAACCAAGTGGTGCAACTCCAAAAGCCAGGATAAGATTGGTTCGTTGAGGAACGCCTTCCAGTTGTTGCGGAAACTTTGACATACATAATGACGCAAGTCCCGGTGCAAGACAATAAGCAGACCCCAAGTCGAAAGTCTCATCCTCTTGTAATTTCTCCTCTCATAAGTGTAGAAGAGATCGAGAGATTTGCGATGCTTAGTTGACATGGCAATCTGGAATAGGTTAGGCTTTGACAGCCTTCTTCATGGAGAAAGGCGTCCCGCTTATGAAGACGAAAGAGGTTGTGATGACGCTCAGAGGGCTCTGCGACGCTTTCGGTAGCGAGTCAAGGTAACTGCAGATACTTGGTATTACAGACATTTCGTCTACGGTTAGATTTTCATTGAGTCATCCGCGCACCCACAGCTTCAAATGCAGCTAAGAGAAATATCCTGGGTTACCCTGCGAAAAGGTCATAGTCTGATGACGTGCACGCGGACGGTAGCGCCGTCTGAAGCCTTCTCGCAATCACTTGGTTTCCGACTGTCTTATCCTTCTCGTCTTATCCTCAACTCCTTACGTTGGCTTGCCGCAACTTACTGGCATTGGGAGATGGCGACCCCCATTATTGGTGTCATAGCAAAGTTGGGTGCATTCTAGATCTAGACCGATGACCCAGAAGATCCGTGCGCAGAGCTCCACGTTGCGGCATTAGTGCATGTGTTGAGCGTGTTGATGAGACTTGGAGATTCAAATACCACATCACATCAAATCAACTCTGACGGAACGCATAACAAATTGGTTGAAAGAAACATGGGGCTATATATTGAGCGACTTCGGGTTGGATTATTGAATTCGACAGAATCGGATAGTGTCAGTGCTCTGTGCCAAGGTTGAGTCTGAGTACTTCGATAGCTTGGTCAAATTATGTAAGTGCAGAAACTTGACTCAGGGGCGGATCAGACTTGAGAACTCAATGTTTCTTGAACCAGCGATCGAAACCTTAGACTCTGTCGCCGCCGATGATCGCGGTCGCCCGACTTTGAGTTATGCGTCAAAGATGGACACTGGCGCCGAGTTGCAGAGACCCGAGCATGCTCCTCCAGGAAAAACACTTATTTGCTGCAAGCTACAGGGTTTTCATCCCACCTTAACTGGATTCATCTAACCGCAGTGGTTTTGCCCGCCGGAGGGCTCCGGGAACACCCAACTAACTCAAACTCTCTCGTTGCGGTCAATCTGAACGGTGAAGGCAAATCTTACAAATGTCACCTTTCGCCTACGGATCTAACTCTAAAGTTCCCCCTTTTACCGTTTACGAACCGCAAAGCAATTTCGCGCCTTGGCAGCTGCCCTGCAAGTTCCAATATGGGGTCCTACACCATGATATCCGAGCTGCTTCATCTAGCCTAAACACACATCATACCCGCCGAGTCCACTCGTAAATACTTGCCAAGACCTGCAAGACAGCGGCACCCACGTCCGCGCCGTCATGGCAGCGGATGCAACGCTAGGTCTAAGGGTGCTACACTACTCGTGGAAACGAGTCCGTACTGAATTTCCCCGGTGATCGCTGGCGGTTCTGCAACCACCTTTCTTCCAGGAACCGTTCCTGGCGCGCATGCTGGCCACCCCGCCACTTTTATCTCCTGTTCCCGGGCACCTCACCCGGGGGGGACCCTCCACTCACTTTCCAATCTAATCTGGGGGATGCAGCTGCATGTAAATAGATCGAGCCACCTTCATTCATACAGTAGAAGGCGATCATCCTCACGGGGAAATAAAGGATACAAGACTGGTGAGTTCGGGGCAAATATCGCGCGAGACCGTCCGTCACGCTCTCCTACATATTGGGTAGCCCCAAGGCCCTCTCCCGCGCAACTAGACCCCGCTCGGCGCACTCTGGGAACTTGTTGCCCGTCGCACCATACTCCCTGGACCATATTGTCTTATCATTCGTTTCGTCTGTCTTTTCCTCGATTATTAAACCACCCTTGTCCATATAATGAAGGGCATACTCAAGGCCCTGGCCACGGCGGTACTCGCCACGGCATCGCTGGCCCAAGAGTCGGCCCCGCCATCGGCTACGGCTTCGGCGTCTAGCGGGTCACTGCAGCCGTATTCGGGAGCGCTGCCCGCCGTAGCGCCCATCCGGCTCCGTCTCAACCCGGCCAACGTCCGGAACCTCGCCGAGTCGGATTTCATCACATGGACGATCCCTGGCTCCGCAAAGGCCAACATCACGGTCAGCAACATCACCGAGAGCGACGTCACCTTTACGCTCGCCGCCGGCAACGGCTCCCAGCTGGCCGGAAACTACTACAAGTACCAGTACACGCGGTTCCTCTCCTCCTTGGGCGAGCGCGTCGTCAACGAGGGCATCAGCAACTCCAACAAGGACGGCTCACCGCTCACGCTCACGATCAAGGGCCTGGTGCCGGGTAATCACACCCTGCTGACATGGCACAATGCGTGGGACGCCCTCAATGAGGCCGCGACGCTCGACATCAGCGTCAACGGGCAGCGCGCCCAGATCGGCCTCAAGCAGTCCATACGCGTGGATAACATCTGGCAGGCCGCGAACTCGTACCTGAAGTTCGAGGTCACGTCTGCCGCGGAAGAGACCAAGATTGTCTTCACCCCGAGCAGCGGCGGCGACAAGCGGGCTTTCCTCAACGGATTCGAGGTCGACGCACCGTCGATGCAGAACCAGATCAGCTTCCCTGCGCCCAAACACCGCGACGAGCGCATCGAAATTGCCGCGAACGGCAGCGTCACTGCCTCTTGGCAGGCTCCCGCTTCTGCTGAGGGTGTCAAGTATAATGTGTACCTGGGCACGTCGCAGACGGACTTGAAGAGCATTGCTGAGGGTGTGACGGAAGCGAGCGCGAAGCTGCCTGGTAAGTTGTGGGCTTGCCGCTCCCTTGGAATCCTTGCGCAATTATCTGATCTTTTCGCAGGCCTCAACACCGTTGACAGCTTCTACTGGCGAGTCGATGTTGTTTCCGGGCCGACTACCTACGCCGGCCGCGTCTTTTTCTTCCGCATCGCCCAGCTAGCCTTCCCCGGGGCCGAAGGTTGGGGGTGAGTGTCCAAAGCCTCTCCTCTATCGCAAAGAGCTTTCTAACATGGCTGTTCAGTCGATTCGCCCGCGGCGGCCGCGGTGGTAAAGTGATCAAGGTGACCAGCCTCGAAGATACCACAGATCAAGGCACCCTCCGCTACGCCCTGACCATCGCCAAGGGCCCGCGCATCGTTGTCTTCGATGTCGGCGGTGTCATCACGACCACCTCCCGCATATCCGTCAACGACCAGTACATCACACTCGCCGGCCAGACCGCTCCGGGCAAGGGCATCGTTATCCAGGGCAACCCGCTTGGCCTGACCGGCGCCTCCGATATCATCTTCCGCCACATGCGCGTGCGCCCCGGCAAGATCTCTGGGCAGACTATTGACGGCATGGGCATGCAGGGTTCGAACCACTGCATTTTCGACCGCTGCTCCATGGTATGTTTCACGATAACAATCAATGGAAGACGAAAGTTGATGCTAAGTACGATAACCAGGGCTGGACTATCGACGAGGCCTTTAGCTCCCGGTCTGCTTGGAACATCACCTTCCAGCGCAACATGATCTCTGAACCTCTCAACATCGCCGGCCACAAGAACTATCCCAACGGCACTGCTCACGGCTACAGCGCCACGATCGGCGGCGACGTCGGGTCCTTCCATCACAATTTGCTTGCCCACGCCGAGGGCCGGAGCTGGAGCATGGGCGGCGGTGTTGACGACAATGCCGCGTTTGCCGGGCAGCTTGATATTCGCAACAACGTTGTCTACAACTTTGGTATGTAGTATAGATGCCATGAGGATGAGTCAACTGTCCTAACATATACAGGTGGCCGTGCTACCGACGGTGGTGCAAAGAAGGTCAACTTTGTCGGAAATTATTACAAGCATGGGCCGGCCTCCACGCTCACATTCGCCCTCAGAGCACAGGTACTACAGGCTTTACGAGGATATATAATCCCGCCGCTAATATTTTACACCTTAGTACGAGGACAACATGCCCGGCATGCAACAATACTACTGCGCCGGCAACTCCATGCCCGGTTACTTTGACCAGGACTCGATCCAATACCCGTCCGGCGACGGCACCGCGACCAAGAACACCACAATCGCCTGCTGGGCCGACGTCAGCTTCGATCCGGCCCCGACCTACCAAAAGTTCTTTGCCGAGCCCTTTTTCGAGCCCCACGTCGAGACCCAGCCCTCGACCGAGGCCTACAAGCGCGTGCTCTCCGACAGCGGCGCCAGCCAGCCCGTCCGCGACGTCCACGACGCGCGCATCGTCAACGAGACCGCCACCGGCACGTACACCTACGTCGGCTCCGTCTCGGGAAAGAAGGGCCTCATTGACGACCCCAAGGACGCGGGCGGGCTCGAGGAATTCCCCACGGTGACGCGCGCCGCGAGCTGGGACGCCGACGGGGATGGTATTGCGGATTGGTGGGATGGTTCGACGGGCGGCGATGGGTATACCGCTATCGAGGGGTATCTCAACTTCATGGCTGAACCGCATGCGTATGTGTCGCCTTCCAAGTCTGTCGAGGTTGACCTCGCTGCCCTGGCCTTGGGTTTCAAAGAGCCTAGTTTTACGGTTTCCGGCGCGAAAAAGGGAGGGGTCACGGTTAGTGGGGGCAAGGCAACGTATACTGCTGGAGTCGAGGCGGGTATCGATCATTTTGATATCGGGATTGAGGACAGCGAGGGGAGCACGTGGACCCGGACGTTTGGTGTTGCCATCTTTGCGGGTGCGGAGGAGGCGTGAGTGGTCACGGGTAGGGCGTGTCTCATTCTTTGGTTTCGATTCTTCAGTATATAAGTTCATCGTCAGACGCAAACATATCCAAGAGGATATTGTTCATTATTCTATTGATTGTAATCTGGGATTATTTCCAGTCACCACATACCATCGTATCAGGGGTCATTTCATGGTGGAACCAAAAACGTTTATTTCCAACAAACGATTGAAGTGGTATTCTACGCCCGGCGGGAGAGTGGAAGTCTACACCACATAACTTATTACATTGATCCAATACCCCCGATGCATACATGTAACGTTATGTTTTGTGTACAACACTCAGGAATCGGACACTCCAAGATAGACAAAAAAAGAAATAGGGTGTCGGTCATGTTGAAAGATCCATATTTGCCGCCAAAGCTCCACCAGTGCCAACACAGCTGCTATCTCTGGGCATGGGTTGTCTCCTTGAAAGAGACTTAGGTTGAGGTAGGCTCAGCTCTTAGAACTAGACTAGCAAACTCATTGTAGTTGCCAGTGCGGGAGTCGCAGGTAGGCGCCGCACCAAGACAGGGAACGGTAGAGAACGTAGTACTCAAAAGAAGTTTGGTGATGTGATGAACACCTTCAGGGCAGTTCAAAGACTTACATAGTCGTTGAGCGACTTTTAGTTGCGACTAAGTCGCCAGGTAAATCTCCTATTGTGTTCAAGCACTAGTCATCTGCTTTGATAAACGAATGCGACTCTGACACAGACTGACAGACAAAGGTATGAGTTGTCTCGGGACAGGTCGATCAAAATGCAGTCAAACTGGGTTCCAATGGGCTTGAAGGTGCCGATAGCCTTCTTCTCCGGCGGCTATCTGCAACACCATTGCATCAAGTTTACCAATCAATTTTAACCCTGCCTCTGTGTAGTGCGTAACTATTATGTGCGATTACTCAGCCTATCGCGTTATTCTCTACACTCAAGCTGCCAAGCGGGGTTGTTCTCGTATTTAGAGAGAATCGAGGACCGTCACCCGTGATCCAGTTGGCTGTATTTGTTCTCGATAGGCATGTGACGGATCGCTGATATGTTGCTGGGCTTGGTGGAGCAGACATGGTGCTTGAGTACAACCTCAAGCCAATCAATTATCTTGATACCTTTCAATTATGTTAATTGAATTCGAGGCCAACGTGGCATTTCATCCTAACTAGTCGCCTATGGATTCCTTCGATCTCGAGTGAGTTACCTGCGCTGGCGAGCAGGTTGGCCAGGCTCCGCGAGGAGCATATCCCCGCTGGTGTTAAGAAATATGTCATCTGTCTTCCTTGTTGGGTTGGAGCAAAAGAGACCCATGCCAACTTTCAGGCTTCGACCCTTTACGTTCGTACCGCACTTCGCAATCAAAGGGACGGAACAGGAACCCTACCAGAGCCATTGGTGCTATAAATTATTGCATGGCGGTGTTATGGATGGATTTCTCTCTTACTCGCACTACTCACCCGAAGGCAATTAGACGCCAGTTCTATAGACCAGCCAGCTCCCAAAGCACCGTCCAGAACGAATCAGGTCCACTCCAAGTGTCTCCCAAAGTGCCCCTTTGCACGGGCTGGGATGTGTGACTTATGGAATCTCGAGGTAGCGGTTGGCTTATTTGTAGCTGGGCATGCCGGTAGCTGCGAGATTTCAACGGTGGACTAAGCTCAGCTCGAGAGGTAGATGTTATTCTGGGATCGAGAAGCGTGGAGTTGAAGAATCATGTAGTTTTACGCGAGCAGAACGGATTGAACACGGGCGAGATTTGAACAGATGGCGGAGGTTCTGTTGGCTGGTTTTCACGTCTTTCAATATCTGTTCGATTTAAACCAAGACCGCTCAACCGCTCGAACACAAAACCAGAAGTATGGGACAGAATGAGAAGTTGGAAAGGCTTTCGCAATGATCACCACATATGGCCAGCTCATCATTCATGATGAAGCATACAGGAACTGGTGTGTGGCTACCGAATCCATCTCGATTTTGTTCCAGCTGACAGGCGGCCTAGGGTATTCACAGCTTCTTGAGGCCCACCGAGGATTACGTACGAAACAAGTGGATGCTTTCTGTTATGGATATTGTACGGATAGGTGCTTGAGGGATGTGGAGAGTGATGAATACAAGCTAAAAAGCCATGGACGATACCGATCCTTCGGCCATGGCGAATTTGCGATAATGCAACGGGTTCCATTGTTGAGCTAAAGTGCAGGGTTGGCAAGCGGGATCACGATCACGGCAAGTCCACCGGGCAACGACGTCTTGGGAGAGGGCGACAATGACGTCGCCGGGAAGAGCAGGGGTAGGGTAAGGACGCTAGCTACTACCCAGCCATTGGGCATCCAGCAGAGACCAAGCGAACATAAGGGAGGGGAGGGGTGCGTTCGAGATGCGCGCGTAAAAGTCCCGACCCAGAAGCTTATTAGCGGGCGGCATGTGCCGTGTGTGTATGTGTGTGAGTGTATGTTGGGCTGGACTTGGAATAGGGTGGCTGGCAAGTTTGTGCAGCCCGGGCAGTACGACGGCAAAGGCGAATCGTTGCGGAGATCAAACTGGTTCTGAACGGGTCGGCTACGACGATTTTCGTCCTAGTCTGGGGGAGTCTGGAAGAGGGAGGCTGGGAGCAAGGGAGCGTGGGCGGGGTGCCTCAGTATGGGACCTGTCATCTCATGGTTTCCCGGGCAGTGGCTTGGGATGATGGGATATCCATTGATATTCGTGGAACTGCTGGGAGCTTGGAGCTTCGAGATGGAAATTCGTCTGGGGCTGAGTGAGGGCCTGGACTTGGCTAGAAAAGAGGAGGATCACCTGAATAAGAGGGGAAAGACGAATTGAAGAAGAAAACATAAAGTCCGTACCGCCATGAATGCGATCGATGGATGCTGGGAAAAGCAAGGTCCGGTGCTCGTCACCGTGGTGAGAGATGAGAGACGGGGGGGAGATGGCTGCGTTTGCATCTCACCGCTGGAGCACACGCCTGAAGATGCCCACAGCAGGATGGAGCGTGGCAGGGGAGGAGCGAGCATGGGATGGGAAAGAGCCGAGATGAGCCAGATCGATTTTCTTGATTTTCCGTCTTTCGCGGATTTGTCTCTTCGTAGCCGGAGTCCAGTCGGAGGCAGGAGGTGCGCGTTGAGGTGCATGAAGGAATCGGGTGGATAGGCGATGGTGCAACAAAGTTTTCGTGTGCATGAGTTTAGCGTGATGCGAGGCAGCTGTACTCGAGGTTAACTTTTCGTGGCTAAAAAAGGCACGAGTTTTTTTTGTTGTGGATGGATGACTTGCAGAGGGATTTCGTTGGGGGCGATGCGATGCGATGCGATGTGATGTAAACAAAGCGGGTGCCGATGCGCGACTAGAGCTGCGGGTGATTTGTTTGCGCAGAACGGCGTCTGTTTGATCGTCCGATTTGCCTGCAGTAGACCAACCAACAGCAATATCACGGCTCAACATAACTGTTGAGATTATAGGGCTTCGATGTTAAGGTAGCTGGGGCAGACAGACACAACAAGTCCATTCTACCTTATCCTCGCCCATGAAGTGGCCGCCGTATGGATGACGGATATCGCAGATGGCAGATATCAAGAAGTGTGCTGGGTTGACGGGTGCAACGAGCTAAGCTAAGATTGGCTCATGGGCTGAGCTGACAGCGACAATCAGCGGACCCACTATAACAGCCTGGCAACAAATACGTACTGGGTATCCACATTGATTCACTAGGTATCCCTGCACGTGCCCTGGTCGTACCACAGAGTAAGGTGCAGGCAGCTGAAGAGCAGAGTTGAATGGGAAGAAGGTGGCCAATGGCGGGGTAGCTCTTTCCTGAAACCCACCACAAAAAGGCACCGTAACCCTTGCTTGCTGGGAGCTGACCCCGTTGCCGTGGAGACATCGCCCCACGGTGCGAACCCAAACAGGAAAACCCAGGACCCGTTTACTTCGTAGCCCTCGACAATTGGACATTCCCGGCCACCGACCTCTGACCTCTGCCACCCTCCTTCCGCCGTGAATTCAATTCATCAAGTGGCACCTTCGCATCTTTATCGCCGTGACCGAGTTTCTTCCCATCCTCTTCCCACTTCCCCAATCTCCGCCCTCCGCTCTTCCCCCGAAAACGCTCCCCTCGTCATCAACAAGGAGAAAGAAATCGAGCGGTCTCAGACAAATCTCTTCAACCTCATAGATCCCACGAGACTGCAGGTTTCGACGCAGCTTCATTCTTTTGTTGTTTTTTTTCCTCTCTCTGAACGATCTCCCTTGCTGGACAATGCACTACTCGCCGCAACTCTTTCGGTGACCATTCGCTTCCCAGTCCACGTCGCAACCGCACCCAAGTACCTTGCCTCGGAGAAAGTAAACAAATCGACTCACTCGCCGCGCCCACCTGCACTAGCCTCCCCGCCACTCTGAATAGCATCAACAATCAGCATTTGCGCTGCGCCCACTCTTTTACCCCCACGACCTGCACGCCTTATCACACGTACCTTAATCGCAATCAATTTCCCGAACCAGACCGCCTTCTCTCTCATCCTCAGTTTTTTTTTCCTGGGCTACTCGTTTGGCCAGCTTAATCCACCATGGACACCAGCTACCTGTCCCAGCAGGTCAACACCATCATCGGCCAGCTGCACGGCCTGTTTGATGAGATTGGCGTCCCCAACCATGATCGCGAAAAACGCGAGGAAGACGTGAGCTTCTCTCATCCCATTTCCCTTGCATAATCTGTTCTGACATCCACGCCACACAGCTCTTCGAGGCGCTGTCCAAAGCCCTGACCGACCAGGTCCATCTAGTCACGAGCGAAAAGGAGGAAATGATTGAAGAAGCCGAGCGCATAATCACCACAATACAGCAGATGGAGGCATCACTCGACGACAACCGTGCACGCCGGGACCGCAGCGACGACATCCAAATCACCTACCCACTTACGAGATGCTTGCAGACGCTCAAGGAGAAGCATAAGCAAGTCAGCCGATTGCACAAGGAGCGTTTCGAACAGGTCAAGAGTGAGTTCATCGGGAAGCAAGGAGACCCCAAAAGACATGATGCTAACCAGCGACATAGAGCTTGTCGAAGCACTCGAATCATACTCGTCACACCTTGAACCTACCTTTGTCAAGATCCCTCTGCCGCCAACCGGCCCAAACCAATCCATACCCCCCAATTTCGACCTGTCACCATCGTACGTGGACAAGCTCGATCATGAATTTACGAGAGTCTATGAAGAGTACACGCGCCGCGTCGCAACGGTTAAGGCCCTTTGCGAGCACACGATTCAGCTCTGGGCTGAGTTGGGCACCCCTCAGGCTCAAACCGACGGTGCTATTGTCAAATATTACCGCGAATCACCCGAACAATTGGGCTTGCACGAGGAAGACATTGAGCGCCTCAAGGCGAAACGCGACAAGCTCTCGGACGAGAAGAAGAACCGCGAAAAGCGACTCAAGGATCTGCGCGCTGCTGTCGAGGCCCTATGGGAGAAGCTGGAGGTGGACATGGGAGAGAGAAAGGCGTTTCTCAACAGCAACCGAGGCTGTGGCGTGCGACAAATCAACGAGTTTGAAGATGAGTTGGCGCGTCTCAATGAGCTGAAGAGGCAGAACCTGCATCTTTTCGTCGAGGATGCGCGCTTCAAGCTGCAGGAGCTGTGGGACTCGCTGTACCTGTCCGAGGATGAGATGCTCGAGTTCACCCCCGCCTTTTCTGACGTCTACAGCGACGCTCTCCTCGAAGCCCACGAGCGTGAGATTGCACGACTGGAAGTTCTCAAGGAACAGCGCCTTCCGACTCTCGAGCTTGTCGAAAGACATCGAACCCTCACGAGTGAGCGCGATGAGCTCGCAGCATCGAGTCAGGATGCTTCCCGCCTCATGGGGCGCGGCCAAAAGGGCGAGAAGCGCGATCCCGGAAAGCTTCTCAGAGAAGAAAAAATGCGCAAGCGTATCGCAAAGGAGCTGCCCAGGATTGCCGTCGAGCTGCGCAGAACGCTCGAGAGATTCGAGGACGAGTACGGACGGCCATTTACAGTCCATGGTGAACGCTACTTGGACGTCCTGGAGGCTGAGGACAGACCGGCACCTGGCCCACGATCCAAGACCCCAGGCGCCGGAGCCGCCCCTGCATCAGCAGCCAAGCCGAGAGGGCACAACAGAGCACAGAGCATCACATCTATCGTGAGACCCCCGACTCGCAACGGGGTAAGAACACCAGCACCAGCGCCTGTGCCTACCACCAAACGCAGCGCAAACAACATGAACAGCGCGGCTCCCATAACTAGACCAGTTTCTGCTCACGCAAAAGCCCAGGAAATCGCCAGACCGGCATCCTCCATGGGCAGCCTGAGAGAGCGAGCGCAAACTCTCAACCGGCCACCAGGTAGTCCCTCGCGGATTCCTGCGCGCCCACCATTGGCCAATCTCAAGTATAGCAACTTTGGCGCCGCGTCGCCCGAGCGACAAGAGAGGCCGGCGTCGAGAATTGACGCATACGCAACGATTCGTGGTGGAAATCACCAGATGCGTGCTCCTCCTCCCAAAATGCGCGATCTCAACACGGTGGAACTAGAGACGCCGGTCAACCCTTACAAAGCAGTTGGACTAGGCGGGAATATTGTGCGCCAGGTCGAGCTTGAAGATCCCTACGATGAGGACTGTCAGCAGCCGCGGCTGATGAGAGCCAACTCGACTCTCTCACATACTTCACACGCTTCGCATAACTCGCATGCGTCGTACGCCTCCCAGAGCTCCCACCACTCTCAAGGGTCCTCTCAACACGACTACTCGTCTTCCCACTCCTCGACCCTCCGCCAATATCCGCCATCTTCCTACCCCCAAGCACCACCGCCCCGGCAGATTTCCAATTCATCCAACGGATCGAGTAATGTGACCGGCTCAGAGAACTGGGAGACATATGACGACGCCAGCGAGCCCGAGCAGGACGCCACCGACACATACTACGCAAAGGTCCGGGCTGCCCGCAACGGCAAGCGTTTCGAGCCCGAAGCCGGGTATCGACCACCGGCCAGCGATCCTAAGAGGCAGCGACCGTTCCCGATGACGGCACCTGGTGGACATGCTGGGCATGGCTACAGTGACGGCGAGGGTAACCGCATTATCTCGGGCAGCGAGTGGACAGACGAGGATGGATACTAGAGGCGACAAGTCTCGTATCCGCCGCCCGCTCTGTTTCTTCATCTTGGTACGCCGGCCGTGGAAGTTATACTGCCTGATGATAATGTCGGATGATTACGCCTCATGTCTGAACGATGCAGCTACTACTCGCTCATGACGAACATGCCTTTTTTTCTTTTTGGTAAAGAAAATAATTGGTCGAGGATCTCGGTGTCTGCGGATGCCATTCGCTTCTTTTCCCGTGTCGTTTGTATCTTGGCCGGTTGTGTTTGGTGGAAAGTTGAAGGAAGTTGAGGCGAGAGAGGGGAAAGGGAGGTCATTGTGAATTCTCTTTCTTTTCTGTGCATACTGGCAACCGGGCCGCGAGGCATTTGGGTTCCCTCATGGTCTACCTTAAGATATGACCGCGGGACCATCGACAGCTCTGACGACTGACTGTTGTTTTGTTTCCTTTTTTTTTCATGTCGGACGCAACAAGTTCCAGCTACCCTCAAATCTGGGTATACCATTTTGTTGTTTTCCTTGGTCATCGCAAGCAATGGTCATCGCAAGCAACGGGAAAGAGGGATCCTTTGGAGTTTTGGTTTCTCGGGGCGGTCGGGTACTCTGGATAGGCTGATGCCCTTCCCCCATTACCCCCTTGCGAGAATTCAGGAGCGGACACTTTGTCTTTTGTTTGCTTCTTTGAAAGTTTCTAGTGTTGATTTCTCCTGCGCGTTTTAGCCATGCGGGATAAATAGGTATTTTTTCGTAGTGTAGTTAAAAGAGAACGCAGTGATGCGTACATCCATCATTTCTTCGTATCGTCCCTGACCAGAGTTTGCCTACCTAGTATTATGAAGTGAAACGAAGTGGGAGGGTAAGGAGAACTGTGTACGATGAGAAGCCGACGTTTCCGGTGTTGATTTTTCCGACATCATGAACCTTGTCCAAAGCATGTGAGATCAAGGTAGACGGGATGGCCGGCGCCGGCGGCACGCCCGGAAAGCGGGAGCTAAGGAGAGTCAACTCAAAGTACAGCGTAAACGTGCACTTGGAATAAGGTACCGGCGGAAGAATGATGTGAGACTAAAACTAAGAGAATAAGTCGTGGGCTAAAATCCCAATCCCGTCTGTCCGGTGGCAGCGGGTGCTTATGAAGTAAATAGTTGACGGGTGACGGGTGAGCAAGCATCTAGCCAGGGCCATGGTGTGCAGATCCGCTATGACGCTGGTGAATGTTGAGATCTTCATGTATTTCCTTGGTCCCAATTCATGAAGGTGCGTCATGCCCCAAACAACGTATGATAACCCGCCAGGATGTTTTTGATGAATTGACTTGCGGATCATGTCTATGTACGGAATACGGATAGAAAGGTGAATGCTTCCTTGGGGGGACAGAAACCCGACGGTCGCCCGTAGACAGACCCCGACAGCACCGGAGAAAGTGGAGACTGGGGGAAGAGGAAAGAGGAAGGGAAACGTCGCCGGGCCACCCGTTCGTTCCAACTCTTTTGTTGCTGACTGGATTTCCCCCTCAAATTAAATTCATCGCGCACGCGGTGCCCATCTCCGCAGGAAGCTAGAGCCCAGCCGCAAGCCCGCAACGGCCATTTCCGCTTTCTGCGCCGCGCTGCCGAGTAGAGTACCACCTACCTCCGTGTCCTCAGCGTTCCATTTACCTTTTCCCTCTTTCTTCAACCTCGACTCCTAGGTAGCTACCTACTTGACCTTAATCTCAGCCTCATATCTCTTACCAATCCCGACGACGATACCTCAACACCCCTCTTCTTGTGCGTCCTTTGCTCGAATCAACAATTCTTCAACGCGTCCATTAATCACCCTCGACCTCAAGGGACAAACGCAAAGGTCCCACGATGACCGAAACATCCTCAGCCCGTTGATCGACCGAACGCATATAGATACCCACCAAGAAGTCAAATACCCTCCGATGCTGCCTTCCTCTACCACGACATCTCCTCGCGGTCGTCCATCGCCATGATGATGAATACCCACCATAACCACCATCACCACCCACCCCCGTCGGGCGGAGCCTCCGATGCAGCCGCAGCCTTGAAAGGCGCGAATCTCGCGTTCAACAAGACGAAACCGAAACCCATTCCACCCCCGAAACCCATAAATACCGGCGGCGGCGGTAGTGGCATCAGTCGTCGCCGCGGCGCGAGCCTCATCGCCGCCTCCACCGCATCAACCTACGACCGGAGCACAAGTACAAGCCCCATACAGCGCCAACACACCGGCGCGAGCCTGGCCACAACTCCGGGCGATGGCGGCCGCTTCGGCCGCGACGGCACGTCCGATATGCGAGACCGCCTGTCCAATTTCCTCGCCTCGAGTCCCGCCGCCTCCTCAACGACATCCCACCTGACACCGCATACGTCGACGAGGCTCGACCCCAAAAGCCCGAGCTACATCGCTGCCACGCTGGCCGCCTCGCGGAGCGCCTCACCTAGTCCGCACGCGAGTCCCGCCGCCTCTGCCTTGACGCCTGCACAGATGAACCAGCTCCAGCAGATGCAGCTTGCGAGGAGGAGCAGGCGGGGCAGCGTCGGGGAGACGGAGAGCGTGGTGAGTAGCCTCGATTTACCGGATACGACGTCCATCCCCGCCACGGGTCACTTGATAAACATGTTTGAGAGAGGGGGCGGTGAGGATGTTGATCCCGTGAAGAGGAGCGGCGGCGGCGGCGGGGATGTTTCTGCTAGGCCCAAGATTCGACCGTTGACGCCGGAGAGGGAATTGAGTCCTGCCCGTGCCAAGGCGGCGAGGATGGGTATTGTTGAGGAGCCAGTGGTGTTGAAGACGAAACCTACGGTGAAGCCGCGGCCTGTCACGCCGATCATGGCTGTTGCAAAGGGGGAGTCTATGGGGGATGTCACGCCGCAGGCGAGGCAGCCTGCGCTCAAGTCGTCGCCTGCGAAACCGATCCTGTCGCCGGCCAAGGCTGTGCACAGAGAGATTGTATTGGAGCCGCCGCCGCTTGCCAGGGGGCGAGAATCTGCTGTCAGCATGCCACCGAAAGCCTCAGAAGCACCGGTAGTACGGTCAAGGTCGCAGCTCACGAGGGTGCCCATCACACGAACACTTATGCCGGAGTCAAAGGCAGCGCGGCCCCCGGCGACTCCGGAGCCAAGGAGGTCGCGGATCAAGGCTACGCCGAGTGCATCTGTCTCCCCGCCCTTGATCGAGCGAGCTGGTGATGAGATTCGCTCTCCTGAACCCAAGAGACCGGAATCCAAGGCCAAGTTGCAGCCGCCTACACCTCCTCAGCCGCGTGGTCGTCCTCAATCCAAGGAGCGAGTGCCTCGTCCATTGACGAAACCTCGCAGTATGGCTTCAGTCTATGGTCATAGCCAATTGCAGGAGCCCTTTCGTCGTTCCAAGTCCGGAGCAAGGCCATCAACTGCCGATACGAGCTCTTCTAACGACACGTTTGTATCGGCCGAGTCCAACCAGACCGCCGTCCCCGAATATGTCCCATCTCGCCCGACAGCTCGTCAAACAAATTCTACGCACAGCACCCCGAGCCGTTCATCAGCCAACAGCTCACCAAGCCGCGCGACCCCGCGACGCACGCCCGCCTCGTCGACTACGAGTCTGCCGCTCAACTCCCTCTCTAACGCAATCATGGCCGGATCCCTCGCCGCCGCCCGCCTGACGCCCTCGAACTCGGGCCAGTCTACGCTCTCCCCGCCCCAGCTGCCGCCGAGTCGCACAAAGTCTCCGCGCCTGCGACAGACGCTTCGCCAGCCGCCGTCGAAATCGGACGACGAAGACGAGATCCGCAGGAAGAAGCACCAGCACGGCAGCAACAAGCACTCGCACAAGGAGGGCGCCCGGCGGCGATGGCGCGACGAGATTACGGTGCGCGAACGGCGGCGGTATGAGGCAGTGTGGGCGAGCAACCGCGGCATGCTGCTGGTCGACGGTGCTTCGTCCCAGGGGCTGCTGCTGCTGCCACCCCCGAGTTTGGGCGGCTCGCCGTCGTTGCCGCACGATGCGGCTGATTGTGTGGTGGACATTGTGGCGCGCGAGGTTTGGCGCCGCTCGCGGCTGCCGCGGGAGGAGCTGGCTGAGGTGTGGGATGCCGTGGACCGGCGCCATCGAGGGATGTTGAGCAAGGTCGAGTTTGTTGTCGGGTTGTGGCTGATTGATCAGCGGTTGAGGGGCCGCAAGATCCCTGCGAGGGTGAGTGCGAGTGTGTGGGATAGTGCGCAGGGGGTTAAAGTGCGTTCGCCCAAGATGAAGAAGTGAGGGATGGATTGGGTGGTGAAGCCTCCCAGTCCAAAGGAAGGGGGGGCTTGGAAGTCTGAGGGGAGGTAGTCTGGGCACGAGGAGCAGGAGCAGGAGGAGGAGGACTTTTGGCTCGGCATTGCGCAGCATGGCATAGCATAGCATGGCACTTTCGCGTGTGTGTTTTTTTTTTTCGTTTCAGTTACTGCTTTACGTGCTTGTACCGATACCCTTGATATAGAAACGTCTCAATGAAATGGAGTATGCGACTCATGTTTGACTGGCGCGCATGTTGACTAGCAATTTCTAATTTATATTACTGTTTATGTGCGGGATAGCTCCTGACGTGAGACGTGTGTCGAGCTTTGATCCTTGATGTATTTTGCATGTTTCTAGGCTTGCGTGCGTGTGTGTTCATCCCATAACTCTGGACGCGGGAGCTTTTCAGCGATGTTCCCTGGTTGCAGGTTTGGAGTTGTGGGATGAATCAGCAAGGCGCTTGGGGGTCTGGGAAACTCAATCCTTATATCTCTCACGTTTGCTGAGGAAATGTTAAGTGGGAGGACTTGGAGTTGTCGAGTTCCAATGTATAGTGTGAACGGTGGAGGGGAGTCTATGATGGATTCCGGAGGTACGATTCGGACATGGAGGGGATGTCGACGGCGGGGAAGCTGGATTTTTGGCGGAGCTGGCCGGGTTTGGTGGGGCCGATTTCGAGTCTTTGAGACAGTGTCATGTCAAAAGAATGTCAAAAAGATGTCAAGAATGTCAAGAATGTAGAAAAAAACGGCGCCCTTGCATGACTCGGGGGCCCCCGCTCTCCTTGATTTATAACCCGTGGTTAAGGAATCAAACAGGGTTAGTTTTGAGGCCGCTAGCACACGCTATCTTGGACTTTGGCCAATCAGCATCTGCAAAGAAGTCCATTTCGGCGATTGTGTTCCTCTTCAAGCACCTGTGTAAATCAAAAATGACCTGTGCGAATAAGGTCCGGGAAAGGCGTGGGCCTGAGGGAATTTTTTGACTGACAATTTTGTCCGGGAGAGGTTTCGTCGGGTGGTTCGGTGGGTTCTGGGATGACGATGAGGAAGTTTTGTATTAAGATTCATTCATGTTCGCGATTGGCAAAGTTATATTACTTGACGTGTTCCATTTGAATTCAACCATTGATCCACTCGCAGTCAGTTGTTCTTATTGTAAAGAGACCCAAGCACCTTTATCAAGCAAGATCCCATCTCAAGAAGAAAACTTGCTCAGAAGCCTCACGATCATAACGCAACTCATTCAGGGGTAAAAGATAAATAAAAATCTCGCACCACGAACCACCACCACCACCACACACAGCTCATCTCATCTCATAACCAACAAGAGCAAAAACACAGAAAAAAGAAACAAGCCAAACACAACGCACCAAAACCGCTCCGCCTCCTAAGGACTCTCACAATGACGGTCACAACCCCACACCAACACCAGCCATCCCTCTCCTTCCGCCCCGCCACGCCCGCCGACATCCCCCTCCTCCTCCCCCTGATCCGCTCCGCCTACCGCGGCGAAGCCTCCCGCAAGGGGTGGACGACGGAGGCGGACCTGGTGGCGGACCAGCGCATCGACGAGCGCGGGCTGCTGGCCAAGCTGGAGGAGCCCGAGGGCGTCGTCTTGCTCGTCACTGAAGACGACGCTGCCGTCAGCACCACCACGCCGCCGCTTGCCTGCTGCGAAGTCGTACGGAGCAAAAAGGACCCTACGGTGGCGTATTTTGGCCTCTTTGCCGTGAATCCTGCGAGGCAGGCGGGCGGGGTGGGCAAGACCGTGTTGAGTTTCGCCGAGGCGTATGCGCGGCGGGAGTGGGAGGGCGTGGTCAGGATGGAGATGTGTGTTTTGTGGATGCGGGGGGAGCTGATTGCGTGGTATGAGCGGAGGGGGTATGGGAAGACGGGGGAGAGGAGGCCGTTTCCGTACGCGGAGATGGTTGGGGGCGTTGCGTTGCGGGATGATTTGTGGTTCGAGGTTTTGGAAAAGGTGTTGTGATGGGCTTGGGACATGGAGAGTTGGGTGTTTTTTTTTTTTTTTGGTGGTGGTTTTGATGATGAGAATAGGAGGCTGGATGGATTGTAGATGGATATGCTATAGATGGTATAGAGTTGAGCTCATTATATAGTTTAGACTTGGCGGGCATGTTGAGGTTGGTAGGGGGCGTATCGAGAGCGTCCTGAAAATAGAAGCCAGAATGGGTAGACATATCAAGCCAGGCCAAGTACCCCGAGTATCATGGTCATTTAGACACGACGATAACTACGCCGGCCCAATCTGAAGCGTCACACTGCTCCCCGAAAGAGGCACCGACTAACCACATCCTTTGTCGTGACGCAATCGAAACGCTCAACGTCCCCATCGTCACAGAGACACTGCCGGTAACGACGACCCCAAACGTCGCCATGCCCAAGTCTGCGTCCTGGATGACGTAGGTCTCGTATTCCACCGCGAGACCGAGAAAGATGAATCATACCCATGAGATCAAAGATCAAACCTCACTTGCCCAGTAATAAACGCCCTTCTGCCCCCGTCGAATCCCACGCCATCTCGCTCCCAAACGGAACCTCCTCGGTATCCCACTTTGCCGCGCGCGACCTCATGCCAGCAGACAACGCACCCGCCTTGGTCGGAGTGGAGGGAGAGGTAGTCCAGGGGGGAGAAAGTCGAAGGTGTCGCCGGCGGATTTGAGAGAGGCCTGGACCTGGGCGTTTTTGACCGGTTGGAAGTTGAAGTTCTTGGTTGTGAGGGTTTTATAGCCGCTGCTGAGGGCTAGGTTATCCTGGGAGAGGACGCCCGTGGAGAAGAGGCCGGTGGAGACGAGGAGTGTGCCGAGGGAGGAGACCATCGTAGCTAAGAAGGGTTTCAGAGACTACCTGCGCCTTTCTGGGAATTGAGGGTGAACCGGAACCTGTCGGTTAAAGATCTGAAGGATAGCTCATAAGAAATCCATCGGGGTTTGGTCTTATATAGGATATCCAACATGATAGCATGGGGGCCTCGGTAACGTGTATGATGAAGTAAATGCTGTGCCGTGAGCTGAGGGTTTCATTGAGACAAAAGACTCAATTGCAACCCGAGGCGCATACTGTAGCTCTCTGATGCCACCTCGGCTCCGGCATCGCACCACACCTTTACAGATGCGTAACGGAGCTTCGTCAACTAACGAACCTACCACACGTCGCTTTTGGCTCCTAGTCTCCGGATAACTTGGCTCGGGCCAGACGCCTGAGTGCGATATTTCATCGGACGGTAAACATAACTCTTTATAGCACGCTCGAGTTTTTGACATATAATGTTGTTCGCTTGCCTCAAGCTCACACACCATCTCATGTCCATATAACCTCAATTTAGAAGATCGAAGGTGGCTGGACGTGATTTAACATTTTATAAAGCCCGCATCCTTCTCCTAGCGCAGCAGGCTAGTCGGGTCAAACGCGGGGTATCAAAGGCCCGTCGCCCGTTGGATGCAACCATCAAAGTGGCCGGGTCTCACCTTGATTTGGACACAAACAGAGAGTGGCATTTGCTGTTTACTGAGGGTCTGTCCTCCAACGGGGGAATCAAAGTCCACACATGGTTCACGCCGGCTGCGCGGCACCATCATGGATTATAAGAGATTGTTCCGAGACTCACTGTATCATTCATGTATTGTATTTCCCCTACGATCAGTAAGAAGCTGAATTCGAAACGCTTCACAGTGCTGCTGACTCACGCCGCAGCTCGATTTCCTGTTCGTATATCAGACGGCTTAAGGTTGGAATGGGTAAATGCTCAAACTTTCAGCACCAAATCCTTCCACTACTAGTCTTCTGAGTTTAAAGTCTGGTATATTCTTTCGAATAGACTTCTACTCTCACCAATGCTTGATTTCCAAGCCGCGGTCGATTCTCATACTAGGTAGTGCCTGGTACGGATCAGCATTCAAACACTCGCATAGGCCTCGAACATATTGGTGATGCATACCCGGATATATCTATTGACTCATCGTTATCGCCGAGGTCGGTGTCGACAACGGGATACTACATTCACGGTACATGATTCGTGTGATCCTCTCGCGGCGTGGGGAAAATTCCGCCTCGTATTGGCACATGCTTATGACTCCCGACTTGAGTCTGCGCTGGGGCAACTTGCTGATGTGACATTGTCCAGACTTGGTACGGCGTTGGACTGTGTAATTGAAAACCTTCTCATCTTTCCAAATAAATCACAATAAGCATGAAAAAGAAGATCAAGCTGGTTTGAAGCGGACGCACGGAAATCAAGAGAGGGATCTTTTAACGACTAGAGAGCCCCCCCTCTCATTGGGGTTCTGGAGGAGATCGACGTTGCACCGAGCCTTAAGAAGAAACTACCTCAACAGTACTGTGCCCGGACCTCGGGAAACTAGCCGATAGATAAAAATCGATTCAACAAAACACTTTCAATCGGGGTCCTAAAGGAATGCGCGAATGTGGGTATTGGAACCGAAGGGGATATAGTTGCGGGTTTGCACACCGCAGGCAGCAATGAGACCATACTTCTCCACTAACGTGGGGGACTTGACTAGTCGGAAGTCGACACGTCGATAGAAGCATTTTATAATGACATGATGGGATAGCAAAGATGGGGGTTGCGTTCATTAGGGAGATTGCGAGTTCGAAGAGCTGATGGTGGCTGCAAGTGTCTGAAGGAACCAGACCACAAAACAATGAGACAAATTGTAACGGCATCGGCTGGTCTCTTATTGCTTGTAAATTAGCATTCCAGTCTTTTTCGTCGAGAATATCAAGTGAATTTTGAGAATTCAGCCTTCATTTCATATCTGCATAAAATCCTCGCTCTTTCGTGTCTCGTCTACATGTCCTTTTCAGCTAGGGGCTCAATGCGTATAATTCTATTTATAATATCTCAATGACTTGAACAACTTGGACGTGGCCAAATCGATACATGTCAATGGCCATGTTTTGAAGTTCGACTTTGAGTCTACAGAGTGATGAAAGAAAATCTGATCTATTTCACTTGGCCTCGGCTGCGAGCGCCTTGCCGTATGATGGCTTCGTGGGGAACCAAACCATCACGAAGTCTCATTTGGCGGGAAGTCACCTGCTGATCTGCCACAGCAGTTGCGAACTATATGTCTCAACTGCAACCCATAGTTTTGCTGAAAGGTTGCGGCGCCTTCAAACTCATATCCCTAAAATCCCAATATTTGGGCTTTTCGGGCTCTCATCAACAAGGAACTCCTATTCCCTCGGCTACCTTTGAGCTATGTCTCACACGTTTCTCCACAATGACTGGAGCAAGTGGACACGATCAAGTTGAATGGTACACTTGAGAAGCTACAGGAATGATGCGAATACGAGATCAAGTAATGTGAATGGAGGTAGGTATTGTGCCAGGAACGTAGTTATTTGAACAGCATGTACTATTACCTGACTGACCAACCCATATCATAGGCAAGTTTCTAGTTTGACTCTGCAGGTACATGTAGGAATGCCAAGTCTCGTCGCACCCCGACTGTCCGAAATATGCCTATACACCTGCAATCGACAACGGACCTCTTTGCCTTTTCATCACACCGGCGATCTAGTTCCGGGGACTAGAGCGGACTTTGAACAGCTGGGAGGCCTTATGTATCGTCTTAACGCATAAAAAGCTAGAACAGTGTCGATTCATCACCGTCATCAGTTTCATTGTGACCAAGGGCTACTTTACAGACATCTAGGTCTCCAAACGGACGGGACTGCAAGCTGTTTCTATAGCTACCCTAACCGCTCCGGGGTTTCCCCGAAAGTCCTTCGAATGTCAACGTAGGACCTGGCCCGCAGTTGCTTACCGTGGGGCGGCCCGGCCACTGGTGACGGGCAATTCTCCGTGCCCAGGGTACAGGGGATCCCCGCGTCGCGGACGTATCAGCAGTCATCACACGCGACCATCATCCTGCACCGCTACATTGTACACCACGGCTGGCTGCCTAGCCTCCTCATTCAATGAATGGCTGGTCAACGATTAAGGGTCTTGCGCATCTGGACCCCTGGAGGGTTGCTCACCTATGCTTAAGAGTACCCACTCGATCGCGATTCACTGGCCCATTGGTGTAAATCACTTGCCGTGCGTTCCATTTGGAACAAGGACGGGCGGCCGCCGCAGCGAAACCTGCTTGTCACCGAAGAATCCCAGTGGAGAACGAGAAGAGGCTTATCGCTTTTTGATCGTGCCGCTTATTACTGGGAACACCCACCCGTCGGAGGGCTGGCAGGTGGGTTTCGCTTGCATTGCTCTCAAGAGTCGGCTACATAAGGATCCGATTTGCAACATGCCAAAGATACTGTAGCGTAGACTGCTTACGCCTTGAAGATTAATTTGAGTCAATTCAATTGAAACGGCGAAACCAGAACTTGAAAGCCCAACTGTGAGTTAATTTTCTCTCTTTGGCAAAGAAGTGTCTATTTCATTCTTCAACCCCGGCGTGGGGCCGATCTGATGGGTTTTGCCCGATGCGTTTTAACCTCCGCCTCGGTTCCGAGCTGCCTGCCACGGAACAAGACGATAATCAAGAATTCCGTCAACTTCACAACTCCACCATCGTCTCCAAACCCTTTGAACAATACGCCAAGAGTCATTATCGCCACCTCGGGTCGAGTGCACTATCATGAAGTCCGTGATGGAGCTGCTGCAGTGTATAAACCGAGCTGATGCAAGCCGCCGGCGTCGTCAATTTCTGAAAAGCGGACATGCTTTTTTTTTTCTACAAACATTTCAGAACACAAAAGCCCAAAGTTTGACTTCACTTTTGAGCCCAAGTCACTGACGACATACTCCAGTCGTCATGCCTTCCAAGGACTTTACGGTTCTGATCGCCGGCGGTGGCATAGCTGGCTTGACCCTGGCGAATCTGCTCGAACAGGTGGGCATCAACTATGTGATCTTGGAGGGGTATCGCGAGATGGCGCCCCAGGTTGGCGCAAGCATCGGCATTCTGCCAAACGGTTCCCGCGTTCTCGATCAGATTGGACTCTACGATCAGATCAGACAACTCATCGACGAGCCACTTTTCAGGATGTCCCTGTGCGACGCCAAGGGTATTCCGACGAGTGAGTATCGCGGCGTTGGCGAGCAGATCAAACGACGGTGAGGAGAAGTGTTAACAAAGAATCTTAAGGCATTTTCTCACATCTAGCATAGGCACGGGTACGAGGTTGTGTTTGTGGATCGGCAAATGATTTTGGAAGTCTTGTGGAAAAATCTAAAGAACAAGGACAAAATCCTCGTCAGCAAACAGGTTATCCGGGTCTCTCTCGAGCCATCCAAGGTCAGAGTCGAGACGAGTGACGGCCAGTCCTACTTGGGCGACATCTTGGTGGGTGCCGATGGCGTTCACAGCAGAGTCAGAAGCGAGATGTGGCGGCTCGCCGACACCATGGAGCCCGGCTACATACCTGCTTCTGAAAAGACGGGTAAGAAAGACTGGCGAATTTGATTCCTTCACGGTGCAGGACTGACAGCCAATGACAGAATGCCTGCCGACGGTCTACAAGTGCATCTTTGGCATCTCCATCATCAAGGACTGGGAGGACAGCACGGTGCAGACCAACTTCAACAAACACTTCTCGTACCTCGTCATCTCCGGCCCTTCCAACAGGGTCTACTGGTTTCTTTTCGTCAACATGGGCTATACGCACTACGGCCCCGAGCTCCCCAAGTACACAAAGGAAGACGAGGCAAAGCTGGTCAAGGAGCACCAGGACGATAACATCATTGAGAACTTCACCTTCAAGGACCTGTACGCCGCCAGGATCTCGTCCGTCCTGACCCCGCTGCCAGAGTACGTCTTCAAGAAATGGCACTTCAACCGCATCATGACCATTGGCGATGCCGCACACAAGGTGAATACTGCTCCTCACCCACTTCTCACGGCCGCCCTTTCATTCAGCCTCGAAAATCTAACAAGCCTTAGCTCGAACCTATTGCTGGCCAAGGGGGAAACAGCGCCATCGAAACAGCAGCGGTCCTGGTAAACAACCTCACGGAAGCCCTCAAGCAGAATCCATCAGGCATCACGACGGAGCAGATCCACAACGTCTTCCTGGCAACTCAGAAGAAGCGAGAACCGCGCGTCTGGCCGCTCGTCCACGCCTCGCACAAGGAACAGCGCTTCGCCGCAATGGAGAACCCTCTTCTGGAGTTCGCCAGCCGCTACGTCGTCCCGAGCCTGTCCATTGACGAGAAGCAGGGGCCCTGGAGCACAAATGTCGAGGGTGGCCACAAGCTCGACTTTTTAGACGTGCCAAAGAGGCCGCGCGCGCTTCCCTTCCTCGACGAGCTTCCCAGCCGGAAACTGGACTTCTCCGGGCTGCCCAAGCTCGTGGTGGGAGCCGCTCTCGCCGGCATCTTGTTCCTGGCGCAACGGGTTCTGGTCATCGCTCCCGAGGCGGCGAGCGGCGCCAGTTTTGTGGGCTACCCCCTGAAGACGGTGTATACCGGTAATGCCCAGATTGATTCGGTTCTCTCTCTTCTCTCCTGGGCCTTCTCCGAGGCAACGTCTGGTCCTGACCCGAACATGAGGCTCCAATGCCTGTACTTCTTGATCAACCTTATGCCAATCATCTACATTTGGACAGTCGAAGGCTACCGCAACGGGAGTCAGCTGTCTCTTGTATCCTGGCCGTCTCTCTTCGCCGTCTACCAACTGGTCGGCATCGGGAACATCGCACCGCTGTACTTTCTCATCAGCCTGCACACAACCAGCAGCGAGGTCTACACCCGTCCCACAGGGCGACCGATCCCATCAACCGTCGCGAAGGCGCTGATACCAGCCCTCTGTCTCGGCTACGCCATACCCACCGCCCTCATGTTCATCCAGTACGGCGACAGTGTTGCCCAGCAGAACGCCATCGCCTTCTGGCAGCCCTCTCCACTCTACGTCTCGCTGCTCACCTGGACCTTCTCCGGCCTTCTCCGGATCGTATCGCCCACCAAGTCCCTGGACTGGGAAATATTTGAAAAGAAAGACCAGGGCGCGTTGCAGACCGGCTACACGCTCGCGTTTGCCATCACCGCCATCACGCACGTCTGCGCCCTCGCGTACGCCGGTCTCAGCCCCTCCGTGTCTCTGTTTGACACCTTTCTCGACTTGCCGAGCGTCGCGTCCATGGCCCTGGGCCACAGCATTGGCGGCTTCTGGAAGTACGACATGCTCCTGTGTTTCGGCGCCGTTGCGATCTGGTGTTTATATACCGTCTACGAGCTCCGTCGGCTGGGTTATGTTACGACGCGGGCCGCGATCGGGGCTGCGGCGGCTACTTTGCTGGGTCAGGTTCTCGTCGGCCCGGGAGCGACTTATGCGGGACTCTGGGCGTGGAGGGAGAACGTCATTGCAGGGCTGGTGAAGGATTAAGAACTTTTATTGCACAAAGACTGGATTTTATGAGTTTGGATTCGATCTTCGCCATGGGAATGTTGTTTAATGGACGACTTGGGCGGCATTGAATCCTAGGAGCTTTGCAATTATCTTGTGTGCTCTGTATCAAGACCTATCGGATTAGAAGTCCAATTCGACCTCGAGTCAGGTCAAGCGCAGGGACCACCAACAGTTCGCGATATCAGCTTCAAACTAATCGGCTAACCTACGGTTAGAACCTCTCTTTTACAACCCACGTAGAGATATCAATATACAGTCAATTGACCCTTCGTCACCCCTCGGAACTACGGTTCGAACCAACTACCCTGTGATACGAATACCAACAAGACCCGAGACCGACGTCCTCGGCTTAGGTTTGGTAGCTACCCGCAATGTCGCCTTCTATGAATCATGATCGGTTATGCTTATTGTGGAAGGTGGTCCTCAAAGTGTAAGGATCAACACCTGATTTGCCGGAAGCGTGGTAGATGATGGGGTTGTCGGCCGCTGGGGACAGGGTTTCCGGCGTGTGTGACTGTAAATAGAAGCATGAACCGACTCAAGTGCACCTCCAACGGGGTTTCATACGTTAGCTCAGTGAATTGACAGGGAGGCTCCACTGCAAGTACCGATTCTTTCTTCTTCGCCCAATTTCATGGCCAGTCCAGAGGCAGTACTTACAGATCTAAAAGGCGACATTTCCTACTACCACTGAGCCTCTTACTCCACTACCTTCCCACTAACTTTATAACAAATACATTAATTAAAACTAATAAAAGAAAAAAAAAAAGGAATTAACGATCTTTTTTTTGTAAAAGTTTTACTTATAAATATAAGTATTGTGACTTTACAGGGCTGCCACCGGTTTTGGTAAAGTCTGCTGCAGGTATCGCGCTAACAGATAAAACCCCGTTGGAGGTGCACCCAATTGCATTCTAAGCTAGGCGGGCATGTGAGCAATACGAGGAAAGTGGATAGTAGATGTTGATTTTCTAAATTGGTGTGCCCAGCCAAGAAATCGAGGAGCGGAGTTTTGAGTTAAAAGCTGGTTGTGCCGGACCGCGTCGTACAGACGGCATCTTAAGATGCTTCTCAGCGTCACAGACATCACCACCGACAAGATATAGAGCAAATTGGTCGAGATGAAGGGACTCATTCTCGGACTCGCCTCGCTGAGCCTCGCCAGCGCCGTCCCTCGCGCCGAGCAACCGGCCACACCCTTCCGCCGGGGCTGCCAAGTCTCCGACGACGGCGCCGTCCAGGATTCTGCCACCGTCCAATTCACCGGTAAGACGACGACGACGACGCGTCGTCAAACATATCCCGACAACTTCACCGTCGACGTACACTTCCACATCGCTAGCACCGAGGCCGAGGCGGACCTCGTTACCGACGCCATCATCGACGCCCAGTGGAAAGTACTCCACGACACCTATGCAAAGTACAGCATCAACCTCGTCCTCAACTCCACCGACCGCATCGTTGACAACCTGACGGGCTCCGCGTTCCTCATCAACGAAGGCGGATCCGCCGGCTGGGTCTTACACCAGACCGAGTACAACGCCTACCTCAAGGCCTCCCGCAAGGGCGGCTATGACGCCCTCAACCTCTACTTCTTCAGCAGCTACTCCCCCGGCGCCACAGGTTACTGCGAGTTCCCCACCGTCCTCCCTGGGAACGGCACAGACAACCTGATCTTTTACAAGGACTCGTGCAAGATCAGCGCCAAGACGATGCCCGGCATCACCGCCGAGCAGGGTGCCTTTGAGACCTGGAATCTCGGCCACCCCGCCATTCACGAGACGGGCCACTGGTTCGGCCTCAACCACACCTTTGCCGGCGGGTGCTCTGACACGCTGGGCGATTTCGTCGCGGATACGCCGGCGCAGAGAACCGATGTGTACGGCTGCCCTGCTGATTCGGACACGTGCCCGGATCTGCCGGGTCTGGATCCTATCCACAACTTCATGGGCTACACGGACGATGTTTGGTGAGTCTGCTTTTCGTGTTTGCAATTCCGGGTGCTGTCTTGCTGACTGAGCTTATAATAGCACGAACGAGTTTACTCCTGGACAGAAGGACCGCATGTTCTCGACCTTCTTTGAATGGAGAAGAAAATAGGATGGTGCTGTAAACACTTCATTTTCTTAAAGCGTAATGTAATCAGCAAAAAGTTGGAGACAAGTTATTCCACCGCATTGGGATGCGAGAATCCTGCCAGGAAAAAATATGTACGTCACATGCTGCCGACCCTGAGTCCAAATCAGTTAGCGGAAGTTGTAAATATGAGAATTGAAGAATGCGCTGTCGATGAAATCTTTTCGACATCAAATCGACCTAAGCTTAAGTGCTAGGCGGCAAACTTGAATGCGTCCCCTCATCCCCCTTCAAGAAAAGCCAAGTCCATAATAGCATTGAAAATCTTGGTAGTCCGTGGTGTCGGTAGTGGTAGAAGAATGGCGCCGCTGCTTTCTAGATTCCTCTCAATTCATCATCCAATTCTCCCCAAACGTGACTGGTTGGGCTTGAAGCGCCTCTTGGGCTCCTTCTTGCGGTGTCCGAGAGAAATAAAGCACATCTTGACAGTAGAGGCTTATAACGCTATGTGTGTGTGTGAGATCCGAGAGATGGTGATCGAGGCTTTTGACCTTTAGATGTTGGAAGCCGATGATTCGGGTAATAAAGACTGTCTGCACGTGACGTGAGTTGCACTAGGACTTTGTTGAGCGCTTGGAAGAGTTAGCAATTGTCCTTCAAAAGTCTTAGGCGAGGCACTTGCGTGGTGCTTTTATACGCGTCTTAATTCAACGTAACGTAGTGAATCACTGCTCCACGGCCTGGTCAGTTGTGAATTCGTTGACCGGACTAAAAAACGATGTTAGTGATAGGATCGTCATCTTGTATGCTGATGCAGTCAGACTGTTTACCCAAGTAATATGAGCAATGATTCAACCTGTCAGGTCAGAAAAACACTTTAGCACGGTGGATTGCATCAAACTTGCAACTAGCTAGTTTCCAAAGCGGATTTCTTCAGCAATTTCGCAAGTTTTGTAACACAGGCGGAGGGACATACAGCCCTGTACTTCGGTGAACAGTTATTGATTGAGTTGATGAAGGCTGTCACGAGCCTGGGCAGTATCCCTACTGCTTGAGTACAATCAAGCAACAAGTGAGGGACTTATAGTCAGGTGCTTTTTGAGCAACGTCAGGTTCTGGTTGAGCACGTGGCCAAGTTGGCAGGTGTCCTAGTTCCCAATTTTGCCTACCTTATATCCGTGGGCTAGCCCTCCCCATTCACAAAGGTGCCTGTGTGCGTTTCTTTACATCTACATTAGCTAGCAACTCTACGCCGAATAGGACCTTATACGATAGCATCACCAACACGGAAAACCTTGGCGCGACATGACAGTGCCACCTTGGAAATCTTGAACACTCCGGGAATCCAGGTCTAGAAAACACAAGTGGAGTCGTACCTAGGTACTGAGCTTGTCGATAGATAACTGGTATTTTGAGCCACGATTGCATGAGAATTCATTAATGAGAGAAATCATGCTATCTAGCGTGTAGAGTGAAACGAGTGTTTCCTATGGGCCGTGACACTGAATTCATTTATTCGCTAGATCAAACAAACCAGAATGACCGTCAAGTACCAAACATGATTTTTATTAAAGACGTGATACTGGTCTTGGTGCTTTGACGAAGACAGAGACCTGTCGGTACGCATACTGCTTCCCGTTTCTAACCATCTTCTCTCGTATGGTCCCCCGACCCATGATTGTCCAGGCTTTCCATCTTCAGAGCAATACTTCGAGCACAATATCAAATATCTACCGTGGCTCACGATGTCGTCTAACCGCTCTGCTGGGATTGCCGCGCGAATGACTGCTGCCAGAGTGTCTGAAACACATTGTGAACGGCTGTATGTAGTCTTTTTGTAGTTTGAGCTGAGCAGTCGTAAACCTCGAAGGCTGGGAGGCGATTGTCAAAGAAACTTTTCGTCGGCCGTATTGAAGCGTATTGAAGTTGTTTAGTTTTTGATTAGTAGAAAGGCATGTTTGAGCAAAGCCTTTTGGACTGGTAGTTTTTATGTTCTTTCATGCAGCGAATTCACTGCTGGTGATGTGAGCTAGAGTCATCCGCTAGAGTATTCATCTAACGAGCTTGAGCATTCACTTGATCAATGGTCGACTTCTTGATTCAAAGCCTCTTCAATTTCCTTTGCTGATTCACAACTTTGTTTCTGTTGATCCAATCCACATTGTATTCTAAAGTAACTTTATCCGCCTAGACTTACCTTGAGTCCAATGAATGGAAATATGATTCATATACTTTACCCAAAGGGTAGGTAGTCTCGCTCAATATATGACTTGCAAATTCGGAATTCTCATTGCAAACCCACAACATCCAGACGCCCAATCAATCGACATAAACATTTCAGACTCCAGTCTGTACGCCCTCCTTCCGCTCAGACAATCAAACCTACGCAGCTGGGGTTTTACTCTCAAAAGTATGGAACAGTAGAAGGCACAGGAGCAGAGGGAATAATCTTTCAGGACTCATTAGATGCATTACTAGGCAACAGGGCCCAAAATTTAATTGAATCTGTCATCAATAGTTGTTATCGGTCAATAAAACTATTTCGCCGTTATCAAGATCCAGCTGACACTTTACTAATGCCCCATTGTTCTTTGATTAGTGAAGCTGACCGACTATTAATACGGTCTGGTGTCTGCTGTGTTACCAGCAGGGGATTTGATGCCCCTTGTATTCTGACAAAAGATCAAACAAGCTTGCAAGTGGCAGTTTGCAGATCGATAGAATACTTTTCTTCACCTGGGTTGATTGATCAGTTCCATATGAAATGTCGGCATAGTATAATGAGACTCAGGTGACATTAGATGAGCCAAAACACCGGGGTACGTGCGGGGTACATGGGTACTTCACCACCTTCGCTACTAGCTAAGGTTAGTAGGGAACCTCGCACTAAATCCTAAACAGCTTGTTGGCGACTAGAACAAATCGAACGGTGTTGCAATTAGGAAATCCCGGCAATCGGCAACGATTAGAATAACCAGCAAAACCTCAGCCTGTGAGGTTTTCAGCTGGTCGATTATACAGAATATCATTGTTATAATTGAGAAATACTCCTAGTTGTCGCTCCAGTTCTGATCGTGGCTCATCCAATGTGGGCCTGTCCAGTGCACCAATGAGGTGCAGCTTTCCTAGCTGTTGACACACTAACAGACAACTTGGGTAATTTCATGGGAAGGTCGAGAGTTTATTCCCGAAAATTCTAGAAACGGGAAACTGTTCTAAGCTCAGTAGAATGCCGCAAGTCATCTCATTCCCTAGGTTTGCCTAGACTTTGGGAAGACCCATCATAAAGCTCGGACGGCACGACAAAGTGGGAGACTAAGCACGGACAAAACAGGGCATGCCACGTTTAGACAAGACATGTAGCCGCCTCTACAGGTCTCCACCGGCAGACAAACAGACTTACGGTCAAAGTTTCGGACATATGCCTTGATGGCCAGCCTAACCTCTCAATAAAGTATGCCACATCTTGTGCTTGTTATGCTTTTGATAAGTTTTGGCTGGAACATGGCTTGAACATGATCTGAACATGTCCAGGGCAGTAAAGGAGGGGACCCCGTGCAGGGTTCTTTTAGCCCTTCGGGGGGTTTTTCTTGCCCCAGAACAATCGCTGCCCAGCAATCTGAATGGCCTTCGGGAAGCTGCGGCCCCTAGTCGGCCCCGCCTGAGACGCTTAAGTAAGGATATCTTTCCCCGGGCCTGATCTCAAAAACTTCATCAACTTCACCTTACCCCCTCCAATCTCACCCCCTCCTCATAGACGGCGCCGCATTGCTCGTCCATCAAAACAACACTCAATAGCAGATAAAGGCGAGAGCGGGGCTGATAGATTGAAACTCCGAGGCCCAACTCGCAGCGGAAAATGGACGAAACGGATGATTTATCGCCATACATGCAGCAGCTGGAACTCTTCCGCCGCAATGATTTCACTCGTGATCAGATGATTCAGGTGAGATTGAGCCCCGACGACGCCACCCCCTCGCGGGTGTCTGATGAGGGCATTCGCGATGCGTTTCCGTACTATCCCATATATTACCAGGCCGGATGACTGACCTGAACTGCCTAGGACCTACTTGCTCGTCACGGCCAACTTCAGCAAGCTTACCGCGACAAGTGCGATGATTACAATAATGAGCGTGAATCGCGTCGGATGTGGCAGACCAAAGCCAATAATCTGGGAAGGGACGTAGCTACTCTGAACAAGGCAAATGTACGTCCACTGCCGCCCCCTAATGGTGATTCGTCGAACCGTTTACCTCAACATTGAAATAGAAAATGGGAAGAGACTAACTCGCCAAACAGGAATCTAATCCATTCGTATTTGTTATTATTGATGGCGACGGTGCCATCTTTCAAGAAGCCTTACTGAAGAAGGGCGCCGAAGGAGGCGCCGAAGCCGGTTATCTGCTGTGGACTGAGATTAAGAACTACGTTACCGAAGCCTACCCAGAGGCCGCCATCGAAGACTGGAACATAATCGTACAAGTGATCCTCAACATGGACGGTCTCGCAAAGAAGCTCCACTCCTCCGGCATCATCCCGTACACCTCTACAGAACGAACCCTTACCGAGTTTGGGCGGGGCTTTGGCCGCGCGCAGCCTCTATTCAGCTTCATCGACGTCGGCGCGGGCAAGGAGTCGGCCGACCACAAAATCCGCGAGATGCTCCGCGTCATGGTCCGCATCACCCAGTGCAAGCACATCTTCTTCGGCCCTTGCCACGATAACGGATATCTCCCCGTCCTGGAGCCGTATAAGCTAGACGATAAGGTGGCTTCAAAGTTCACCCTCATCGAGACGACGCCGGCCGAGGAGGGCTTTAAACACCTCAAGTTCCAGAGGGTTATATTCAAGTCTGTCTTTATGTCAGAAAAGCTCCCCGACAGGTTCCAGCGACCGAGCATTACGAGCATGCCTCCTCCACCCCCACCCTCGTCGACCATCACCATCCCCACCGCCGCTAAGCCGCCGACCGGCCCGGCTCACACCAACTCGGCCAACAACGGCGCTCCGCTGAGACCGGCGGCAGCAGAGCCGTCCAGCGTCGCCAGTGTCGCCAGTCCGACCTCCAGCGGCCCTCAGACCCCCGTGTCTTCGTGGTCTACATTGACGCGGGTCTCGACAGCGCCCAAGCCCATTGATATCTTTTCTACAAAGAAGGCACCGCAGCCGAAATACTACCTGCTGAACGCCGATAGCCAGCGCATCGACGAGCCCCTACCCAAAGTCGACCCCATGATAGAGAAAAGGTTCAACGCGCGCATGACGGAGACGGGCAAAAAGTTTTGCAACAACTACCACCTCCACGGCGAGTGTAAGAACCCAAACTGTACCTACATTCACGGTGATAAGCTCAGCGCTAGCGAGTTGGTCCTATTGAAGCAAAAGGTGAGAGACTTTGGATTTCCCCCGTTCCCCTTCCCCCTTTTTTCCAATCCATCTTCGGTCTTTCCTTTGCAATTCGGCTAACATGACGATACACGCGCAGTCCCGTGGGATCCCGTGCAGCATGGGTTCCGAGTGCGACGACATTAGCTGCACCCTCGGCCACCATTGCAGATGGCTCAAGGATTGCAACCACAATTACTGCCGCTTCCAGGGCTATCACGACATCAGTCCCAAACCGAGGGTCAAAGTCTTTGAGGATGGGAGTATGAAGATTATCGACAAGCTCTGATATAAAAATCGCCCATAAATCATTCATTTTAAAAAAAAGAATTAGTAGTAACGACTCAGGGTCTACTGAACAAACAGGATCGCGACTGGATACTTGTTGGGAAGAGATGCCAGAGGCAGGGAGAAATTGTGCCCATCGATCTAGGATATGACAAGGTAGGACAATCAAGACATGAAGGCAGCGGAAAGTATGAGGGAGGATATCGCTCTTTTGCGTCTAGCAGCATCGGCGTGACAAAATGCAAAAAGCAGGATTAGCAATACAAGATGCGGGACATCCACCATTCCCTTCCTGTTCTTCCATCTCTTCGTGGCAGAACCCCGTGAACATTGACTTTGACGGCCAACAGAGCCTTGCAAGCTGAGTCTCTAATCCCCGAGGAGCCCAGGACGTAAGATGGATCCCAGACTGCATTCTGAACGAGCAGTGCGTGAGAATCCAAGCACCTGCTACACACACAAACACACACACACACATACTGCGCCCAATGTGGAAAGAAAGGCAAGACACATGGGAATTGTTGCCTAAAAATATGTATGTGGCCGTGTCAAATCGAATGCCCAGGCGCGATATGCGGCCTCGTACCACAAACCCCTCTTTCCAACCTGGAAGTCCCATCCTGATTCGTTGAGGCGCCTCATGTAAAAAGGGTACATGTAGGCTTCTGCAGCTGACGCCTTAGCTCCCTTCCTGACGCGCATGTCAGCAAACATCCGGCGCACCTCGATGTATCCTTTTCCCATTGTTCCCCAACGTTTAGGTCACAACGAAAACCAGAAATGAGGTGGTTTCTGTCACGGTCCGTTGGTTTTGCTTCTCCTCAATTTCCCCATGGGCTATCCGCCTCTGGGGATTAATCTTAGAAAGCCACACCACATGCAATGACCGTGAATTAAATGTACTGGAGCATGGTAGCTATCAACAATGGCATTTGGAGTAGGCTGGTTGTGTATTCATTGAGCTTTTTCTCACAACGTTCAATCGAGGACACGCATGTGCCGCTACCCCAACCTGTGTATTTGGAGGCTTGGTTATTCAGCAAAACGGAGACGCTGAAACGGCTAGCTAGGGACCCTAAGACACTGGCAGTGACTTGTGATTCGGATCGTATGTATGCAGCCATCGAATCATTTAACCTGTGATGTGATACATGACGGCTCGGTAGATTAGCATCACATGATCCTGCGCCAGTCTCATGAGAAATCGAAACCCTTTGCCAACATCCAACAAATAAAGAATCAGTGAATTCGGACACTAGATTTCCCCTGGCATTTGAAAGGCCTCCTTCTGATAATTGCAAAGTCAAACGTCCAGGATCAAATGTCATTTGATGAGTGGTAATTATTATACGCGGTAGACTAGATTCATGGACAAAAGCCGGAGAGAAGCACTTCGATTGCCACCAACACCACCATAGAAAAGCTTGGATAATGCGAAATCAAGAACGAGGGCGAGCACCTTTTCCCGCTTCTAGTGCCGTATCCGATGACCCGGCTTACCTTCCACGAGCCCACTAAGCAAGTCTTCCGGGCCGGTATGGACCCACACCGGAGCACAATGACGCCAAACTTCGGAAGCGCACGATCTCCCCGGTGGGTCATCGCGGAGATAATGCGCACTTCCCATTGGGTTTCGGCACCCATCTGTGCTTCATGCGGGAGGTCTGCCATCTCTTAGCCACCGCGAAACTGGAGATTCCGCCGTCAGACGATGGCCACGACTTACGACTCTACTTTTTCAGTCTTGAAAGGGTGATCGAGACCGACCCGGGACATCTCGCACTACACGTCTCTCACACGTCATGTTTTCCGGAGTTCTCGGGATAGGCGGGCGTCGCTCCGTGGAAAGCCATCAGTCATTGTTGTGAGGAATGAGAGATCCGATTTTGTATAAAAACCAGTCGACGATGCTCCAAGCCATGAGATTCTTTTCCGTCTCAGCAGAACACAGCATCGCAGTCAAGACATTTCAAACAAACACGTCACAACTCTCACATTTTGAATCTCATCAGTTTTCGCCCAACAACACCAGCCCACCACAACCATCAAAATGCTCGGCAAGATCGCACTCGAGGAGGCCTACGAGATGACCGGCATGGAAGCCAAGTCGCAGTACGAGGCATCCCTCTACATCGATCCCGCCGACCGCGCCCGCTACATGCGCCAAATCAGCGACATCAACAACGAGCGCGTCAAGCTCGCCGACGCCCACGGCATCGGCTACACCATCGTCTCCCTCACCATCCCGGGGATCCAGGGCATCGCCGACCCCGTCGCCGCGGAGCGCCGCGCCACCGAGGCCAACGACTGGGCCCACGCCCAAATCAAGCACAACCGCGCCAAGCTCGGCGCCTTTGCCTGCCTCTCCATGCACGACCCCGCCCAGGCCGGCCGCGAGCTGACCCGCTGCGTGACGGACCTCGGCTTCCACGGCGCTCTCCTCTGCGACTTCCAGCATGCCGGCCCCGGCGGCGAGACATACAAGTTCTACGACCAGCCCGAGTACGACGTCTTCTGGGAGGTCGTCTGCGCGCTCGACGTGCCCGTCTACATCCACCCGGCCGCCCCCACCGACATCGTCCTCGACAAGCTCTACGCCCAGCGAAAGTACCTCATCGGCCCGCCCCTCTCCTTCGCCAACGGCGTCAACCTCCACCTCCTGGGCCTCATCTCCAACGGCGTCTTTGACCGCTTCCCGAAGCTGCAAATCATTGTCGGCCACCTGGGCGAGCACCTCCCCATCGACCTCTGGCGGATCAACCACTGGTTCGAGGACGTCAAGAAGCCCATTGCCAAGGACGAGGGCAACGAGCACCGCATGTGTAAGAAGACCGTGTACGACTACTTTAGGGACAACATTTACGTCACCACCTCGGGCAACTTCTCCACCCGGGCGCTCAAGTACGTCGTGGACGAGATTGGCGCCGACCGCGTGCTCTTCTCCGTCGATTACCCGTACGAGACTATTGAGATGTGCTCTGCTTGGTGGGATGGCCAGGCCGAGGAGGTCAAGGAGGCGGTGGGCGGCCTCGAGAACTACCGCAAGATTGGCCGTGACAATGCCAAGAAGCTGCTCAAGCTGGGTAACTTCCATGACTCTGAGGCTCCTGTGTCTTGAGAGAGACCTGTATTTGAGAGAGACCTGTATTTGAGAGAGACAGATTGTATTAGCATCGTGATGACAGACTTTTTGGCAGCCTAAATTGATAGTTGCGGTCTTTGATTCTCGATTCCTCAGCTTTCCGTCGGCGCCCATGTGTGATGTCGGTAATGGCCAGGAGCGGGCATTTGAAAGCGGGCATCCACGTCGTTCCAATGTTTGGCTCCAAATATTCTCTTGAACTCTTTGTAACGGCTATCGTATTCATCGTTAGAACTCAAATCCTGCGAGAAATAGCAACACAGTCGCACTTGGTATGGATTCCTTTGATCAATAGAGGCCACCGTCGTGCAGTGCCTTGTCGGATCTAAGCATTTAATTGAAAGCAATTGCTAGTTGGTATCGACTGGTGCTGTTCAGAACGCTACTGAAAGAGTAACCAATTGATCGAATCTATACCCTGCGTATTGAACCAGCTTTCGTTGAGTAAATCAGAACTCAGAAAATCGCCAAAGTCCTGTGCCAGAGGCGTATGGCTCATACCAGGCCCAGAGCTGAACGGGAGCAAGAGATCATCGCCTCCTTGCTCGAGACTCGGATTGCGTGTTGCTACTTGCCAAGAGAAAATCAAGTTAGCCTTCTGCTCTTTCACATTCCAACCTTTATTAGCAAATCGAAAATCTCTCTCTCTCTCTCTCTCTATTTCTTACCATTGACGTCAGGGCCGCAGGGCGCCTCCCGCTGGGCAACCGCAGCCACGACGGATGCGCGCAATTTCTGCAAGACTTCGATGCCTCGGCTGGCAGAGGCGACGTGCTTCTTGTGAAAATCAAATATACGCAGAGCTCGATCCCACGACGATTTCGCCGGCTCCGTCTCAAAACTGACGTGGAGATCGGGGCACAAGGTAGCGACTACCAGAGTAGAAGCTGCGGCGAAAGTGACTGTTACGCAAGGAAAAGGGAAATTGGCATTAGCCACCAAACATGATCCGTTCTGGATAGGAAAGATGGAGTGGGGGAGAAGAAAGGTTAAAATAAACTACGTAACCACGTACAGAGGAGAACATGCCAGGCCGAGTTCTGTCTGACACTGCCCAGCTTCTCGTACAGCTCTTGCAGCACGCCGTGGGCCGTCGAAAGGCAGAGAACGTTGGCCGAGTGCCCTAGACTCTCTCGGAGTGTCGGAGGCATGGCACCCGGTGTGGATGATGTCCCTGGTCGTCTGCCGTGCTTTGCTTCGGCTAAGAGCAGCGGACGCAGTAGCAGAAGACGAATCCATAGGAGTCTGGGTGACGCAGTCAGATCTCTTATCGAGGTAAATCAGGGAACAGGGGGGGTTGGGGTGTGTCTGTGGGATCTCCTTGCCTGGACTTGAGGATGTTTGCCTGCATCTGCAAGCAACCGCGGAGATTCTCGTCCAGCTGAGTCAAATTCGCGTCTTCTCTCAGATAGGTCGGGAAGGAGCTGCCAAGGTCGTCGAGTTTTGATGAGAGCTGTAGGACATCGCTGAGTGAACTGGGTCTCTGCTCCAAAGCAGAGTCGCCATCGGTGTAAAATCTGGCGAGAATGTCACTGAGAACGTCGAATAGCGCAACGGAGTGTATGAAGAAAGCCAGGTATGATGGACGTCTGGGCGGTTGCAGGCCCTCAGAGGTCTCAGACAAGTGCTCGTCGTCGATGGCTTCCGGCGGTGGGACAGAGTACTGCCGAGACATGAGAACCGGCCTTCCAAAGGTAGTTGCCGTGAGTCTTGAAGTCTTGAAGGTTAGCTAGTGAAATCACCCAGATCTAGGCAAATGGTGTCGAAGGGACGGGGTGGAAGGGGGGGGGAAGAGCACGCATGCCTACCTATCCAAGGTAAGGCAACAGTGCCAGACGCGTCGCCTCATCTCTCTCTTGACTTGGCTCTCCGACGTTGCCCTGTCCCCTTGGGAATGCAAGCCGAGACCCTGCGCGACTCGCAGCGCGACGCCGACCGTGTTCCAGCAGCGGTCCGCGTGTTGCGTGTAGTGTAGATAGATCCCCCTCAGCAGCAACAGTTGCACGACCTGCAGCGAAGAGTGGTCAAGCGTGTCGACTGAAACGAGCTTGACGGATTGCTTATAGAAGCTCTCCGCCAGGCGGACTTGCTCCGAGACCGAGACCTGGTCGGTCCGCTGACCGCCAAGAGCCAGCACGATGCTCAACGTCGCGTGGAACACAACGTCGGTGTGATCTCGCGCGGGAGGCCGGCCTCGAGATGGCTGCCACACCGCTTCGAACGAAGCAATGAAGGAGGGCCGGTGTAGTATTGGGAAGACTGGGTGGACGAATTCCCAAAAGGAGTGGAGGAGGCTGTCGGCGAGCCATCTCTCGGGCAGCATCACAGGATCCGGTAGGGGATCCGGACTCTTGGGCTGTGTCGTCGTCGTCGAGAATCCGAGCACCGTAGGGATGGTGTCCTCTGCCCCCAGATCAGTTGGCTCCTCTGGACTCATGCCTGTCGAACTTTTCGGGCCCGCGGCCTCCGTCACCAGTTGTAGGAATGAGATGTTGGACGAAGGGCCATATATGACATCACCCGTGTTGTGAGACGGCGTTGAAGCAGATTGAGTGACATATGTTGTTGAGACTTGGTCGGCCGGCTGGGGACCTGGCCCGGAGGCTCTTGTGCCAACAAGGTTAGCTGATCCGGCGCCGACCGGGTGGGGCACAGGGATGGTTCCTGACGATTCCGGGCCGGGAGGCGGCCGACCGCCAAGAACTTGAGGTGCGGGCGACTCTTCCAACCGCTCCAGCCTCCTTGAGAGCTCGGATATTGTCCTACAAGAATTATTCAGCATTACTCTCATTTCTCTTCTTTCGACGCCGGAGGTGAAAGGTTAGACGGGCCTTACGGTCTTGATGACGCGTGCAAGACGGACTCTTGATATGTGCACCGTTGCTGCCAACCTTTGTTCCTGCACGGAGAACACGCCGGGCGCGCTCCGTCGCAGCCGGACTTCCGGGCACGGCATGGGTTGCAAGCGAGTTGCGTTTTCCGCCGTTTGCGCGGCGGCAGCTGCATCGACGTCGTTGGCATGGCTGGATTGCTGCTGAGATTTTACTCCCTAGTACATACCTTACCCAAGTGCCAACCGAACGTGTACCCTTGAGCTTGGGAGGACAGGAGGGGTGTTGGTGTTCCACTTTTTGTCACCAACCACCTACTGAGGTAATGCTTTATGACGCAGATCTTGATTACCTAAGTAACTGGGTAGCTAGCTTCCTAACTTCTGTGCTTCTGTGTCTCTGGCAGGGCGACATGAAATTGGGACTTGGACGTCGCTGAATATGGTACATATAGCTGGCCTTTGCTTCGAATGGAGGCTTAGATTGATCTAGGAGTAGCTGAAAAAGGTCTTTTCAGATCAGGTATAGGGCCCTGGGGAAGGGGAAGGCTGTATCAGCTCTGCCGAGTAAAATCGGCGTCGGATGATTTGATTTTGAGGCAGGATCGCTTGGGGGTGATTGACGATGATGAGACGCTGCACCGTTTGCACTCGAGCTCCATGGTGGGCTCGGTGCCGCCAGAAGCCATATTTGTTTTGACTATTTTCTTTTTCTTGGCGGAGGAGGGGAATGTTCAATGTCTTCAAAAATAGCAGAATTTTCCAGATACCGTATGGTGTTTGAGGCAAGGCGGCAAAATTGAGGATTTTCAAGTTCGCTTCGCTGTGGGTAGCGAGCAATGTTGCAAAGCTTGCGCAAAGGCAGTGTTTAGGTTGGGGTTTGGGATTAACGTGAACTGTGGACGGTGTGTGGGAAGTGAGACTTTGTGTTGTGAAATAAATTATTTGTGATGAGTTTGGCCCGATTGATAGGGTAGGGTCAATCGTTGAGGTGAATTGAACTTTTTGAACAAAGGCGAAGTGGGCAATTCGCCCTCCTTCCTCGTTGTTTATTTATCAAGGAGAAGGGTCATTACAGACTTTTTGTGAGTCAAAGGCAGTTGCGATGGTGATTTGGGATGAAATCAATGAAATCGAAAGTTGGTGACCGTAAAGTGTCAGGAAGGGATGAAAACATGCAGAAAGGACGACTGTGAGCTTGTTGGTCAAGTCATCTAGGGTCTTGAACTTGGTTCTCTAACAGTCCTTCACAGCGTGAGGATGGGGAACCCTCAAATGATCAAGCTCTCCCTATTTGGTGATATATTCAAGATGGTCTTGCAGTTGCCCATACTTCCTTGGATGTGTACTAAGTATCTCCCCGAGGGGATATCTCAGGAAGGAGGAAGTGCTGTTATCAAGTACTGGTTGCACAGACTACCACAAGGGGACCCCACATTCCACCGTGAAGCCTACCTTATCCTAAGTCCATGTCCCAATGTAAACTTCACGTTCTATATTCATGTTCTAAAGCCCTTTCCGGTGACTCTCTGCCTTCTCCTCCATTAGAGAAGAACAAACTAATATTGGGAATTGTCCACCACTTCCCCAAGCATAGCCTCATAATCGATGGTCGGTAGTACACCCTGAACCGTTCAGGCACCCTGGTCATCTTCCGCACCTGTACAGCGATAGGTATTTGTCATTGGCGTTTGGTTGATGTAGTCAATAGTGTCCCTGAGCCGGACAGCCTTCTCTTTCTCCTCCCTTTCCTCTTGACTCTCGCTCAAGGGCTGTAGAAGAGTCACCCACTTTACCCTGTCGTTTTTGCAGGTGGATCTTTGTTTCTGTTGGCTGTCCCTGATCTGATTCCGCAGACTCTTGTGGCATTGCAGAAACGTGTTTCGCTGCTGGATGTCAAGGACCTTTTGATTCTCGTCTGAACCTAGGTCTGTGAGATGACGTGAGCTCTTGGTTGCGAATAGAGATTTGATCGTCTCCCAGAGTGTGGTCATTATGCAGTAGTTGCCCTGCAATTTGGTGGTGATGGGTGTACTATCCATGTCTGTAACAGCACGAACAGAGCCTCCGACGCGGCTACTCCAGAACATTTTGTGTGTATTGTTGAGACACTCTAGCGACAGTTGCAAACAAGTCAATAACCTCTTTGAGCACGATGAAAAGTGTACAGAGGAAGGCAATGTCCCAAAATGCTTATTTCTGGGAGGTGAATATGATTGGGGTCCGACGTTGCGAACAGTAGTTGATGTTTAGCAGTTGATTTTCTTAAAGTGTCGACTTGATAAACCGGGGAACGGCGATTGATTGCTGCTGTGCTGCAGAACGTTGTTCTCGAATGTGGACGTCAGCGGGAATATATACTAGTTCAAACCTCTATTCGGAGATAGGTGGATGTTGAACCGTGGGGATGGTTTTCAGGACATGGTAGGTGTTGCGTTACATGAACCTTGCTGGATAAACTCTACTCTGTCTCCGAACAAACACAGGAAAAGAGTCAAAATGAACTAAAATGGGGAAATGAACATGAAAGGGTATTATATTCTTATTTAAACTTGAAAAATCCATCATGAGACATCGAACCTCGGTTACATGCCAGAGTAGGCGTTGAGCGCCAACTGGCCACCCAAGTGCGCGTACAAAACATTGCTACCGGCAGGAATCTCCTCATTCTTGATGAGCTGCATCATACCTGCCAAGCTCTTGCCCTCGTACACGGGGTCGGTAATGAAGCCCTCGGTGCTGGCGCCGAACTTGATGGCGTCGATCGTGACCTGGTCCGGAACGCCGTAGACGCCGCCGTGGAAGCGGTCGTCGAGGATGATGTCGGCCTCGGTGATGTCGCCCTCCTCGAGACCAATCTTGACGCCCGTGTTCTTGGCGATGCGCAGCACCTGGTCAAACGTCTGCTTCACCGTCGCCGACGCGTCGATGCCAATCACCTTGCGCTTGCGGGAAGGAGAGGAGGAGGACCCCCCCGCCTTCTTCTCGGCGAGCTTGAAGCCGGCCACCATGCCCGCCATGGTGGACCCCGTCACGGCGCAGACGATGACGGTGTCGAAGAAGACGCCGAGCTCCTTCTCCTGGGCCTCGACCTCGAACGCCCAGCGGGCGAAGCCGAGGCCGCCGAGGGGGTGGTCGGAGGCGCCGGCGGGGATGTAGTAGGGTTTCCGGCCGGCGGCGACGAGCTCTTCCTTTAGGTTGGCGAGGGTGTTTTTGTGCTCGATGCCGAATGTTGAGGGGTCGAGGCGGACGTCGGCGCCCATGAGGCGCGAGAGCTGGAGGTTGCCGACCTTGTCGTAGACGGGGTCCTCCCAGTCGACCCACTTCTCCTGGACGAGGGCGGCTTTGAGGCCGAGCTTGGCGGCGACGGCGGTCACTTGGCGGGTGTGGTTGGACTGGACGCCGCCGATGGAGACTAGGGTGTCGCAGCCCTGGGCGAGAGCGTCTGAGGCGAGGTATCTGGCTGGTTGTTAGACTTCATTTGTGAAATTTTACATGTATGATGTATAAAGGTTGAATGAGCTTACTCGAGCTTACGGGTCTTGTTACCGCCGTATGCCAGACCAGAGTTACAGTCCTCACGCTTGGCGTAGACGTTGACCTTTCCGCCCAGGGCGGCGGATATGCGGGGGAGGGGCTCGATGGGCGAGGGGCCAAAGAGGAAGTTCTCGCGAGGGATGCTCGCAAAGGGTTCTGGGAGGAGAGCCATACTGGGCGTTTTTTTTTATTGAAATGTGTGTCCGGAAAAGGGGGGTATCAAGTGGCGAAAGGAAGTAATAGGGGAGAGAGTGAATCATAAAAAGAAAACATTGTACAAGAAGGTGAGGATGCTCGTCTTTAATAACAAGTCGTCGATTGCCTCGAGGACAGCGACGTCGGATGGGTTCGAGGGCAAGACGCGGGCTGACTCGAGTGGGCTCAACGCGGGCGGGTGGATAAGGTAAAGGGGACGGGCAACGGTCCGCTGCTATCTGCGGCGGAATCGCGGGGCAGTTTAGCGATAAGAATGATTGTGCCTGGCTGGGCTTTACTTGATTCAGTCAAGGACAGTCTGATTATTGGCAATTGTTATTGTTTTGTGGTGGAATTATGAAATGCTAATTTTGCTGACTTGTTCAAGTGAGGTCGGACTCACTCTCACGATGAGTTTACAACATCGCGTCGAGACAAGCAATAGGTACCTGAGAGACGGAAGCTGCGCAGAAGTACCAGACTGCACCTCCGTCAGTGGCGTTCAGGGGACCTTTCTCTCCCCTGCGTTGAAGACGACTGCCCCGCCGCGGGGTCATTTCTGATGGAAGTGGGATGGAAACTACCCCGCCAACGAAACGAGCGGAAAACTGCGGGAAACTCGGGCAACTTTGACCCCGCGGAAAACTTCGCCAAACTTGGCCGGACTCACCGCAGTCGCTCAGTCCTCATCTCGTCGCATTCCAGCTCTCTTTCATCGCAGCAATCACACCAATTTCCCGCTGGAGATATACGGCATTCCGGAAAACTGCTCATCTCTCTCACACAGTCTCCCACTCTCACATTCTCCCAGGTCTCTCGCTTTATCGTCTTGAGCTCGCTTATGCGCTAAAAGGCCTCACTTTATGCTTCGTCTTCTCATCCCATGATGGCCTCATTCTTGGTTCCAGATTTTTTATTTTTTTATTCATGTCTGGCAGCTCAAAGCTATGTCTGTGGAAGATTTCTATGCGGCTATCTCGCCGATCTCCCCTTGAAGCAGTTCATCCGTCTCGTCTCATTGCGGACAGGCCACATGCTATCTTCTCTCCATCCTCACAACCAACGCTCTAAATACAATGCATCAAAGCTAACCCAACCCCATCAGACCCAAACCCTGGTCCGTCTGCGAGGTCCTCTATTCGGCATCCAGCGGCGCGCGCGGAGGAACATTGTTCACCTGAATGCCGCCGCGCTTCAGCTCCTTGCTGTCGGGGAACGGCAGCACCCACCCGCCCTCGATTTCGGGCGTCGAAAGCCACAAGCGGAGCAGGTGGCGACGCGGCGCCGGGTGGGGGTGGTCGACGTACGCCGTCCGCGCGTGCAGCAGGTGCGCGTTGCTCAGGAACTGGATGTCGCCCACCTCGAGAATCATGTGCAGCGCCAGCTTCTGGCACGTGTCCTCGAGCGTCCTGAGCGCGTGCTGCTGCTCCTCGCTCAGCGGCGGGATGACGCCCTTGTCCGAGAAGCGCGTCAGGGACCGCACGTAGTAGGGATCCCACTTGCAGTACACGCGGCGCTGGCCCCCGTTCTCAATGTAGAAGACGGGCTGCTTCGTCCACTCCTGCTGGCCTTCAGATACCTCGCCCTTGCGGTCAAAGTACCAGATGGGCTTGGTGAGGGTCTCGGCGACGTCCGGGTGTGCGCGTTGGAGCTCGTTCCAGACGGCGTGGATGCTGACGAGGTCGCTCTCGCCGCCCTCGGCGGAGCGCTGGACGCAGAGGAGGCCGACGAGGTCGCCGTCGTCGGCGTGGAAGAATTGGCGGGCCGTGGTGCGGTAGATGCGCACCTTGTCGATCTGGGTCGGGTCGTCGCCGACGTCCTTTACGTGGCCCAGCACGTGGCCGCGGCCGTTTTGCGAGACAAAGTAGCCCAGGTAGGTGCCGAGGCCCATGTAGCCGACGGCCGTTTTGTGAGGGCCCCATTCGTTGGCCGGGAAGCCTTTGAAGAGCACGAAGCCCTTTCCGTCGATGAGGTCCTTGCGGAGGTCGGTCAGGCGCTTTCCTAGTGTCGGGAGCGGGAAGTTGCTCTGGTGTTTTGCGTTAGTACGTACGCTCGAGTGAATGACCTTCTCTCTTTTCTTTTTTTTTATCTTTTTCTTCTGCTCATTCTTTTCTCTTGCTACGTACCTTTGAAATACCGGTCAGAGGGGTGTTGCTGGCGATAAAGGCGTCTGATGTGCGGCCGAGCTCCTCGACCTCTTCGGGAGTGAAGCGGTGCGTCCACTTGTCGGGCTGCTGCTCAAACTCCTCCTTGTGCCAGACCGTCGGGCCAGAAATCTCCTTGGGGAACTCGGCGTAAGGCTTGAGGGCCTCGTAGATGGGGTTGTGCTGTCCCGAGGTGCGGATACCATCGGGGAAGATGTTTCTGGGAGCATCGTCGTTCTTGCCCTTCCAGGGACCCTGGGAGGGCTGGACTGGCTCGTCAATAAGGGCACCCGGCGCCATGTTGTGAAGATGTGGGAGGGGGGGGGGTATCAATTGGTGACTGAGTGTTTTGGGTGGAGGTATCAAAGCGAAAGGAAGGGAAAAGAAAGGTAGAGGAGATGGCCGGGTGAGTTTATTTACATGGACGTAGGATATTTGGAGGCGAAGGAAATTTGTTTTATCTGATTTATCTACCCCTCATTACATATACGTATATAAAATGTTAATAAAGCCGTCTGACCAAGCCGTTGGGATTTGTGGTTGCTGTCGAGCTCGACGCAACAAATGGCGTGCTCAGGCCCGCCCATATCGCAATTATTGCAATGGCCGTCCGATGACGCGAGACACTCTGGGTGTGGGGCCTGCCGATCGGGGGTCAAATCGACGACAACGTGGGCCCCCCGCAGCGCCGGGCCTGTGACTGCCGCACCGGGAAGTTCTGTTCCCCAAAAGAAACTTTTCGTCTCCGCCTTCACTCCTTGCTTCCTCGAGAACCGACATATTCTCCTTCGATTGCGTGATTGTCTTTTCTCTCTCCAATGTCTCCCAGTCTCACACCCACGGCTTCCGGCTGCTCCCGCATGAACCGACAACGGCGTGGTTTTCTCTCTGACGCAACCCCTCTTCCTCTCGTCCGTCAACGTGATAGGTAGCTTTGACGGCGCGGTATTGCAAGTTCCGACGACTTGGAGACGACCCCAACACACCATGTTCCGTTTCTTGGGCGCCTTGGGTGTGCTTGGGTCGACTTGCGCTAGGTATCACACCCCGGCACGAAATGCAACGGTTCGACGTTCAAACCCCTGTCGTTCTTCACTCATTACCAGGACACGCGTGCGGGCTCGCGTGGGCCCTGAGAGCTTTTCAACTTGAACGTGCGGTCATGGGCCGAATTCGCCGTGACAAATTTAATATACGAGGCAGGCAATAGGGATCATTGAGGCTTTTCCCCAGAAGTTTATTCATTCTCCTGCTGCTGAACGGCTATATCTGATGCCTAGGCACATCAAGGCCGACATCGTGTCCAGCAGGCTCTGTACAAGCCACCACCGAATCAAGCTCTTGATGGCTGATTGCGATGTGCAAGGATGAAGTTCAAGTTCACCCGAAACCGGAGATGGAGAGCAAACCCTCGACCCATAATGGAACCATTTTCGGAAGCCGCATTGGCAGCACGATATTCAGAGCCTCAGGAGGCCCCCCCAAACTCGTCAATTACGCTCCGGGGCTTCTTGAACGTTCCGAGAGGCACGTACTCCAAATCATTCATACCGAACCCCTTTGGCCCGCCAATCTCGATGCCCCGCGCCGTGGAAGTCCATTTTTCGGACGCCGTGATGCCGAGCACCACGACGAGTAGTCCGTAGCGGTACTCTTGCGTGCCGAGGGCCTCGCCGTTTTGCGCATCAAGGACGCACACTAGGTCTGGGACAATTGCCAGAATCTAGTCGAGAAATTTTGTCAGTTGCGTTGCCGTGTACTCTTTTCTGTTCTCTTATGTGGTAGGAGGGTTGGGGGGAGCAACAAAGTCTTACATCTTCCTTTCCGCTGGCATCAACCTTTTTCGCGAGAATGTTTTCGTTTTTGAACGGTATAACCAACCTCTCAACCGCCTCGCCACTACCGCCGTCACTATTTCTCCCCTCCAGCCGAGACGAAGCAGCAGCGGAAGCAGTAGCATACCCCTCGATGATAACCTCACCATAAGCATGCCCCATTCTCGTAACTCTCTCCACGCCCACAATCTTACCCCTGAATAGCACTCTCGCCGACTCTTCCCCGCCAACCACCTCGACGACGGCCTCGGCGACCGCGTCGACGGCGTTGGTGCACCGCGACATCGCGACAGCACGGCCGATGCGCCAGGAGAGCGACACGGTGTTCTCGACGACCCACGACTTGGTGTCGCGGCCGCTGACGGGGCCCTTTGCGCAACCGACGTGGGAGCCCATCTGCGAGAGGGCGGCGCGGAAGGCGCGTTCTGCATCAAGCTCTGTGCGGGCTTTTGTCATGAGCTGCGTGTTGTTCGTCCCCGGGTTAGTTGAATGGGATTTCCATCGTTCATTGTGAGTGAGTGTAATTTGGGGTAGAGAGTGTTGGTAAACAGTTGAGGGTGAAGGAGGAGCCAGATAAAAGACTGTACCATGATTCTGCCATTCCCGTCTGATATACATGACGGGATCATTGTGGCCTTCTTCTCGAATACCACCGGGGTCGTCTGGTGAGAGATGGGATATGCGCGACCCATCCAGTCGCCGTCGATTGTGGGAACGTCGAGGTTCGTGCTGGCGCCGAGGATGAGGCCTTGGAGACCATTGCCGCCTCCTATCTCGAGGGATATCACGGCGGTCGGCTTCGTCTTGAGGTATGCGTAGAGCTCCCGCTGCGACTCCATGATCCTATTAAAAAAAAAAAAAAAAGCAGACAGCTTAGCACGCTTCCTCGTCTTTTGAAAAAACAATGGATTGGGATGGGAACTTACTCATCACCGTACGGCTTCTCGATGGACACCTGCGGGGACCCTTTCCCGCCGCCGCAGGCTACAATGTCGTCGTCCTTGAGGTCCCGCGGAGAGACAATCTTGACTGTGGCACCGGCGCGCATCATCTCGCGGAGACGCAGCATGTGTTGGTACGGTGAACCGCCGCCTCCCGTGCCGAGGATGTAGCAGCCTATCGTGATCCAGTCGAGGTCCGTCTCGGACAGGTGCCACTGGCGGTCGAGGATCTTGGGCTTGTAAGAGTCAATGTACTCCTTTGTGTAAACCAGTGACTGCGGCGATGAGCTCTTCTCTCCTTGAGTTGTCGCTAGTGGTCTGAGTGGCTCATCGTCGCTGCGCTCGACGTCGTCCGGGATTTCGGTTGCGTCCATGGATGCCGACCTGGAGAAGTCAAAATCGCCGACAGCTTTGATAATGACCCGGGACTTGTTTGCAATATACTTTCAAAAAAACAAAACATACAGTCAGCTCTGCCTCATGTCTCTCTCTCGTACTTGACATTGATGCCAAGAAGAAGAATAAAAACATACCTGCAAAGGAAAACTTTCCACCTCGGCAATGGAAACACTCTCCCGCAAAGCCCCATTCGCAACGGCTCTGTCCACAGCCCTCCGCGACAAGGCCTCCACAACCTCGGCCGCGCTCTTGGCCTCGGTGCTCTCAATCGAGTCCACGACGCCGCTGACCCTCGCCGTCGCGGCCCCAATGGCATTCGCGACGCCAGACCACGCCGGCTTGACGACCCTGCTCGCACCCCTCAACGTATCCGGCGCGATGACGGCCCCTCCGCCCACGAGCACGACGGGTATGTCCTCGGGCGACGTCTTCATCGTGTCCACGATCCGCTCCAGCATCGCCCTCACCTTGGCCTTGAACGCGGGCACGTCGGCCGCGAGATGGCGGTGGTGGCTCGCGCCCTCGAGCAGAGAACGATCTCCAATGTCAACGGCGTCCGGGTCCGCCAGCACGGTGTAGTCCGTGGCCGTCGCCACGTCGCCTCCAAAGACGAGGGCCTTTGTCTGGATCTGGTACCCCACGCTCTGCGGCCCAATCACCAATTCACCAGCCTCATTCTTCTTCACAATGGACCCGCCCCCGAGCCCGATGCTCTTCACATCCGGGTACGAGAAGTTGGTCCGCACCCCCGCAATCTCGCTATACGCTGCCGCCTGTCGCGGGAACCCATTTCCCAGCAACAGCCCCACGTCCGTCGTCGTCCCGCCGATATCGACGACCATCATCGGCCCCGTCTCCTCGCCGAGGTGCTGGTGCTGCTGCTGCTGCCGTCTCGTCAGAAACGCCGCGCCACGCATGCTGTTCGTCGGGCCGCTGGAGAACGTCCTGATGGGCAACCGCGCCGCCGCGGCAGCCGGCAGGATGGTGCCGTCGTTTTGCGTCACAAAGACGGGACACGCGAGACCGAGGCGCGTGACGGCACGCTGAAAGGAGCGGATCGTGCGCCGGGCAAAGGGGAGGATGGACGCGTTGAGGATGGCGGCGTTTTCGCGCTCCAGGAAGCCAATGTTGGCCACGTCCTTTGACAAGACGATGTCGGCGGCTGGGTAGGTTTCGCGGATGATGGCCGCGGCCCTCTCTTCCTGCTGGTGCACGACGTCGACGGGGCTAAAGATGCCCACGACCACGACGCTGCGGATCCCCTTGGCGCGGATGACCTCTGCCTCGCGCCGGACGGCGTCCTCGTCCAGCTCGGCGATGAGGTCCCCGTCGATTTCGAGCCCCCCGTCGACGAGGCCGCGGTGGGCGCAGATGATGGCGCGGAGGGCCGGGGGCCAGTCGACGCCGGCGGGGATGCTGGCGGAGAAGGGACCGCAGAGGCGAATCACGGCGACGGGGGCGAGGCGGGTTGCGTCCTGTTCGACGACGGCGTTGATGAAGTGGGTTGTCCCGATTGTGACGCTCGCGACGCGGGACGGGTCGACGGAGGAGGCGGTAAACATTTTGGAGATGACGGCGTTGATGCCGTCGCTTGGGTCGGGGGTCGTGGGAGTCTTTTGGGTGGCGAGGATGCCGCGCGAGGCGGAGGATGCGTCTGTCGGGTCGAGGATGACTCCATCTGTGTTTGTGCTTGTTTTGTTTGCTTTGTGTGAGTTGAGAGTTGTTGAATAGAAGGATTTTGGAGTGGTGGGGTGATGAAGCTTACCCGCCGACGTCGACGCCTATTCTCAACGTAGGAAATGTCATTTTTTCTGTCAAGGGACCGATGATGGTGACTGCTCAACTTGTTTTCCTTAACTCTAAGAATTCAGTAGACTTGCATCACGAGAACCGCTGCCAAAGATGAATGGCTATATGAGGCACAGCAACGAAGCTGTCCCCAAGGATGTGAGTGGGTGATGTGCATGACACTCAACTGAACTATATCGGACGTTCTCCGACGCGCCGCCGGCATCGGGCAGACGCCGACATTTCAGCCCCGGATTCCGGAGAGATTATGTCCACTCCCTCCCTCCATGCGGCCTTGATCCTATCAGTGATCGCTTTCAACAATAGCTCACATGCAGCATTTCCAGCCTTCTGGCTCTTACCGGACATGGACTCGTTCTACTGGGGACATTCCATCACTGTGCCCGAGCTCGAATTCGAGTTGATCGCCCACAATTTTCTTATCAACCGGCATATCACCGGCGGGGAATGCTCCACTAATCCGCATGCTTATCATCGGCATCGAGGGGGTAGAGTTGGCCGGGAAGATGGGTTACATCAAGGCCGCTTTGGGGTGGACAAATTCGTTTACAAGTCATTCGATACTCGGAAAGCCGCCGAGTTATTGGCTCTATTCAAAGCTGAAGTGGTCGAGAAAATGGGGACGAATACGGGCGTGCCCCGGAAAACTGCCACCGGACGTGGCTCCGACATGCAAGTCGGATAAGGTAGCACATGCCTTTGGCCGAAGACAGTATTTCTCTCGTCAAGTTTGAGAATCACAGGAGAACGGGGTCATTGCAAGGGTTTGGAGATAAGATGCTGTGCTACCTTATATATACGTTGGAGCACATCCTCCCATGGGCTCGAAACGACGAAACGAGGGATATTCAACAGGTATATTCGCAAACGCAAATACCTGCGATTGTCCATCTGCCACAGTAGCCATGGCAAACAGTACGGCGCGCAGGATCAAAGAGGCCGTGACCCTCAAGTCGGACGAGTCACGGCACGAAGAAGTCAGCGCCTGGTCGAACCGCGACCTCATTCCTCTGCCGCCCTCCCGCCGCACCTGGGGCTGGTTCAACTTCTTTGGCTCTTGGTCTTTGTAAGTTCTTGTCGTTTGCACTTGGGACGATGGAACAGAGTAAAAGACTTTGCCCGATGTTGACCAACTTTTTGCTCTCAAAAAACAGATCGTCTCTCAATGTCGCGACATGGCAGACCCCCAACACGTTCCTCACCCAGGGGCTCTCCGTAGGCCAGGCCATGGCCGTCATCGTCGTCTCTCGCGCTCTCTGCTGCCTTTTCGCAATCTTCGTGGCCTGGTGCGGTCTCACCTGGCACATTGGCTTCACCGTCCAGAACAGATACACCTGGGGGTTCAGAGCGAGTTACATCCCGTTGTTGCAGCGCATTTTGCTCAACTTTATCTGGACCGCTCTCCAGTGTGAGTGAACTTTGTCTCTAGAAACCCCCACTTCTCAAGAGGAAGATTGACTTTTCCACTTTGAATAGGTTGGAATGGAGGTAAACTGGTAACGTACGCTTAACTCTCTCCCCCACCGGAGTTTAAGACTGACCATACTTCTCCCAGCGTCTGCATCACCGCCATCTGGCCCTCCTTCGCCAAGATAGCAAACACGCTGAGCGCGAGCACCCCGACGACGACCTACGAGCTGATCGGCTTCATCGTCTTTTGGGCCGTCTCGCTACCTTTCCTCTTCATCCGCCCAGAGCGCTTCAAAAAGCCCTTCTTCGTGTCCTCCGTCGCCTGCGGCGCGGGCATGCTCGCCCTTCTCGCCTGGTCCGTCGCCGTGGCGCGGGGCGTCGGCCCCGTCTTCTACCAGGGCGAAAAGGTCTCCGCCTCGTCCCGGTGGAGCGCCTCGTGGCTGATGATGGCGGGCATCAACCAGGCCATCGGGGGCAAGGCCGCGGGCATGACGAATAGCAGCGATTTTTCGCGGTACTCCAAGAACAAGAGGGACTACATCATCGGCACGGTGTCGGTGTACTGGGTCACCGGCGTCCTAGTCTGCCTGGGGGGGTTGGTGACCACCGCCGCCTGTCAGAAGATTTATGGACAGATTTATTGGAACCCGCCTGACCTGTTGATGGTTATGATGGATCGTAAGTTTGAACACTTGTCACTCGGCCTTTTTTTCTCTCTTCTTCTTCTTCTTCTTCTTGGTGACGAATATACTAATCTTGCCGCCAGATGGCGAAGGGTCATCCGGGTCTCGTGCCGCAGTCTTCTTCCTAGCCCTCGCCTTCGCCTTCACCTCCATGTTTGAAAACGTGTGCTCCAACGCTGTGGCCGGCGGTATCGACCTCGCCGGCCTGTTCCCACGCTATATTGACATCCGCCGCGGCGCCCTCATCACCTTCTTTGCCGCGTGGGTCATCCAGCCCTGGCAGCTCATCAACGAGGCCGCTACCTTTGTCGCCGTCCTCAACTCCTTTGCCGTCTTCCTCGCCCCAATCATGGGCGTCATGGTCTGCGACTACTTTGTCCTGCGCCGGCAGCGGGTCAAGCTGTCGCACCTGTTCCACCCGGAGGGCTCAGACTACTGGTACTGGCACGGCGTGAACTGGAGGGTGATTCCGTGCTGGGTCGCCGGGTGGGCGCCGACGATTGGCGGGTTGATTGCGAGCGCGGACAAGGACGTCGGTGCGAGGGCGTCTGATACGGTCTATGAGCTTTACTACATTGCCTTCTTCATTGGTTTCCTGATTTCGTTTCTTCTGTTTTGGGTTGCGAACCTTGCGTTCCCCGTTGCGCATCTTGGAGAATATGATGAGGTGGACAAGTACGGCACGTTTACTACAAGTGAGGCGGCCAAGCTGGGCGTCGTGCCCAGCACAGAGGCCGTTGTTTCGGGGGTGGGCAAGGAAGAGGGCATTGAGACTTTTGTGGGAGAAGTTTCGATGGAGGATCCTGGGAGAACGAGACGATGGTGGAGCGTCAGACATCGCTGAACGGCCGGAATGACTTATTCTCCGTTCATCGATCCTATCTCTTAACTAGTTCAGGACGTCATCTCCACAAGCCCAACTTCGAGGTTAAACAGGGTTTTGACTGCTTTTAACCTCCCATCACCTCTAGTTGGTGATTTCACGAGTTAGAACACACAGGAATGCGCGTATGAAGTTGGCAGAAAGTGGCTTATAACAACCTCAAGTGAACAAAGATGTGTCTCCCATACTTCATTTATTAGTCTATCCTCGTAATGTACCCCCTTGGCTCGAGATCATACTACGGAAACCCTTAAGCCCTTCCAGATCATCTTCGTGTCCTACAGCAGGCGTGATATTCTCTACCAGCTTCGCGCATTCTTCGAAGACATCTACTCAGGCATCTTCTTCTTCTCGAGGACGGAGGGCCAGTGTCATTTGCCGACCTGAGCCACTTGGTACATTCAAATTTTCGGTAGAGAGAGGGCGCTTTCTGTTCTCATCCAAATTCTCATCTGGGTGCTCGCTGGAGGGGAACGTTCTATACGTGTTCTCTTTCTCGCTCGAGGGACTATCCAGATCTGCACCGGCCTCGACTGTTGTACCAACTTGGAGCTTGGCGGGAGAGTGACTGCCAGGGGCTGAATCAGAAACCTGTGAGTCGTTATTTTGTCCTCGTCTACGCAGAAGCCGACTGGCATGGCGCTTGATTGTTGCAATTCTAGAAGGCTTTTCCGCATGAGGCATCTCAGTGTTAGATGTGTTGACGGCATCTTGGCCAGAAGGAGTGGGTTGAAGAAGATGAGCAACCGGCTTGGAGCCTTGAGGTGAGGCGGTGCTGGCTTTCCGAGCTTCCATCGCCTGGAGAGCCTGAATCTTTTCTGGCGGAGGTTCGAAGATCTTTCCGCCGTCTTCGTCGTAGTACCAGTCGGGGGCATAAATGTTCGGGTCTGCACCTCCAGCCAAAGCGTGCATGCGAAAAACATCCCATTGCAGTTGAAGAATTTGCAAGTCTGGCGCTTTGGCATCCTCTATATCGTAGATGTCTACGAGATGACCATCATCGAGCGGCCGGCCATTGACGTCGTGGACGATAACACTCGGATTCCGTGGGTCCCACTTCAGTCGTAGGGCAGCCATATCGTTAGGGAGAGTGTCTGGTGTCACGCCCGTTGTTCGACGTAGCCAATGAAATCGGATCCGGATACCGATCGTCTTCTCCTTGGTCTCAATATCCTCCTTCGCTTCCTCTTTTTCTTGGCCCTTGGTTTTCTTGGAAGGTGACTTCTCGATCCTGTCAATTGATCTTTTGACACCTAGCTTCGAGGGCGTCGAGGGACCTGGGGTGCCGCTTTCTTCGTCGGCCTCTCCTTCGTTGATGCCAGCTGCTTTCTTATCCTTTTCGAAAAGATGACAGACGGGCTCTAAGCCAAAAAGACCCTGATCCCAAAATTTGTGCAGCGATCGACTCAACGTAATGACGTTGGAAGGGGAGTCGACAATATTTGTGTCCTCGTCGCAGAGTTTCTTTTGAAGGATCATCATGCGTTCGACACCATAGACTGTGTAGGCGGCATCTATTGCGTTGATGCAGCTCGGTCTATTGAGGGTCCAGAATGGGACAATGTGACAACGTTCGGAGTTGAGACTACCTGTAAGGACACATATTCCGTGGTCTCGGGCGAGGGTCTAGCGTGGTTGAATATTAGTACAGTCTGAATACACATCGCAGAAGTCTGGATGCTGAGCTGACGTACCGCGACCCTCACAGACTCCTTGCGTTGAATAATCCCAGTCTTCTTCTTGTCCCACTTCGGGGGTGGCGCTCTCACTGTCATCGTGTTAGCCAATGTTTGCAGGATATGAAATGAAAGGGGACAGATGAAGAGAAACATGGTGTCAAAGTGGCAATACTTACAGAACCACAAAAGTTGGTTCATGCTCTCGAACGCTTGATGGAGACCGAATATGAATTCGGGGTCGTTTTGCACTTTCGATGCGAATTCTCGTAGACGCGGCAAGCTGAGGACCATGAGATGCGCCCAGACCTCCAGTTTCTCGAGCGCAGCGGCCTTTGCCTTCAAGTGCTTTGTGTACTCATGATGTAGTATTGTGGTGCGAGTCTCGTGCACAATGGCGAATCGTTCGGCTAAGTCGATCTCGCCCTCATCGCCGAGGTATTCATTATCCGTGTGTGAACACATGTGTCTCCTTACGTTGGAAGAGAAGAATCTCGTCAGAGTTTCGGTGTCTCTGAAGGTTGGCGTGTAGTCTGAGTTGTTACGCTGCAGAAGTTTCTGCAGTCCAAGTTTGAGCTGTTCAACACTGCGTTCGGAGAGGGGGGGTCTAATCGACATATTTGAAGGTAGACGGGTACTTTTTATACCTCGCGTGTTGGTGTCGGAGATAGATCACGTGATCGATGGTAAACCTGCCTGATCCGTCTCAACGCTCAACCTTGTGATATTGAATGGTGAAGGACTCAATGAATTAGGAGATCATGGACGGGTTGAAAAAAGAAACCAAGAGAAGGACAGAGAAGAGGGCAAAGGACAGATTTTCCAAAACTAAGGCAAGACCTCCGATGTAAATCGTTGACTCCTTCCTCACCTCACTTTCAAGAAAGTACCTACGTACTCCACTGCGCTGAAAAGGGCGTCCATTTTTCCGGGATGTTCTCCCAAGGCGTCCAGTCCCTTTATTTTCTCTGACATTATCGTCTTTGAGACCTCTAACTACCTTACTATACCCTAGGTGCCCATGTCACCAGGTGACGTGATAGGTAGGTAGGATGTCAAAAAATGGTCTCGAGCGTTTGCTGCAAAATACGCACTCTGCTGTCAAGCCTAATTAAGGTAATGCACAAGTAACAAACAAGCATTATGCTCCTGAGTTGGCGGCGTTCTGGAACCCGCCGCGGCTGAACCCAGCACCTAGGAGGGTGCTGAAATCGGTCATGAAGGCGTTGTCTGGGTCGTAGACGACGCTGTAGACGGCCGCACCGACTGCGGCACCGCCTTCGATTAATGGGAACAGGCTGAGCAAGCCGGTCGCAATGGCACCGCCGCCGACGGGGCTGATGAAGAAAATCAAGAAGAGGAAGCCCATAATCATGTTGAGTATGGTCACGAAGTGTGGCCTAGTATCAGCACAGACAAAGTCGTCTGCCACGGTCGTCCATTTCTCTGAGCCCTTGGGGATGACAGACTGCTGCTAGGCTCTCGAAGAGGCCAGAGCCGAAAATACTGGGTATATGACGTCCAGTCGTCGGGCGCGGGCTGAGGTCTCCTTCGAGCCGGGCAATGAAGTCAAATTAGAGAGGTATCGGAGATGGTATCGCTGCCGTAAACGAAGAAACGGGATGTTCTATTACGGTTAGGGGTAGTTCGGGGTTGAGCAGCGTTGCAGAAGACGTTAGACATGACAGGAGATATTGAGCTGAGCAGCAGAGGCCGTACCTTCAGCGAAGAAAATGTCTCTAGGCTGGCCGGGCAGCAACATGGAAGCAATTGATAGCCTTAACAACATGACTGGCTGATCCACAAGCATCGTGAAGATTTGATCTATATGTATACATCCATTCTCCTCAACGGCCAAACACAACTGCAACACCGACACCCAAGTCGCCAACTCCTGCATACTGACTGGAAAATATGGACGTATCAGTGCAAGCTCATCCTACTCATCGAAATACCCGGATGGTCTAGATAGTGGCACGAAACTCGGCTACTTTCGGGCACTAGACTATTTGCATCAGGCTACGTCCAATGCCTCCTTTCGGTTCCACAAGACTGGGTGAGGTAAACGTCCCGCTAACTATATCCGGAAGAGACCTTGTGTCACCAGACTATACATGTTCACGATGTCTAGACCGGCCCAGCCGCACAGCCTCTGGTTCATGGGTGAGAAACGCCGCCGCACTTTGGTAACCAACAATTGAGTACTCCTTGACACTTCTGATCCGTTCCATGGCTGTGGAAAGGTGTATAGCTTCTCTGAACAAATTTGTTATGATTTCCATGCATCATGATGGCGGCCACGCACCCATCACGTCCCAATGGAAATGAGTCTGCAAACCATCCAAGTATAATAAATTACCTTGAATGGAGAGACTACAAGTGTTGCTATGAACCACAATGAGGCTTTTCATGATGGTGGTCACGAGGCAGACTTCAGCCTTTCTGATGTTCCATCCTCGTGGCGGTCTCCTCCTTCTTGGCATCGGCGGGGAAGGCTTAGTTCCTATCACACGTGATGATGGGCTACACATCGTGATGATGACTCTCATTGGGCCACACGGCGGTTGCCTCGTGGTGTCGCGTTTGCCCTGTTGTCCTGTGTAGAGGGTGGGGGTTAGCTATCTCCGAAAGGATTGAGTAAAATAGCAAGAGCCTGCTTATAATCTCCGGATTGGTTTGCCACGGATTCCTATATCATATCGTAAGTCTTCCAAGGCTGTTCCACGTTGGCAAAATTCTCCCAATACACCAAGCAAGGCCATGGACGAATCTCTATTCACAGATATCACCGATATGCAGGCCCGAGACAAGATCACAAAGATGATTGAAACGAGGTTGCATGCAATCCAAGTTCGTCCGCTGAAATCACACTCTTTCCCAACACTTCAACTTCTCAATGGCTCCGCCGCTCATCAGAAAGAGAAGAGCTCCCTTGTTCTTACGACTTGCATATCTCATGTCTGCCTACAAAAGGTCAAGTATCCGCCGCATCAACAAGCCTCGGAAAACAAAGCCGTAAAAAGCTCGACGCGGCATGGAAAGCAACCTCGTCAAAAGCTAATGATGATCGACTTACCACCTGAAATGCACCACATGATTGTCGACCATCTCGACCTCATCGACGGTACATGTCTCGGTCTGGTGAACAGTTACTTCTATAGCCTCCACCAACGACGCCACGGCCGCGTTCATCTCTCCACAGGGCGTCCGGGGCCCAACGACCAGGAATGGGCATGGCGATCATCATTCGCATTGCCAAACTCCAAGTCCATCATCACCTCGACGACGACCATCGCCGAGCCTCAGAGCGACGGAACATGTACCCATGCGCCATCGTTATCCCAGCCACAACAGCCCTTCTGGTGCGACAAGTGTAGACTCGAACGCTGTGAACTCCAACGACACATCAGACAGTGGTTTCCCCGAGGCCACGAATACTGTTCCGTCTCTGGAAAGTATGTCAACATAGAGGGCTGTAGAGAGAAAGAAGCCTTTTGTAACAGGCGCTCCCCCAGAAATCCCCGCTTATGTGGGAAGCATCACGCGAAGTCAGGCACTCATTCATGATTCGAGAGCTCGAGACTGATGCTGCGGTGAATATAAGATTACATTCTTACTTGGTTAGATTAAGATTTGGTGATTGGTGCTGCGGGGGTGGAAGATAGACGTAGTTAGCAATACCTTGTGGCCCGAGATTGTGTTATTGAAGAGTAATAAAGTTCATAACCGGAAAAGTTTATCCCAACTCGCTTGCGATTGAGACGGGGCCATCCGAACCTCAATCAATCTGCATTTACCCCTCAGATCACTCGAAGAGGGTCAAATGACTCGTGGTGTCCCGTCGAAATAGCATCTCCCTGCCGAATATCCGTTGGTTACAGTTACTTTAGAAGCTTTTCACCCCAAAACACAACCCGTCCTCGCAAATCTCAGTGTCCATTGAATCTGATAAAAAGCTGACATTCGTGTCGGGCTCGTACCGATTGGAGAGATGGCTGGCGATGTAGCAGGCTCTCCTCATCCACACCATTAGCACTATGTGGTCATGATGAGTACTTAGTAGCTAAGCGCCGACGTATGATTGAGCTCGATCTAATGTAGTCAGAGAAGCAATTTCGAGTTATAGCCAAGTTTTTAGTCTAATTCAACCATGAAAAAACGCTAGAGGCAATTGCAGCTTCCTGGTAGCGAAAGGATCTTGTTTGAGCCGCAATGCAAGCACGCGAGTCAACGGTCTTGTCAGTTGCTTACAAGCGATTGTTCAACAACACATTTGACATGATACAAGAACAGCCCAGTACAACCCGTCGCTGCGAAACCTGGAAAAGTTGCGAATCCAGGACAACCATTGACTGGCTAAGAACTCGTGACCTTGCTTGTCGAGAACCCACGACTTCCCGACCCCGAGTTGGAGAAGTGGCAACTATGGTCCTCAACCCTCATCGAGTCATTGTATCCTCATACCAATTACCCGATTCGATGCAAAAGTGGTAAAGAGGCCGGGTCGAGCCAATCACATCGAGTCGGACGGCTGAATGTGGGAGTGATTGACCCAACTCGACTGGGCTTGGCAAGGATACTACAATGTCGCCCAGGACGAGGGGTGAGCGGGAAGGAAAGGGGGGGAAGAGGAAACTTTATTTGGACTACTCTATCCAGAGTCGCTTTTGAGAACATACACGTAGTCATAAGTGGCTTTCTTTGAAGGGAGGATGAGTATGTGCTGGCCGGCCTGGGAATCTAGAGGGAACGGATTTTCGCGCGTCTCGCTGCAGAACCGTGACTTGAAGATGACGACGAGTTCAGTTCCCCTGTTTATCCCTGCCGGCTAGGTGATCTTTCTTTGGAGTGTATTTGTTCTGTGTAAAAGACCTGCAGATCAGCTCGAGTCATGGAACCCGTGCCGCGAACCTTGGAACTTGTGATCGACATCTTGACCACCATGGAACAAACGCCCGGGTTCTCCGCCACTTTACTATCCAAACGAGCCGACAAAGAAGTTGAGAATGTCCAAATACAGTAGTTGCGGGGAAATCTACGTGGACGCCAATGGCATGTGGTTCTAGGTAAATTCTCTGCATTGAGTAGAGCAAAGTTATCTGTTGGTGCCAATACCTGTGACCAAACAGGGCGCTAATATGATGATTTGACACTGACTCGTCAAGAATGTCTCCATACGAATAATGACGAGTAGCAGGCTATAATTTCCATAGTCTTGGGCTAAGTATGGTCTAGAATTTTAACACTCATCGCTATGATCGAAGCAGTCCACGCTCATGGGAATAATATGCAAAAATAAAGAACAAGGATAAGAGTTCATCGCGCTGCCCACGGACATGGAAAGTAATTTTTCTTCCAATCATGACTCGTCCTTTCACTTCTCCCTCCCTGAAAATTCGTAACCCTCCATCCAACCGGCAAGCTGGTCCAGCTCGCAGCTCCCGCAGCGTAGCAGCAGACGTTGGGTATATGGGACCTGTACCGCGGCAGCCGACGTCGTCGACGTTGACGACGACGACGCCGTGTCTCTGTTGTTGTTGGCTTTTACAACCAGGTCTGCGAACCGGGCATCGGTAGCGTAGTCCTTGACGCGCATCTCCTCGGCAGGTAATGAAAATAGACTGGCCGTCTCCCGCGTCACCTCGTCGATGCTGACGTTGTGTTCCCGCTCAATCATCCGCTTGCCAACATAGTGCAGGTTATTGTGGCCCAGCGTCACCGGCTCCCTCCGCCCTGTTGCGAGTTCCCAGGCAATGAGCCACGCCTGGTACCGGATATCGAGCCAGCGGCACTTGACAATGACGAACTCGATGAGCGAGAGGTAGCTCGTCTTGAAGTCAAACGTAAAGTCTTGTGTGTGTGTTTGTTCGTGTGGCGCGGCGCCGTCGCCCACGTCGTCGGGGCAGCTGTCCAGTATCAACCGCGCCAGCGTGACGATGCGCCCGAAATTCTCCTTGAAGCAGTCGTACACGGACTCGTCGTGGGAGCGGCAGACGCTGATGCAAATCTTGGCTGCGTGGTACTTCATCTCCGTCTCGGCGCAGAGGAGGCCCTTGTGCTTCGGCAACGGCGGGTCGTCGGTGTCTTTGCGGGGGAACTCGACAAAGGCGAGAAAGGCGGCGTGCCACCTGTCGAGGGACGCGCAAATGTGCTTCTGCTCCTCGGCCATGACGGGCCCCTTTGAGGCGAGGCGGGAGTCGGTCTGCGATTCGGGGTCCGCCGACCGTATATATCGTATGGCATCGAGCAGTATCGGGTCGACGGCGCGTTTGGGTAGGTAGATGCTGTTGCTCTTGTCAAAGGGCCCCAGGTTGTACCTGGATCCGAGGCCGTGCTGGAGGTTGAGTGAGGGGAAGCCCGGCTTGTCGTAGTAGCATAGCTGGATGATGCTTAAGCGGTGGAATTTGGGGACGATTTCGTCTAGGGTGTCTTGGTCCAGCTCGTCGTAGTCGACGTTGTTGAGGATGTTGATGCCGCTGGCGAGATGTTGCATCGCGGCGGCGAAGCTCTTTCGTAAGAACTCCGTGGCGATGAAGAGTACGCAGCAGGAGAGGACAATGTCCACGTCGTTGGGTTGCATCATATCGTCGTCGCCGTCGTCGACTTGGGTCTGGGGTGATGTGAAGGGATTCGTCGACGGAAGGGTATCTGGCCGGTCAGTCTCTGCGAGCTCCAGGATGCTCGAGATGCCCGGCGTCAGAGCCGCTGGAGACTGAATGGCGGAAGACGGTCCGGCCGATGACAGACTCGGGGATGAACGGTTGCTAGGTGAACCAACGGAGGCGGAGATGCCTCCAAAGGACTTGCTGTCGTTTCTCGTTGTTGTTGTTGTTGTCCTGGTAATGGTTACTACCGTCTGGCCCGAATCCTCAAATCCCCTCTCCGGCGCGACCTTGTTGGCCATCAGCCGCAGAGCCTTGCCGTAGTACTCGTCGGCTTGCGGGTTCCCGCTTCCTCTGTCGGTGATTGTGGCTCCTTGGATCGGGTTACTCGGGGCTCCTCGCTGCGGGAAAAGACTGCCAATGGCAGCCACGGCATGCCTCACGGCGGGCTCCGACTTACTCAGGCGCGGCACGAGGTCGGACCAGAACCTTTTCTCAAAGTTCTGCGGCAGGTTGGGGCCGACGTCCCGGGCAAAGTACTCCACGGTAGCCAGCTCCGACTCGGACTCCCACCCGGCCCTGGCCTGCGCGAGCGCGTCTCGCAGCCTCGTGGTGCGCGAGCGGGCACGGGCGATGGCCCGGTTGCTGGGGACGACGACGGCATAACCCTCGCACTTGCGGCCGGTGCCGGTGCACCGCGCGCACGCCGGTTTTGCCTCATCGCACTTTACCTTGCGTGACCTATGACGGAGAGAGAGAGAAGGCGAACAGGTTAGAAAACGGGTCCTCTCGAATGTGGGAACGGAGACGGAGACGGAGGCCCGGTGGCCGCTTGGTCACACACATATATGTGCACGCAACACACACACACACACACACACACACATATATATATACAAACCCACATGCGCAGCCGGGGCTGCTCGTCCGGTCTCGTCTCGGCAGACGGCCCCGGTCCCGACTCCAGCCCCGGAGGCCATCCGGCTTGAGGGATATAACACATCCCGAGGCAGCATTGGGGTTGAGTCAAAGACTTCAAGCAGCCGCAACGCACCGCAGCCCCGCCAAGCCGACGATCAAAGAAAAGAAAAAGAAAGGGGCAGCCTTTGAGAGAAAAACTCACTTGCAGGTCAGGCAGCCGGTCCGAACCTTTGGCTGGCCCTTCCGGGTCATTTTGCCTGCTCCGGCCCGCGTGCTCCAGCGAAAAAAGAACGCGGAGCCAGGTCCGAGTACCCGCAAAGCAAGGCGCACGGCACGTTTCGACAGCGGCAAAGCTGCCTGCGGGTTCTGTGGTGCAGGAAAAAGTCCGTGGTGGCGGCTGGGCCTCGGGGGCGGGAAGATGTTCTCTGAATGATCTAGAAGAAAAAGGGAAGAGAGAAAGAAAAAAGCAGCAAGGTGTGTTTCAAGTTACCGAGCGGCAGAAGGGCAGAAAATCAGCCGCGCCGATGAGGCAGACTAGACGGCCGAGGCTGTGGGATGGATAGATAGATGGCTCCTCTATAGGCTCCTTTTTCTCTCCTCGTTTCTCTCCCTCTCTATTTCTATCCTCTGCCCCCTCCCTCACCCCCTCGATTAAGTGAGCGAGCAGCAAATTCCTCCTGCCTGCCTATTCTGGTTTCCTACTTGGTACGAACAGTACGCTCGGGTGGGCGGCGCGGGTTGCGGTGTCTCCCTGCGTCTTTTGCGTCCCCTCCTCAATTTGGGGGCGGCTGCGGCCACCGCACCAACAAGAGCGTTTCTGTACCAAATCACTTCCATTGATCCCCCTGCACAGCTGCAGTTGTCACCTGAGGACCTGGCTCCTGTGGTCGATCCAACATGGCGCTAATTTTTGCTCACTTGGACTTGGCGTCGAGACCAGCAGGGGGGCCGTACAGCGTTAATGAGATTGATGACCGAAGCGGGAGGGCGAGTGCGGCTGTGTCATATTCAAGTTGTGTCTGGTGTCAGCGGTGGACCAGAACGATTATGCAAAAGTACTTTTGTCTGTGTCTGTCTTGTTCTTCCTCCGCCTCGTCTAGGTAGGTACTTGTCATCCTTTCCGCCCTAAGTCTTCTCCCTCTCCATCCTATACACTTGTGTTCTCTCTCGACAGCGCCTCGGGTGCCCGGGGAGATAAAATACCTCCGCCCGTTGCCGACTCCCTAGCAAATCAGACGATTTGATTGTCACGAGCTAAATTGTTAGGGCTCGGATAATGACATGAGGAATTAGCGACTGGATTCGTCTGGATTCTAGGCCCTGTCATGGTTGGGCTCAGCTACACTGACAGCTGGCGAATAGCACTACGCCAAAGCGAGACAGTGGGAAAAAGGAGATGAATGCAGACAAAGTTCGCATTCTGCACCCTGCCCGTCGGTGAGTTATTTCGCGAAGACACCACATTGTCGAACAACTAATGGGGGCTGGCAGTTGGGGGGGCCGCCGCCAAGTGCGACGGACCATCGGCAAATGAATTTTGGAGCGCCTCCCTTTTGAAACATAAGACACGGCTTGACACGCTTGTCGAATGCCGTTTCTCATGACTATTTCCTACCCGGGTGACTAGTAATCATCCATATAGGAAACGGCTTTGGGATGAGGTGACTGGCGTTGGGGCAATGTTTCACTCCAATCAAAAGAGTGACCCAATAAGCTCAGTCACAGACCTTCGCAGCAGCCGTAAAAGAACAAGGGTTTTGCGCTGCAGGCATCTCGTCCGCCGCGCCGCGAGCGCTGCTCTCTTCCGAGTTCCGACTAGGAGCCAGCTAGAAACGCGAGAGAAGCCAAGAAAACCCTCCCGAGTCCCTGCGCTGATCTACCTACTAGGTATCCGACTGCGCTCAATCGCCGACCCAAATTTTCGACATTCTCGAAGCCTCGACGAGAGACACACTGGCACCGTTGGTGTTTTCGTTAGCCGAGTGTTCGGAAATTGGAATGAAATGCTGTGAGCCGAGGCCCTTGCTGGACATAATCCCAGCCGGTTTAGTCTGCCCAGGCAGGCGAATTAGAGAGAGAAACTCAGCAAAGGCCACATCACAGTCATCGTATTTCTCCTAATTTCCAAACCAAAACAAAGGACCACCCGCAACTCTGACGGTTTGAAATCCCACATTGGGCACCTCGTAACAGAGTATGGCAAAGGGGGGGGGGGAACCACTAGAAAAGCTGAAAAGATGGTGTTGAAGACAAAGACTGCAATTTGTCAAAGCCACAAACGTCATTTTGTTTGAGACAATTACAGATACCGACCGGTCTAATGACAGGCATGGCTTGGCGCCAGTATCGGCAAATCCATGCCTAGGCTTACATCCACAAACCTCCTTGCGTCGACGTGCTGAAGAAGGATATCACGTTTTGCTCTCACAGTTGACTGTCACGAGTCGTTGTCTTGGTCGTCGTCGACTACAGATTACGGACTCCTTCATGAATCGCAAATCCGCCCATTTTTCCAACAATTAAAGACCCGCCTTGCTAGCTCAATCGGTAGAGCGTGAGACTCTTAATCTCAAGGTTGCGGGTTCGACCCCCGCGTGAGGCTCAAATCCTCACCGCGATTGACCAAGTCATTCTTCCGGGCATTAAATTTTTGATGTTTTGCATTACTACTTACTATTTGTTCTATGTTCTTTACTAGAAATGGCATTCTGAGGGCTCCTTTCTCAAGTTTTGATACTTCCTTACCTTGCCCGCGCATGCCTCAATACGCGCACAGTTGAAGTCATGCGCCCCCATCAGCATCGATCAGGTGTTAACTTATCAAGCGATTGCCTCCTTCATGACTGCCCCAATCTTGTGCATCATGTGAAATGTTTGGGGATGGAAAACGGCCTGACTTGCTTGATTTCTAAAAAAGATTTACGCCAAACTATGCTACCCAACTTGGCAACGACAGCGCAGGGCAGTCAGTGAGTCAACGCGATAGTTGTGTAGTACTTCTCTACTGATTGAGGAAGCATGTCTCTTGACAAAGAAGCCTTCTCGACCCCCATGTCTACGAAGACGGGTAGAGAGGGGTATGCCTTGTTTGGACTTATTCTTTTGATCCCTTCAACCACCCAATTTCCTCCCTACATCAACAATACCCCGAGGTCGGCATTGACAAAGTCCGCACCTTTTATCCGCCTCTGTGGTCAGGATCCATGGGTAACGAAATAAAGAAGCCAAGGCACCTACCTACTTTTATTACGGACAAAATGAAGAGAATCTTGGACCCAAAGTCTCTGTCTGGATTCCAATTTTCAAATTCACTCCCCCAGTGTGCCTCCCAGGTTCCAGCTCAGTCCTCACCACTCGACTCCTTGCCCCGGCTGGATTTCTCCGTTTGCTTGCCCTGAACCAAAAGGTACTCACCATCCTACAACAGCATGCCACGAGACACGTTCCTCAGCTTGCCGGCAGAAGTGCTTCTGGAGATATGTCGACACCTAGTGATATCGATGCAGAACCAGCGGTACCGTTTCCGTCCCGACGGCAGCGGTTGCGACGGCGGCGTCGAAACACAAACAGAGACCTCCAACGCCCTTGAGTGTCGGGCAGCCCTGGCCAGGTTGATGCGGACGTGTAAAGTCATGCACTCCGTTGCGGGCTGCGTGCTCTACTCTGGCTACTACAACATCCGGCACCCCTCCGAAGCCGTTGCCTTTCTACAGACCCTCGATCCACGGAGTACCGCCACCACCATCAATGGCGGCGGCGTTAGGCTCGACGACGACGATGACGAAGTCTCTGCAATCGGCAAACAGGATTTCCGTCTCGAACTGGTCAGGCACTTGGACGTCCACAACAACGTGTTTAGCAACAGCGCTCTTGACATTGACTGGTCAGAAGAGCAGCTGAAGAGCCTCGAAGCGGACTGGATCGTCGAGGCCGCGCACCGCCTGGGTATCCCGTTTCCCAAAGACTGGAACCAATGCCGCCTAGAATGCGGACCGTCGGATCACGTCTCCGAGTACATGAGCCAACTTCTCCTGCGAAGTCTCCCCAACCTGGCGAGCCTCCACGTCAGTCTAACTCGGCCATGGAAGTTTGACCTCCTCAGAACCTGGATCAACAACAACGACACTGCAAACGTTGGCTTCCTGCCAAACCTCAGACACCTAAAGATCCGTCTGCAGTCCATCGAGGCAAGGAGCTCGCAGAGCCACAAAATCATCATTGACAGCGCGCCCCTACTCGCCACGCTGGAAATCTACGACACGTCCTCCTTCCGGATCCCAAAGGGTTCCCGCCTCGAGCACCTGCGGTCCATCACCTTTGCAAACTGCTCCACGGACCGTTGCAGCATGGAGAACACCCTAATGGCCACGCCCAACATCACCCGCTTCGAGTACCACGCCACGGCCTCCTCGACAGCAGCAGCTTCCCCCAAGAACCCGCCCCTCACGCCACAAATGCTCCGCCACCTCCTCAGCAACGAGTTCGATCTCACGGATCCGCCCTTGCGCGACGACCAGGGCGAGGTGATCCACGTCGAGCTCCCAGACCTTCACCTCCAGCTCAAGACTCTCGTCGTCGACTTTCCCATAGGTGAGAGAATGGGCTACTGGACGAATGAAGAGACCATCAATAACTTGCGGGATTTTGAGGAGTTGCGGCATTTGAGCATCAATGTGGGCAGCATCACCCATCAATCCCAGAGCGGCGGCGAAATCACCGTCAATAACCTTGACGAGCTGATTCCCGAGAACCTGGAGTGTTTGAGGATTACGCGCGTGGGAGACTGTCTCGACGAGCTGACGCGGGTGAGTCTGCCAGACTTGGCGTGCGAGCTGAAGGAAGGACGGTTCAAGAGTCTGAACCGTGTTGAGCTCGCGGATTGTCCGGTCACTGAGTACCAGCGGATGACTATCCAGCACAACCTTCAGGAAATGTTCGGTTGGCAAGAGGATTCTCGGATACGGGTGAGTGGTTGTGAGTGAGCAGAAGGACCTTTGCAATCTCTGTACGAAGCAAGCTGTGGAGGCGTCAACCACCCGGATATGCAGCAATATTTTCATTCAGAACCATATCCAGGGTTCCTTTCTTACAGTATTTCGATTATAAAAGGAGTAAAACTTGACCCTGTGCGAAGCTTGGGAAAGTAAAACCCCGCTCCCTTCATCAATGACATGAATGCGTACATTCGTGAATTTCCACCGACTTGTTCATCGACGCATCATTCGTGCCCCTCATCTCAAATATTGTAAGCCCGTGCTCCTCAATATCATCCTCCCGCTGCCACGTTCCCAAGAACCGGCTCTTCCTCCTCTTCATCCCCGACGGCCGAATCGCCTGTATTGAGCTGTGCACTTGAGGCGTCTTGTCCTTGCCGCCGGCGGTAAACAGCCTCCGCAGCGTCGGCGCGCAGCCGCAGACGATGGCGAGGTTCGCCTCAAGAGCGGTCCACACCCAAATGTTGAAGCCGTCCCACGTCAAGTCATACGAAGGGTCCTCCACGTAGAGGACCTCCACGTGAATAACCCAGTATGTCCGCATGATGCCCGCAAGCACCACGACGCTGCCAAAGCCGAAGAGGATGATGAGGCTGACACGCTGGGAGAGGGGCATCTGAAGCCTGAAGAAGGTCGGCATCGGGAGGAGGTAGACGGCGACGTCGTTCAGCACATTGTTGATTCCTTGGCCGGCGAGGGGCGGCCACTCGGGGATGCAGTTTCCCCAGTCGGCGGACAGGGTCCAGTAGTGCCAGATCGGCCTACGTATCAACAAATGTGAGTCAGTTCCTGCGGCTCCTTCACAGGGATTTGCGGTGAGGGCTGCTTACATGCACTGGGTCCAGAGTATAATGAGAAAGACCCAGGTCGAGGTGAAGACGAGACCGCCAGTCACCCACGTCAGGCGCTGGAACCAAGTGCCGGGCGCCGCAAGCCTCAGATAGCTGGCGAGAATCGAGAGCTTCGAAAGGCCAGAGGCGAAGAGGAAGAGCGTCTGCGCGGCTATGGAGATCTAACAGGCAATACCCCGTTAGAATTGGGCCTCTGAAGTCAAGATTGCGCCAGGACGTACCTGTCGGCTCTTCTTCATCAGCGACAGCGGGACATCCCACACGTGCAGGTTCCAACCATATAATTCAGTGGCTGACAGTAGAAGAACATGAGCCAAAGGTTCCGTGTTAAAAAGTGCCTCGAGACACATAGGGATCCCTACCTAGAATGACACAAATTGTGACGCCAATGCAGAATATCATGCTGGCGACCATGAGCCAGTCATCCCACCACGTCTGGCGGATCTTGGCGATCCTGATGTACATCCGCAAGCACAGGCATATCATAGCGATGCTCAGAAATATAATTTCGATGATGACCAGCGCCGGCCCCCGGTTGACCGGGTTGATGTAGTTTGGCCGCGGCCATTTGATGAGCACTTCGATGGGCGGGATTCTCATCGTGATGATTTCTGTCTCAGAGTTTCTGCAATTTCGCTGCCGTCGTCGCCGTCGTCATCGTCGTCGAAACACGGGACGACAAAACCTTCCGTCGGCGGCGGGTTTTCGAGAATGTTTCTTCCCCCTTTTAAGATCAAGTGTTGATTAGTCTTCCAAAATGTACGCGGAGGTGGCCATGGCCGATATTATTAACCCCCTTCGCCAGGCAAAGAAGAGGCCCATTTATCATCGTTGTGGGACATATTCTCTTTTTTCATAGGCGGCCATCCATGCCATCATTGGGGACTAGCTCTCGCGGTGACGCCCAGTCAAAGGTCTTTTCTTGATCTAGGTTTTGCTTAGACCACATTCAGAACTACCGGCACATTCACTTGCAAAGAGTGCCACATGGCGGCTGCTGGCGCGATAGCCCTACGATGACAGCTACGCTTTTTCCTAGCTCGAGGAGACCCCGCGGAAGCCTTAAAGGGGGCACGGACAAAGAGCATCGCGTGATAACTTACAGCTCGGACGGTTAGCCTGAACTATCGACAGTTAGCACGTTCGCGCTAGTCGTGAAGCCTGGGTAGCTTTGGGTTGAAGATTTTTCTAGGTGTTACTTACATCTTGGTAGGGGAACTCAAGACCCGCGTTCTCACCGAGTTAGCGATGCTACGTTCTACAGCAAACTATCTGATTATTTAGAGATTCATTTTTTTTCGTCCGCCAATACCCAGCGTCAGAGAGGCGGCCTGCGGACCAGGAGATTTATTGCACCTCTTCTCCGGTCGCGTCAAGTTGTTGCGTACCCAGCCTACGGGATCTGAAGTTTCAAACGGCTCCAATTCCGGCATGCTGGGTCCACCATCCAACTCTCGCGAATGCAACATCATGTCACGAAGTGCGATTTCTTCTCTGGCGATGCCCCGTTTCGAGCTTCGCGGCGACGCCACACTCCTAGTGGTCCGGCAGAAGTGACAGACCAGTAGCTTGTCTCCGGGCTAGCTCAGCCTAACCCCAAAAGGCCCAAGAGCGGCCCCCTTGAACGAACCAAGACCAACAAGTAAATGAGGGGACCTGCATCTGCCGCGTCCATTTCTCACGGCAGTTCAAGCGAAACCGGTCACTGCACAGCACGGACAGCCACGGCTGATGGGGACCTGCATCTGCCGCTTTCTCACGGCAGTTCGGCGTGGATAGCTGTACGTATCTATCAAATTCTTGACTCGAAGAAGCGGCGGGCTAATCCGGACTCGGTCCTCGGCTCCGGCTCCGACGGGCGGGTCCCACGCTGCGGAGCCTCTTCCGAATGGCAGGGAGAAAGTTGCTTGCCTGCCCGGGGTGGATCAAGCCATGCAAGTCCTGACTTGCGCATCGACTAACCAGTGGCAGCTTGCTGATAGCCAGAAAGTTTCTGCTGCTTACTAGATATCCGACTGATACAGTGCAGCTCAACCCCCTCACTTCAACCAAATCCAAGATGAGTGCCTCCTCCTTCTACCAAGACCGAGCGTGGAGTGAATTGCAGTGATGAAGTAGAGACATGTGCGGAATTTGTGATGAGCAGAATAGCTCCGTGCACTGGGATACACGCACGAAAACGACAAGGCAATCAAGCCAATCATATTGGACAGATATGAATGGATTGCCCCCACAGACCTTGAGCGCTTAATCCAGACACTTTTCGGCATCCCTTCCTCACCCGAAGCCCGCATCGTCGAGAATAGTGACGGTACCCGCACAACAGTAGATAAATAGCACCTCCCTCTACCAACAGCTCCGTCCCGTCCACAGGTGGTGTGCAGCTTGGAGATGCCGGCAAGTTCTCGCCATGATGCTCATCTTCCAACTCCGGCTTCCGCAACGCTGACGCGACCTCGCTAAAACAGCTCTACAACCAAGTTGTCCTCTTTGGAGATTCACTCTTCCAACTATCCTGTACACCTCAAGATGGCTTCTCCTTTCAAGCTGCCCTACAAGACCGTAAGATAATATCCTTGATTATAAGTTACCAAGCAATCCAATACTGAACAAGACCGTCAGTCTGCATGAGACGTCTCGACGTCATCAACAGAGGATTCTCAGGATACAACACCAACAACGCCTTGGGAGTCCTCCCAGAGCTCTTTGCACCACCGTCGGCAACGACGCCCAAGATAGACTATCTCGTGCGTCTAACCACTCATTGAAGCCCTACACGTATTCCCCCGGCGATGTTAACCAAAAGGTACTAGTTAATCCTCTTGGGCGCCAACGATGCCTGCCTCCCAATCCCCACAAACAGCCAGCAAGTGCCCCTGGAACAGTACAAGCAGAACCTCAGAGACATCATCACCCACGCCGCCATACGTGCCCACTCCCCCAAGATCCTCCTGGTGAACCCGCCCCCTCTCGACGAGATACGCATGCTAGAGCGCGACCTCGAAAAGGGCCACGGGCAGGCGTCCCGGAGCGCCGCCGTCAGCAAGACATACTCGGACGCGGCGCTCAGCGTGGCAGCCGAGTTTCCGGGTGTCGTGCCGGTTGACCTCCACAAAGCCGTCATGCGGCGAGCCGTGTCAATGACACCCGGCTTTACCCCGAGCGGTCCTCCCCTCGGGCACCCCGAGGGTCAGCGGGGCGCACTGGAGGTGTTGATTCCAGACGGGTTGCATTTGGGAGGCGAAGGGTACAGGGTTCTTTTTGAGTTGGTAAAGCCTCACATCGGACCATTTGAGGAGTCAAGAGAGGATTACCGGCTGCCTGATTGGAAAATTTTGAACCCCGGTAGTCTGGGTTGAAATAACAGAGGCATACAATGGTATTTGGGGATACTTTGGCTATGGACTTTTTAGAATAAACATTAAGACGTTACTACTCAAAACACATTCTGCTCCAGAATACTCATAAACCATACTCAGCGGAAATATAGTGCGCGACTCTAACAACAAAATTCACCTAGTCATTAGAACCTGGTCGGCTCTCCCTGCTCAAAGGACGTATCGAAACATGAGCTACGCAAGGTTAGTAAATCACCAAACGAGTGATTCCGAAGATAGACTCACATTGGCCTTATCCGTCACATCCTCGAACCCAAGCACCTCACCCTCCCGCTGCATCTCCGCAATCTCCTCCTCCGACTTTCCCTCGAGAATCCTATCGCGCTTCCTGTTCTCCAGCACGTAGATGAACCTCAGGGCCTGGTTCAGGACCAGGTTCAGGATGAACCCGCACAGCATAGCCACGATGCCGCTGTGGTACGCGGGGGCCTCGGTGCTCTTGAAGAACTGCGGGCCGGCAATCTGCCCGACGCAGTAGCACACAAAGACCCAGCCCGAGGCGACGGATCGCTTCGTGCTTCCGGCGATATTGGTCGAGAGCAGGCCGAGGATGACCATGAAGCCGACAGGGTAGGACCCGAGCAGCCAGACGCCGATGAGACGGCCCCATTTGTTGTCCGTGTGGAGTTGGTTGATGAGACAGGTGCCGATGATCTGGTTCAGATGTTAGCGGTATATCATCTTCCGAGGACCCCCAACCCCGGCTGGCTGCAAACGCACCGGTGGGATCATGGCAACCGTGCCAACGTGTAATCTGGAGCTCTTGATCTTGCTGCTCAAAATCCCGGCTCCAAGCTGCGTGACGACCTGGACAGTAGAAAGAGGGAGATTCATCAGCGTGGTATTGAGCGGGCTGAACCCGAGGCCCTGGATAATCAAGGACCCAAAAGCCAACCCGCCCGACGCGATCGCGTTGACAAACGAGATGAGACCGAGGATGATGACGGCCGGGTCCTTGGCCGCCTCAACCACCTGCGCCTTCACAAACGTCCTGCTCCGGCCCGTGCCAGTCTTATTCTCCGCAACCCGCTGCACGGCCACGACCCTCTCCCTCTCCGTCAGCCACGCCACCCCAGCCGGGCCATCGGGCACAAATAGTGTAAAGACGACGCCCCACACTACCGTCATGGCGCCGAGGATGAGGTACACATACTTCCACGGCGACAGCGAGCCGGTAATATGCCCGATACCGTACGCCAGCAGCGTGCCAACGAAGCTCCCGACGCCGAGGAACGACACCCACAGCGCCGAGCGGCCCGCCTGCTCCTGCCGCGTCCACCACATGCCCGTCACGGCGACGAAACCCGGCGAGATGGTCGCCTCCGTGACGCCCAAAAGGAACCGGACCGAAGCCAGCCCCGCAAAGGAGCTGCACGCCGCGGTGGTCATGAGGATCATGCCCCAGAGCACAATGTTGACGCCGAGGAACTTTGCCACGGGGAAGCGCTGCAGGACGGCGACGCCGGGGTACTCGGCGACGAGGTAGCCAAAGTAGAAGATGGAACTCGTCCAGCTGTACTGCTGCCCCACCAGCTTGTTGTCCTTGATGATGCCGTACACGGAGCTGTACCCCAGCGAGGTCTTGTCGATGAACTGGAGGGCGTAGGTGATGCACAGGAAGGGGAGGATGCGCCTGTCCAGCTTGGCCAGGATCGAGCGCGACTCGGCCTCGTCGAGGGGCGCGGAGTTGAGGGCGGAGGCTGCGAGGGCGCCGGTCTCGTCGGTGATGTGGTGCTTGGAGGAGACGGGGTCATCGTCGATGGGGGAGGAGCCGGTGGTGGTGGCGGCGGCGGGGAGGATGTCCGTTGGGACCCGCTTCTCCGGGTCGGAGCCCGGGGTTTCGGTAGTTGCACCCATTGTGTGATTAGGTGTGTTTCTTCTGTCAGAAACTGGGCACTGAGCGAACTCGAGGTTTACCGAATCCCGGGTTCTTGGGTCAACTGTATTTGCTAACAGGACAATCCGTAACAAGAAAGCTCCTCCTCTCCTACGAGTCCTTGGGAGCTTCGACTTCTTTATCAACGTCGAACACGCAGGCTGGAGTTCACTGAACGGTGTGGGTCTTTCTCATCGGAGTCGATCCGACTATCGGCAGTAGCACATCTTCATTGGTCTTATCTCGCTCGGGTGATTTATCCCCCCCAGCCCCCGCCCTCGCTGGCGGCAAATGGGTTGATGAATACGGAATTGGTGATGTCTTGTTGACATTGGTTTTCCATCACGCCCTCGCCGGAGTTGAACATCCGTTGTCCAGGTCGAATTGGCTGGGGTGAGCAGAAAGATTCGCGTCATGGCATGAACTGCAACATGCTTAAACTGACCAACGTCCAGGCTGTGATCCGCTGCCAAAAGATTACCCGACTTGGCAGTGATGTCTTTCTCCCCTCGGAAAACTTGAAGCTGTCTCCATATCCAAGCGCAACCGGCGCGCACTACGGGACCCAAGACAACCGATGTTGTGTTGATATGAGCAAGGGTCCGGACGACGGGTAGATATCTCCTGCGGGGAACAGCCGATCCCCTCCAAGAAGTCGCCGCCTTTACACTCGGCACACAACACCGGCTTGCATAAAGCTGCACAGAGTCCCTAAAGAGGAAGCTCTAAAGACAATAGTGGTGAGCGTCAAAACGGCCAAGCGCCTTGGCAAGCTCGTTGGTGCTGTCAGCCTCATGTCGAGAGACCGCGTGTCTTTTATCTTCATCCTCGCCCAAAATCACTCACATCGGCTGATCAGCAAAGCGCGTCACTCATTCGCATCATCTCACGAATAAAGGTGCGCATCGCAAATCATCGTTCCAACGATTCCGCTCTTGAGTGTGTTTCTAACCACCTCTATCAGACCTTTGCGACGACAATGGCCAAGAAAAAGTCGACACCAGTTGCTTCGCCCGCTGCTGGAGCTCAAGCGGACGAGACGACGCCGCCAACCGCACAGCAGCAGCAGCAGCAGCAAATCGGCAGTGAGCCCGCGGAAACTTCTCCGGTCGAGAGAATACTACTACTCTTCACGCCCCCTCCCTGGGCGCGCCGGCTCATCTTTGTCGCCCTCATCTTTTACATCGCCCCGTTTCTGCTCACCCATTGGATCGAGACGTCGGCGAAGCTCATTAGGATTATACGGACATTGACTGGTCAGAGTTGATTTCAGTTTTGAACAAGTTTTGTGACTGGAGAGACGTGGGGTCGAGTGGTTTTGGGGGCGGGGTTTTGTTGCCTGAGAGCAAATCGTCCAGCTGTGCGGCGAGCCAGATTTTAACCACGAGGAGGCTGTTTTCACGTCGGCGGCAGGGCTTAATTGAATGATCTTACCTGAACACTGGGAAGAAAGTACAACAATGCGCTATTCGGCCATGAAAAGCAGTGCTCTTATCAAACATTTGAGGTCCAAATTCGCCCTTCTTTATCGCGTGTAAACAATCGCGCAACCTTGCGATAGCTTCAAGACGCAGGTCTCACGACATCCTGAACCTGATAGTCAACCGCTACTGCTGATTCATCTGCCCCTGCTGAAAATGAACCCATCACAGAACTCGAATTTGTGCACAAACGACTTTGAACCGAGCAAGCCTCCGCATAACGCGGCGGGTGCGCTAGCCGAAACAGGGAACTGGCATCGCGTGGCCACCCACGGCGTCGGTACAGGAGAGGGAGACCCTTAGATAACCAGCCCGGCCGCTGGTCGGAGAGACGCCGCCCGCCGCGCGGAACCGTCCCATCGTCTTCTCAGACTACCGAACAACCTCCTCTCAACAGCCCTCATCCAATAAGTCTCATTGGAAATACCCAACTTCACCAATCAACTGCACCAGTTCTCACTCCAACCAAACATCACAAACATTCTTCAACTAAAGCCAGTCATCAATTTCAACACCATTTCATTACCCTCTCACAGCAAATCTCAAAATGGACACCATAGAGGACGATTTCGTTCTCATCTCCCACTCAGACACCCACCCCACCATATCTTCCTCGTCATCCTCACCACTGCCGCCTCCCTTCCTCGACGAAATCTCCTCCATCGTCGCAGACCTCGCCGACTCACTATGGCCCGTGAACAAAAAGATACACGATAATCCAGAACTCGGCTTCCGCGAGTTCATCGCCCACGACACCCTCGTCGCCTTCATGCGCACCCAGCCGGGATGGAAAGTCACCCCCTCGGCCTACGGCATGAAGACGGCCTGGGTGGCCATCTGGGACAGCGGGAGAAAGGGACCGGTCGTGTCTTTCAACGCTGAGATGGGTGAGAATCTTCCACCACCTCCTCCTCCTCCCCCCCTCCTCCTCCCGTCACCTATTACACTTGAAGAGCCAAAACAAAAACTAACACGCCCACAGACTGCCTCCCAGGAATCGGCCACGCCTGCGGCCACAACCTAATAGCAACAGCCTCCCTCACAGGCGCCCTCGTAACAGCAACCCTCCTCTCCCGCCACGCCCTCCCCGGCAGCGTCCTCCTCTACGGCACCCCCGCAGAAGAAGGCGGCGGCGGCAAAATCCGCCTCCTCCAAGCCGGCGCCTACGCCTCCGCCGCCCCGGGAGGCCACCCAGCCGACCTCAACCTCATCTCCCACCCGGGCATCGTCCCCGCCACCGCGCTGATGCGCACCTCGGCCTTCGCCTCCCTCACCGCAGAGTTCTTCGGCCGCGAGGCCCACGCCGCGGCGAACCCCTGGCTCGGCATCAACGCCCTCGACGCCCTCGTCGTCGCCTACACGTCCCTCGCCGTCCTCCGCCAGCAGACCCGCCCCGGCGACGTCATCCAGTGCAACATTTCCCACGGCGGCGTCCGCCCCAACATTATCCACGCCTACGCCGCGGGCCACTTTGTCGTGCGCGCCAACACCCAGCCCCGCCTCGCCGAGCTCCTGCGCAAGGTCGAGAAATGCTTCGTGGCCGGCGCCGAAGCCACGGGGGCGACCTACAAAGTGACGCATACGGGCGCGTACATGGATCACGTGCCCAACCGGGTCCTGGGTCGTTCGTACACGCGGTATTTCAACGCGTTGCTTGTCCCCGGCGGCGAAGGAGGCGAGGACGAAGACGGAAGCATCCCGACGGACGAGGATGTCGATGAGATTCGGGGACGGACGATGGCGAGTACGGATCAGGGGGACGTCAGCTACGCGATGCCGAGTCTCAGCGTCGGGTTCGCGATTCCGGCGGGCAAGGGCGGGCAAGGGCCGCATAACCCCGAGTTTGCGGAGGCGGCGGGGACGAGGGTCGCGTTCGAGAGGAGTTTGCGGGTTGGAAAGGGGCTGGCGGGTGTTGCGATTGATGTGTTTACAAAAAAGGGCATGTTGGAGGAGGTAAAGGCGGCTTGGAAGAAGGATATGGGTAGATGATTGGGCTAGGGGCATTTACTCCGCTGTACGATTTCCGAGCCACAGATTTGAATGGAAAGCTTAGATGAGAATGATAGATGAAAGATGTAATCAGCTCAAGGATATCGTGCTCTTGTGATGGTGGACATTCAAATGACTGCCTCTCGCCCAACTACGAGCAATGGCAAAGTCGAAACATCCCACTCAAAGCACCAGAACGGCCTGGTCTACACAATAGATGTCATGATAAATAAATCGTGTTTGTACAAGGTCCTATAACATCCCATAACATCCGTACCGCAGGTATAGTGATAATACACGCCCAAAACTCCCCATCGCAGTGACCACACACCCAATATCAAAACATTTCTCATAGTCTTATCAACACCTGCCTCCCGCCCACTCACTCCCTCATACTTCTGGGTTTCGACACCCTTACGGATGTTGGACACTACATCCTCTTGGCACCCATCTCCTCGACCCCATATTCATCCCAGTCCTCCCGCCCAATCTTTCTCGCAATCCACACCCCCAACCCCGTCACGGCACAGCTCATCAGAAACCACCCCTCAAACCACCAATCCACGAACCGTGGCTCCAGCGCCCCCTCGAGCGCATCCCCGACCGCGCTGCCCATCTCCCGCGGCAAGTTGCTCCGCAGCAGCAGCGCCGCAGAAATCACGTACACGGCCGCAATCTGCCCAATCATGAGCGCCAGGTTCGCCTGCGCCTGGTACAGCAGGCCCGGCATCCATTTCGAAAAGAGGTGGAACGTCTGCAGCACGCTGTTGGCGCTCGCCGCGAGGATGACGCCCGACAATAGAAAACTAATCTGCCGCGCCCAGGCAATCTGGTCCAGTTTGGGATCCCAGTGCCGCGCCAGCAGCCCGAGGAAGCGGTTAATCGGGTCCGAGGAGCTGAAGCTCGACGACGGGTAGTACGTCCTCCGCAGCATCGCCAGCGTCGTCGCCAGGATGCGGTACAGACAGTACAATGAAAAGACATAGTGCGGGACGGCCAACAATTTCCCCATCGTCGTCGCCGCGCGCGCGTCCGCCGCCCGGCGCGAGCGCATAACCCCCAGCGAAGAGTGCAGGTTCGCCTCCATGGTCTCTAGCCCGGTAATCTCCAGCCTCAGCGCCCGCATCTCGGCCTCGTCGCCGCCGCCCATGCCGCGCACGGCGCCGAGCATCTTGCCCATGAACCCGCCGCCACCGCCACCGGAGCTCGACGATCCGCCAGACTGCGCCGCGGCCGCCTTGCGCTCCAGCGCCTGCAGACGGTGTCGTTTCGTCAGGAGCATCTCGTTGGTGGCGTCCAGCCCGGCCTCCTTCCTCGACACGTCAGCCTCTGTGACGGGCCTCTTCCTCCTCTCCGACGCCGCGCCGAGCGTGTGCCAGGGACTCGACACGGCCGCGAAACCGCTGAGCATCGCCATCAGCGAGATACCAATAACGCCGATCCTCTCGAGACACGCGCGCAGAATCCCCCCGCCGGCGGTGGCTGTCTTGTCCAGGCCGACGAAGCTCCCCAGGCTCCAAAAGGCAAACAGCCAGCCAGAAAACACGAGCATCTGCACGCCCCAAGCGAACCTCGGAATCCTGCCTTTCTTGCTCCTCTGAAACTTCCACCCGGCACCAGAGACCACGCTCTGGATCTCCAAAAAGGGTATGACGCCCACCAGCAGCACGAGGAGCGTGGGCACGGTAAAGCGCAACCCCACCTCCTTCGCCCTGTTGCTCACCAAATCCGAAATCTCGCTCAATATCAACTCGCCCAGCACCGTGGCCAGCGCAATCGTGACGGAAAAGACAGCGGCCGCGATTCGCCTCCTGGCGCTCTTCTGTCCGTGTTCGGCGTGGGCCTGCCGCAGGCTGGGCGGGGCGTGCGACGGCAGGTAGTGGTCCTCGCCATCGTGGGCGTCGTGGACCCTGGCGAGCTTCGGGAATATCGTCTGGCTCGCAAAGGCAGCGACGGCGGCAAAGGTAAGAATAAAGGGCAGCAGCGAGAGTAGCAGGCCAATCGTCGACGGGGCGTTGGGGTCTACGGCGGCGCAAGCGGACTCGTCGCAGGACGAGCTGGACCAGAACCAGGGCATCTGGGGCGGCTTGGTGGTGGGGCGTTTGCGCGCGAGGCAAAGGACATGTGCGATGTGTAGCTGAGTAGAGCAAGATTCATCCTACGTCTCTCGTGTGTTGACAGGATGAACAGTTTCAAAAAGGTTTCCTTAGCGAGGAATCAGCAAGGCTGTCTCCGACATTATTTGGTATGCGTTGGTTGGCTTCGGACAACCGTTACAGTGTGACGGGCTGTAACGAGAAAGAGACGTTCGTAACCTTTGTGTCGGAGCTGGCCTCAGCCACATGTCAACCTGGCCTCAGCTCTGAGCTCCGGCCACGTTTTTAAGCTTCAGCCACATACCAATGCGCCACATATTGCACCTCTCTACGTTGGGACCGGTCTACCGTTTCGCCCAGCTAGCTGTGTTACTGTTAATTAGGTGCTCGTCCGCCCTCGTGGACAGCCCCGCAAGACGCGACGCAGCGGCCAATGGACAACAGGCAAAGACTCACCCAACAGCTCACTCGACAACACTGATACATCGGTACACGCCTTGATTCCCCGAGCACTAGAAGCTACCTTAGTGACGCAGTACAATATCGACCAACTTTATCATTTCAGTCTTTAATGGGTATCAATCCATGGGCTCCATGCAGAGGAGGGGTTTTAACAACTATGCCGCATGCCTGGACAAACGTCCCTTGACTTCGTCTCCTTCCACACCTCAAGCATGGGAAATATCGTTCCGATAAATTAAACATGCCCACGCTGTCGACCAAACGCCCTCTAAAACCACCTATGCTTATTCATGAACCCTGCCTCTCCATTCGAAATCCTGGTGCTGCTGCATCAGCTGTTGCTGCTGTGTCGCGACGCTTTCGACTCCTCGTCTTCGTCATCATCTACCCCACTGGCACTAGAGTCCAGACTCGACTTTCTTTGCTTGAGGGCTGCCGCCTCATTGGCCTCCATCTTATGAAGTTTGTCCATTTGCGATGAGTTGATGAGCTGGTCGCCAGAAAATGTCTCAAATTCGTCCTCGTCGTCTTCATCCTCCTCCTCGCTATCGCCGGCGGTACTGGGCGGCGCGGACGACCTGCCGGGGCCCGCGCTACTCATTTGCGAGAGGTTGGACGGCAATGACTGGGGTCTCGGGTGCAATAGGGTGTTCAGGTCGACTGGCTTGATGGTCGGGTCAAATGCCGCTGGTAGTCCTAGCGCTTTGGCGACCTGATGGGCCTCTTCGTCCGCTGTGTTATGCACTTCCACTTCGTACATGCTGCTTCTCTCGCTATCGGCCTCGTGCTTTCCGCCTGTCGCTGACAGCATCCTGACATACGTTTGCCGTTCCGTGTCGTTCTTTCTCTTATTCTTCTTTTTCTCCCGCTTCTCCGTCGGGCGGACGACGACGACAGGAACAGGCGAGTACTGCAAACAATACTTGGAAAAAGAATTGCGCGTATTGACTAGACCTTGGAGGCCGCCGAGAGACCTGCCTCTCGTGCCAACAATGAGCATTGCAGGTTGGTGGATTTGAATCTGAAAGATGCCAAAGGTTAGCGCCTATTCCACCACCACTTGGCAAGAGGGGCCGCTCCACGACTCTACTCACCAGTCGCTGGAATGTCGCGTGAAGCTTTCCGCTCGCGTACTCCAGCACGATACTGATGGCCCGGTTGAGACCGTTGCGCTTCAGGATGCCATCCATGACCTTCTTCGCCTCTTCCTGGTATATCTTATTGGTTTCGGCGGCTCGTAGTTCCTTTTCAATCACACGCACACAGACAACCTCGTCTCCATCGTCGACCAGCTCATCGAGCAGCCACTGCAACGCATAGTCGGAATAAGCATGCTCGTCGACGCCGACCATGAAGGTCCGCGATCGTCGTTGCGCCTGATACCCTCGGTGTCGGACATTTAACGTGAGCGAGAGCGTATTGTTCTTAGTTGCCTCGCCCAGCGGTAGGTTATCGAATGCGACATGTGACTGGAATCTGTCAGGCACAGAGGGTTGAGTTAGTGTCGCCATTAGGTATCTTAACGTAGTTTGGGGCAATTGGTTAACAAAAAGGCGCAAAGGGGTTGGTGAGACGGTTTGTGGTAAGAAAACTTTCGAGTTGAGAAATGGAGAGTGAGAAAGCGACGAGACCGCTGGTCAGAGTCAAGAAGGGGGAAGCCGAAGGGGAGGTTGTGGTTTGGTAAGAGGCAACCGGGATATAGGAAAAGGACTGGGCGGAAATGCGACAATGACAGCTGCTCCTCTCCTCTGCGGGGGACGTCACGGTCGCTCCAGGCTAAGGGTGGCTGTGGAGGATAAGTCGATGAGCGCCGACCTCCTCCCCTTTGTGAACCCGAGAGCACCTTAAAGAAAGAGGCACAGGCAGGTGCATGCAGTGGGGTAGCGGGGCAACGATGAGCGACCCTGGCGAATAATAGCGACCAGTGCTGCGTCATCCGGAACCGGTAAGGTTGCTGTCGTGTGATGTCCCGATGGAAAAATTGCAACCTGGCGAGCATGCGACACGAGGACAGAGTAAACACCAGCGTTCGTCATAGCTGCCAGGGGACTCTCTCTCCAAGTTCGTCTGACCACTAAATTGAAGTACTCAGGGGATGCCTGTTGGCGAAAGTAGGGGTCCATCGCAGTGACGCCGGCGGCATTGTTCGGAAACTGGAAGAATGGGGAACCGTAACAGACCGAGGCCGCTGCTGGCCGAGTGGCCCGACCCCGCCATCCCGATCCTGACGCTGCAGTCGGCGCCCGGAGAGGGCTGTCTGAGCAGCGACGGCAACTCCTGCATCCTAGGCGCAGACTATCTCTGGGGCGGAAGCTGAGAACTGAAGCGGGTACCAAGACGGCCGCGGCCGACGAATAGTCAATCCACGGTAGAGCAAAATGACCAGATCTGCGGCATTGCTGCAGAGAAGGTGGCCGTGGGATTGACGTCTTGGTCCGAGGCTTCCGGGCTAGTGGAGGGCTGCAGAATCGACGCATGTAAGGTGAAACCAACGACAGCATATAAATAAGAGTGATCCCCGAAGCCACACTGCAGCTCATCTGGCAGCTTCTGCCAGTGACGTACTTACATCGGTTTGGCGTAGATGCGACAACTCCACGATCTCACACGCATCGAACAGAAAGGCCCCATGACCAAACCTGCCACTTGTGGAAAGCACCTATGGCAAAATGACACAATGTAGGAAAAGAAAATGACAACCAAAAGACAGGAAGGGGACGTAGTGCGCCTACCTTTCGGGGGGAGGCGACGAGGCCCTGATACGCTCCTTGTCCGTCTTCTTCTGGTTGCCCTGAGGCAGCGACGGGTTCCGTAGCGGCGCAAAGCTCAACGACGCTGTCGATGACCCTCTTGGCCTTCCTCCATATGATTCGGTCCGTGACGATTCAGCAGAAAAGCTCCCTGTTGCGCTGTCGAGGGGGGAGGGGCTTGCGTAGCTCGAAAGCGTCGTCGCTCGGCTCAATGGCTCTGCATCGTTGGCCTTGATCTCGTCATCCTTCCTCTGCGACTCGATGGAGAAGTAGTCCGATTTTGTCTGGTCGGTGGGCTGCACTGGGGTCCCGGGCGAGATGTCGGAATCGGGGCTTTGGACGCTGAGCATAGAGCGAGGGCTGGGCCCAGTCATGGTGTGCCGACGTTCTGTTGCCGTCTTTGGCTCCCACTGAAGGTCTGGAAAGGACAGTTTCGGTGACGATGGTGAAGAGCTGCCCTTGCTGTTCTTTTTTTTCTTCTTGGTGCTCTGCGGAAGCAAGAATACACTACGCCAATTTTCTGATGGCCTCATTGAAGGCGTTACGGCTGTTGTGGAATCGATGTCAGCATGAGTGCAGCGGCAAAGCAATCGTTCCAGCGGAATTCGGGATCAGGCAGATGGACTGGGTTGAAAGAGGTCGCTCAACGACCCAAATGGGTCATGCGACGAGCTTGTCTTAAGAGGGACTGAAAAGCAAAGTGTACAAGAGGTGGGTGGCTGATGGTGGACTGACCACACCGTCTGAAAATGGAAAGGGGCGGCGTATGTCGACTGAAGGTTGTAGCTCGAACGGCGACTGTCAGGTCAAAGTGTCTCGTTATCGGATAATGCCTGAAAAAGTTGGCAGGTGTTAAGAGGATAGGAGGCGAGTTGCGAGTGAGGGCGACCGTATGGACGGAAATCGGAGGAGTTTTTGTTCTCGACAGGATTTAGTCCTTGGTACGTGTAATGCTTAGTTGAGTGTTGAGTTTACGTGGTTCTTCTTTGGTCGTTGCTAAAAGCAGGAGAGGAATTGGGAATAAAGTCTATTTCGACATGAGGAATATGGCCAGCAATGCCAACGAGGCAATGTTCGCAGGCGCAAGCGGCGGCCTTTAGAGAGACAGAGCTCTCTCTCTTATGGCGAGCGGCACAGCGTAGGAGGCGGTTCCGCCAAGACCTGTGGGGCTTCACAAGGCACAGGAAAGCGCGAGGATGGTGTTGTTGTTGGATGGGAAGCCGGAGAACGGGGTGTGGCGTAGCGCGGCGGCGCGAGTCGAGGGTCAAGAGTCTAAGTGATGACAGACCGTGTCGGTGAGCAGGTGATGTTGTTAGTCGATCCGGATGATAGCTGCTGCTGGTGTCGCACAGGTGTGTGGGAACTGGGGTGGGAGGCGGCCGGGGCGATAGAGCTGAGAGCTTGGCTGGCGGGTGGCAGAAGTGCAGCGGACACCGACGGAGAACTTGGCCTCGGTCTTTGAACACGACTGGCTGGAGGTGAATGGAAGGTAAGGTAAGGTATCGGTAAGAAGTTGAGGCCCGTTGCGATCCAGGCGGTTGGATGCGGTGGATGCGGAATGGACAAAGTATATCCGTGAGACCGGCGGCGTGGAATGGGCAGAGAATGAGACAATCTAGCTGGAAAAGAAGCTCAGGAATGGGGTAAAAAAAGTTTGGGGCCCAGGGCATGCGTCGGTTGTGACGAAGACACCAGCAGTCTATGAGGTACTCTGTATTCGTACAGAAACTCAGAGAGTAGACAGGCTGGAGGTTGCGGAGGGCTGGACTGGTCTAAGTACGGCCTGGATGCTTGAGCTTTTCGTGTTTGCTCTGTTCTGTGCTCCTCCTCCTGGACCAGCTCTAGAGCTTGTGCAAATTCTCGAGAGGGTGACGCACAGCTCCAGCAAGACTTTGGAGGGGAGGAGAGCAGCAACGGGCACCAAAACAGGGGTTAGTAACGGTTGATACCCTGGTCGGCCAGGGTCGTCTCGGCTGGGGTGTCTTTGCGGTGGATGGACCACGCACAGAGGCCACTCGACTTTGACTATCCTCTCACACCCACTCTGGATGAGAGGGAGGTGAGGATTCAGGACGGGAGGGTGGAGGAGTGGAGTAGAGGGCTCGGGAAGCTGGTGCAATGCGGTGTAGCAGGCGAGAGCAGGGTTGGGGACTTGGAGTTTGTTTGATGCCGTCGTGTCCAGGCTTAGAGTACGCGCCAACACTAGAGTTGAGACTTGCGCGTGCACGGAGATGTGCCGGTGGGTTATGTACCTTACTCCTCCTGATCTGTCATTCAATGACATTCTCTCACTCCCTTCCTTTCTTTGGACATATTTCTGACAGCATGAGGTAAATCTGATCTGACCAAGGTACAACTTAAAGAGCCGATAGATACATACAAGTTATGTACTCCCGGTACATCAGATAATTGGGAAAGAAGTGTGAGAGAAATGTGCCTTCCTGGGCACACCCATCTCTCTCAGCTGAACCTTCCTCAGAAAAGGAGAGGGCAGCAGGAGCTAGGCACCTGGGCCATCCACAGGCACCAGCTGCACCTGCTGCATTCGCCGCACCTGATATCGACTCGATGGGCTGCAGCTTCCATCCATCTTGGAAGGAACCCCCGGTACGGATACCTCTTGGTCCTTCCAGTTGCCAGGTTCCCCAGGCTGAGATTGGGAAAGTGCAAAAGTGCATGCCTTTCCTCCATTCGCATGCCTTAGTAATCCATCTTGGATCGTGTTTCCCTTCAACCCGTCTTCCCTCGCGTCCCGACGACAACACCTCCCGCTTCGACATCAGACAGCGAAATTCACATCCCCCGGCCAGGCCGCAAGATACGGCAGTTTTACGACCACGGCCTCCGAGACTCCCATCACCTCCAGCAGCACCGGACCTAAAATAACCCTGGGAACACAAGTTACACCACCCCAATCTCGCCAAGACCGCCCCAAATACCGAGCCCAATCACGCTCTCTGCTCTACGGCGTCTCCAATGCCTGAGCTGACTCTAATTACACATCAAGACATCCAGCTTTACCTTCAAGCTTCTCGGGTCCCGTTTCCAAGCACCCGCCCTAGTGCCCATCCCTGCTGGCCGTCTTGACTCTTCCCAAGGCAGGCCACTACGGCTTACTTTGTACAGTAGTCCTTCTCCACCAGATGCTCCCCGTCGACACAAATCAACCGTGGCATCCAAGAATCTAGGAGTCCCACCAACGTGGATGGCCAGGCGATAGCTGAAGGAAATGCGCCAAGCTGGTTAACGCTTCTGGCGGGTCTTCCTAAGGATATCTCATCATCCCCGAACAGAACCAGTGCCATTCAACCAGTTCGGATTGCAGATACCCAGGCGCATGTGGGTTGGTTCGCACCAAGCACCGGAACCAAGAAGCATGAGCTTCCTCATCGCAGCCGATGCACTCTCACGTCTGCCCAGCCAGCCTCCGTGTGCTAAGACTGTAGTCTTCGCCGCCTTCACGCGACTCTTTGCAACTTCACCCCTCCCTCCCGCGCCCCTCGTCCACTCGTCCACCTCCAACAAGCTCTTGGCAAACCACTAAAACACATCGGCCAATCTTTCCCGATCCCTAGGAAGAGGGAGAAGACAAAGTAATAATCTGAACGAGCGTTCGAGTCGGTGTGCGCGCGCCGCCCGAAGCTCCTTTCTCTCCTCCGAACCTTGCTTTTTCTCATTTCTTCTCGTTAATGAGTCGACATGCTTCGTCTATGGGCCCCGGTCCGCAACTTTACAACAATTCGACCCATTCAGTCCACACTTTGTGCCCAACGCCAAGCGTGAGCCAAGCCAACCGTATCTCTCTGCCTTCTTTTCGCTACCCTTTCGTCTTTTCCAAGTTTGCAGGATACTCAGTCCGAAGCCTGGCTTAGTCCCGTATTGGAGATGGGGACAGCGGCTCATTCCCGCAACCCCTCTTTCGGCGCACAAATCTCTTGGCCAGGAGGCTGGAGCCCAGGACCCATCAATGTCGCAGGAAGCCGTCTTGGTCACAGGGGTACAATTTGAGGGGTCGGCTAGACCACACTCACGCTGCAGACGAGACAACGACGCAGCCCTGGGAAGTAATAAAATAGAGAACAAAAAGGGGATGCGCTTCCAAGACACCAAGCCGGCAGGCACAAGCGGTCGGGAAAAGAGGGAGCCCATGCCAAGAGGCCCAATATGAGACGAAGACAACGTCCACTCTTTGCCTTTCCACGCCATTCGGCAACCATCGCATGCTACAATGATGCCATTCGCAGCCTATTGGTCAGCCCAGAGCTCCGTCCCGTCCTTCCGACGTTGCTTTTGCCTTGGATAACCTCTTCGCCCTTGCTGATGTACCACCTCTCACCGACACGGTTCCCGCAAAAAAAAAAAAAAAAAGCACTCGCCATATGCATCCTGCAGTCTCACCGAAACAGAGGTGCAAGGTTATCTATCTGGAGCGAGCTGACGGACCAGCCAAATCACTCATTTGAGCCACGAGGCAAGCGGGGCAGAGCGTTTGCCTGCCATCTATCAAATCTCAGCTTGTCGATGTTAGCCTGCTCCCGCTGCCGTCGCCGTCGATCAACGGAGGGAGCAACGGGAATTTCCGAAAGATAACAGCTTTCCACGAGCTCGCCATAGGCAAGTCGATGTCATGGACTCCCGATGCGCCCCGACATCCTGCACTGTCGCATGGTGATAATGGTCTGTGGCCTGCAGTGGATGCATTGCGAGGTCTGACAGAGTCGCTTGCCTGCGGCAAATGCCAACAACTTGCGGCACGCATGTCGCAATCAACCATCTCGTCCAGCGCGGCTTCCTCCTTGCCTCGTGCAGCATCCCTATCTGACGTTCAGCCGACACCAACCAGGAAGAGCGCCTCATGCCGGCCAAGCCCAGCGTGCTGGCAACCTCATCGCAGAAACCCACGCAGAATTCCACGATTGCTTGCGTAAGTTCGAACGTAACAATACGTACTGACCGACCTGCATGCCGATCGGCCTGCAATAGCCGAGCTCCAGACGTACATCTTCCATATTCTCATGCCCGTTTGTCCCAGCATCTCAGCCACCGGTCCGGAGGCTGCTGCAAGACGGTCCAAAAAGGCGACGTCAAGCGCGACTCGTGATCCTCTCTATTCGTCCCTCTGAACTCACACCAGTACGACCCCAACAGTTATTGGCAACCCTAAGACAACCAGCATCATGCACACACATACGCACAAGCACGCATATAGGGCAAAGACTGACTCGCAGAGGACTCAGCCAAGACACAAGAGCACGAGTTTAGGGCAGCTAGGGAAAATAACGTGAGACACCGTCCAACATTAAACGTCTAGCTTCTGGTAGGTGGCACTTGGTAGGATACCGGTGCGGGCCACTAGGAAAACGGGAATAAAGCTCCAGTTTCCTTGCGGACCATCCCGTCCCCGTCCCGACCGACAATTTCCCCGGTCTGCCGACGCGACGTCGGTACGGAGGCACTACCTGAATTGGACTATCGTCCACGGCGGGCCCCGCTTAGTGTACCTGTATCACAATATGAGCATCATCGATGCGGAATCCTTCTTTCGTGGGGGGAATCGATTGTTCTTGTCCCTTTGATTAGTTGTTTCTCGGTTTCTGCTTTTGTGGAACGGGATTGCTTCACACTCTCCGCCAACGCAGTCTCGCCGACCACCAGCTCGCAAAGGAGTGCCAAATTGCCTCATAGAAGCATGTCCATCGCGTTTCGGCGTGTTTGCTCCACCTCGGCAAAGCAACCCGTCTCGATAAGAGTATCCGCCAACCAGTTCTGCGCGGACAACGTTGCAACCTTCCCCAGACAAAGCGCCCTTGGCATGCTTCTTGTCGAGCTTCCTATCAGGTTTCACTGCCTTAACAAGTCTGGCGGGGAAGCGGGGAGATCACTGCAAGCGTATCGCGGGAAAGACGGGAGACAACGGTAGTCATCAACTTTGCATCTATGGAGCGACTAAGTGCTTGTCGAGAGGAACGGTGCATATTGAACCATTCTTGTCGGCATTGGACTTTGCTACCTTGGGTAATTCCGGTCTTGACCTTGTGGCTCGGAATTGAAGCTCAGATTTCACGACACACTCTGGCCGATCTAGCTCCCTTGTACGACGAAGTCCTGGTGTTTGACCATGATGTTTTGTTCAGCTGCTCCCGACATTGGGCTCAGCCTTCTATCCTTGGCGGTCCTTTAGCACGCAGATTGCTGTCGCGAGTACTCTGGCCTCCAAGAGCTTCGGATGGATGTCGTACTTTGAATTCTAATTATTCATTCCTCTTTGGTTCACTTCACCCCGCCCAGCCAACCAGGTCCAGTGTTCCAGGAAGCAAAGACGCCTGAACGCCGTAATAATGCGAGCATCCCTCTACCGGGCCCTCCCATTTCTTCCCAAGTGCGCTTTTAGCCACTTCTCTGCCTTTTTTGTTTTTCCACCACCCCTTCCGGCCTCGAATCCACAGGTAACGTCGAGTGGATGAGGGGAAGTTTCTCCACATCTCCGTTGGCAGGTCCTGGTAACTACACGCATACGCATATTGCCCTTTGCCAATATACACACAGCCCTTGGGTATCTTGCTACCCTTCTTCCATGTCTTCCTCGCGGCCAGCTGCTCGTCCACCTTGCCTCCTGGTTTTATAGGGCCCTAAGTATATCCCTACGACCGCTCAAGCGTACGTGCGGGACAGGTTGCGGAGGTACCAGTCGACCAGCTTGCGGCCGACCTTGGCTTCCGAGATGTGGATCAGGTCCTAAGACGCGGCAATTAGCATACTGTCACGAAGTGTGCAGCTGAGATGGGGGAAAAACTGCGAATTCGGAAATACTTACACCCTGCATGGCGTAATCCAGGTCGCTGACGTTGATCAGGTCGCCGTCCAACAGGCTGGGGTGGTCGGTCCAGCGCAGCTGCTTGGTGCGCTGCTTGTTGACCAGGAGCCAGGAGCGGAGCTCGTCGGGCTTGACCTCGAGGAAGCCGGCCAGCTTGTTGAGGTCCATGGTGGTGTAGAGGCGGAGGTAGGACTTGACGGTGGGGCTCATCATGTTGATCTTGACCTCCTCCATGAAGACGGCGAGGTGGTGCTCGACGGGGTCGATGTTGGACTCGGGGTTCTCAAAGTCTGGGGGCACGGGGGAGATGAACTTGGGGCAGGCGGAGCGGAAGAGCTCCTCAAAGATGGGGAGGGACTCGGGGCCGCCGCGCTGGAGCTTGAGGAGCTGGTCGCCGTACTTCTCGCGGAGGGCGGAGTGGATGGTGTCGTCGAGGCGGGTGGGGTGGAAGGCGACGCAGATGGCGATAAGGGCGTACATCTGGTCGTTCTTCTTGGTGATGGAGTCGTATTGGGCGTTCTTTTGGAAGTTCTTTGTGCGGGAGACGTAGACCAGGATGTGGGAGAACATCTTGATGGCGTCGGCGTAGCGGTGCATCATCATGTAGGAGAAGCCGACGTAGTAGTAGGTGGTGAAGTGGGCGGCCATGACGCGGGCGAACATGGCCTTCTTGTTGAGCTCAATATCGTCGAGCGTCTTGAGGGCGAGGCTGAAGTCGCCGAGGAGGCAGTGGACGCGGAGGAGGCCGATGATGGAGAAGTAGCCCAGCATGCGGTAAAGGTTCTTGCTGCCGTACTCGCCGGCGACGGCCATGGGGTCCTCGTTGCGGCGCATGGCGGCCAGCTGCTCGGTGATTTGGGAGCGCTGGATGAGGGAGTAGAGGACGTTGAGGACCGAGTAGCAGCCCCAGGTGTTTGGGTTCTCCTTGAGGACCTGCATCTCCTCCTCGTTGTTGCCCTGGCGGGCGATGCGCATGCGGTAGGACGAGAAGGAGTTGAATTGGTAGATGAACTCGTCGATGACGTCCCAGGCCCAGTAGTACTGCGTATAACATATCAGCCTCGTTGACATATAATAATATGACTATCGCGACAGCAACGAAAAGAGATTGAAGATGGAAGATGGAAGATCGAGACTAGATGACATGGAGGGGGTGCCTTACCGAAGGGGGCTCGAGGTCGACGGGACCCTCGCTGTTGAGGATGAAGTGGAACAGACTGCAGTACGAGTCGTAGCTCTGGAACTTGACCTCGAGGGGCGCGGAGAAGTCGAGCGGCTGGGCGGCGGCGGCGAGACGCGACTGGATGTCGTCGGTCTGCTGGGCCATGGTCAGGGAGTTGACCTGCTCGAGGTCCTCGCCAATGTTGTCCTCATACTGGACCTGCTCCTTATAGTCGTTGACGAGGGCCTCCTCCTCGACGTCGCTGTCGTCGTCGACGCGGACGGGCCGCTCTCCGTTCTGGTAGCCGCTCATGGTTTGTGGTTTCGGTGATTTTTCGGTGAAACTATTCCCACACACACAAAGTGAGGTGACAGGAATAGATTGGGAAAAATTAAAGACGTTGTCCGGGGTCCGAAAGAGGGAAGGGCGCGAAAGTTGGCGATGTCTTCAACTTTCGAGAGGTTTGAGAGGACAGATGGGCGGTCGGGTCGGAAGGGGGGGAAGGGGATCGGTTCGCTCGACAGGGTGGGGTTTGGGCGGACGAGTCGAAAAATTTCCTTTTCGCTGGCTAATCCCGCGGGGGCTTTTGCTGAGGTTATCGCAGACCGTTTGGGGAGTGAATTTTTGGCGAGTTAGGGTTTGTTGCACCCCCCATAGAGCGATGTGTGGAGGCGGGCTTCCTAGGGTGATAGGTAGCGGGTGTATGCGAATAGAGGGTATTAGAGGGGTACTGGCCCTGGCTCTTTTTCGTTTTTTTCCCTTTCTTGGAGGGGTTCGATGTTTTGGCGGGGTTGGTCCGCTGAGGTAATTCCAACGTACCTGGCAAACGTCTATTGAATCGCCCGAACCACCACCCCTCCTTCCCTGAGCCGCAAAGCAGTGGAGGGGGAAAAAAAAAGACTGCATAGACACAAACACTATACAACATTACTCATCACAGCGCCAGCTCCCATTCACTTTCTTTGGGATTATATCAACCCCCAAACACACACCTCCCTGAGACTTGACAACAGCTGCAGACCAAGCACGACAAGAGTCACCCCTCGTCCGTGCAAAACTTCTTACAGCAGGGTGGCGAATCAGAGCGATCCTTTCGTCTCTCTTGATCTCGCCTGAATCCTAGTTGGGCGCGGCCTATTAGTCACAGACCAGGACCAATTAGTTGCCGAATCATCATCACCACTTACCAGGGCACTCACTCACTACTGCTGCCACCCTGGCCGACGACATCATCTGCCTTGAACAAACACACTACATATACTCAGGTACTGGCTTTCACATACTAGCCAGGGAGAGGGAGGCATCATACCGACGTTCAGACCTGCTCTCTCATTCACTCGGTTTCTTTCATCTGGCCTTGCTTTCTGTCCATAGATCTTTTGATACCCCCTTGAACACTCTCTTCTGCGACCCTTCCTTTACTACATAGCCGCCCATCATGCCTGTTGTTACACCTGACAAGCTGGCTAGCCTGCAAAGGCATGCCGTGGATGTACGCAATGTAAGTTGAGTCTTATCACACAAGTCTCTCATCTCAGTGACTGATCCCCAGCAGATCTGCATCCTGGCTCACGTCGACCATGGCAAAACATCCCTGACAGACGCCCTCCTGGCAACAAACGGCATCATCTCACCCAAACTCGCCGGCAAGATCCGGTACCTCGACTCGAGACCCGACGAGCAGCTCCGAGGCATCACAATGGAGTCCTCTGCCATCTCCCTCTACTTCTCCATGCTGAGGAGGTCAGCACCCGACGCCGAGCCGGAAGCCAAGGAGTACCTCATCAACCTTATTGACTCCCCTGGTCACATTGACTTTAGCAGCGAGGTCTCCACCGCTTCGCGACTGTGTGACGGCGCCGTCGTGCTCGTCGACGCCGTCGAGGGCGTGTGTAGTCAGACCGTCACCGTCCTGCGCCAATCCTGGACCGAGAAGCTCAAGCCCCTGCTCGTCGTCAACAAGATTGACCGCCTCATCACCGAGCTCAAGATGACGCCCGCCGAGGCGTACACCCATCTGAGCAAGATCCTCGAGCAGGTCAACGCCGTGCTGGGAAGCTTCTTCCAGGGTGAGCGCATGGAGGAGGATCTCAACTGGCGCGAGCGAATGGAAGAGCGCGTCCAGGCGGCGGCTGCCAAGGAGGCCGGTCTGGACTCCATGACCGAGTCCGGAGAGCTTCAGTTTGAGGAGCGCGACGACGAGGACCTCTACTTTGCGCCGGAGAAGAACAACGTCATTTTCAGCAGTGCCATCGATGGCTGGGCGTTTACCGTGCGCCAGTTCGCCGGCTTATACCAAAAGAAGCTCGGCATCAAGAGAGATGTGATGGAAAAGGTGCTGTGGGGAAGCTTCTACCTCGACCCCAAGACCAAAAAGATTCTGGGCCAGAAGCATCTCAAGGGTAGAAACCTGAAGCCCATGTTTGTTCAGCTGGTTTTGGAGCCTATCTGGACTGTCTACCAAGCTACAGTCGGCGGCGACAACAACAGGGGCGACCCCGCGTTGTTGGAGAAGATCACCAAGTCCCTCGGACTCACCATCCCGCCTCACATTATGCGCTCCAGAGACCCACGGCTGCTTCTGACCACAGTCTTTGCGTCCTGGCTTCCGCTGTCGACGGCCATGCTGGTCTCCGTCATCGAGTCCCTGCCATCACCTCCAGCGGCGCAAGCCGAGAGATTGCCCGAGATGCTCGAGGACGTCCCCGGCTCAGACGCCGTCAGTGAAGAGATCAAGGATGCCATGGTCTCCTTCAAGACCGGTCCATCAGACCCCATCGTGGCCTACGTCAGCAAAATGGTCTCCGTACCCGAGAGTGAGCTGCCCCAGAATAAGCGCAAGCCGGGCCAGTTGACCGCCGACGAGGCGAGGGAACTCGCGCGCAAGAAGAGAGCAGAGGCGGCTCGCGCTCAAGCCGCCGCCCCCTCCAGCGGGAATGCAGTCAACGATCTCACGACGGCGCTCGAAGAGGTCAACCTGGACGGGTACGCCCCCGAGTACGAAGAAAAAGAAGTCGACCCCGAACATCTCATCGGCTTCGCGCGCATGTACTCGGGCACGCTATCCGTCGGCGACGCCCTCTGGGTCATCCCGCCAAAATGGTCCCCCGCCAACCCCAACGCGAACCCGCAACCAAAACAAATCACCGTCACGGCGCTGTACATGCTCATGGGCCGCAACCTCGAAGCCCTCGACTCCGTCCCCGCGGGCGTCGTCTTCGGCATCGGCGGCCTCGAGGGCCACCTCCTCAAGAACGGCACCCTCTGCAGCCGCCTCGACGGCGCCGTCAATCTCGCCGGCGTCGCGACCCTCGGAAAACCCATTGTTCGCGTCGCCCTTGAGCCCGTCAACCCGGCCGACCTCGACAAGATGATCCACGGCCTCCACCTCCTCGTCCAGTCTGACCCCTGTGCCGAGTACGAGCAGTTTGGCAGCGGCGAGCACGTCCTACTCACTGCCGGCGAGCTGCACCTCGAACGCTGCCTCACGGACCTCAAGGAGCGCTTCGCCCGCTGCGACATCCAGGCCGGTGCCCCTATTGTGCCTTATCGCGAGACCATTGTCCGCGCCGAAGAGATGCGTCCCCCCGCGAACAAGGACCTCGGCCGCGGCGTCGTCGTCGGCACCACCTCCTCCAAGCAGGTCTCCATCCGCCTCCAGGTCCGGCCCTTGCCCTCCGACGTGACAGACTTCCTCCTCAAGAACGGCGACGTCATCAAACGCATGTACTCGGACCGCACCACCGCCACCTCCCAAGGCGAGACGACGGAGACCGCAGGCACCGCCCCCGGCGAGGAAAAGATCGACGTCGACACCGACCTGACCGCCGCCAAGATCATGTCCCTCGACGACTTCAAACAGGGCCTCCAATCCGCCCTCGAATCCGGCCGCGGCGGCCGCGAACACTTCAAATCCGCCGTCGACCGCATCGCCGCCTTTGGCCCCCGCCGCACCGGCCCCAACATCCTCATCGACTCGACAAAAGAAGGCCTCCTCGCCAAACTCTTCTCCCCAACCTCCACCGACCGCGACGGCGCCGGCTCCGCGGCGCCCCAAGCAGACGAGGCCCTCCACCCGGCCCACGTCGCCGACAAGATCCCCTACGCCTTCCAGCTCGCCACAGCCCAAGGGCCCCTCTGCCACGAACCCGTCCAAGGCATCGCCGTCTTCCTCGAAGACGTCATCATCAACCCCACCGACGACGACACCACCGCCACCGCCCGCGACCGCCTCCCGCGCCTCACTGGCGAAGTCATCAAAACCTTCACCGCCTCCCTCCGCGCCGGCATGCTCGACTGGTCCCCGCGCCTCATGCTCGCAATGTACACCGTCGAAATCCAAGCGTCAACAGAAGTCCTCGGCCGCGTCTACGACGTCCTCACCCGCCGCCGCGGCCGCGTCCTCTCCGAGGCCATGAAGGAGGGCACCCCCTTCTTCTCCATCCAGTCCGTCCTCCCCGTCGCCGAGTCATTTGGGTTCGCAGACGAGATGCGCAAGCGCACGTCGGGCGCCGCGCAGCCGCAGCTTATTTTCGCCTGGTACGAGGTGCTCGACCAGGACCCCTTTTGGGTGCCGTTTACCGAGGACGATCTCGAGGATCTTGGTGAGCTGGCGGATAAGGAGAATGTGGCAAAGAGGTACATGGATGGCGTCAGGAGGAAGAAGGGGTTGTTGGTTGAGGGACGGAATGTTGCGAGAGATGCAGAGAAGCAGAAGACTCTCAAGAGGTAGTTGGTCGTGGGTTTGGAAATGCCACATTGATCCAGCCGGATTCGGTGGTGATAGGAGCGTGCTTAACTACCAATGAACAAAATGAAAATACTTGTCACCAACGTCGCTCAATCATGTATATATGGCCCCTTCAATAAACCACCGTAAGCTGCTCCTCAAGCAACTTGTATGAGGTATTACCTCGCCCGTCTGGCGTAGCAATACTCATCCACGATCACGACTCAAGTGTACAGCGCTTATTTTGTACTTTTTTATTTCATTCCCTTGCCTATCATCTATTTTGCATCTCCCGCAAGGGGGGGTTGGGGTCTTACGTCTCCCGTCATCCACTCCCCAAACAACACTCAAACATTTCATTCGTCAGACCCGCGTGCGTTCCATTTTAACCACCCTCGGCAGCAGAGAAGAAAGAAGCAAATAAGCCAGCTCGCCATCATTTTTTTTTGGTATCGAAGGGCGAGAGTAGAATAGTGAAATAGAGGAGGAAAGGGAGAAGAGGGAGGGGGTGGACATTTCGTGGAAAGGGAGTCATTTCAAAAAAGGATTGCAAGCGGGTAACCATCATCAAAAATCGTAGAACAGCCATTCGTCCGTCTGGGGGAAAATTCCACAACTGGGGGCGAATCATCTATCGTTGCACTGCAGGTCGCGAAAGGGTGAAAGAGAGGGGGAGGAGAAAAGAGTAATAGAACTTTGGTTGAGATTTTTGTGATTGGATTCCTTGAAGCTCCCTGTTGTCACTGGGAGCTGAAAGAATCCTGACGGATCGGTAGGTTTCTTCGCTGAATCCCCGAGAAACCTTTGGGCGAAGGATCTCGAGCACAGCAGAGGGAGAGGACAAAAGAAAGTGAGCAAGAATAAAAAACAACATTTGGTCATGAGCCCCTTTTCTTCCAACATCCATGAGCCCTTTTTTAGTTACCACTTCGCAAACTCCGATGAATGCGTGCGAAAGTGCACGCCTTCTCCAGTCGTTGAGTCGAGGAGACCTATCTTGCCCGAGGATAGCAAGCCACCTGTGCCAAAGACCGCAGAGGGTGCCGAGTAAAAGGAAAGTGTTTTTGATTTCCTTCAGCGGATCCGCAGCGAGCCAATTTTTCGTTTGTTGGAAAGCAAAGTATCGGAATGGAGAATTCATGCCCTTCAAGCCCCAAGTAAGCGGTTCGTGGCGTAAAGTCGTTCGTCAGAATCGTATTCGGAGTGGTCTGGGTATATGTGACGAGAAATGTCGTCTAGGCCTCGCAAGCAAACACGCGGGCGCATCTTCTCGTCGATAAATGCGGACTCAACTGCGGTCTCAACCACACTAGGTCCGACCGGACGCTGAAGGATAAATGGACTGCGCATGCCGGCCTCCTAGGCGGCGCCCCGGGGGCCAACGTTGCGACGGCCCTTGTTGGGGACCGTGGTCCAGCCGTCGTCTTCCACAGGGGCGGCATCGCCAGACTCGCTGCCAGCGGTGGCAGGGGCCTGCTTCTCAGCGGCAGGACCGTTCGAGCGAGGAGGACGGCCTCCCTCGAATCGAGCACCGCCACGGGGTCCACCACGTCCACCACGGGGTCCCGTCGGGGCACCACGAGAGGCTCCAGATGATCTCCAACTGTTGGCCTCAGTAGCACGAGACTTCGGGGCCTCCCTGGGCTCTCTCGGCTCCTTGGCCTCCTTGGGCCTAACGGGAATCTTTTGCTCCTCGGATGTGCCGTTCTCCTTGTCGGCAGCACTCTCTTGGGCAACCTCCTCCTTGGGGGCCTCCGCAGCCTCTTTCTCGGCCTTCTCCTTAGCAGCGGCCTCTTGCTCAGCCTTCTCCTCGGCCTCCTTAGCGGCGGCCTCCTTGGCAAGACGACGCTCCTCCTTGGCCTTCTCATCAGCCTCGCGCTTCTCCTTGATCTGTTGCTGCTTCTTCTCCTCAATCAGGCGCTCTTTCGCAGCAGTGTCAATAGGACGGGCAGCACCGAATGGGCTAGCCTTGGAGTCGGTGCCGGAGGGGGACGTAACGTCGGGGGCCTCGGAAACAGTGCGCTTCGCCAAGTTCAACTTGGGGCGGCCAACAGGGGCGGCGGGAGCGGCCGAAGGGGAAGAAGGCGCCTCACTGCCGTCACGGGACTGAGCAGCATCGGGACGCATCTTGGTTCTCCACTGGCTGTCGGTCTCAGCAGCAGTGGGGGCTCTCTCGGGGCGGGGAGGACGGGAGTCCTGACGGGGTCCCTGACCCTCGCCCCAGGCAGCGGGGGACTGGCGGCGATCGCGGAACTCGCGGGGACCATCGTTGGTGCGGGGACGGCTGCCGTCGCGAGAGCCAGAGCCCTCCTTGGGAGCAACGGGTGAAAGGGGGCCTCTACGCTCCCAGTTGCCAAAGTCGCGGACCTTTCCGTCGTCCTCGCGGGGCTCGCGAGGCTCACGGGGACCACGGCGCTCGCCAAAGTCGGAGGGGCGACGGTCGTTGCCACCACGTCCAGGCAAGTCGGGCAGGGGACCCTTACGGGACCAGTCGCTGAAGTCGCGGGTGGATTCGCCGCCACGGTCACCGCCACGAGCTTTTGGAATGATTAGCATTTACCTTTGGGTCATGCTCAGGTCATGTACTCACGCGGATCGGCAACCTTGATTCTGATAGCACGTCCCTGGAAAGTCTGGCCATCCAGAGTCAAAGCCTGCTTCAGTCCCTCAAGATCCTTGAATTCGGCGTAGGCGAAGCCCTTGGGGCGCTGCTGCTCCCGGTCCTCGATGATGCGGATGCTGATAATATCACAGCCCTCGAAAAACTCGTTGACGGTCTCCTCGGTGGCATCGTAAGACAAGTTGCCAAGGTGGGCAGTGTAGGGGGGTCTCTCAGGGAGCTGCTGGGGAAGGTTCTCGCGGATGGAGGAGTAACCGCCATAGTCTCCTGCACACTGATCAGAGGCGTCAATTTCCACGTGTTGAAGATGAACTCACTTCGCTCGGGACGGTCACCACGGTCACCGCCGCCGCTACCCCAGCCACCTTGGCTGGGGCGGTAGCCAGCGCGCTCGGGGGCGGGGAGAGCCTGAGTGCCTACGGAGATATGTCAGTGGGAAGAGAACATTGTCTGGTGCGATGCGAGCCTAGCTGGCAGAGTTGCCGCATACCGGCTACAAAATGTTAGCATTTGTTCCGCAAGCGACTCTTGCAGCGCAGCGAGAACTCACTGTACGTATCCTCGACCTCATCAGCCCATGATCCGCCGTAGCCTGCAAAATGTCAGTCGATGGTTTGCCACGTGATGGTCTGCCATGTGATGATCGAGCAAGATGAGAAATGGCGGTCGTTGCTGTCGAGGGAGCATATGTGACGGGAGTTGTCGAGGAGGGGTACGACTGACTGGAGTCCTGCAGGAAGTCGCCAAGGGCCATCTTGACCTGCTCCTTCTTCTTGGGCGCTATGATGACACGATTAGTCTTGGTACGTCATGGAGGTGCGGCAGCAGTTTGCGACGGCGAGCAGGGTAGCACAAACCCATGATTGCGGTGTTGAGGCGGCTTCGCGCGTCGAATGTAATCGATGCGCGATGCGGAGAGTATGTAGGAAAGCCGAACGGCGCGGCTGTTCGCTAGAGGCGCGGGTTGGTGGGAGTTGGTGCGGAGAGGATTGGAAATGTCCGAGGGATATTTCGCAGGTCGTGGGGAGACGTCGCCCAAAGGGATATCTCGTCACGCCGAAGGTGGATGAAGTCTTTTCTGATTGATACGTCAGAGGGTATCGGAGACGTAGTAGACTTGGTAAGGCCCAGCTTGCGGTGATTTGCTGGGGCTGATAGTCTTTTTGGGGGGGGAGGAAAGGGTCGAAGTTTTACCCGCGCAGCAGAGAGGCAGAGGGTGATTGAAAGTTTGTGAGGGTTGGACAATTTTCTCGAGGTGGCCAGGAGTGGGAGGCACTAGCCCCGCCGCGGCCTAGCTCACATTTCCAACCTAGCGCCCAGCCAAATACGCACGGGCCAGAGGCCCCGGGAAAACCCGTGATTGAACAATCCCATTTTAAGAGAGGGGCCTTTTTTTTCTCTCTGGGCGGATCCGGAGCCCAGTGCTCCCTGTGACTTCAGCGGTGGGGGGGGCCTCAGCGTTTCCCGCCTGCGTTTCCCCCCTCCATCCCTCCCGCCGTTCACTCCCCCCTGCCTGCCTGACCGTGCCCTGTGCTGTGCCACGGGCGGCCCCTTCACTGTGAAGGGGGAAAAAGTGCATGATGTGCGCTTGACAATCTTCCCCGCCTTTCTTGCATCTACCGGGTATCTACGGTTCAATCTGTTTTGAGCCGCACGAAACATTTGCGCAACGTCGCCTCCTCGCTTGACTAGTTCCGCCCCGTTTGATGCATCTATTGCAACCCTGTGGAAAGCTTCCAGAACAACCGACATATCTGATCGGGGCCACCATCTGTATTCCAGGCCATCGTCGTCTGTTTTTTTTGTTTTTGTTTTTGTTTTCTCGCTGTAACCCAGCCTCGGAGTCCATCATCATGTCTGATGAGGCAAGAGACGGCATAGAAGAGCCGAGGCGGAGGCGGCAGCCTCGTGGTTTGCTACCACCAGGTTTGGTTGACCTTTTGGGTCCGCCCCTGAAGGTTGGTGCCATGACTGGTGAGTAGAGACGTCTGAAGAAGGAAATCTTCGGGTTGACTATCCAAGGGCCGCTTCGTCTTGTTTCGGTATATGGTTCTATGGCTCACATTTCCGATAGGGACTATCGGCATGTTCAGTGGTATTGCAGCCGGCATCATCCGTGACTCCACACCAGCTCTGTTCGCTGTGGCATCCGGCATCCAATGGTTCGCTCTCGGTTCAAGTTATTGGCGTATGTTGCTGCGAACCTCTCCTGTTATATGAACGCATGCTGAAGCCATCATGATAGTATCCAGGTCTGTGGTGATGGCCGCATGGGGTGGCGAAGAGAACCTCTCCAATTCATCCAAGATCCAAGCCAGCGCCATTGCGGGAGGCACGGCAGGAATGGTCGGGGGACTGATTCGTGAGTAGCTCCTCGCCCCATGATGGATGGTATCCAACGTTCGATAGGTGGCCCGAAAAACATCATTCCTGGAGTCATCGTCTTCTCACTCATTGGGGGAACGGGCCAAGCCTTTGTGAACGCCGCGCAAGGCAGACCCGAGGTCACGGAAAAGAAGAAGAGCATCTTCGAGTCAAGTTGGAGTCCCCTGAAAAAGCTCTCGGATGACGAGTACCGTGAAATGATTGATGAGAAGATGCTCAGGATAGACGCCGAGATCGCTCTCATTGACGACAAGATTGTAGAACTTCGGGCTGCAAAGGCAGCAGCTCCTCCTCCGCCTTCAAAGGACGCATCACAACCACCAGATGCTCGCGAATAGGGCATTATTCCTTTTCATTCGTCATGTATAACTCTGTCAACTTTCAAACTGTAGACTGTATCAACAAGCAAGATTTCATTTATTTTCACAGACCGGCTCTTCCATGTATGTAGCATAGGGGCAATGCTCCTCCCTGAGGTGTGTATCAATGCTCGCACTGCGTTCTTCTTGTCAATCTCGTTGCACCACATGGAGGCCCTCGACAGGTCTTATTTGGCGTTGCACTCAACTCGAGACTATCACACTACCCCTGGCATCATTATCAAGCTGACGTTGATTGGCTAGGCATGCATGCAATCTAGCCTCTTGCGATTGGATACCAACTATTCATGAGCGATCCTCTCTAGTTCAAATGCCCCTCCCGCATCAGCAACGGCGCCACTTCGCAACGGTCATCTCCAACTGGCAGTGGCCCTGCTACCGGCCAGTTCATTTACAAATTATGCACTATGAGGCTAATCAACACCTCAACACTACAACTCGAAGACTTCTTCGACTCGGATCTTCCCAAATATGCCATCCTCTCACACACCTGGGGCACCGACGAGGTCACCTTTCAAGAATGGCTGCTATGGCAGGAAGATGACCTCGGCTCGCGGAAACGAATACACTCCAAGCGCGGGTTCCAAAAGATCTCCAACACGTGCCGGATCGCGCGGCAGGAGGGCATCAGCCACGTCTGGGTCGACACGAACTGCATCGACAAGAAGAGCAGCGCCGAGCTTTCAGAGGCCATCAACTCAATGTTTGCCTGGTACCGGGGCGCCTCCATCTGCTACGTCCACCTGGAAGACCTCGAGCCCGGCGGCGGCGGCGGCGGCGGCGTGTCCAAAGCCAATCTGCGCCAGTGCCGATGGTTCACGAGAGGGTGGACGCTGCAGGAACTGCTGGCGCCCGCCGACATGACTTTTTACGACGGCACGTGGGAGCCCATCGGAACCAAAGAAACCTTGGCGTATCCCATCGCTTCCATCACGGGCATTGACGTCGACGTCCTCATCTACCCGCAGACCCTGTCCTCGGCCTGCGTCGCCAAGAGGATGTCGTGGGCGTCTAGCCGCCAGACGACCCGGACCGAGGACACGGCGTACTGCCTCCTGGGCATCTTCCAGATCCACATGCCCCTGCTGTACGGCGAGGGCCATGAGGCCTTTCGACGACTGCAAGAAGAAATCATGAAGGTCTCGACGGACCAGAGCCTCTTTGCGTGGGACTGGACTGAGAAGACAATGGACCCCCGCCGCGACCTCTGGGTCACACTACTGGCGCCTCACCCATCGGCGTTTTCGGGTTGCGGCCAGGTCGTCAAGTGCAAGACGGGCGCGGATGACAACTGGTCCCTCGGCAAGGAGTTCACCATGACGAACCTGGGTCTGAGCATGACGCTGCCCCTGATCCGGACGGCCTCCTCGACGACGGTGTACGCGGCCATCAACTGCAAGCACGATGTGAAGAATCACGACGACACGGTGATTTGTATCCCGCTCTGGACCACGTCTTTTACGTCGACGTTTGGACGGCACAGGTCGAGACCGCAGGCGAACCTGCCGATCCCGCTAGCCAACGTATCGGTTCCCGTACGGTACGCGCGCCACCCCGGCTCGGCGTCGTATTTCCCGCGATTCTCCGAGCTGCCGGGGTTCAAGATGTCGAGGTCCTTCCAGAAACAGGTCCTCCCAGAGTACGACAGCGAGCGCGGGGCGCCCGAGCTGCTGTTCCAGCTCTTTTCTTGCAACGACGCGCTCGAGTCGTGGCAGGTCGGGGACGACGCGGACGCGGACCCCCAGGAGTACATCCAGACGGCGGCGCACGCGAGCAAGACGTTTGCTGGCAAGGAGGTTCACGCTTTCTGCGTGAATCTCGTCAATCATAACAACAACAACAACATCATCATCAACGGCGGCGGCCGCAACGGTGGCAGGGCGCGGCGGTGGTGCCTCATCATCATGTGGTGCGAGGCATCGCGGTGGAAGCGGGTGTTCTTTAGGGAAGACAAGGGCAAGAATGTTTCTCCGGATGCTCGGAAGCGGTTCATGGACTATTTGCTGGAGACATCGTGGTTCTCGTTGCCCGGGGACACGGCTACGTGTGATGGGTTAAAGGTTGAGGTCGGTCTCAAGCATGATCCTCCGAGAAATGGATACTGTCCGGTGGTGCCTCTGTATTTTGATAAAGATGATGGATGAATTCATACAAAGAGGATGGGGGTGACTTTGGTAGAATTTTGATCGAATGTGGCTTCAACAATAACGGATAGCCGTGTCGCAGAGTTGGAGGACCGCCGACATGACTCGCTTTCGCTGTCGCCATTGACTTATCCTGTACCTTAGCTTCGACGTTGGCTTCATTAATCTCTTGGACCTTGGTCCTCGATGTTCCAACGCTCCGCTTGACATCGTGGAGGTGGGGATCTGAACCTAGGGAACGAATTCGATTTTTGGATTTGAATAATGCCTATTGGAACACTGGTAGACCTACGTAGATTCGTAAGGTAGTTGCACGAAAGCCACGAACTTTGGACCATGAATCAGGCACCCCAAGTTGGCCCCGGGAGTCTACCTCGGGCTTGGCTGCTTGAGCTTGTCCAGCTGGATCTGGGGGAGGGGCGGGAGGCTCAAAGGTGTTTGACAATGGGAGCGACCTGCTCCTGGTCCTTGTGCATACCCATGCCCCCTGCCCTGCTTATCTCACTCACCCAGACGATAACTCGGTCTACGATTCTACAGTCTCTTCTGCTGTATCCCAAGTCCCTCGTAAGTCCGAAGATTCACATGGCATTGCAAGGTACGGATACAGAAAGGATATTGGGGAGGCGCGCTTGCTGCACGTGCTAGATCCTTAGAGCAGCCCTAGTAGAGCAGCCCTAGCTTCGGCGCTACCAAGGGGGCACCAGGCACGCTGAGGCGTAAGGCGATGTACCGTCCGATGCAGCGGCGCATTGATGATCGAGCATGAGCACGGCCCCCCTCCGATGCAAGTGATGCAAGTAATTGTTGAACTGATGGAATCCTGCCCTGGCTGCGGCTGGCACCGCGGTGGCAGCAAGAACCGGGGGTGCCGGACAGGTGGCCGGAGAAGTGTGGATACCTGGCACGCGGATGTCTCCACATTGGAAAAACGGAGGAGCCAATGACAAGGGGAGGGGGGAAGCACCGGGAGTGGCCGAGGATGGATTGGGATCGATTGGGACGGGAGTGAAGGGAGCCATAAATCCGGACTCTCACAGTTCTGTGTTATTTTTATTTCCATTCCATTGATGGTACTCATTTCTTGCCGAGCTGGAGCAGCGGACAATTGGACACATTCCCGCTCCATCATGTCTCTTCCGCCGTACGTTGCGGAGATAGAGCACCTTGGATCAATCCGGCCGTCATCGAAAAAGTGGGATGGCCGTCAACAAATGCTGGCTGAGTGTTCAATTTCCACCCGCCAAATTCCCCAACAGCCCTGTTCCTGGATTCCGTCGCCCCGTCCGTCCCTGAGCAATTCCAAGCCAAGCCAGGCCGAGCGTTCCTTGTCCCCATTTTGTCTAGGCCAGAGTCTTACCAATCGTCCTGTCTCTCGCTCTCGCACTAATTACCTGTGATAATTGTTGCTAGGTATTGGGTCCCATCTGAGCATCTGGGAGAGGGCTGTGTGTGTGTGTGTGTGTGTGTGTGTGTGTGTGTGTGTGTGTGTGTGTGTGTGTGTTGCGAGCGTTGTTCTCCGAGCTACTCCGTACTTACCTTGGGTACGCCATCGCGCCGTTTATCTCTCTGTCATTATCTGAGCTATCCGAACATCCGACCATCCGGACCACTCCTCACACACCCACGCACGAGACGAGTACGAATACTGCACCAGTGCCCAGGAGTCGGAAGTACCCCCATCACCTCGGGACTGGACCACCTCGGGAATAGGAACAAGGTAATACTACACAGCAGAGGCAAGAGCAGGGTTGCGTATGGACAGCCGCCTCGTGCCGAGCAATAAGAAAGCGACAAGGGCTTAGACGAACGACGTCTTCTCGCATTTCGCCAAGCGCAAATCCCAACTGCAAGTCCCGTACCCAGCCCACGGCTGCGTCACTCTTCTGCAAGACCTGCATCCTTCTGTCTGCACATCTTCCCTCCTTTTCTTTATACTTTTTTTTTTCATTTTAAAACTATAGCCAAAATCCTACGCGTCCAATCCAAGCCTTTGATTTATTCTGGTCTGCACGTCTGCTTCTGCCCGCCCCCAACGGAACGTGCTCTCTCTTTCTCTCTGTCTCTCTCCGCTCTGCACCGCGTTGCCGCCAGCTTACCCCAAACCACCCACCAACAACCCCGATCCCACCACATTTCCCTCCTTCCCCGGCCAACCCAAGGGATCCGATCATCAGTCTCACCCGCCGCCATCCGCCACTGCGACCGCCTGCGCGTTCTCTCTCCTCACCCTCGCGACTGGCCATCCGCACTAGATAGCACTGTACACCCCGTCGACAACTGTAACCGCGTAGGCGCCGAACTCTGCTGCAACAAAGCCGAGTGTACCTATGCACACACAAACCTACACCTCAAGGATCGTTGAACAACGACATGGCGCGCTCGGATTGTAGGAAGCGGAGATAAACGTGCGGGATACCATAGAGATCTGGGTCTTTTCCAGGTATGCCACCCGGCCCTTGCATCTCCGTTACGCTACATAGCCACTTTTTTGTCTCTTCGCATTCACTCTGTTGCGGGAGCTGTTGGGACTGACGTCGTCTTGGTGGTGGTGGTGATACAGATACCGAAGCGAGCCATAGATCTCGCGAAGTCGTCCAGGCGGCTCACTATGGCTCTGCTCAATCCGACCTTCCTCTTCGGCGTCATCGTCCTCCTCTACCTGTCCACCTTCATCCTCTTCGCCGTCGTTCGAATCCTCACCGGCGTATCGATACAGAGAATCGGCTACTTTTCCCTGCGGAGACTCGCGTATACCCCACGAGATGGATTCAAGATTGAGGTTCGGGGCTTGGGGCTCAACGTCCACCGCCCAACCTTTGCCCAGCCCACGTGGCTGAGCGTCGTCATCAGCGAGCTCACCGTTACGATCGACATTCGCGAACTCGAGGGGAAGAAGGGCGAGGACAGCTCGACCGATTCCGACAGCAGCTCCGATGCGGAGGAGGAGCCAGAGGCGCCGGCCGAACAGCAGCCAAAGGTGCCGCTGATACGTCGAAATGGCGGACCCCCGCCCCGGAGCGAGACCTGGAAGCACTTGATGAAGGTCAAGGAGCGGATGAAGAGGGCGCACCGCAAGCTCAACTGGCTGCGGATGGTGGACGTCGTCGCCACAAACTCCACGATCAAGGTCGTCGACGTAGGTGACGTCCAGTTCGGGAGCTTGACAGTCGCCGTCGACACGCGGCGCAAGATGGTGGACCGCGCCCGCTTCTTCTTCCAGGCTCGCAACGACAAGAACAAGCAGAAACAGCGGCAGGCGGAGTGGATCATGACGCTGCGCAGCGTTCTGTTTACACCAGAAGGCAAGGAGTCTCTCGAAATTCTCGACAATGCGACGTTGAACATACATGGATTTTTGTACGAAGCGCTGGACGGGCTGCGGGATGCTGCGATTGCCCTCAAGCTGGGCCGTGTTCATATACCGTACGATGATGTTCGCGTGTGCGCCGACCGCTTAAAGCAGTGCAAGTTGGCTGCGCGCTCGTCCACATTGTCGGACGAGCCAGCCGACGTCTTCATGGACAAGGTCATACACGAGGTCGCGCAGCCTGGCAGTACCAACCAGGACCTGATCCAGACCGTTTCTGATTCAAAGGAGTTCGTCAGCTCAATCTTGAGGGGCGTGAAGGAGGTCCAGTTTGCTGTCAGCTTTATTGGCATGACCAAAAGGGTGGAGTCCGTCAAGCCTAGTGCCAAGCCTGTCATGTTGAATGCGTCGATGAAGGAAGTTGGTATAGACTTGCACCGTTTGGATCCCAAGTCTCCGTCACACAGGATGTATTTTCCGTCCAAAGATATCGCCCACGAAGCTCTCGCTGCGGCGCTGTCCATCTCTGTCGGTGTCGACGATGGCGACGGAAAACCTGAGCGGTTGATTTACATCCCCATGGCGACAACGACTGTCAAGACGACGCTGCCGTCCAAGACTGTCGAGATGGCGCAGGATGTTGGAGCCGAGGAGAGAAATGCAAACATACTGTTCGCTAATTCCGTAGTTACGTCCCCCTCGGTGGACCTCGACCCTCGCCATTTGCCGCTCCTCGTCGCCATGCTGAAGCCGAGGTCCTCCAAGAGGTCACGATCTAGCCGTCAACCGCGGCATGTGCTCATATCACGACTACTGCCCAAGGCTAATATCAAGTTTACTATGCACGAGCCCGTCCTTCGAGTCGCCTTACCCGCAGTCGACCAGCACGCGGCTCCTGACGACTTTGACCTCATCATATCCTCGATTTCATCAATTTCACTCGACATGGAATCGTTCCATTCCACGGTGGAGGACCTGCATTATTCGCTCGCTTCAACCATGAGAATCCAGTCACACGAACTTTACTATCAGACGTCATCGAGTAACCGATTCGACTTGATACAGACCGAGTCTTTTGAGCTCAAGGTGCAACTCAGTGCTACTCCAGACGTTCATGTCGTTGCCTCGGGCAATCTGCAGACCTTCTCGATCAAGATGGTGCGCCCCGAGATTACCGACGGTCTCAGACAGATCGTGCGACAGCTGAGGTTGAACGTTGAGCCAGAAAAGCGTTCAAACTCACACACATCCACCAAGCGGCAGAACTTCCTTCGCGCAATGCCATCTTGGTTATTACAGTTTCAGCTCCAAGCATCGGATTTCAGCATCGAGATCGCGGGCATCGATGAAGACATCTCGGACGATACTCGCGGCGTGTCACTGCAACTCGACGAATTCTCCGCCGAGTATCGCGCGCAAAGACTCGAGGGGCTTCAACGAAGGCCATCGAGGCGCAGGGCTAATAGCCGTACAGTTGCCCCAGACTCAGACCTACTCAAAAGCCCAATCTCACCTCCTCCAAGGAAGAAGCAGCAGCAGAATCATGGTGACGGACGGAGGGTCACGTTTCACGTCCGCGGCCTCGAGGCTTACATTGTTGAATCCGAGGACAGGGTCGAGCTGGAGCCGTTTGTCAATATGCCGCGGTTCGAGGTTGCCTTCCAAGCTATGAGTGACCAGCAAGGTCCAATTTTCCACATTCATGCCGGTATACGGACTGTGCTCCTGCAGTACTCCCTCTTCCGTCACTACTCCGTTGGCGTTGCCATCATGATTCTACGGAAAGCCTTCATGAGGTCAGGTCAAGATGTTGGTTCACCGCCAATGTCACCGACAACGCCGCGGAGAGACGGCAACACCGATTTCCTGGCCCCTCCAATGTCGCCAGGGTCTCCCTTTATCGACATGAGCGACTACTCCACCTTGACGCCTGAGCTTGTGGCCGTCGACCTCAAAGCGGCCCTCGTGCAAATCAAGGCCGAACTGCCCAATGATCCGCAGTTGATGGTACAGGTCTATGGTGTCGAGGCTGGCCGGCATAGGTGGTCTTCGCCGTATCTTGCGTCCAAGCTCGTTCGAGTCTACGTCCAACCGCCTAGAATGCGAGGCACTTGGGCCAGAATGATCAGCATCAAGGGAGGCCGCGTCGACTATCGCAAATCCCGGCGCAAGCTGACCAACGGTGAATTCCAAGAAGACAAAATGATTGACGTCAACTCCGACGCTATCCGATTCGCTGTACCCCATGAGGTCCAGGTCAATAAGATTTCCGACAATATCATCAATACACTTAAATCGATCAAGCAGCTTCATCACCGTTTCAAGACGGAGACGAACGAATACATTCTCGACAAGGTTCCTGACGGGCCAAAGAACGTCCCAAAGGTCTCTGTGCGGACACGCTCACTGCTCTTTGAGATGGAAGATGGCGCTTTTGAGTGGAAGCTGGGAATGATATACCGCGCAGGTAGAGTTGAGCAGATGCAGAGACTTGCTCGTGAAGATGCTTTCGAAGTCAAGAGTAAAAAGGTCCGCGAGGAAGAATCGAGGAAGGAATCGGGCAAGCTGCGTGCTCGCTCGCTTTTCAACAGGGGACGACAGCAAAACGGTGCTTCATGGGCCAGGAGCCAAAGCGCAGATGGCCGACGACCCAGTAGCAGGGACGAACGCTCACGGGGCAGAGCACCACGATACGACCCCGACGGCGGAGGCGTCGGCCTTACTGGATCCTCCAAGGTCGCTGAACAGGAAGCGCGGGCAAGATTGGATGCTTACAACGCACAGAGTTGGAAGAAACGGATTGATAGGTTCTACGTCATGGCCAAGAACGGCATGAAGGAGATTCGAGGTCTATTCTGGGGCCCTGATCAGCTTCCTGACGATCTAGAGGATACGGAGAACATACTCGAAGTGCCACAACGGCCCGCACTCGCATCTGCTCTCATCACCGATCTCCAATTCGTTATTGACAAACCTACATTTGCAATGAAGGATCTGCCGGACTTTATCAACTCCGTCGGAAAGGGGATGCCCAAGGATATGAAGTACGGATTGCTCGTCCCGATGCATGTCTCGCTCGATGTTAGTGAGGCGAGGATATCACTGCGCGACTATCCGCTCCCCTTGATTCATATCCCCAGCTTGAAGGCGGGTCAGTCAACGAGGCTCCCAGCTATGTCACTCAAGACCAACTTTGTCATCGCGGAAGAATTCCGAGGCATGGAGTCCACCAGGCGGATCAAAGTCAACATTGTTCCTCCTCGAACCCACGAGCCCGGCGGTAGCAACGAGGGTGGCTTCGCGATCGACGTCCGGCGGACCATTGGACCAGTCAAGTCATACTCGGATATGCGAATCGAAATCAACACAGCTCTACCGACAAGAATCACTTGGGGCCCAGCCTACCAGCCAGCTATCCAAGACATGATGATGGGTATCGAATCCTTCACCAAGCCCCAGATTGACCTGTCTGAGAGAGTCGGTTTTTGGGATAAGATTCGTCTCAACTTCCACTCCAGAATACACATAGCGTGGAGGGGCGACGGCGACATGCACCTGGCGCTCAAGGGTACACGTGACCCGTACTGTGTGACAGGCGACGGCGCTGGTTTCTTGATGTGCTGGCGCAACGAAGTGAAGTGGAATATCAATGCCGACGACGATCCGAAGCGATTCATGACCGTTGACTCTGGGGAGTACGTTCTTGCGATACCCGACTACAGCCATCAGGTCCGAGAAGCTGCGAGACGCACCGGAGAAGACGACAGTCTGATGAGCGAAGACAGCTACAAGTCCGGGGCATCCTTCAAAAAGGTGGTGATGAAGCTCTCCGGCAAGGTACAGTGGATGGCCGGCATCGTCTTTGAACGCGCAATTCAGGACGGAAAACGCAGCTTCGAATTCCGACCACACTACGATATCATGCTGCGGGCTCCTCATCATGTTAAACCAGAGGACCAGCCATACGATGCGTTCCGCGGATTCCGAAGCCAACATATCCACTTGTCGATTGCTGTTCGAGCACCAGTCGACCGTGACTGGATGGCGAACAACGTCGAACCATCTAGGAGCTACAACACGGTCCATTGTACGCCTCGCTTTTTCACTCACTTCTTCGCCTGGTGGTCCCTTTTCGGCGGTGCTATGGCTTTGCCCGTCCGTCAAGGTCCACTCTGGCCGGGCAGGGAGAGGAATAGCAAAAAGTTCGGCAAACATCTCTCTACGATCAAGTACAGTCTCCTACTGGCACCGCTATTCCTCAGTCACATCTACAAGCATAAGGATGTTGAAGATGCTTCGGACAGTGGAGTTTCAGCAACGGGTCTCAAGGTTAGATTCGACAGCTTCATGCTAGATCTACACCAGAGACGGGAGGAGTTCAACACCCGAGACGGCGGTCGCAAGACCAAGGGAAAGACGAGCGGTATCAAGCTTCATGCAGCCCAGCTTGACCTGGCGGCGGCCGATGTTCGTGCTGTTTCGGCCAGCATACGGGGAACAACAACAGAAGCCATCAAGAAGGGAACGATGGCTGACTTAATTATAAATCAACGCGAGGACAGCGCAGACCTGTCACGCTTCACCATTCCCGACAACGACTTGAGTTGGATCGACATGGACGATTTCGTAGAGTTGGATTGGATTCTGCCCACGGAGCCGAACCCCGATACCAAGATTCTTCCACTCGCTTTCGCGCCGCGTTTGACATACTTCCGACAAACTGACATTGGCGGCGTGATTGCAGGTGATCCGGACCGCAAAAGTCCGTTTGGCGACGAGCCGACTCATTTCTGTATCATGAGCCACGATGACGAACCCAAAAGAGTACAAGCACAGCTTATTCAAGAGCGTTTGGTACAATTGGATGCTCAAATCGAGAACTACGGCCGCAGCCTTGGGGAAGCCGAACTCAAAGTTGTGCGCGACGACGGCAAGGACCCGAAACTGGTTACGGCGTTTGAGAGTCTCCAGCAGCAGGGCGGCATCTTGCAAAAGAAGAAAGCTTACCTCCAGAACATGCTTCGTCAAATGAACAGCAAATCGCCGATAAACGGCAGCAATCCCTTCAGGAGAGAAAGCGAAAGCAGCATATCCGAAGAATCGGTTGGGCTGGATAAGGACGACTCTCTCACTATACCCTCGGGCGCCGAATTTGAGAGTGATTTCAACAACCGATTCGTGATTCATAACCTTCACTTCAAATGGAACAACACTCTCCGAAATGTTGTGCTTCGTTACATCCACCAGGTTAGCCAGCGTAGAGGTTTCGTCTACTACTTGTCTCGCCCTGCAGTAAAGTTCATCCTAGACATTGTGGAAGAGCAGTACAAAGCAAAGCAAAACCCGAAGCCTGCGAGCAAGAATAGGACACCCACTGGAGGTGCTACAGCCGGTGCTTCTCCCGACCTCGATGCTGCAGAGCGCGAGTTCAAACAGGACATTGAAGATCGCATTAAGAACATTCTAAAGGACGGCAAGAAATACGTCAACGCTGATGGAAACGGTGGCGAAGAAGTGCCCAATGTGCCCATCGACGACCTGTCAAGCGGTATCTCAGACGAGTTCACGCCGCAGAACAGCTATCATGTTCGACTCATTGCCCCACAAATCCAATTGCAAAGCGACAAGAATAAAAAGAATGTTGTCATTCTCACATCGAAGGGCATGGAATTGAAGGTTGTCGAGGTCATGGACAAGAAGAGACTTGCCGACGTCGTCAGCGGTCTCGTACAGAGAAGATTCCTCGTGAACATGGACAGCACCCAATTCTTCGTCACTCACCAGTCATACTTCTCCGAAATTGTCACGACATACGCCGGCAGTCGATACGGTACCCCTGCAACGTCATCATGGCCTCCGTGGGTTCCCATGGAAGTCATGTTTGACTTTGAGACAGATCCTTTCGGCTTTAACAGAGTGGTGCAAAAGACGTCCGCTATGCTCCGCTACGAGAAGTACAATACTTTACGTCTCAAGTATAATGACGAGGTCAATACCGAGGGCGCTGGTGATTCTTCCCAACCCAGCAATGAAAGGAAGATGGACAATCTTTGGGTGGAGTTCCCGCAGGCCAGAGCACTATGCAACTCGGGCGACTACTACGCGATGTACGTCATTGTACTGGACCTCCTTATGTACAATGAGCCTCTCGAGAAGACACGAACAGAGCGCCTGGAGAAGATCATGCTGGCCTCGGACTTTAGCGACCTCAGTGGTACGCCTGAGATGGTCGAGAGGCTACAAGAGCGCATTCGACAGCTTCAGGACATCAAGTCCCACTTCCAAACCTACTCCAAGTACATGGATCAGCGTGGCTGGGAGGACAGACTCGTTCTCGAACGAGACCTGGTCGCATGCGAGGACGAGTTGTTCTTCATGATGAAGGCCATAACGTCTTCACAGCGGAGGTACGAAACGAACTCGGAAAGCAATGCTCTTCTGAGATGGAGCATCACAGCACGAGACACGGTGTGGCATATGCTTCGAGACAACAAGGAACCACTGGTCGAGCTGCAGCTCAAGGACGTGGAGTATGATCGCACTGACAACGCGGACGGGTCGCACATCAACTTGATCAGGGTCGGAAAGGTCTTTGGACTGAACCTTCTCCCCGATGCCATGTACCCGGAGATCATTGCGCCCTATGCCGAAGGCGACAAGGGTGACTTGGGCAATCAAGAGATGATTCGAGTATATTGGCACATGCTTGAAGCCATAGCCGGCATCCCTGTCATGGATCACTTCGAGGTCAACTTGTTCCCCATGAAGATTCAACTGGAGCGCGAGATTGGAAAGAGGGTCTTTGAGTACATCTTCCCGGGTATCGACGGTGACAACAAGAACAAGAACGACTCTCCCTTTATGCTCAAACACCAGCCTGCCGAGGACGACGAGGAAGACGACGACTCAATGTCTGGCTCTGGTCGTCTGACGGCTAGCGATAAGGATGGATTCAGCACACGGCCGGGTTCGCTGGAACTGCGCCTGCACCCAACCCTGAACTCTGACTCTCCGACGAAGTCAATAAGCAGCAAAAAGTCTCTCACGGTCAACACGGGCGAGGGTCAGGGCCACACGTTCCGTCTCTTCCGGTCGGTCGGTACTGGCAAGGTTCCAACCAAAAAGCCTTCTTACGAGTCACTCAGGTCAACAAAGGAACCTCGTCCCGGAATCGGCCGTTCGTCAACCGGCTTCTCCTCGAAGGAAAGCTCGGCTCCCGGCGATAAAAAGTCGCGCTTTGGCCGGCGCAAGGAGTCAAAGACGGAAGACGGGAAGGCGTCTGACGACCTTACCAAGATGATGTCGCGCGCCAGCAACTACATGACCTTTGCGCACATCAAGATGCCCTCGGTGGTGCTCTGCCTCAGCTACAAGGGCAAGGACAACCGCAACGTCGAGGACGTGCACGACTTTGTATTCCGCATGCCGGCGGTCGAATGGCGCAACAAGACATGGTCCAACCTAGACCTGGCCCTTGCTCTGAAGAAGGCCGTCATCAAGGCCCTCATCTCGCACACGGGCGCCATCATTGGTAACAAGTTTAAGCACCGCCCGAGTAATCCACAAGCCAGCAAGCTCCGCGAACTAGCCAGCGGGTCGTCGCTCATCGCGCCCACGCCTTCGTCGTCGTCCCAGCATGACGCCGAGAGCATTAACAACAGCGACGACTCGTCGAGCTTGTACGGCAACTCGCCGGTAGACTACTCCCGCTCACCACCGCGCTCGCATCACGGCAGCTCGGCCAGCAGCATTCCCATTCCGCGTCCCACCAGTCGGAGTTCCAGCGTCGCGAGCGGCCTCTCCCGTCGCACGGGCGAGTCGAGCTACCAGCCACAGCAGCCCGTCGTCCCCAGCTTCCTCATGATGACGCCGCCAACGCCACTCGACAGCCGGACGCCGACGCAGGGGCTGGGCTTTGAGCTGCTGCGACCTTCCAGTCGAAGTAGCTTGGCACCATTCGATCAGGCTGGTGGCGGGACGATTCGATCGCTTTCACGGTCTGGGACGGGCGCGGAGTCTGGGGAGCCGAGGAGGTCGGCGGGGAGCGGGTTCCTGAGGGATAAACTGAATGCGCTGACGCATCGGAAGCGTGATGGGTCGCAGAGGGAGGGGAGTCCACGGGAGGAGACGCCGGAGCGAGAGGAGGATCCGAGTGCTGCCGCGGCAATAGCGGCGGCGGCAGCAGCGGCGGCGGCGGCGGTGGTGCCGGAGAGTCCCAAGGGTACGAAGCGGTTTCCTGGCCTGAGCCGGGTAAAGACGGGGTCATAGTGAGTTGACTGAAGTTGCGAATCATAATCGAAAGATGTTCATCAGAGCAAAAAGGGAGGCAAACACACCATGTATCAGCAAATGGGAGGCGGGATTTAAGCATGCTTGCCGAGGATAGACTGGGAAAGAGCGGGAAAGGGCGGCACAATATTAGATTTGTATTTTTTCTTCGCGAGAGAGAGAGAAACAGGGAGGGGGGAAATAAATACCCGGCGTTGGCTGTGGAAACAATCATTCGTATTTCCGACGTTGATATCACAACCGCATTGTATCGTTTGTCGGTCTCGTTTACTACTCTTGTGATTTATCTGGGATTGACGAGATGGGGAATGAAGACGGGGTACATGAGGGGGCCCAATGACCTCTAGAGAAGAGGAGAAGACAGAAAGGGGATGGCAAGGCTTTGATCTAGGCTTTGGAGGGGGATTTACTGGAAATCAATTCTTTACAAAGTAAAGCCTTGTTTATTGAATAGGTGTTTTGATATCTGAGGCCTGCTCTTACTGAAATCTCTCCAGTGATGATTTTTGTTCCAAACCTCCCACTTCCGTGTTGATGATGATCATGTGTCAGTCTCGTGTAGTATTACCACATAGGATATATACCCACGCTAACAAGTTCTGTCTCTGGAAGGTTCATGTGCTACCGGATGGATTATGAGACACGCAGGAATGGAAACTCTTGACGAGATGCGAACCAGATGGAAGAAGATTGGAAAGGCTTTGCTGGAGTAAGAAGCCTTCCGCAGCCATTATCGTCATCAAAAGCAACACCCGAGTATTCAGAATATCATGATGGGTTTGCACAATGTATTAATGTATATACACACGAGAATCTTTTTACCGGTGCGTCTGTATAGTTGACCACGACCCCTGCAGCGGAACGGAACATGCGAGCCCATGGAGGTGTACCCAAGTCCGGGACTGAACGGGATGAAAGGGGGGAGAAGTTGCTGGTTGGCATGATCACGTCGGACCAGAATGTCGAATCGTGCAAATTACAGTCGGCAGGAGAGTTCAGCCGGGTCTGCAAGGCATAGCTAGGAGTTATCAGACCACAGTAACACCTGTTGGCAACACACCGGCAGACTCATAGGAAACTCGAAAGTGATGAGAGACTTGATATCTCCCTCATCCCACAATCATTTAAATTCCCTGCGGGAAACAACACTCTGCAGCTGTTCAACAAATAATTTCAACAAATGGTGCGTCAAACGGGACGCTCTCAACGCCAGGGGGGAAGGACCGCCAAAGATTGGCATGTTGTTACATTCTCCACACGCGAGGCTGTCTGTAGCCCAACCACCAGCGAAGATGGTAGCGGCGCGGGGAAGCGCTTGGTGAAAGGTCCCTTCCCCCCTCTTGAAGCAACTGATGACAACTTCAGAACGCCGCGAACTTTGGCGAAGGAAAAGGTCTAGACTTGGCGAAGAGGCTCACTGGAGGACACCTCGTTAGTCACAACCAGTTCTTGTGTCTACTGCAGCTCCCTCTATATGCCCCACGAGTGTGCCTGATGGTGGCAGGCCGCGTCGTCGAGGCAAGAACGTGACAGCCCGTTTGGATGTCCTCGACTAGGAGCACCCATACTGATGCCTCTGCTGATGGAGCACATGGCTGTCGAGTGTGGGCATGAATAGTAATAGATGGGAAGCACGTGAGGTGTGAAACCCCGCACAAGACAAGTCTTGAGGGAAACCGGAATAAGTGTCCACAAGACTACAGGTAATGAGGTATCAGGCTACTAGGGATTTTGGAGAAGGGGAAGCCCATTTGACGGGTTTGAGTTTAGGACGAGGGCCGTGCGGAAGTAGAGAGCGCCGTTGAGATCCGGAGCCGTGTTTTGGGATCTTGGCGCTGATGTTGGTGTTGGAGTCGCGCAGTCACCTAGAGTTGCTGTAACTTGGCCAACGGATCACATCGGAACCTGCATCGAAGCCTGTGCGGGCCGCCAATGCTCGTGCCCCCATTTCGTGCGCGGCGGCAATGCTATGCGTGTTCTTGGCTCAAGGCTGTCGAGTAGTGCATGATGAGCCGTGAGAAGGGAGCGAGCATACGTGGGAATCTTGGACAAGCGACGAATACCGGCGGCTGTACAATATCCCTTGCGTGCCTGGTGTTCACACATGTCCTTTGATGGTTTTACCCCGCAAACCACGTAGAAGTTTACATGTCTAAGGATGGCTCCGACTCAAGTCCTCCTTGACCTCCAAGAACCCACAACGACCATCCCCGTTCCCACCCACACCAGCACCAACGCCAGTCGACAATGCCGGTGTTGTATGACGCAGGGTTGGGGGAGAAACAAGCGAATCAGAATAGAGCGATAAGGCAACATCTGAGACTCCCGTGAGGGTGTGGGATGGCGTCGCTAGATTCGGGGTGGTGCAGATGATGACTCTTGCTCGCGCCTGGCCATGCGCTAAGTCTGGTCGGTTTTTGAGCACGCACAATATGTGTAAGCGGCAGGCTGGCCTGGTGTTTGAATATTGTCTTGTGTGCTTCTGTAAACCCATCCCATTTGGGGGGGAGTATACCTGGCCCGTCTCAATGATTGGTCCATCATGTACACAACGAATGACGGGCAAGATGGTCGGTTGTCTGCTTTGTGAGTTTGAACTGGGCGTTCGCTGCTGGACCGACAGGTCGCATTCAGGCATCGATAGTCGATGCAAAAGACCGAATCGGTTACTGGATGTTTGCGGCATTGATCGGGATGGAAGTGATGGGCGGCCAAGATGGCGGGGTAAGACGGACAAGAGAGGTGTGAGACAACGAGCACTGAGACAGCCCTCGATATCATTTGGAGGCAGCCCTTCGATGATTACCACCGTAGCCGCGTGGCTCCCGGGCTCTATGGAAATTGCCCTTGCTAGCGAGACACACCTCAGCGCACAACGTGACAACCTACTCGCAATCCAGGACTGGTGATTCGTATTATGCACAGATTCTGGAGCCTTGCCTAAGTTTTGGACTTTGTGGCCGAGGTGAGCAACAGGCCAGGTTGAGTCGAATTTTGATGCATGCCAACAGTCAAGGAGTTTAAGGTGTATTGCCCGAACTGTGGCATGATGGTTGAATGAGCGAGCTCAGCATAATCGGACTCATGGGCAGCTCGTCCGTAACCTCTTTGCACGAGCCTCAAGTTTGCTCTCGTTGTCTAGGAGAATGTGGTGATGCCACGTCCGACGGTGCTGAAAGCGGTAGAGACGCCCAGAGGATCGACATAGACCATGGCACGGGTAGGATCCCGTATCGGTTTCCCGAGGACTATCGATAAACTCTAGCCAAGTGCTGTTGGAACAAGCAGACGAACGAGGGCATGGCGCCTGGAAAGTTGGGCGCCCATCAGAGCGGATGGGACGGAAAGCGAGATAGCAATGGCGCTAAGGCTAGCCCAGTGGCAGACGGTCGAGGTTGGTCTCCCTTGGCCTGCCTGTCTCGTCGAGGAGAGTTGATGGTATAGGTCGACAGGGATTGGAGAAATGGAGAGGAACGAAAGGCAATGGAACGCCTGCGAGCTAGTGGAGGAGCGAGAAAGCAACACACCGTCGCACGGCCTAGTATTAACCTGGGGTCGGAGAAGGCCGATAAGAGCAAGGGACTGCATCTCCGACAACGGGGCCGATGATATGGGCATTGGCTCTCGGGTTGGGCTCCGTCCGAAGTCCCAGGCGCGATAGTGGACACGACAGAATGGAAGTTCCGGTGTGTCTCGCTTCCCCATCATTGCTCGGAGCCAAGGGCCGAGATCTAAGATGGTCAGAGGCATTAGCAACCTCTACAGATAATAGCAGCGTCGGATAACTAGGGTTCTTGCCAGCTCAGGGCAGCGACACGGCCCAGATGGTTGCTAGCAGCTAGGTTACCAGTATTCACACTGGCATGGTCGGCCGGGACCTGCGGTGGTGTCCAAGGCGGGATGGAGGGATATGGAGGGCCTTCGGAAAGATGTGCAATTGGGCCTGAGACTGTTGGAGAAGATGGGGATGGGATGAAAGTGTCGATGGGGAGGGATGGTGGCTTGTGGTGTTGGGTGGGCGCTGATAAGAAGGACGAGCAGTATGGAAGTTAAGTGTACGGAGTAAGGTACCGAGATACCTGCGTACCCGCTTAGATATCCACTAGGTTGATTGCACTAGCATAAAAGAGTCGGGTCGCATAAAATGACAGGGGCAGCTTGTACACGTTGCATAACAAGGCTGGACCTTCCACCTCAGCTGAGCTCCGCCTTCCAACCAGTGGCCAGCTTTGCAGGCAGGCAGTGTGGAGGCAGACCATCAACTGCAGTGCCGCAATGCGGGCAGGAACAGCGAGCCAGGAAGTGGGAAATAAACGGGTCCGCGAAGCTCCGGCGTCACCGCCCACTGTCTTGAGCTTGGCTGTGGTGATGCGTCTTACATAAGGCAGTTGATTACTGTTTTATCCCTGACGTAATCTCGGCGCTGTCATTGGCTGGTACCAAAACAGCGAGTGGCGGCCCGCCATTTCCACAACCGTCGACGGGGGGCCACCCGTGATCGGGTCAGCCGGGGGCACTCACACGGTGAGACCTTGCTGAAGAGTTGTGGGATTGATTGTCTTGATTGTCTTGGACCATGCCGCTAGACATCAAAAGTCCACTATTATGACGGGCACGCTCCCGTCTGCCACTCTTCCAGAGCCACTGATGAGCGCAAAGGGGTCTATCCAAGCCTGTGGATCGTGTCATTTAGCGCATGGAGGGAGGGCTCCGTGCTTGTCAGTGGCCGTCGGTTATGTCCTCGACTTGTTACAGCAGAATAGACCTCGGGCATTGCCCGCAGTGCACAGTTGCAACTTGTGAGTACTACGTAGGGCAGGTACTGAAAGATGGGAGTGGATGAGTAATACTAAGACGAGTCCCGGAACTGGGGTGTGTTGCACCAAGATGACAAAGTGGACGGCGAGTGACTTGATATTGAGAAAATGGACTGGGGTTGCAGTCAGGCGCGTGACACTTGGATACAAGTATCTGAGTGAGACTGGGACGGAGAGACACAGAAACGGGAGAGACTGAGAGAGTGTGACCCCCGTGGTCTCCATTCCCCGTGTTGAGTGTTCCCCTTTGGCCGTCTTGGACCCCCAAATCTCATGTCACACCAAACTCTAAGCCCAAAACATGCGGGTGAAAGAAAGGTGACGCTGGCAAGTAGGGAGGGGAGAGCATGGGGCAAGGGGATTGGAGGCTTTGGAGTTCTTATCAGTAATTTTGCACAAGAGTGACAATGGGAAGTAAACACTCCCGCTTCAGCCCGGGCCTGTGCGGCCATCCTTCGTTCGGCCTTGCTTTCTTTGGTGACCGGGTACGAAGAGAAACATCTCCAAATCGGGCAGGCAGGCAGCAAGGCAGGCCGGAGGTAGCAAACGAGGCAGGCGCACCTTGTTCCTTCTTCTGCCTCGAGGTACTTCCTGAGTTCCTGCCTCCCCAGTTACCAAGTCACCAAGTCGACACGTACCTCATTCGAATAAGGAAAGGCACCTTACCCTCTGGCAGAAGGTGAGACGGGAAGGAGAGAAGGGGACAAGAAGGAAACAACATGTCGTCCCTCAGGTCTTCTTCCTCAGCTGGGATCGTGGTGTGAGGTCGTCCCTTCCCTGCCTGCTTCGCCCTGGCTTCCTTTGCTTTGCCGCTTCTTGCCCCCCGTGCCTCTAGTCATTCAGCCATTTACGATTGACCTCTTCTCTGCCCTGACTGCCGTGCCCCGTGCTGAGGTGTCCAGCTCAGACACCACACCACACCACACCACGACACGGGCACCCTCGACACCTTGCAAGTCGAGTCCTTATCTCTGGCCTCCCATCTTGGCCTCCCGTATCAGGGCTATCAGAACACAGTCCACATCCACGGCCCGTTTCCTGCTGCCTTCCCAGGTTCACGTGTGCTTCGACTGCCTCGATGAAGTGACATATCTGTAGTAATCACTCGGGTCAACACCGATCCAGTCTGATTACCTTTTTGTGCTTGGCCACCTAAAATCCAAGAGCCGCCCATCTTGTGCCTACCTCACGGTTTGTCTTGTGTTGGAAGCCATTCCCGACCTCCTACTGTGACTGCGACGGTGGCTACGCGAGTCGCTCTCCTGTTCTCTCACTTCGCCACTCTTCAACTTGTGGCCTGTCGTCATCATCCTCCTCGACCAAGGCACTTCTCGACTTCGACTAATACAGACACTCAGCCGGTGCGCTTTCTCTCACAGACGCGATATCTACCCCGATACCCTGGATTGCGGCCGTCACAAACTACAGCCCTTCCGAGACGAACCTCCGATTGCTCGTACCATACCAATCAGTTTTATCGTCATCTCGAGTCTCGAATCCATCCTCGTCACAGTTCACCATATCGTATCCTTCCATCTCCGAGGACGAAAGCATCATTACCCCAAGTCACCACCAGGCCTTTCCCTGTGGTGCAAACCGACAAGAGCATCCTCCACGCAGCCCATCATCGTTACCTCTAAACCTCTGACGACGTACCCGACTCGCGCGCACTTGGCTCTCCACACTCTATTCAAGCGCAAGTGACAAACCGCATTCGCACCGACAATAGACACAAACCCACGCCCAAATCCGACGTTGCCTTCTGCAAGGGCGGCAGCAACATTCTCCCAATCCGCCTCCTTGCTTCTCGATCCCTCGCCTCATCCAAAGGGACCGGCTCTGCAGCTTCAGCCAAAAGCCGGGTCCGAATACTACCAGAAACCGCGCATCACATCGCATTACAAGACACAAGCATTTCGGCTCCGTGCTCCGCTGCATCACATCCCAGCAATCATTGTCCTTGAAAGTTCCGTCACGATTCCTGTTGAAGAAGGCCTCTGCAAAGCCTCAACGCTGATTAGCTGCGAGACTGTTAACTTTACGTTACCAAAACATCGACGACCCCTGCTACGGCACACGACACTCTAGCAGCGACCGAAAGAGGATACAGTACACGCGCTGGAGAAAGGGCAGAAAGCCAAAGGCCAGACGAGCACGTCCGTTCCACGCCAAAATACTGGCCGAACTGGTCCCCTAATCGTGTGCTCGCCCTTGTTGCAGCAACACTGTGTGGCCTGTACGAAACACATCCAGTCCACTGGTTGGGTCTGTCTGTACCACCAGCCCGCCGTGCCCACGCAACTCCACTGGCCGACCCAACCCATCTCCTTCTTACCTAGCTTGGTCCGCACCCGCTGGCCTATCTATGCTGAGCACTGTGAGCAGTGAGCCTGCTTGCTTTTGCTCTTGACCTGCCCTGCCCTGCCACACCCAGTCCCGGTTACAGCACCACACCCTGAGTTACACCCTCCTCCCCTGCCCAACGCGCTGCGGCCCCGAGGTGGTTGTGGTTGTGCTCGTGCGCATTTGTGCCTGGTCTGGTCCCCTTCCACACCCCTTTCCTGTCAAACTGTCTTGCCTGTCGGGCCCGGCTTGCCCCGCCGAGCCACTGGCGCACCAGGGCATGTCCAGACGCCGCCATGATGTCCCCAAGGAGTTTCCTTTACTACAATAGGCAGCCCTCGGCCTTGACCACCACTCCTCCACCCTCTCCCTCCCCTTCGAATCTCACGCGCAAACCGACCAACACCAGCGACGCCTCCAACCCGAGATCAACTGCTGCTGCTGCTGCTGCTACGCTGACGACGACAACCACTCCCGTCAACATTCCCGGAACGGTTCTGCCTTCTGTCCTACTGGATCGGAAAAAGGATGCTCAGAACGTGCCCGTCACCCTCACGCCTATCCCTACTTCTCCCATTACCACCTCAGCTACCATGGCCAAAAGGAAGGATGCTCGCCGCGAAACTTCTAAGTTGGCGCCTTCGAGCCCTCCCCGGACCACCACCAGTGTAAATACCAGGTCGACGATCCCGACCACGCCGGTTCAGATTCCCTCAAAATCCAAGGCACTCCCGTTTTACACCTCCAACCGCCATGCGCATCGGAAACCCTCCCGTCCGAGGGATGTCCACTCGCCGGACGCCGTCCCGCCTGCCATGTTGGCGTTGTTGGCCGTCACTGACATTCCTAGACCTCGACGTGGTTTGAGGCAGAGGCTATCCAGAGACCAGACCATGACTCTGGAAGCCGTCATCGAGAGACAGCAAGTGTGTGAAAAGGAACTTAGTCTCACTTTTGGCAAGAGCCCCTTGGACCTGCTACTGTCGCCACCCGACGACTTGACAGACGACGATATGTCTGTGAGCGACAGCGGCCTCGGTTCCGTCTTATCCACAAGAACAGTCTCTATGGAATCAGTTCCCTCGTTAGGCGATTCCTTTTCCACTGACACATTATCGTCGGTTGAGTCACCTTATGGATCCAGCCCTCGAAGGAAGCGTTCTCGCCAGCCCAGGCGCTCGCTGGAGCCCATCTCGTCTCCTCCCGGTCAGCCGGAGGACCACCCGTTGTCCCGCGACCGGGCCAGCGTTGACGAGATTGACTTTAGAGTATTCGACGAATCTCAGGATGAAGAGGACACCAAGTCGGAGTTTTCCTTTTCTGATTACACCTTCCCTTTGCGCCCGCTCAAGTATGCATTCAAGTCCAACCTGACTGCATCGCTCCGCGCCCTGCGCTCGGCTGCACGATCCATCTCTGCCATCAACTTTTCATCCATCCCACCCGACGACTTTCTCACGAGGTCGATTCTCACCATAGACCCCAAGGTGCCCTACACGGATGAGCGACGACCCCCAGTGCTCGAGGAGGAGCCGTCGGCTGCGTTGCGCCGGTACCTGAACCCCACGACAAACGCTCGAATTGAGCCCCACTCCGTAGCGGCTAATACGCCGACGGGCACGCGAAGCTTTACTGCGTCTATCCAGATGCAAACATACAAGGTTCAGAAAAGCCGTAGTGCACCACCCACGTCAACCCGGAGCCCCTCCCCGGCGACATCGGCGGTCACGACTCAGTCAACACCTTACCAACCCCCAGCACAATCTCCGACCCAGACCGCATTCACTTATCCTCCCGGAGGCATGCGTCAGCGAGAGATGCGGGAGAATTCGGACTTCATTCGTATCGCAGTCATGGAGATGGCGATGCGCAAGCAGGGCAAGCTTGACGACCAACGACCAGGCCGTGCCCGCTGGGCGTTGCCGCCGCGGAAGGCAAGCGTACGCCCTTACGATGTTGGTACCGACGGCGTCCCGGCGCGATGGATTCCAGTGTCGCATTGAAGACGATGTCATGCGAGCTTGGTAATTCAGTTACGATTGGTGGCACGCAGGAACCGACTATCGACCTCCATCGGCCCAATCCGACACGAGAGATGCATCACTGCGCGCCGATGCCGCAGTGTTGACAGTTTCCACGGCTTGAGCACGTCACAATTCTACGAGGGTTGGTCCCATCGCCGGCGACAAGCTTGTCTTTGCCCTGGGCGTGCATTGTTCCACGGCGTCACCCTCCCGCTGTGCAGCACCACACTACGACGGTGTTGTCCGCGGAGAAGGCAGAAAGCAAGAAGTGGGAGGGGTCTGGGTTATGCGACATATTGGGTCGGCTGCCCTGATTGCACCGTCGCTGCCAGGTGGAATCGTCATTCAGCAGGGCCCCCCGAGACGCTAATTTACGGGGAAGCGTTGGGGCCCGCATTCCCAAGTAACCAGGGGCCAGACATTAAGTGCCTGCCTTATCCGATACCGCGGAATGGTCAGCATCATTGCGCGTCCAGCACTGTGTTTCCCTGTCGGCCTTTCGACAGAGCACCGAGACGAGGGCTCCATTTTCTACCCGAAGCGTCGAGCAGGCCTGTATGGGTCACCCAAGACGAAAGAGACACTGGAACTGGCACGAGTGGCTAGCGCCTCATGTTTTTTTTTCCTGCGCTTCTAGAAGAAGTCGATCTGCGGGCCTTTTCCATGCTCTTACCTGACCGTTTGGTAATAGCGAGAGGCACTTTTGTATTTTGTCTACCGCCTGCCGCCTACGGGTGAGGAACTTTTTGACGGCCGACGGCCGACGGCACGCTTTTTTTTTTTCGTTCTTCGAAATGAGCACGCACACCTTTTTTCCGGGCCAACACCACCTGCTGTTTTGGTCGACTTTTCTAGAAGCGAGTATTACCGACTGATGGAGGCGGACCGCGAGGTCCGAGGGAGCAGATCAATCAACCGAGGTGTACCAAAGAAACAGGGGGAAGGACGGAGCAATCCAACTACAACGAGGGATGCGAGATACGTGGGTAGGAATTTACCTTACGAAAAAGATGGATGGGAACGGGGGTTCCTCCAACGACAGAATTGGCGGACACACGTCCGATACCCATCGCGCACAAGCGCACACAGCAAACACAGCCAAACATCCGTACCAACACGGCCCGGTTCCGAGAACATGGCCTGATGCCACCGACATGCGACGAGGACCTTCGAGTTTTCTCTGAGCGAAAGAGCGTGGGAGATGCGGGGCCAAGAGTGGCCAGCGACGTGGGGTCACATCTCACCTCCAATACAGCACATCGCACGCTGCAAAGTCTCCGGCACAGCACACACACGGATGAGCCAAAGGACCAGGCCACCACGCTCACACTACTTTTGACTTTTGTTTGATTCGACATCACATGCATAGCGACGGAATGGGATCATGAGCATTTGAGGCGCATGCATATCATCAATTTTTTTTTTTTTTTTTTTTTCATCTTTCTTCACACCCTCCCATTCCTCCTCCGCTCCTCCGGTTCTTCCCTACGACACTGGTCTCGGCCAAGACTCTGAGAACAAACCACTCAAGGACCCGAAACCCGTGGATTCGTTGATATCCACTCGGAGGACAAATCCACACTTCACACGCGGCACGAACTCGGAGGGCGCAATCGGCGGAGACTCTTCATCGGACCCGGCTCCAGTGAGAGTCCCCCCCACGCCAACAGCCCATCCCCTGGCGAAATATTGACTCGGTCCTCGCATGTGAAATGCAGGCCGAGTTGTGACGCCAAAATGACCAAACGGGGACGCAGCGACATGAGTCAGGGATAGCGCACGTACAGCGGGAAAGAAATAGGGCTGGGAACATTATTTTTTCACTCCTTATCTCTCTGCATGGGAAATGCGAGAGAGCAAGGCAACGATGCAGGAGAGCCGGAGTTTTTGGATTAGGAAGGTGCTGCCGCCAAGGATGATTTATTACGGTGAAGCGACAACTTTGATTGGAATACATAAGGACGGGAGCATAGGAGTCAAACAATGCGGCATCAGAATCCGCGTGAGAAGCATAGGTGCGCCCTACTGGGGGCCTGTTGATTTAGTTGAAAGCCCAATCTCACATCACATATTGAACACATATTCTTACAAGCATTCACTGGCGGAGGTTGGAGACGTGAGTTTTTCCACGTACTCTATGCAGGGCAAGCCGCAAAGCCCAGGAACACGTTGCGCTGACAGGGGTCACAAAATGCACAGATGCATGGAGGCCTAACCCCAATGTTTACTTGGACCATTCGCAGGTGGGTGCAGAGCAACCGCCAAACACAAACTGCTGACCGCCTACGGCCTGCAAAGGACTGCTGCTGCCGATGCTGGAGCAATTGTACGGATAGAGCGTGCGAAATCGCAACGATATGACCAGGATAAGCAGACAGGCGGTCAAGACACGACTCCTCCTGTTGAGTCTTGAGGAGTCCAGGTTGGGCTGCGGATCGTCACTCACCGCAATACAAGGCAAATGCGGCCAAGCCGAAGACGTGGCTCACGGCTGGCTCATCATCTCCTTCTCTTGCAATGTCGCGCTCGCTACACGTGGGCGGACCGACATGTCATCGGACTTGTCGGACGACGATGCCCTGCCTGGTGGCGGGGGCAAAATTTCTCTTTCTCACTTTCGGTATTACGCAGTCTTCATTTTGCTGCTAGCACCCACGCGGACCGGGAACACTGGCATTTGACAGCTCCATGTTTGAGAAACAAGCGAAGCCCGACTTGGTTCTGGCACAGGCACAGGCCTACTGCGTACGGGATTTGGTAGTGCAAAGGCAAACAGGCACAAAACCGCGAGATGAATAATCCCACTTTGTGCGCTTGTGCGCGCTCGGAGAACCGCGACGCCTCGGCAGTTGGCCGCCAATGGCCCACGATGCCACCGAACTTTGCCCAAAGGGAACGCGGAAATTCCACTTTCTTGCTCTCGTCCGATCGGTTAGGCGGTTTACCGATAGGGCTCCAGAGCGTTCTCCAGAGTATCTGTAGTGAGCATGTTCTTTTGTGGCCACAGCCCAGAGCGGGAAAAGTTCGCCACCTCCTTGCAGATGATGTTACCAAATCGTCGGGATCCGCTCGGGACGTCGCGCGTTACGCGATGGTGCGCCCGTTTGCACATGGCTGTGGCGACGACGGTTGGTCTCTGCGTTACCCTGCCTGGGTTTGGTTAGTGGTCACGGGTTCCGCAGCGTTAATTTACAGAGGGTTTTAATGGGTATTCTTACGTGTTGCAGGACAAGCTCAGAAAGGTTGCTTAAAAGTTCCCTTGTGGTATTCCAGGGAGAACCAATGAACCAGAGCGGTTCAAGTACATTAAGGGTCCTACTTGTGGGCGTACCGATGAGGGAGGTGGGGAGTATCCTTGCGGTGCCCAGCAAGTAATATATTGATAACTAAACAATATCCATGGATGGAAAAAGTCGTATGGATAAGGAAACCCGAAGGTCAATCCTTGGGGCGTGGGAATTGGGAGAGCAAGGGCATTGCGGTCAACTTTGTACAGGGCTCACTGGTGTCACTGCTGCGTCAGGTCACTGAGGTGTGGTGTAAGTGGAAGCGCAGGGATCCGCTGGTGATTTCTCATTTCCTTGCGCTGCCCGCTTTGTAGGTGGATCTTTCGTCACTCTTTTTTTTTCCGCTACTAATTTTCTATGGAGCACAACGTCTTCTAGAAGGAGGCTGGGATGTTCCTTGACTGGGCTGGGCTGGGCTGCTTATCGCTCTCTCTTTCCTCTTCTCGGTTCGTGTCTGCCGACTGCCCTTTTGAGAAGGAGGTGAAGAAAAGTTGAAGCGTAAGCGGGGGCATTGGAAGGGATCTGGGAGGCGGTTGGGATGAGGGGTGTAAGGTAGTAGATAGTAAGGGGACTTTTGGATCTGCTACTACGAGGAACCTTTGTTTCGTGTTGTTAGATTGAACTACGAAAGTTCAAATGCCTTTTACCCAGGGTGCCAGGGGAAGATTGTACGACAAGCTGCGCTAGTGCGTTTGTGAAGTGCGATTTTGTGAAGTTATTGGGCCACGGCGGCGGCTGCGGGTCGGCGAGGGACGTCGTTGGAATTCTCGCACGTGCGTACGGAGTACGTATGAAGAGTGCCTTTGGGTAATGAGGCTCAATGTGTCCGTACTTTGATACCTTATCAGACTCTTGACTCGGTGGGACCATTTTCTGCCGCCGGCGATGTGGATTTTTACACAACCGTTGTACGTTTACGAACACAGAGCACCTAGTGTGCATCATGACATCCTTTCACGCTAAGTATGTACGTAGGGTAAACGGGAACAAGGTTTGGTCGGATGACCAGGGGGGTGCGGTAAGATGGCGAGGACGGCTATGTATGGAGGGTTATGGATGAAGGATTATAAAGGGAAGAGGAAATGGTCCGGGAGAGAGAGAGAGAGGAGTCAGGATGGCTTTTTGAGTTTCGGGGAGCATGTTGGGTGATGGGGCTGGCTAGTCAGGTACCTTGTTCTCACTTTCTGGAGATAAGTTCCTATCAGTACGGATATCGGTCAGGTGAAGCAGGTAGATTGCCTAGGTACCTGCTTGTGCTTAGCGCGATCGGTGAGCGGTGAGCGGTGAGATGATGCGAGATGGACGTTTAGATCTTTGGTGCATCTGTATCTAGTAATGTGTGTGTGGTGGTTGGAAGTGCGGGGAAACGGGACGGGGATCGGGGGTGGCGATGTTGACGTTGACGGTGCTGCAACTTGAACCCGAGGAAGCGGTTGATGGACTGGATTGGATGAAGGGTTCGAAGTTTACCTTGCGTGATGGCGGATGGAATATACAGAGACTTGTTGTCGGTGGTGGTACAGAGTATGCGAGAGTTTGGTGGCGTGGATTGCGTGAGGTTGTGAGAGGATGGTGTTACTCTTGATGGCGACATTTGGGGGACGGGTGGTGCGTTTTTGGTTTGTGAGTGTTGGAATGAGGGGGGGGGAGGGAGGATGTATTTAGGGAAGGGTGTTTCCCCCCCCTTTCATTGGCATTTTTCTTGGTGATTCTCTTCCAAGATATTTTTGGACTTTATTGATGACGTTGTGGTTTCCATGGTGGTACGAAAACGGGAGATTTTCGCCATCTGTGGGCCTGGAGTTGAAGAGATCACCTTGGCCATATATCACCACAAGGACACTTCTTCACTACCACCTCCTCTCTGAATCGACAAGGATCATGCAGATTACCACGACGACATGAGCGACTGGTGATATGGAACGGGTTTTGATTGGGTGGTGAGAAGGAAGACCGGCTTTGTGTGGTGCAAAAGATGATGGGGCAATTGAGGGGGGGATGGGAAGGGGGGAGGTTTTGAGAGTCACTGAAGAGGAGGGACACGACTGAGAGAATCGACTGGGCGAGGGGACGACTTTTACCACGAAGCCTTGCCGATGGAAGGGCGCGGACTCTCTTTGAGGTGGGATGTGACGGTGGCGTTTGAGAGGACGGTCAAGCCAGGGGCGTGTTGTGTCCATGGCTCAGTCTCAACGTAAGATGCCGAATATAAGAGGAGGGGACCAAGTCGCGCTGCGGTTGGGTTTGAAAAGGGTCGGGTCGGTATGCTTCTTCAAGCCTTGACAGCATCCTGCATCGAGGTTTGGTCTTGTTTGAAAAGCATCGTTTGGCACGAGTGGGACTCGGAGGCTATAATTCATAGTCTTCGCGAAGAATCCCAAGACGAGGGTGAGGAACCTTTTGGTAGGTGGATGAAGATTCCGTTTTTTCTCAGCGTCGGCGGGGGCTCTCGGGAAGAGTTGAAGCGTCGGGGTATGCGTCTCGCTACCAAAGGAAGCGGGAGGATTGCCCATTTATCTTTGCTCTCAAGGGCCCTCTCTCTTTGAAACATCTGAGAGTGCCCTGGGCTCAGTCGAGAGGATATGCCTATTCGCTGTCGAGAGGGCCCGGGCTCATTCAAGTTGTGGTCGAATTGGCGAGATGGGGATGCCATCATGCCTGAGCCTCCGCTTGGGAATGTCCTATGGGAGAATAGCGCTACCCTGGTAAGATTTTCACGTTTCTTTAAGAGGTGCTGCCGATGAGACTGGACGGGCGTACGAGGGAGTCTCGTCATTTGTGTCACAGGGACCGTCTTGATCGTCGAGGCTCAGCCTACATTAATGGTATTGAATGCATGTCATGGAATCCCCTCAAGGCCGTGGGAAGATTGTGATCATATCTTCGATGATGCATACAGTATTGATTGTGCTTTTCCCATGCCTGACAGTACTCACCCAACTATATCACGAAGTTTCGACTTGAAGAAGCTGAAATCTCGGTCTATAGCTGTGTCCTTGTAGGTCTGGGTTTCGAGTACGAGGTGAACATGCCTCTCTGGTGGTACTAATGGACATGGAGCAACGAAGATGACATTCAACTCTGGACCAGTTTGGATCTGATGGTCGCTTTTCCACTGGGTTGCTAGTTGCTTGTTGAACGAAGGAGGAATACCATTGAAGACGATGTGACTCCAAGTTTTCCTACGAGACAGAAGAATACGGAAGCTTTGGATGTATCCCTTGTCCCTGATTGCCTATTCTATGTTCGAAGCTCTTAGTTACCACTTGACGTCAACGTAATGTCATACGCTTATGTTGCCTTGTGATGATGGGAGGACTGCCGCGGCATGTCTGTTGTAGAAGAGGGAAACGGCGCGGTATCTTTCAAGAGGTAAGTATATGGCTCGCCGAGAACCTACAGATTATGGGTTTGAGATTAACGTAAGTAGCTATTGTTGGGTGTAGACATAGATAACCTCGGAGTGACCTACGGATTCTGGCGTCGATGAAGGTGGCAGAATATGAAGGCCTTCATCTGGTACTCACTGGTATCCAACACCGTCATCCAGGCTACTCACGAGTCCAAAATTTGGGAGCCTCTCGAGATCCTGAGCCTTGCTGACGGCAAGTTTATTTGCAATATCATAACCAAAAGAGACGCATAAATTCACCATGACCTTGATACTTGTCTGCTCGGTCTTTGCCTTGTTTACGCTTCCAGACAAAACCACCTTCCATATGTCTTGTCACGAATAAGTTTTTTTGTTGAACAGTGTTCCTTTTCAAGTCGTCATCTGGGGACCTTCCTTCAAGGCAAAAAGAACCAGCCGATGGCTGAGAGGTTTTTTTCGCGTTCCTATGCGACGAGATCCAATTCCTTAATACTACACTACAACCCTCCTTTGGGGTTCCTCCCCGAGCCGGCATCGTTGGGAAACTCTAGTTGGCTATGTCACTCGGGCCAAGCTATGTAGTTTCCTTCCGCGGGCATTCTGCAATGCTATTGATATTGGTCGAGCCCGAGCAGTTTGGCAAATTTGGCAAATATCTCGTAAATGTCATCTACCTCATCCTGTTTCTTCCTGTCAACAAATGGTATATCGGTGTTATTCAAAGGATGTGAGTGTGTCTGTCGATCTGCTTACTTTGGGAATTAGGCCTCTTTTTTCTCTTTTTTCCTTTTAAGGACGACGTGGTGCATTTATATATCGAATGTGGCTCTACGTATAGGGCTCTTGTGGGAAACGCAAGGCTGACACTGACAGTTGCAAGGCCATCGAAGTAGACCCGCCCAAGGCTGAGATGCAAGTGAGCAGCTTGCGACAGACTCAGGCATTGTAAAAAATGGATTCGTACATTTGTGTACCTATTCAAGCACTGCCGAGGGCTCTGTGTTGTGTGGCAAGAAGTCGACACGTTCCAAGACGTCGGTGGTGCGATCGGCTGTCAAGCTGTTACTACTCGGGCGTAGATCATCAGCGAAAAGAGTCAAAATCAAAGTGGCTACGTAGCTCGGCGGACGCACTGCTGCAGCCTCACGGAAGGAGCAGCAACTAGTGGATCGCCGCAACAACTCACCTCTGGGATCTCAAAGATTGATAAAAGTTTGTTGACTTGCTAGCGAATGGATCATTCTCCCGAAGCATCTGAGAGACCCGAGAAAGAGACACCACGTGAATGGATTGCCGTCACTTTCGGATGTGATGCCCTCCCTTATGAACCTTGAGTGTCCTACTCCTAGAAGAACTTTGCGTACTTGAGCTTCTCAGGAAGACTGGTGGCATGTAGCTTCAACCAAGCCATGTGGATTCTGGTTCTTTGACATCATTCGGATTAGATGTATCTCTCTCCGTAGAAGGCACAGGGGCAGGGTGTGATGTAAAACAGGAGTCAGAGAAGGTTGAGCAGCTTGACTTTGAAGTTAGGGTAATAATGAAGTGATGTCAGCTATATCAGCGCGATTGCTGGTGAGTGATGCTGTTGCTTCGCCCCAGGCTGAGTGCTCTTTACCCGTTCAAACGGGGAAGAAATGTGTCTTTGTGAATGAGAATGAAAATGGAAGTCTGACATCACCTGGCCAAGACAGCTGCTGACCATACCTCGCCGACCGAGAGTGTTTGAAAATTGCAGATTGGAGCAGTGGATGTGAAGCAGTAGAATCTTTGGCGGCAAGTCAGTAGACGGCTCACAGGAAATGTGATAGGAAAACCATGACACAGTTGGCTGCGGGATCTGTTTCATTCTCCTAGGTCGGCGTGAATAAAGTTCACCGATAGAGAATTTCACGGTCGAGACTTGGGGTTGAGATTCGTCTCAAGGGGGGGCTTCAGCACCAAGAGAATGAACTCTTCTGAGCAAACCCGCCAGCTCTTGGGTAGCTCTCCGATGTGATACAGGAAGCCGGACCACTCAGGGGACATACCAACCCTCTGGCACTGTTAGTCGGTCTTCAAGGCCCGCCTCAACTAGAAAGAGAAGTCGAAGCCATCTCGAGCCCTTGGAACACGTCATCCGAAAGCCATTACATGTCACGACTGAAGTAAATAGTTGTGCCTTCCACGTAGAAGATGGCTCACGACTCAGGTCATTGCCAATCTCAAGCTATACTCCTTCAACATGGGCAGCTCAAACAGCCATGAGAAAGCTAGATGACTTGAAACGCTTAATTGGAAACCAACAGGAATACTTCAAGCTAGTGGAGAATCAGTTGGCAGCAATGAATATGGCTCAAAATCATGTTGTCATTTCGGGGCCAACGCCCGCCCTATCCCCTAAACGCCATCTATCATGCCCAGGGCCTCGCGAAAACCTAGGTCGAGGCCAAGTAACAAAGTGAATCTCCCAACCAGATCACGACGCCTTTGCGCTCACGTCGTTGAAAATATTCTTCTTCACCTCCATAGCAACTAGACCAGTCCGCTCTTGCATCGCCACAGTGTTGCTATCCTTCACAAGCTTCTCGAGCAGCCCATCAACCTTTTTGCTGGCCGCGCCGACAGCTCCCGCTCCCGGAGCACTCCGTCCCTGACGAGCGACTTGCGTCGTCGTCTCCTTGATCTTGGACGCGAGGTCGAGCATCTGCTTATTTCCGTAGTCGCGATTTGTAATGAGCGGGCTCTGGCTCAGGGTCTGCACCCAGTACTTGTGCCACAGCAGCTCCAGCATCTGAGACTCGAGCGTGCTTTTGAAGTGGGAAACCTCGAGGCTGTAGTACTTGTTCGCGTGGGCACCGAACTCTGCCGCCTTCGCCAGAGGGACTTCTTGCCATCCGTCGCTGGTAACACCACCGCCGCCGCCCTCCTTCTCCTTGATGTAGTTCTCGGGATACGTCCGGAAGGCACCAATCTCCACCTTGCCTGCGTTGATGGTGCGGTCAGGGTCGATGACGACGGCGAGGAAGGGCTCTTGGAACTGCTGCTGCAGCGCTTGGGTGCCGACGTCGATGCCGGACAGCCAGCAGCCGTAGCCCGGGTGGGAGTGATACCACCCGACGACGTTCTCCATCCTGCCCTGCTCGCGGCACAGGCTGAGGTATTCGACCATGTACTCTTCGGCATCGCCCTGGGCGTTGACGCGCGTCTCGGTTCCCTCGACGGGTAATCGGAAGGCATCTGTGACGATGAACGTGTCGCCATTGACATAGCCCTGCATGAGACCCATCACCTCGAGGTTGCCGCCGGAACGGGCGTGCATGACCATCTTGATGAGAGCTACGGCGCTTATGCGGACATTTTTGAAGTGGTTCGGGTTCGCGGCCCAGGGGCGGGCATTCGTCGCTTCCTTTTGGGCATCGAGGTCGAGGTTGTAGAGAGCGTCGCGTTTGGTGTCGACCAATTTGACGTTATTGTCGAGCTCTATGGCAGGTGGTCAGCTGAATCTGGCGCGACAATGACAATAGTGCGGAGTTCCGGAACATACCCCATGACTTGAGAGCTGTATCCATCTTGACTGCTCGTTTCTGCGTAAGCAGTTGTGTTTGCAGGAGATGTCGTTGGCAAGGGACGGCGAAGTTCAGAGGAAGGTTGGGTCCAGATGCTGGTGACAGGCAGTTACCCCACCATCGAGGTGCCTCAATCGCATCTTATCGATAAGATAAAGCTGTCAAGACGTCGTGGAACTTGGGCGTATTACATAAGCTGTCTGGGATCCACTCTTGAGAACTAAGCACGCGTAATGCCAGGGAGCACTTGCATGCTGGCGTCCCTGACCATCCATCTTGCACATCATCAACATGGCGAACGCTAACCATGCAACTGTTCAAGTCCATGAACGATGTTGCCTGCTTGCAACCAACAGAGAATCGATCGAGAGCTACTGAAGCACTTCAAATTCCAGTCAACTTTCTGGTCTTCAGTCTCGTTGAGCTCGCAGTGCTCGCGTGGTTACTCCAACAGGACTTTGCGAGCTTTACGAGAGCAGAGAAGATGACGGATGTCTGCTTTGACCCTTGAGAATTTCAGCAAAGTCAAATGATCAGCGTATGATGGCGAGGTATACCGATGCGAATTTTCGGTTATGCTCAGGCCTCACGTCCCGTCTGCCATTTTCATGTGGCTACAAAGTGGAATCTCGATGAAGGTTAGAACTGCCAAGTGGAACTAATTCGGGGCATGACCGTCCATGATCCACGGTGCAATCTATGGCTTGAATCCGCGGGAGATGAGCAAAACACCATGGAAGGCTTGGAGAAAGGACCGAAAGCGATCTCGACGAGTTGCGACCTAAGACTTGCATTGCAATTCCTGGCGATGATCCTGTCGGAAACGAATCACTGGGCGGCCCTGGCAGATCACGTCGAACAGCAACTCTTGGCATGGTGGAACTCGTGAACCTCCACGTCGCTGGGCCAAGTGGCTCCCACAAACGACAGACGGCATGGCATTTCCGGATATCGCCAGTCCCGGATTGGTTTGCACGTATTCCAACGTGGAAGTCCGTCAACCGGTCTTTAAATTCTCGATTGGGGTCCCCGCTGCTTTCGCATCCCCAAAATACGGGCACTTACGAGCGCGAGAGCGAGGAGTGTCCCAGTGACCCCGCGTCCGCGTGGGTGTGGGCAGCCAGTCCGGCTCCGAGATGTTTCTACATCATCCCAACATTAGAAATGATTTTGAGGCGAAACGCTAATTTCGTCGCAACACGTCGCGGTTCATGCAAGCAGCGAAAGAGGAAAAGCAATCAGACCGTTATCTGCCGGCCTTGCGACGGCAGCAGAGTTTCACGGTCAACGACGCACGTTCAACGACATGTTTGGGCCAAGACCAGCACTTTCGTACTGTCATAATTAATACTAAAAATATATGGAAAAAAACGAGAAGCTGATTTTTCAGTCTACACCACACAGCATTGGTCAAGTCTTTTGCGAACACGGAGCAGTCAACCGAATCCGAACTTGATGTAATTTGCTGTGAATGCCGGACTCTAGATACACGAAAAATGGCGGTCATCTGAACTCAAGAGCTGCCCTGGTCAGAGCATCAACCTGCTAGGCCCCCCCCGCGTCTGCCAGAATTGGAAAATCCCCTTAGGCGGTGAAAGCGCGAGCCTCATTGGCGGCGAACTCGTCGCGCTTGGCGGCCTTGGCCTTCTTGTTCTTCTTGGTCTTCTTACCGCGGTGGTGGGGCTCGCGGGCCTCAATCTCGTGCTCGGCAGACTCGATGGCATCCTCGGAGGCGAACTCATCGCGCTTGGCGGCCTTCGCCTTCTTGTTTTTCTTGGTCTTCTTGCCGCGGTGATGGGGCTCACGAGCCTCGATGTCGCGGGTCTCAAGAACCTCAACATCACGGGCCTCAAGAGCCTCGTCAACGGCAGACTCGTCGCGCTTGGCGGCCTTGGCCTTCTTGTTCTTCTTGGTCTTCTTGCCGCGGTGATGGGGCTCACGAGCCTCAATTTCGTGCTCGGCAGACTCGATTTCGTGCTCAGAAGACTCGATGGCGCCCTCGGCGGCAAACTCGTCACGCTTGGCGGCCTTTGCCTTCTTGTTCTTCTTCGTTTTCTTACCGCGGTGGTGCGGCTCGCGGGCTTCGATCTCGTGCTCGGCCGATTCGATCTCGTGCTCGGAAGACTCGATGGCGCCCTCGGCGGCAAACTCGTCACGCTTGGCGGCCTTTGCCTTCTTGTTCTTCTTCGTTTTCTTACCGCGGTGGTGCGGCTCGCGGGCTTCGATATCACGGGTCTCAAGGGCCTCGATCTCGTGCTCGGAAGACTCGATGGCGCCCTCGGCGGCAAACTCGTCACGCTTGGCGGCCTTGGCCTTCTTGTTCTTCTTCGTCTTCTTGCCGCGGTGATGGGGCTCACGAGCCTCGATATCACGGGTCTCAAGAACCTCGATATCACGGGCATCAAGAGCCTCGTCAATGGCAGACTCGTCGCGCTTGGCGGCCTTGGCCTTCTTATTCTTCTTGGTCTTCTTGCCGCGGTGGTGAGGCTAAGTGGATGTGTCAGTCCATGACTCTTTGACCTGAGTTTATTTGAGCAGGTATTCATCTTACCTCGCGGGACTCGATGCTGGCGGCCTGGGGCGCAGCCAGGGCAGGCATGGCGAGTGCCAAGGCGGGAGCCTATTTAACCTCATATTAGTCCTGACGTTCCCACAGTTTAGACTCATCGAGGTTGTGAACTCACTACATAGCGTCTGGCGACCTGTCCCGTGGGGATGAGGTTAAAGGACTGAACACCTTGGACGGCAAGGATGCTCGCCAAGAGGAAGTGGCCGAAGGATGGGTAGTGCATCTTGAAAAGAATGATTGGCTGACCGGCAGCAAATGACAGCAACTGGATTACAAGAGAAAGGAATGAAGGGTCGCGTCAAGCGATCAGGGGCCAGCAGTGGAATGAGATGTGCGGATAGTCAGGCAATCGTGGGCTGATGAGCGGGTTTGAGAAGATATTATATCTTGCTCAAGTCTTTTCGTCTCTCCGCTGCAAGTGACAGGGCGCCCCCCTCGGGCACGGCACTTGGTCTATTCGCAGTCTCCATCGACTAAGTGACGAAGCATGGGTTGAGGCCCCAAGTTTGGACGAAAGAGCCTCGACTAGAAGGCGTCAAACTCTGATCGGCCTGCCGCGTAGGACCAGAAACGTCTCAGAGTCGGGAATCCAGATGGAAAGCGTCTGAAAAGGGGGTGTAGAGACAGGGCCGTGGGCTATGACGGCTTGCGATGGTTGCTCGGACTGAGCTAGCCGCAAAGATGGGACTCGTTCAAAACTCGTCGGGGCTGCACTGACGATGTTGAACAGTGAAAGACGCTGGACGCGGGGGAGGTCCTGGACTGGGATGTGAGCCGAATCCCGCGCTTGCGGTCGTCTCCTCCACCTCGCAACAAGCATACTACCTTATTGCCTTTAGACATAGACATGGCTGCGGTATTGGACTCGCTTGCAGTTTCAGTTCCAAGACTGCCCTGGTAGGGTAGCAGACTAGGGGAAGCCGAGGGTGTTCTCTCGTTGTTCCCGGCGTCTCCTTTGATGGACCCCAACACGATCTGATGCTAAGCCTGATCGACAGGACGTTACGGAAGGTCTTCGCGACGCCGCCGTGTGTCGGGGAAATACAGTGGTAGGGTGGCCCGGTGATGATCCATCACCACCCATCTCCTGTGTCCAAAGAATGAGCCGCACAAGGAATCTCTGACACAGCCACAGTCCCAGAATGCCAAGACCTGACAGCAACCGAACCTGGGAAAGGTAGGCACCGACTCGAAGCGACGTGTGGTGTCCTGTGCTAGTGGATATCACGAATAAGGCGGCATCAAGTTGCCGAGTGTTGAGCCTCAAAGGCGGCCCGGGGTCTTCCTGGCGCGTTGCGGCGTTCGTGAGTGGTCGGTGCCCCCTGTGGGATCCCCCCGCGAGCGACTCCCTGTCTCACCAAAAGGTCCGCGTTTCGACACACCCCTGTTCTGAGACACCGCACCAACGCCTCAGCTTGGTCATACAAGGAGCCCCTTTTTTTGCTTCTCTCTGGTCTTGTCTCTGAGCAAAAGGTTCTCAGCTCTCCTATCCGTATTCTCGAGGAGAATGGCTGCGCGCTGGGTTAGAGACAAGACCGGACAGAACATGACTAGACCTGACATGAGTAGCCCTGCAAATGCAACCAAGACGCACGAAATCCCGTTCATGGGATTATTCACCAACAAGGGGGAGCCCGATCCCGCCTTGGTTATTGGATGAGAGCGGCCAATTATTTTCGCCAACTATCACCAGCACGCACATGGCCACCACTCGACTTAGGTAGATGACTAAACTTGCATCCCGCCTCCGCCGCCGGCTGTGACGGGGTCGACTTCTCTGTCTCGTCAATTCTTGCTTTGGATGATCGGCTACATGGCCTGTGCCGCAACTTCGCAACGAAGATCAAACAGTCCACTCGTTTCTGTTGACTGGATGACATCTCGCTAGCGGGCAATTTCCATCCGACTATCCAGCCTATGGTCCATGGTCCATGGCCCATGGGGCGCAGTTGCATTGCACAACCCGCCAGACCCCGGCTTTTCCCTCTCGGTCCTGAGCCCTGGCCCAAAGTCGAGCCTGTCATGTCGAGTTGGGACATAGTTGCGCGTTCTCGCTGACGCCGCCTCTGGCCGTGCTCTGCCGTCGACTTGGACGGTCTGTGATCACCCATTAGTTTGGCAATCTGATTTTCCGCGCCCAAAGCGATCCTCTTGGCACTCGTCTCTTCTTACCTTCTCAGACAGCTGCTGGTAGCCGCCACGAACTAATTCCCCCTTCCAACCTGTGCATCCTATCCCATCATTGTTTTTCTTGTCCCTTTTGTTTCGTCACATTCGATTTTCATTCTCCGCTTCTTGACTTGACTTGACGTCGTTATACCACTCCTGCCGTCAACTCGCACGGCATATCCTCTTTCGCTTCTATTCTCTTAATAAGGCACCTGGCGTGCTCGAACTTAACCTTCGGTGTTACTACCTCGCCGCGGGGTCCCCTTTTTTTTTTAATCATGTCTACAGAAAAGGTCTACCGGTCCGTACCCTATGAGGAGGAGGAAGTCGAGAGTCTCGCCGGAAGCCTCAACACGGAAAGCACGGAAAACGTAGAGACCGCCACAGGAAACCAACCGACATGGAGGCGGATGAGGCTCGGCGATGAGCACCCGTGCAAAGAAAAGGCGCGCCGGCTCCTGCGGCATTGGCCTTGGGCTCTTCACGCCGTGCTTTTGACGACGTCTGTCACCCTCTTTGCTGCGTCATTCTGCTTGCGCTATGGCGACACCAACAAGGACGATACCTGGGTGACGGAGAAGTACTCATCATGGTGTAAGGCTCACATTTTCCAACATTCCAGCGCTCTTCATCTTGGCTAACATTGAGTAGCCCCTGCTGCAGGAATCATCAAGTACCACACCGAGAGATATAACTTGACGCCCATCATGGACTGGTCGCCATTCGTTGGTGCCGGATACGAGATTGACCGGGCGTGGGATCACATCACAAACAACAGTAAGGAATCACGGCAATGATGGCGATTCGTGAATATGGACTAACGAAGGCGTAGTTGGCGACCAGATGATCTCGCGCGCCGAGCTCGATAAGCTCGGTCTCGATCCAAAGTCAATCAAGACGACGAACGCCGTCACGGGCGAGGAGGGTTACCGCGTCGGCCTCGAGGTTTTCCACCAGCTCCACTGCCTCAACCTACTTCGGCAAGCCACTTACCCCGAGTACTACTCAAGAAAAGAGATTGGCGGCGATGTGGCCGTTGATCACAAGGACCTGAGATCACATCTGGGTAAGTCATGATGAATATCTAGTGATCCACGACGAGATGGAGAGAGAGAGAGAGAGAGAGAGAACCTTGCTAACAACTCAAAAAGACCACTGTATCGAAGCCCTGAGGTTGAACCTAATGTGCGAAGCCGACATTGGCGTCTTCACGTTCAAAATGTACCCAGATCTCCCTCTCGAAGGCCACTGGCCCGATTTCAGCACGCTGCACACCTGCCGCAACTTCAACGACGTCCGCGACTGGGCGCTGACCCATTCCGTCACGTTTGAGAACGAAGAATAGCCTTTCGGGACAAAACTGCAATGAGTTTTTGAGTTTGCGTAGGCCGTAGGGAAGAGAGAGGAGTGGGGTTGGCAAGGCGTGTAGGGCTCGAGATAGCAAGGATGCACCATACATATAGTACGTGTGCCTGAAAAGCATAACGGCGGCAAGGCAGACCGCAAGCAGATAACATTTCCCCAAATAAAGAATAAAGCCTCAGCAGAGTTTTCTGCCGAGCACAGGCCCAAAATCTTGTCGGGGAGGGAGGGCGATCGAAGGGTTCCTTGAGTTTGTCCTTGTTTGGAATTAAAGGTTGGAAAGAGTTTTGAGATGCCGGACGTATTTGTTCATTGGGCTGCGCTGGCTCCCGTTCTCTGATCAGATATAACACGACTTCTGGTGGAACCTTCCATCCACCAGTGCCAACTGGCAACAGGTGAATAGTATGTCTGCCCTGATGGTCTAGCGGTATGATTCTCCCTTAGGGTCTTCAAGACACGTCTGGGAGAGGTCCCAGGTTCGAATCCTGGTTAGGGCCCAATTCTTTTGCATTTTGATGTCCCGAGTCATTGAGATGACCAGCTATATGTGTGCGTGCCTGTGCACTTTTGCATTCGTGTCTCACACTCTCTTGATGACTGCAATGTTCCCGGGCCAATTGTGTGTGCACTGACACCATGATCAAAAAACCCTCTCTCAATGGTTGCGAGTCAATTCCTATATACTTGACGGTATTACTTCTGATACGACTGGTCAGATTGGTGACATGCTTTTTGCCTTGGCCCCTGCACCGAAGTTTCCGAGAAAGTGTGTGTCTTGGAAGATGGATGCACAGAAAGACTCGCGGCGTATGTCATTGCCGGAAGCTTCGTGTCGCCCAGAACTCTGACAGGGCTCAGTGGGTTACGCAGGACGACGATCATGGTCCCGTGAACCCTTGGTTCAGACACCGTTGCCTGATGGTTCGTTTCTTCTTGTTCTTCCCGAGTCATGGAAAACTTTTGTTTTTCTTCAGGGTCGCGATGCCCTCTCACCGAGTCGTTCCCCATCCTTGCCCCCTTCGGTACACAGTTTCCGCGCCCGCTGGTTTGTGGTGATTGGGTGAGTGACCATCACACAAACATGAAAAGACCCGAGTCGATGTAAAACATTCAATCATAAGCTTTTCATTGTGCCTCGTAAGGCGACCGCTGTCTAGCGGGGGTATCAACAGTTTCTATATCCATACACACGCGTCAAGTCTATCCCTTTCCCGTTACTTTCTCCGCCTCCGCCTTCCCTTGAGCGGCGGACCACGCCCAACGTCTCGTCTGTCTCTATGCCTCCTCATCGTTCTTGTCCTGGTCGGTCACGATGCCCATCCTCTTGTTCATGAGCTCGTCGGGGTCACCCTCGCCGGCGTCCAGGACCTCGAGGTTGCCCGCGGCGTCCTTGGTGCCGGTCCTGTAACCAGAGTGGCTGCCGAAGACGTACCAGACGTAGCCGGTGAGGACGGCGGTGACGATGAGGAAGGCAAAGATGGTCCAGTTGCCCATGCTGTACATGGGGGAATCGGTGCTCGGGAAGAGGAAGGGGGCGGTGATGCCGCCCGTGTTGGCGATGGCGATCATGCCGCCGGTTGCGAGCGCCGTGGCGGTGGAGCCCTGAACAGTTGCTGTACGGTGCTGTAATTCCAAGTGTCAGTTGACTTTTGTATTTTGCCTTTTTATTCAGGGTTTGGAGTCCAAAACTTACGGCAACAAAGGGGAGGACGGCGGCGTTGGTGCAGGCGATGATGAACACGGCAAAGTACCGCACGCCCCACTGCTTGACCACAGCCAGCAGTAGATAGCCCGTGGCGACGAAAATCAGGGCGGCGATGACGTGGCGCGAGCGCTCCTTGGTCCTGTCGCTGTGCAGGCAGGTGCCGATGATGACGAGCATGGCAAAGACGTTGGGCGGGACGGTGAGCAGCTGGGCGTTGTACCCCTTGAAGCCGAGCGAGGCGACGATGGTGGGCGCAAAGTAGCCAAAGGCGTTGAGCGAGTTGGTCATGAGGAAGTACATGACGGCGAAGAGCCAAAAGTAGGGGTCCATGACGGTCTTCTTGGCGACCTTGCTGTCCCAGTGCTTGTCGGACATGGAGGGCGCGTAGGGGCCGAGGCGCTTGACGGCGAAGGCGCGCTCCTCGGGGGTGAGCCAGGCGGCGGTCTGGGGGTAGTCGGGGAGCATGAACCAGACCATGACGCCGACGATGACGGCGGGGATGCCCTCGAGGATGAAGAGCCACTGCCAGCCGGTGAGGCCGCCCTTGCGGTTGAGGAAGGAGATTGCGGTGGCGAGGAGGCCGCCAAAGGCGCCGGCGACGGCGACGGAGGAGGCAAAGATGGCCATGCGGGTGGCGCGCTCCTCGGGCTTGTACCAGAAGCAGAGGTACATCATGACGCCCGGGAAGAAGCCGGCCTCGGCGAGGCCGAGCATGATGCGGACGGCGAGGAGGCCGCCGTAGGTCGTGCAGGCGGCGGTGCAGATTGTGATGATGCCCCAGGAGACCATGATGCGGGAGATCCACTTGGAGGGGGAGAAGTACTTAAGCATGACGTTGGAGGGGAACTCCATGAGGACGTAGGGGACGAAGAAGAGGGCGACGGCGACGTTGTAGCGTTGGCCGGTGAGGTTGAGCATGGTGACGAAGTTGTCCTCGGGGGTGTCGTTGTTGAGGGTGCGGGCGTTGCCGAGGTTGACGCGGTCGAGGTAGTCTAATGTTGTCTTTCGTGTTAGTTTTGGGCGAGGCCTCACTTGCTTCCCCGTTGTTTTTTTTTTTTTTTTGGGAAGGCAACGTACTCAGCAGGTAGGTGACGCAGATCCAGGGTAGGATTCTGAGATCCTGTTTGCGGACGATACGGCGTTCCATGTCCTTGTCGGCGAGGTCGACGGTCTCGAGGCCGGGCACGTCCAGGGACGGCGCCGGGGCGAACATGGCCTTCCAGTCAGGCATCCTTGCGGTCTGGATGAACTGCGCGTTTCGGTGAGGCTTCGGTGAAGGGTGGCCGATCGCGGGAGGGGCTGAGTTCTAGGTTCAACCACTGTTGAGACACCGTTTCGGGTGGGTTGCCCTGTGAAGCCGGCGTTGTGAGCGGCGTGGAAAAGGTTGACGTAAGGTACCTAGTAGTTGCTGATAGACTCGGTGGTTCACACTCCCTCCATCCGACATCTTGGGACGAGGAGGGAAACGAGTTGTTATAAGTCGAAGCTTGACTTCCCTAGCTCTGAGTGTCCGCTACATTTGGTTCCGCCCACATGGTTCGATCCATCCCGACTTCGACCCGTAGAATCCCCATATAATTCACTGCGACCCCGCGACAATCTGGTATTAGAAACGGTATTCCATCGCACAACTGAAATGCTGCCTTATCTGTACCAAAATCTGACAATTGAGAGCTGTGATAGGGTACCTGAGCGTGGTGGCGCGGGAATGTCCCGACTGTTCGGGGTCTCCAGCCATTGACGTCCGCACTCCTCCCCCCCCCAAAGTAAGGGTTGTGAAAGACTGAGGTCAAATTCAATTCGTAACTGCCGGCGGGGGAGATAACATTTCATCCAATCAGAGGACCGCAAACACTCTAGATAACGACCACAAAAAAAAGTTTGGGCCTGTGTCAGTTGTCCTCCGCCGTGGGCTCGCGTCAGACCCGGGGACAACCCCGGACTCGGAAGCTAGCACCGCGTGAACCATTTCCCAGAAGACGATTTATGTACATTGTAGATTCCTGCAAGCCGGCAAGGAACCCGGACTAGCTCAATTTCTCATTTGGAGCCACGTTCGGCGTGGTGCCGTGCGTGCGTGCCTCCGGTCTTCGGGGTGGCTTGCAAAAAAAAGTTTTCGAGCTGCACAACACCATAAAGAGCTCGATGTTTAGCAATACTTAGTTTACATGCGAAAAAACAGAGTGACACAACACATGCCGCCTGAAGACGGCCCAGGTATTCGAAGCCTGTCACAAATTGCCGCAATCACGGGTCGGTCAACGGCACATGCCCATACACGAGTGGGAATATGTAGGCCTGTAACCTGTTGGCTTGGAGTTGGGGGCAAATATGTCCTCGGATCGCCTGTCAGCCTGTCGCTTGCCAAGCCTGCAGATGCAAAGACACGAGGATATTATTCAGAGTTCTCCGTGGGTCTCCGAAAGAGGGTCTTCAAGGGGGGCTGCGGCGACGGGCTCGTCGTGCATGATGCAAGCCCACCCCCGACTACAACAACGATTCTTTCTCCCTTCCTATCGCCGGGGTCCCGAACCAGACCACACAGCTGAAGGTTATTCCTTGTATCCCGTCTCTACGTGGCTCTTATTTCGAGCTGTACCTTTCGGATACTCTCCTCTTTGGGGCGAGCCTCCCCCAATCTCCAAATGAAGTGAGGCAAAGGAAAATCTGTTCGTCTCATCTCGCTGACGTCGGAGACCTGACTCGTGTATCTAAGCCGCTGCCGCGTCGCCGCTCGATCTCGGAAACGCTGATACTGATAACGGGCTTTTCGAGTCGAGGTTGAGGACGCCAGGACCGGCGCCAACTCCAAGCGTTTGATCAAAGACGCCTCGTCTTTTCACTATTGCTGGCGAAAATTAAGTGCGTGCATCACACCAAGCCGTTTGATCAATATGGGCCCATCCACGCATCCTTCGCTGTCCGCGACTGGTGCAGAAATCCAGAACTCCATTCTCCGGCAGTGGTAAGGTCAATTTGGTGAATTAGTAGCACATATAGGAATGGTTAAGGGTAGTAGATACGATAGACAATATGCCAGAGCCGTCTGGGCTCTGGATGGATGCAATCCGCCCGCCAGCATCTGGAACCATCTAACATCTACACTGACAGCGACAGCAGTAGATCAGCTCCATGCCAAGCCTAGGCGCTCATGCTCGTCTAATCCGACAGCGCGGGATGTGGCACGGTGTCTCCGCTAGTTTTCACTTAGTGCGCGGCACGTCTAAGGTGTTCGACTCCGGGGACCGGAATGACGATAGCGGTCTACATCTCAAATGGTGTTCTGAGTGTGTGTGGTGTGTGTGGGCGGTCGAGAAAAGCATATTGGGTGTTGGCCACCTGCGCGCGCCGACGGCCTGTCTCTAGGCGGCTGCAGGGCCTGGACCCGCCGCCCGGCGGGCATCTGTGGGCCCGCCCGAGCCGATCGGCAAAGGCGCGCAGGTTAACCGTTGAGGGAGCTGAGGCTTGCAGCTGGACCGGCCGAGCTGCGTCTGCTATATCGGAGTCTCCAACATGTTTGGAGCATTCACACGTGGAGGGTCGAAAACTACCCCATTCTGATTTGAGTGGGTTTCCGGAGTTTCGGAACTCTGTGGCAAACCTGGCAAAAAGGTTCAATTAAACGAGGTGCGCAATTATTTGACTCGCTGTTTCTCCGACATCATCCGAGTTTTCGAGCAAGATTATGGACCGAAACTCATTTTCCAAATCCGAAATCGATCTAGATATCGGAGGCAGTACCTCAGCTTACTGTGTCAAAGTCTTTTGAAGTAGAAGGCATCTGGTTGCAAAAGGGTTGTTGGGCGGGCTTCTGCCAGCTTAACCTGGCGAACCCCCTTTTTACTTACTCCAATAGTCATTGGTCTACTCCCTCTACTTCTGTACCATCTTCATCTAGTATTGTACCTCGGAATCCATCAGTCATGGTAGTGACAAAATGGTGTTCTCTTTCCGAGGTGTGAACTTTCTCCATCTGTCGCTTCAACTGATAATGCCCACGAGTTGTTCGAGTAGCCAGTTCTGAGCTCAAAATGGCCTCAAGAAAGCGTACATCCACCTTGGATACGTAGTCAGAACATTATTGCAAAGTTAATTGTCAGAACGACTTTCAATTGGAAAGCGTGGTCCATCGTTAGGTGCGGCGAACACCCTTGTCAGATTCTTCCCGCAACATCATTGATCCCATATCATCAACCTCGGATTCGTATGCGAATGCTAGTCTAGAGTTTTGCGTTTTATAATTCGTGCATGAGACTCGGCGATCTTCAGTGACTACGAGTTCCAATACAGACACGAACAGCCTCGAGAATGAATGATGACGCTGAGCCAACTTTTGCCGATGGCGCTATAGTTGTCTCAGCATTCAGCCCCAGGCTGATAGTCTGGCGCCGCTAGCATTCAATCCAAGTAGTTTCACGTACCGCAACTTCCAGCCTTGGATTTGCAGTGAAATTAGTGAATTTGACTTGGCTGATGTTCGACTGAACGGGTTGACTCCGCACATGGCTACTTGTCGTGCGTCGTGTCATCCTTGAAAGCTTCATGTCCAAATACAAACGAAATTCCGACCGAATTTGTATACATGGCACAAAGAGGTGATGGTGAGTGTCCTTCCCACTAAGTCCAAAGTTTTCCCTAATGTCCAACTGGCGCTAGATAAAGATCTCGGAAAGATGGTCCTGTTCTGCAGCAACAGCACTGCCTTCGAAGAAGCGTGGGCCAAAGTAAGGTCATGGATGCAAGCATGCCTATCCGCCCACGCAGCATCCAACAATGACCTGAAAGCAGAACCATGGTATCCCACTCGATTGCTCGACCGCAAAGCCTCTGGTGGCAGTCTTGACAGTGTGCGTCTTGCGATCACGTTCGAAGAACCGCCTTCTCACAATGATCGATATGCCACCTTGAGTCATTGTTGGGGCTCGGCTCCAGTTTTGGAATTGAAGAAGGCTACCTGCAACGATTTCAGAGAAGGCACCGAGCTCTCCAAGCTTCCCAAGACCTTTCGTGAAGCCATTCAAGTCACACGACGTCTGGGCGTGCGGTTTCTCTGGATGGATTCCTTGTGCATATTCCAAGATCGAGACGATCTATCCGACTGGTTGAACGAAGCGGATCTGATGCACAAGGTCTACTCCCATTCCTTTCTGCAACATCTCTGCGTTGGGAGCCCGCGACAGTTCCAAGGGCCTATTTTTCGAGCGGAACCCGAGACTTAGCCTTAATGCCGATCTATGCCTGAATGTGAAAGGTTTCGGGCTGGAAAGGATCATGTTGACTGCAGCATCGTCCATCTTCAATTCTGCAGATACGAGGTTGACCAGGGCCATCTTAACAAACGCGGATGGGTCCTGTAGGAGCGTCTATTTTCCCCTCGTGTACTTCATTTCGGTTGCGATCAAATCTTCTGGGAATGCCGGGAGCACTCGGTGGCTGAGTGTTACCTAGAAAGATTGCCAGAAAGCTTGGAGAAAAGCCCAACGTCGAAAATCAAGAGGCTCAGCAAGGCAACCTACGGCCTCGGTACGATGTCGCACAAGAGAGATCCTGACGACCCCGACTTCCATCGCCGAGGTTGGGATTCGATTGTGGAGGCAAACTCTTTACATGAGAGTCAACGGCGCCATTGTCAAATCTGCCGGGAAGGAACATTGGAACATTGGCCCTCTCATATACTTGGATGTCGGCCAGAAAAGCTTCGAAAACGAGAACACCGCCGGATCGATATACTAGGTTCTCGCATACAATCAGGAAAAGCCTGATAGCTTTGTCCCGTGTCTTTTACTGATGGCAGTAGACAAGGAGAGAAAGGTTTTCAAAAGAATTGGGCTGGCAGTGACTGATGACCCAGAAGAGGTCGAGATATTGCGGAATATGGCACACATCGCCGATGAAGCCGCGTCAACCAATAGCGGCCTTCATGGAGTCAGAACGATACGAATCATCTAAATGTGAGAACTCAAGTAGAGAGATCTATAGAAATCTTGGAATGACAGAAAACCAGCGATCAAGGGGTATGAACCGACACCTAGACCAGATCTTCGCGAATTTGGCGATGAGCTGAGAAGATTTCAAACATCATGACATTCAACGTTGTCCAGCAATTTTGTTGGCTTGCGCCGGAACCACCTGCCAAGTATTTTCCGTGAAGATCAGTGCGCCGTCTTGCTGTAAGGCAAACGGGTCCACATAGACATTGAAGTCAATGTCTGAGGTACTGACGTTGAACACTCGAAGAAGCATGTAGATCGTGGAGAATCCTCTCGAGGATGACGAAGCATTCGTGTAATCCCTCATCTAGATGCACACCAGGAGATAATTAGCCAAGTTGTATTTTTCACTCGTTGTGGAAGAGTTTGGAACCGTACCCTGTTGTACTGATTCTTGCTCACGTAGAACGGCCTCGTAGCAGCGCCAGGCGTCGTCTTGACTTCGATCAAGTATTGCGGCCTCTTGCCAATCCACTTGGTTCGCTGTAAATACCCCTTGTCGATAAGGATCTCAGTCAGGACTCCGAATTTGTCGTTGTAAACGATATCCGCAGTCTCTTGCCCTTCCCAAGGAGTTACGTAGGAGTATGCAGGATGGACCGCCACGAATTCACGCATTGTGCTTCGCCAATCGTCCATGCAAAAGCCTGGAAGTGGGGGTGTGAGATGTGAGAGCAGCTCATAAGCCTGAAACCCATTAGCAAAAAAATTCTTGAGGAATCATCGAGGACAATATGAGCGCAAGGTCTGATGGGGGGGCATTGAATTTACTCACAAAGAGCTCGCCGGCAGCGCCAATCTTCTTGTCTCTTGCTGGCGGCATCCACGATTGCATGTGGGAAACTTGAGTGCTACTACCTCCTGCTGACTGCCCAGCTCTAGGAGAACCGGACTCGGGAAACGATCTGCGCCGAGCAGCAAAGATGACGTTGCTCAAGATTCTCAGATACTCTGCATTGAAGCCATCATCTCTGGGCGAAATCGCCGCAGTGGATGCCTTGGGAGTTTGGCCAAACTGATGGACCGGAGTTGCCGGGGTCGAGGTGGTCGCACCAACATCTAAATCGGGCCGTAAACGATATCTTCCGCTGCCCTCAGGTGTCACGGGAGTATTGATTCCCTGTGAAAGAGGAGGTACAATAGGTCCAGAAACTGAACAAGATCCAGTCGATGAAAAGAATCTCATAGGCATCTCTGCCACGAAGCCTTCTCGTCGTGGAGACTCAAAAGGTGGCGCCAAGGCAACGGCATCAGCACCCCCTTCTGAATCTTCATCTTGATCATTTCCAATACCGCCCACGTCGATAATGCCCTCTGCTTCCAGAATTTGAGACACGCTTTCGATCGGTGCATTGAGGGCTGAGCTCATCGCACTGATGGCTCGGTGCTGTATCGCACCGCAGATCTGTGTTTCTGGTTCTGTCATCACCCACTCCAACAGACGTCTCGGAAGACTCGAGTGGTAACAGAAATCTTGTCTTTCCTTGTCAACAGGGACGTAAATCTGTAAACAACCGGCCGTGTCTCGGATGTGAAGCTCGCTTGATGCCTTGACGTGAATATGTGCTTTGCCATCCTGAGCAAGGTGTACCTCGGAAGAGATTCCATGTGTCTCGTAGACTTCAGTGGCCCGAAGGGTATGATAAAGATTCAATGTGTTGTCTACACGGGGGCTGTTGAAGTGGGATGCAACCCTGAGTTTGGAATCAAATTAGCCAAATTCTAGAGGAGTCGATGGAGTCGTTGATGACTACCTGTAGATTCCGCTTGCCCTTCTCTTGATGTCTCTATCGGGATGTCGCAGTCGGAGTTGGGAATCGCCTGCAACAGTTGAAATCTCCTTCACGGAAGAAGAAATATATCGAGAATCGAGGCCTAACCAAGAGAAATAGTTGCCAAGTTCGTGGACTTCGTCTAGAGTGAAATCAAGAAATTTGACTTTGGAGGCAAACATCTCGGCCAAAGGCTTGCGGTCTCTGATCACAAATTGTGTGCTAGCAGTCTCCAGCAAAACCTTTCCAGTTGGATATTCGATGGGAAATATGGCACTTTTAAGCAATGGTCCGGGGTCAGGATACGATGTTGTACTCTGAAGAAGGGTGTTGATTGCCGAAATTGTCTCTTTGACTTTCGCGACTGTGTCCGAGGGTCCTCCATGTCCCTTCTTCAGGAGCTCGTCGCACGCCATCGTAAGAGTTAGTCTCTGCACTCCAAGTTTTTCGACGAAGAAATCTTCCAAGTCTTCGTAGATAGAGCTGAGAGTCGTTCGTCCGTGTATCTTGGCCCCGCTCGACCAAAGGCATTCGGCTGTGGTACACCATCCTGACATTTCGCCATTCGGAACGAAGATGAGAGGCATTGTCCTGAATTTGGCCCTATAATTGAAACCATCAAAATAAAAAACACAATTCGAGGAAGAGGTCGTTCATCTTACCTGAAATCTTTCAGTTGATGCTCCGGCATATTGCAGTTGTTTAGAAAGCTGTATACTTCAACAACCCAATCGAAATCGTCGCAGTTCATTTCCCCCATGTGCTTCAGCTCCTGGATGCAGCAGTTTTGGTCCCAATCACCTATTCCTAGAGTCTTCTGCATAAATCTTCTCAAAATATCCACTCGGTCTTCGGAAAAATCTTTGCTTAGTTGTCTTTCTAGGGCAAAGTAAGCGTACGGCACACCTGGGGCTGTCCATACACAAGCATCTGGCCTTGTCCAGGTTAGTGGAGTATTCTCAACTGCAGTGATTCCAAGCGCAACTCTCGTTTGTTCCCCTTGATTGCTGAACTTTGGAACCAAGATGCATTCTTTCTGGCGGCAAAAGTCACTGCTCTTGTCAGAGATTTGATACTTCGTAGTAGCGGGTGAGGGCTCCTCACTTCACAACTGTCCTAACTTGCTCCTTGGATGCAGACTCTTCACACCGGAGTTGTATCATTTCATAGACGATGCTCAAAGCCTTGCTGTAATTGCTCTGCTGGGGCTGAGCTTCGATGATACATTGAAGAATGGAGAGATAGTAGTTCACGTCATCCCGAGCTCGGACGCCAAGCTCGTCGACCAGGAAAGCCCATTTCGACTGATATGAAGCAGAATGAATAGCCTCGTCAATTTGAAGAAAATTGATCGTCGAATCTTCGAGATATGAAGAACATATAGCTTGGAGCTCAGACAGCGGCAATGTTGTCTCTGACAGTGGGTACTCTCTGCCATCCTGACAAACGACGCTGAGGGTACGGAGCTTGCGAATGAATCTCGGACTAGCATCTTCATCTTTATCCAGGAGTGTCCAATGATGCTGGAGCGCGCCAATAAAGCATGCCGGGCGAAACATGCGGACGTAGTCAAGCTCGGGAGAGAGGTTTTCTGGAGATGTCGCGGCCGTCAATCTCAAACGACTGCGCACTCGAAGAAAATGTTCAAGCCAATCGGACCAAGTCTGCTGCGATCCAATCGGTGTCTCTGGAGGACTTTCAGAATACTGACTGTGCAAAAATGGCACAAAGAAGCCGCCTGTTTGACTCGAGGTAGGTTGCAGAAGTTGGTGAGGACCGTAGAGATTGTTTGTTGCGAGGTAAATATCCTGATGATGCGGTAGCCCAACCTCCATTGTATGGTCGAAAACAAAGACGCTAGAGAAAGCGGTCGCATTCTCTTCATCAGGAATAGTACTATGAGATAAATAGAGGAACCTTAGGTTGTCGACGGATGCCAACAGAGTCGCTTCGGTCTTCAACATTGGGACTGGATCCCTGAAAATGAAGCTTCGGATCTCTTCAGCCGCCGCTGTTTGAACACCCAGCAATTCAAAGAGCTTGTGTCGTTCATCAATAACAGATGCATCCAGGCTGACGAGAGACAGAGGAAGGTTAGCAGGAATCTCAAGACCATCCTGGCAGCGAGGAAAGTAGATCGGTCGTCTGCTGCCATTGGTTGAGGTCCAACTACCATCTCTCAGAGGTATGATTTCCAAAGAGTGAATCCTCGCTAGGTTCTGTGGAGAGGCAGTATTTGCGAGTCTCTGAATTGCAGTGGCGGCCAATGAATGCCATTGCGTACTGGTGGACGGGCTCTTCATCCGCGACTTGTCGGTCGGTTGGCTTAGGTCCATTTCCACACGAGCTATCCGCTCTTCTGCAGACAGCCATCGAAGACCATAAGGCTCAAGCAAGCTCAAGTCTGTGATGTTGTACTCTTTAGCGGTGTAGATTTCAGCATTGAGGTCCTCAAACAACGGAGTCCCGTTTCCGTCAAGCCAGTTGGATTGCAGACGCCTCAACGCGTGTATCTCGCCTAGGCGGCCGCTACCTCTTGTCCGAAGGATCTTGCTCTTCTTGATACGGCTCATAATGTCCTCGAGCAAGGCGTTCCAGAAGCTGCCCCAAGGATATGAATGTCTCTGGGGAAGCCACCTCATCCATTGGAATTGTAACGTGGGATGCTGACACAATTCTTCCATCGCTTCAACAAAACATGTCGCAATGCCGTCTCTGATGGCCAAGTTCCGTGCCGATGACGTCACGATTCCTTCGCGAGATGAATTGGTGACAAAATCGGCTTGGATAATGAACTATAGTTCATGCTCAGAATTAGCATGGTTTCGTTCTCATAGGTGGGTGCCAAATGCCATGCTGCCAAAGTCAACTCACCTTGAAGCCCATGGGCCTCGTTGGAAGGAATGCGAACACCGACTGGTTCTCAACAATTGGAGTGTTGTCTTCATCAAGGGGGAAAACCAGAACAATCTCAGTCTCGGAATCCGCACGGCTGTTGCCCTCAGAAAACTCTCGATTCTCGTTTGGAGGAGCATCTTGAATCGATTGACGTGTGACATGATACTTTCTCTGGATAGATTCGCCAGAAGAACGACCATGTTGCGGTAGCCACACTCTTTCCATTAGCGTAGCTGAGTTGGAATCGGGAAGAGAATACTCCACTCGTCTTGTTTCCTCGTCATCGTCGTTGTGCAATTGGATCTCGATACGTCTTAAATTCCTCAGGAAAAAGAGAACCGTGATTGGAAGATTTGCGAACTCTCTATCAATCTCCTCTCTTTGTCTCATCGCTTCTGAAAGAGACGTATCATCGTATTGATGGAGATGGAGTGTGATGCAACTCGGGGCTTGGTCACCCTGCGGTATAAAGTCTGGCTCCCAGATGGGGCTCACCATTCCAAGCCCGCTGTCACCCTTATGATGGATGAAGCTGAACGAGAAGTCGTTTGAGAGGATATGTACCTTCCAAGCAGCCATGAAAACGGATTTAAAACCGATGCCTTTCTCCCCAATGTAGCCATGACTGCGATTCTTTGAGCTTTGGCCAATCGCACATATAGCCTTGAGATCACGGTACGTAAAGCCGTCTTCGTTGCACTTGATCTTGATCTGGTCGCGGTAGACGCTGAAAACCACATACGGATCAGAGCCGCGACTCCTCGCCGCAGCGAATTTGTTATCATCGGCATTTTGGAGAAGTTCGAAGAGGAAACGGGCATGGCTTGTGTTGAGGTTCTTTGCCAGTCTTGAGTAAGAGTCAGCAGCTGCCTTAACGCCAAACAGAGAATGCCATCCGATGAGTGTTAGTATCATACGTCAATATGGAAGACCCGATCAGTTGGTCTTTCTGTAGCAAAGCTTTCTCCACGACTGTCCGAATACGTTGGCTCATTGTACCAATTTCTGCCATATCATTTTCGGGCACAATGCCATGTTCCTCGGCAATTCCTTCGACAAGTTGCCGGGCTGTAGGTTGGTGCCCAGATGGGCCCGGCGCAACAGCCATGTCGCTGTCTCACAAGTCGAATCTCTCAAAGTTAGACAGTGTGGTTCAAATTTTCGGGGTTGATGCACCAGAAGAGATGTTGACTCTCAAAACTTCAATGGAAGGGAATTATGGGGATGAAGGGTAATTTCCGGGCATGGATATGGTTGTGAGTCTTTTGACCGCCGAGGATCTCGTGCCGCAGGCTCGGCGCCACCGCGCACTTTTTGGACCAACCACAAGCAGCGCCAAAACACAATATTGGTATAACCTAGTAACTCGCATGTGCCCAAAGTGCGGCTGAATTTATTTTCACCAATGCGGTAATGGGCTTATCGAAAGAGATCAGATGATTCTTCAGACTGGCACAATATTCGCTGAGTTGGGCCGCACATGCGTTTTCCAGTATGGCTCGAAGATGGGTCGAATCTGCCATGTGTTAGTCCAGGGTTTGATCCCATGTTTTGTCTAATCGACAACGACCAAGGTTGTTACCAATGCTGGGATTTCGAAGTCACACCGATCGAGACGCTACGAACAATATACGGAGGACATAAGCTGGTGGGGGGTCGAAAGGAAACGAGTATGACCAAAGGGGGTCAAGAGAAAGTTCACCGATGCTTTCATCGCCACAGCTCGACCGGATTATCGACACCTCGAGGAACAAACAACAGGCAAGACTGCGAATACAATTCGATTCTTTTTACATACCCGCTGTCGCCGGCAGCGAAGTATATACAGGATACATAAATACATGAAATAAATTACGTACGCTCCAGAGGAGTGTTGGATGAGTACGGCCATTGAGAAGAAGTATTTGCTGTAGTGCTTGGCCGTGGAATCGCTTAGCAATCACGGGATCCTCCCAAAAGTCAAAGTCTCCATGATGAACTCTGCAGTCCTAGAAATGTTGCCCGAAGCTTAGCAATCAGCCTTGGCGTCAACAGCAGATGAAACGGGGCTTCCTCCAGCGACTGTGATGGACTTGTCGCCGGAAGATCCGTTGGCGCTGCCGCGGGTTGTGCCGCCGGGGATGACGTCGGGTCCGGGAATAGTGTTGTAGGACGTGGAGCTGCCCCAAAGGCTGAAGTTCACCGCCGCATCCGTCTGCTTGTAGACACCGGGAATCTTGACACCAGTGCCGGGCATGCTGGTCGCCGAGTTTCCAGTGACCTCGAGCTGAGCGCAGGCGTAGTAGAACTCGGCTTCACCGTTGTGGGCACCGTGGAGAGCAATGTGCTCACCGCGGACGAGGTACTGGCCGTTGGGGATGGTTGAGGGGACGGTGAAGTGGACATTGTCCTCGCCGTAGCTGCACCAGGCGGAGGTGCGGAGGGACTCGGCGCTGCCGGCCTTGCACAGCAGGGACTGGGAGACCTTGTACCAGGTGCCGGTGCCCTTGTCGGAGACGGCATTGCTGACGGGGCTCATGTAGACCTGGGTGGGACCGGGGTGAATCATGCCGGTGCCGCCAAAGGCCTGCTTGAGGCCGACCTTGTCGCCGGCCTTGACGGTGAAGACCTTTGCGGCCGAGGTGGCGCCCTTATTGCAGCTGAAGTCGGCAACGGTGGGCGAGATGGAACCGGACGGGATGTTCTTGAACTTGGTGGGCATGTAGCTGTTCTGGTGCTTGCGAATGTAGGTATTGTCACCGCCCTGCTGAGCACCGTTGATCACGAGTTTGTCGAAGGTGTAATGCGCCGAAGCTGAGGAAACCAGGCCGAGGATGGCAGAGAGAACGAAAGTGGCCTTCATGTTTGCGGTTGGAGGCGGGATAGAAAAGAATGGAATGACTTCAAGTCTGATAAAGAGTGAACGGGAATGAGCGAAGAAGAAGAATATCACAATGGTGGATTAAGCTGAGAAGAGTAGTCCATAGATGGATCAGCAGTGGCCTTAAATATAGTCTATCGAAGGCGTTTAGCTCTAATACATATCCCATTCATCCAGTCACTAAGGGCTTACGAACACAGACATGCCTGTGGAACCGACTCAGGAGATGCATGCTCCCATTCCAAGCCAAGACGTTCGGTCTAGATTACCAACAGCAAGCGACAAACGCCAGAGCTGGGATGGGAACCCCACTATTGACAGCAATCAGACCAAAATCTTCCGAACACGCTACTGTATCCGTAGGTGTAAGCATAAAATTCTTGCTCCGGATGGGTTTTGTGGAGAAAGGAGGGGACCTCCCAGCGGCCGCTCTGGCCCTCCACCTGGGCTTGCTCACATGGAATAGAACGCAGGGCAAAGGATGATGGACTTGAGTTTATCTCAGCCCCTTTCGTAAAAGACATTCCAATTTCCGAGACTACGAAGCAATTAATCGTCGGAATCGATGGCTGACCTGAAAGAAGTGTTGAGTTGCAGTCAGCGTGGGACTGTTGAGGATGTCTCATTTGACACTTCTTCAAAGCATCTCTCTGGAATCACTAGTGTAGAAAGAATATGATGGCGATTTTCGTGTAGACTACGGATACGCCGACAAAGACCAAGTTCTCCTGATTTGCGACTCCCACGCGCCGAAGCGGGCCATATCGACTGTCGAGCCTCATTGCCTATTAGGTGTGCGAGAGGTGGGCACAGGCGCCATCTTTGGTGACACCTTCTGAAACAAACGAACCTTTGTGTCTGGAGCTCCCCAGTTCGAAGATTGCTCCACAGATATATACCCTCCTGCCGGGTGCAGATGGCCTGTTTCTGCAGGCATGTAACATTCGATATGGCTTCGAAAAGGTTGAATGGGAGAATTGGCCGTATAACAGAAAACCTTTTTTGTCAAATCAAAGTGGACATCTATACCGCTAGGAGTACTTGGCAGTTTCTGCTCCAAGCCCTTTTGTTTCACATAAAGAGCGGGCCATGCCGATGTGTGAATTGCAGACGATTGGGGGAATACGTCCGAATAGTCCGAACCGTTCGGCACTTCAAACGGCCACTAACAACGTAAGTAGCCCTGCAATGCTGACATGCTACTACCCAATCTTTCGGTCTTTTGAACCGCTTTCAACACCCCTGGAGCAGCGCTACGCCATATCCTCCGTCTCTCTTCTGCAAGCTTCTCGTCCGTGCCACCGTTGTTGCTAGGATAGGACCCGCGTCTGGCTCGCTTATCCCAGCGCTCTAGCTATCGGCGAGCCCATCAATCTACTTAATTCGGAACGAAAGGTCTTCGCTTTGTCAAAACCACCAAGCCAAACTACATGTATCTTCAGTTCCCATCTCTTGGTAGAATCTCGTGTTTGAAGTCCACATTGCAGGAGCGGATTGTGCCAGAAGCGCGAATGCTTCGTATGTTGGTTGGTCCTTTTCAGCATCGGCGTCATTGACGAAGGGACAAGGGGCGACTGCCGCTTCGGGGTTTCAGCGTTTCACAGAGAGCAGTGAATGCAATCAATCATGGATTGGAATACGAATCCGACTCTCGGTTCGCATTGCCACGATATGATTCTTTGTTAGTGGCCCAGATAATCTTGATGACGGATCATGAAGTCAAATTTGACCATGTACATGGGTGGGTTTGTGAACCTCTGTAAGCGTCCTCATATGCCTCGCCAAAGAGTCAAGGTGGCTGGGGAAGTTGCACGTACCATCCTTAAGGATATTGACCGTGAGATTCTCGCAGTCTCTTATGAACTTTGTGTGATATCGACCAAATCGTGGTATTTCTATTACGAGTTTGTTGGCTCCTCGTAAGAGTGGCAAAGGGATGTTGCAGAAGGCGCTGAATGCAAGTTTGGGCTCATAGGCTTATGGGATGACGCGGGGCACCTCAAATTGGTTATTTGGGCTTAGGTACTGGTATCTAACAAATCACTGACTTGAGTTCATGTCTTGTGGAGCTCGTAGCATCGCTTCAATCCTCAATATCCAGCGGTGTAAATCCTCTGCAAAGTACTTAAGGATCAAGCACACATCTCCAGAGGTATTAACAAATCACTCGCAGATAAATGACTCCCACTTGTCAATGTCTGACCCTACAAGCTTGGCCGTACGCGGCCATCGACAAAGCCTTTTGGTCCTTGTACTCCCATCGGCAGGTGAGCTACCTAAGAGCATTTCGGGGTCCTTTCCCTGTTCAACCCATTCTATCAAGGCTTCGAGGGAGTTTTGCTTCCCAGGCACGTGGGGATAACTCGAGGCACCCCCACAATGGCCACCACCTACAGAGAGGGCTTCATCAGCCAAACGCTCTTTGGGGGGGAAAGTTTGCCAATGGCGGCTAGCTCGACTCACCTGGAACCATAAACAAAGATAACCAGTCATCTCGGAGGCCACCTGTCACCCGAGCGACCTCGTTCAAGTGATCGATAGGCCAGGTTGCGGCGTTGTATGGATCGGCCCATCCTTGCGTCACAAGTAGCTTTCCTCCTCGTCTCTTGAAGGAAGTCAGGTTGGGGCTGATGGCGTCAATCAAACTGCCAACCTTGTTATCCAGCGCATCAACATCGCTAGCCCAATCGAATGTGCTGCCATTGTAGCTCAAGTCGTCGAAAACCATGTTTTGCAGCAGAGGAAGAGAGAAAGACAGGGATAGGAGACCTTCTTGAACGATCCATTCCGACTCACTGCCCAGATCAAAGCCCGGGTAGAGGCTAGCATCACTCTGAGAATGGCGAGGTCCAGCATAGATATTCTTGGCGGCTGCGACTTGTTCCGGGGTCAGGCAGGATGGCGAATTAGCTGTGGGCGTCGTGCAAGACAGCTTGTCCAAGTCGAAACTACATGCTAGAGGGTTCTCGAGAACTCGGTCGTGGACACCGTCAAGGGTGTCACACTCGTCCAGTACCGCACTCGTAATCATGTTCAGTGATTCCTGTGGCAGGAACGAAAACCCCTGAGATGCGTTAACAGAGCAGAACAGCGTTGGAACAAGACGCAGCAAGATTCGTGTCCTGTAGAGCGGATAATGCTGCTTGGAGACTTACGAGAGTCATCTGCTGGTTCCACAGGAAAGAAAGCGCCAGATGCGAATACCAGTTCCCCGGACAACCAGCAATAATGCCGTCGAACAGCTCAGGATGATACTGTGCAAGCGCGAAGCCTTGGGCCCCCCCTGTCGAGCAGCCCTTGTAGTAGGTGTGTTTCGGAGCCTTGCTGTAATAAGCCTGTACAATATCTTTCGCCGGAGGTGTGAAGAGCGCAATCGAGTTGCGGATCCATGCAAGGACTTGGTTCTCGTCGCGAAGGAATGGCAGAGAAATGCCTCCCGGGTACGCATCGCCCCCGTTATTTTCCGATGCGCGATGGCCGCTGTCTCCTCCCGAAGTTGCGAAGCCCTTGTTGACATTCTCTACCATTGCAGCATAGTCGATGCGCCCGGCCAGGCCGCCGTTGCCTTGTCTATTTGTTAACTTGGACTACGATCACGGCCAATTTGGACTTCATCTAATCTAGCAAATAAGAACTCACCAACAGCTAGGAATCTGTCATTGTACGCGCTTGTCTCTGGGAGCCACACTTCAAAAAAGACAGTGTTGTTTTCGGAATAAGGGACGCTGCCATTTACACGACAAAATGCAACCTGGTTGAAAGTACCGGAAACATTCAACGAATTGGCCAGTATAGAGGCCGTCGTAATCACTGCGTTGTCGGCAGCGGAAGATTTGATGAAGCTCGGTAACGCGTCGCAGTCCGCGATAAAAACCGACTTCGCGACACTAGCAGGAGGCAGAAGCCAAAATGCCAAGGTTATTGCGGAGAGCATGATGCCGACCACGAAGTTCCAGTTGAGTCTTTCCCCGCGGATGGTTGGCATGGAATCTCTGGAGAGACTCTGCGCATCTTTTAAAGCCGAATCCGACTTCCCGGACGGTGGCATCTTGTCAACGCGTGTGAAGGTAACAGGCCCATTTGCCGGCATATTCATCTGCTCGTTGGAATCCTTGTAACATAGAAGAAGGAGATATGTCAACTAAGAACCCAAGATTTGTTTCGGCCTCGGCACCGAAGTTGAACACGAATATTGAATAACTAGGAGAGGGGCTTCGCACCAGTTGCGCGCACGCAATCCAAGAGACGGCACATTAACGCACCAGTCAGAGTAGCTGAGAGACCCCACAGGGAAGAATTGACTACAGTTGTGGGGTTGCAATGGAGGGGATGATGTTGAGTATCCGGCAAGCGGCGCCGAAACCCGTGTTATTCGAGCCCACTCCGGATGTTGCGAGTATCAACGAATATCCTTGATCTGGAGACGACCGCGATTTTGTCGCTTGCACTTGACAGATGGGAGTTACAGATGGTGGTTGCGGAGATTGATTCTCCTTGCGTCTTCTGTTTTGAGCCTGCAGACTTTTAGTCCTGATTCCCTGTCTTCAATGATGTGACCTTATCCCTCATTCCCAGCCGGGTTTGGCCGGGCGGAAACGTTGTCATGGTCAATGCGTCAATGAACATTGATCTAGCTCGGCATCATCTTCTTGTCTCTTCATTCGGAGTCAACGTCATTCTAATCGTTTTGTTTTCCTAGCTCGAATGTGTCTCTTTGAAATACCTCTACAGTGCTTGCAGTGATCGTTGAAAAGAATGTCCAAACCAACTGTCGGAATCTCGCCTTCCTGGGCCTTCGGATCTGAGCCAAGGGGTCACTGGCGATTGCATCAAATGCGGTTAAACTCTGCAGTGCGAGCAATCACAAACCCTCGCCAGTGCTCGTATTGACGTCAGAAGACGAATCGAGTTACATTTCCATTACGCAGGTGTATGGAAACGGATCAAGTTGTTAGTTTGGGTGTGAATAAGATGAGACCGCGTAGTGCTGTGGCAGCAGACGCATCAGGTCACGTGAATCTCATCGATCCAAAATGGTTAAGTAGATATTGAGCCCCTATAGACGGGAATGTTCTTCTTACTAAGATATCTATTTAGTTACCATGGCTAGCATACCACAAGGGCCCCCTTAATTAGAGTAATTGTCTTAGGTAGATATTTTAAAGGCCATTCTGCACATAAGGATATTCTGTCGCAGCTCTGTCAGGCATAACACTCTGACCAGAGCCCTGCCAAAAAATCTAAAAACAGCCTACTAGCCCACGCAGCAGGGTACAAGACCAGTCCCCTCGCACACTCGAGGAGAATTGAATCGACGCGTTCCTGGACACTGATTCAGATACGCACCAGTCAGGCCATTTTGTCAGGATCATTGGATGGCTCCCTCTTTATATAAGGTCATAACTGCCTATGATATAGCCCTTTGAACCAGAGGGCTTATCTTGGCTAGAAGAATACTCTAGCTATCCTATTTAGAGGAAGCCATATTTATAGACTGGTCTCCTAGTTCTAGGAACAGACTAGTCGCCAAGCGACAGACTGACCAGCCCAACAGAAATCGTGACAGAAATAAACCTTCCTGGTAGACAGACCCCGTCAGTCAGAAGGCCCCTATATAACACTATCTCGAAAGTCAGGATAGGCTTTTAACGATGGTCTAAGTGGCTATACCTGATAAGTGGCCTAACCTCTGTCCAGGTTCCCCCAATCCCGGGTACCTTATGTGACATTAGTGGGCCGAGATTCATGCGGGTACTTACCTAAATGAGTCAGCCACCAAAGGTTTTGCTGGTCCAAAAAAAATTCTTTATCACACCCTTGCCCGCCCGATTTGCGAACCTCATTCCTCTGAGTAACGATAGTCACGCCTTGAATATTCGGCTGCAAATCTTCTACAAAATGAGCGACGACACACTTGAAGCGGCGCCGCCGCACGCTACCTTCGACGTAAGAACAAAGCATCCTCAATTCTCAATCTGGTATCCTCTAAGCTGACCATTGCTGTTGTCAAGACCGTGCTCGTGTTGGATCTAGGATCCCAGACCAGTCATGTCTGTTCTGTCCAGAGACTACTTCTGCTATGCGGGTAACAGGAACTAACAAAACCAAAGCTCATCTTGAGACGGCTGAGATCTCTCGGGGTGTACTCTGAGATGTTACCTTGCACTCAAAAGCTCAAAGATCTTGCTTGGAAACCGGTTGGGATTATTCTTAGCGGGGGTCCGTCAAGCGTGTATTCCCCCGACGCCCCAGGCGTGGATCCGCTGGTGTTCGAGCTCGGTGTTCCTGTGTTGTACGTTGTATGCCAAAAGCAAGATGAATAAGCCGCTGACGTGCCACGAAGAGGAGTTTGTTTCGGCAATCAACTGATTGGTATTCTCCGCCCTGGGTGTGTCCGGACGATCATTGACTAACGACTGTCCCAGCGTGGCGAGTAAACCCAAGCAATGTGGCACCCGGCCAGACCCGTGAGTATGGGGAAACCTCGATGGCCATCCGCAAGGTTGGCAGCCATGCCGATCGGCTCTTCGAGGGATTGGGAGACTCTTTGAACGGTTCGTTATTCGTCTGGCTTGGGCTGATACGTCTCTAACATTCTCTGACCATAGTCGTAATGAGTCATTTTGACAAGGTCGTTCAGCTACCCGAAGGCTTTGAGACCATTGCCACCACCAAGGACAGCGAATTTGCTGGCATTGCCCACCAGTCTCTACCTATCTTCGGTATGTGCATCCTCTCAAAGCTCACGCTAAAGTTTGCTGACGAGTATGACTGATAGGCATTCAATTCCACCCCGAGATCTCCCACACAGAGCGGGGAACTGATATCCTCGCCAACTTCGCTCTCAAGATCTGCGGTGCCCGAGCGGACTGGAAAATGGACAATTTCTCAGAGAAGGAAATTGTTCGCATTCGGAAACTGGTTGGCGACAAAGCACAGGTTGTATGTATTTCCCTCTTGCCCAGCCACACATGTTAGCCTGCTCACCAGTTCGCAGATTGGAGCTGTCTCTGGCGGTGTCGACAGCACTGTAGCCGCCAAGCTGATGAAAGAAGCTATTGGAGACCGATTCCACGCAATCCTTGTGGACACTGGTGAGGACAATGCTCGGCAAGATATCCACTCGCTTACCAGTCATGTTCTAATGTCTGTTAGGTCTCATGCGTCTGAATGAATGCGATCAGGTTAAACAAACCTTGGACAAGTATCTAGGAATTAACCTCACCGTGGTGGACGGATCCAAGCTTTTCTTCGACCGTCTTGCAGGGGTCACAGAGCCCGAAGCTAAGAGGAAGATTATTGGAGGGACTTGTAAGGCAAAACCCTTTGAACTGGTTAGCCTATACTGATCTCAGATAACAGTTATTGACCTCTTTGAAATTGAGGCACTCCGGTAAGCCTATGCTCATCACCTTTTGAATCGTGGAAGACTTTACCTAACTCTGTATTTAGCATAGAGAAAGAGGCAGAGCACACACCGCTTGCCGGAAAGGTTGAATGGTTTCTCCAGGGAACACTTTATGGTCAGTTGTTCACTGTTCACCAGGGATTGAAAATTCATTAACTCTGTGTAGCCGATATTGTAGAAAGCTTGAGTTTCAAGGGAGCCGCCAGTTCTACAATCAAATGTAAGTCTCTCTGTTGTATTCCTCATTGCCTTTTTTGTGGCGGCGAGAATGCGAGTCTGCACCTCAACCATAAAGACGAACCGCCCGCAACACCTTGCGCCACATTCGAGTTACTTTTTTCAACTTCCCATCCGCCCCGCGAATGTGCAATACTAAGGCTCGTGTAGCTCATCACAATGCCGGAGGACTTCCTGCTCGCATGCAAAACGGCGTAAGTTGCACTCACCAACGTTATTTTGATGTAAAGATGTTAATAAACAATAGGAAGCGCAACTGAAGCTCCTTGAACCGCTTCGAGAGCTGTAAGTCATTTTGAATATGAATTGAACAGTAAGGGTAATTGCTGGTCGCAGTCGCTAACGATACGTAGTTTCAAAGACGAAGTACGGGCGTTCGGACGGCAACTGCAGATCCACGAGGAGCTCATTGGGAGACACCCCTTCCCGGGACCCGGTTTGGGTATCAGGATTATCGGCGAAGTCACCCGCGAGCGAGTCGAAATTGTGCGCAAGGCAGATCACATCTTCATCTCCATGATCCGAGAGGCCGGGATCTATGACGAGGTTCGACGCGACCACCTGTCATCTATGAGAAAGTTTACTAAAGAAATCTTCCAGGTCACCCAAGCCTACGCCGCACTTGATACCAACAGAGGTACGATCTTTCTTCCCATTTTTTTTTTTTTAAAAATTTGTAGCGGTATCTGACTTTGCATTCGTCGCCACAGCCGTCGGTGTACAGGGAGATGCCAGGGTCTATGGCTACATTTGCGTTCTGCGAGCCGTAACCAGCTTGGACATGATGAGCGCCGAGCCATACGAATTCAAGTGGAGTCTCCTCAAGGCTATTAGCAGGCGCATTGTGAACGAAGTAGACGGCATCGCGAGAGTCGTATACGACACTACGTCAAAACCTCCAGGTGAGAGTCTTCTCCATGCTTGTCTTCTTTCACGTGCTTGTGATATTGACAGAGGCCGATAGGAACGATTGAATTGGAGTGATGCTCACCAATTGAGCTCAAAGAATCATTTCTAGACTGTGTTTCTGGCGTGGACCTGATTTGGTGTTACGTGGTAGATTAGATTTGCAAAATCACATCACTTGACCCGACTCCTAGCGAGCTTGCAACGGTGGCCATAACATTATCTGCCGAAATCGGCTCCGACCGCCTGAAAGTGACTCCGGTGCCAGCCCAGCCGATTCCAGATTGTCTTGTCGCCATTGGTGTCTGGTCTATTCTCAGTCTGGAAGCTTGAGCAAGCAACGTGAGGTCAGATGTCCCCAAGCTGCTGAAAGAATACATGAATAATGCTCCCCTCCACACCGCATTCCACGCGAATCGAGCCGATGTGAGCCAAGAGTACAAAAGAGGGCGACTTTCTAGTTGAGACAGATGCCTGAACGATGACGTTCAAGCAGGTCAGTCTGGTGTTGACGAGCTTTGTCTCAGCTTGTCTCACCTCGCTACATAAGCTTGCAGGCCGGGCAGCAGACGAACTTGTTTGCTTGCATAGGTACCCATAATCCCAACTGTTGGTGGTGCCAATTGCTTGGGGTGGCTCGTTAACAACTGGAACCCGCGTAACTCTCTGTGCTCCCTCTACCCGTCGGTGGTGCCAACGTCGGCCTGCCCCTCCAATCAAGACCTCTTAGCGCTTGTTTGGAGACGTCGGATTGACGGTCATCAAACTCGGAAGAGGATTAGGCAGCGACCAGGGCTTCACCGAGTAACGACAATACATCTGTCCGGCAGGGGCTTAGTTGCTGACCGCAAAGTATGCCGTTTGGCCAAAACACCAGTTGACGCCCCTAGGAATCGAAGCCAACTTAACCTACTAATCGTACTTCCGCTTCACATGACCGCAGCGTACACTCCGTGCACCAATCCCATCCCTCAGTGGTCGCCAAATATTCTGGCCGCCATGGCTTGTGACAAAGACGACAATCTGTTGCTTGAATGGAATTGGATTTGTCCAAATGTTTCCATGGAACCGCAAGTGAGCGTCTGTCTCAAGCGGACAGACTGGGTGGCCATTTGCAACATTGCGTCTCGAGCTAAAAACGGAGTGCCTTGCAACTTGCTTTCAAACTACAGAGCCGGTGGTAGCTCTCTTGCGCGTCTGCTAGAATTTGAAGACGGAACCCGCTGGGTCGCCCGCGTCCAGCTGCGCGAGTCGACTCCAGAAACCTCCCGGAAATCACGCATCGAAATCGATACTATGATGCTGCTGGCCGAGGCCAGGGCCCCAGTGCCTCATATCTTCGCGTTCGAACTTGACGATGCCAATACATCGCGCTCTTCTTTCGTCCTGCTCGAATTTTTGCCTGGCAACACAGCCGCAGATCAAGCTCGCGGCTATGAAAGGGTCGATTGGGGCCTTATTCCACGCCAGCATCGTCAGAATTTCTACCAGACAATGGCGGCTGCACATGTGAGTAACAGTTCCACAATGCCCCCCTTATCAGCTCCTTCTATGTAGAATCTCCAAGCTCACCTCGAGGGACAGGTCCAGATCGCCTCAGCCCGTCTTCCACAGATTGGTGCTGTTACCAGCCACGCGGACGGGAGCTTCACCGTGGGTGCTATCCCAGGCATCGGTGGACCGTTCGATACAGCAGCATCCTTCATCGAGGCATGGGCTTCTGTTCTAAAGTTTCCTTATGACGAAAGCTACCTCCGACGCAATCTACCAGCGTCAGTAATTGACGAAATCCTGGAAGGAAACAAGCAATTTCCAAGCCGGCTTGCCGAATTGGCCAGTAGCGGTAGACATTTCACGCAAAAAGGACCATTCCCCATTCGCCACGCCGATCTCTTCCACAGCAACGTTATCGTTACTAAAACCTACAACGTTCTAGGCGTAATCGACTGGGAGGGCTCCTACGTGTTGCCCTGGGAGCTGGTCGACACCCCCTGCTTCCTGTCTACGGTGCCTCGCCTTCTAAACCTACCGGAACAGTATGATGAGGGAGGCTGGCCACTGGACCAAGATGAGGTAGGGAGGTGGGCAGACGAGGAAGCTTATGCAAAAATGGTGCGGGATGCTGAGCAAAATGCTCATGCAGATCACAGACTTTCAGAGACTCTCGCCGACCAGGACGCTCGGAATCTGGCTAGTACCATTCATCTATACTCCCAGGGCAAGATGGGATTTTACGGCCGGGCTTTGGCTTACTTTGAAAGGAAATACCACGCGCCGTCTTCGGTATCGCATGCACAGGGCTGACAGCACGTGCGCACAAGAGTCCATCAAGCAGCCCGTTGCTAGTACGGAAGCTGGAGCCGGAGAAAAAAGCACCTAGGCTGTTAAGAGTAACGGATGGATCGAGGACAATTCGGCCGCGCAAGGCGCTCATAATGGCAGAAAACTCGGGCAAAAGCGAAGTTCAATAGTTGGCGTTGGACTTGTAAAAGTCCTGTGCCGTAGCAAAACGACCCCAAAATAATGCCCAAGGCAAGCGACAGTCGTCAGTAGACACAGAGAGGTACCCAATTACTATTCAAGATCGGTCTTATTAAATGACTATCGTCCCAACGCACATCCCCATCACTGGCTATAATTCTCGTGACGCTATGTCGCCATCAAGGCCGATTGCATCTCAATTTTCAATTGACCTTATGCAGCGAGTTCAGTTGACAATTGTTGGATGTAAGGTATGTATCACAGGTAAGGGGTGTGGCCCAACGGGGCCTTGCTGGTGACGACCTATATACTCTTCTTTTAAAATAATTTAAGCATCCCGCTTCTGTCTCACTGCGATGACTTGTACTCGATTGAAGGCGCGCACTGAAACGGATAGTCGCTCAACTCCAGTGTTTTAACATGGAGGTAGCAGCTGTTTCTTGTCTGGAGGTAATTATGCGCAACTGATCCTGAGGAGGCAAGCAGTGCAAAAACCGAGTGAACAAGAGCCATCGTTAAACGAGTATCTATCGTATTCTAGGACACGACAAATCCAAACTTTCCAATCCAATCTCGAAGAACTCTTCTTTCAAGCCAGCGCTGATGGTGGCCGCCACGCCAGTCTCAGCGAAAGTATCGCCTGAGGCGATCGTTTCAGCAAAGGCGTACATCCAGGATTTCATGGGGTACATAGCCAGGGCGCTTGGAAGCGACAGACAACCTGCTCTTAACATTTAGTTTTCCGTTTAGCGGTACATGCCGGGATAAGAAGTTGCAAATGTCATACCCAAGCCTTCCGCGTTTCGTCGTACGCTGGTAAAGCCCAGCTCTTCATCCAAGCCGCGTTCAATACCTCCTCTGCGTTTGGCCGCTCCGTAGTTCTCCATGTGAGCATCCACTGTAACAGTTCAAATAATGCAGCTTTCTCCTCCTCACTGATAATACTCATACCACAAGACCGTCTCGGCTCTTGTACCCATTGCTCGAACCTCCTATCCCACGACCATATATCACACTGGTTACTGAGCGGTCTTCCCGTTTCGTCGAACCACTTGAACCGCTGGTCCCAATTATCCCACCACTCAGACGGCGGAGGACCTTGTAAGTGAATCTGCTGCGCCGTGATTTCGTCCAGAGGCGCGAGGATTCCGTCGATGAGAGACCTGTGAGCGAGCAACTCGAAGATGATGCAACCGAGGCTCCATATATCCGACGCGAAGGAAAGAGGCGTCGTTGGCTCAAAGAAAGCCTCAGGCGGGCGTATCACAAGGGGTGTATGTGATTCAAAGCGGGACTTATCTGACGGGCGAAAGGCGACACCAAAGTCGCTAAGTAATACTTTCGCCCCGTTCAGAGTGACCTCATCGCTTGCTATTCCAAGCCACACGGGTGGGACGGCATACAAAGGGACCCCAGCTGCTGAAGAGGTCGGTCTTCCGTCGAGGCGGACAACAGGTTCCTGCTCTGGGGCTCCAAAATTCGCATACAATCGCTCCACTGAGAGATTATTTAGAGAAGAAGGTAGCTGGAGAAGGACGTTTCCAAGATGAAGGTCTAGAGGAGGGTGTCATTAGATTATCAAATGAGAGGCAGCAATGAGGATAAGAATCACGTACCTCCATGAGCATAACCCTGTGAGTGAACAAGAGAAACGGCCATAGCAAGCTGGGCAGCCAGAGACCGGGCAACCTCGAGCTGGAATAGTCTCGAGTCCGATGCCTCTTTCGCATCCACAAGACTACACCTTGCTGGGACTGTAACAAAACAAGGATGAGTCCCATTGGGGCCGTCAAGACTAAAGCGATCAACGGCCACCGGGATCATCGACGCCTTGTCTGCGGCGCTGCTGCAAGCAGCAACTCCTTTCGTAAGCTGAGAAAGAATATCTACCTCTCGCCTGTCTGCATCTGCAGTGCCGACTTTTATGGCGACATAATTTGATGTTCGTTCGTCAAGAGCAAGCCAGGCCGTTGAAAATGTCCCGTGCCCAAACTTGTGGACAATGCGGTATCGTTTGTGAAGACGATCATTGATTTGGATGGGATGATAACCACCCGGCCGGTAGTCGCTCAGTCGTTCCACGTCTTCAATGTAACTGTATTCAGTGATTGGTGCCGCCATCGTCGAGAAAGGCGCATCTGAGAATGGGCAAGGCTTTCGTGTTGAGAATCGATAACTTGGAAGACACGATCGTCGCAGCCCAATTCGTCCTCGAGTCAGCGCAAGCGTAGGGGCCATCTGAGGGCCTCTCTATCAACTTTTAACTAACGGTCGAACCTCCGATTAAAGCCTGTTGTTTGACGTATCACAGGTGTGATTGTTCGAGTCGAACCGTGGTGACGAAGGGTTAATGAACTGTATATTGATCTCTGCGCGAAGTGGAAAAGAGAGGTTCTAACCGGAGGTTGAACCGTCAGTTGCTCAGATGGCCCCTGCGCTAGCGCTGACTCGAGGTCGAATTGGGCTTCCAATCCGACAATATTAAACCTATTTTTAAAGAATATTATTTTGATACTTAGTTAACTTACCCGTCATTATGTTTCCTTCTTAAATACTGCTTTTTTAGAAAGATTTTATTAAGATTTACTAATCATTATGTACTAGTCGATTTAGTGTTTTATTCTTTACTTACGTATTAAGAAAAGGAATTAAAGGATTGTTAGCCGCAGTGCAGCCGTCTCGGGGTGTATTAGTAATATATGTGACTGTGCTCAATATAGCTGCAGTTCAGCTAAACGCCGATTAAAAATTTCACACTTACCTGACAAACCGCCACATATTATCAACTCACATCCTTCTTGCTCCATTGATGCTTTTGTCACATGTTCTTGCTTCCCTAACACACACAAACAGTGCCCAAGATGTCGGACCCTGTCATCCCCTCCATCACCGAGATCCGCGCGTCTACAGAAATCTTGAGTCCTTCTGATGCGTCTGCGAAAGTGATGAGAGTTGGTCAACATTTTTGCCGTGAAACTCGGCGCTCAGGTCGCTCTTCTTGAGGCAGAGAATCTCAAACACGTATAAGCGAATAGCAACGTTCCTGTGCCCAAGGTTTTCGCAACGATGATCGAGCCAGAAACAGGGTGGAACTTCATCGTGATGGAGTATGTGGATGGCCAAGAGCTCGGAGACATATGGAAATCCTAACGCCCGCGGAAAAGCTCGACATAAGGAACTGATTATATAACATGCTTGAAAACCTCCGCAAAATCCCAACTCCTGGCTATTTCGGGGCACTCGACCGGCAGCCCTTCCCTGATGGTATATTCTGGACTCCGGAAGGAAACCCAGAACTGTCAGGCCCTTTTGAGACGGAAGAAGAGCTGAACAAAGGAATGATACGAAGGCTGGAGGCTTCTGAGCCTGCGTCGCACATCTCGCTCTTACAAACCTTTGTTTCGGAGACTCTGAAGGGCCATCGCGCTGTATTCACTCATGGAGACTTGCAACCCAGAAATTTGTTGGTGAGCAGGGTTAGCACTAAGGATGACGGCAGTGGCGAATTCGACATCAAAATAATTGACTGGGAAAACTCACGTTGGCATCCCGAGTACTGGGAATTTTGCAACTCCACCATAGCTGGCCGCTTTCGACCAGACTGGTTGGAGTTGGTACAACAGACGATGCCTATTTATACGAAGGAGTACCTGATGCTGCAGGCGATTCGAAACTTGATCTTTTACTAGATGCGGTTGAAGGTTTGTGTGGATATGGCCATCAGTGCAAATTGCTCGTTGACCTTAATAACGAATTATGTCAACTCGAATTATGTCAATATCAGGTGGCGAAATGATGAGGTTTTGTCTGCACGTTAGTTGCCGTGCTTTCTGATCCCAAATGGCGGCTAAAAATAAAAGCCAAAGCTTATAAATTCGATTTTTCGCTATAAACACCATTATAACAACTTAACATGAGTAGTGATTTGAGACTAGGTTTAGTTTAATTACAAAGCCCGCATCCGAAGAAAGATTCCACTCGATGAGATCAACCAGCCTAGGAAGGGAGTTGTATTATGGCGTTTCGTCAACAGTCTTTTTGACCACGGCGACATCAATGTCAAGAGTTTTGGGAAATCCTCCTTCCGGAGCCCTCACAGACGTGACACGGCCACTGGACATTCTATACTTGAGCAACCTAACGCCGCCGGCAATAACTGACACATCCCGGTATCGCCTTCTCAGATTGACGATAATGATGGTATCGCACGTGTAGTCTCGATAATAGACATTCTTTACGTCTTTCTTTACCCAACCTTGAACCATTCGGAAATGGAACGTCACTCCATTTAATATTATCGGTGGGGGGCGTTTAATGCCCGAAGGAACTGGGACGTCTTTTACAACGCGCGGTTCAAGCACAGCAGCCGGTCCCTCTCCGAGAGGGTATGCAACCCTTGATATGTCAGCTGATTACACACCTTAAAGATTCCGAAGGCTTACCGGACAAAATCGGATGGCGCGATCTGAGAGTCAGCGGAAACCCCGTCAAGCTGAAGGGCACTGGAGGGAGCGTGCTCTTTAGCGATGACCCCTACGGGCTCTATTGCTAACCCGCACGCGGTCAAGGCAGCACTAAGGGCGAGGAGTATTCTCATGATAGGCGTTTGTACACGTGAGGTTGAGTATGGCGGCTTCTGCAAAGATGCAAGAATTGTATATATTGAATCGAGGTAGGCTTCGAGGACCAGAGTCGCAGGAAAACGAGGAGATCTGCGGAGGTTGGCGTTGATTTATCACTTCGAAGTCGCAGCTCTGCTTTTCGGCGTAAGCCGAATCCCGCCTCGTATAATTAAAGGAATCGACCAACCACCTATAGTGAGATGGTCCCGTTTAGGCGCCCATATTTAGGATTCTCGTAGTGCTAAAAAGTTAATCGCTAGATGGAAATTACTGTTGTCTAAAGAACAATGTAAAGTCTCCATATCTAAACCTTATTATGTAACGTAGCGGGCAGGTTGACTAGGTATGAGAACAGTGCTCTCCTAAGGTTGGTTCTGTAATAATGAACAGAAGCTGAATCTTCGCTTTTGCCTTTCGGCGGTGAGAAGCTGGCTAAAAGGGGGCCCCTCACCCCAAAACAGGGGCCCCGTGGACTGTTGCGCTCTGCGCCACAACGACCCTGTGATGAGTAATATGATCTAATTAAAATTGAGTAATTACTTCCTTTATCAACGGAGGTGCCGTTCAAAGTTAGCGCTCTTTGAACGGCACCTCCGTACATTTTTTTTACCATCAGCAATTAGCACCATTAAAGCCCAACACCCTTTAGCTAAAAAAACACAAAACAAAAAAAAACCTTTAAAATCCAACATTTTTATCTACGTAAATCTGGGCTAGGAGCGCACTTTAGCGTTTATAATTGTGAGCTTGAGGAACCTTGTGTTACCATCTGTATACAGGGATAACAGCTGAACGACCTATCGCCTTTAGTTCAGTTGTTCTGTTTGGGCGCTGGTTTTCAAGATTCATCTTGATCGCTTCATAAATTACTAATAAGGTCCAAATAGCACGGCTCCGATTATCCACCTTCCCATGTCAAACTTTGGGCCATGACTTATAGATTTAGGCCGAATGCATTGTGTTTATGTTAACATGTCAACGCTTGGATTAAACTTGGCTCGTTGAAATATTTTGTTGAGAAAACTGGGATGCAAGATTGTAGTCAAACGGTATTTTGCTTCGCGGAATGTAACAAGCAAGCCCCGGAAAAAAAGGACAATGCTTTGCTATTCCTATTTATTCTACGCTATATGGCTATGAAAACACGTTTAAAAACGGCATCGGGCATATTATCAATCAGTCTTTCTCGCTTTATTTGCGGATCATACTCTAGGGGCAATCAGAAGGCGTGAAATACAGAAAATGGCTTGTAGGATCATGTATAAATCCGAAATATAGGGTAAGGAAGAGGCCAGAAAAACCGCATGACGCAGATGGCGTAATTTCGGCCGTCATAGAACAAAGTTTATTGTTAAACTTAGGTACTGAGGACTAACAATTGAAGTACATTAAGGTGTGTTCACAGCCCTGGCACATTTTAGTGCCCCTCTCTTGCCTGCGATGGCTTCTTATCACAAGCAGCGCGACTGTTAAGTCAATAACGACACTGATTAGAAGTACGACTAGCAGCTCACGTTCAATGTTTCTCGGAACGGTTTCAGCAAAAACGGTTCGGCCACGTTATAGTTCCACGTCATGTCGAGTGCCCCAAGCTAATTTTGAACACAGGCTCAATATAATCAGGGTGCCGGTAGCGTAAGTTGACGTTGCTTGGCGGAGCTTCTACAGTCTAGCGGATACTTAATGCATTGCCGAACCTCATACCAGAATCGATGGAGACCGTTGGTACAACGACTGTACAGCTGAAGCCGTGAATGGCGATTATCCTGTATTCAACCGTATTATCGACACTGTGCAGCCGAAAATAAAGATCAATCGGGGTGGCTCTGGCTGTTACAACGAAGCCGACGGGCCTTATTCCATTGGCCTTTTAATACCAGCCAGCCATTGGTATCAGCTGGGTTTGCTTTCCCCAAAGTTGCAGTCTCGTCTTTGAAGCACCCCTGTGACCAGGGCCTAGTTCGGTCGTCGGTTGGTAGTTACACTGTGTCGGATTGGAAGCCCAATTCGACCTCGAGTAAGCGCCAGCGCAGGGGCCATCTGAGGGTCTCTATATCAGCGTTCAACTGGCGGTCTAACCGCCGGTTAGAACCTCTCTTTTCCACTTCACGCAGAGATCAATATACAGTTAATTGACCCATCGTCACCCCAGTTCGATCGAACAATCACACCTGTGATACGTAAACCAACAGTGAGTGAATACAAGACAGAACCCCGCTCTGACCCTTCAATGGCGAACAACAATCGCCCTTCAATCAATGAATGAATCTCGATGGTATTGCATTAGATCGATATCGTATCCAGAATAGAGATGCCCAGTGACGCTTACAAGGGTGTCAGAGACAAGGACAAATGCTGATATAAGTAAAGTCATCTTTGCAGGTATATATACAGAGAGCGGGAGACCCCGCTAACGTGTCAATTTAATTCCCCGACTAATTTTCCTCTCAGTTTGCGAGATTTCTGTTCACTTTGCCACACAGTATTCATCTGGACAATGGAGAATTCACAGCTCTCAGCTTCAGTGACCTATGCTGTGTCGCGCTCACGTGGCAAACAACCGGGCGAGTCCCTTTACAACGCCAAGCTAAGGAAGATGAGGAAAGCCAGAGGACAAGCGAGGTCCTCTGACGAATCTGAATCTGAGGACGGGCTTGAGCCAGGTCAGTTCATGCAGCGTCCCATGATGGTCCATTTTGCTCAACTGACTGAGTAGGCGCTGTGGTCCTACATGTAATGTACAATCGCAAAGTTGTCTTGCACGCCGACAAGACTGTCGTCAAGTCCGGGAAACGTATAGCTCTGGGAGAGGCAGAGGCGCTGAAAGTCGCTGCTGATGCTGGAATCCCAGCCCCGTGCGTCCGCAACGTGCATACAACTTCTGATGGTCAGGGCCACATAAGTATGGACTATATACAAGGGCAATCCCTTGATAAATTGTGGCCCGACATGTCGGTCCAGCAGAAGAAAGATATTGCGCAGCTGCTCCGGAAGGTGGTTGAAAAGATGAGATCCATGACTCCTCCTGCCCATTTTATTGGCGCTTGTGATGGCACCGAAATCCGGGACACGAGGCTACACTTTACCTACCATTCCCCGCCGTGCTGTGATGAAACGGCCTTCAACGAATTTTTGCTATCGGGTCTGTACGAACACACGCCCCCGCTCGTGCGGAGAGCATTCTCTCGGCGACTGCGAACTAGTCATCGTGTTGTTCTTTCCCATTCCGATCTCACAACCAGAAACATCCTGATTCAGGACGGGAAGATTCAAGGACTCGTCGACTGGGAAGATAGCGGGTGGTACCCGGAGTACTGGGAGCATGTCAAATTCTTCCAGCGCACTGCTGATAAAGATTGGAAACAGTATGCTGAGGACATTTTCCCCGAGCTGTATCATGACGAGCTGGTCGATTTCATTGCAATATCTAAGTGGCAGAACTCGTAGCTAGTGTGTGCGGAATCTCAGTGACCTCTTGCTTCGTTTCAAACCATTCTTTAACCACCTTTCATTACGCAAAAAGTACCACGACGTGATAAATTTGATAAGCGCTTATATTAAGTTATAAACGTTCATAATTTTCCAAAAAGCGCTTATTAACTTATTTTATTTATATATAACTTATTTATAATTCGTTAAATTTTTAAAAGTAATATATATAACTAGTTTTATATTAATTATATATAAAGTGAGATAGCCGCCGTAAGATAATAGGGTAGGTGTGACATTTCCCCATAGTCATCTGGTAGTTTAGTCACGTGTTTGAGGCGATCCCGTGTATTTAAACGGGCTCGCCGTGTCCCTCTACTTAGGAAGGATAACAAGAAGAATATATATATCACAATACCTATCTTATCTTTCGTTTTGCTCTTCATTGCTCTTCCGTATTACTCTTTAATCGCATCACTCTTTACGACCAACACGCCTAACCCGTGTACCTACCCGGTTAGCCTACAGTCTTACCCCCTCTGTCAGAGGTGTCCTCTGCCAAGGAGACTGTGTCAATGGTCGTATGTGATGATTTTAGTAGACTAGCTGGACTATGTTCCGCGTGAAGAGGATTCTTATGACTGTTTCTGATCAGACGATGTTTGCTTGCTCACTCGAGGCGAAGACTCAAATTATGACAGGTAGTGTCCTTTACCTGCCTCAGAATGTTTCATCCCCGTTGAAATCTTTGAACACGAACATAATATCCATGGGACAGTACTTATGGACCTCGAACAACGAAAGGGATACAAATAAATGGAAAGCCAATCCAGAGGTAAGAGAGGATGAGTTCCTATACTGGTAATAATCTAGGAGGAATTGGCCATGCCTTGTTCCAAAATTTCGACGTAAACGTACAAAAATGATGTCACCAGGTGTTTTTGTCTATATAAACTAACACAAATATGTAAATACATACAAGGAAATATGGTTATTTACTGAAATACAAATACACTAATTTGAGTGCAAGATATTGGTACAGGATACTGATATCGGAGCTAATTAGTAACAACGAATAGTGAAATAGGATTACAGACCCTATTTCCAGCTCTCTCGGGCCTATACACGCTATACTTCATGCAAAACAATCTGCGATGCTTCTGGAAGAACAAAACTCCATACTTTACAGTTACTAACCTAGGTACGTGTTCTTAAGCCGGAAGCTTGAAACCGGTCCTGCGGAGCTTCTGGAAGACTTGATCGGGGTCGTAATCCTCGGCGACGGACTTGAGGAAATCCACAGTTTCCTTGCCATGACTCGAGAGCGGGTCCTGGTCCTTCCAGGCGTAGTTGAGGTACTTCCATTCCTTGTAAGCATCAATCTCCTTGGCGTACTCGTCGATGGCGGCGCGGAACTCGAGGGCAAAGGGCAGAATCTTCTTCTGGTTCGCGGGGGTGTCGACGGTCAAGGCAATGAGCCACATGATGGTAGGACCGTCGGCGACAACATTTTCCAAGCCGAGTGAGTTTCCGCCGTTCTCGAGACCGTGCTTGACGATGGACTGGGTGACCGGCTGGAATTGGACAAGAACATTGAAGTCAGACTCGGGCGCGGCTTCCTTCATTTTGCCTGAGTATTCCTTGAGCTTGATGTCGATGAAGTCCATGATACGGTAGTCGTTCGTGGTTTGACCGACCATCCAGTTTGCACTATGTTCGATATCAGTATTGCCTCGCAGATGTTTTCACGAGGAAGAAGAAGAAGATGATGAAGTGACTTACTATAGGCCCAAGGGAGTGGGACCAGTGAACTCTGGAACGAGATCGGCAACAGATCCAACGCGGACAGTGCTGGAGATGTTCGGAATTGGGAAGTACTCGTCAAAAGCAGGTGCATCTGTCTTGGCTTGGACGTTGGTCAGGATGGATCTCAAGGTGAAGCCGGACTTGTCGTAGTACAACGCGACGATATTCTGGCTATAAGGGTCGTTTTCCATGTTGTTGGCAAAGTTCAGGTAGGCATTGAAGACATTATCTCTCTCGGTGAGGTTGTAGGTAACAAAACCGCCCCACATCTGGGTCGAGTCGACGGTGCCTTAGAAAAAGATGTTAGTCGAGATCAGGCCTGGTATGTCATCAAACACCATGGACAACTCACGAGTATCAATTCTGGTGACGAAGCCAAAGTTTCCGGAGCCTCCCTTGAGGGCTTTCCAGAGATCTGCATTCTCATTTGCGTTCGCGTTGACGACGGAGCCATCACCAAGGACAACTTCGAAGTTGGTGACTGAGTCGCAAGCAAAGCCATGTGAGTTCGTGTGGAAGGAGTACTGCAGAAAAGGTTGTGAGCAAATGATCTAGATATCTGCGCCGGCACGAATGCGGTGTATTGAAAGGCAAAGATGACATTACTTACGCCGCCACCTGTTACGAAGCCACCAACACCCACGACTGACGCTCTACCGCCAACGGCAACAACGTCGTAAGGATCAAGGGTAGAGAAGACTTTTTCCCAGTCTGAGCCAGGCTGTATCGAAGCAATCTTTGTTCCTTCGTCATAAGTCGTGGTGTTCATGTAACCTGAAGGAAAAGAGTTTGTCAGAACATGTCATAATGTTACGGATGGTCTTGCCAGTAGAGATACTTACCAAAGTCAATGGTGACACCTTTCTTGACGCCATTGGATCCGGTGAAGGCTGAGTGAGCACCGCTTCGGATGCCAAAAGGACATTGATTCCGATTCAGGATTTTTGCTATCTTCGTCACATCTGAGGTGCTCTCGGGCAGCACCATACACCATGGATCTTGCGCAGCATTTGCAGAGTAGTAAGTCTCCAAGCGCGCATCATAAAATGAATTTTCCTTTGTAAAGACTTTGCCTTGCAGGTCTTGATCGTTGGAAAGGGCAGAGCACTGTGGCCAAAGTCAGAGATGATCGCTACTGGGAAGTGGATGGGGAGGGAGATAGGAGGGTAACGTACGCACACGCAGTGAGGACTGCGACCCCTTGCTGAGACAGTCGAGGCAGCCAAGGCCAATATCGACAAACCTGTTGAGACCCTCATGATTGCCAGAGTTTGTTTGACTGTGTATTTGCGCACGAGCTCCCGTAGTAGCTGCGTGGGGATGATCTGATGGGAGGATCAGGCTTAGTGGCAGGACGGCGGCAGATCAGACGAGGATGAGAAGAACTATAAACTTTCGAGTTGAGGTGTTCAAGACAATGTCTATTGCAGGTGCATTCAGAATCAGCGATCAAATCTCCAGGGAATTCCGTGTCCGCAGTTTTAAGTTCAGACCGACTTGGCCTCCACCGTGGGCCAGCGTCCTCGAGTGAGGACCGGCATGGGTCGATCTAATTTGATGTAATGCAACCAGCGGGCAATTTCTTTCCCAGAACCTCAAATCCCGCAGGTCAAGTGGAAAGCTGTACATAGAACGGAAGAATTCTTCAGCTTGATGATGGGGCCAAGAAACGTGTTTCCTGCCCTCTCGGAGCTTCTATCCGCGTTTGGGTTGGGTAGCGCCTTTGCACCTGGACAGCCTTCCATGTCATCGTGACAAGACGTGTTGGAACCGGGTTACATATTTTTTTTAAAGGAACTCAATTATACAAGAGTTAAGAGTGATTAGGCCTCGGTCTCGTGGTATTGTCATTACGAATGTGTCTTGGGGGCGCAGAGCTAAGCTGCAAAATGTTTGTCCGCCCCCATTTCTACTCCATCCCCAACATGCAATACGACGTTCTTGGGATGATTTCCTTGGGGTTTCGGAACCAAGGTGTGCTAGGCGCTGACAAAGGTCAGACGTTCCGACTTGGCAGTAGGGGTTTCCTTGTCTTCGGAGGGCAGGAGATAGGGCTGTAAATAAACCAGCGTCGGTGAACTTGGCCCGACCCCATCTAGTGCCCGCCTCTCCGATACGATGATGCCTGCCAAGTCGGTTACCGCCAACAGTCGCCTCCCACTTCACTGAAGAAAACCACTTTTTTGGGGGCAAATAATGGCATCCTCCTCTGCCCCTTTCCTGCGCGGTATCTCGAGATATGGGGCGGAGTAGTTTCGCAGATGATAATGTCTATTCTGCTAATGGCCAGAGACACATGCTGTGGGGCGCGTCTCCTCAACAATCTCGAACATATTGTTGGTCGAAGAGGGATAATACTCTGCGGCATCGTCATCTCCAAGGAGGTCATCTCCGAGTTTTTGAACAGCCGCCTCCTTATTCTTCTTTTTCCAAATTGTGGACAGTGGATGGCGAGTCATGCTGGTGAAGCTTGAGATGACTTACTTGCCCTATCCATGCCATGCACGGGAGCCGTTGAAGGCTTTTGTAGGCCCAAAGTGGGAACGTAAACTTTATTATAACGATCGCCTCCAAGGGAGCAGAAGCTCTGCTCTGCGACTCAGTGTGTTATATATGCATAGACAATACAGAGTATTTGGACCTTATGAGGGATAAGTATACGTGCAAAGATACAGAAAAGGATGGGAGATTGACCGTACGACGGGGGACCTTCTAATCCATTCCGCCTGAACATGGATTCGCGCTCTAGGATTCTAGATCCATTTCCGTATTACGAAGCAGAAGAGGCGGGTTTGCTCTTTCTACCCGTGCCGGACCCTAGGTACCGTTCCATTACGTCTGTTGGAACTTGGGGGTCGCTGTCTGGCTCTGTCAGCTTTGACCAAGATCTGACGAAAAGGGCGGAGGATCTGAAAGCTCGGCCGCAGATTCCTCTGCAAATGTCTCAAGTTTTTCCGACCCCTGATGCCGAGCACAATGATAGAGGTCTGCGAGTGCGAGGATAACCGGCAACCAGGGCCAAATGGTCATGACGTTCCTCTACCATTGATTGTGTCCTGGAGATTGGAGCCACCGGTCCTTTTGCCTTGGCTGTCCCAATCCCTTGTCAACCCCAGTCCCGGCGGCCCGCTTTGTGACTGGTCATTCTCATACGTTGCACCACCCCCAACTACCGGAGCTGAACCCCAGTCTAAAGAGACAACTTCCAACACTCTCCAGTAACAGAACATCATTGTGAATTCGGACCAGACTTTTCAACCGGGGCGCGGATCGACCGGCAAACACTGCGCCTCTTATTAATGATTGATGGCAGTGATCCCACGAATGCAAAGCTGCTCGGTTTGCAGAACATCCAGGTCAAGATCTCGAGCAATGATTGCGGCGAGATTAATTATAATAGGAAATCGAACGCAGCACAAGACAGGAAGCCTATCCTTGTGGTGGAGTAAATGCCTCCTGGGTACTTGACCGTTGTGGAGGATCCCCATTCCATGAGTCACGCTGCATCCCACTTATCAGGAGTTCTCGAAAGGACCTCCAGTGATCCATGCTCCCTCTCGCCAATGTCCAGAGTTCATCCCGTCGAAAAGAAAATATGTAAGGAAGTGCCTGAAGCCTGCAATTTCGCCGAAGGGGGGAAGCCATAATTTTCTACGTTGAACCCTGGTCCTTTACACTCGCGGGACGCCCGACTATGGCCGCCGAGGATGGCAACTGAATCCGATAACATGTATATACGCTTGATCGGATGCTTCTGTTTCCCTTTTCGTTGGACCCAAGATATCGGTTGCTCGTGACTCTGAACCATTTCATTGGCATCATGTCGGAAGCCTCTGTAATCCCAGCCCCGCCGGGCGTCACGGTCGACTTTGACCACCCGCGGCAGCAAAAGGTGCTGGAGCATTATCTGCTCTTTGGTATTGGCGGTACGATCGCCTTCATTGCCCTGTGCCAAAGGTTTTACACCAAGTTGTTCCTCTCCAAGGGGCTGCGAGTTGATGATAGTGAGTTATATTGCTTCGTAGAACTGGTCCTTTGCCATTTACTGACTGTCGCCGAAAGTTTTGATGTTTCTGGGATGGGTGAGTTTGAATCCACGATCCACTGATCGCTCTTCAGATCATTGGCTCTACCAGATCGTTGCCTGACCATTCTTCGTTCAGGGTGCCTCCGTTGTCACTCAGGCAATGCTTGTTGGTATGTGTAACCCATCTTGCATGCTGCAAGTCATGGATGTTGACTAGACTGATACAGCTTCTATTGCCAAAGGTGGCATGTGCGCCCATGCCTGGGAGATGCCAATGTCTAGATTCGTCCAATATTCTATTGTGAGTCGTGACGCAGAAAGCCTCCATTACTCAGGTCGTGCTGACCTGGCAAAGACCACCTACGTAACGGCGCCTGTCTTTATGCTGTGTAATGGCTCCACAAAGTTGTCCCTCTTGGCATTCTATCTTCAACTTTCGCCGCAAAAATGGTTTAGAGTAGCAGTATGGACGGGAATCGCTGTGGTATCATTGTATACAACGTGCATCACTGTCCTGATGCTTTTCCACTGCAATCCCGTCAGGAAAGCCTTCGACTTCACCATCACCGGCGGAAAGTGCCTCGACGTTGGCATTCTGTACATGGCAACGGCTGTGTCTAATATCGTTACTGACGTCATGCTATTCATTCTGCCGATGCCCATGATCTTCAGTCTACGCATGAAGATGGCATCAAAGATTGGCGCTGTTATTATCTTTGCCATTGGATCAATGTAAGTGATCCCTTTCCAAAAGTCCAGTTACCTGCCGCTAACTCTATTGAAGGACTGTGGCTACCTCCATTGTCAGACTTACCTACCTGCCTCCATTGCTCAAAAGCGTGGATCCATCATGGGACGCCGCCCCTGCGAACATCTGGACGTAAGTAATTTCCATCACTTCTTGTCTTTTGATTGCCCTGACACCTCTCTCGATAGATTCATCGAAGCCAATCTCTTTGTGATCTGCGGTTCCATGCCCACCCTGCGAAAGTTCTTCAAGCATTTCGCGCCAAAACTCATGGGTTCCTCAACAAACCCGTCATCGTACGTCATTGGAGGATACCGGATGTCATACGCGCATCAAAAGTCATTGAATGCCATGAGGAGCCGTCAACGCAAGCAGTACGAGCAGTTTCCGGACATGAACGAGATGCACACGTTCAACACGGATCGGAAGCGAACGGACGAAGAGGAACCCGGGTTCTCCTCCGTAGTTGTCGCCGCAGGCGGAAGGGGGAGCGGTGACGACAGGAGTGACAAGGCGATCTTGCAGACAAAAACCGTCACTATAGAGCGCGAATGAGGAGCACGTGTCCGTAATGTCTAATGACTTGGGCCGGGTGTAGAGGATACAAGATTTGCATTGGGCTGGAGTTTGGTCAATGGGTTACTGTATAAGGGTACTGGATAACTGGCTTTGGATGGATCTTGCTACATTATAGAGTCGAGAATACTCATGTTTGGTGTAAAAGATAATATATCAAAATGCTGTTTAGCGCTTACTTGCGTTGACTGTGCAACTAGGACTCACAGATATCATGTGCACTGCATTAGCCCCGTAGCGCGCTAGAAGTATATCCACAATGATATGAAATTGCTGAAGCTGGATGAAGACTCAGCCGAGGATAGTTTAGTCAACCGCAGTTAGAAAAAAAAAAAAAAAAAAAAAAGAGGTCGCTTTTGCACTTTTTCGTTTGTTTTCGTCAGCGTGAGAATTCTGAGATCAGGGTCTTCAAGTTTATCGTACGACTTGACGGGTCTGGAAATAACCTGCACGAGCCATGTCGCCTTCCACCTGATTTTGTCGTAATGTTGTTTTCGGTACCTCGTGAGCCGGAAGTAGCGGACGGCATAAGCTTCGCCGTCAGCAATCAGTGGGATAGGGGCTGGTGAAGTACTCGCTTTCCAGGTTATTCCGGCTCAAGCCGACAAACCTCAGAGTGTTGCTCTTCAGACACCTTATTAAGGTTTGGTGAACTAGCCAAAACTCCATTATAAAACTGGGACCGCCATCAATTTGAGTTGTGTATATGAAATAGCGGCTATTTGCTCGTGCGTCGTGGGCATGGAGCTGCCTGTCGGCTGAGTACCGCGGTCATGCTTCGGATGTTGCCGAGCGAATCTCTCGGCGAGTCGTACCACATATTCCCCGTCGTTGGCTTCGATTGGGGGAGGGCCAAGGGTGGGTTTGGTCCAGTGTGGCGCGTGTGCCGTTTTATGAGGGCACCTTAGCCACACAATCTCGGGCTAGAACAACATTGCCCCTTGAGGTACGGATAACAGGGGTAGTGATCCTTTCGCGACGAGAGGTCAGTGAGTCTCCCAACTTGCAAATCCTCCATCGAGTCGTGCGGAATGCTGAACTTGGTTCTCTTGATGTTCTCTGCCAGAGCCACGACTTAATTGAGAGCCAACTTGCCCCTATTGATGTACATCTCTCCCCTAATGCTTTAGAGGGAGAGCTCGGACGACAAACTCGGCAATCTCGAAGCGATATATCAAGACGACGGTAACTGAGCCAGACACGGGAATAGCAGCCATATTATAGACCATATTAATTAGAACGACTAAGGTCGTTATTTATATTTTACCGCTGGGTATAATAGAATAGTCGGAAAGAAACCCAGTAACAACGCAGGTCTAAGAAAGTGAGTAGTCCTCGAGGGCTTGCATCGCAAGTACTTTACCTTCGCCAGCGGGAAATACTGTCGACTCTCTGAGAATCACAAGCTAGTTGCTTCTCTTCGTGGCTACGCAACTAAACTTATACAGCATTGTCATGGATTAAAGGACGTGCTACAGGGTATGAGTGATCCCCACACATTGGAGGCCTATCGTTTCGCAACGGTCGACTAGTTTGCGGCTTTGATGAGATCGGGCTCAAATTCGATTCAAAAACAAAAGTTTATCGTTGAGATGACGGCACTGATCGAATATGCCTCTAAAACAGTGCCTGTCTGAAAATAGTCGACGGTGATGAGACGGGCCCCGATTTCGGCCTTTTTTTTTGTTGGAGGGTTGTCCTATGGTAAGAGGTTCAGAATGCGTGAAATTTCAAATCCAAATAATCAGGCAATGGCTTAATTTTCTTGCCATGATAACCGCGCTATGAGCCCCGTCGCGAACGAGGCTTTCGACGATAGAGCTACCCATGGCACCTATGTCTCTGGCGACTACAATGACGTATATTCGAAGATCTGGTTGAAATATTGATGACGATCATCATGCAGGAATCCCGAACGAAAGGCTGACTATTTTAGGTGGACGCATTGCACTCCATCGTCATGGCAAGCATCGAAAATCACTGGAATGGCGTTGCGGTTCTGAATATAAAACACGGTTCAGGTTTAGCGATTCAATTGCTTTAGACAAAGAACCTGAATTTCATCTCACGTGGCTCCTGACGTGCAGCCAGCCACAAGATCCCAATACACATGCGTCATCGTCTTAATAACAGTAGAAACTACTAGTCGGCCTATTCAACTAGCTGTTGTACGGATTCCGCCTTGCGATGCGATCCATTGCCTGATTGCGTACAATGTAGGCGTGTAGCAATCTCTGGAGCCAATAATGAACAATCCGGGACTGCGCTTGCTTACAAATGAAATTATTGTTAGCAGACATGCATCAGTATGACGTCTTGCGGGAACAGACCTATGAAGCTGACTAGGCGGCCAGTCACAGATATCAACATGTATTTTCTCCCGAAAACTATAATTAAATCTTGTTGACCAGATCATGCCTTCACTAAGCTGGTTTATCTCAGGGACACCGCGGAATTTGGTCTGAACCAGCGTTACGGGCCAGACTCACCTCCCAGGCCCGCACTGCTAACCAAGCTACAAGTCGGGGACTTGTAGTAACGTGCCTTTCATGCATCAACATCAGGTTGGACGATTAGCCCGCTTGGAAGGTGTACTAGTTGCCACTTTTGCCTGTATTAACGGGTCAGCTCTTCATAAACAGGAATCAACTGTCAAGCCTCCGTCGATATTCGATACTCTCGTGAAACAATTAGGCAGTCGTGACGTTTGCTCAAAGTATGGATCTATGTGATGGATCTAAACTTGTAGCCAGTGATCTAGAGTGTGAGAGCCTCCATTTGTAACTCTGTATCCTCAAGAGTTTATAGTCAATTACCTTATAAAGATGTTTTGAACTGGCACATTTTCACGGTGGAATCTCTCTATAGTGAGAGAACTAATTGTTTACTCAGCTTGAAATCGAAAAGTTTCAAGGTTACAAGGCTTCCGATCAAGTGAAAGTTTATGCTCATAGAATTTGGCTTTATTTAGCTAAAAGAAGCCCTTTCTAGCGTTGGGTGTCATGTATTTACCGTCTATATACATTTGTGTACGGCGCGGTACAGCTCACTGGGAACGCAGTTAATCATGGCAGAATCGTGGTAGATATCACGCTGTGACAAATCACTTTTTGCATGCAGATTGCACTCGTTTCCCTGACGTCAAGGTCACCCTCAGTCGTCCGACGATGGTGCTGAGGTTCAGCTCATACGGAGAGAAGTCCGAAAGATATGCAGTCTTGACTGACGCAATGCTTCCGATGGCGGTGACCATTGACCCATAATTGCGCATTCCCAACAAGGCAATCTGTAGCGTCGCCAGCTTCGGAGTCGCGAAACACCACCACAAATTCTTCCCCTCACACACGTAGCGTCCTAGAGCTTGATCACCAGATTCTGAACGTAGTAATTACTCCAATCTAGCTTTTTTCGTGCTGTGAACGTTCTGCAATGCACTGTTCACCGCCCCTTGCCAAAGCCGTCTTGCTCTTTTCTTGCATCGTACCATCCCTCGCATCACAATGCACACCTTCGACTCCTGAAAAGCCCCGCGTCTTCCTCTTGAGCGACATCGCCAACGAGCCCGACGATGCACAATCCCTCGTCAGGCTTCTCGTCTACGCCAATGAGCTTCATATCGAGGGTCTGGTGGCGACGACGAGCGTCTGGCTAAATGACACTACCCGCCCTGATCAAATGCACGATATTGTCGACGCTTACGGGGAGGCACTGCCCAATCTACAGAAACATGCTCCCGGCTGGCCTAACGTCACCCATCTCAAGGGTCTGATTGCCTCCGGCCTGCCGGTCTACGGCATGGATGGCGTCGGCGAAGGAAAGGACAGCGAGGGCTCAAACAGGCTAGTAAAGGCAGTCGACGCCTCGGACGAGCCGCTCTGGATCCCGGTATGGGGCGGGGCGTCGGTGCTGGCGCAGGCGTTGTGGCACGTCAACGCGACGAGAGTGCGGTCCGAGATTGAAACCTTTGTCGAGAAGCTCCGCGTCTACGCCATTTCCGACCAGGATAACGCCGGCTCGTGGATCCGTCGACACTGGCCGCAACTCTTTTATATTGCCAGTGTCCACCACTTTAACCGGTATGCCGTTGCCGCGTGGGGCGGTATCTCGGGCGAGCAGTACTACAACTTTCCGAGCTTCTCGAGCCAGGAGGTTATATCGCCAGATTGGATCAGGCAGAACATCCAAAGCGTCGGACCGCTGGGGGCAAAGTATCCTGATGCCGATTTCATCATCGAGGGCGATACACCTTCGCTCCTCTACCTGATCCCCAACGGGCTTTCCGACCCCGAGCATCCGGAATGGGGATCTTGGGGTGGCCGCTATGGTCCCGTCACCTACGGTGAGGGTCATTTCGCAGACACGGTGGACGTCCTGAGGGGGGCTTCAGGAAGGACAATCATGAGTTCGCAGGCTACCGTGTGGAGATGGCGGGAGGCGTTTCAGAATGACTTTGCTGCCCGCATCAAGTGGTCCGCCACTTCTGAATTCGATGATGCTCAGCATGCCCCAGTTATCGTATTGAACGGAGACATGTCCCGCAAGGTTGTCAAGATGATTGTCAAGGAAGAGGACGTCATCGGGCTCGATGCGGGAGAGTCTTGCGATCCGGACGGGGACGAGTTGACGTACAAGTGGTGGCAGTACCTGGAGCCATCGTCAAACAACAATAATCCGGGAAGAGACGTTGGCAGACTCGAACTGAGTGATACCAACGCCCCCATCATCACGGTTACCATGCCTTCAAAGGAGGTCCTCCGCGCCCCAGGCAGAAATCGCCACCCCAATGAAGACAAGCACCTGCATCTCATCCTCGAGGTCTCTGACGGCACGCTGATTTCCTATCGTCGGGTTGTCTTCACCATACTCGGTCCCAAGGCAGGGGATGACAAGTCTTCAGCCGAAAAGGCGGTTAAGGATGTCGTCCATGATGAATTGTGAGCAGCCGATGAATTATGACGAGAATTACTCCTGGTGGCAGGCAAGAATAAGGATACATGGATCAAGCATTCCGAACCCGATGAGAAACTCCATGCTTTTTGATGCAACCCTTGGTGTGTACAAAGAGAAGATAAAATGAAGAAGGCCTATCGGCATGCACGTTACAAAAGAAAGAAGGTGAGAAACATGTTCCATAGAAATCCAACACACATGCCCACCAGCGCCCGATATCCCACGGGCACGAGGGCGAAATTGAGCACAGCCACCAGCGGCCAAATCTTCCAGGCGGCCTTGATCAGGTCGAAAATCCTCTCGCGCCAGATCTGGTAGACGACCGGGGAGAAGCCGAAGCGCAGGGCCGACGTGATGAGGAGAAAGGCCGAGTTCATCATGAAGAGGCCGACGGTCTGGTCGACGAGGACCTTGCGGGCGACATTGAAGTAGTTCTTGGGCGCGGCGGTGCTCTCGGGTCTCTCGGGCTTCTCGATTTTGGGCTCGACGATAGACGCCTTTCTTCCCCGCCGGCCGCGGGCCGACAACGAGCCCCAGTTGGGGAACTGGTCTTCGAGGAAGTGCTGCCACCAGTAGTTGATGTGGCCCTGTATGAAGCCAAAGGTCGCGAACTCGAGCACGCGGCGGACGTCGAGCGGGGCCCCGGCGCTGCCGCCGGCCTGTCTGTGCTGGTTGACGATCTGCGCGGTGAAGTTTGCGGTGCCCTTGAGTAACGAAGACTGGATGGCCGTGGCGAGGAGGGAGGGCATTATGGGTGTAATTTCAATGTCACCTCGGAGTACAATGTATGCAAGTGGAATGGCGGCAGGCGTTATGGATGGCGCGCATTGAGGCTGAGAATCTCGTGTGAGTTGGAAGGCTTTAGCTTGCGGTTGGGCTGGGTTTGGGGGGCCTCTCTAGCTGGGTGTTTGAAGTTGCGGTGTGGTCCATTAATAATTTGGGACCACGTTGTTCATACCAGCAGAGCACAGAGCGGGAGGAGCTGGAGCTGGAGCTGGAGCACAGAGCCCGCCCTCTGTGTTTGGTCGGCCAATGTCAGCGCCGACATGGTACCCAATCTCGGTAACGCCCTGCCGCTCCACAGATGAAACAGGAAAGAATAACCACCTCGTTATTGATTTGACTACCAGTAAGGTACCTTACAAGTGGACAGATCCATTTGTGGTGCTAGATTGGGAGATATTTGCTTCAACTGTGTTTTTGACAACGTCTTTGCTGACCAGTGTTAAGAACCGGCTGCCTCTGGAGCCAAAAGCAAATTGCGTTCGGCCACGCCTGTATGCCTTTATCCGGGTTTCGCAATGCTCTGGTGAATGGCACTTGAGCAATGTAACAAGTAGTCCAACTCTATGTCATGGAATTAATGTACAACAGATTGGACGATTGAGCTTGCTTTAAATGTTTTCAAGTCGCTTGCCGCTCTTTGGCTTGATGTATGCTTTGCCCCACGCACCATGAATGCCAACACCAATCATAGGTGCTCGCAGCAAGTCAGGGAGTCAGGTGCTTAATTCTAGTGCCAGTCTCGTCTGTGAGCAGCAGAATGCAACTTAGAGTGACCTGGGCCATTTCCTATACACAATATAGCCAATGCGTTTGTATACTTCCCTCCCAAATTGCTCCAGTACCAGTCCATACTGGTGCTGCACTCAAACCTCGCCTTTGTCATAGCGGCCCTATCACCTGTCGCATAGCTGTCCAGCTTCAGGTAAAGCAAGGAAGCGTGCCCCGTTCAACGCTACGGGACCTTTCCAAGTCACCTTGTTTATTTCACCACTGCCGTGCCGTGCTTGGGAAGAACTCTGGCTAGGTTGTTTTGGTACTCGCGGACCCATGACTTCCACGCTTGTACAAAATTCCTGCATTGCCAGGTCAATCTCGGCAGAGTCCTGGACGATGCAAAGCGCGTCAACCCAAAGATAGCCGATGCCAACTTGGCTAGCGACTGAAGTTGCATCCTGTATTATGGTTGATAGGGAGGCAAAATCTATTCAAATAAGCTTCTAGTGTCTCGGTCAGCGTCATATGTTATATGGATCACCGATTGTAATCAATCCATCGAGATGGCCACTCACGTGCGAGGGAAGACCGGGTGGTCTTTGGCTGCTGTTCCCTGGTCCAGCAGTAGCTGAGTGCCGCGTATAGGTCGCATGCGTCTTGTGCATCGCGTAATCTCCTATTTCCTATGCTCGATAAATTAAACAATCTTGAAGGGCGTAGCCCAGGCTACCAACCGAGCAAGTCACATGTTGTTCGTTGCATGTTGTCAACACACGACCAAAATGGATGAAATTGCGAGAATACAACTTCAGAGTTGCAATGCCCATCAGCAGACACAGAACTCATATACGGGGCAGCTTCTTCGCCTGATGATCATAAACATACGTCCAAAGTCAGAAAGCAGTCAAAGGTATCTAATAAATTACACTCGGCCGACGAACCTTCTCGGGTATAGACTCTGAATCTCAAATTGGAGTCCCTGAGATACCGGGAATGAATTCCGCTGTCGACTAATTCCCACAAAGAAGGATTTCACGGATGTCACAACCTGATTGTCTTTGGTCCATAGAACAAAGACGAGCGAATGTAGACTTTGAAAATGGTATCGTAGGTGTCATGGACTTTAAGAAACTTTGACACTGGTCACGAACTTAAAGCCTCACTATAAATAGAGTGCATGGCCATGTACAGAAACACACTGCTTATGCGGCAGGGGTGTAATTCTGAAGTCTCATAAAGTTCTCATAAAGTTTGGCTAGCGTGACTTGCGTAAGGAACCCGTTGCCCGGGATGGCCTTAGCTAGCTGTTTTGGAGTGGCCGAAATGTCACGGCACCCCCACAAGCTCATCATCTTCTGGTAGTGTCGAGATATCTCTCGATTTCGCAGTAGCTGAAAGCTTTGGTGTTGGTAGACATGACGCTGCGGCCTTTGTGAGATGCATGTTGCTACCGGCGAATTGGACTTTGACGAGAGTTACGTGGCCAGTAGTATCGTCGATACCGTGGGCCAGCCCTCTCGGCCAGATATTTTTGCCCTGCAGATAAGGGGTAACGTCCGGCGCTGGAGCGGGCGCGCCGAGCCCAGCTAATTCAATCATGTGTCGCGGTTACCGGAGTTGCCTTCTAGCCTAGGACTTGCAGAAGGGGATAACTCTAGCATGTCATAGGTGAACCAGGTGATGAAGAGAGTGCTCTTGAAGAACGGAGTTTGAAGCCATAATATAATTGGCGATGGTAACGCGATGAATGAGGAATAAGTAGACTTTACATGTTACAGTGAATGTCCTCAATAAACTTGATGAATCCGGGACTCGGTGGGCCCAGCTGGGGAAATAATGGTTCGTCTGATGTGGCACTCAGAGGTGTCAGTCTTCCTGCTCCGGAATAGACGGCTGGCTAGTAGATGAAAGTTCACAAGTACGATGATGAATGCCTTTTTCATTTCTTTCACTTTAGCAGTCTTTTGTCATCGAGCATTGAAAACGCGGAGCCCGCTGGCCGATCAATCCCCCTTTTAGGAAACAAAACTTTTCATTGCAGTTTCTTCGTGATTTAAGAAACTCTTTTTCTTTTCGGGTTTGAGATCGGGCTCGTTTTCGCCGAACACCGAATGTCCAAGGTCAGCTGGTGGTCCGGGAATATCAGAAAAACTTGCCTGTAATTCTCACTAGAACGGGTTCGGGCTAGACTTGTTACTTCACTTTGAAACCAATCTCAACGTCGCTCGGCACTGGGGGAAGGCATTGCGCAGACAATTTGAGCGGTGACTTTGAGTTCCCTGCAGCGGTCACGGGTTGTAGTGTGCCAAGGCGGGCTAATTCAACCTTTTCTTGTCAGGACCAGCTAGCTCTCTCCACATTTTGCTTCCCACTAAGAAGGAACGAACGCAGCCGGTTGAACAAACGCCAGGGCCATCGGTAGACACACAATGACGTGTAGTATCCAGATAAAGCTCTGCATAGTCCATGAGCTTATCCGTAGTGAAGTTTTCATGACAGTCTGCAGAATACCGGCAAAGGCACGAATTCATCAGTCACAAAGGTGGGGGAAACAGGACCGTGCATACGCCCACTAAATAAAGTCTACCAATCTGCTCAGAAGACCATGCGACTTTTAATTGCTTCCTACCGGAGCATTAAAGTGCGAGCCGAAGAATCCGTCTCGAAATCCCCGTTTCCGCTGCCCAATAGGTCCAGGCCTTGTCATCGCAGGTCTTCTTAGAGCGGCTCCAAGCAACAACTTCGGATGACGTTTCCCGCTCAGTGGGACAGTCGAGCTTGCAGCAGGAAGTGGCTGAGGCCTGAAGTTAAAAATATTGTCAATATGAGACGCTTCCCCTTGCGCCCGCATATAGTTTGTACATCTAAGGCTTATCATTTCTTTGGATAATGATAATGCCGCATGTCTGGACTTGAGTTTAGGCTCTGCCAAGCATTGAGTCGACGCTAAAAATACAAACTTCAAGAATCAAAAGAGAGAAGACGAAGAGGATTCAGTAGCATCTTCGTCTCTCGGCCCGAGATGGAGAGTTTCTTTTGCACGGAATATACCCGTCAATTGTTTCTTTCGGCCGGTTCGCGAGCAATAACCTCATTCATCTCACGAACGACGACAAGCAAAGACAGTATCGTGCCAAGACTCGACGTGCGAGCCAAGGCACCGAAGTTTCAAGACCATGGATCAGGACGGGCTGTTATCTTAGAGCAAGGGATCCGCTCCTCAATTTTGCTTCTTGAGGAGGCCATTCGTGTAGCTTTCGACCGACCTGGCGACTCTATTACCCAGTCTCTCCAGGCCGTTGTGAAACCCTGGCCTACCCGCAGCCACTCCAGACCCATGCCGAGCCGCCTCCAAGCTCGCGGTAGATGAATGCGGAGGATGCTTTACTGGGGGCGGGCTCAATTTCGTCTTCCAACGAACATGCTTGCCTCTTGGGACCATCTACCGGAGTGGCGCGCATCTGGCGCATCGCCGTCTCCACCTGGTTGAGTCGCTAGGGGTCATATAGATATGAACAGAACAACTCGCCGCGTCGAGTCGTTGCAAGACAAAAGGGCTTGGATAATCACAGATTCTACTTTGTCATCATTCTCTATCATCATTCGTGTAGCCTACATATTATCATGGTCAAGTCCTCCATCCTCACGGCGGTGCTCACACTCGCCTCCTCGGCCGCCGCAGAATGCGGCTTAGGCACACCCGACGCAAAGGTCACCGGCTCCGGAAGCGCCTTCGTAGCGACCAAGGGATCCAGCCAGGTCTACAACGGCTCCGACTACCTCGCCGCCATCCAAGCCGCCGTCGACTCCATCAGCAGCGGCCAGCGCGTCTCTATCATTGCCTCCGGCTCCATCGGCGCCGGAACCATCGCCATTCAGAGCGGCAAGACCTTTGAAGGCTGCGGAACCATCAACGCCGCCCTCCGAGCGCCTCGCGGCGCCATCGAGGTGACAGACGCCTCGGGCGTCACGATCCCCTACCTCACCATGACCGGAAACCCGTACTTTGCTCTGCGCTGCTTCGGCACAAAGGACCTCACCCTCGGCACTATCAACATGGATCTCAGCGGCACCGAAAGCATCGGCATCCGATTTGACCGCGACCAGGCCGCCAATACCAATGTCAAGATGGGCACCGTCACCGTCACCGGCGCCGGCAGCCACGCCATCGAGACCTGGAACATTGACGGCCTGACCATCGACCAGGTCATCGCCAAAAACTGCGGCCAGTGTGGACTGCTGCTCCAAAAGACCACAAATGCACAAGTCGGCTTCGTCTCCGGCACTGATGTTGGTGCCACCACCGGCTACGCAACCCTCCGTTTCGCCAACAACAACGGCCAGCTCCCCGACGGCAGCTACACCCCAAACATCTTCGTCAAAAACGTCTTCTCCCGCCGCGGCGGCCGCGGCGTGTTCTGCGTCTCGGAGTCGGGCGGTGCTGTGATTGACTCCATCGACCTCGCCGACAACGTCAATAACGCCATCCTAATTGAGAACTGCTACGACGTCACCATCAAGGGCGGCAAAGTCAAGGGCGGCGGCCAGGTCCGCATCTCTGCCCGCACCGAGTTCCCCAACACCAAGGACATCAGCATCACCGCCGAGGTCGACGACACCACCGTTCTTGAGGACCCCTGCGGCGTGAACATCACGTGGAACCTTTCTGGCAACGCCCCTCGCACTCTCTGCCAGAAGTGAACAGTAGCAGTGGTGAACGGTGATGTGTGGACGTAGCGTGTTTTCTTTCTTTTTTTTTGGCAGTAATTTGTTCTCGAATTCTGGTTGTAGACGGCCATTGCCCATGTACATCTTAGTAACAAAAATCCTGGTGCTGTGCAGCTGCATCAATAGCCAAAGAACTCTCTTACAAGTGACTGACGCCGTGATACGAGAGGCCGAGGGCTGGAAACGACACTTCCACCACCTATTCCATTTGCTTTCCGCCGAATACCATATTGGTCGCTTATATGCGTGTTGTGTTTGTTCCGCCGACAATATCATTGGTTCTCTTTGAAGATCGTTTGCAAAGAAGGAAGTGCGAGCCACCCTTTGCCCCTTTTGAAAAGCGATGCAGCAAAGTTGGCCACCAGTCATCTTTCAAGATCGTCGTATTAAGCTTACTCGAAACGTCGTTGCGGAGAGATCTCCGCAAGGAGTTTCTGCCCCGCACAGACGAGCAGAACGTCAGCCGAGTTCCAACTTCCCTGCCAGATGTACGTCCGGTCGCGGCAGAAAAGTGCTTATTCTTGCCCCTTTCATTTCTTGTAGCTTTGTGGCCTTTGTCATGATTTCCCCCAGGTATCGCTACATCGTCCCACGCGGGAAGACTCTGGGGAAACGAAGGGGGGAGAGGGGAATTTCTCCCCCAAGGCTCCCCGCGTCTACAAGACGAGGTTAGACCGGGTATTTATAAGTCATGAAAAGCCGTTGAGAAGTTCTTACTGTTAGTAGCGCTCGTGTAGAAGATTTCAAATCTCCACATCTATTAGGTGAGATGTTTGCAAGAATCAAAGATGATCCCCTATACCAGGATCTCAACTGGCGCCTGGTCTTAATCGGCTGCGTCGCCAACCTCGGCGCCATGGGTTTCGGCTTCGACAACGGCTGGTGGGGAGGCGCGCTGGGTCTATCCCAGTTTCAACAAAACTATGGCGTCTACGACGATGAGCTCGGGCGATACGCAATCCCAGCAGAAAAGACATCGGTCGGTACAGGTACAGGCTCCGCTGGTATTATTATCGGCTGCATCATGGCTCCTCTCGTCACTTCCAGGCTTGGGCGGAAGAAGTCGTTTTTCGTCATCTCGGCTCTGGTGGGAACTGGTGTTGTGCTTGAGTCTTCTGCGGTCACCTCGTTCTGGCAACTGGTTGTGGGGAGAATCTTGGTATACGCGGGCATGGGGCTATCTTCCAACGTGACCCCCATGTATCTCTCAGAATGCGCTCCGCCACGGATCAGAGGTAATGTTAGGAGGACATTGCTTGCTTTACTTCAAGCTGATGTGATACACAGGCGCCTTTCTTGCACTCTACAGCTTCTTCCTCTCGCTGGGAGTCTTCTTGTCTGCCGTTGCGGTATACCTTTCCAGAACCAGGACTGATCAATGGCAGTATTTGTAAGGTGCTCCACAAACCTATAGACCTGAAGTATTGCTTACATCTGGAATAGAATTGTAATTGTTTGCCAGTTGTTCGTCCCCGTCGGATACGCAACCATGTACCCATTTCTCCCAGAGTCTCCACGCTATCTCATTTACCGTGGGAGATACGACGAGGCAGAAAAGGTTCTCACAAGGCTCTCAAATCGCCCAGAAACCATTCCGCAGGAAGTACAGCTTCTCAAAGCCCAAGTAGAGGAACAGCGCGAATTACACAAGGCGACCTCCCTCAAAGACTGCTTCAAGGGAACCAACCTCCGTCGAACCATCATCGCGATGGGTGTCCAGATCCTCCAGCAGGCCCAAGGCGTCTCTTTTATCCAAAACTTTATCGTCACTTTCATGCAGCAACTCGGCTTCCCAGACCCCCTTCGAACAAATCTCATGGTGACCGGGTGCAGCTTCGCCGTCCACATCATCACGTTCCTCACGTTCGATAAGATTGGTCGTCGACGTTCCTTGTCTCTGGGCGCCGTGGGCCTGGCTGGTACAATGATCGGCACTGGCGCAGCGACAGCAACTGGGTCTGCGGGGAATTACTCCAGTGCCGTTGCCAATAGCTCGGCGGCGCTTCTCATATTGTGGTATATGGTATGTCCCTCACTATTCCTCGAAGCCTCAGGAGGCTGATGTTAACCAATTCTTTTCAAGATTTACGGTTTCACTTGGGGCCCTGGCTGCTGGGTCGTCGCTGGAGAAATCGGAACCGGCCAACTCCGAGAGAAGACGCTGTTTCTCGCATCTATGGGCAGCTTTGTGACCTCTGTGCCGATCAACTTTGTCAATCCCTACGTTCAAGCACAGCTTGGCGGCGCCGTCACCTTCATCTACGGTGGCTTCTCGGTGCTCGCAGTCTTATGGGTCTTTTTCTTCGTCCCAGAAACGAAGAACCGTTCGCTGGAAGAACTCGATGAGATGTTCCAGGCTCGTGTCAGGACTCGTAGCTTCGACAAGTATATTTCGACTGGCTTGGGCGCTCAGATCACCATGGTGGAAGACTTTAGCACTAAGAAGGCCCAGTTGGAACAGGCAGAGAATGATTGAGGCCAAGTCATGCTGAAGCCCATCATCTGTGTCTGAAGCATGGCTATGGGATCAGACGAAAGACAAACGAAAATTCACCTGTTCAAGATGCGAGAAGATATTGTGCAAGACATAATTTTCCAAAAGGTCGCGAAGAAAATCGGCGTAGCAGATATCTACCAAACCGTAATCTCCGTAGAGCATGAAGAGAAACAAACGTCTGGGTGTATTTCGAGCAGGACAGCAGTCCTTCCTTCAATGCGAATTGAGTCTCTCCTAACACGCGTCAGATTCCTTCTGTCTATTTTTGATATGATACCCAGGTGATAACCTTGCCACACTCCATGGCCAGTACCTGTCTATATACGTCAAAGGCGTGTATTCGCCTTCAGCTAGTCACGTGAATAATCGACAAGGCGTTCCACTCGGCATAATGTTGCAATCGAGTACGCGGGATTTCAAGACGTGCTAATTGGTTTAAGTGAAGGGTTGCGCGTTTTGTCTTTGGAAATATATGCATTCGTCCTCCTGCCCTTGAGGCACACTCAAAACAGGTTAGTAGCAATCTCACCAAGGTGAATTTGATTTTCTTCCTTATTTCACATAATGGCCATTTTTAGTCACCAACCTGCCATTGAGTTTGTGTCCAAATCTCAAACATACGAAGACATTCAGCTTACTTGTCGGCATAGCTGTCATCATCCAAATTGAATTCCCGGGAGCAAAGAGATCTGCCACCAGGGAGTGACAACTGTCGCAACAGTCAAGATGGGAGGAAATTTCTTCCAAGACGCGCTTCGAGATGCGTGGAATGGTATCTGCACCTCGGAACAACAGGAAATCGCCATGGCAAATCTCACCCAAGCTCTCAATCATACTATGAAGACCTGGGAATGCTTAGTCATGGGTCTACTAGCCCTCGACCTCACAATCACACTGTACGGCCTCGGGGCTAAGATCTCGGACGCCGTTATCCTCATTCCCGATGAGGTCGCCATGATCGCCTTCGCCGAACTCATAGTTCTCATTCAGCTCATGCAGATCCTGCTCCCGGTGTACCCTGCGGAGGAATTCGAGATTTTCGCGATCCCGCAGAATCTCAGAGAGAAGAGCGTTTGCAAATGGGCCAGCGGGGTCTTTGGACTGCAGGAGGCGGAGTTTCCTGGGCGCCATCACGAGATGAACGAGAACAACCTGAAGGCGTTTGGAGTCTTCCTCATCCCCGTTGCAGTCGCTGTTATATGGAAGTGGAGGAGGGTTCGTCACCGTCAGAGGGAAATAGCCAGGGAAGAGCAGGCGGCGCTCGTGGCTGGGGCTTTTCGGGTGTGGGATGCTTGGAGGAGAGATAATTGAGGGCACAGTCTCCGAAAGCACTTTACTCTAATGTTTACAGGGTGCTGGAGCAGATTTTACCACAGAGGCAGATAAAAGACAATAAGAACGTATTGAATGAATGAAAGATTGTTTCTTTCATCGTTAACAAGGTTCATACGCAGTCCTTGGGCATTCCTGAACAGCCCTATGTGCTGGGGGAATTTCTTTCTAGGACTTGAAGTAGGCTGTGACTGTGACAGACTACCAAAGGAAACAGTTTTTTTGTTCGCTTTACGTTTGTATTAGTGAGGACTCGCTTCAAAAACATAACAGGTTGGCGTGATTATATAAAAATACTATACAACGTAATGCTGTAGCTAATATCAAGCCAGTCCCAAACTCCAGATCTTACCACTCAATCTTCTTGACAGAGTGGCAGATATTTGAGCAGTATTTTTCTCACTGATTTACTACTAGGATCGTCCAGTGATCAGCCAACCGACGCAGGTCAAACAAATTCAGACGACTGCACGCCCTCAGAGGTCATCTTACCAGAGTTGCCAATCAAAAGTTTGGGAGCCTTGGTCCAGCTTCTTTCTTGGCTGGTCTTCATCGTTCCTTCCGAAAGTGAAAATCGGCTCCTTCCCCAACAGGGACAAGAATCTGAACCTCACCTCCAGATCTCATTCACTGCGCACCCATTCTATTCACCTAGGTAGTCAACCTGTTGAATATTCACAGACACCTTCCCCTCAAAGGCGTTCTTTTTCCCAATTTGAACCGTTTCTCCCAGTCCTCTAGTCAAATTCTCTTCCTCCTACAAACAATCACCCCTTCCCTCTCGACAAAGCAATCCTCCCCTTCACAAACCCCGTCCTACCACACAAACCCCAGCAGTCAATCCCAACACTTCATCCACCAGCAGTCAAGATATCCAGAATGTCTGACTACGTTCTTGGTGCCCTCTGGTAAGTCCTTTTTTTCTGGTGCACATAAATAAGTGATCAATAACCTAATGAATTATTTCATAGGGCCTGGTTTGCCTACGATGAGGCTCTCACTAAGTACCTCATGAAGAAGGCCAAGCCTATCCCTCTTCCTGAGGAGCCCACCTACAAGAGCACCGATGTCAGCATCATTGTCGCCACCATCAACACCCCCGACACCTTCACCGATTGCCTTCGTCTCTGGCTTGCGAACAAGCCCAAGGAGATCATCATCGTCACTATTGAGCGCGACTTACAGCGCGTTCTTGACCTCGTCAAGCCCGTCAAAAATGACGGCGATGATCGTATCAGTGTCGAGATAGCTGAGTACGCCAGCAAGCGTTACCAGATGGTCGTCGGCATCAAGCAGGCCAAGGGCAAGGTCGTTGCTCTTGTTGATGATGATGCCTTCTGGGGCACTCTGGTCCTTCCCTACCTCTTGGCTGGTTTTGAGATCCCCAAGATTGGTGGCGTCACTGGCAAGCAGAGGTACGTGAACAATCCTTTTTTTCCTTTCGCTCTTTTCCTTCACACAAACGGGTCCTTCTTCCATTTTCTATATTGACACTTTCCTGACTTGCACAGTGCCAACATCAGCGCCGAACGCCGCAACCCAGCCGTCATCACTCCCTGGGAGGTTGCCTCCCTCCGCTCCCTGGACAACCAGAACAATATCCAGGCCGTCCGCTCCGCTGCTGATGGCGGATGCTGGTGCATGGTTGGTCGCACCATGATGGTCCGCACCGACATTGTCATGGACCCTCGCTTCATGGAGGCCATCACCAACGACAAGTGGTGCGGCCAGGTCATGAACACTGGCGATGATGTCTTCCTCACCCGCTGGCTCCTTACTAAGGGCTGGGATATTGCCGTCCAGAATGCCCCCGAGGCTGAGATCACTACTCTCGTCATGCAAGACTCTGACCTGCTGTATCAGATGATCCGCTGGCAGCGCAACGCCATTCAGTCGTTCCTCACCACCGTGATCTACCAGCCTGGCATTGCCACGTTCAAGAAGTAAGTTCTTTTTATTCAAAATTCCCTTTCTTGGTCCTCTTTGTGGCCAAGCTCAAGAGACTGACGATGAAATAGGAAGCACCCTTACATGGCTCGCAAAATGGTCGAGCGTCTTCTTCGCCCCGTCATCGCCTGGGTCCACATCATCGCCTTCATGAAGTGCCTCTTCAACCAGTCGCCCATCGCGTAAGTCCTATTTTTTTTTTTTTTGGCTGAAATGTACCAAAATATCACTAATTCTTTCTCCCACAGTTACTTCGTTGCTGGCTACTACATCTGGGGCTGGTTCTGGACCTACAACGCCTTCGCTCGCCGCTTCCCTTGGGCCTCTCGCCACATCTGGGCCTGCTTCCTGCTCGACAATGCCCACCCCATCCTCGATGTCTATGCTTGGCTGACCTTGAGCACCGAGGCCTGGGGCACCCGTGATACTTGAACGAAGTCAGACTGGCCGTGACGAGTGGCGGGATTGCTCAGGCAATATCAAACTGTCATGGCACAACACTTCTAGTAACCCAGGGCTACGGGATCCCTTTCTTTGAGTCTTGGAGTTTTCGGATCGAATAGACAGGCATCTCACGAGGAATACAGGAGTTAGAAGACAGAGACTTCCCGTAGATTGGTAGATAAAACGCTTTCAGCCACAATACAGACAAACGCTGCGAGCCTAAATATGATGCAAAGCCACCCTGTGATGATAAAAGTAAGTCGCGTTGTTTGTCCTCGAAAGAGGACATTCAGCCTGCTTATCGATAGCAATAGATACGTCACCGCATTTGGGTGAGATGTGCTCTAGAAAGAAGAACAAAATGCAGGGTAACCATCTTGAGTGCCATGCTTTTGGCACGCTACATTTACATTGTATAACGACAATAATGATTATTCTCAGCTGAACTATGCATACTTCCTTCTATGCACCATACCAATACATCAGTAGCGCCGGTTCCTCTGAGATCATATCCCACATTGGCCGTCCGTATATGGTTCATCCTGGCGTTTGCTGGTTTCCCATGGGCTCGATTGCATCTGAGAATAGAATAGAGTTTACTGCCGACGGTTTCTTGCAGTCGTTTGAGATCTTCTATAGTTCTACATTGATCCTATAATGTAACAAGAATTGAAACTCAATAGCTGTGTCTTTAATAGTTTTATCTTCATCAGCAGAAAAGTTGCATCAATCGGACGCAAAGCCAAACCCTATTGTCAGATTGTGGTGTCGCCACGATGGTCTCCATGTGGTTCAGGTAACGTAGTGTTCAGATAACGGTCATAAAGAAGCGGGAGAACAAATGCCAACCAAAAAATATGTCGTAAAGCCTGATAGCACGACAATCGTAAAGCGATGGTGTTGTGGTGGCCTGGAGATGACCATCACCGTCTCACAGTTTGGACAAACGAGTCAGGAACCCTGGACCTTTTGATACCGCATGACATCTTCGGCACCCATATTCGCCAGCTGAATGCACCCAGCCGCTTGGTACATCAGGCTTAGAGAGTGCAGAACCCAGTCCCTATATGGACGATCGATATGGATTTGCCACTGATTACTGAGCTAAACCGGGAGTACTATTGTTACGCGCTAGACACCGCTCGCTTCCGTCTTGAAACTGAGCTCCACCACCTGGACGAACTGCCATCCAGGCAATTCGTGTTGCGACGGACTAGGTCTACGTCGAATCGCCCTGGCAATACCGACAAGCCCATGATTTCGGAAATCTCGGCTTGAACCCTTTTGCTCATGGTTATTGTGAGTAGTATAAAGTCTAAGACTCGCTCTTCTTAAAAATTTCGCCACTCAAATCTCACAACGATTCTTCAAATACAGTTTTCCAATTCTATAAAACAGTCTCTCCACCAGCCATGATGCATTTCAAACAATTCGCGATTCTCGTTCTGGCGGGACTTCTCTCTCTTACAAGTAAGTTGACTCCCGGTCTGCTGAATGCAGTTAAGCATCGCGGCTGCTGACGTGGTGCTTTTCACAAGTGGCCTGCGATGACGCCCAAGGAAACAAGGGAGTGTGCAAGCCTCCCAACTTCTGTTGCGCAGAGGACGGCTTTCAATGCGTTTTCAGTGAGGAATGCAAGAGCTAGGCAATTTACATCCTGTAGCGGTCATGTTTTGGCGGAAGAATTTGATTTGATTTGACTTGAGAAGAGTCCAACCCCAGCGAATAAAGGGCTTCTATATGAAGATGTCTATGTTCATTTTACCGGCTTCCCAGGCTTCTTTGAGAAGGCTTTCGGACATCAGTATGGTCCGGGCCCTTTCGCACAATGATTGATTGATGCTTCTGTCTAAACAATTTGAGCAGGGGACTTGGGGCGCATCGCTTTACTGTGCCTTCTTTCCGATGGTGGTCTGTTCATCCGAGGTCACCTCCCGAATCAACCTCATGTACCAGCTCGCGCCCAGAGCGGTGAAGATATGCCACCATCCATGGAACTCCAACAGCCACGCGGCAGGCAGTCCGAGACTCTTCCTCGCAGCTCTCAGCTCCGCGCAGTACTCCAAGTCGATATGCCACAACGTAAATCCCACAATAAGAATGACAACGGCCTTCCAAAATTGCTTCATTAGCCATTTTTGCTGCTCCTTCGAGTAGCGTCCGGTCCAGTAAACGATGAACAGCGTCCGCGGCCAGACAAAGGTCAGCAGCGCGGTAAAGGTCATGACGTGAATGGCAATGTCGCCCGAGCGGACGTAGATGACGGCCATGGTGACGATGCCGAGCCAGAGGATGGTGCTGATTGCGGCCCCCACGGCACGCGACTGGCGAAATGCGTACAGGGGTTGGACGAGCGAGCCGGCGAGGACCAGCATGGAGAGGTCGTCGAGGAGCTGCGTCTCCTGGTGCATGGTGCCGTGAAAGACTCCGGAGAAGATGCCGACGGCGAGGAGGCCGATGGATTGAGTGTCGAGGGTCCGGTACCAGGGGACCGCGACCTTGGTGTTGGCCCTGGGGTACTTCAGAGCGAGGTAGACTGTTGAAGGGTGAGCTTGGCGAGCGCATGGATGCGTCTGATAGGACTGGCACTCACTGTAGGAAGCATTAGACAAGCAGTTGATGAACTCTGCAATGTAACGCGTGAAAATGTAGTCTTCTTCGCAGAAGCTGGTGAGGTGCTGCGTCAGCATGTGATCTCGAAGGCTCGCTTCCTGGAGCCTCGCTTACTTTGCCTTGCTCGTTGGGTAGCCCCATATACCATCGCCCGCGGTTGCGTCGCTCGCAAAGCGGAGGGTTTGATGCTTGTGGCTCATTGTACCAATGCTTAGTTCTGCAGCTTGTCGCCGACACTGGTAGAAGCTACGTCGATTTTGCTAGTGGTGCAAGAAAGGCGCGTAATCTAGACGCGACTGAGATTTTCCTCGTGCTACGCAAAAGTCTGTCGACGACCCAGGGGGTTGGTAGCCGTTCGAAAAGCTTAAAACCGATGCAGGTCTTGTGGAAGGATTCGAGTCGTGGTTGGAAGCGTCAAAAAGCCACGCTTTTGAAATGCTTAGATTTAGTCGTTCGTCCGGTCTGCATTTTAAGCTCAGGGGGAAGTTCACGACACCCAGGAAGCGAGAAAAAGAATGGGGCCTCGGGATGAATGGGAAGTAGCATGATTGAGATGTGGATCACGTAACCTGCAGGACACCCGATAAACCGTGGGGGTCCACTCCCTGGGTCGGTCCGCATACCCGCGGAGACCGGAGCCGGGCCGGATGCGGGTCTCGGCCCCAGCGTTGGATGCCCTGACCCAAATGACACGTTCTCTTCCTTTGCTTCTCTCACTTGACCACAATCTCCGAGAGCTGCTGAAGGTGGAGCTGAGTGAAGTCGGAAAAGCACCTCAGTCGGCTGACGACTTTACTTACCCATACGAAGCAAATGCTAGAATAGGTGACGCAAATGGGATTCAGTAGCGCGCGCGTGTCTTCTGGAACTCGGCCCTTGCTGAAAAGTATTGACTTCTCCATCCTACTACTGGTATGCCGAATTTCTAAACCAGAACTCCTCCTAGACCCCAGACATCAAGCTGAAAGAGCTTATCTTCAGCCGCCCTATACCCGGGACCCAGGTGATCCAGTTTGCTGGGACAAAGTTTCCAACCTACCTCACCTTACCCACCCTAAGGTATCTAGGAACAAAATAGATTAAAGCTTAGTAAGTTGTTTTCTCTCGACTTTTGGTGGTATTATTGTCGGCTTTCTGCCCTTTTCGGCATGGGTATACCATCTGGAGGCGACGGGAGGGCTTCTTTACATATCTGCCTCTTATTATGGCTCCGTCATCTGGCCAAGACCCGACCAATATTCCCAGCGAGGGCTCTGCGAATGCCTTCTTCGGTGTCGAGAAGCTACGTACCAATGGCCTTGATTACATAACAAAACACCACCCGATGCATCTTTCCCTCCATGCGTCTGTATGTCTTAACCTCACCTTCATAATGCTAGGTTCCTGCCTAATCAACATCCACTACTTGCATGTGTTCACCCATACGCCTCTTGGTAATTCTTGCCCTTGGCCCATTACTCCTTCCCAAGCTGAAAGCCAAACACTTCCTCATTTATTCCTTCCGCCAAGAAATAACATTTGCCCATTTAGCTCCACTCTCTTAGACGCCTGAACTTTGCCGCCTTCATCAACCGTCCTTTCACAACAGCCAAACCACATGCGAGATTTCTCGGGCTCACACTATGCCTGGCATGAAAATCACCCACTTGCCGTGTGAAGTTATCACGGAGATCCTGAGCCAGCTTGACAATGTGCGCTATCTCAAAGCTTCACTACTCTCCTGTCGATTGTTTCACGACGCCTATACCCAGCGTCCCAGTCTCGCCAAGAGAATTATTCGGAACCAGATACCCAAGCAACTGTTACCGCATGCGATCGCGTTGACGGACGCACGAAGGGTTGTCATGTCAGAATCTACTCACAAAGTTTTCGGCTTCGCGCACGAAGATGTGGATGCATTGACAAGCCATTTCCAAAAGTTCTCGCTCCCGCAACTGATGGTAATGGGAAGAACCTACGACCTCATTGTCGATTTTGCGTCCGATTTTGCTGCAAAGGCCTGGACCACCACCACCTTGAGAGACATCCCGTCCACGAAGTCGTCATCGAACCATCTGCTCCTCTCTCCCAAGGAGTGGCTCCGCTTTTGCCGATGCTTTTATCGAATAGAACTCTATTATGGACTCTTGACTGATTTCGGATTCGGCGAAGAGAACAAAAGGAGCGTCCATATGAAGCAAAGCACCCGAGAAATCGAAGTGGGAGGTAAAGAAATTGCCTTCGATCTAGATGACCAGATGCACGCAAGCCGCCGCATGCTTGCTTACCTTGCACCATGGGAAATCGAGCAGCTGGGAGCCGCGGTAGAGTATCTGGGCCAGCGGTTGATCACAGCTGCAAAGGAGGTGTTGGCTCACGACATCGTCATGGGTGTCTATAAAGCCGACTACGGTCCCTGCGACAGAGGCGACATCATGTTGCAGAAATGGGTAAGTTCCTTAGCTAGCAATTTTGGAGACTCTTTTTTTTACGCTCCCTCTTACATCTTTCTGACGTCGCATGTAGCTTTGTCAAGGCATCCAATACCTCCGCAAGATCGAAACAGCGCCATATGCCGCGAAATGCCGTCTTCTACAACCTGGAATCGACATCATCCCACCCAGTCTGCTTCAGGAACTCTCAATATATCACATTGAGAACGGCGAGTCTCATCATGATACCAAGCTGAACACGTCGCTGAAGGGAACCAATATGGAGGACATTGACGCTGATGAAGGACCACGAAAAAGTCTGGACTGCATTGCTCCTCGTACTGTCATGAATCCCGAGTGTGAAGGCTTCAGAGAAACAGCGTACGTGTTTTGGGACCAGGAACGCTTGGAGCAGTACAATCTCTGCTCGACAATCTCGTTGGACTCACCTTCCAGGATGTCAACGGCGCGACTTCAATGGACCGACATGGACCAATTCGACATGGAGCACAGCTGGGAAGAGAGGTCGAAAATATGGACCTCGGAAGGAAGAGGCTACTGGTCCAAAGGGGATTATTCAAGGGTTGTGTGGCTTGGCCTGTTTTCTTGAAGATGCTTTGAGAGTCCACCAGAACGTCATTACGAATGGCGATCAGGTTTAATTGAAAAAGTCTTCAGAGAAGGAAAGAAGCAGTACGGACGCGAAATCCTGGGAGAACCAGAGCATAGCACCTCATTCAACTTGAGATCAATGGTTTTAAGCATTGAGAACCTGAGGAAGAGCTGCAGTACACTCAAGGCCATTAGTAACGCATCGATTACATAAAGGATGGAGCAGCAGTCAAGCCAGGAGGAATTGATGATGCTTGGCTTAAGATGGACTCTGACGGATTTCAGATGGAACGACCGTATTATTCCGTATAGTTTCCAACAGAAAAGACTATTCATAATAGGTGACAGCCAACGCAGTCCTCGGAAGGAGATGACTTTTGCTGCAAAAGTGTCTCTTCTTACGGGGAAGTAAACATCTACTACCATCTTTCAAAGCCACCATTTAGATCCCTCAAACTAAGAAGTTTCATCTTCATCCCTTCGCCCGCTCTTTCGACCGTTGCATTAATGTTGGCTGTGCCTCTATACCCATATACAACGTCATTCTTCAGAAGATAAACTCCTGAGTGTGGTCCGACTACCGCAGCATGTCGGAAGCCACTCTTCATCGTGTTTTTAGATTATGCTACAGACTCAACCTTGTCACATCTTCATGAATTATCCAGAGTTTCGGTACCTATTCAACGAGTCTCGGACACTTTCAAAGTTTGACATGCGAACTATTCGTCCAATTTGGATTTTGGAGTGGAATTTTGGGGTTCCGCTTGTACCGCTTGTACCCCTCGCTAACAATCATAGTAACGCAAGATCCGGAACTCCCGACTTCTTCAAGAACAATGAATGGTTCCCATCTAAGTGGTACGCCTAGCCACGCTAGTCGTCAACCTACTCGAACAAAGAGGTCACATGCATCACCATCTTTAGTCCAAAAAGCTTAGTCATCATCCCCAATTGATTTACACGGTTCTTCTTACCCGCGGCGACGAGGGGAGGCTCGAGAGCGTGTCAACCCCGCGCGACCCGGCAGAAGCCAAGCGCGTTCTCCTCACCTACATCATACGGGTTCAGCGTCTTGGTTTCCTCGCCGATTCACCCCGAGTCTGTGAGAAGGAAGAAAAGGAAGCACCATGTCAGGAAGCCAGCCCCTGCGCGCCGTGGAGACGGTCCTCGCCATCCCGGAGCTCCTGGAATACATATTAGTGCAAGTCGATATGAGAACGCTCCTGGTCTCAGCGTCGCGGGTGAGCAAGACGTGGAAGGCCTTCATAGACGGATCGCCGGCCGTCCAGCAGGCTCTGTTCTTCAAGCCAGTCTCTATGGATGTCTCGCGGGCAGTGATCCACGGTCTCGAGGACGGCGTTTTCCCGAGCATACCGAGTCAGAGTGTCATGCCAACCCACACAAGGGGTGCCAGCCTCATCAACCCTCTCCTAGCAGAGAAGTTTGATAAATGCTTCTTCGACTTTGGGCCAACGTACTCCTGCCAGCGTCGGGCGAACTCGTTTTACGAGCTACCCTGGTCCAAGACCCCGAACCCGATCCAGACGGTACAAGAGTATTGGGGCGGTTGGAGCCAAGTCAAACCACCCGAGCTCGACGAAGAAGCAGCGCGATCTCAAGACGAGACCCGGCGGCGGTTCACGCGCCGCGGCGCAAGTTGGCGCCGCATGCTCATCTCGCAACCCCCGCCGCCGTCTCTGGGATACATGCGCTTCGACGTCTGCAGTCTCGCGCTGGAAGAGCAGCAAGTCGCGAGTTCTCTGATCCAGCCCTCGCCGTCTAGTCCCGGTATTCATACGCCGTTCAACGGTGTGCGGATGGGAGAGCTCTACGACATTGTCCAGCACGCGGTCGGGCACCACGGACGCCATTCTCTCTGGTTCAGGGTTCTGTGGGGGAAGCCGACGACGCACTTTGCCTTTTCGCACGCCGAGGATGTGTTTGATAAGTTGATGGCCCGAACCAGCGTTGTCGTGGAGCTGATGCATGCCGACGATACCTCTCTTCCGAATCACCCTCAGGACCCGTCGGATGTGGGTATGTTTGATGCCGCTTTCAGGTGTGAGGAGCATCGCGAGGTAAAGTTTGAGACGGAGCAGACGTGTGGAGAGGCTGTCGAGTTTCCTCACTTCCATCCGCGGTATGTCGTTTGGCATTGGAAGTTGATGGAAGTTGAGTAATTCAGTGTCGACGGCTATTGAAGTGTTGCATTAGTTTTCACTCACATTTTGGAGTTGGCATTCCGTCTCTGCTATTGTCTTTTTTCTTTTGTCTTCATTCCTTTCACATCACAAAGTTCCAGGAACCCTCTTGCATACATCTCTGGGTTGAGCTACATTACCATTCTCTGGGGAAGACGATGATAAGACTACATGAAGTGGAAAGGCGTTTGGGTCTGTTTTGGGCATAGCAGTGTCATTGTTCTTCTTTACTGGCTAGCTGTTCTCTTCTTTGGACTTGAGAACAGGATTTGCACAGCATGTTTCTCAACATTCTTTGTGTATTCCGAGGCTTACTCTATGGCCCGGTCTTGTATGGTATTTGTTCATATTAGCAAACGGACAAAATTGTAGTTGCAATACCACATATCCAAGCATCACTGATAGGCGCCGAAAAATGCATGTGACTTCCGTGACTCTCGACAGAGATGACGTCGATGACGCTACACGTACGGGCACACGTACTACTTCCCTCTTGGATGTCACTTTGAGACAAGCTTAATTATGAGACTTTGGCGATGCACCCAACGGCTTCCCCAAAGCGGAACATGACAACAAGAAATGTGGCACTGGATGACAGCCACGCTGGGACCTCTGGCAAGCTTTGGGGGCAGCGGCCCGGGTAGTGTTCCCCCGACAGGCAACCAATCAGACTCCCCAGCGCCTGCAGGTCAAGGTCGGCTGACGCGGCATCCGCAGTGGGTCCCTAAAATGGAGTCTAGCAGAACCGGCACGGGGGAAGGTGCAGGGCGAACTGGAGCACCTGGGAAGTTTAGCTGCACCTCTCCTTCCCTCCGCGACAGGATGCTTCGAGGCTGCATGGAGGCGAGCTGGGTGCACTGAGCCTAGGCAAGTCTCTACTAAGGTATGCAGAGTGCGAGAGACAACCTGAGGAAAGAGTTCAGAACGGGGCTGGGAACACTGGTTGGGACGCACCCACGGCAATCTGGTTCGCCTGCACCTGCCTCGCCTGACATTGGGTTGCGGGTTGCCTGCACACTTCCGTCAGGGCACTTCCCAGTGGACTGGTCTTCCATTGCCTCAGTAATCACAATCGTTGGTGGCTTCCCGGGTGCTAATGTGTTCCCTGCCCGGTCATCCCACCCCTTGGGCCGGGGAATTTCACTTTCGGGGTCCACTCCATTTTTTCCTAGTCACGTCCCGGCCCCATTTCCAGGTCCTCTCCCGAAAATTCGCCTCGTGTCCGTCTCGTCTCACTCCAAACTTCGCTCCTCTCCCTCCGTCCCGATCCTCCACCCCCTCCGACCACGTCTTTCGTCGTGCAACCGAGACACCCATGCCACGAAGCGACAAGTCTTGCTGACGACACACTCATTCTTCACCGTTCGCTGTACGATACCATATTGACTTCATTCAATAATCCCATTCATTCACACACGACACCTGCCCCGCTCAACCCGCGACAGCCTACGCTAAAGACGACGTCGACAGCGACGAGTCACGCGCGCAACGCCCACCTCTCCCACCTCACCTCCCAACCCAATCCAACCGACCTTTCACGGTCGCCCACCGCCCACCATGCCCATCCTCGGCGGGAAGAACAAGTTCAACACTAAACCCGCAGCAATCCGCGTCGAGAAAGTCCAGGTCGCCACCCCAAAGCCGCGCCCAAAGCTCGCCCATGCGACATCCTCCACATCCTCCGCAAAGGCCTCACCGCGCGCATCGCCGAAGCCCAACGTCAAGTCGTTACTGTCCCGAAAGCAGAGCGCCTCGCCCTACCCCTCCTCCTCGGACGAGAAGCGCAGCGAGCGCAAGCGCAAGGTCGGCAGCGCGGGGCCGTCACAGCCCAAGTTTGACAACGACTCGGACGGCGACGACAACTATGAGGAATTCTTGAAACACGAGCCCAGCAAGCGGCAGCGCACTCAAGATGGGCAGTTTGTAGACACGCAGCGCGTCCTGACCCGGTCGAGCGCATTCAAGGACAACGCTCGACCCCTCAGCCGACTGATTCACGCGGCCGATATTTCCAACCTCAAGAAGTGCCCCAAGGCGACGCGCTCGCTGGGCGCGACAGCGGATGACAATGTTAGGGTGCGACTGCAATACCCGAGCAACTACGGGGCGGAGGAGTAAGTTCAAATATCACGTTATACTATCGTACGGTTTTGCTAACCCATCCCTAGGTACGAGCTCATCAATGACAAGGGCATTATCAACGCGATTGAGGACATTAAGACGGTGGTCGGTTTTGTAGCCAATGTATATCTCACCGAAGAGCAGGCCGAGGACTTCACAGAGCAACAGAACGGCTTCATACGACGGCTCAGAAAGGCGTCAAACACGAACGATTTCCACGGCTTTGTGTCGGCACTCAACGATGCGAACAGGAGGATTCGTACTCTTGCGGCGGACGGCACAATACGCAAGAATCTGGACAAGATACACGGACTGCCCCGGGGTTTGGTCGAGTTCATCCTTACCCAGGTGTACGACCGTACAGTTTCACCAGACGTGGAAAAGTTGAAACAGTATAAAAACGGCACCGACAATGTCTATGGCGAGCTAGCTTATAGGCTTATTTCCGACATCTTACAGGAGAAGACTCGGATGACGTCAGACCAAGTCTTTGTCGATCTCGGCTCTGGCGTGGGCAACGTGGTTTTCCAGGCCGCGCTCGAGATTGGCTGCGAGAGTTGGGGCTGCGAAATGATGGAGAACCCGTGTGACTTTGCCGAAGCGCAGGAGAAGGAGTTTGGTGCCCGCTGCAAGATGTGGGGTCTGCTGCCCGGTCGAGTCAACCTCGAACGAGGCGACTTCACTAAATGTACTCGCATCCACGAAGCCATGAAGCGCGCCGACGTCGTCCTCGTAAACAACCAAGCCTTCACCCCGCAGCTCAACGCCGAGCTGGTCAACATGTTCCTCGACTTGAAGCAAGGCTGCAAGATTGTGTCGCTCAAGTCATTCGTCAACGACCAAGGGACGCGCAACGCTAACGACATTGCGAGCAACATCTTGGAGGTCGAACATCTGACATATCCTGAAGGCGGTCCGGATGGCAATTACGTCAGCTGGACCAACGCTGGCGGCAACTATTGCATATCGACGAGGAAGTAAAACGGCTTTTTGTTCCATCAGCATCTGTCGTTACGCTGCATGATATCCCACGGGACTTGTGCTGATGTGGTAGCCAGAGCGCATGGCTGCAATGTGTCTTTTACATTGAGCATGGAGGACGAACCAATGAAAGAAGAAAAGAAATAAAAAAAGAAGATCGAGAAAAGGGATACTGGCATAGGAGAGGAAATAGCGTTGAGTTCATTACCTGTAGAATTTTTACACTCCCCATAGAGCATGTCAGCTGGGCAGACAGCAGCGAGAGAGGTCGCGGAGCGTGGGAGGTTGCACACGAAATAGACCGTATCATCAGCGCTCGTTTGCGAGATTCATGGCGTCGGCTTCCTGGGCCATCCTCTTCATCCAGCGGTCGACGAGCTCCTTGTTCTCCTTCTTGACCTTGTCCCGCTCTTGCTCTGCCATGGACATTTGAAGGTTCATCGTGATCATCTCGTCTTGTACGTTCTGCGGATGCGAGTCAGCTTTTTCCATGACCCGAGCCAATCTGCCGTGCCTTGCTTGCTATTTACCTCGACCAGCTTGCGCTTCTCGCGCAGCTCGTGTTCCCGATCTCGTAATTTCGTCGTCAGGGCGGTATTTTCTGCCGTCAGGCTGCGGACTTTTCTCGCGTCTTCCTTGTTCTTGGTCCGTAGCGTCTGGGCCTCATCCTCGGCTAACTTGGCCCGGTCTTTGAGGGTGCCGTTTGACCGGAGGGCCTCGGCGAGTTGGAGCTGGAGCTGGGCGATGCTCGGGTCGGAGCTCGTCGTCTCGGTTGTGGAGGAAGAGGGGGGTATGCTGCTTGACTTCTCAGAGGAGGTGTTTTTACTCTTCTTTTCTGGCGCTGTCTTGGATTTGAGGACTTGATTTTCGGCTTCTAGGGCTGCGACGTGGTCGGAGAGCTGGGAGCCTGGTGGAGGGGAGGGGTGGGTTATTGTTTAGTTTACTGTCTTGGGTCTGAAGAGGAGGTGGTCATGGCGAGGATGGGAGGTTACTGGGCTTACAGAGCTGTACAATCTCGAGATTTACGGGGTTATTCTTCTCTTGCTCCCGGATGGAGGCCAGATATTCGGATCGCCAGTCGGCCATGATGGGCGAGTTTGGTGGGGGGAGCTGGGGATGCTATGTCGGGTCACATTTGTCTGAGGGTCTATAATCCCCATCAATCGGTACGGAAAGAAATGATCTATAAATGGACGGGAACAGCCTTGTATGCTTTTATTGATAGAGCGATGTTGGCGGACTGGCGCATGCGTTTTGCATTCCAGACACGAGCAACCGGGCTTCTTCTTCGCGCGGCAGGCTGTCGCAGCGCATGGTGTCCGTCACCTGCCTCTGCCTGAAGGGCGGACCAATTTGTCTTGTCGGCGCACTGCAGTTTTGGTGGGGCGGCGCCTGGCTGGGGAAATGACGCAGCTCCCCCAAGCCGATGATTAGCCGGTCCCAGGGTGGTTGAGGCTGGTCCGCTGTGATTCGTGGCGCGAGCTCCATCTACCTGGGTGCTTTGGTACCTCTAGCTCACTGTGAGCTTGGTGGTAGCTCATAGCTCAACCTCACCTCTCTTTCTCGCTCATATCACACCGCGTACTCAGTGCAACCCAAACCGGACCATCATAGCCGCCACCTCATTTCAAAGTCCTAAGCGTTTGAAGAAAGAAATTTGCAAAACCAGGCATAACCCCCCAAAGGAGGATAAAAAGGGAAACCCCGGGCGAATGAGAAGATGACATGATGGAAGCGTCTCATCCCGCGGCAGGATGGGAGAACGTTGGCGAAAAGTGGTACCGCAAGGTCCAGCTCTACACCGAAGTGTTTGACCAAGACCTCGACCTCGACAACTACATTGTCGCCGGCGCCCCCTACGGCGGCGCCCTCGCCCTCTTGCGCGACGACACCAAAATCCAGGCTGTCCGCGCCGTCAAGCAACCCGGCGGCGGAGCCTCAAACAAGCCCGGCATCGACATCTACTCGTACGCCGGCAAGCTCCTGCGGAGGATACCCTGGGACCAAGGCTCCGGCACGATCAAGGGCTTAGGATGGGCGAGCGTGCAAGGGGGCGAAGAGAAGCTTCTGGTCGTGACGGCGGACGGCACGGTGAGAGTGTATGATCTCCAGGGCGACTTTACGCAATTTTCGCTTGGCAACGGCGCGGACGAGGTCGGCGTCGTCGGGTGCCGTTTCTACGAGACGGGTATGGTCGCCCTGCTGGGCGACAACGCGCTCGTTTCGGTCACTTCGTACGCGGAGCCCCGGCCGAGGGTGTTGGCCGCGCCGCCAGAGGACCAGGGCGAGATCCACACCTGGGCCGTCGTCGCGCCTGACCATACGCTTTCGAGGTCTGTGGAGGTGCTGCTGAGTATCGGGGAGACTGTGTACGTTGCCGACGCGGCGGAGTGCGAGGACCGGTTCCTTGATATTGGGCCCTTTAGCCACATCAGTGTCTCGCCGGATGGTAGGCTTATTGTGTTGTATACCAAGACGGGCAAAGCGCATGTTATATCGAGCGATTTCCAGGAGCGCCTGGTCGAGCACGACTCGCAGTCGAGGATCCCGCCAAGGTATGTGGAATGGTGCGGTTCCGACGCGTTAATTGCGTGGGAGGACGAGGTACACATTATCGGGCCCGACAGCGCGACGGCCGAGTTCTTCTACGACGGACGAGTTCACGTCATTTCAGGTGCGTTTCCTCATACTTTGAACAAGCACACTTGAGACTTTTCAAAGTCATCTGACCACAGCACCAGAACACGATGGCGCAAGACTCATCACAAACGACGTCTGCGATTTTCTAGAACGCGTGCCCCACGCCACGGAGGAAGTCTTCGGCACCCGCGCCGAGTCCTCCGCGGCCTCCATCCTCCTCGACGCCGTCGGCCAGCTGGAGCTCCAGTCTCCCAAAGCAGACGACTACATCCAGCTCATCCGCGCCAACCTCACGGAGGCCGTCGACACCTGCGTCAACGCCGCGGGCCGCGAGTTCAGCGTCCACTGGCAGAAGCAGCTCCTCAAGGCCGCCTCGTTTGGGAAATCCGTCCTCGACATTTACAACAGCGACGAGTTTGTCGACATGTGCGAGATACTCCGCGTCCTCAACGCCGTCCGCTTCTTCGAGGTCGGCCTGCCGCTCTCCTTTGAGCAGTACCAGCGCCTCACACCCGAGGGGCTGATCAAGAGGCTCATCAACCGGCACGAGTACCTCTTGGCGCTCAAGATTGCGGGCTACCTCCGCCTGCCCACAGATCGCATCTACGTCCACTGGGCCTCGGCCAAGGTCCGCTCGGGAACCGAAGACGACGACACGATATGCCGCCTCGTCGTCGAGCGCCTCTCGGGCAAACCGGGCATCTCCTTTGAAGAAATCGCCCGCGCAGCCTACGACGAAGGGCGAGGCCGCCTAGCCACTGAGCTCCTCAACCACGAACCCCGCGGCGGCCGCCAGGTGCCCCTCCTCCTCAGCATGGAAGAAGACGAGCTCGCGCTCGACAAGGCCATTGAGAGCGGCGACACGGACCTCATGTACACCGTCCTCCTCCAGCTCAAGAAGAAGCTCCCGCTGGCCGCCTTCTTCCGCGTCATCAACGCCCGCCCCGCGGCCACGGCGCTCGTCGAGTCCTCGGCCTTTCGCGAAGGCGACAACGCCCTCCTAAAGGACCTCTACTACCAAGACGACCGCCGCGTCGACGGCGCGGGCGTCTTTGTCCGCGAGTCGCTCGCCCAGGCGGACGCCCGCACGGCGTCGGACAAGCTCGCCCTCGCCGCGAAGCTGCTCTCCGACTCCCGCGAGGCGACGTTCGAGGTGCACGCCCTGAAGGAGGCCCAGACGCTGCTCAAGATGCAGGAGGCGTTTGACCGGGACCTCACTGACACCTTTACGGGGCTCAGCGTCAACGAGACCATGTTTAAGCTTATTCGGCTGGGGTACCACAAGCGCGCGACAAAGATCCAGAGCGAGTTCAAGGTACCCGAAAAGGTTGCGTGGTGGCTTAGGTGAGTTTATTTCCTCCTCTCCTTCCTTTCTGCCCTGGCCCCCCCCCCACCCCCCCCCTCTCCCCCCCCCACCCCCCCAACACCCCCAGAAAAAAACCCCACGCGAGGTCAAGGGTACCCAAAAAGGTGCGTGGTGGGTTATTGGAGTTTTTTTTCCCCCCTCCCTCCTTTTTCCCCCGCCCCCCCCCCCCCCCCCCTTTCTCCCCTTGCCCAGATGGGGAGGAATCATATACAGTTGCTAACCCCTACCCCTCTTTTTCACTTAAGACTACGCGCTCTTGTTGCGAAGCGGGACTGGAACGATATTGAAGAGCTGGCAAAGACGAGGAAAAGCCCGATTGGGTGGGAGGTAAGCTTTTTTTTTTTTTTTTCCAACACGACACACTCTGCTACACCCTGTCACAAAACAAGAACAAAAAAAAAAGTCGGCGTGTCCGGCATGTTATTATTCTCCGTGATCCGTCGGGGATTATTTTACTTTAAACGAGACGCGGAGAAAGATGGCTAACCCCCGAGCGCGCACCAGCCATTTTATAACCTCACGCTGCAGGCGGGCAACCCGCGGCTGGCGGCGGTCTTCGTGCCCAAATGCACGGGTCTGGAACCGGGAACGACAATCACCATGTACGAAAAGTGCGGGATGCGGGTTAAGGCGGCTGAGGAGGCGGTGAAGCTCAAAGACGCCGAGGCGTGGGGTAGACTGCTCGAGGCGGCGGGACGGGGAACGCAGGAAGGGCGAGAGATTGAAAAGCTCGGAGCCGCGGTCTTCAAGAAGTGAGGCTGGCGACTATTGCACAACGGCGAAATAGGCAAAGTAGACGGAGAAACGGTGCTCTAATCGGAGGAAGACGAAGAAGATAGCATCAGACGGATAAGAGAGGGGCCAGACGTTCGGGTCGACAGATGTCGTCGTCGGTGTTTTTATCTCCCTTACTCCGTACGGAATGTGAATGGAATCAAGGTGATGCTGCGCGCGGCTCCTGGCGGGATGAGAAGAACTCGGGGATTTACGTTTGAGGCGATGTGCAATGAGAAATGGGGGCCGTCGTCGATCCGGGGTAAGCTTGCCCACTCGGCCACCGGCTGGTCGTGAACTAGGATTTCCCCCCGGGCCAAGACGGGCGTGCGTGCGTGCAACGTGGATTCTAGCTTTGTCGAACTCTTGACGACCGATTATGCCAGACGGCACACTCAGGCCATGCCAAGAGCTGGACATGTCCCCAGTCCTCGGATGGTCCAGCTGTAGTGGTGGGTTTGCACCTTTTCTTTGACGATTCCTTCCGGATGCGGTTTGGCTTGGCAGACGTCTTACAATGTACATTGCTGATTATCTTGAGACTCTGAGTGAATCCGACTCCATTTGCCTTGTGCAACCTGTAGAGGGAGTGGAAAGAGTCGAGAGCATGCAGAGGTCGCGTGAGAGATCGATCTACACGTGGACAAGTCACGGGAGACGGGCATGCAGCCGCGCCGACACGGGCTCCAGCCTGGAGGGTTCCAGGTCGGGGAGTTGTTAGCTAAAGTGGCGCTGCGAATCAGGTTTGATGCTGTTTGCTCCTGAATGACAGTTGGGGGAAGGGCAAGCAGTAGGAAGTTTGTCCGGGACCAAATGCCCCTTTGGACAGAGAGATTGCTTGGGTAGAAAAAGGCGACGAACAACGGGGGCTACAGTTTCAGATAGGACTCAGAGGAGTAACGCAGAGAACAGAGTCCTGGGTTGAAGCTGGGGCGGCACTGACGGGAGTTATCCATGAATCGGGTAGGTTCTGGGGGGCTGCCGTCTCGGAGGATTGGTAGAGAATGGGGGGCGGCGACGATCCGATATACCTCGTTATGCGCAAATGGTTCTTATTGAACATGTTTGCTCGGGAGCGCGAAAGCATGAGTGCGAAATCGGCTGAAGCAGGTTCATCTTTTCGCAAACATGGTTTCCGCGGGTGCCTGTGGGTGGCTGACAGCGCATACAAGGTTTCGTTCTGTGACGCCCTAATTGCTGGTAATGGGCGAGCAGAAACATAGGCGAGTCAACTTTGGCCGAAATCAATAGGTAGACCATCCGCGCGGTGTTAGTGGTCGAGCATGCCCCAGGTACGTAGCTAGTCCTGATTGCAACCAGTCAACTGCGTGTGGCGTCTACATGGGCGAGGCCAAGGGCCGTCAACTGTAACCAAGATGCTGGGAGAGGCGCATCTGGATCTCCATCTCTGGGCATGCGTTGAGCATGCGTTGGGTCAAGTTGAAATAAAGGCGACGGGGGAACGACGAACAGCATCAGCGCTGAAAGCAGCAGTCCGGGCCTCACTCACAAAGAAGGAGCATTGGGCAAAGATGGACGGAAATGTAGGGTCCAGAGCGGGCTCGGCCCCGGAGAAGAACCGGAGGGCGCATGAGTTGAGGCGTGTGCAGTTGGTGAAAGGTCTTGGCAATGCCTGCTCGTGACAAGGAGGACGCCGGCTCGGGGTGGCGAGGCCAGGCGAGGCGGCCAGCGGAGTCTGGCTGGTTGGGTTGAGCAGAAAGCATCGGGTTTGGATCCGTGTTTCTGAAGAACTCTCGGCCTTCTAGAAAATTTCAGAATTGTGGTTCTTTGTTCGGCCAAGACGGCTGGCATCTGGTGTTTAGAGGCAAGGCGGAACGGAATGTCCATGTCCCAGAGTTTGCTTTTGTTTGCGCAGAGTAGCCAGCACGGTGGTGAGTCGGATGAGGCTCGGGACAGCGGATGACGCTCCGGACGAGTCAGTGGCGGAGGGAGCAGAGGGACCGCAATCCTGAGATTGGCGGGTTTGATTCCCACATCGTCATCCAGCCACGCCAGCTTTCCATGGTGACGAGAGTCTGTGATGAAAACGACTTTCGATCAAGACAGGCAGGGAGCCGTGGTGTCGTGAAAGCAGGAGGTGGATTTCCTTTCCTCTGCTAGGATCCTTGTGCATGAGGGCGCCGCAGCGTCGAGGCGGGATTCCCAGCCTTCTAATGGACTTCCGGCGGGGGAAGCTTTCGTAGGTCCAATCACGATGGCGGCCTGGTGAAGGACGGGATGAGAGGAAGAGACAGACGGACGGAGGTGGCGGGGGATCTCGGTCACACGCCTCGGCAGGCCTGAGGTTAGATTCCATTGATAGCAGCCGAAGCCTGAAGGAGGTACTTTGGGCAAAGTGCCCTTTTTGGTTAGGTAGGTAGCTAAGGTTACCTTGGGAAAGTCGATGGTCTTTATTAGACGCAACCCTCAGCGGAGGGTCGAAGGGTTTGTCCAGGGAGCTACCGGTAGCTTGAGGGACGCTAATCTGGTGATTGCGCTAGCGCGAACAGCCCCCCTCGAGGACTTCGTTCGCCATTCCATTGTCTCTCGCGTGCGGCGTAAGCCCTCTGGCGCTTGGCTTGAGGACGACGGGGGAGGAGAAAAGGGCCTCAGGCCACTCGCGCCGCGCCCTTACCGGCAAGAGGTCAATCGAGACTCGGAGGACGCAGGTGCATAAGGTAGTCGCAGACTGTAAGTATGAGAGACCCAGTGAATCGGCCGGCGACATGCTGGTCGGCTGCATGTCAAATCATTCCCGTCCGTGACAGCGGTGCAGTGGTGCAGTGGTGTCGCAGGCGGGGGCCAGAGAAGTGGGCAAAGTGGATTATCAGGTCGACGGCCGTTACAGATAGGGGGGAGGGCGGTTTCCGTAGGTGAGGCCGTGAGGGAAGTGAAGAAGTGAGCTGACCCTGCCATGTCCAGTTTTCATGTCCATGAGGCTGATGTTGGCCCTGTTTAGGTCTTGTTCACCAGGTTGATGACCTTGGTATTCAAGGGGACAGCGGTTTTTTCCCGCCTTTTTGGTGGAGAGATGATGGGACTCATGGGAGGCGACGGGAGGGCCGGAAATAACATCGCGCGTCTTTTCTCTGCTGATTTCTGCATCTGATGGGGAAACGACTCTCGGCGGGCGGGAGTCGCCGTCGTATTCACAATGGAATAATGGATCATGTTCATGGAGCATTGCGGGAAGGTGTCGTAACGCGGTCTTAGTAATTGCTCGGACGTTGCCGGCCCCCTTTTTTTTTAACCTCCTTTCCAGTTTCCTCCATTCAGACATGGCATTGAGTGATTTTGCATTACATCGAGATAGTTGAGGTGTCGCATAGATCGTGAGATGCCCTGGTTGAAGCCTTGAGCAGGCAATCAACCTATCTGGGGTGCCTTAGTGCTGACCTCGAGAGGGAAACATACTACGAAGTACCTCCGTACGGCGTTTAGTAGCAGACAATAGGTACCTACCTAGGGAGACGCATTACAAATGGTACCTATCCTGGCTGGCACCAACCCGTGCACTCTGCTCGCACTTGCCCGTTGAGATGATCGTGCCTTCCTCAGATCCCAGGATCTGAAGCATAGGCCATCTTACAGATGCAGATATTTTCATGCCCTCCTCCCCTTTGGGTCCAGTGGCTCTGGTCTCGTGTTGCCGCCCCGTGCTTCCGCGGAAAGACGGGCGAGACAGAGTACCTTACCAGCCTTGCTGCACTTGGACTGGGAGCGGTACCGAGGGTCCAAGGTCAAGCTACCTTACTATGTAGGAAGAAAGCCAAAATGCAAGTTGGGACGAAGAAGGTGCGAGTGCGTTGCTGCATGAGGTACCTCAGAATCTCAGATCTTTCCGCCGTCCTTGACCGATGGGCTGGTGTATCTCCGAAGCTTCGTTTATCTGTCCGCCTTCCCTTGTCTATTGTCCCTTTCTTTCCAGACCTTTCCAGGTAGTATAGTATACCTCCCGGTCACCTCACCTAATGTTCCGTATTTGAGCGTCTTTTGCATTTCATGCCCACCTCAACCTTCTCTATCCATCTCGTCCGTCTCTGAGGACGAGAGTCTGATCCAGCCTTGATCTTTGATCCAGCTTGCCGGAGCTGGCTTGACACTGAGACCCCGACCCAAATGACCCTGCCATGTGTCTGTGCTCCGCTGTTCTCGTTGCTTCTTCTATGTACCACTCTGTGCATGGCAGCCGCGCATCTTTGCAGAGACTGCCCCAAGGCGCATGCAGAATTCGAGACGGGTCTTTCGACACCCATACCTCCGGTAGCAGCGTGCTTCTTGAGTAGTCATGTCCCTAATTATTCACCAGCCATCACCCGACGGAGGGAAGAAACACTGGGTCATTGACCGGCGGCAACGCATCCTCGTCGCTGTATCAGCATTAAACATCACTGACGTTATCGGTCACGGCATTTCCTCCCAAGAGCGACTGTGTGCCACACCAACATCCAACGTCTCTGTCTGAATTCGGAGGCACGAACAATAGCGTACGCTACCCGTCCGCATCCACTGGGTATCCCGGCCAGCCCACACGCTTGCAGCAAGCATATCCAGGCGCATCCTGTTCCACCCCTGGCCCTGGTTCGTCTCCACGTCCCCTCACCCCACCCAGTCCAGCCAGTCTTGTGTCCGGCCCCAACTAAACCAAAGGCAACCTAACATAACGTCGCCTACCATTCCCGGCATGGAAAGACGAGAACACACCCTCAACCCCTACCTTACCATACGGCAACTGCCACACCAATACGGCCCTCGCCCTTGTCGTGTGTCTCTTGTGCCAGACGTCGTCATGATCTCCATAAACGCCCCCCTCACCCTCATTGCATCAAGCCCGCAAAAAGGGAAAGGAAAAAAAAAAAAACAGTGGCACGCGCGCCAGCGAAAACCTGACCGACTGGGCTGGACCCCGACTTGTTCACTTTACGTCCAAGTACCTTGCCATCACACTACCACTTCCATTGCCCAGCTTCGGCCTGCCCTGTCCCTGAGGGCCCTTGCTTTCATGTCCGCCAGCATCCAGACCAATATTCCTCTTTAGCTGCGTCCCACCTGCGGTACTCTGTACGGAGCACTTTTCGCATTCAGTATCCGTACACCTCAAAGTACTCCTTCGTGTGTCTCCCGCCGTCCATTGTGCCCCTGCCGAGGAACTTGAACCCAGAACAACCGCAAGTACCTCTGGTCCTCGTCCAACCTCACCGTCCACGGCCGCGGCGCACTGCTTCACGCCTAGTCCGTCTGGCTGTCCGGGCTCTTCCTTAGCCACTTGACCCTACCGGGACTGACACTGACGACTACGACGAGCAACAAGAAGAACTCGACGCCCGTCCTCCTTGGCCCCAAAGCCGAAATACTGGCCCTTTCCCCAATCCAGCTGGCACCACAGACATTCAGCATCTTTCACTTGCAACTTCCTCCCAGGTCCAACATTTATTTGTAGGCCTACCCGCGGTCGTCCTGACGTCCAGATTAAAGAAACAACCTTCCCCAGGCCCTTTTCTAATCCCGGTCGCAATCTGCTTTTCTCGGTCCATAATACCAATCATCTCTCTCACTCGGACCTACGTTCTTCTCCCTCTCGTCTCGACGATTCCTCCTTTGTCCCTTTGGTCCCTCGATCCCTTGGTCCCTCTGTACAACCTCGCCTTGCCTTGCTGTTCCACACCACGGCAGACAGATAGTCAGACTACAGGCACAAGAGAACACCGCACCTTGCTTTCTAGAGACGACCCGCGACATTCCAAGCAAACGCAGCCGTTCTTCCTGCACTCCCTCTCCCTTCTCTCACACTCACTCCCACTCTCACTCTCACTCTCACTCTCACCTCAGCCCCCTTTGTCACTGGACATTCTTCCCGCAGCTCTTTTGATACCCCAACTCTCTACCCGCACCCCAAGAAACACCCCCAGGGCAGTCCACACTACCATCTTCTGAGGGACCAGGAAAAAACAAGAAAGAGGTCACTCAGACAAGTCCGCCGACGCCCAGTGATTCAGCCAGCTAGTCAGCCAGACCGCCAGCCGAAACCCACGAGTCGAGAGCCGGCACCATTGCCGCCTGATTACCAGACGGATTCCAACCCTACGGCGGCCACTACTGCTTACTGCACCCACCGCCAAAACAGCCAACCCAACTCGTTCTTCTTCTCCCCCCTTCTCGAGGCGCAAATGTTTACACAACCAGTCGCATCGCCACCGACCGTGGGCCCCGTGCCGACGTCTGTCACCAATCCCGCTTCATCCTCAACACGATCCAGTCGCCTGCGAGGCCTCAGTTATCTTCGCAGCTACACTCAAAACCACATTCTGTCTCGAGAACACAGCGGCCAGGGCTCCAACTCTCCAACATCAAACCCACTCTCCCACGCCGCCCACTCATACTTTCACCACAACACCGGCAACAGTCCGCACTCTCAGACTCAAACTCAAACTCAAAATCAAAACCACAGCAGCCGTCAAGGCTCAAGTCGCCCAACCCCAAGCCTGCAGCGCTCTCTTAGCTATTCGCCTACTTCAACCCCACGTCGCTCCGACACCGACGCCAGCCTGAACCCCTTGTCGCTCGTCGCTTCACTGCAAGAGTCCCCGTCGTCGTCAACATCCTCAGCGAACAGGGCTTCCACCACGCCCTCTTCTCCTGCAGCCGAGCGCCCGCCAGTGGATGTACTTCCCTCCATTCTCGACGACGACGCCATTGCCAGCGGTAGCAGCCACATACGGCAGCAATCTGATCAGCAGCCGCAATCGACGACCGACGCTGAAGCCGCGAACATGACGAGAGCACGCGCCTCTACAACAGGCGACGCCCCAGCCGCAGCCTCCCCCGCTCCCGAAAATCTGCCTTCGATCCGTTTTTCTGCCTACTTTGACCCCCGCGCGACACGTCCCAGCCTGACCTTCCCCCCAGTTTCGAGAACGCTGCCCTCGGGCGGCGACATCATCAGGGTCGGCCGATATTCGGAGCGTGATAACCAGCCCAACATCCCTAATAACACTCCCTCCGCGGCGCCTGTTGGTTTCAAGAGTAAAGTTGTCAGTCGCCGCCATTGCGAATTTTGGTACGACGAGGGTAAATGGTACATCAAGGACGTCAAGAGTTCGTCTGGCACTTTCCTCAACCACATTCGACTCAGTCCCCCGGGAACCGAATCGAAGCCTTTCCCGGTGAATGATGGCGACATTGTGCAGCTTGGTATCGACTTCAAAGGAGGCGAGGAGATGATCTTTCGCTGCGTCAAGATGAGGCTGGAGTTGAACAGGGGTTGGCAAAACAAGTTGAACACTTTCAAGTAAGTACCGTCGTCTTCGACTACATCTCATAGTGGCGCTAACACCATGCAGCATGGCGACGCACAAGCGGTTGCGGAACATGACAGCTGCTAACTCGGCCAATTCTTCGACGCAAGACTGCTCAATTTGTCTCAACTCTATCGCGGTATGTAGCCGCCTTTTGAACGGGCCCCCACATTCCCTGCCAACAAGAAAACTAATTGTCTTCTAGCCGTGCCAGTGCTTGTTCGTGGCGCCTTGCTCGCATACCTGGCATTTCAAGTGCATCCGCTCTCTACTGAACTCTCCCCAATACCCCATCTTCGTGTGTCCGAACTGCCGCATGGCCGCCGACCTCGAAGCGGATATTGAGGACCCCGAAGAAGACTGGGAGCAGATGGATGAAGATGAAGAGCCTGAACAAAAACAACAAAAGCAGGAAGTCAAGGAGACGGCGGCAGTTCCGAGCGCACCTTTAACGGCCGCCGCGACCGTGGTCAGCTCAAGGCCTCAACTCCCTGAAATCGGCACCGATGATGATGCCATGGACTTCACGGTGGAGTTGGACCGCGCAAGGACCGTTGCCGAAGCTCCTGAATTGGCACCGACGACTGTTGCGCCAAACACCTCCATCCCACCTGTTCCAATCCCAGCCGTTGGCATAGCCCAAGCAGCATTATCCCGTAGCGGTCGAGATACCCGGACTCCTTCGCCTATTGGGAACCACTTAGTCAGTGCCAACGAAGGTCCCATCACCCCGCGTAACGATGCCGGGCCATGGGTCTTTGATGGTAGTGCTGGACGCCGCGCCGCCGAGGCGTCCAACGGAATGAGAAGTCTCGATGCTGCCGCTGAGATGGAAGTCGACCGGTAGAACCGGTCCAGACGATTACGCAGAGGCATGGCATGGAGACATCCAACAACGGGCCTGAAGCGGAGGCCAAGGGTTGCGTCGCCAGCATAGAGTGGCTTATCCTCACGAACACGCATACACCTATTGCTCAGGCGGCGAGAGAGAATGAGGACAGGCGGGTGTTACAATATGGATGACTGGGTAGAGTTGCATGAGCGAGGCGTGGAATTGCATGGCGTTTGAATGCATTGTGGAGCGCAAATGCAAGCCACAGCGGAACAGAGCTACATTGCTTCTCGACTGGCTTAAAGGAAGCGGGCTCACTGGAAGGGCTGGCATTGTCTATTTCAGTTACGACAGCGGCTTCTACATGAATCAGGAAGATTCACATGCAGGGAGATGATTTCATGGGGTTATCATTATACAGAACTGGCGAACAGTCAACCGCCTTAATTGTTATTACAACGTTTCATATTAACCCGAATTTCGGTCTTCTTGTTGTTCATTTGGGGAGGCTTGTTCGGCCCCTTAGCTACCAGATTTGTACAGTTCTTCCTCAAGGGGACCGGGCTGTATTTTGCGGGGGTGTTGCTTATGAGATCTCCGAGCCAGGAGATGCAACTCGCGGAATACGAGCGGCGCGGCTCCAAAATGACGTCTCCGTGCCGGATGCAACGTCTGTAGTCTGATTGGCCAAGAGCTAGACCCCACAGCACTGATGCGGCCGGTGCGATAAGGCCGATAAGGGGCAACTAGAATTGGCTGCGTCAACTCCCGTGAACATCGAACTTTTCCCAAGCTTCGTCATTGCGCACCATCAACCAACGACCGCCGGGGACCACGCTTGACCACGCACAACCTGGTTGGCAATCCCATTGTACACACCACAGATATCACAACGATGTTTCGATCATTAGCGACGCGCCTGCCGCGGCGCGCAGTCGCCGCTGCATCCCCCCGTCTCATCACCAGATTTCACCCCTCTACCTCTACGCCTTCCTCCCGCCGGGGCCTCGCGACGATCATCGAAGCCATCCCGAAAGAGCCGACAGAGCTCGACGCCATCACGACCCTCCCCAACGGTCTGCGCGTCGCATCCGAAGCGCTACCGGGCTCATTCTCCGGCCTCGGCGTCTACGTCGACGCCGGCTCCCGGTACGAGGACGCCGGCCTGCGCGGTGTCAGCCACATCATGGATAGGCTGGCTTTCAAGTCGACGGGTAGCCGCAGCGCGGACGACATGCTCGAGCAGGTCGAGGCCCTCGGCGGCAACATCCAGTGCGCGAGCTCGCGGGAGAGCATGATGTACCAGGCGGCGACGTTCAACGGCGCGGTGCCGACGACGATTGGCTTGCTCGCCGAGACGATTCGCGACCCGAAGCTCACCGAGGACGAGGTGCTCGAGCAGCTCGGCACCGCCGAGTACGAGATTAAGGAGATTTGGAGCAAGCCGGAGCTCATCCTGCCCGAGCTCGTGCACACGGCCGCGTTCAAGGATAATACCCTCGGCAACCCGCTGCTGTGCCCCGAGGAGCGCCTCGGTAGCATCTCGAGGGAGACGATCAAGCGGTACAGGGATTTGTTTTACCGGCCGGAGCGCATCGTCGTCGCGTTTGCCGGTGTCGAGCACACGGAGGCGGTCAAGCTGGCGGAGCACTACTTTGGCGACATGAAGGCCTCCTACCAAGAACCTACGCTCTCAAGAACAGGTTCAGAGACCTCCATCGGCTCCGCGACCTCGGAGTCAACCGACGCATCCTCATCCGTCTCGGCCTCGTCCTCCTCCTCCTCCCCCGTCCAACAACCCTCAAAACTCCTCTCCAAAGTCCCCTTCTTCAAGAACCTCTCCACCTCTGCGCCAACCAACGCCTCCGTCCAGGGCGCAGGCAGCGCATCGCAGCTCTACACCATCGACTCCCCGGCCCACTACACTGGCGGCTTCCTCTCCCTCCCCCCGCAGCCCCCCTCCCTGAACCCGAACCTCCCGACCTTCACCCACATCCACCTCGCCTTCGAGGGCCTCCCCATCTCCTCGGACGACATTTACGCTCTCGCAACCTTGCAAACCCTTCTCGGCGGCGGCGGCTCCTTCTCCGCCGGCGGGCCGGGCAAGGGCATGTACTCCCGCCTCTACACAAACGTCCTCAACCAGCACGGCTGGGTCGAGTCCTGCGTCGCCTTCAACCACTCCTACACCGACTCTGGCCTCTTTGGCATCTCGGCCAGCTGCATCCCCGGCCGAACGGCGAGTATGCTGGACGTCATGTGCCGCGAACTCCGCGCCCTCACGCTCGACACGGGCTTCTCCGCCCTGAAAACGGCCGAGGTCAACCGCGCCAAGAACCAGCTGCGCTCCAGTCTGCTCATGAATCTCGAGAGCCGGATGGTGGAGCTCGAGGACCTGGGACGGCAGGTGCAGGTTCACGGGCGCAAGATCCCCGTCACGGACATGTGTCGCCGCATCGAGGCGCTGACGGTCGAGGACCTCCGGCGCGTGGCGCGTATTGTTGTCGGCGGGCTGGTGGAGAACCCCGGCAAGGGCAGCGGGGCGCCGACGGTTGTGTTGCAGGAGGCGCAGGCGCATGGGGTGAGCACGCATGGTATTGAGTGGGAGGCGATTCAGAATACGATTTACGATTGGCAGTTGGGGAAGCGGTGAGAGGGTTGGCTTTTCCTTATACCAGGGCTCAAAACTTGGAGGTTTATGGGCCAGGTTTGAAAAAAAGAGTAGTCGGTGTCGTTATCGTCGTCGACGTAGGGCTTTTTTGTCTCGATAGATTGTAACGGATGGTAGTAGAGATGATGGCGACTTGGCGGCCATGGTGTATCATATAGAAGAGAGAGGGAGAGAGAGAGAGACTTGGTGAGGTTATAAGTTGTTGTTGTTGTTGCGTGTAAAAGTACCTAACGGCTGGCTGGCAATTATCGAAGAAAAGAAGAGCTTCTCCCGAAAGAAGAAGACGGGGCAGCATGTTTGTGTTCTCACAGCAGCAGTGTAGAAATATCCCCCTTTGAGAAAAAAGAGAAAAATCGAATTTGTTCTACCTTATAGATGCTTTACGTCGTCTGGTCTCAAATGATTTACATGTTGCCATTTGACGGAGCTGGCGCTATGGTGCTGGCCGGTCTTGGTGGTGTGTATGAAGATTTTGTCATGTCATCAGCATACAGAATAAGTGTTAAGATAGTTTATTGAGTTTGGTACATTGTAAATCTGTCGTGGTCGTCGTAATGTAAGGACGCCAAGCATCGTGTAATAGTTGTAGTGTAGTCTAGGTATTCGTCTTCCCCCAAAGCAGACAGGAACGCCGGTAAACCCATCAATCTGCTCATTCTTAGAAAACGCTCAACTCCCACGGAAACAGAAAATAAAAAGGAAAGAATCCTAGGACGAAAAGGATCAAGACGACTTGGGAATGCCGTTGAACCGAGATTCTATCCCCAATCCTCGGCAGAGCGTTGTCAACATCAGTGGTCTGTTGGACTAGTACCTTCCATACCAATGATGCCACCTCACAACTTTGATCGAATCGCCTCAAGCCGGTACTTGACATCCTTGAGCGCCTTGGTAACAGGCTTCCAGTCATCAAACTGTCGCAGCAGCTCCTCCGTCTCGGACGACAGCTCCGTGCGAACAAAGTCCTCCTCTAGCAGGCCGCGCATGATCCAGGGCAGGTGGTATGGGTTCGGGTTCGCGACGGAAGCACTACCGACCCCAGCCCCGCCCGCCGAGTCGCGGCGGTGGGCGACGGTGGCGGGGACGTTGGGGCGGACGTCGGACGTCTCAAGGGCGTGGGTGAGGGCGAGGTCGTAGACCTGGTCGTCGTAGTAGAGGCGCGAGTGGCCCTCGCCCGAGTAGAGGCTGCCCGCCAGCGGCGTGGAGAGTTCTCTTATCAGGCCGTGGTCGGAGACGCCTAAGTTGCGGAGTTTGAGGGCGAAGCCGACAAGATGGGCGATGCTGAACATGTGTTAGTCATTCGTTCAATGGGAGGGCAGCAAATCACTCACAAGTCTGGCGCGTGGATGCGGCCGTCGATGAACACGGCGCGGTAGATGTAAGGGTGAGAAGCTGGCGAGTAAATGGCCGATTCCATCGGCACGAGCTGATCGTCAATGCTGCCGATATACGTGATTCTCGCGCCGTATTTGAGAACCTCTTTCAGCGAGTGCTCATATCTCTTGGAAATCTCGCTGTCTGGGTTTGAAAATTCCCATAACTCATTAGCTGCACCCATGAGGATTCCCATGCTTGACTTGTAGTCTGGGAACGGACCCAGCGAGACTCCGGCTGCGGACGTCAGTTGCAGTTCACAAGCTGAGGAATCGGAAGTGTGATGTTGAGGACCTACCCATTGCGCAAACGCCGATTTTGGCATTAGTTATGATACCCAGATCAATCAGTTTCGCCAGCAACATGACTCCCACAGGCACACCCTGAGAATGGCTGGCTACCAGAATGAGATCTGCGTTGCGGATATGCTCAATCCAGTTAAGAAGAAGCTTCCACAGGTTGTCTACTCTGTCCGCAATCTTCCCGTCGCCCTCCAAAGCGACCTTTTCAATTTCGCAGTCGGGACATCCGTGAGCGTCGGTCCACCTCCTAATGGCTTCGGCGCCGAGGTTGGCAAAGCGTAATGATGTCCCAGTCGGTTGGCCAATCATGGGTCTCAGATACATCGCTGGGAAAAGTCCGTGTACGCCAATCGCGATGGCCTTCTTGATCTTTGGCGTCTCCTTTACTCTATAAACGTGGTTCGCCGGGGGCTGCTGAGTGCGAAGCAACAATGAAGTGATTTGTTTGATGATGGATGGGTTTTCTTTCATCCGATAGGTACTTCCAAAGGAAGGCAAGAGCAGATTTGGGGGTGTCGCCTTCGAAAGTGTCTCTTGGCTTGGGCTAGCTTTTGGTGTACCCGGTTTCAGGGGTAATTCTTTCGGCGTTGTTTCCGCCAAGGAGGCTTTTGACGAGGCCACTGACTCTGGCCGATTCGGTGTCCCCGGTCGAGATGGTATGTCTAGGTCCATCGAGTGAGGTCGGTTTCTCTTACTCTTCCTTCCAAAAGTTGATGGTGCTGACGCGGTACCCGCCTTGGCGCCTTTGGATGACTTTGTATCTGTCGAGGCCTTGGCATTCTTTCCGTCTTTCGCTGCTTGGTCTGATTGTGATTGTTCAACGTTCATTCCAGTGCGCTCTGGGCGCGCTTCGGATCCCTGGCCGATGACCGCAAGCTCGCCCGATTCTGGCTGCGATGTCTGGCTCTTCGTCCCCTCAGCCTTTGGACGAGTGTCTCTAGACCAGAACGCCCAAGTCGAACCGGCCGATGGTTGCTTGGGCGGTTCTGGCTTCGGCGGCGGTGCGTCCTCCATGATCACGTCTTCGGGTTCCTTCACTGGCTCCTCGGGGGCCTCGGGGATCTGGGTGTTTTCGGCTGGCTTCGGAGTATCAGAGGATGGAGAGATCTCTGTCGCGGGAGCACTCGAGTACCAAAACCCGAACCAAGAATTCGTCGATGAGGGCGGATTCGGGCCTGTGTTTTCTACAGCAGCCTCGGGGGCCAGTGGTTCGGCTGCTGGTGTGTTTTGTGGCTCTGGCTCTGGCTCTGGCGCGGGATCTGCTTCCTTCGGTGTCTCCTCGACCGGCGTGAATGATTGTGTTTCCGTCACTGGGGCCCGTGCTAGCCACCCAAACCAGCCTGATGCTGTGGCCGGCTGTTCAACGTCTTGCGCTTGCCGCTCTTCCGTCGTCTTGCCCGTATCGTCTACCTTCGCCGCTGCCCCTTCTATTCCTTTGGTGGTCTCTGTGAATGGAGCTTGTACTTTGGCGACACCGCCGTCTTTCTTGATCGTAACGTCCACCTCTGACGTTGCAGTGCTGTCCTCGGGTATCTGTGGTAAAGATGCTGATGAATCTGCGGGGCCGTCGAAACTCGGCGAGTCTATGCTCTTCTTTGTGTCGAATCTTCGAAAATCGGGAATGCTGGAAGGTTTTGAAGTACCTCCGAAAATGGTTTCTCGAGCCAGCTGGGTCGATGCGGAAGTCTTGGGGACGCGTGGCCAAGAGCCGTACCAACTTCGCGCCTTGCGGACCTGCATCATGAGTTCAGCCTATGCGCCTCAACACCTTGCAGTCTAACCAAACCCCAAGATTACCTGTTTCTGTGAATTCTCCGGGGTGTTTTTCGTCTCGCTGCCGCTCCTGTCTCTCATCAAAGGCATTTCCCGCGTCGGTCGGTTCGCGGGTTCTGGGACGGCCGTGACCTGTGACGTAGCCGACGTTGGGATCGCAGGGGCAATTGCCGCAGGCGGTGGACTCGATGAATTCGACGCAGATGGAGTGGTACGCTGGCGCTTTCGAGGAGACATGACGGAAGAAAGGCTCAGTCGTGGGGAGAAGTCGGGCCAGCAGGTTGGAAGTCAATCTGCCGCATGTTCGGTTTAAAGATTCGGTGTTGGAGGCTGGTAGGAAATTGACAACAGCTGGCCGTTGTTGTTGAATGAGTTGCCTGGGATGGTGGCGCCCACGTTTTGCGGGCGACCTGGGATCTGTGTCCAGGCGCTGGCGCTACCTTGTGCTTGGGTGGTCTGGCGTCGGGTGCAGGCGGCCAGCCCCTCCAAATGACACCCTGCTGATTAGATAGGTAGGCCCGCCTGCGTAGTGGCCGCCACCTCGGCTTCCATTGATGACCACCACCCAGTGCCCACCTACATCCGCCCCTCTGTACCTTATGTACCGTACCAGACAAAGTGGAGTCCTTGATAAGCGATGCCTTATCGTTATCGCTTATCGGCCTGCATCCCGCGCCCAAAGGCGAAAAAAATGTTTTGGGTGGAGTAGTCGCAAGAAAGGTCCCTGGGCCTTTTTTTTTTTTCTTCCTTTCCGCTCTCAGTATCGAGTCCAGGACTGTTGCAAGCAATTGCAACCGACTTTTGGGCACAAACACAACCATGAGCTCTCTCAAGCGAAAGGATGCCCCTGGGGGTACTCCTCCATCAAAAGCGGCTAAGGCCTCCAAGGTGTCTCGGCCCTCGAAGCGCGATGCTCCCAGCAAGGACAAGAAGACGACCGACGATGCTCCCGCGCCAAGGGCTCCCGCCGTCTCAGCGCTGCTCAAGGACGACGAGCCTCTGTTTCCCCGTGGCGGCGGCACTATTCTTACACCCCTCGAGCAGAAGCAGATTACCCTGGAGGCAAAGGCAGACGCCGCGAAGGAGGAGGCCGAATTGTTCGACACGAACGTCAAGGGAAAGGCAAAGAAGGAGAAGAGGAGGAAAGCAAAGGATACCAAGGATATGAAGCCTGCCAGAGATGAGGACGCAGTCAAGATTGAGGGTCTCAACTTCAAGGTAAGGCATTTCTTCCTCCAATGGAATAAACATAGCTAACAAAAAGGAAAAGCGACTGGTGAAGGGGTCCTTGGTGCTTGGCCAGATTAGCCAAATCGACCCGGTCCAGCTAACGATCGCTTTGCCGAACAACCTGACAGGACATGTCTCGATCGCCTCGATCTCGGACACAATCAACTCCAAACTCGAGAAGGACGCCGCCGACGAGAGCGAAGACGAGGAGGAGGACGAAGATGACGACGGAGTTGACCTCAAGTCCATGTTCAAGGTCGGCCAATACGTTCGCGCACATGTTCTGTCGACCGCAGACGAGTCCGGGTCCGGAAAGCCCAAGCGACGCATCGAGCTATCCCTTCGGCCTACCGAAGCCAATACTGGCATTTCCAGCGACGAGGTTGTAACATACACAACCCTCATGGCGTCGGTCACCAGCGTTCAGGATCACGGTTATGAAATGGACTTGGGCGTCGATGGCGATTTGAAGGGTTTTCTTGCCAAGAAGGAAGTCGGTCCCGACATGGATGAGGCCAGCCTGCGACCAGGCGCGGTCTGCCTCTGTGTCGTGAAGAGCGTTACCGGCATCATTGTCCAGCTGTCGACCGACCCCTTGAAGCTGGGCAACACCTCACTTGTGGCTTCGACTGCTCCGACAATCAACTCTTTTTTGCCCGGATCCCTGGCCGATGTTCTGCTCACGGAGGTGACCAGCAGAGGCCTGCAGGGCAAGCTTCTCGGGCACTTGCCGGTTACCGCCGATTTGATTCACTCGGGTGTTGGCCCTGACGGTGTCGATCTGGAGGCCAAGTACAAAGTGGGCAACCGTGTCAAGGCAAGAATCATCTGCAATTTCCCGGCTGCGCGAGAGCCTAAGCTCGGCATTTCTCTGCTGCCGCACATCGTCTCAATGCAGCCCAAGTCATCCGGCAAAGGTAGCAGAGCCAAGGCCCCTCTTGACCTGCTCCCCATTGCTTCATTTGTGGAAAAGTGCACCGTACGTCACGTTGAGCCTGAGATTGGTCTCTACGTTGACACCGGTGTTCCTGGAATCTCCGGCTTTGTTCACATTTCCCGCGTGAAGGACGGCAAGGTTGACGCGCTGTACGAAGCCAGCGGCCCTCACAAGGTCGGTTCAACACATCGCGGCAGAGTCGTCGGCTACAGCCCCCTGGACGCAATGTTCCTATTGTCATTTGAGCAACAAATTCTCGACCAACCCTTTATTCGCCTTGAGGATGTCCCCGTTGGAGAGGTGGTTTCTGGCAAGATCGAGAAGGTCATCGTTGGCGAGAACGGTGTCAGTGGCCTGATCGTCAAGTTGGCCGAAGGCATTAGTGGCTATGTGCATGAATCACATTTTGCCGACGTCAAACTCCAGCACCCTGAGAAAAAGTTCAGGGAGGGGGTCACCGTCAAGGCGAGAGTGCTCTCGGTGCGACCGCGGAAGCGTCAGCTCCGCTTGACCTTGAAGAAGACTTTGGTCAACTCAGATGCGCCGATTATCAAGAACTACGAGGAGGTTGAGGTTGGTCTTCAAACCCCTGGAACAATCACAGAGATTTCCTCTGTCGGTGCACAACTCGAGTTCTTTGGCGGTGTCAGAGGATTCCTGCCAGTGTCCCAGATGAGTGAAGCCTACATCAAGGATCCTAGAGAGCATTTCCGTGCTGGCCAGGTCGTCAGTGTCCATGTCCTTAGCGTGACGCCCGAGGACCGCAGGATGATCGTTTCTTGCAAGGATCCTTCGGCCTTCGGTCTGGATAAGCAGGCTGCGCTTAAGGCACTGAAAGTTGGCGACATCGTCTCTGCCAAGGTCAGCCAAAAGACGGAAGATGAGGTCTACGTTGATCTCGAGGAGAGTGGTCTCAAGGCCATCATTCGCACTGGCCACCTCTCAGACAAGTCTGCCAGCAAGACTCTGGCCGCCCTGAAGCGTATCAATGTCGGCAACACTCTCTCGGAGCTGATGGTCTTGGACAAGAACGAGCTCAGACGTGCTATCATCCTTACCCAGAAGCCTAGCTTTATTGAAGCCAGCAAGAACGGCAAGCTTTTGACCAGCGTTGAGGATGCGACAGCCGGCACTGTCGCACCGGCTTACATCCGGGAGATTGGTCCTCATGCTGTTTACGTTCAGTTTGGTGGCAATGTGACCGCGATCCTGCCCAAGAGCAAGTTGCCAAAAGACGTGCAAGAAAAGGAGGCATTTGGCATGCGCAAGCACCAGAGCATTGAGGTCAAGATTGTTTCTTCCAACCCTGAGCAGAACCGCATCATTGTTGCTCCCGCCTCGGCCGACGAACCCGCGTCAACTGCATCAGAGGCCGCCGTCAACTCTGTTGACGACAGCATTAAGACAATCAACGACGTTGCACTCGGCACTACCCTTAACGCCCAGGTGATTTCCGTCAAGAACACACAACTGAATGTCAAGGTTGCCGATAACATTCAGGGTCGCATCGATGTTTCGCAGTTTTTCGACAAGTGGGAGGACGTCACCAACCGCAAAAACCCTCTACAAAAGGTCAAGGCGAACGAGATTATTCGCGTACGCGCCATTGGCATCCACGACTCTAAAAATTACCGCTTCCTGCCATTCTCCCACCGCTCAACACACTCTGTCATCGAGTTCTCCGCCAAGAAGAGCGATCTCGAGACTGAAGAGGTCGAACTTCTTTCCTACGACAAGATCGAAGTTGGCTCATCTCACATCGCTTTCGTCAACAACCACGGCAAAAACTGCTTGTGGGTCAATATTTCACCCACTGTCCGCGGTAGAATTGGCATCATGGACGTCTCCGACGATCTCTCTCACGCTGGCAATCTCGAGAAGCACTTCCCCATCGGTTCGGCTCTTAAGGTCCGTGTGGTCTCGGTCGACGCCGAGAAGGGACACCTTGACCTGTCAGCTCGATCATCCAGCGGTTCTACCGAGGTCACATGGGACTCATTGAAGAAGAATGTGGTCCTGCCTGGAAGAGTGACCAAGGTCAACGATCGCTCAGTCATGGTCAAGCTCAGTGACTCCGTCTCTGGACCGGTCCACCTGGTCGATCTCTGCGATGACTACGACGAAGCCAATACACTCAAGTATAACAAGGGCGAGATCATCCGCGTCTCGGTGGTGGAGGTGGACAAGAGCAACAAGAGACTCAGACTCTCGACCCGACCCTCCCGCATCCTCAGTTCCACATCACCCGTCGCGGATCGCGAAATCACAAAGCTGTCCCAGATTGCCTCTGGTGACATTATCCGAGGTTTTGTAAAGAACGTTACAGATAAGGGTGTCTTTGTACAACTTGGTGGCACCGTCTCTGCATTGGTAAAGATTGGCAACTTGTCCGATCGTTACATCAAGGACTGGAAAGGCAACTTCCAAGTTGATCAGTTAGTCAAGGGCCGAGTGATCAATGTCGACGCGGCCATCAGCCAGGTTGAGCTCAGTCTCAAGGTTTCCGTGGTCGAGAACGATTATACGCCCCCTGTGACCTACAAGGACGTCAAGGAGGGCCAGATCGTCACCGGAAAGGTCCGCAAGGTCGAAGAGTTTGGTGCGTTCATCGTGGTCGACAACTCCCTCAATGTCAGTGGCTTGTGTCATCGCAGTGAGATGGCCGAGAAGCCCGTTGAGGATGCCCGCAAGCTCTACAACGAGGGCGATGTGGTCAAGGCCAAGATTCTCTCAGTGGACGACGACAGGAGGCGCATCACCTTCGGTCTCAAGCCTAGCTATTTCGATGAAGATAGCGACATGGAGGACGTCGATGGAGGTGCGGAACTCGACAGCGACGAGGACTCTGACGTTGAAATGGGAGACGGCGGCGCTCAACTCACCATCAGCGGAACCGACAACTTGGATGAGTCGGAGGAGGAGGATGGAGAGGATGAAGATGAGGAGGATGAGGACAGCGACGTTGATATGGACGAGGCGACTGCCAGCAAGGGGCTTGGCTCAGGCAAGTACGACTGGACCGGGGACGCATTCGATGATTCAGAAAACGAGTCAACGGCCAAAGCAAAGAAGTCAAAGACGACCGAAAAGAAGGAGAAGAAGAAGGGTGGCGAGATCCAGATTGACCGCACAGCGGACCTTGATGCCCACGGACCGCAAACCGCCATCGATTACGAGCGTCTCCTGCTGGGTCAGCCCGACTCATCTCAGTTGTGGATCGAGTACATGGCTTTGCAGATGAAGGTCAGCGAGCTGTCCAAGGCTCGCGAGACTGCGGAGCGTGCCATCAAGACGATCAACATCCGCGAGCAGACCGAGAAGCTCAACGTCTGGATTGCTTACCTCAACTTGGAGGTGGCGTACGGCACCAAGGCTTCCACCGAGGAGGTCTTTAAGCGTGCTTGCCAGTACAACGACGAACAGGAGGTTCACGAGCGTCTGGCCAGCATTTACATCCAATCCGGAAAGCTCAAGGTAAGCAATCTCCAAATATTTCACGGTAGTCGATTGACTGTTACTAACGCGATCAAACAGCAAGCGGATGATGTGTTCCAGTCGCTGGTCGCCAAGTTCAAGTCAAAGTCACCAAAGGTCTGGGAGAACTACGCCCACTTCCTCCACGTGACGATGAACGAGCCCGACCGCGCGCGCGCCCTCCTGCCCCGCGCGACCCAAGCACTGGAGGAGCGTCACACGGCGCAGCTGATGGCCACATTCGGCGCCCTCGAGTTCAAGTCGCCCAACGGCGACGCGGAGCGCGGCCGCACGACGTTTGAGACGATCCTCGCGACGTGGCCGAAGCGATTCGACCTGTGGAACCAGCTGGCGGACCTCGAAATCGCGGCCGCCGAGCCGGACGCCACGGCCATCCGGGACGTGTTTGAGAGGGGCACCAAGGCCAAGGGCCTCAAGCCCAAGAAGGCCATGAAGTGGTTCAAGAGGTGGGCCGACTGGGAGCAGAAGATCAGCCCCAAGGGCCGGGACAAGGTGATGGCCAAGGCCCAGGAGTGGGTTGCCGCGGCGAAGGCTAAGAAGGGGGCTGCCGCTGAGGAGGACGATGAGGAGTAAGAAGATATTTTCCGGGTGTGCATCGAATCAAAAAAGGAAAAGTTTTGGGTGGTAATGAAAATTTTGGCATGGGGGATGGCTAGCTTGTCAACTCCCCCCCCCCCCCTTGTTTGTACTCGGGCTAGACCGAGAAGCTCTCCCTATGTGTCAATAACAGTATGAATGGGATAATACGAGTATTTTCTCACCTAGAAGATGCATACCAAAATGGCTCAGCTTACTTGGCTGGCTTCTGACCCGGTCTGACCCGGCGCTGAGCGTCACCTGTAACTGACCTGTATCGCCAAAATCAGCCTAGCGTCATGGGTTCGGTGATGGAGGCGTGCGAGTGCCCATGATCGACGCCAGGGTCGAGGGTGTATTGCTTCATTACCAGCTGCTGGTGAGTGCAAGCGCAGAAGGTCTCAAAGACTAGAAGTCTAATGCCAACCAACTCTTTTCCGACCTGAGATCTTGCCGTTCGTAATTGAATATGGCTCTGGGCCCCAAGTGTCAAGTGTCTGTCATGAAGACTTTTTGGCTGTTGAACTTGACGTCGCGAATGAGGTAGAGAGACGGCGGGCTTGGCAATGAGAAAAGGGGGTTGGATGGTCTTCGTGGTCCGGCAACACGACATATCAGGTATACGTACGGACCTTACGTCGAATGCCTGCAGCCAAGCCAATGCATCCCAATAGCCGGGTTCCCAAGTGATCTCACAGCAGATGCAGCTTACTGCGGGCTGCTGTCATGGATTCAAGAGGTAAGCTTATCTTACTCTATCGGCTGGCAATCGGAAAGAAAGCATGTGCAAAAAAGTGAAGAACAGCTACCTTAGGACAGCCGGGCGACTCAAGATGAGTGGCTTTAGTACCTAAGATACATGTAATTAGCGGCCAAGGTCAGCGGCAACGGTGCGGCTGGATGCCATGCGAGCGCCAGCGCCACAGCTGAAAATAGGTCATGCCAGATTGGGACACATGTTTCCGCGTGTTTGGTCTTCCTTCTTCCGGCTGACCAAGGTTGCGGAGCCAAACATTCTTACTTTTTCCCCGTCTCTCCCATCTTCTGACGAACGGGGGCAGACTTCATCCATCCGAACAACTCAGAATCCTCTGCTTCGCTGCTTCGCATGAATGTCGAATTTTACTACTCCTCCGTTTGAGAATCCTGCGTTGTATGATCCTTTGAGATGAACAGAGCTCTCTCTCTCGCCTAATTGGATCCAAGTGAAAACAAACTCGAGACCGGGTCGGCACAGGAACGAACGCCAGTCGAACGAGCTAAGCCTAAGCCCGCATCGCACGCCCAGAGGCCCGCCCAGCAGCCCAGCAGCGGCACCTGCGTCGCAAGCCTCGTCCGATATCGTGCTTGATCCTTTCTCCGCAGCAGAGGTTGGAAAAGACATGAGCACGGTGCTCTAGAAGCCTTCAGAGCTGAATCATGGATGGATGCGGCGAGTCAAAACAGCCAACAACACCGGCGACCAAGGTAGAATCACAGACGTTCAGGTGCCCTCTTCTGCGCAGTGCTCAATCTCCCTCATTACTCGCCAGTAGACGAAAGCAGAGCAGGAGAGAGGGGTAATTGAGCACATAACGATGGGCGACGTGCAGGCGCTCGTATATGTGCAGAACTGACAATTTCATCCGAGCGGCCCACTGATCAACATCGGATGCGCCTCTTCAGGGCCCTCGTCCCAATCAGGAGAAAGGTAAAGGTAATGGAAAGAAGAACCACAAACCGCCTACCAGCGCACTGCGGCGTTCGATAGCTTCAGGCGGCAGGGAGAAGGAACGAATATGTGAGACGACAACACCGAACGGCCTGGGAACAAAGTCCAACAGTTGAACAGACAGACAGACAGACTGTTGATCTTGGCCGGCGGACGGCGCCACGCGAGTCGCGACGCACCGCCCATCGCAGCCTAGGCAACGGCCTCTCAGATCTATCCGACTGTCGTATCTAGCCCATTTCTACATAGTCTGACGGCTTCACAAACAACCTTCTTTCCATCTCAAGCCTCTCTTCCATCTGGCGCTTCCAAACTAGCTTGCCGCCCTTTTAACACTCATTCTCTCTCGTGTGGTGCCGGATACTAAAACAAGAAGCTTAAACGCTCATCACCCAATCCCACGCCGTCGTTCTTGGCGTGGCGTTTCCTATTATGCCTAGAGACTAGTGGTATGCAATACGAGGGTTCGACCCCTGTCACCGGCGAGTGTGCTCACCGTGACACGGCCGGTGGAAGCGGGGACCACGGACTACACGTCGGGGTGGGGCGCAAAAGGTACATGCATTTACACCACATTTCCTCCCGTTCATGGCTTGCCCTATGTATGTAAGTCTATTGTTAGAGCCGGCTTAGCGTGCGTTGCAGCTCCGGCGCATGGATGCCTTATCCAGACCTCTGGTTTCCCACTCCTGACCGTCAGACCGACCGCCTTCGGCGAACAGCCTTTGAGAAAGATCTGCTGATGCCGGGCGGACGGTGCGGTGGTGATGGGCCACCGGACCAAGGCTAGACCTGATGAAGGCTAGACGATATGTTTCGTGTTCCTCGTCTGCTGGCTCCAAGTCCAGGGTGGTGGCATGCTTCTCTTTCCGTCGATCCTCCTTCTGAAGGGCTGAGGCATACGCCACGGAGCCAAGCTGGCACAACAGCATCTTCAGGAATACCCAGGACCCGAAAAGTCAAGCTACTAGTGTCGTGAGATCTGACTAGAGTTGTCGGTGTTTATTTAGACTCAGGCACCAGAGGGCTTGTCCCGGAGGAGCCATGCACGCTAAGAATGCGAGCCCCTTTCGAGAGGGTTAACGTCCGAGAGCCTCATGAAAGAAAGCTGGACGACTCAGTTTCCAAGGTGTTTGTTGTGATGGACGACCTTTTTCTCAGAATGAAGATGATATAAGGCCATGATGGCCAGCTTCTTGCTCCAACATTATCTCCTCCTCATCGGGTCATCATCAGTCTCTCTCCCTTTCCCTTTTTTCCAACAACAAGCAGTATCATTGTCATTCACTCTTCCGGCTTTACCTTTCTCTTCTTCTACTTCAGCACACTCGCTTTCTTCAATACCTACACAGAGATTTTCATCACCATGCATCTCACATCCGTCCTCGCCACCTCGCTGGCCCTGGTCTCCCTCCCAGGAACCATGGGCTACCCCGGCATGGGCGAGCAAATGGCCGAAATCATGACCCGTAAGAGCGACGCCGGCGACTCCACCGAGCTCCTCGGCGACCTCCTCACCCTCAATGACAGGGATCTCACACCTGTCGGCAAGGACATCAAGAAGATGCTCCAGGGAAAGGGGAATCCCGAATCCAATGACCGCTACAGCAGAGTCCCCGACCTGGCCTCGGACTACTGCAAAAAGGATACGTGCTGCGTCTGGCGCTACGTCGCCGACGACATGTACCAGTTCATGGCCGGCACGTCGGGCCGTTGCACGAGTCTGGCTCGCGGCGCCGTCCGCCTCGGTTTCCATGACGCCGGTGCGTGGTCCAAGGCCACAGCATCCCAGGGCGGCGGCGCCGACGGCAGTATTCTGCTTGCCCCCGGCGAGATTGACCGCTTCGAGAACCGCGGTCTGCAAGAGATTGCTGCCAAGCTGCAGGAGCTGTACGGAAAGTACAAGTCCTTGGGCTGGGACATTGGTATGGGTGACTTCATCCAGGTACGTTGTGTGATGCCGGCGAATACTCAAATCCACTTTCCAATTATAATGTGTCTTGACTAACCACTCGAACAAAAAAAGATGGGTGCCACCGTCGCAACAGTCGTCTGCCCCCTAGGCCCCCGCATCAAATCCTACGTCGGCCGCAAGGACAGCGCCAACGGCGCCGCCCCCGGCCTCCTCCCGAGCCCCTTTCAGCCGGCCGACCAGCTCATCCAGCTCTTCCGCGACAAGACCATCGGCCCGCACGGCCTCGTCGCCCTGCTCGGCGCGCACACCACCAGCCAGCAGAGGTTCGTCAACACTACCCGCGCCGGCGACCCTCAGGACAGCACGCCGGGCGTCTGGGACGTCCTGTACTACAAGGAGACGCTCAACCCCAACTCGCCGCCCCGCGTCTTCAAGTTCCCTAGCGACATCTCCATCTCGCAACACCCCGAGACGGCCAAGGAGTTCAAGGAATTTGCGGGCCCCGGCGGACAGAACCACTGGAACGAGGTAAGCTGATCCCGGAACACTGGCGGTTTGCGCCTGCAGACGGACACTGGACAAAGTGCTAAAATTGCATGTACAACAGGACTATGCTCGTGAATATATCCGCCTCTCCCTTCTGGGCGTCAACAATATCAACCAGCTCACCGAGTGCACCAAGGTCCTGCCCCCTGCCGTGAACGGTTTCCGCGCCGTTGACCAGTTCAAGCTCGACAAGTGGCTCAACAGCGTCGGCAACAAGGGCGCTGCCAAGAAGGTTGCCGAGGATCTTCAGAAGGGCGATCCCGCTTCTGTCGAGGTCCCTCCTGTCAACAACCGCAACTAAAAAAAAAAACACTTTCTACAACTTGTATTTAATAATGGCGTTGACATAGATTGGGTTTTTGAGGGTTACTGGGGGTGTTGTATACAACATTCGGAGTTTTGCATTGAGCGTCGTCACGTAGAGCTGGCGGCCTCGAAGATCACATAATTCATTTTCAACTGTACTTACATCAAAACACTTCCAAGTACGTACTGCAAACATTTTTGGCTCCGGAAAATATTCCGTCAAAGAGGTGCCCCGGGCACTGACTCGGATCACGGAGTGCCTGAAAAGCTTGTTGTTTGAGCGATTCATTGCAGTACTGTGCCCACCGTGCATACGTCCTTCGACTCGAAGAAGTATCAAAAAAGAGCAAGTCGCTGAAGACAACATCTAATGAGAAGCATCGCCATTGTATCCAATTTCTTGCATTCTCGGTTCGCCACAATTTGCTCTGAGAGTGTATCAATAGGCTCTAGTGGGTTCTCGGACCTGACAGATTTCGGACCGAGAGCAAGCTAGACTCTTCAAGTGTACTGTGTGACATCGACGTCGGTTTAAACTTCAAAGGCCGTAATAAAGACGTCTCTCACCCCACCTACCAATTGTTGAAGTCGACAAAACTATATTTGACCGCGACCTCGCACATCACTCTATCAAGTCTGAAGAGCATTCCACCCGCCCCCATCTATTGCTCAACCACCAAGCAGACATGGACTATCGCCTGGTACTGTTCCTCTACCGCAAAAAGGACATCACGCACGCCGAATTCAAAGACCACTACGAATTCATACACATACCCCTCACCCGAGAGTTGACCGGCTCCCGTTTCCCCTCCCTGCACTCGAGGCGATACATTGAGCGATCGACCAAGGACGAGCCGACCGTGCTCATCGGCAGCAGTACCGGAGAGGAGCCAGATGCTGTGGTAGAGATTAGGTTCAAGGACGAGGAGGCGGCGCAGGCGTTCTTTACCGTGACGAACTCTGGAGAGGTCGAGCAGAGGTTGCGCAAGGACATTGCGCAGTTTCTGGACTGGGAGAGGCTCAAGATTATGAGGATTGGGGACGCTTTTGAGACGCGTAGGGAGGATTGAGGTATAAAGGGAGCATTCGTGAGATGACTTGGTAGGTCAAATGAGGGTGTTGGCGGCATTTCGTTCGAGTGCTTATATCGAGATACCTTGGCCGCTGGTTCTTCCAAGGTGTCAACTTCACTCTTGAGTCTTTAGCAAAGACATTCCTGGATTTAAAGAAGACATCGAGGGGAAAGTTCTGCGAGAATATGAGGCAATAAATCCCCTCAATTGAGCCATTTTTTGATCGGCAGACATATTTTGAGGTCGCAAAAGTTGGCATAGGTTTCCTCCTGGATATCCACTGCTCCCATCACTTACAGCCTTTGGTGAAAGATGAGACCCATCGCTGTTGCAATTAGAACAAAGTGAATTTTACTGTCTGCCTCGAAGTGCCGATTTGACGTTTGACAATTCAGGGACTCGGCAACGGTAACAATTACGCGTATAAAGCGTTTCGGTTATGTGGACTAAGTGCGAAATACGCGTATTTAGCTGCAGCAAGCCACAAACTCGGTCCCATTTTTTATACATGTAGGCAAGTTTCTATCTGTAGAGGTTCATGATACATCGCATTTAAATTTCGAATGATCTATTTCCCTCAATTCGTTGCGCTCATCGCCAAGAGTTAAACGAGTGCTCTATACGGACTCGAAGTACGCGTCAATCGAGTGCCGGAGAGTTTTGGCCGAGATTACGCCAACTGCCTTCTTGACGGGTTAGCGGGTCTCGCTGATATGGAGCGATTGTTTGAGGTTGATCCGTTGATCTTCATCATCAACTACAATCTGGAGCTCGAGGACTGTGTGAGACAGTTGCTTTCAACGAAATTTGTAGGATTCTTGATCTTTCAGTCGTAAACCCAAGTCAAGATGCAAGCTAACAAGGCCTTTCAAGATAATCTTCAGGTTTGCAAGCTATATTACCATGTAGTGGAATCAGAAAGACGTGAAACCATGCCATCAGTCTTGTTTGCTACCCTGGGGTAATGTTCCGTCCAATGCCTAAGCGTTGACTAATGACGCACAGCTCCCACAAGCTAAATATAACTCACTAGACTACTCCACAAGACAGCGGAAAATCAAATGAGGTACCAAGGGTTCAGAGTTCCGGAAGTTGGTACATTCCTTCTTCGATGATGTGAATTCCTTTCTGCGCTGCTTTCCATTGTGAAGCCTCTAACTCAGCCCATGTTTCGTGTACTTCCAACAAAGCAAGATTCTCTCCCCTTCGGATAAAGTAAACTGGTTGTATCACATCGAGGCTCGAAGAAATAGATGAGTTCGTCGGCAAAATAGTGTATTCCCATGTTATGCTCTCTCTACTCCATCGAAAATATTACGATGTTGCATGTTGTACTCTGAGGTAGGAGCAGCTCGCTCATAAAATCAACTGGATGAAAAGCAAACGCAGCTCAAGCTATTATACAACCGATAAAAACACTTTTGAATGACTAGCGTATTATTATGCGTACTTTTCAATCGAACCTGTAAGAGTCTGCTATTCTGTCTTGACCAAAATCGGGAGACAAATGCACACCATCGTTGTACCATACCTGGACTCTTGGCCACTCCGCATCCTGGGTAAGCTGGGCATCACGTGGCACCCCAGCTGGGGGAAACCCAGCCATGGAGGGCGCATGTTCCTGCGCAAGTAGATATTCATTCCCACTAGCAATTTCCGCGTTGCCAGTAATATCCACCGAACTCCAAGGGATATTCGTTGCTGGGTTACACCCACAGATTGAGTACTGCGGAGACGGATAGGGATAGAGGTTCCAAGAGGAGCTCGGTCGTTGATACACCGTATCTTCATTGCAGCTTGAGTAGACAGAATCGTGATAGAAGCCCTGTGGCTCTTCGTATTCATAATCTGTATGGATGACGGGGAAGTTGAAGTGCTCGTGGGTTTGACGTTCGTGAAAGAGCTCGTTCGTTTTACTGAGCTGGTCTGTCGTTTGATGGTCTAGGTCAAGGGAAGATCGCCTTTCTTCAATCGTTTGCGTGAATCTGGTTGTATCATTGTGGACATTATCTGGCATCGAAATCGGACTCGTCATGGGGCTGTTGTCTTTCGAAATCTGCGCAAACTCCTCCGAAGAAGCATCGGAATCCTCTTCTCCGGAGTCGTGATAGATCTTGTGATGTTGGATCAAGGCTACTTTGCGACAAAAACTAGTTTCCTATCAGCTCGAAGCTCACTTATTCGTGATGTAAACTCGCTCTGACCTTTTACGGCAGGTTTCAATGGCACAGGTATACGGGCGTTTGCCTAGATGCACCCGTCGATGACGCGAAAAACTAGAAGACTTGAGAATGTTTGAGTCAGATTTCCAACTGATTCCCTTATTTTGTTATTCGAGTACCTGAAAAACTCACATCGGCAAATCGTTTGTAGCATCCAGGATACTGGCATTCGTATGGCTTCTCTCCAGTATGTGTACGGAGGTGTACAGTCAATGCACTTCTTTGGATGAAACTCCTCTGGCAACCCGGTGCCGGGCATGGATACGGTCGTTCATTGGTATGAATTCGAAAGTGTCTGATGAGATCTGACTTGCGATTGAACCCCTGTAGGAAAGCATATGTGAGTGAAGCACTTCTGAAAATGCCAAATCTTCTGATGGCACTAGGAGTTCCGGGAAGCATTGGGCATTTACTTTCTCGCAACTCTTCCAACTACAGTAGAAGCGACGATAGCGCTCCTTGTTGTTAACAAGTTCGGTGATTTCCATTTTTTCCTAGAGCCTATTCCGGTGAATTGATGGCGGAAGTTGGTTGTACAGTCAAACCAGGAGAAGGTTCTCTTGAGATCGGTATTTCCTAGATTCGGCTCCGACGCTTCGTCTAATAACGACCTGTGGGGATGTTACAAGCGCAGTTGTCGGTGAAGCTCATAGTCTAGAGACCTCTGGCAGACTATTTCGATATGACGAAAGTAGAATCAAAGCGTTGCTTGTTGAAGAAGTTGCGATTTGGCGAAGTAGAGAGTTGTGTTCGTCCAGATTGAGTTGGAAGCGCGTTGACAGCCCCTTGAAAGACAAAAGATCAGGCACGTAGAGTTTTGAAGGAGATTCGGCCTAGTAGCTGAATCGTATCCATTGACACTAATATTTCAGAGAAGAGGCATCATCGGAACCTCTAGCGTGAGGCTTTCATTATGTAGGTGGAAAAACGTCGGTTAGGTTGTTGGATGCCTCTGTGTGTCTAGACCGAAATAGTCGTGCCGCAGTGTAGCATCGCCATTGGATCCTTGAGATAGGGTCCAAGCTCTGAGGAAACCCCTGGACAATGAGGTCTTCTGAACGCAAAGCATTGAAGATCATTTCAGTTCTCGTCATTGCGATGATGGGTCGGAATGAATCCCGACAACTGCGGGGATTTCATTCTCGCGAGTGGCGACGAAGCTTCCCCTTGCCCTGTCAGTAAAATGTCGCCATGACGGATAGGAAACAAAGTATCACAGGTTTTCAGTGCCGTTTGATGAGGCATGGGCGTCGTGGGCCACTGCAGGGGATAAGGGATGTCTGGAAGCATGGGGTAGAAGCGTACCCTACGGAAAATCATTAGGGTTTGGCCCAAGCTGGGAGCGGGAGCAGCGGCTTGGATGTGCTTCGAGGATCTTGGCCTTTGGTTCCTGGTGATTGCACCCCTCGTGACCAATACGGACTCCATAAATCCTAGTCTAGCCGACGTGATCTACGGCCTTGGTTAGCGAGCATTTCCTCTCACAGTTTCACATTAGGGCTTAGTGTGAGAGGATGAAGTGTCACAGTGTGTTCTGTCTCAACAGAATCGTTCGAGTTTTCGGTTCAGCACCATGGACTAGTGAATGGAGCTTCTGCATACCAGGAGTCAGGCTTGCTTTTTCGATCCGCCCCAAAACGTACTTTGCCGCTAAAGGCTGCCTCTTTGGATGCGCCGTTCTGCCAACTGCCGCCCTTGGTATGAAGTTCAGACTTGCTGATGGCGCTGTCAAGCGAATTTGGATGATTGACGGATCGCCAATCCTACGGGTGGCCCGGCCTTCGCATCCGACTATCCTGCTCCGCTAGGGGCTTATCCCACCCCTGTGACTTGTTATTTCCATGATGAATAACTACTTAGTATCGACCGGTCTCGAATCTTGTATTCGTTATCAATCTTCAAACCGGATAAGCAGTGTCACACTCATGGTAGCCCCACGTTGGCGGCAAGTAGGATTCCACGGAACTTGTGGCGGTTCCCCCGGGATAAAGAGACCGTGCCCCAAGATTTCCGGCGACTGACGACAGTCAGTGCCCCGGATACAACTCGGAATCGGGATCGGGGGCGACGCTGAATGCCACGCAAGATGCGGCTTTCAATTCCCTCATCCAGGAAAGCTTGCGAAGAAGGGCGGATCTTCAGGATCATCTAGGATATCTGCCGTCTTCACCAATCAGCACTAAAACTTACAGATTTCGTTGCGGTCTGGGCCAGCGAGTGAATGAGGGTGGGATATCACTTCTCACTTTGGGGGAATGCTTGGGGTTTGTTGGGTGCTGAAGATATGATAACTTTGTGGCATTATGCCAAAGCTACGAGCTCGGGCTTGTGGGCCGATTCGAGATGATCCTCCGCTAGGGAACAAGCCAGGTTCTGAGACCCAGAGAAGATGGCCCAGCAAGGATCTGGGGGTGCTTTCCTTGCCTTCGTCCCCAGCTCTTCCACTAGGCTTGTCACCCTCGAGGCCACAATAGACGCTAACTCAATGTTGGCAAGCTGAAATTCTGAAGTGAGCAGAACCCCTGTCGAAGCCAGCATCAAGCAATTTCCCGGAAGGGCCCGGACAGAAGCATGTCTCTGTGAAAACAGCGAATGGTCACCGGATGCCTCAACAGAAGGCCAACTGCTCGGCTAATCTGCCAGAAAACGGAGTATGACGAAAGGCCGGGCTGACATGGGGTTGAGATTGGGGCATGGAGATGCCTGCGAAACGGTACCATGAGCGCAGATCATTCAGGCACCCCAAGGGATTGGGACCCGACCTAGAGGAACAGTCAACAAATGATATTCAGTACCAACCCCAGTCGATCTCTTGTAATCGCCATTACCGCTGCCGCTCCATCCTGCTCGCCCCTCATCCGAACCCGGAAAAACAATCAAAACACGCGGTGAAGACACAGCCACGTTCATCTTTTGTCTGCCTGCGCTTTGACGAGTGCCATCTTTTCTTTTTCTCTAGGATGATACCCTGCCGTTATCCGCAAGAACCCAGTTACGAGAGCTGAACCGAAACACTGTTCTTCAAGTGAGCTATTGACAGGCACAGCAGTCAGTGCCGTGCCCAAGCGTTTATCACCCTTTTCGTCTGCTTGCTTGACCTCAAACTTCTCCACAGGGTCTTTGCCACGCGAGCCTGCCAGAGTGACATGTCAGAAGTTGCGTGGCCGACCCACGATTCCACGAATGATTAAACCCCCTGTATCTGCTCGCACTTCGGGCACGAAACCGAATCAGCCGCAACCACGAGGTTTAATCCCGGGTTTCGCGAGTAGGAAAACCTTCTTCTTAGCTTTGACCTCTTGCTGAGCTTTTGATGACGAAGACCGAAAGCTGGAGGGCTCCGCATTGATTCGCCAAAACGTGGATCCTGTGTTTTGCGGATTGCCGGTCGCGAGAAAACCTCGTTTAGGCTGAGAATACGATTGGCTATGATATGCCAGCCAAGGAGAGACAGACATTGGCTTGTTGGTTCATCAAAAGAAGCTTCCCTTCTCATGTGAGGCCTCTAGCCGAGAGGCACAACATGGGGCAGTAGCAATGCCATGAGGTAGCTGGTATCAGCGTGTGGTCAAGGAGACAGACTCTCGACAAATGCCTTTCAAAAGTCAGTGTGAATCAATAATTACTCTACTGCCAAAATGTAAAATACCAATCCCCAGGATGTATAGCATGCGCTGGAACTCATGTCCTGATTGAAGCATTCCCGAGAATTTGGTACATTAATCATTAGTCTAACTCGCTAGAAGGAAGCTACTTGTTTCCTCACCTGTGTACGGTAACGTGGGACAGCTTGTTGACATTAGTCTTGGTATCAAGATTGAGAGCAGGAATGAGCCCACAAAGCCGGGGGAAATTAAAACTCTATCAAAAGATAGATGTATCCATGGATTGCAAGCGAGAGTTAGTTGCCTTAGTAGCTGTTCTTGGATCACACTAAGGCTGCACGCATGTCATTTGATGCAAAAGACTAAAGCAATGTTCCTGACTCAAAACACAAAAGTTTCAAACAATTGATGCAACCTCTGCAACGTAACGGCCACTCATTAAACTATGCCTTTGCGAAAATTCGTTCTTTGGAGGACGTTTTTCTCGGACATATTTGAGAAGGCTGCTGGATCGCGATTGAAAGAGCAAGAGCCCTCTGGAATAAACGTCGACGCAAAGGCCGTGATCATGATGATGGTCAAGTGCACTCCGGTAGTGTTCACCAGCGCCTCTCGCACCGATCCCTTCCGATTATAGACGCCATCAAGGTACCTCCCGAGGACGGTACCGGCAATCGCGTACGTGGCGACATAGAACGAGTACAAGAATGCCATGACAGCACCCAGAGGCGACACTCTATGTTCCTCATCCTCGAGTCTGGCGAGGGAGGCCTGGATATAGGCAGCATGGCGCGACACATCTCCCGCAGCCCACCCGAAACAGATTGGTAGGAACGTGGCAGCAACAATCCAGGCCTGGCCAACTTGTCCCGAGGGCAGGTATCAGTAGGGTATGTACCAAACGACGAGCAGCATCAGGGCATCGAGTTGGAGCCACAGGAGCGGTATTTTGATCACGTTCGTGAACAGGAAGACGAACAGACCGCCCAGTAGCTCACCAAAGTTGGAGCCACCGACCATGGTCTGCAACCATGCCGAGTTTCCCAGGTACCGTCGGGAGACTTGGGGCGCGATGCCATTCTCTAGATATTGGTGGCCGTAGAGGGTAACACCGTATGCGGGGACGAGCCAGACGAATCTCGTCGACGTGAACAAAATCCTCGCCCCAACCCAGATGGACTCGAAGGAGAGGAGGAAGCCTTTGCCGATGTTGATCAAGTAGTTGCTCTTGTGGGCTTCAGCCTAGGCGAGGGCGTTGCGGTCGTGGCTTCTGTCGACAACACAGAACCACAGGGTCGCCACGAGAGAGAAGCAGATTGGGGTTATGATGAACGAGCAGTTGTTACCGAAACTGGGAACCAGGACAAGTGCTGTGACGAAACCGCCTGACGTACCGGCAACCTCGTAAAAGATGTGTACCAGGCTGTCCATCTGGCGAAGCTTCTGGATGTTCCCTCCGACGATGTCTCTCGGGATCACGCGGCGGGTAAGTTAGACCATGCCATAGGTGATACCGGTGACTGTGTAGATGGGTATGATGGCGTCGTTGTTGTAGTCTCCGTATTCAGACCACTCGTCTTTGGGATGCTCCTTGCGGTAGGCTTCTGGAACGGAAGTGCCTCCTGTCGCAGCATAGAGGATGAATATGGCTGCTGAGAGGACATTCTTCACAGGGTAGTGTTTGATAAGGGGGGCGATGAGGATGGAACCGACACCCTGTGTAGCTCAATTAGATCCCTGGAGGAGACCGGGAATGCAGGATGACGTGCCTCTGGTGTCACTTTCGAAGTCGTAACGGTTGGTAGCAAGCGCGGTGATCGACCCGTCGAATGCCTCTAAGCCGAATTTGTAGAGCATGATGCCGCAGATATAGAAGAATACAACCCTTCTTTCATCGGGGCTGAAAGACTTGAGCCTCTCGACAAAGTCTTTGAAGATGACCATGGCGTAATGTTGGCACATGGAAGCTTTGTATTGTCTCTGTCCGAATTCGGAATGCTTTTCGTGAGATGGTCCTAAGCGGACAAGCTGGATCGACAGACCGGACAAAACTAATCCGAAGACTGGAAGAAGAATCTGCTCTTATTCGCTAGGCTGTTCCTTCCAACACGACATGGGTAGAGAAGGAGCTTGGTGATTCGTGCGGCATTTCCTCTCAAGGCTATGGGCCATATTTACAGTCCGTCCGGCTGATATATGTAAGTTATGCGACGACACGAAGCACTCGCGCGAGCAAAACAGGACTTCGTATTGCAAGAATACGCAGCATCCACGTGAGCCACACAGATGAACAACCTTGTTGCCCATCATCAGCGAAAACTCTGGACCGGCGACCTCAAGATCAATTTGCTTAGGAAGGGCTGGGGACTAGCTTTCTCTGGTTGATGGAGTGAGACTGCCACCGGTGAAACCTTGGCACTCCGTTTTAGTTGCATGTGGGGTAAAACGCTTTCCACACTTCGAGTTCCTTATGCTTCGAGAAAAATCCGTGTAAGCCGGGTCTGTACTCTCAAGGTTCCGCCGCTACCCCGGACAGATCCCGGCATCGTTGATGGCTGCGACTGTCAATTGTAATTGGAAATCGGGTAACACACCGACATTCCTGTCCATTCCAAGATCACACATCTCAAACACGTCAAGAATCATCGACGTCCTCCACCACTCACGCTTTCCGATGTGCGTTACTTGATAGAAGAACACATCAAGCTCGTGGCATGTCGCGACTTCTGGCCGCCCCTCGTTTCTCGATTTTCCTTGACAGCCCAAGCCAAGGCAAAGCCCCGATGGGCTGTTAGAAGCTAGGCTTAATGCATAATGGCCCATAGCGTTCGATCATGGATATGGCGTGGGCTCAAAATCAGTCTGGATCCCGACGTGGAGAGGACCCAGTGTGATTGGGTGGAGCAGAGAACATCGCCCAACTTGGGTGGGAGGCTGTGCTCGACGCCGCAACGCTGCAGATGAATGATCGCCAGTGCTCAACGGTGTAGCTGTCAAAAGCTTCGCAGTTGTCCGTTATCTGATGGATTGATACTCCCACGTCTTGGCAGTGGTCGTGCACCCGGTGCAAGAGGGCGAGACTGTGCATTCTTATGCTTTCCCTAGGGCTTGGCGTTGGGTGTGTAATTGGCGCAGGTAATGTTGGGAAGATGACAGCCAACCGTTTGAACACATGGTCTCTCCTGATCCTTCCTCATCAGTTTCTTCGTAGCTCTCTCTTAGATGAGAAAAAAACACGAGATTGGGAGATGGAGAGATACAGGGAATATTACACGAGGAAAGTTGACAGTCTACCTACCTACCTACCTTACCTTAGCTTACACCTAAGGGCACGTATCTATGTGGTCAGCAAGCTCTGTCGAGCATTGGCCACTCATACCCCTGGGAACTCTCTAAAGAGAGAACCTCTTTGGTGCACCAGAAATTCTCCAAGACATGGCAAAAGCTTATCTCGCAGTCGTTACACCAACACACACCACAAGCCTAACCTCTCACAACGCCAAGATGTTGGCAGCCTACCTGCCTTGTCATCCAACGTAGTTCACTAAAATATCATAGAAATGAAAGACCCACCGGCGAAGGGGTCAATCAACTTTGAGAGCGTGTTGGGCTGGTGGCTTGGGCTTACTCGCACAGTCCGGCGGCGGCGTATCCAGTGTATCGGTCCCCACTGCCAGACGGAACGGCGCATGTGGGGCCGTGCCATGGGGTCCATAATTCCAACATCCTGCACTCGTGGCCGCCGTCCATATTGTAAGAGGAACGGTACAGTGATGTGAGGTGCCCTACGAAGAGAAAATAGAAATGTACGAGGCTTCCTGATTTTCAATTTGTTAACAGATGTCTTGGCTTCATGGTCTTTCTGCACTATTTATAGCCAATAGGGCTCATGCTTTCAAGATCGGTGGGGCAGCATATGAGCGGTTCCTCCAGCTCCTTACTCTCCCACTCCCCTGGTCAACGCAGGTGAAACCGATGATGGTTGCAAAGCTTTCTTCCTGAGGCGACCGGATTGCTCATTGAGCTTCAGGTTTGTCCCGTGCATATTGTGGACGATTGTCTTAATCTAATCAAGTTTCAAGAATATCGCGATCCCGCCTCACTTGTATGGTCACCAGCTTGATCACATGGATATCGTATTCATTTGAATTTTAAAGCTATATACTCTTGAAAATTTCAAAAAATCCGCAAATATGAGCTGTGGAACCACCAATTCTTTCGGGCACCATCGTTCTGGAACTCGCAGCCCTTGCGGGACCCCCTATGCCAACGATTCACCGCTAGGTCATAGGACACTTCAGAACGTTGCGCATACCGTCCCTCCGAACTTCCTTCCTATCAGAACTTTGTGACCGTGGGGGCAAGTTGTTTATTCCACATCCCAGTCGGATTGTTGGGTACCTGCCTCTAATACAGATCTTATGTGGGGATTATCGACAAGAAACGTCTCAGAGAATTACTTGCCCACCAGACCCTTGGGCTAATGGATGAGCTGATGGAGATGACAAACTACCATCACCTGAGTGGACAGGGAGTATATCCCTTGCGGTGACGAGAGTGTCGTCCGATAAATCAAGCTGCGTGACGTTTGCGCTGCTGGGACACAAATTGCACATTCACTGCGAAACAGCACTTGACCAGATAATTAAGGCGTATTGTGGGTTTTTTCTCTACATATGACAATCTGTGACTCGGAAAGATCAGTCACATAGAGTCTCGGCTCGTCATGAAAGCTCAATGAGTACACATTAACGGTGCAAATCCGTCTGTCCACTTCTGGGAACCCATGACGATGACCATCACCGCAAACCCCACCACGACACTGACCGAGCCGTAAACGTACGCATGCGTACGCCGCAGCGCCGTCAACTCAGCAACCCACGTCGAGACGGTCGTCAAGCACCCGCAGAACCCATCCTCGACGCCCTGCAGCACCTGGCACCCGACAACGCCGCCCAGCTCCGCGTGCGCCAGGTCCCAGCACATGCCCAGCACGGCGACCCCGGCAATGTTGACCGTAAAGGTACCCATCGGGAACGCCGGGACCTTGGCGTTGAGCAACAGACTGGCGTAGAAGCGCGCGAGGCAGCCCAGCGGCGCGAAGACGATGGAGAAGAGGACGCGGCCGCGCCAGGCGTCGTGCGGCGGCCAGATGGCGAGGAGCACCGCGCCGAGCCAGGAGCCCCAGCCAAAGAGGACGGCGCAGCGGTCCATGACTTTTCGACCGAGCAGGTAGGGGATGGATGGGGTGACGCCCTCGAGGGCGATGGCGAGGTGGGCGCCGACGATGAGGGCCGACAGGCTGAGGGCGACGGTGCAAAGGAGGATGGCCATCATGGCCATGAAGGACTGGCCGCCGGTCCGCGCTTCGGGGGTGGCCCCGCCGGCGCGGGGGAGGTCGTTGACCATGGCGAGGAAGATGTCGCGTATCCAAGACGAGAAGGACGTGAAGGAACCGCAAAAGCCCGTGGAGAGGCCAATGTAGAGCGGGATCGTCTTCTTGGTCGCGAGATGCGCCTTCTTCGCGGCCGCGAGGTTGTCAGACACGTTGCTGTCTTTTCGCCCTTCCCGCCGCGCTTTGATAATCTCATTATGGTACTTGGCCGTGCCCCATTCCTGCTTGAACAACTTGCGGTCTTCTATCAGGAAGCCCATGATCAGACTGCCACCGACATTAGCCCAGAGCACGCCAAAAGAGACTGGCGCGTCGGGATACAGTGTCAGAGCCTGGAGTCCAAGACGGGCAATCGTTCCGAATATAGCAAAGAATACGAGGTAGGAAAGCGTGTACACCTCCGTCGCCAGTCTGGAGACGCGCGCAGACGTTTTGGACGTGGCTGTATCGGGCTCGTCTTGCTCGTCGGGGGTTGTGTCTTGCATCTCCAGATCAGAGGTTGGTCGGTAGTCCTCTCCTCGAGGCGATCGCATCTCCTCCAGACTCTCGCCCCTCCCCTCGCGACTCCTCCTAGGGGATTTGTGAGCAACGGGGTCCGCAATCAGCTCGTCGAGATTGTTATAGTCTTCCGGCGCGTCGTATTCGACCGATTGTCTCTCCTCCAAGCTCTTGCCTTCTCTCGCCCGACTCTTGCTGGGGCTATGCGCAACGGGATCCACGGCCATCTTGTCTGGTTTGCCATGTTCTTCCGGCGCGTCGTGTCCGCCCGATTGCTCACGCTGTGCATCATCTTGCCATGCGTGACCCTGGCTTCCGGCGTTGCTCGTCAGTGCAATATCCTGATCATCCTCGGTAGCGCCGCTGGCGTGCCTCATTTCATTTCCGCCATGCATCGCAAGTTGCCTCTTTGTATTTCGCTGTCGGCGCGCTTCGATTCATGACCGAAGATTGTAGTCGTGATTGGTAGGTGTTTAAATCGTGCTGTCTTTGACAAGGAAATCATCCCAGGTTTGTGGGAATCCCGGGTAGTCGGCAATGTCGTCAATAAAATAAAGGTCGACAGTAGTCCCGTCACTAGTAATTGATTCCAAAATCGTCTGTTGTGGTGGGAACGTCATTCCCGGACAACCTTGTCAGGTTGTCAGGTCGGCGGCAGAGGCGGATAACTCGGTACTCCCGGATTTTCTCACCTGTAATCTCTCACCGAGCAACCGAGCTCCTTGGTGGGGTCTCTCACCGAGGAAAGGCGGAGTACACCGAAGAGGAGTGACATTCCACATCGATTGTCAGTGCGACGAGGGGAGGGGCATATTAGTACTGAGCTAAACAACTTCAGGCAGGACGGTAGGTTGATGCAACAAGTCAAGACGAATACGTTACTAATGAGTTTTCATTCCCAACCCTCAATCTCGCTCTTCACCCATGCATTGCTAGCTATCTGCACCAAAACGAAAGCCCCAGCTGGGCATGCACAGCGGCGACCTCCGACGCCTTGCCGGACGCCGGAGTTGACCTGGTGCCTCCTCAATTGCTCCAAAACAGGCGGGCGTTGGGCGTCGGACCTTACGTGCTTATCTTATCAAAGCTCCTCCGCATGCAAGACGCCCCACTCAAGGTACCGGCGCTGATCAGGAGGACAAGGAAACAGACATTGAGACCCCTCCTCTCACTCCTAAGGTAGGCAAGGTAATGTACCGACTGGCTTGTCCTGCCTCCCCACCAACCTCTCATAGATATCGAACTCCCTTCCGTTTCTCCTTAAAGTTTGCCGTTCCTCCCTTCTTGATTCTTGTCTGGTCACCGTTCAATGCTTCAGCGTATTCGTTTTTAATTTCAATCACAGTCTACGTATAACCATGTCTCCCTCAACACCCGAGCTCCCTGCCAATGTGCACGTCTCCCAGCACCCCTGTCTCCGGGCGAAGCTGTCTCAATTGCGGTCCCAGTCGACACCGGCGAAGGAAGTCAAGGCACTGGTGAATGATATCGCGTTGATGGTGGCATACGAGGCCCTCGCTATCTCCACGAAAGCGACAGATGGCTCCAAGGTAAGTTCCTTTCCAAACAAATGTACCTATGCCAATGGGACATTGGACTGACCTGCCGGCCAGGATTCTACCCCGCTAGGATTCGAGTTCACATCGACCGAAATCTCCCCCTCCAGCCTCTGCCTCGTCCCCATTCTACGATCAGGTCTCGGCATGGTAGAAGGTAGCAATCAGCATCGGTTTTCTGCAAAGATGTTTTCCAAACTAACACGCTCCACCATAGCCGTCCAAACAATCCTCCCTACCCCGGTAGCAGTCCACCACCTCGGCCTCTACCGCGAACCCTCGACCCTCGAGCCCGTAGAATACTACAACAACCTCCCCAACCACATAACCCCCGACGGCTCCAACTCGGGCGCCAGCGAGCTCGCCATCGTCCTCGACCCGGTCATCGCCACGGGCGGCACCTGCGCCGCCGCGATCCAGACCCTGCGCGAATGGGGCGTGAAGCGCATCATCGTCCTCTCCGTCATCGGCGCCGTCGAGGGCGTGAAGCGCGCCGCCGGGGAATGGGCCGATGCGACGGATATCTTCATCGCCGGCGTGGACGCCGAGTTGACGGCGAATGGAATGTTGAAGCCTGGTGTCGGTGATGTTGGTGATAGGTTGTTCCTCACTATTGGCAAATAAGGGCCTTGGATCGAGGAGGCGACACGCGGCGGTGGGTTCAGCGTGCTGTTTAAGCCCTTGGTTTCTCAATCACCTCATAGACGGGTCTTGGTACTCATAGAAAAAGGTTTGGATGCTGGAGTCGAAACTAGTGTCATTTATCCTGGGTATAATAAGCATTTCAACTACCGAGACCGGATCCAACCCGTTGCTCCCTCACACTGTCGTGTACCTCTCCTCATCCAGCAGCGTGTTCTCTCGCCAGCATTCCTCGACCCAGTCCGCAGTTACTATGTGAGGAATCTTCCGTCTATGGCTGATTTCCTCTCGCAATGCAGCAGCAGCTTCATTCAGCAAGTCACTATCCCCTACAACGACTATGTGTGTAGCCTGCGCGTCGTCTGCATCGCTTGTCAAGCGGGCACCGCCAAAGGTGAGGTAATTCCTGAGCTTCAGCAAATTGATATCGTCCTCCTCTTCTTCTAGTGCAACGCTCAACAGGTGCACCACGCAGCGATGGAACATTGATCCTTTGATCGGGCCCACCCCGCGACCACGCTCCTCGAGCTGATTCAGAAATTGAGCCTTGTCAAAAGGCTCGGTATCAGGTTCTCTCTTGGGCATCGTCTTGAGAATGTTGCGCAGCTCGCCCAAGTTGATATCGCGCGCGTAGCTATCCCCGTACATATCCGTGTTTTGCAAAGCAACAGTCTTGAGAGCTTCCGTCGCGTGTAACAAGTGTCGCTCCTCGTAGGGGAGCAGCAGAGAGTCGTCAGCCTGTTCGAGACAATCTTGTATCCACAGTGGCCTGATGATGTTGACACCACCGCCCTTTTGCCCTTCCTTGACCAGACTCGCAACCTTGACGACGTTCTTGTCTGCCACAAGAATCATTCCGGATTGTGGGCTAGCCCGCTGCGAAACCTGGCCGCCGTTCTCCTTAATCAGGGTCTCGAGTTGTGCCTTGGTCTTCTTGAACGGCTTGAGTGACTCTGACAGGACGCAGAACTCGAGGCCCTTAAATGTCTTGGACTTGTCTGATTGGAACTGCGCCGGCATGTTTTCCGTTCCGGCGATCACGACTTCGCGTTTGATGCGCTTCACCGACTTCCGCTTGCGGTTTTCGACACTCATGGTTTTCTCCTTGGCCTCCGCCTCCACTCGCCTCCGGAGGTCCAGAAACTCTTGCACGCTGAGGCCCTCGTCCCAGTTCTTTTCGGGTCTCAGCTTGCGGAAACGGGGGAATCGCAGGGTGAAGCCCAGTGCGAACTGCTCCGAGTTGCCGATGCTTGCGGCCTTGGCCTCCACGACGACGGACTCGCTGGGTCGAATCCAGACATCCGGCTTCTCAAACTGTCGGTCGCCGCCCGCAAGCTCAATGTATTCCACCGGAGGCTTCTTCGAGTCCCACGTATTCCACTTGCCGTCCGTTCGATGCCGAATCTCCGCATAGTCTCCCGCGGAGAAGCCGCCTCCGACTTTGAAGAAGCTGAAGCACTTCTCGGGGTTTGCGCCAGCTTTTATGTGGTTCTCGCTGACGCGCAGACCGCACATAAAGCTGGAGATGGCGCCACCTCTCCGCCCGGAGCCGTAGTAGCCGCCGATAACGACACAATCTAGGGACTCTCCGAACTCGGACATGTACTCCGGCTTCACCTTGAGCCAGTCGTCGTTGCGACTGTTGAGTCTGTACATCGACCTCGGGTTCTTGAGGACCAAGCCCTCCGACGCCTCGGCGACGACCTTGCGGAGGAGTGGCTCGATGGCATCCGGCGTTGTAGCAGACTCGTATTCGTGGATCTCTAGCCTTCTGTGAACGCCTTTCACAGCCTTCCCGAGAGCACGTCGACGATCTCGTAGGGTGTACTGCGTCAGAGGCTGGTCATTGAGCAATAGGATGTCGAAGACACGATAGAGCGGTCGGGGCCCTGAGTTGCTGTAAGGATTATTCTGCTCGGCCAAAGCGGCTGTTTTGAGGGTTCCGAAAGGCATGATCTTGTCGACTTCCGGGTCCCAAGTAATCATCTCACCGTCCAGGATGACATTTCGGACACCCTCGGAGAAGGCATCTGCCAAGTGGCGAGTCAAAGCTCCTTTTTCGTCTTTCAATCCGTTGCCGTAGAGGTAGGTGTAATCTTTAGCCTTACGGGACCAGAAGCAAAAACGCCAACCTCCTGGGACGCTCGCGTCTTCGGCCATGTGCATCTGCATGCGCTCGCCATCCAATTTCTCCTCAATCCAGAACTCGGGGTCTTCCTCTGTAGTTCGTAGATAATCGACCATCTTTTGGAAGGAGGACGGCATCTGGAATTGTGCCAGCTGGGGCTGAAAACATTCCATAAGAGTGACCCCGGTATCATCCTGCTCCAGACGAATTTTGGGGTCAAACAGCTCCCAGCAGACACGTCGTAGACTCGACGATACGCTGAACAGAGCCTCGCCGTCTGGGTGCCACAAGTCGAGAAAGGTTCGCTCGGTCGCGCCCACCTTCATCTGCTTGAGCACGATGCGGATCAACCACATAAGTTCCTCCGCGTTCATGCGCTCGTAGAAAATCTCAAAGACCTCCAAGCTCTCTAGCTCTCCTGACGACGCAGCGAGTTTGTCCAGCAACTCATTGACCTCCGCAATCGTCATGTCGCCAACCTCCGTCCTCATCGGTCGCTTGGAGAGGACCTCGAAACATCGACCCGCAAAGTCGCCAGCTAATCTCGAGAAAGTGGTTTGACCCGGCAACTTCCAGTGGAGGAGGTTGTGGCCGTCTTCCGAATTCTTGTCAATCTTCATGAGCTTGACGAGAAGCTTGCCTATAGCGTTCTCCTTCAGGCCATAGACACCGCGATCTCGGTCTTTGTCGGGGAGAATGAGCCGCAAAGCCGGGTAGATGTCGTTTCCCACCTCATTTCTCCATCGCGAAATGAAGCGCTCGATGATGTGCCTTCTCTGTTCCTGTGGTGACAGCTTGTGTGGTCCGTGGGGGCCCTTCTTGGTACGGGGGGGACCGCGACCGGCTGGCTGTTTCTTGTTCTCATTCAAAGGGTTGAAAAGACTTTTAAAAAGCTCTGAGAAGCGCATTGTCTGCGAATGATTGCGTGGGCGATTCGGGTACCTGCGGGGGTGTGAGCTCTGCGACTATGAGAGGGTGGTACGATTACTCACTTCTCATTCAATTCTTCTAACGTCGTTCCTCCAATGGCATATTGCCTCTCCTCCTCTTGAATCGCCGTTGCGTCTGGCGACTTTTGCCGCTTGCGTTGGCTCATGGTGGTCAAATCACTGCGCCAATTGCTGGAGGGTTGAGACCTGTGTGCGGTGTTGGGGTATGTTTGGTGGAAGAGTCCTAGACTCCGAGGTGCCTATTTCATCCGCGGATAATGGATGTGCTCGACCGAGCGGACACGGGAGGATATGCAAACATGGAAATGGTGAAGGTCGCGTTGGGTGCCTTGAGGACTTATACCCTTCTGCTGCGGCTTACCAGAGGCCGTTTAGTTCAACGGTGGATTGGTTGCCTTGGAAATGCTGCCTGGACTTCAATACACTAAAGCGGATGTGTGGGACTCTCCACCAGCACCAGCACATGAAAGACCCGCATAATTGCATCAGAGAGGGTAATTCAGTAAAGCAAGAAGAAACCTTTCAATTTTACAGACACCGTTCACATCGATTTCAGGGACACATGTGCGTCTAACATCAGGATTTTCTAGGGCATCACCTATTATTTTGCTACTTCATGATGTAAGTCAATCAAATCATTTCTCATTCCAAGATCATGCCAAACGCATCGTCGACACAGCCAACAGCAACGTCATGCGTTGAGAATGGATTCGGGAAATCCTAGTTTTAGGGACGGCTGTTGACGGAAGACGTCTCACTGACGGCCTTTTCAGCATCCCAGCGCTGCTGCATAGGCTCAGTAACGGCGTCCTTCTTGGCAGCCTTCTTACGCCAGAAGAAGAACCCAGCGAGAGCAAGCAGGGCGACACCAGCAACGGAGCCAACGGCGGCGCCGGCGATGGCGCCCTTGGAGAGACCGGAGCTCTTGGAGTCGGCTGCGGTGAAGTCGGCGGCCGTGTGGGGTGTGTTGCCGCCCGAGTCGGTGGTGGTGACGTTGACGGTGGTGTCAACGTCGACGTCCGGGTCACTGACGGTGGCATTGAAGCAGGGGATGGAGGCAGCAAAGACCTCGACGAAGGTGACGTCGGCGCAGGCGTAGTAGGTCTCGCGCTTGGACTCGTCCGACTCAAAGTTGGAGACGTAGAGCATGCGGTAGGTGGCGTTGGAGCCGGCGGCGGTCCCCTCGGGCGCGCTGGGGACCGTCACGCAGGTGTGGCCGAGGTCGAGGCTGCCGACCTCGCTGGGGCCGAGGAAGGTCTCAAAGTCGGAGACGGACTTGGGGTCTGTCGATGAATGTCAGTCATGCGTTTATTGGAGGAGAAGGTCATTTGTGACGCTTGACTTACCGTTCTCGTAAGAGACACTCAGGTGGACGGAGCGGGTGACGTCCTGGGTGACGAGGGCGAGCTTGCCGTTCACTGTATGGCTCGGTGTTAGAGGAATCCAAGTCTCGGTTGATGCTCAACTTACCGAGAGGGAACTCGGTGCGGACACCGGGGCCGTTGGTGGATCCACAAGGGGCCGTGTTGTCGGCGTCGGCGGACCACTCACGGTCTGGAGGCCTGATAAATTCCGGTAAGCAGCCGATTCACAATAAGCATGCGAGACCAGTCAGGGATCTTTACCAGAGGAAGGCGGCAGGGCCCATGTTGTCGGCGCCCATGACGTTGCCCAGCAGCATACTGCCGAACAACGTGACTGACTTGGCAGAGACCATCTTGAGGGATGAAATCTGTTGGACGAATCTGAACTTGACAAATGTCTGAGAAGGGGGAGATCTGGTCTCAGGGAGCAAGATTCGAGGCTTGAAGGATCACAAGATATAAGAGACTTGCGATGAGGGAAGTGACTTGAGAGAAGAAGAAAAGAGTCAGAGCAAGAGGAGCGGGACATACGACCCTCAATATATGCCCTCTGCGGGTTCTTGTCTCTCGCTCTTTGTGGCTTTTCTGCAACATGGACGCCGAGCCCCATCCAAACGCTTTCCATGCCGAGAAAAAAAACCATCAGAACGTAGGGTAGCGTCCACCGACGGGCGGGCTCATCCGCCAAGTACGCGCTGAGCCGACGACACCGGTGCCAACACCTGTAGCATTCGATCACGACGGTGTGCCCCGGTCCCTGGGGCTTTGGTGTACCTGACTGCAACGCCCCCACCGTCGTGTGGTTCCCCACCCGAAAGAGTTATCTGATGGGATCGCTCCAGGCCGAAGGATCCGCAACGTTGTTTGGACTGTATTGCTCTCTGGGCCTCGTTGGAACTTTGAAAGACTCAAAAGTTCGCCAGGGACAGGGGCAGGGAGGGAGGAAGAGGCTCCACTAAGAACGGACATGGCTTCATATCTGATCATCTGATAAGATGGGCGCCAGTCTCTTAATTGGCCGGATGCATCGTTGCTGCATCACTAGTGTCCTCTCGGCGCCGTAGCCGACCTCCACTTCCAGGACGACCAACGGCAACGGGCACTGAGGCCCACCGTCCCTTTTCGCTGCGTAATTCGGTTTTTTGTTCTCCATACCCTCGTATTTGCCCCGGCTTTTGATGAGGGACATTTTCTGTTTTAAGTATGACTGATGGTGTTGGAAAAAGGCAATGGTCATCCGCTCGAGGTGGCAGCATGTCCAGGGTCGTTGGTCTTGGCGATCATCCTGTTCAAGCAACCGATTGACAAATAAACTAATCAGAGTTGGGTTCTAGAGCTGACCTCGGCCTCCGAAAGCTCCATCGCCGCAATGTCGGCGATAGCCCGGCAGCATAAGGCCGTGCTTTTTCCATTACAGCCCTCAGCGAGATCGGAATTTGGGCAGATTTCTTTTTTGCATAGCTAGTCTCTTAGTCAAAGACTCCGAAAGGAGCACGGGCTGGTTCGCGTTCAGTTCTGGCTTTCCGGGATCCCCTAGTTTTCTGATGGACAGGGTGTAGGAGTTGAGCGGTTACTTTGACTTAATGGCGCGCGGTGGATCTGCCCGGTTGGTTGTACTTCTCTTTGCATGTGAGCCAACGGGATAGCATGATGATTATTGGTATTTGAACTTTCAAAGTGATTGCCTTCATAGGGCCGCAATTTTCAGTTGCTTGGATGTTGGTGGTCGCTCTCTGGCATTTATGCGAAACGAAACATCGTACAGCTTCGGACTTGCCTGGCCAGAGCTTACTCACATCGATCCTTCTTGGAGTTTTCATAGACTTGGGTAGTATCAGCATCGGGGCAAGACCAACATTATCCGACACCGGCCGGCGGGATATCCGTCATCATGTGCTCGCCACAGCTCCGCTCCAGCATATCAGTAGTCGCGCTCTAGCCCTTTTCGCACTCTCAAGTCTGACCAAAAGCACGCCTTGGTACTCCCAATACCTCCCCGCCTAGATTCCTCTTCATGGAAGTCCAGCTGGCAACTGCATTGTTATCCACAACCAAACATCTCCATAGGAGCCTTGGCTCGGTGCCGAGTAGTCGATTGGCGCCTAGACGGTGGGATGACCCTCGCCAGTTCTGGTGCCGTCTATTTGCGGATACTCGGCCCTATGCCCTGATTCGGTGCCCAGGCCCTCTATCGCGGCCTTGCCAGGCGCTTGGCAGGCCGTGAATGCTCGGATTCTTTCGTCTGGATAAGCTTGTAATCAAACCTGGTTGGCGGGATGACGGCGCGGACTTTGATTTCTTTTCTGTCGCGTAAGTTTGTAGTCTTTCACGCGGATTTTAGGACAGCGGAATGACTAATGTTTGCGGTAGTAGAGATATATGGTATTGAAAGGAATGTAGAACTCAACTACTATTGCCGTCAAGCCAGGAAGGCTTCGACATTTCTCGCAAACCATATGGTAACAACGAAGTACTTACCAGAAACATTATTTTGGCATTTCAGATTGTTTCAAGATGAGCAAAGGCAAAAAGCAAGATGAGTCCATCCTGAGACCACCTCACAAGACCAACGAGAAATGCAGCCGGCACCTAGGTTCCCAGTCAGGGCCACGCTTTGTCGGAATCTGCTCTTGATTTACATGTGTCATGCCGAGAAGACTAACCTGAAAGTTCCAGACAGCCAAGGGGACTTTGGGAGAACCTTTGCGCGATATTTCACTGGTACAGAGCCTTGGCCGAGGACACACCATAATTCGAGTGGAGATCAAATGGGTTGACAGTAGCCAAACGTCTTGCTACTTTATAAGGATCCTTGTTGGTGTCATGCGCGCGAGAGCCATGGCAAAATCAACGGCTCAGGCAAAAATTTCTCAGTCATTTGGGTGTTGGACTGCAGGGTTTGAAGAGATAATGCTTGCATTTTTGATGGTTTGGTTGACCAGAGTACGCAAAGAAATGCTATAAAAGCAACATCGGCCGAGAAGGGCACTGCCGTCTTGTTTTATAGCTACTAGGAATCATAGTCAGTTTCGAAACGTGTTTCTGGTCAACATTCGGCATTTTAATGTTTCTCCCATAACTGGGGGTTTAACACTGGCCAGATGACAGTGGAAGCCTTGGCTGTTGGCGTCTCTACTTTCCTCACGATGTCTTTGGCCTTCTCATCTTGCCGTAATTTAGCTGTCTGATTCCTTGAGTTCTTCCTCTTTTGTTTTATCATCTCAAAGATTGTTTCTTATTCCTCAGAAGATCGGAGTATTGATTCTATCCAAAAACCTTGAACAAACATCTCAGACGACTTGCAAGCATCTCCCATCCTCATAGTCACCGCCACGTCGCGAGATGTGTCAAGCTGAGTGCCTTTCTTACAACAAGAAAACCGTTAAGACTTGATCGCTAAGGGGAGGTAGGTGCTGGGTTAAACCTTCAGATTTCCGAGCCTTTGTGTCTCTGATCTCCTTGGTGGACCTCTTTTTATCGGGAGCGAGAGGCCTGCAACTAATACAGGAAGTTATACTACTGCTGTGCTGCAATATTAAACCTGGCAAGAGAAGTGGAAAACCAGCCTTATCACTGCCAGGTTCAGTAAATTCAAGGGGTTCCTTGTCGGTTTCTCTGCCGCGTATCCAAAGTTATGTGCCATTGCGTGGTCTAGTAGATCGTCCTGAGAACTACAAACAGCCATCTTCGACTCGGCCGGTGATGTTTCATGACGCAGGAATGTAGGCGAACTGGCCCGAAGTGAGGCTCAAATATGCCGGCACGTATCAGCTAAGCATCCGTCCAGGGACTGGCGCCTCACAACTCCAGTCTCTCTGATGGATCCGGAGCTTTTTCGACCTTGCAATCACCAAACTTAGGTAATATCCCCAACGGATCAGAGGCTCTCTCGGAGGACCTTGCGCCTTGCAAATATCGTCTATCCAGCTCCTCCCCGAGCTCTTTATGAGTGATTTTGAGATCAAGCCAGTGCTGATTGGTAACGTTCTTGTCAAATTTCCAAATATTGCAGCCATTGCACTTGTCTTCTCCTAATAGAGTGATGGTGTTGTATCCGTACTCGTTACCGAACTTGAAGTACTCGCCGAGGCCACCCACAGCATAGAGCATTGCAGCCGGGTCGAAAGACCACCGCGGCTGGTAGTACGTGTACAGTATATACGCCGCCCGTACAGGGTCAGTCTTGGGTCCGTCGGCCATGAGAGGGCCGCCAGAGAGAGCCGGGCCCCCAAGCTTGAAGCCGGCGTACACAATGGGGGTTTTCCAGTGGTGGATCACGTGCGCCGTCTCGTAAGGGTCGTCGCCCCAAAAGTTGAACTCGAATCCGTTTGGGTAGTCCCCGCCCATAACGACGAGCTCCTTCACCTTGGCATTCACCAACTCTGGGCCAGACAAGGGGGAGCGGGAATCCGCGCTGGAGTTTAGGAGGCCGGAGAGGTTGTGCAGGAATCCTATGGAGGCTATGGTGACGGAGTCATCTTCGGCCTCGGAGAGAAGCTTGCGGTACAGATCAACGGGGTCCCAGGCCTCCTCGGCGTCGGAGATGCTTTTGGACCAGTAATTTGCCAGTTTGCTCGCAAACTCGCCGGCTCGCTTGGCCCTGTTGTCGAAGAATGGCACATCGTTCAGCGGGCGGCGGCCACCGACGGGGACTTGAGCGTGGCCGTATTGGTTGAGGATGGCTGATGCCGCCAGGACTGAATATGAGGATTGTGAGTTGATGTTGACTCCCAGAAGATTGACTTCCGGAGATGTGGCGGCAAGAAGAAGAGCTGCGGCATCGCTAGAAGCCTGTTAGTCCAGATTCGAAATCAATGGGAAAGGGTCCAGGAGGAGAGAAGCTTTACTCGCAGTCGCTGAATAGGTCGGTATCAACAATAAGGTTCTTGCGGGCCGACGAGATAGTGGTGAAGATGGTGAACACCGTCAACAGGCACGCAATGATTGTCGACATGACAAACCCTTCGTTAGGCAGGTGCCTTGATGTCGATTGTATCTGACGGGGTACTGGTCAATGCCTTGGCACAAGCAGGACGATGCTTCACGATCGTCCCATGCAATGTTTCTATTCCCGGGTCCAGCTGCTAGAATAGGGGAGGAGAGCGCGGGGAAGAACCTGGGTCCGGCCAGCTGATGCCCACTGGTAAGTCTGCTGACCGGCACCTTGCTCCAGGTACCTTATCTTATCAGCCGCAGATGTTTCGAGCAGTGACCGCTCCCGAGGTGGGCTTTGCCGGTTTTAGCGTCTCCGGCCGCCGTCAGAGATGGCCTTCCCCGCTAACGGCCGCTGTGGGCCCGAGGAAACTGAAGTTGCAGATTGGCCTCGTGTTTCGGGCACCCATCGAGTTCTCCCGAAACATTTGATTCTCTCTTGAAAGCCAAACTTTAAATCTGTTGTCTTCTTAGGCGCCCACTGATCTCCACCGTTAAGACAGGAATTAGATCTCCGAGTTGCCTGCCTGACGGTACAGAGCTCCATACACGACGTCTCGACTTTCCAAGCTGCTTCTCTTCCTGCATTTACCAGCCCTGGACGGCAACTCCTCGACGAGCACATGCAGCATGCGCAGCTCTCCTCCATTTGAGCAATGTCGATGACGCACGAGGCATACCCCTCCTCAAGTTCGGCCCAGGGATGCAACCAACAACCACCTCGAACCGGATGAGACAATGCGCTTCTTGCCCGGGCTACGAGCAGATCCCCCACACTTTTAACCCACCAGGATGACTCTACCCATTTCCCTCCACCCCGCAGCCAGCAGAATGCAAATCGGCATGTCTCCCAGCCGCCGCAGAAGGCAGTCCTAGCAGTTGTGGGTCAAGTGGTAGTTTGAATCTGTAAAATGATTGGATTATTGCTTGACTCAAAAGATCTATGGATAATCTGGGTTGTATCTAATTACGGAATGACCGTTGACGGGGTGCCCGATGTGGCCCTCCCACCACCCATCCGAGCTTCGCCTCTCGCAGCCGCATGGTCAGCGAAACCAATCATGGCCGCAAGAACCTTTCACCGCACGGATTGCGCCATTCTGGCTGGGTACGACGTGGGGACCAGGGCCGTCTGAATATATCCGGCGGCTACATCCAAACCTGCAAAGTGTGGCGACCGCGTGCTGTACATAGGGCGCTGATCTCCCGTGAGCCTCTTCGATCCTGAGCCCTGAAATCTTTGTGGTGGTTCCTTGCTCTCTTGTAAGACGCCAAGGTTGCTCTAGTCAGGTCGTCAATTTCGCGTCGCGTCGCGTTGCAATTCCCTCTTTTCTCGGATACCTTACACAGACAGTCGAGCCGAGATGGGCACCGACACAGATACAGATCCCGCGAGGAAGCTCGACGCAGCGCAAAAGGTCGACTCGCGCGCTACGGCGGCTCACGATGGGAGCATTGACGTCCACGGCATCGATGATGCTGCAATCATTCCCAAGGGTGCCCTGGATCCCGTCTACGAGGCCAAGGCCCGTGTCCTGAATCGCGCTGTATGTCGCTCTCTGGGACCAGGTTGAAGACTAAATGATACCGTCGCTGACTTCAGTCTTCAGATCCAGGATATCGGCATGGGATGGTACCAATGGCAGCTCTTCATCGTCGTCGGATTCGGTTGGGCAAGTGACAACCTCTGGCCGATTGTAACGTCTCTCATCTTCACTCCAATCACCAACGAATTCGGCCCGTCACGCCCGCCCTTACTTACGCTGTCTCAAAATATCGGCCTCCTGGCTGGCGCCATGTTTTGGGGCTTCGGCTGCGACCTGTTTGGTAGAAAACTGGCATTCAATCTGACCCTCGGTCTTACTGCCTTCTGGGGTATGATTGCTGCCGGCGCGCCCAATTTCGCAGGTATCGGCATCTTCGCTGCATTCTGGTCGTTTGGTGTCGGAGGCAATCTCCCTGTCGATTCGGCCATCTTCATCGAGTTTCTTCCTGGAACCCATCAGTACCTGTTGACTGTCCTTTCTATCGACTGGGCCATCGCCCAGGTCATTGCAACACTCATCGCATGGCCCCTCCTCGGTAATCTTACCTGCCAAGAAGGCGCGACTTGTACCAAAGCCAACAACATGGGTTGGCGATACTTCTTAATCACCATCGGCGGCCTGACTCTGCTTATGTTCCTGGTTCGATTCGTCCTCTTTACCATCTACGAGTCGCCCAAGTATCTCATGGGCAAAGGCCGCGACGAAGATGCAGTCCGAATCGTTCACGAAGTCGCGAGACGAAACGGGAAGCTCACGTCCTTGTCGGTCGAGGATCTCAAGGCATGCGAGCCGGAAGGATACGTTGCGCGCACTGACGCTGCCACAGCGGTCAAACGAAATCTGGAGAAGCTTGATACAAGCCGCATACGCGTGCTCTTCTCGACTCGCCGTCTAGCTCTGAGCACTGGCACAATCATGGCCATCTGGGCGCTGATCGGCCTCGGGTACCCTCTCTACAACGCCTTCATCCCGTATATCCAGGCCACGCGAGGAGCAGAACTAGGCGATGGCAGTACCTACCTGACCTATCGCAACAGTCTGATCATCGCAGTGCTGGGCGTGCCCGGAGCGCTACTCGGTGGCTGGTTGGTTGAGTTGCCAGCGCTGGGGCGCAAAGGCACCCTCGCCATCAGCACTGTCCTCACCGGTGTATTCCTCTACTGTTCTACCACGGCTATGAATAGCAATGCGCTGCTGGGCTGGAACTGCGCGTTCAACTTTTGCAGCAACATCATGTACGCGGTGCTTTACGGCTTCACCCCAGAGCTCTTCCCCACTCCACAGCGCGGCACCGGCAACGCGCTCACGGCAACCTGCAACCGCATTTTCGGGATAATGGCTGTAAGTGATGTTGGTGTGACGACCGGAAGATATTTGCTGATAGAAATGTGACAGCCAATTGTCGCCATGTTCGCTAACCTGAAGACGTCGGCTCCTGTTTACACCAGCGGTGCGCTCTTCATCGCAGCCGGACTTTTGGTGCTTATATTACCGTTTGAGTCACGAGGCAAGGCTGCATTGTAATCGATCGTGGACGTCTAGATAATTTGTTAGTGTCTTGTGTCAGGCACATTAGAAACAATGCCGGGCTCCATCCTTCCTGTCGGGAAAGGGTTACAATATGTGCCGGCTTCTGCTCGTATGTACTGATCATCGCCGTGGCGGGTTTCTTTTATGATGTGTCCGACGGTTCATGTTTGCATGAGGCCGTTCCGGAGTTCGGCCATTGCCCGCGGAGCCGGACAACTGCATATCTAATGATCCCCAGTTTGCACAGCCGTCCTCTTGGCAAGTGTGATTAGGGAGCCTCCAACCCGAACATCGGCAATCCAGTATGAAACCGTGGACCCATCACCATTTGTCGGAGAGATTCTATACGTCAATGGCAGATGGCATATCTCGCTACGGGGCCAAAAGTCTTGGCGGCATGGCCACCGTTATCTGCACCCACGGGGACTTCCCCTCTTTCCCCTCATAATTCCTACTGAGCTGCCTCATCCAGTTTCGTTGCCAATGTTGACACCATATCGAATGAGACCTCGACGAGAGCCTTGATGGCTTCCACTGCCGGTCGGTACCGGCAGTTTCTCCGGCCTTGTTGGAATTACCAATTGAAGGCTCCGGAATGAGATCAGCCAAGCCAATGGTCATGTCAGGAACGGTCTTCCGCCACGCGTTGACGAGCTATTTTCTGCGGCGCGGTGCTACGCTACCCGTTGCGACCTTTGGAAGATGAGAGGGTTGAAAAGGGGTTCGAAGCCGCCCTTCTCTGAAATCACCCTGTGAGATTCCAGCGCGCTGCTTTGGTCTCACACAAGCCTCACGTTGTCCTACACGATGGTCGCTACATCTCGCCTGAGCCTGCTGGGCCTGTCTTTACTCTCTTTAGCTCAGGCGGCTCAGTATGGGTACAACCACGTAACAGTACGCAAGGACACGGACATTGTCGCCGTCAACTTCAAGGACGTTGAGGGCGTCGACTTGCTGTCGCCCGCATTTCTGACCCCGGACACGATTCCCGAAGGCTTCTCTAAGGGCACAAAGGGTCCGACGGGTGACGATATACTTGGTGAGCTTCAAAGAGTCGCTTTGGATCATAATTGCTCACTATTTCAAAGACTCTTTTGTTCAAGACTTGGCCGAGAAAAACGACTGGCTGACCTACAACAAAGCCAACTTCACTTCGGAGGAAGGCCGGCCTTTTCCTTACCTACATCTGTCTTCTACAAAGTTGTCTCGCAGGGTTTCAAACTCGACTGGCAAGGTCCGCGTCTGGGTTCAAGGTGCCGTTCACGGCAATGAGCCAGCCGGCGATCAGTCGCTCCTGGCCCTACTGGGAGCCCTGGATGCAAACCAGACATGGGCCGCGTCGCTTCTCGAGAAGCTCGACATCATCATCTTGCCTCGATACAACCCCGACGGCGTCGCCTACTTCCAGCGCACCTTGGCCAGCAACTATGATCCCAACCGCGACCACGTGAAGCTCGCCCGGAAGCAAACCCGCGACATCAAATCCCTCTTTGGCGAGTTCAGCCCCCACGTCGCCATCGACATGCACGAGTACAGCGCCACCGCCCGCTACGGAAGCTACTACCACGCCCCCGACGGCCTCTTCTCCGCCGCCAAGAACCTCAACATCCACCCAGACATCCGCGCGCTGTCCGAGGAGGTCTTTGCCAAGAACATTGGCTCGGCCATGGAGGCCAGGGGCCTGCGCTGGGAACCCTACGTGACCGGGTCCACCAGCACCAACCCGGCGTTCAAGCCAACCTTCGCCGAGGCCGGCTCAGACGCCAAGATTGGCCGCAACGCCATGGGCCTCACGCAGTGCGTTACCTTCCTCATCGAGATGCGGGGCATCTACCTCGCGGACCAGGAGTTCCAGCGCCGCACCGTCGCCGGCCTGACGATGGCCTCGAGCATCCTGCAGACCGCCGCGGACAATGCCGAGAAGGTGTACACGACCATCGAGTCTTCCATTGCCGACTTTTCGTCATCCACTTCTGAGATCGTTGTCACAGACTCGTCGCCGCTCGTCCAGCGCACGTTTCAAATGGTCAACATCAACAACGGCTCCGTGACCGACGTGCCCATCAACTTCCGCTCAACCACCCCGGTAACGGCCAACATCACCCGCGCCCGCCCTGAAGCCTATCTCATCCCCGTCGCCTGGGCCGACCTGGCGGAGCGCCTGCGTGTGTCTGGTCTGGAGGTCAAGACCCTGAGGGAGCCGTATGTGGGTACTGTGGAGGCGTACAGCATCACATCCGCCGCGTTGGAGACAGAGTACTACGAAGGTGTCGTCCGCGCTGCGGTGACGACCCAGTCGCTTGCAAAGGAGGTGGACTTGCCTGCTGGTAGCTTCCTCGTCAGCACGAAGCAGAAGAACGCCGCTCTTGCGTTTGTGGCGCTCGAGCCGGAGAATATTGATTCGTATGCCAGTTTCAATATCGTGCCAGTTGAGCAGGGTGATGAGTACCCCATCTACAGAGTGTTGGCTTCATAGCGACGGCTTGAGACAACTAGATATTCTAATACAAATGTGTAAAAACTACCTTGATGAATGAAAAGACTTTCCGAATGAGCCCTATATTGCAAGTGCAGGTAAACATACATCACGCCTCAATCCTATGCCGCCACTCGATACTCCCAACATCCTCCCTCCCTGTCATGAAGCGCACCCCGCACCGTAACATCTCCGCGAGCACCTCCATCTCCCCTTCGTCTCTGGGCCCGTAGATCATGAGATACGAGTCGGCGAGGTGCATCCTGTTGGCGAGGAGGGACCCCTTGGGCAGCGAGAGGCGATGGCGCTCGGCCCAGCCCTTGGTGATTGCGACTTTGGCGTCGGCAGGGGAGAGGTAGAGGTGAATGGAGAGGTCGCCGTGGTGGTGGCCTACCTCGCCGCGGGCGATGGTTGTCGTGGAGGTGGCCGGGGCGGAGGCGAGGATTTGGGAGGAGACGAAGAGGGCTGGGTTGCTGCGTTCGTAGAGGGAGAGTTTTGTGGTTAGCAGGGTTGGGTTTTGGGAGGCTGCGTTTGAGAAGAGGTTTTTGATATACTGTACCCTGTGTCAGCTCTTACACACTCGATAAAGGGGGGGTTCCATGTTGAAGCTGGATTACCTCTCTCATCGCCTCGGGCGCATGCTGACTCAGCTGGCGATGCGGCACGATCCCGCCCAATTCGGCCCTTCCTCCTTTCCTCTCGGGTAGGTTCTTGATCTCATCATGGGAGCCTTCGTCGGGGTAATCTCCCGTCCATGTGGCTGAGGCCTTGGAGAGCGCAAAGGGGCGCAGGCCGAGGGTGACGAGGAGCCAGCCGGCGAGGTTGTGGGGGACGCCGCCGGGGCCGAGGGCGATGTAGGCGCGATAGTCGCGGTAGGCGGCCCAGGCGAGGAGGGATGTGGTGAAGGAGGTTAGAACGGTCGTGAGGAGGGGACGGCGGGCGAGGACGCGGGTGAGCAGGGGTTGCAGGGTTTGTGTGAGGGTTGTGGACGACATTAGGTTGTCTTGCGAATTTTTGTTCTCTTTGAATTATGTAGCTGAGAGGCGTGAGAGACGAGAACGATGTTGAAGTTGAGAATGATTCAGTGAAAGGGTGAAAGAAGGGGGGGGAAGATGGTGTCTGTGCTCGAGGCTGAGATCGGAGACGTCGGGACTTTGGGGAAGAGCGGGCGAGAGGTCCGGGGAAGTGGGGTTAGTCAGCCGGAGGGCTGTGCAAATACAACTGGCCGGATGCCGGGTATCTTACCCGCCATCTGCACAGCCAATCTCACACTACCGAGAGCAGCAGACATCAAAATTTGTCCAAGGATAGCGGTGACCTGTGCATTGAGTTTGGCAGATATGGCAAAACTGTCTTGGCCGGATCTTTGCCATGATTCAAAAGAGACGAAGAGCGATTTAGTTGAACTGTGTAGAGACAAAGAGACTACTGACGTTGCGACTAGGAAATACGGTAAGAGACCCCGACCTCAGAACCATGAGCCCACATAACTTGCCGCAGACTTGATCTTCTCCCACAGCCAGACGAAAGTATCCTTTACAGTTCCCCAGATACTTGAGAGCATGCTCGTGATCCATCCCCAAAGTCGTTCCCAAGGCACCAGATAGGTTGCCGCTGCTGCCGCTGCCGCTGTCCCAACGCCCACACCGGCCGCGCAAGCTGCCCCTGCGGCGCCGATACTGACATAGCCAACTGCAAGCTTGAGACCCAGTGGTCCAGTGATGAAGACCCCGCTGGAATTGAACCAAACGACACCACCTGCTGCACCGTACCCAGCTACCAATCCCACGACAGCGGCAAACAATGCCTTCAACTTCTTAAGTCCGCCTTCTCCAGCAGGGGGGCCAGTGTTAGGGGTTGGGGGCGACTCTGGTGCAGATGAACTCTGGGGGTTTTGGATGTGTGTAACTTCTCTCAGGGTATTGACGATTTCCTCCTTGACCTCAAGTGTAGGCGGAGTTATACACTTTTGGTCCCGAACCCAGGCTTGTGCGTCATAATTAGCAGGTTTCTCTCTATACGGGAAGTAGCAGCCGAAGAAGTGCACAAGCTCGTGAGTGGCGTGGGCAATGCGGTTACGGTAACCCCAGCTATCGCTGTTCTCGGAGCAATACGTCGATTTCTCGTCGATGCGAAGTTTGTAGGGAGTGTTTCGTTGAAATATGCCAGAGATTTTGATGAAGACACTCTTTACAACCGATGAAATCTGGTAGCAAATCGATTGGATGACGGAGCTGACGACGATGCGGAGGTGTTTACACTCCAATCCACGTTTCTTGTTGATCTCTTGCTCAATGACTTTCTGGAGTGCTCCCGCGTTGCAAATGAAGATGCGTCGAGCTGATCATTACCGTAACATTCCATTTAGTGATATGAACCATTTTTCAATATTGGAGCAGGGCTGGGGACATGAATGCATCTTACAAGTTCTGGCTTTGGACTCCATCAGTCTCATGATTTTAAGATGTCCCTCCTGCTTAGGATGGACAACTGCGATTACCAAGGTGTTTTCCATCTGAGCCTCAAATGCGCATTGTTTCCAGACTTCACTGGCTTCTGTCTCGTGGATATCTTTTCCTGAGAACGAGGTTGACGCAGGCTTCTTTGTCGATCCTCGAGTTCCTTGGCGCTGAGGAACAGTTGGCCTTCGTTGGGCTCTTGCAGGTGAAGGCATTGAGAATGATCTCGGGGGCGCCGACTTCTCCCACGATGCTGATGCTCTGGCCATGGCTTTGAGCAAGGAGAATGCTGCGGAATGGCGGCTTTTATGATGCTGAAGGATTGGGAATGAAGATTCTACTGTCGAGAAAGAGGGTAAGGAGACGGCTCGGCTAGGCCCTCTTTTATAGACGATTTTCCGACAACCTTGGGCACCGCCGCGGTCGTGGCGGTACTCTTTGCAACTTCGAGTCGGATGGCAATCCCGTGCTTCAAGATTCTAGACCCTCGACAGAGAATGAGAAGAAACACGCAAGTACAGCTTAGAGGCATCAGCAATGACCACGTTGGTCTCACAGAGGCGGGGATGAGATGCAACTATTTCAAGAGGGCTTAGGATCGATCTAATGATTACCACCCATTCCTGCCGGGTACATGGTGCGACTGCGCAGGCTACCGACTTGCATATGAGGGTTTAGGACTGAATCAATCATCAGTCAGACCCCGCGAGCATCTTGACCGACCACCTCCACACGTTGCCAAAAATGAGGCTGTTTCCACATGTTGCCTGACTGTTGGGCGCCATTACATGCAAAGGGATTTTCGCATCATCTCCACTTCGATTGCAATACTTCTTGAAGCCTGGACTTTGTTGAGATTTTTTTCCGTATTTGAATGCCATTTGTTTTAGGCTTGAGATGAGGTCTACATTCTCTTCTTCTGAATGCTCACTCGATAACCATGGATTGGACACCAAATAATTCTGTTCAAACGTTCCCTCTGTGCGACGAGCCTCAGGAGTTCCACGATGCGGCTACGGAGTACAATGACCAGTCATTTGAGAATCAGCTAAATCAATATCATCCCCGGAACATGTTTCCTCTGGACCTTGCTCTCACGGTTCCCTCACAGGACGATCCGGGCTTCCACGAATCGCTCCTGCAGCCTGGAGACTGCAATATGGGCGATTTCCCTGTCATCTTCGAACAGTCTATCAACCAGATGTGTCCCCCCAACATGGATTTTCAAAACACCATCGATCATTCGGGACTCTCCCATCTCAACGCCAACGGCTGGGATCCAGGAAGCAGCGATATTACTCCTCAACATCAGAATACCTGGTATTATTCTGGGGAACCATCAGAGATGATTCCTCAAGAGCGTCAAGTGGGTGATGTGTCATTCATGATCCAGACGAACGACTTCGATGTCAATGTCGAGCCACGAGACAGCGGTTGGCTCTCCGCCACCCCAAATCAATCTCTGATATGGGATACCACCGTGTCGTCTTCAGGAGCTCCGTCACTTTTCAGGGCCACACCTTATTCCAGACAGATGAGCTCCAACGAGATGGCAGTGATGTGCGATGACCAGTCCTCCGCGGGACCCAGCACAACACAGTCTGCAATTCAGCTGCCAACAACCCGAAAGGCGATACGCAGTGCAAAGAAGTCGACATATTCTGACGGGAAATGGGACGAACTGCGAAAAGACCATCTCAACCGTCTTTACATCCAGGAGAACCATACTCTGGACGAGGTGGTGTTTGAGCTGGCGGTGATACACAACATTGAGATTGGGTATATCTATCACGTGAAGCTGATACCCTTGGACGAAGAGTTTCTGACTAGACTTAGGAAATCGACCATCGAGAGAAGACTTAAGAAGTGGTCAGAATTTTCAAAAAACAATGCCCGTCAGCTGTCTCAACAAAACATCTCCACGCGCCGACGTCCAGCATCAGCCTTGACATTTGTCAAATCCAATTCGACTTCTTCTATTGGACAATATCCCTTTGCCTCTCTGAATCAGGCAAGACGACAAGCGGAAGTCGACCGAATACGGGACCTATCCCCCGCAACGTATCTCCATCAAGAAAAGATGTTCCACGCGCTGGATCAGCTCGTCAAAGGCCTCCTTGCCTCGGGCAAGAAAAGCTGGAGAGTTTATCCCGTGCGACCCATCTCTTTCATGGCCGACGGCGGGGACGAAGCGGCACGCGGTAAATCCTCGCAAGACTGGGAATCCCTCATCGAGAAATGCCGCGGCATGGCGACCCTCGCCGATTCATCACAGTTTGGCGAGGTCCGATCGGTCTTTGGCAATGTGTTGGCATCGACCAAACGGATCGTGCAGACCTGCACGCCAGACTTTCTGGTGTCCTTTTGGAAGGTCTGCATTGCCCTCTTCCAAGTCCGGATTGGAGGGCGACGAGACTATCTGTGCCTGCGGCTTTTCCTTCACAACCTCGGGGCCCAGCTCGTCAGATCGCCCTCGGTGGGAGGACATCATGCCGTCACCACCTTTGTGTCATCGTTGATAGGTGTCATAGAGTCAGAGCCGCTCGACCTCAAGGTCACACTCGGCTTGGCCTACTGGAAGGCCATTCATGTGCTCGCAAGCATACTAGGCGGCGACCACGCTATTGTCCTCAACATGACCACCCATTGCATTCGACACTGGTCGGGCAGATTTACGCCACAGAGGCACGTTCTCGAGTCTGCTTACGAGGGGCTCCTATCCAGAGAATCCCCGGTTTCTCCGGCTCTTTCCCAGAGAGATATTTCTCTGCGGTTAGATCTCCTGTACGCCGTGTCCATGAGGAAGAACTACTCCCCAGACGTATTCCGACGAGCCGACGACCTCTGGAGCATGACCCGCGATATCAGCCTGGGCAAGGCAACCACCGGCCGTCTCCGCCCGACCGTCATCACCCGCGCCTTTGACTTTACGACTGAATTGCTGACGGCTCACCACCTCGAGGCGGCAAGCAATGCAAGAGAGTCAGACGCTGTAGAGGCCAGCCAGGCCATGGTATTCGGGTGTCTAGACACAGCCGTAGAGATACTGCGAAAGGGCAGCCTCGAGTGCCAGATTCGGGCAGTGGCGTTTTCGAAGCGACTAGAGGTCCATCTCAGGGCTTCGGGGCGGAAGACGCAGGCGGTAGCCGAGAGAGATCGGGGACGCGACCTACGGCTCGGCATCAAGAGGGTCGTGATGGCACCGTCCTGGGTTCCGAGCTTTGAGCCCACGATGCGCAAAACGACGTCACGTCGCCGAGCGCCGACAAAGGCTGCCTGGGCCGCTGAAAAGCGTCGACTCCGCATCAAAAGCCGAGATAACTTGGTATGTATGCTTCAGATAGAGGGGCACACGCAAATCTCTGCGTGAGCTTGATGGTCGCCCTGCACTGGACATTGCGTGTCATGTACTCTCTGAATTGCTTCTTTGCAAGTAATATAGTCCAAGTCCCTATTGGAAATGTGCAAGTCTTTGTCCCCGTAAAGAAAATCTATACAATCCCCTTGTCTCTGGCTCAACGGCTTTGATCGCCTACAAATTGTTCCCGCGTGCTTCTTTCAACACATTTCTCTCGATTCTGAGTCATATGTAAATTACCGCAGAAATAAGAACACTGAGCTTGAGAGGGAGAACAAATATCTCAATCATTTCCCTGCTTTCCGACATGACACCAAAGCCATGTATAAGAAGACAAATAGGTAAATACGTAAACGTTAAAGCTTCAAAGATACAATATAAACCATAACTCATCATCTCGAGACACTGGCATCTCTCTCTAGAGCATCATTCCCACCCAATATCGACCATACGACACACATAGCCCTTTAAACAGCCTTGACATCTCACACGAGGCCTTGATTCCTCACCTTACAATGGACCAATTTAAAAAGCTTACCCGCCGCGTAACCACCAGCCTAAAAGACAGCCCCCCCTCATCACCAACACCCCCAAACCCAAAAAGCGTATTCTCAACAACTCCACCTCCCCTCCTCCGCCGCCTCTCCCACCGCATTACCAACAGCCTCACCAGCCTCACCAGCCTCACCGACAAACCCCCCTCCTCGCCAATCTACAAGCCCCCCAAAAGCGAATCCTCCACGCTGATAGCCCCCCGGGTCCGCAGCCTCTCCCGCCGCGGCGGCACAAAACCAATCCCCCACCTCCCCCACCGCATCCCGGACCCGGACCCCACGCAGCCTACCCCAGGCGGAAGAGGCACAACAAACGCCGGCTCCCTCCGGCGCGTCCGCGAAAAGTATATACGATGGACACCCCGCCCCGACGGCGAATGGGACGCCCACTGGAAAGGCGCCAGCATCCCCTCGGCCAACCAGGCCCTCGCCATGCTGGAATGGTACGCCGTCCACGGCGTCTACGCATTCCCCGTGATCCACGCCGTCTCGCGCTTGAGCTGTGGCGCGACAAACGCCTTCTTCCTCGTCGAGTTCGAGCCGGATTCCAAGGCACGGCGACTACCGCAACAGGTCATCCTTCGAATCAGCCTGCCCGTCTGCCCCCGCGAAAAGCTCGAGTCCGAGGTCGCGACCATGGTTTTCGCCAAGCAGGTGTCCCCGGCCTTAGTTCCTCAGATCCTCGTCTTTGACTCGATTGGTCGGAACCCGCTGGGGTTGGAGTGGATGATTATGGAGCTGCGTACCGGCTTCCCGCTGCTCAGCGCGATCGAGGAGAGTCACATCCTCACGGCATACGACTTACACCTGGTCAAGCCGGATACCGGCTTGGATGGGTTTATAGACATATCGCCCGAGGCCATGCCGCCCCTGAATGAGGAGGATGCGAGAGCCATCGGAAGAGAAGTACAAATCTTTCTCTCTAGGCTGCAGAGCGCCGAGCCGGCCGTCACGTATAAGTACATTGGCAGTCTGCGTATCGACTGGTCAAAGAAAGAATTCTTCACTGGCCCTATAGTTCACCCTCACTTCTACAGCGCTGATAGATATTGGCAGGTGCAGGACAACGGCCCGTTCAGGTCGATTGACGATTACATCAACGCCTACACGGCGGCCTGGGAGCCCGAACTCAAAAGCTCTCCTGATGTGAATCAACGCATCAGGAAATTGCGGGAGGTTTCCCTGGACATGACAGGGCGTCTTAGCTTCAGTGTAGCTAATCACTGGACAGTAGAAGCTAGTCATGGCAGCGTGAATGGCTGGACCGTGACGTTGGTCCATCCTGACCCCCACCCAGGTACCATCCTCTTCGACGGGAAACGGAAATTGGCAACCGTCCTGGGATGGGAGAATGCGGTGGTAATACCAGCGCCGCTGCGAAACCTTCCTGTGGCGTTGGACCAGGTGATGCAAGGATATGGGGTGGCAGAGGCCATTGAACCTATGCAAGTAAAGGTACGAGACGCATTGCCCGTGAGCAAAAGGTATGTGGAAATTTCGTCGGTGCGTGGATGGGCGAAGAGGAACGTTTCTGAGTCATTGGAGCCTGTGATGGGTTTCCAAGGAGGAGTAGATGCCTCGATGCAAGCATTGAAGATGGCGTGTGAAGGCATGATGGAGAAGCGAGGTAAGGATTGGATTGCGGATGTCCATTTTGAGCTCTTTGGCCACGTGTACGGGAAGAAATATTACGAGCTCTACCCTGTTACGAATCACTAGGTGAAGCCTCCTGAGCCCAGAGAGCTTGGGCGAAACGAAAGAAAATCATAGACAACTTCACAGCCACGGTTTTGCCAGACTCACGTCTGGAAACTCATGCCTGGAGCGATGCAGCGCAAGGGTACCTAGTGGAAGCCTCCGAAAAATTCTGCGCCACCCCTGTGCAGTCAAATGGACGAGATCGAAGCAGATCTCGGGTGACGGCTGTCAGGAGGTTGTGCTCCGGGAACCTACCATCCATCACGTCGAGTAGGCATAAGGCTTGGCAAGGTACCCTTGCGCGTTCGTGGGGGCATCAGCCGCGTGAGTCGAAATGGAGGTTTGCGGCACTTGACAGGGATGGGCAGGATGGTGGATTGGGATTATGGGTTGTTCGAGATGGCAAAGCACGAATAGATGCAGTGGGCTGTGGATGAATGTTCGACTGCTGATGGGTCTTGGAAGAGCGCAAGGAAAAGCAAACCGGGCGTTGGGTAGACTCTAGAGGCTTCGGCGCTCAGAAGGGAGATTGCAGGTCGGAGGAAATGAGTTCTTGCTTTGGTGATGCAGTGGCGTGCCGAAACCCAGAGGAATGGCGTCACAGGGAGCTGAGATATCCGTGAGGTGCATCGCACTAATGACCGGACCTTGACGTCATGGATGGCACGCTGGTTTTTATTTTGAGAAACTGGTGGTGTGTGCTTTACTGTTTGTTGGTCGATCGCGATTCCAGAGAAGGAGAAAATAGAGAAAGAAAGAGGGAGACGCCACGCCGGATGTAGTGTCCTGGGCCACAAGAGAACAAGGAGGGCGCATCCATGGGATGCCAAAAAGATGACAAGAAACCAGATCTTGATAAAAACGAGATGGACTGCTGGACAAGCACCTGAGAGCTCACAGACTCGACAGGGCTTGAACACGTTTGGACTAGACAATTACGTGTCGGTGTCCGTAGCGGCATCCACTGCGTGACGAATTGGGAGCAGTTGACAGCAATAAATTGACAGAAGGGGATGTGATGGTTGGGCGATGTCGTCTGAGCTGGGCTCGAACGGGTTGCGATGCCGCCGCCAACGTGCCAATGATTGGCAGTGCAGAATGCAGAATGCCATGGGGTCTTGGAGACGCGGCGCTTGCCAGATCCTTGCACCAGTTTATCCCGAATGCCGTGATGATCCCGGGCTTGGCGCGGATTGTTTGATGAATCGAGTGTGGCGTATCTGGCTAGCTGAGGAGCTATTAAGGAATACCAGAATGCAAAGCCCTGGGGGTTCTGTGGCTGTGAAGGAGAAATCATCGAGCGTGGCCGGGGTTGAGTGTGATTGAAGAGAGCATGCTGATGATGCAGCTCTACCTCGGGGATACATCCAGGTCTGGTTGGGAGGACGGTTACATTTTGCGGGAAGGGTGAGAATGCATAGGTGATAATGTGATAATGCCCAGAAATGGTGAGGCGTTGAGGAATCTTCTGCGGAAAATGGCCAGCGGGCCAGCGGGGGAGCGGGAGGCAGAGACATGTTTCTCCCCGGCTAATGCTCCTGCCTGTCGCCTTTCTGTTGGTTGGTCAATGGATGGCAGGGACGGGGAAAGGAGGAAGGAGGAGTACCTATGAGGTCGGGAGAGGCTAGAACCGAGCTGAAAGGGGTCAGTCCGGATATCCACCTTACCTAAGATAACTTGGTAACGCACCCTTGTATCCTTGCACCTTCCGCTGCAGGTCGAAAAAAGCGTGGAAAGAGAGACCTTTAGCGCGATGATGCCTGTCGCGTCCTGCCCGCGCTTTCGTTGACATGACGACATGGCCAACCGCGCCATTCACTCTGGAGAGGCAAACTTTTGAAAAGTGTCGATGGGCGCTGAAACAGCGGTAATCCCATGTGCCTTTGTACCGCTGCAGTCTTAGGTTCCCTGAGAATCGTGCCATCTCGATCCAGTCCCAAAGTGGTCAGAGTGTTTGAGACACAACAAATCAACAGGATATTGGACAGGGCCACTGCCCATCCACACCGGTGCACGCGACGCATCCTACCGCATCCCGTCACATCCTGGCGCACATCATCGAGTCGTCCAAAGATGTCACAACCCAATTGGCGATTCAAGAGCACGACGGACGTTTCGTTCCACACCTGTCTGGCTTGAATGATGTGTGAGAAAAGGGTAGAGGCTGCTAGCCCGAGAATCGGAACTTAAGTATGATGAGAATGGGAGCGTGGTGAAAACCCTCTGCCACAAAAGGGAGACTTAGGGAGACTTGGTGATACGAGGCATTGACTTGGATAGCGTCCGAATAGTCAAGCTATCCACCGTTGGCAATTTCAGACAGCGCCTAGCAAGAAACTCTCCTAGATGATCTGATATCCGTCGTGCGACAGAGATCCCATCACAAGGGGAGGCTGGGAAACGGTTGTCTGAGAAGCAGCCGCCCGGACGCTTGTACATGTGCAGAGTATCCGTACTTCGTACAAATACCTCCCTATCCGTACCTACGTATATCGGACCATTTTGCAACAATGAAGGAGCCCGATGGTCGCGAACAGCGGCGGTGGTGCGGAAGTTGGCAGGAGTCTAGACCTTGTTTTCGATCTCTGCATCACACGCAGGCTAGCCCGCAGACGTCTTGTCGGCCATGTCCACTAGCTCCAGACCTAATGCGTCGATGTGGGTGGTGTCTTGCTCTACCCCAGACTCGAACAGGGTGAACTTATCAACGACGTTCGCTCTGCGTTGGACGATGCGAAGGTGTCAAGGTGCCCTATGCCCCCAGACTACCGTGGAGGTAGGTACCTTAGGTAGGTAGGCACCCAAAGCGTAGGAGGTGGGACCGCTAAGAGAGTGGGTGCGAATCTCCCCAGGGCACTAGTGTAGGCAATGCGAATAGGAGACGTGCTAAAAATGCCAGTGCTTTGCCAGCTGGAACTCAGTCACCTTAGTTCTGCACTCCAATGGTTGGCCTAGCTGAAGCGAAGCAGGGGCTGGATTTCTGAAGCAAGCAGCAAGCAGGGCAGGGGCAGGTCAACTGCGATTGCCCTTGCCCTTCCAGTACCTCACCCATCAAGTTTTTGTTGGTGGTTTACCTTACCTTCCTTACCTAGGTACCTAGGCGCAGAAAAGGTACATTGTCCTTAGGCATGATCTGAAGTTCTTGCAGGTGTGGGATGGTACCTGCCTCCCTCCACGCAGGATGGCAACACGCACCTGCCTGCCTGCCAAAGTGGCCGATGACGTAGTGCATCAAATTCCTGCCCCCTTCCTTCACGTCACTATCGCCAAGTTCCACGACCAGACCAGACCAGACCAGACCACCTTACCCATGCTTGCCAGAAGATCACCAATTTTTGCTGGCAAGGCCACGGAACGCACACAGGGCACCCGGTGCAATACCTAGCCACTCAGCTAATCCAAGGGTAGGAAGGAACCATTGCGAACCGGGCTGGAAGGACCAAGCTCTCACTGGACTTGCGGCTTGCGGGTTGCCTCTCTAAATTCGAAGTACCGGGCCCGCCTCCTGCTGGCCAAGTCACGGTAATTTAGTTAGGTGGACGAACGCCTGCCACACGCGTTGCTTTGCCGCCTCCCTTCCAAATAACTGTTGGTCCAGTTTCATTCTGACGCCAGTTTTTTTTTTTTTTTTTTTTTTTTTTTTTTTTTTTTTTCTTTTTTTTTTTCCTTCACCCCCCCCCCAAAAATAAGTTACAAACCCCCCCCCCCCCCCCCCCCCCTGTCCCTTTTTTTTCTGGCCCGCTTCTTTTTTTTTTTTTTTTTTTTTTTTTTTCTTCCTCTCCTCTTTCTGTTCCCTGGAACACGACGCCAGAAGTAAGGTATAAACACCTGCTCGCCGTCATCGCCCCCTTCTTGCACACTTCTTCTTTCTCTCCCTCATCGATACGATATTTTTCCTGCTCCACCCTTTTGACAGGAACACCATCTTGGCGATTCTCATTATACCCAATTCTCCTGTGATACCCCCCCCCCCCCGATACCCCAACCACCCGCCCCCTTTTTTCCCCTTTCCCCCCCCCCCCCCCCCTTCCCCCCCCCCCCCCTTTGCACAGAACCCCATCTTGGGGATTCTCATTATACCCCATTCTCCCGTGATACCCCCCCCCCCCCCAAATACCCAATACCACGAATTCCCTTTTTTGTCCTGTACGCCACTACCGATAATCACCCTACCTCACCTCACCACACCAAAAAAACAACAACAAGCAGAATTCAACAAGCAGTTTCATTGCGCGATAGCTCCGATACCCCATCATGTCAGCAAACGTCAACAAACCGACAGACCTCAAGCAGAAGGAGGCCGACGTCAACCGCAAGCTTCAGCTCTACGGCATCATCTCCGCTTTTCAGGCTGGCAAGGTTCCTTCGGTACGTCGATGCCGGCATGGCGGCAGGGCCCACGCGGCCCCTGCTAGGCTGATCCCTGACCCGCAAATCTACATCATTGCATGATACTGACGTGGTCCTCGCAACAGAATGACCAAATCGATGTCGCTCTGAACAGCTTCCTGGCCTCCAAGGCCTTGTCAAACCCTCCCGAGAAGCTCTCCCAAGAGGGTCGCGCACTGGTCGCCGACGCGCGCGAGGTTGTCATTCAAGCCAAGAACCTCTTGTTGTCCAAGAACCAGGGCAATCTGCTCCAAGATTTTATCTGGCAGACTGAGCAATTCGACCCCAAGGCTGTCGACGTTCCCGGTGCTCCTGTCAATAAGGAGGTTGCTCAACAGCATGGTGACAAGGCGCTAGAGGGTTTGCGTACCCTCGGAACTCTGCTCATCACCAATGGACAGTTCCGCAAGCTTCGTAAGTCAACCTGCAGTCTCCGTCTATCCGTCTACAGACTAACACCTTCATAGTCAAGGATGCTACAGTCCTTCTCCGCGACATGGCTGGCGATGCCGCTACCAACGCCGCTCAGCGTGTCCGTCCCTCTGGTGAAGCCCTCCAGGACATTGATCGCCCTGCTGAGGACAACACTTGGCATGACGCCCCCGACTTTTCCAAGGAGAACTTCAAGAAGCAGGCTCAAGGTGTCTACAAGGGCTCCCCCGCCGATGATGCCCGGGAAGTCCTCAACGCAGGCACGCAGGCTGCTCACCCCAACGGATCGCAGGACCCTCAAGACTTGGCTGCGACTGCCGCTCGCGACCAGGCGCAAGGTACCAGCTCCGGCATCGACGCTCAGGGTGGCATCAGCGCTGCCCGCGACGTCATTCAGAAGAAGTACAACGAGAACGTCGATGGTGAGACCAAGGAGCAGGCACGTCAGCGCAAGGAAGAGTACCTCCGCCGTTCCAAGGAGTACTTCAACAAGAAGATGCCTCAAGAGCGGAAGGACCAGACCATCTGGCGCTTGAAGAAGATGGTGCTTGAGTGCCAGCAACACCCCGATTATTCCCAGGCCATTGAGACTCTTCTCAATCTCGCTGAGGAGTACGCTGGCCATTCCCGCACCCTTGCCCAGGGCGGATCTGGCACCGTCAAGGATACCCGTGCCAGTCTGGCTCAGGCCGAGGCTGACCTCAAGACGCTTATCGAGCGCTTTGCCAACGGCACTTCTACCGAGGATCTCTTCGAGTCGATCAACCAGATCTATCGTGACGCTGACAATGATCGCGAGCTCAAGGACTGGTTCAAGGCTATGGACCGATACGTCCGCCGCTGCCTTCTTGAGCAGGGCTACATTCTGGACGAGGACTCGAACCAGGAGTGGAATAACCTGTACGACCATGGTCGCTACTTGCTTCGCGAGAAATACCGCGCTCATACCGACCGTGTCTTTGACGAGGTCAAGTTCTTGATTGACCAGTTTGACCAGGACCCCCAGAACAAGCGCTTCGGTCAGGCCGTCCAGAAGCTGTTCACCGATCTCGGCAATGACGAGAATGGCAAGCCCACTTTCAAGCCTCACTTGCTCAAGGATCTTTCAGAGGTCATCATTCCCGCCATCTTCGAGAATGTAGCCTACATTCCCGTCCCCCGTATCGAGTACAGCGACCCTCAGTTCGATGCAGTCATTGAGAACCTTGTCCTGGAGTCTGACAACTTCATGCCCAACGTTCTCGAGATTAACAGCGAGAACTACTTCCTCTGGGGACGAAAGAAGATTGCCAACAAGCACAAGCAATCCTTCGAGCTAAAGGTTGCTGGTGTCCAGCTTGATCTCCGCGACGTCAGCTACCACGTCAAGCGCAAGCAGGGCTTCCCTTCCATCACTGACACTGGTGTTGCCGACATTCTCCTTGCTGGCGATGGCTTCTCTTTCAAGATGAAGCTTTCTTCCGCCGATAAGAGTGACAGGCACAACTTCTTCAAGGTTGACAAGGTTGATGTTGACATCAAGCACATGAGCATCAAGCTCAAGCAGTCCAAGCACAAACTCCTGTTTGGCCTTTTCAAGCCTATCATGCTCAAGGTCCTTCGCCCTGCTCTCCAGAAGGCTGTTGAGAAGGCCATCAAGGACCAGGCCACCCAGTTGGACAGCGTTCTCTATCAGATCAAGCAGGAGGCTGATCGTGCCCTCGATGAGGCTCGCTCTAACCCTGAGAATACTCCCAACATCTACAACCGTTATGCCACCGCCATCCAGAAGCGTACCCTGCAGGCGAAGCAGAAGGCAGAGGCTGTCACCGCCGACAAGAAGGTCAACTACGCCATCACCAAGGAAGACTCCATTTTCCCCAACATCCACCTTCCTGGAGGTATTAGCTCCAAGGCTACCGAGTACAAGGAGTTGGCTCGCAAGGGTGAGCGTTGGGAGAGCCCAGTCTTCGCCATCGGCAAGGCTAGCAAATCTACCGACATCCCGGATGCTCCTCGCATTGAGCGCAAGAAGCATGGTCTCCCCAATCAGCAGGGTCAATACGCTCCTCACGCCCCCGCTCAGGTCAATGGTGGCGATTTGAGCACCAACCCTGCTTCTGGCTATCCTTCCACTGGTTATGATGCCCACCCCAATGGCGGTCTTAATGGCACCGTCAACACTCTCTCTACCCCTGCCCACGTCAGCGGGTATTAGAGGGTCGGAAGACTTGACTTATTTTCCTTTGTGACAGACGCGGATTCAATGATGAGTTGACGGCAAACGAAAAGGTTTATACCCGGATGGAGAGTTCAGTTTGGGTCAACGGGCGGTTTCTATAGCTTAATGATGCGGTCCCTTAGTAATAATCCTTCTTTAGCAGAATTCAATCGGTTTCGACCATGGCCAACTCTCCTTGTGATTACTTTCGCTCACACTTGGGAGAATAATTTCTCTCACTCGTTGGTAAAGACTATCACGATGTGAGATCAGGAGGGGGCATAGTGAGTGTGTCGAGTTCAATTGAAAATTTGAGCCTATATACGCCAAGTGAGTTAAGCTATTGGACTCCGAATAACCGATACACATGGTGGATTTGAGGCATAATTTATGAGGAGGAATCATCACATTCCGCCTGTATCACAAACACAGCACGGGTCTAGTACGAATATTGACGGGGATGACACCCAGGAGGACGTTAAGGCAGGCCATTTCTTTCTCCAATTTGCATCCATAGACTGGAGTACAACTTCCAGGGGGTTTCATGGGCTGGCGTTAACTGTGTATCACCCTAGTAATTGGGCAGCAAGGACCTTGCAGAAGTTGTGTGTAAAGCCCCATGAGTACGGTGAACACGTGGAAGACGCGGAAGGGCTAAGTGCGAATATGATTTTGATGGATTGAAGGGTATCCTTGCTACTTATAACGAAAAGGGTACGAGCAACCTCAAGATTCCCCGCTGTGTCAAAGCATTTTCAGCTTCAAACAACTTCCTCTCGAAGCACCTTTCAGCGCACAATTACAAGTACCAATCGGGTTTCAACCCCAATCACGCTTTGAAGCGTTTTATTTGCTCGCGTTTCGGATCAGTCTGCCCTGCTCTTCGACCCGCCCAGCCCCGTCATCTGCACTCACTGTCGCTCGCTCGTGGGTTTGGGGCCGAGGCCGGGGGTGAAGGACGGCCCGTTGCTGCTGCGGGTGACGACGTCGGCTACGCCGGCTGCGTGGGCTGGTGCACCGGTGAGGAAGGCAAAGGTGCCACCTAGGCCTACGGCGGCGCCGATGATGAGGTAGAGTGCGGTTCTGGGGAGACAATGGAGTTAGTGATGAAGCGGGAGGAGAGAGGCAGATCTGCGAAGACAAGGTCTGCGCGTGCGGCTGTTGGGTTAAGAGGCAGAGAGAGGGGCAATACTGACTTGCTGCTGACTTCATCTGGCTTGGTTCCGACTTTTGGGTTGGAGGCCGATGGTGCTGTGCCGGACGGGGTGATGGGGTTTGGTGCTGGCGGCTCTTTTACAGCGTAACCCCGGCGAGGGGCGAGTTGTGCGGGGGAGCGGAGGGTGGGTGTTCGGAGGGCCGATTGGAGGCGGAGAGCTCTTGATGAAGACATGGTGGGTAGTGATGTGTTTTTTGATTGCGCGTGTGTGTGTGGTTAATTTTGACTTGAATGATCCAGACGATGATTGGCGATAAGATCAAGCGTGATCAGATTATATTATTGCCTCTCTGGCAATCGTTTGGTTGGGAGGATGTTGCGGCTGTTATATTGATGGGGCGCGGCATGGCGTTCCCAAAGTGCTCGGTTATGACGAGCGATGATGTAGACGACGCACATGTCTAGGGCCCCCCTTTGGAGAGGTAGGTGCGTTCATCTCACTGCGAGCATCACATCAGACGGTCTCAAAGCTCGTGGTTCTCTGACCCAGGCACAGAGGCCCCTTTGCGTTCCAACGCTGGAACCACCCGATGATGCATTAGGCTAGTTCGATGATTCATCAATGGAGATGATGTACCTGGCGGGTGGGGTTATCAAAAAAAGATTATCCCCTGACAAGATCTGCACCGCTGCAACAAGACCCTGAGCGGTCGCGGAGCTAATCGTTTGCTGCAATGCTACTCTCCTTCCCATCCCTATCATCTGCGAATAGGTAGCAGCGCCGAGTTACACGCCAAACTCACCCAACCCATTCCCAGGCGTATTCCTCTCTCTTTCTCTGTCTCTTTCTCTTTGTCTATCAACACATTGCCTCCTTGCGGAGGTCACTTGCACATACTGGCGGTTACTTAAAGCCGCGTGGATCCCGTTGAACGTCCAGTTCAGCCTCATCTGGTCCAGCTCGGCCCGGACCGACGTGTCCATTGGCTGTGAGCAAATGTCTTTTTGGGATGGAGTTTTTGGGTGACGGCTCGTCGGCGGTCGTCATGTTCAGGAACGCATCGCTGGACGGGTCTATCACCGCCGGGTATCCTCCAAAGATGTCCCTCATCTTCTTAAGCGGAAACGTAAATCGATAAGGTGAGGCGCCGTGCAAAACCATGTGAGAAAGCCCGCGGACCATGGCCTTTCGGACAAGTAAATGGGTGCCATCTGCGCCTGAGAAACCCATCAATCCTGTAGTTTTGCTACAACACCAGCTGCCCATTTGCGCATGTGTGGGCTATCTTACCAACAACCACATCGGCAATAAACTCCTGCCCATCCTTCAACCTCACCTTCCCTTCCTCCACATCAACACCAACAACCTGATACCCCTCAACAGCCGTAGGCGGTGGTCCCGAAATACTCAGCTTCGCCGCGTTCCCCGCTGCGAGCCGTGACAGCTCGTCCCGCAGGTCACCGTGGTGCATTAGAAGCTACTCGCTCCCAAACGGCTCCGTCACGCCCGTCATCTCCTGCAACAGGTTCCCTTGCTTGTCGTGTGTCCTCGAACCGGCGCACGCGGTGGCCTTGACGTTTCCCGCGCTAAAATGAAAGGCCTTTTCCCAGCATCCCTGTGCCGTTGGGCCCCAGGCCGATGCCGGCACCGCGCTCAGGGGAATTGAGGGTTGGCGCGGTCGTGGACGGTCGCGTTGTGCTTTTGGCGGAGAATGGCGGCGGAGAACGGCGGTGGTGGCAAGGCCTGCTATGCCGCCGCCCACGATTACCACGCACAGCCTTTTACTGGTTATTTTTTTCCTTCTTTGATTTGCAGTTTACACTGCAACGATAGCTGATGGGTGTTACAGATCCCATTTTTTTTTTGGCTGCTGGAGGAGAGGAGTTGAGTAGCGGGTAGGGGATTCCATTTAAGCCGGAGGCTTTTTTGCGCATAGTCTCGAGAGTTTGGTTTTTTGTCGAGACTTCAAATGAAATTTTGTTCATAGCCGGCTACTTGGGCTGTTGTTGGCCAAGAGGGCGCAAAGGTTAGTGGGACTCGAACTGAAGGAAACTCAAGTACGACCTGAGTTTAGCCCGAGGAGCGAATGAAGAGCTCTAGTCGTTCATGCAGACGAGTCCTCGGTGTTTATAGCGGTTGGAAGAAAGGGAACCTTGGACCCGGGGAGCCAAAGTTTGGTCATGCCGGTCCGTGTTCCAAGGGGTTTGGGAAAAGCCGCAATAGGGATCATACTCCGCCCGATCGGGCGCCGGCGCGGGCGAAAACTAGGTCTGTGATAGGACCTTCTTCCCGGGTTCGAGGCCCACGTCGGCCATCCGGCTCGGCGTCCACTGGAGGCCGAGGCCCACAGCGCGTCACCTTTGGGCTTATCGGAGCAGCCTGCGCCACGGGATTGGTCATGTTTCCCAGGTGGCTCGATCGCCACCAGAGTCGCGGACTTTGCCGACGCACCCGTCAGGATGACGGTGAATCTCCGCAGCACCGTGGAGATTGGACGTATTTAACATGAGGATATAACTTCAAGTTCAATAATTAGTTTCTGTGACGATTGCTTCGGTATCAATACTTCATCGTAGCGGTTCTATTCAGAGATAAAATCGACAATGACGCGAGCAGTTCTGATTTGCGGTGCGACAGGAAAGCAGGGCGGTGCCGTTATCAACCGCCTCGTGGAACAGAATGCCGACTTTGAGATACTCGCCGTCACCAGAGACGCAAAATCCGGATCCGCCCAACGTCTCTTGAAAAAGTCGCCCAAGATTCGCCTCGTTCAGGGAGACATGGCTGATCCGACGGCGCTTTTCAAGACTGCGCACGAAGTTGCTACGTCTCCCATCTGGGGAGTCTTCAGTGTTCAGGTACGTGGTCTCCTCTTCCTTGGACTACAGGTTTGTTGGTAACAAAATTTGACTGACTTTGTGTCACGGCAGGTTCCCATGGGCTTCGGCCAAGGCGGGGGCGGCGAGCTAGGCCAAGGAAAAGCTCTCGTCGACGCATCCCTCAAGGCCGGCGTCGAGTTCTTCGTCTACGCCTCCGTCGAGAGACACGGCGCGGAGAACGCGACCAACGTGCCCCATTTCGCCCACAAGCACGACATTGAGCAGCACCTCTTCAACAAGTCCAAGGGGACCGACATGGAGTGGGTCGTCCTCCGACCGGTGGCCTTTATGGATAACCTCATGGACAACTTCGTTGGTAAAGTGTTTGTGACGTCGTGGGCGATGGCGATCAAGGACAAGCCGCTCCAGCTCATCGCTGTCAGCGACATTGGCTATGTCGGCGCCGAGGCGTTCCTGCACCCGGACAAGTACAAGGGCCGCGGCATCTCGCTCGCCGGCGACGACTTGACGCTCGATCAATTTGCCGCGGTGTTCAGGAAGAATACGGGAAAGGAGCTCCCTAGCACATACAGGATTTTTGCCTGGCTTATCATGACCTTGGTCAAGGACTTTGGGTACATGTTCAAGTGGTTTTATGATGTGGGATATGACGTTGACATTGCGGCGCTGAGAAAGGACTATCCTGGGCTCAAGGACTTTGAGACTTGGTTGAAGACGGAGAGTGAGTACGCCAGCAGTATTCGGAAATAAGAAACAGGATTCGGGAGGCCGTTTCAGACTTGGCTATACTGTGGCTCAAATTCAAGTAGTGAAAACTTGATAGGAAAGAGTTCTGTACGATAAAGACTGGGAGCGAAAGAGTTTGATCCCAAAGAGCAAGCAAAGGAAGCACTTCTCAGAATGCCAATAGATTGTTATTCTTCCAATCCCGCCAGGGGATTACCCCTAGCAACTGATTCATTGCAAGTTAGGTTAAAATAGCTAGATATAATTGCAGGAGAGCTGATTGCCAGTGTGCCTTGAACTCGCAGATGGAAAGATCAGTCTGCCAAGTATCCTCTGAGAATCAGGTTTCGGCTCAGACTTGAAATGAATGTACGTTCGCGCTGAATGACTTGATTTTTAGATTAACTTGCTCAAATCTTCGATTATGATTTCCTCCACAGTGAAACTCATTGCTAGCCCCCAACGGCTATAGAATGCGATGTGACCAACAGAAAGAGCTTAGGTAAGGGCAGTGTAACTCCTAAAGCAGGATTGATAGGCAGGGGAGAGAGATGCTATTGCGACTATTGTTTGAACGAGCAGAGTCTTTGGGATTCATTGGAGTAATGATGGGTTCAAAGAGATAGCCGAAGGCTAGGAGTGCTTTCCTATCCCATGACCTGCCTGTTCTCCATCTTGAGGTGACTTGATTTATATTTCGGCGACGAATTCCACAAACATTGGGAAGCATGGTTTATCTTATTCAGGCTGGCGCCTATGGATAAATCAACATCTCCACTAAGCTGTACACGAACCGGGAATCTGAGCCAGATTGGGCTGTCTTCTGGTTGACAGACTTGCATGGCCACATTCACAGGACTCCACAGATGTCGTATCGGCGGCTAGCGCAAAGACACAGAAACCGCTAACATGCCTGGGACATAAAAGTGCGCTTGAAAGGCAGGACAGGCCACTTTATGGGCAACCTGCGGTCCTATTAATCCGCAACCTTGCGCTTTTCGGATGAGAGAGGTTTGTTTCTTAAGCTATATATTACATGTGATCCGTTTCGGATCATGTTGTAATTTCCGACTTCTTTTCCTCATCTTTCTATAGGTAGTCATAGGTACGTATTACCGCTATAAGAGGTATAAAACCTCGACGGAGCCTTGTATAGAGATCAAGTCAGTAAGAACCACAGTCTACACGAGGGTACCAGCCAAATATAGACAAAGATGGAAGAGCAAGGCGGGAAATTTGGGGATAGCTGGTCGATTTTTTGCCTTGGCGAAGCGAGCCGGCTCGGACTAACGTTTGAACGCTTCGGTTGTCTGCCTGATACCCAGGCATACAATCAATCAACCAACCAATCAATCAATCCTTTCCAAAGTACTTCCTGTCTATCCAAATCAACTGTCTGAGAGCGGCCAAGCCTCAGATCACGATCGCGATACAGTAACGGTTTCATTACTTAATCTCGGCCAAAGTCTCCGTGGCCGTGTATCGACGTATTCTATTGTTAAGGAACTTCATCGGGCAGCGGATCAAGGAGCTATTTATCTCGGAACGTGGGCATTCCTTCACCCTTCACGATCACAGTGCAGTAATTAATGAACATCGAAGGAATGAGAGCGGAGGAAAATGTATCGTGAAGGGCATTCGTGGCCACTGGCGTCTGGAAAATGAGGCCTCTATCTTGCGCAAATACCAGGCTATGAGTCCCTTGTTTCGCCCACTTGAGGATGAGATTGTGGACCCAGCCGACCCACCATCCATCGTCTTGAGATATCTTGACAGCGACCTCCGTGCAGAGTCAAATCGACAAAGGCTATGGCGACCTGATATCAAAAAGGTGGCTAAAAGCGTGCTGGAAGCCCTCCGCATCTTACACCGGGACGGCATGGTCCATACTGGTTCGTGACTGGTTACCTAGTAACACCTTGATCCAAGCAGCCTGCAACTGATCCTCTAATAGACATCAAATTGGACAACATATTTGTGTTTGTGAATCTCGGTCAGCAAGGTGACCATGAACGATTCACCTCCATCCAGCTAGGGGATTGTGGGGGCGTAGTCTCCAAGAACTCCAAATTTGCCACGGAGCCGGGCCACTTGATCGGCGCGAGTTTCACCCGCAGCCCCGAAGCACAGCTCGGTCTCCCATGGGGGACCTCGACGGACATTTGGTCCTTTGGAAACGCCGTACGTATATCGCCTGGGCTTTTCGATTCAAGAGCGCATACTAAGGTGGACGCCAAATGAAGATTCTCACCCTATTGTACGGGGGAGGGTTTCATCTCTTCAATCCTGCCAATGAGGGTTGCGAACCCGAAGATGAACACTATGAATTGATGGTACTAGCCCGGATGTACCGCTATTTTGGTCCTTTCCCCGATTCCTTCCAGGAGATCGCCGACGACAATGCCGAGCGCATTATCGACTTCATTCACAGCATGGGTCCCCCAACGAAACCCTTTCCTCGAGTCACGCGTCGCGAGATACCGCCTGCCGACCGGGATTTCATCCTTAAGATCATGAAGCTGGATCACCGTGACCGCCCCACCGCCGATCAACTCCTGGAGGACGAATGGTTTAGCGAGAAGTCTGAGGACACGCGAGAGCCGCTGCCTCCCAGAAAAGAAAAGCCTGTAGATTAAGGAGATATGGAGATTTAAGAATCCCGGCATGAAGTACATTCCTTGAGACACAAGAGTCATATCCCCACAAAACCGTGCTCACGGCGGCCAGGTGCCGGTCCCGCCAGTCCATGATCGGATGCTGTCCCTCGTCCTATGCATAGCCATCATGGTCTGTTTCATATCGTCCAGATACAGTTTCTCGTCGGCGCTCGGCAGCATATAGGTTTGACACTACAAAAGGTTTTGTGGCTATGAGGTAATGACCGTGTCCACTGTAGCTGTCGTAACAGCTATAAGGTTGGGGCTTGATTATCGACAAGCTTTATGATCAACTCTGATATTATGTTTGCTAGGCGGCTTAAGACGAAGCTATGGCCAACTTTCCGGCCTCCTGCATCTGTGTTCAAGCAAAGACCCTGCTAAAACGCCACGTGGCACGTATGTAACCTCACAAAGGTTCCAATTCTCAACCCGCACATATTAACGTTAGAACCCAAAATCATTTCGCTTCTGACAGAAACCTCGTTTGCAACCCTCGCAGAGATCGACCTGATGTGGGGGACCATCTTTTTCAGCGTAGAACGGCTGCTCCGTCTTCACACCTGCCCATCTCTTAAGCCGGTATGCGATTCGTTCAACGTAAGATTGCTTATCGAGAGTAAAGCTGCCGAGTTGCTTGCAGGACATGCAACGCTGGTTGAACACAACAGCGTCATAACCATTTCTTGGATATCCCCTGATCACGATCGCTACCTTTTTGCTTGTCCATGTGGTGTTGGAACAGCTCGGGTTATCGCATTTGAATTTGCCCATCACGTTGGTTGAGTACTCGTTGTTGGAGCTTTTCTTGCTGCCATTTTTGTTGAACCACGTCGAGGGAAGATCATTCGACACAGCTTTTGATACGTCTTTATGGAAAAATGGATACTTGAAGGAGGTCCTTGTCGCTGCCTTTGGCTTGATGGATTTCTTTCCGGCCATTATGACTGCATAGGAATGTCGGTTGGGCTCGGAGAAGTGGATGTGTGTGGGAAGAGCGATATGCAAGAACGATTCTTGGCCAAGTTGGAGCAGACTGCTCTCACTGATTATATAGAAATCTTCTGATGCCAAGGTAGGAAGGGCGGGGTGGATAGCCACCTAACTTTTGCTTAATGGCTGTTGGATCAGTGTTGCCTGCAGACGACAGCGAAAAGAAAAGAGAGTGTCCAATGATATCTTGACTTTTCATTATGCATGCCAGCGTGGGTTTGCCGCTGAACACGCGTTACCCATAGATTACCCCTATTCTGGCGAGTGGCCTGATCAGTGACATCGCATGCCCATTAAGTGTGCGTGCAAATGTGACTACGTAGAGATATATTTAGCTTAGCCATTTAGACCATGGTTTGCGATAAGTCACGCATGAGAACATGCAGAGTACGCATGCCAGACAATATGACCAGGAAGTTGCAAGGTTATATCAGTGGCGGGAAGCCATTCCTGATCCAAGTTGATGTTCGCCGAAAGTCGTGGCCGTCATTAGCTGCAGGAGAGCACAAATCACTCTCGAAAGGTGTGTCCAATATATGCGGCCAAGCTCGTTTTCAGTTCACGCTGATATCCTGGCCCTTCCATCCCTGCTTCAGCTTGCGCAAGGTACATGTACGGACACTGAAGTCTGTGATGTTTTTTTTTTTTTTTGGACATGTGGCCTACTATTCACCTGGGCATTTTGATCAAGTGCGATCACCTTGATGAAGTTATGGATTGTATCCTGGAGTCGCCTAATTTCTGTGACGATGACGCTGATGGTCAATTATAACTTGAAGTTATGCACTCAAGGTCATGGCAGCGGGTGCCTTACTTTTGCGCAAGTCGGGATACTGAAGAGCATTTCCTCGCCCGTTATGAATGCGTCTGGCAGCCTGGTGTATCCCGATGCAGCTCGGGTCCGAGTTTACCAGAGCCGTGGACGGACAACAGCTTTTCTGGAATGTTCTCGCCCGTGCCAGACTGGTATTGACATGCCATTTTCAACGACTCCAACCGGGATGCCATGACTATACCACCCGAAAACTACACTGTGGCTTTCGGTCTTGACTTTGGCCATCTTGATAACAGAGATGGTGATCTATCGGGTTGTTAGAGCCCGCTGGCGATTAGCTCCTTTACTGGCACGAGCTGGCTAATGGTGCCCTTTGAGCGGAAAATGTCCTCGGTATCATGAATACGTGTTGCAAACTATGGCCATGTAATCGAAGATCCCTGGCGAATTGCACTGCTTTTCGTGTCGCCCTGCGGCAGTGGTAATAGTGTAATGTTCATTGGCCATGGGTTTGCTGGCATTGCCAGTTTGGCGCCGGAGGAAAATGCGCTGATGGCGATGGTGCGATGGGTTGAGAGTGAAGTCGTCCCTGACACCATCTTGGGTACCAGGTACTTCATCGGCAGCAGTGACAGTGGTGTTGATTTCGAACGCAGATAACGCAGATGACCTTACCATAATATGTATCGAGGCGCTAGTGATTACCAATATCCTGACGTTTGGAAGTATATATTTCAAAGCTAAAAGCTTTAGGATGTACTAGCCCAGCTGCTACGTGGTTGCGACCCTAGAAAGTCAACTACTCACTATATACTGCTCTACTCACCATCCGACTGCTGCCATTCATTATCTTCCTCACACTGTGGAAGAACGGAATCAGGATGGGAGTCCAATACGAAGTACAGCTTCAGGCAGTTAACGGACTCAATGGGCCCAATTCAGTGGCCTATGTGGGATGGAGGTTCAATTCAGGTCTATGGTCTCAACCTAAAGTCCCTTCTTCTTCCATTCCTCACGCAGCAGTAATATATCGCCATTTTGAAATTGTCATCCTATTGGCCATACGATTAAACACCTGTGATATGATCTCAACAAAGGGTCGATGGACCAAAAACAAAGCTATCCACAGCAATGGAAGGAAAGCCAAAATATCTGTCAGTTTCCTTTATGGAAGCCAGAAAAGATTATCCCTAACTTGGCGGTTCACATGACAGTTCAGACTACTCAATAGCCTTGCATCGGTTTGAAAAGATTGGGGAGCCTGCGTCCTCTTATGGAAGAGCTTCGGGTGCCCCCGCCCCCTGAATCCCTCCAGACGATATCTCTCATCGCGTGCCATCGGCCGGAGGCAGTCAGACTGTACAAAGCTCACGAGCTCAATATAATAGTCGCGTAGGGTGGCATAGCTGGAGAAAATCTTTTCTCTGCCAACTTCTCTTCCAGTGGAGAATTCTCTCCTCATCCACGCCAAATTTCAATCAAAACCATTGGCACCATCACATCAAATCACAGCCATGGCGTTCGGCAACGTAAGTTCAAATCCCATCATGTACCTCAAAAGTCCACGAACGAATGAATTATCTGTTAGGAGCCGGTCAGAGACGGCAAGTCAATTGGGGAGCAAGCCATCATCGAGAAGGCCGAGAAAGTGCTCGTCAAGAAAGCGCTCGTCGAGTACGAGTTCGCCGAAGATGCCTTCGAGTCATGGAGCTCCCAGCTTCCCAGAGTTCTCAAGGAACTGCATGACTCCCTTGAGGTAAGCGACTTCCATTCCCGAAGACCCCCTTCTCCCATCTTCGTTTAGCTAATCGTCTTGCTTTCAGTCCCTCGTCGAAACTCATTGCATGTTTGAAAAGTGCATAGTCAATCTCAAGGAAAATAGCTACAGAGTGACCAGAGATGCTCGTCGCCTTAAGCGCGTCGAGTTTGAGCGAGCTCTTCGGAGCTGCAAAAGGCAGCGCAGATTAGTTCTTGCAGCCGAGCGCCGCATTATCAAGGAAGGTTACATGAGGGAGATCCTCCAGGCCGCGTTCGATCGGGTACAAATTGCCATCACCGAGAACATGAAGCAGGCCAAGGAGATGTTGAGCATGTGCTGAGCCTCTAGCACATCATGACCTGGGTTTTGGCACGGTCGGCCGGAAGAGTTGAGCGACGGTCAAAACTGAGAAGGATGATGTGAACATTGAGTCCCAGCAACCGTGGCTCGCGAAGAACCCGCGAGAATAAATGCGATCAAATACCAGAAGAACCACGGCACGATGCAACATGTGACACTAGTCTAGGACGAAGCTTGTAAGCCGTAGTTCTGGCGCAATACAGCCAACTCCGTGGCCGCTGAGTCATGTTCTTGAGTGCCTTCAATTTCATTCATCTATGCCCAGCCTTGAGCAGGCCTTCAGTCTTGCCGCATTTGTAACCTCTATTATGCTCTTTCCCTTGGCACATTCAACTTGCCTGGTAGCCGACGAAAATTTGGCAAGAGCAAAGAGAAATGGGTAAGGTAGCTCGGTTCCAAAGCGGAGAACATAGGTCGCGTCAGAGAGCACTTCCCTTGCTAAGCGCTTCCGCGATTGGTACCTGTTCGTTGGTCTACTTGTCTTCTGCATGAATCGCTTATCTCTCTCCATCTCCACCATCTTCAAAGCTGCATTTATCTTCCAGAAGCCCGACCCCGATCAATCAGACAGACAAACATCTCCCCAACCCGCGCTTCACGATTCAAAACAGGTTTAAACATTCACATCATGCGAAGATCAGGTATTTGAGGATGGCTGACTCGGTCAGCGTACGTCTCTTCTCAAGGGCTTGGCTATCGACCCAGGGCAGGCTCACAACCAAAACGTTGACCCAGACACGCTGACGCATCATTAGGGAAATGGCAACTCGCACAGTTGTGAATCTACGTCCAGTAACAGCGACGAACAAAACAAGAGGAACGGCGACATCAATACCACTGGGCACAGCAATGAATCCCAAAACAACAGCCTAGGCAGAGTCGAAGAGGCGATGGCAATGATCAATATCATGTCGAATGCCCTCCAAGCTATGGAGACCCGCGACGTCCAAGAACACCCCAAGACTGCCGAGGAGTACGAACTGGTACTGGAAAGCAAGGAAAGTCTTACCAGAATGCGCAAAACTGCCCTGGCCGAGCTTCACTTTGCCCAAGATCGCCTTAAGGAGGAGAAGGAAACTAGAATGGTTGCGGCACTCAACGAGATCGAAAGGGGTTACCAGCAGTACAACAGGAGCGTTGAGGACATTCTCGCGCGAGTCATTGTGTGGATTGAGGAGTACGAACACGACAACGGGATGAACACTGGCGTTTCGGGAAACCAGTCTGCAGGTGCGACCTGACTGGAATCCCTAGAGGCGTTCGAGAACACCCCGATGGCTACCATCGGTGATTGCGCAGTATAAAGTTCCAGCGTCTCTTTTTTCACGGTAGCATCAATTATGGAAGGACGTGACGAGGCGGGTGGAAGATAGCACTTTTCGGAAAAGCCGCTGAACTGTTCTCATGAAAATAGGTCTGATTCAGGTGTCAAAAATGATTCCCCCCGTTGGTTTCTGATAAACTATCTCTGATTCATCTAGGGGGCAAACCAAGGCCAGGCTCATCTGACCTCTCCACCTTCATCGATCATGCACCATGTTCTTGGCAACCAGCAAGTCGGATACGTCCCGACCGCGGTTTGTAAGCCCCTCACTCCTTCCTTCTGACTCAGTTCCCTCTTTTTTGATGGTCTGGACTGCACGTGAGCAGGCGGGTCCAACAGTCTGCGTTCTATGGGCACCTGCAGGGCTGACTTGCCGACTCGCTCTTTAGTGCTGTTTTCGTTCTCAGCTACTGACTTAACCACTGCCGTCGATAGGCGTGACTCCCCACCGACACCCCTGTCCGTCAAATTTCTCGCTGTTATGAAGAGGCTTTTTCCAGAAGCCCTTTAACAGTGTGGTCCAGACTTCTGTCTTATTAAGTTACGGTAGGCTTTAAAAAAAAGCTTATAGCAAACAGACCCCACTTCAAGATAAACGGTCCCATAACCGTGGAGGACGTTGAAGCTAGCAATTGTGCTAAGAAAGTTTAAAGACTGCAATCTCCAAGCTGAAGTTTTAAACAACCGCGTTGACACCCAAATGCTATGCAGAACTCAAGAGAGAGACAAAGGACGAGATTTATGGCAAGAAACCAAACTACAACACACAAAGACTGCGTCCATTGCCGGCACGAATGGATGTCTCCATCAGACGCACTGGGCCTAGGGCACGATTTGGCGGCAGAGAAGACTCAAGGAGGCAGGGATGAGGACGGAGATGGAAATTGAACTGTGACGGAAAGCGAGGTCTAGCTCAGATATTAACGTGGAATTTTGGGGACAAGCACAAGGTAGGTGCCGCAGGTGAGCTAATGGATGACCTCGTCACAGATGCTGTCAACAGTTTGAGAGGAGAGATTGGGAGCCGCATCGACGACCGCGCAATATCAGAGCTCACACAGGAGCTGGAGGATCTTGTCTGCAAAGTGACTGAAATTCGCCGACATGAGCTGGGTCATGAGCTGGAGAGGTGAAATCAAGAACGCGTTTGAAGGGAAGACCCGGAATGAGGCCAGACAAGATACCAAGGGGGTAATGAAGAGCCGAGCCGGCAAAAGATGCGACGATTGGCGTTCAAATCCAGACCTTTGTGAGACTTATGACAGTTTGAAAAAATGTTTTAGGACTTGAAAGTTTAGCTCAACGTTGAAGGTGGTGAGGATATGGGAGTTGCCCGACGACCCACGAGAGGGGGAATAGGAATAGGGTGGTTTGTCTCTTGTAGCACTATCAAGGCAATTCGTGAGGAGGATACTGCGATCACGTGGAGGACAGCATGGCATTTCATATTGGTGCTTTGCGACTCTATGGAAGCAAGTTGATGAAGTAGCTTAGTCTTGCAAGATTGAAGTAACGCTATCTTTTCTCTTCCTAATTTCAGGTTTGCCAATCGATGGTTTGCTAGGTACTCTGTCCCAATAGTTCGGGCGCTTGGTCTGCTAAAGTACCTTAGGTAAGGTAGGCAGCTTCCTTGGGCCCTTCCGTGTATCTACGTCGCTGCCTGAGTCTGTCAATCGGCACCTTCCTCACATTTTTGGCCAGGCTCTTGCCTCATTACTCCATTGCTCTTCCCCTCTCAGGTAAGAAGGCTTTCACCTGCCGCACACAGACACACGTACTCACACATCAGTCTCTCTCTCACTTGGTAGAAAATTCGGAATTATCTTGAGATCTTCACACTCACCAATCATTCCTCACAACTGTCTAATCCCACGACAGATTTGCGAGCCAACACCAACCTACAGTAAGGCCGCCGCATTCCGATATCAAATGATTCCGCTAATCATCAAGTTCAGGTGTCACAATAAGCCAAGATGCAGGTTCCTACTCAGGTGATCAACATCGTCGAGGTGAGTGCTCACCCTACCCACTTCAATCGAGCATGGAAGGAACCGTGAGAGCTATCAGCACCACCCATTTTAATGCTGACTTTGATTTCGCAGGTCATCCAGAAGGAGAAACAAATCCTGACTGCGCGTCTTAATGCTGCCACCAAGGCACTCGCTACTGCCATTGAAGCCCTGGAGAAGGAGAAGCACGAGCGCATCAGGGCTGAGGCGAGCAAACCCAAGATTGGGCTTGTGCCACCTCCGTACAGTAGCTGCAATCCTATTGCCTGCTATAGAGAGTACATTGAGACCGATTCGATTGCCACCAATATCACCTCTCAACGCATATTCGGAGAGTCCAAGGACTTGCGTGATCGCTTGGAGAACAAGAAATCATATTTGTATCCCGTCCACTCGCCCACCCACAACGCCTGGGATACGGAGAGGGACAATTCGATCGTTAGTGCCACCAGAACCACCTTGAAGCATATCCGTGTAAAGTCTGAGAGCTCCTTTGGTGGCTTGGAGAGCACGAAGTCATCTGGTTCTTCCTTTAATGTGGAGACCAGTAGTATCCCCGGCTCATCCTTTGGATCTGGCAACATGAAGAAGAAGGAGCTTGTGATTGGGCGGGTGCTCTTTGACGACAATTTATCTGCATTCAAGGAGTCCCTGATGAATGAACTCGAGAACGAACGCCAGAAAAGAATCGACAGCGACTTCAAGGACGAGCTTCAGGAGAATCTCGCCCATCAGCTCAAGCGCGACCTCTACCTTGAGCTTAAGCACGATCTCAAGTACGAACTGAAGCATGAGATCAAGAGCGAGATCATGAATGAGGCAAAGGGCGATGCTATTGCATCCCTCAAATGCGTTCTCGAGGCCGAAATCAAGGAGGAGATCAAGGGCGAGCTGTCCGATGACATCCAGAAGGCTCTTGAGGACAAGACCCTGGAATTCTCAAAGCAGATGCAGATAATGATTCAGGTGGAGGTTCACAAGGCTGTCGCGGCTCAGGTCAAGAGCCTTCAACCCAAATTTCGAATGGACGTCTCCAAGGATTTGAAGCGAGAGATGGGAAACGAAGTTGCCCAGGATATGAGGGATTATGCTGAGGATTCCGTCAAGGAGCAAGTTCGACATCAAGACCAGATGAGAAGAGAGATACCGAGAGCGAACGACTTCGTCAAGAAGTCTAAGAAGGCTGCAAAGAAGAATGCGCATGTCGTGGGTGGTACGTCTGCTGGTGGCGGTGTAGACGATGAGGTTCTCGCGTCTTCTACAGTTGGCGATTGCTCGCCTAGCTAGATCACCGAGCCTGAGCGGTATCCCGGAGCCTGGTCGCAGCTAAACCTTGGTCTATCTATGAGGATTGGCGAACTAGATAGCAGAGTCTGGGTGTGCTTCTCATACCGCCATCATGTGTCTCTGGGGTTTAGGAGCCGGATGGTCTGTGCTACCTGATTTTCCATTGGCTTTAGTATAGAGACAGACTGGAGGATATGGAGAAGAAGATGACATTCAGCCTACCATTTCTGACCTATGCTCAACGTTGACTTCCTGGCGTCCCCGACATGAAGATCACATGTCGCAAGATCCTTGTTTCTGGCCGTAATGATATTAGTGCACAGGAGCCTCGTTCCGAAGACTATTTGCTTATTTTGGTACGGATCACCTCAAAATCAATCCAAAGTGCGTCTAGATTCAACTTCAATTACGCCGGAGAATCCCCAGATGGGAGGTCATTTTTGACTTGAGACCGTTCTTTCCTGAAGCCTGAAGCACAAATGACTCGGATTAGTGCCATGAGATGATCCCATAGACGCTGTCGAAGTGGGCTCCTCTAAATACACATCAGACATTGACATCTCCCTTAGGGGTTCGAGGAGGGTTCGGCCCGGTCGCAAGAGGACGTGTGAAGGTGGAAAAACAACAAAGGTGCACGTCCCAACATCATACTCGAAATAAATGGCAAAAGATTGGTGGGGACAGGACTCGAACCCGCACCCTTCAGGCCTCAGTAAATCCAACAATATATGAGGGTATTCATTGATTCCTGACGCTCGCCATTGAGCCACCCCACCATGGGATTGTATTTGTTGAGAGAAGGGGCGGATAAAGCTGTAGATGAGGAGAATTTGTGATGAATATGATGAATACGCGGTAGAAGGAAGGTATGGATGTGATTCTGCGTCGTGCCTGCCAATGAAACCGCTTTCAGGATAGCAATGCACGTGATTCACCTTGAGGGGGTGCTCTAAGGTAGACCCGGGCTCTGAATCGGAACCAAAACGTGAGTACACATGGTCAGAATTGCTTGGAAGTGCTTGAATATAAGGCAATTCGGTATGCTACTAGGACTTCGAAACGCGGAACACTGTCCAGGAGGTCGAGTACAGGGGATGCTGTGTAGGAAAATACCTTTGTGATTACATTATTCAATGGGACCCTACCAAGTACCTTGTCTCCCAATGGTCACAGACGGAAAATAATGTTTTGATGCTGAGTACGATCTAATGTCCGCCCCTCAGGTCTTTCCATGGCCGGAAAAGACGGTTATCGTAAGACAAGGTGAAGTGACGCATCGCGAAGGTCCTTTTCCCCCTAGCTGCTGGCTAATCTTGGATGATGAAGCTCTGTCGCCGTGGTCTTACAGACAAGTTTCCGGTCCTATGAATCCGCAAAGCGCTACGCTTTCGTTTCTTCGAAGAGTACACTTCTGGTAGCTGTGACACGCTCCGTGATAGTTTCATGGAATGTGGATCACTCTTGTTTGCTCCCTCATATTGAACCCACAGCAGGAAGTACCTCATTCTTACATTGACCTTGTCCACGGACACAAGGAAGAGGCTGGCTGTAAGAGGCAAACAAGACCAAAGTGGTAGAAGTGCAGACCATTTGTGCTAAAAGCAACCTTTGGGAGCGCGCTCAGTCCCCCAGAGTAAGGGTGGGTAGCGAGAGCTTTGGCGATGTCACTGGACAGACGTGGTTGGCAGAGATGAGGTGGAGTGCCGCGGACAAATGGGCCCGGAAGACAAATTCTAGCGGGCCGGTCCGTGGGTCGACTCCAACTGGGCATCCGAAGTGGAGGGTGCGGAGCACGTTCTTCACCCTACCCAAGGTGGTCCCACATAGGTCATCAACGGTTCATCCAAACCATTCAGGCAGTCCATACCTCAGCTCGTACATAGGATGCCTTACTGTAATCTGACCTCGTTGTGTGCTTGGCTCGAGACACACTAGATGATTAGGCTTTCTAGACGCGCGTGTTTTCAGACGATATTACCTCAATAATCCTTTGTCGACATAATATGATTATTGTTCCATGGAGCCACGTCTGGAATCTCTAGATTTTCATTGAATAATCTTCTTTGTTAGCCCGTTCTTACCCTCAAAAGTCTCAAACGTCGTGTTTGATGCCTGGCAGGCAGGGCACACCCCGTGGTGTGGCCGTTTGTACAGAACCTGCCTCCACCCGCGATTTTCCAAAATACTCACCTGTGCCATCCGCGTCCCGCAATTTCCCCGTGCAGGTAGCAGCTCAACCACCCAAACACAATCGACTCTACATTGACCGAACAGAAATCTTGCACGATGGTGAAAAAGAAGAACCCGCCCGGCAAGAAGCAGAGAGACCGAATGAAGGCCAAAAAGGTCCGCGAAGAGACGGCCGAGATGCTGGAGAATCAGAACAGGCCCAAAAAGCAGGTTGCTACCGATGAAAAGGGCAGGAAGATGACAGTCATCATTGGGGGAGAGGCGGTATTTTTAACCCTCCGAAATTCCTTGGACTGCAGTTTGAAGTCTGTCGGTAATAGCTGACTGGGATAAAAAAGGAAATGGACGAGCTCTGGCAGCGCATGAAAACGACCCATTCTCTTCAGTGCCAAACCTCGACGATTTCCAAGAAGCTCGATGCCCTCCGGACAGCCCTTGACGATCGGATGAACGAATATGATACTGGCCACATCAAGGACACATTGAAGCAAGTGGAAATTCAGGTCAAAGGACTCACTGGACGCATGAGAGATGCCATGAACAAAAACAACCTTGAGGCTGCTGAACAAGACATCCACATCTCGGAACTGGTTCGAGCACCTCCAAGACACCCATGACATGGACACTGACAAGAGGCAGATCTTCTTCGACTTGTCACTGAATGGCCCTTTGGAGATTGAAGAGGTCGCTACAGGATTCGAGGAGCAGCTGGCCGAGGCGCAAAGAAACATGGATAAGCTTGAGCTGCAATTGGCATCAAGCCTCTGAAGTGGAAATTTCTGTCGTGCTTGAGCCGTTTCTCTCATTGACCATTGGGTGCACGGCATCTTGGACAGGGGCTTCAAGAGCATGAGGACCGTTTGTAATTCTGATGTGTAAATTGCGACAAAGTTGGTGTATAGTGAGAAGAGCCCTGCAGGAATGAGAAGTCACAGGCAGATGGCCGCTTTGTGGATCACATTTCTGTACCTACATGACGTACCAAATACTCTTTGAACATGGTGTTTTTGTTGCCCATACGGCAAGATTCTGCACCAACGGCCTTCTCCCTTGGCTTTGCTATGGGACACGATACGTTTTTTAAATGTGCCATATTCTAGCCATTCCATTATCCGAGAAATTTAACGAGACCGCTTCTCAGTGTCAGAGGCCACCTCCTCTTTCATGCTGAATGGACATTCAGCTCTGCCTCCATTGGGTCCTTTGGAACCTTTACCCGCTTCTCTAATTACCTCATCTCAAAGTCTAAGCTGAAAGAGATTTATGGCGAGACGCTTCGTTGACGTTCTTCAGTTGATTGATGAATTCTAGGATCTACCTCGGGCCATGGTTACCCACGTACTTGGAATCCGGAACACAGTGATTTGCCGCTGTAATGTTGACTGCTAGTAACCGAGGGTTGAAATATGAGACATGTGAACAATTTGATTCTTGTGATCTATTGTATTGGCCATCGATACGGAGATATTACCAGATACCCATATCAAAAGTAGGAAGTGGTCTTTCTACCAGTCCGAAGACGGGACGGCGACCAGGTCTTCTGCACAGTCTCCCCCTTCGGTTCTCCCTCGCGCCTACCTGAGCCAGACTCTCCTGCTTCACCTTGAGATTCCTTGCCCTTCGACATTCCTTGCCCTTCTTCCATATAGCCCCCGCCAATAATGTCTCCATGGCTGTGGCTCAGTCCTTAGTCTCTCGCCTGGAGCTTGGCAATCATTTCTCTCATAACAACCATCTCAGCTTGCATCTCTTTGTTGCTGCATTGCAAGGCCTTGATTTCGTCGCTTATGCTCTTGGTATCACCACCCAGCTGTCCTGATAGGGTGGAAAGATTCCGTGTATGTCCATGCGTGTCTTCTGGTTCGCGGTCGAGAACGGCGAACTTGCTCTTGAGTTTGGCGATCTCGGCTTCGTGGCTCTCCGCCGCCTCTCTCAAGCTATCGACATCCTGCCGCATGGTTGGTGTCGTCTCCACATTCTTCTTGATGTCTCGCTGTATCTCTCCGCCTTGCTGCATTGCAAGATTAAAGCTCTTCTCGATAACTCCGATTCTACGGCTGATAGCTTCCTCAATGTTATAGCAATTCTGCTCCAACGTGGGATGAAAGTCATCAACTCTGTTCCAAACGGCTCGGATAGTTCTCTCGTTGATGAGCTGACGTCTCATCATCTGCTCGGCATGATGGATGGTAAAATGATGAAGGCGGTTCCTCTAGTTCTGTGCCTGATGTCAGCGGCTTGTCGCGTCAAGAACCACGTGGATGCCCATCAGAGTCGTTTATTTGACCAAGGCTTGCTTGATAATTAGCAGTACTCACCACCTTATGTTTGCCAGGCCGGCTCTGCGGCTCTGCGTCAGGGCGATAGTCGCGTGACTGTGGCGCTGCCTCTTCAATTCCCTGCGCACTTCCAGTCGTGTCCCCTCGGTGAGACTCGTGTCCGTCTTTCGACTTCATCGGCCTGGCGTTGGTATCTGATGGCGTGTCTGGAAAGGCATTGTTCTCGGCGGCATGCCAGCGTGCGCTGGCTTCGCGATGTTTCTTCGCCTTGTGATACTTGCGTTGGTGCTTGCCTGGACGGTTCTTCTTGGCTGCCATGGGGGGCCTCGGTAATAGCGAACTGCAGCAGTGACTTGAGACAGGCGCGGGTTCAATTCGATTACGACGAAAATAAAATGCTAACAGAGAACTGCGTAGATTGACTAGCGGAAGAGGAAGAGGAAAGAAGGAAATGTGTCGTGCTGTCTACTACTTGCTGTGGGCGTTCTGGGCAGTGTGGGCAGTAAATAATGTGAGAATAAAATAAAATAAAATTAAAACAATTTCACTCAAGATGCTCTCTTTCTCTATTCTGCTTCGACAAGCTGTTATTTTCGTGCTGTCACTGCACTCGATCACTCAGTTGCCGTATGAGGCGGCAGTTCACTTAGATCAATTCATACGAGGTCGCAGCATCATCCGTCACTTAGCACACAGCCACAAGCCCTTTGAATGGTTTGATGAGTGCATTTGACCAAGCTGATTTCATTTACCACTCGTGATGTCACGAAACGGCGTCTCGGGTCTCCGTGAAAATGCTATGCTAAGCGAGAAATGCTTCTAGTAGTGTGATCATGGCTGTTCAAAATCATGGGGACGCAGAGTGCGATCCATATCTTCTAGACTTCTAAGGCAGACTTCTTGGCTTTCATGTCCTCCACATCTTTCTTCAACAACTCGATCACCTGGCACGCCTCCGCAAAGTGACGCTCCAAGTTCGCATTCTTGTTGTCTGCCTCCACCATACGAGCCTCCAAAGTCACCACCTTATTCTTGAGATGGAGAACCTCGTCCTGCTTGCGCTCAATACCTACCATCCTCTTCATGTTATCGCGATAGTCCTGCGAAAGGAAGTCGTATTTATCGCTAGCGATTGAAAGCTCAGGGCCCACCAGGTTGGCGTATTTCAGCATGTTCTTAGAGGCAAGAGTCATCTGGTCGACCTCCTGAGCCGCCTTTTCCGCCTTCCGAGCAATGTCGATGATGGAGTTCTGTTGCTCATTGAAAGCCTGGATATAGCTCTCTTCGGCGCCCGAGTGCTGGAGAGCCTGGATGACGTCTCGGGTCGCGTTTTGCATTGTGATGATTTCACGTGTCAAGGCTTTAGGGCCGATCTCTGTCTACATTCAAGTCAGCGAGGGAAACCCAGCTGAGTAAGTCCGCACCCGATATGCCCCAAAACGTGCTGCTTGTCCGCAGCCCCAGAGCGGTGTGGTCCCCTTTCGGAGAGTCTTGCACCAGACTTACTCGGGACAGAGTCCGTCTGTGCTGGGAAAGATTAATGACCACTAGCACCCTTTGGATTGGTTGCCGGCCAATCCAAACCATGAGCCCACATCGAGCAGTCAACACCATGAGAAGATCTTGCGCTGAGAGGTAGCTCTGGGGAAATGGAAGTAATATGAAAACATCATCACAAAGCGCAACCTGCCTTCATCATCACCGAAGAAGTGACTCAAGCAAGGACTGAACAGTTAAACCTCACCCTGACGCGTTGGGGCAATGTCTGAGAGCAGCGAGAGATCTGCTTCCAGACACCCCTTCGCGTCTTGGTGTAGCGCAGGTCTGTAAATTTTTCCACGCTTTGCAACGAAGATAGGCAGACTCAAAGCAAGAAGGGCAGTCGAGTGTGAATGTAGCAATGGACTTACCAGCTGAATATTGCCCGAGGCATTGGTATCGTCTTTGGTGCGGATGTTGAGATTGTCCATCTTAGCAATGAAAAAGTATTCGCGGAGGAAGTGTGTGCACGGTGTTGTTAGATGAGAGAGAGGCTTGAAGAAGGGAAGAAAGTTGCGTGTGAGAAGGGGATGTTAAATACTCGTGGAAAGTGAGGGCGGTTGATGGCTGATTGTGATCAAAAGGGCGGTAGGGTACGTACCTGGCGGATTATTTTAATCCGCTGGCTGATTGAGGGAATGGGAGTAGATTGGGCAGATGAAGAAGCAGAAAGCTGTGCAGCCTAAATTTGTATATTCACCATCACTTCAGATGAGGAGTGATTGCGGCCGGTGAGGTGGGGCGGATAGCGGACATCAGGGGAGGATCCAAGTCGAAGAAATAGTTACACAATACACACCAAATCAGATGACGCGATCAGTAAATAAGCGAGGCACTAGAATTAAAACAAATTCAGATGAGTTAGGTACGTAAGGTACTTCAAGCTATCTAAATAGGCAGGAGCAAGTGAAGTTGAAATTCCGTCGGGAAGGAACGACCGATGCTCACGTGGGTCGACGGCGGTGTGGAGCTGCCGGGTCCGGGACTGCGGTCCACACCCACACCCGACACCCGTCTGCATTCTGCCATATCGCATGTCTCTGTTCGACTTCGTGCCAGGAACTCTCTTCAATTTTACCATTCGACGAGGAAGGCGATCAGGAAACCCCTTCATAAAAGTGTACAGCTCCATTTGAAAATTGAACTTCGTCACGATCTCGACGGCGGACGCCCAAGTACTTGTATGCGTCACGCCAGACTTGGAATGTCGAATTACAGCTGCGATGCCAAGACTTGAGGTCGTAGAGGAAAAGAATATTCTAATCATCTTCATTTTGATGATATCTAGCATCCGACGCCTCGTACCAGAATCAAGCCAACATTGAACCCTTCTCAGGCTGGACAGTTTGTGGTATCGCGTTTTCCAGTGGAATCAGTCCTCCACATGGGTAATATTTAACGTCGCCCTCAAATCACACAATTTACGGGTCGCGCTAACAGTTTCCGGTACCTTACGTCAAGTATGAGAAAGCACTCTATAAATTCCTTATCAACCTTGAGAGATAGGTGACTTCTTCCGTTCAGCCTACGCGTTGTTCCGGTTGAATCGCTCCAACGAAGATACCTTTGTCTGCAGCTCGGCCACCTCCCTTTGCAACTGCGCAACGGCGCGGTGCAAACCCGAAACCTCGCTTTCCTGATCTTCGTCCAGCTTATGCGCAAGCAAGTAGACATCGACTATGGCTTCAAAAATAACCAGCTGACCCGTAGCAGCGACGCAGCGCAGCTTGTGGAAAAGTCTGTCCTTGTGCTGGTTCGTGGTGAGGATTGCGGACTTTGTTTCGGCTGCCTCGGCTGTATCATCCTTCACCAAGTCCAAGCCAAGTATGCTGACACCATCTAGAGCAAGTTCCAGCATCTTTCGAATTGTTAGTTAAGCCGACCTGAGGGGAATTGGGTGCATAAAGCAACGTACCTCGTCCGTGGTGAGTTCATGGCCGGAGTTGCTAGTCATGATGAGAATTTGAGATTGACCGCGGTGATCTGAAACTCCAACTTAGGTATTTGACGGCAGTGGATTGAAGGATTCATTAGGATCATATTCCATATAGGAAGAATCTAAAAACTCACCTACAATAGTCGAACGCAAAGTCTTGTTGCCTGGTGCTTTAGCGACAGCCAGAGGACTATGGATGCTGAAGCTGATAGACGACGTGAAAAGAGTTTCTAAGCGTAAGCTGGCTGGTTCCTTGGAGTATCAATGTGTCGATGAACAGAGACAGGAAAGGTTCTTAATTCTGACTGCAGCAGCATACTTGTAGCTATTGGCGAACTTCCTTGAGACCTTGACGCTTCAAGGGAGCGCTTCCTAATCCGCGATGAGAGACCCATTGAGCCGGATTGAGGCCATTGCATACATCAAGGAACAAGGGAGTGTAGCATACATATCCATATCACGGGCCCATGACGGTCTGACAAAAACTTTGGCTTTGTCTTTTCCGCCCCCTCATTAGTCTAGGCATTGAGTCAAGGGGATGACGGTTCCCTTCTAAGCGATTCTTTTCCCTTGACTAGCTTTGTCCACTGCCGGATGATGGCTAATGAGAACAATTAAGATCATTGAGATGGCCGAGCGAGCAAGGGGATTGATCGATCAGGCGCACCCAATAACAGACTCCTGAGAAAAGGTTTCCAAGCCATCAGAAAGTCAGCCGTCAACTCTAAAGAGCTTTTGTTCGACCCGGCTCACCCTGCTCAAATCCCTCGGCTGATCGTTTGCTTACGCCTCATGGTCTCTCCCTCTCAAATTCTGAGAGGGTCGTCACATTTCTCCTTGTCACGGTCAAGATGATCCCGGCGTCAAGTGCACGCAATGTCCTAGGTTTGTACCAAACCAAAACACAAATATCTCTATAAATATCTACATCTATATCTATAAATTCTCATGACCGCTTCAAAATATCCATTTTTATCCCTACTTTACTCATTATAACATAAAAGGCTGCTTGTGCCAGCACACGTTGACAGACAGTTTTACAATCCCATTCTTCGCTTTACTCAACGTACTTGGGAATCGTCGCCATCACGCCATCCTTGGCGATGAGCTCCATGGCCTTGGTGACCTCGTCAATGAAGCGCTGGTCGCCGCGCAAGTCGTCACCAAACAGGATCTTGACGCTCAGCAGCTGGCGGGGGTCGTTACCGCCGGCCTTGGCCAGGGCCTGGAGCTCCTCGCGCATCGGGTCGTCGACCTGGAAGGCGTTGCCCTCGTCATCGACGCCGTTGATGTAGCGGAACCAGGCGGCAGCGACGAAGCACAGGCGGCGGAAGGGGCCGGTGGTCCAGATCTGCTCGGCGATGGAGGGCATGATGAACTGGGGGATCTTGCCCGAGGCGCCGAGGGCGACGCGGGGGATCTGGTCCATGATGGTGGGGTTGGAGAAGCGCTCCATGAGGGTGTTGCAGTACTCGTCAATGTCGACGCCGGGGATCTCGGGCAGCAGGGGTTTGACCTCCTCCTGCATCATCTGCCAGACGAACTTGCGGTATATGGGGTGCTCCATGACCTCGTGGACGTACTTGAAGCCGGCGAGCTGACCGGGGTACGCCATGGCGGAGTGGGAGGCGTTGAGGAGGCGGAGCTTGTGCTTCTCAAACTGCTCGACCTCGTGGACGCCCTCGACGATCTGGACGCCGACCTTTTCAAAGGGCGGGCGGCCGTCGCTGAACTTGTCCTCGACGACCCACTGCATGAAGGGCTCGGTGACGACGGGCCAGCCGTCCTCGACGCCAAAGGTCTCTGCGAGCGACTTGATGTCGTTTTGCGAGGTGCTGGGGGTGATGCGGTCGACCATGGCGTTGGGGAAGGCGCCCTTCTCGGCGATCCACGCGGCGATCTCTGGGTTCTTGAGGCGGGCGAAGGACTCGAGCATGGAGCGGGTGATGGAGCCGTTCTTCTGCATGTTGTCGCAGGAGAGGACGGTGAAGGGCTTCTGGCCGTTGGCGTAGCGCCTGGCGAGCGCGGTGTAGAGGAAGCCAAAGATGCTGATGGGGTTGCCCTCATTGGCGAGGTCGTGCTGGATGTCCGGGTGCTCCGACTGCAGCTGGTGGGAGTTCTCGTTGTAGTAGTAGCCGCTCTCGGTGATGGTCATGGACACGATGTGGGTGTCCGGGTGGGCCATCTTGGCAATGACGGCCTCGCGGTCGTCGGGCGCAAAGAGGAATGAGCTGATACTGCCAATGACGCTGGCGTTGCTGCCCTTTGCGGAGCGCTCAATGAGGGTGTAGAGGTGGTCCTGGGCGTTCAGGACGTCGCGCATGGCGGCGTCGTTGGGCCGGAGGCCGACACCGCAGATGGCCCAGTCGGTCTCATCGTGCTTTTGGAGGAGCCTATCAATGTAGACGGCGAGATGAGCTCTGTGGAAGCCGCCGACGCCGACGTGGACGATGCCCTCCTTGACGACGCTGCGGTCGTAGGTGGGGATCTTTACGGTCTGCTTGCCCTGCTGCGAGGAGATTGAGGACAGATTGTTGCTGGTGAGCTTAAGGCTTTCCGTGCTGTGAGGCATCTTAGGATTAAGTGAACAATTGGTACAGGATGTAACTGATCAAATGTCGAGAGTGAATTAACGGAGAGGAGCTCGAGGTTGAAGGTTGAAGTGATCAAGAACACACCGCTGTCTCCTGAGTCCTGACCGCAAGTTTTTAATGAGACTGACAGCCCGATTTTTGATAAACTGGGCCCGGTGACGTTTTTGGACTGGTCCGGCCTGATAAACTGGGATCAGAGGTGGAGCTACCGAAGCACACCTTGCCACTATCACTGACCTCAACATTTTGGCAACTTGGAGAAACGAGACCTCTGTGGCTTGAATAGTCTCTGAAAACCAATCAATAGGCGCGGGTGGTGGTTTAGAGTCGACACATTTCGGTCTCAAAAATTTGTTTAATCTAGACCGAGTTACAGCTTCGAGAAACGAACGTGGACGCTGAACAGAACGAAATCCGTCCTCTCCGAAAGCCTTGCCTATATTTAGCACACATGATCAATCCCCAAACCCTTCGTATATCCGAGCTGTTGGCCCTGCAGTGGTCTCGTATTGTTACCAACGCAGCAGAGCCGTGGCTGGACGTCTAATCTTAAATTCACTCATGTGACCAATTTTTTGAGAGACATTGGCAGTGGCTCTCGAGTTCTGACTTCTGAGCTTCTCCAATTCACCTTGGGGCAATTGCTTCTCCGCCCGGTGTGCAGGGTAACGATGTTGGGGAAGCTTGTGGAGAACCCCCCCTTATTCATCGGGCCCCGGCTGGGCCAAAAGCTGGAGCACGCCCCTGAGAAAAAACAAAATCTACTGAGTGGCGGTGCTACACAATCCCGACACCGATGGCGCGAGTCATGGGTGTCGTCGATGAACTGAACTTGCTACGGCCACATACGCGGTTCTGGCCATGTGATGAACTTCCACAACCGCCAACAAGCTCACTCTTGGCATCTTTTTCTAGCTTTCAATCCTGGGACCGGCGCTGTATTTACTCGTCTGGCTACTACTTTGCTCATCGCTCGTCTTCACTGCTATCTCTAGTGGCTACGTGGTCCGACAAGGTCAAACATTTAGTGTTGCAGCATAGATGAGGACCATGCTTCTCAACGTCCAAAATGCCACGTGAGCTGTCCTGAAATAGAGACCACAAGTCGTGCGTCTCGGACTATTTTCTTCCTGCACTGGGTTGGAATGAGACGAGCGTGGTACGAGAACGACTCTTTTGTGTAACATTCACCCCAAGCTGCCTCTAGCTCTGGTAATCTCGACATGTAGCCTCACTTTGAGGCCTCGATTGGCTAACCATCCATGGGAAGTCCACATGAAGCCAATTGGCTCTCCAAATCTAATATACCCTCCTTGAAATTCCTTCTTCCCTTCTTGAATACCTCTTGAGGATTCAATCAGATCCTTGCCTTGATGTGGTCCACCCAGTCCAGCACCAACAGGATCGCGATGAAAAGGTTGATGAGGAAGGCAAGACCTTTTGCAAGAGCCGTTGATAGATCGCCGTCAAAGAAAAATCTGATCATGAAGATGAAGAAGCTCGTGACAAGGCATCTCATCATGCTCTTGAGGACGCGGCGTCGGCGTTGCAGGTGCTTCTGTTGCTCCTCATGCTTTTTCTGCTCCTCGTGCTTCTGCTGCTCCTCGCGCTTCTGCTGCTCCTCGCGCTTCTTCTGCTCCTTCTGCTGCTCCTGGACCTGCTGTTGGCCCTGGCACTTGAGTTGCTGCTCGTCCACTTCCATCTTCTCATTGTTGTCTTTCATCGAAATCTCGAACCAGTCCTTGAAAGTTTGAAGAAAGCTTGGGGTCAGAAGAGTCTCGTCCAGGACGTCTGAGGACTGAGAAGGATCATTGTCCGAGGAGGACTGCCCCTTCAGACGGGCAGAAATTTGTCGATCTCTGGCCAATCTCTTACGCTGCCACTGGTACTCGGTGAGGGCGAGTGCCAAGCTGAGCACTTCGGGATGGCCCTCCAAGCCCTCTGGAGCAATAGCCTTGATGAAATGAGGATCGGAGACAACGTCGTCTGACATGTTCGAGCAGGGCAAAATAGGGTAGTCTAGCATCAGCTTCAGAAGCTCCCGTTCCTCCTCGGCCTCCTGTGGCGTTCGACGGCGCGTTAGGCTCGCTGCCGACGGAAAAGGATAGTCGCTGAACCCTCTCGGCTGAGTTTCCAATGGATCCTTAGCCCTTTTGGAAGAGCCTTCTCCCGAAGAGTCAAGGTGCTCGGAAGCCTTGTTGCGAAGTAAAACCTGTGGCATGACAGATTCATTGATGTACCGAATGATACGGTCTTTCGCTTCCTTCGAAACCTCATTAGGCCTGCCAAGTTTCAGGCGATTCATTTCGGCAACGAGACGTTGATTGTTGAACACGGCGGGGTTGTCCTCAACGCCATCAGGAGCAGTAGCTTTGACCATGTGAGAATCGGGGTCAACGTCGGTGAGGTGAGAAGCAGAGACCTTGTTGACCACGTAGTTCGATTGGTTCAGAGGGGGCAGGTTTCTCAGCTGCTCTGGGCTGGCGAAGAGGGTGTTCTTCCACTGCTCCAAGGAACCATCCTCAGAGTCGTCATCGGCATCTTCAGAGTCATCGACGCAGCGCTCTTCTTGCAACTGTGAGAAGTGTGTGAGTTGGAAATCTTTTCATCAAGGATGCCAAACAATCCACCCATGGCATATAATTGAGGCAGTAAAAAGATGAATGTGAGGAAGGGCGTACCTGTCGCCATTTGCGTCTGCGTCTTTCAGCACTGCGGTTGCTGCTGGAGGGCAGCTCAGGGCCTCCAGGGTCGGAAGCAGACTCTGACATTGCTTAGTACTGGCCTGGCGATGATTTTTGCTGATTGTTTGTGATTTGGAGGATTGAAGGGAAGATAAAGAGTCGCCCTCCGCTGTGTGGTGTGAGGACGAGAAAATTGTGTGTTTGAGCTGGTGAGTGTGAGATGAGTGTAGAAGGTGGAACCAAGGTGATTGATCCAGGCGAGGAATGTACGCAGCTGCCTCAGTACTGTGTTGTTTATACAGGCCCACTCACTTGGCCCTCATGGCTGCAGATTTACTTATTTACCCGTTGATTTAAGGTGAGGGAGATCCTAATCCACTTTGAAGCCTGCTAATATCAGCTACAGTAGCTGCTGAAGTGCTGGCCTTCCCTACAGTCCATTGCTTACTTGAGGGGAGAGAGATTTATCTGCACGTGTAGTGTACATTTCATGTCAATGGATGAGGAGCTACATTGATATCATGGGTTAGGTGACGATTGACGAAAGCTATCTGAATCAACAGCCTCCCAGCACTACCCGCGACGTCTAAGCGTACCTATGAAGGCATCGTCTCTAAGACCAACCTCCCGGACGCTGCCATTCTCTCAATTCACAACCCATTTCCCTTGTCAGTGAGAATGAGCATTTCTTAGGCCTCTTTATATCTCCACTGGTCTCATTTGGTGGGTCATTCCTCCAGCTCCGTGTCCGCCGCCTTATCCCATGCTTCCTGGCAGTTTTCCACCCCGTGCTCAGCATAACCCTGGACCTTCCACATGTACTCGATGTCATGGGCTGAGAATAACTCAGCGCCAGGTTTCTGGCGAACAACTGCTTTTGTTTTGCCCTTTGCGACTGCAGAGTTATCCTTGATCTGCTTCTTGTTCCGCTTCTTTGTCGCAACCGTAGAGGTCTCAGGCCGTGCTATCTGGGTGTTCTCAGAATTCTCTGCAGAATTGCCAGTCTTGTTGGTATTCTTTGCAGTCTTATTCTTGTTTTTCTTCTTCTTTGCACTCTTGGTGATCGCCGTTTGTTCGATTTCGGCTGGAGCTATGTTCTCTGCAGTCTCAACAGTCTTGCTGGTCTTTTCCTTTGTCTTGAGCTTGTTCTTTGCACCCAGGGGGATCAAAGACTGATCATAGTTCTCCTTGGTGTTTGTACTCTTTTCATCCTTCTTCTTTGTCTTCTTTTGCTGCTTCTTGTTCTTGGCCCCGGCTGACGCTGCAGCGACACGTATGGGGACAATTTGAATTACCTCATCGCGCACCTTTTGTAGGTGAAGGAGCATGACCACCATTTCAATAATGGGCTTCTTGAGCTCGACCGGAAGGGGCTCTACCAGGTCAAGGAGCGGATTTCCATCCCGACCGAACCTTTTTGCGAGTTCTCGAATATCGTCGCCGAGCTCGTTCAACAATGAATCTACAGACTGTTGATACCGATGAGATTAGTTTCCGCTTTGAATTGAAGATGGGGCCGACCGATTGTAGACAGCCTGTGATGTTTACCTCTTTGGCATTGTTGTCTTCAGGTGGCAGTCTTCTCTGCTGAACACTCATGGTGATATCTGTGCTAAGAAAGAACTTAGTGCCCAGATCTTTCTGGGTCGCTCTTTCACATAAAGCTCACCGCGTGGGTATATTGGTGATGGATGGAAATCAATTCTTCAAGAAGTTTTGGGGGATGGAAGATAATTTGAGAGTTGAGAGGGTGACTTGGCACCCAGAAAAAGGTGAAGGTGCTGGAGAGGTTTTGCTGGGTCTTGAGGTCGTTGGAGATGAGCATTGGAAGAAATCGTCAGGCGGATCCCCAGAGCAATAATTAGCAGACCACAACAGGCGGCACAATGGGCAGGAGCGAATGGAATTATGGTAATGGGGCAACCCAAAAACAAAGCCCTAAATTATGATAGATCTAATGCTATGGTGTTGGCACTGCTATTCTATCTGATGCAGTCATTGGCCTTCTGGAAATAAAGAACTTTTAGTTTGCTGATTTATCCTTGGCACAGGCAAATCAACCTTTTGCGGCTGAGTCGAATCCTCTCATCACTCTTCATCCAGTTCAGGGTAGTGGCGGTAGATTCCCTGAGAGTACTTTTGTCTACGGTCGCTGGCAAGATACGCCTTGATCTTGGGCCGCTCCTTGACAGCATCGTAAAGCTCGAAAAGACCTTTGTAGTCGCCCGTTCCTTCGATTCGTTTCAGGGCATTGGGAAATGCAAATTTAAGACCGTCGACGCACTGCTCAGGTTAGCGATCGATAAAAATGATAGCCCCACTGACAACGAAAATCTTACCTGGAAAAGAACCAAGTCAGCGTATGTGAGAGAATCTCCATAAAGCCAAGGGCCCTCGCCGCTGGCCTTGCTCTTGAGCACCCGCTCAAAATAGCCAAAGAACTTGGGCAGCCGGTTGGCAATGTAATCCTTTGCCTTAAGCTTACTCTCCTCCTTCTGATCCTCATAGTACAGCCCCGTCGCGATGGGGTGGTGCGTGTCGTGAGCCTCGTTGCTAAGCCCATCCAGAGCCGTCAGCGCGAGGCCGTTGACGGTGTAGATGCCGTCGTCATCCTCTGAGATCTTGGGAGCTAGACCGAGGCGTGGCCCCAAGTAGAGCAGGATATTGGGCGTCTGGCTGATGACGAGGTCTCCGTGCTTCAGGATTGGAGGGGCCAAAGGAGGCGGGTTGTGCTCGTCGCCCAGGTTCTTGTTGTCGATCTGGGCGAGGACGGTCTTGACGCCGTCCTCGGTCTGCGCGGTGTCGGTGTACTCGGCGCCGGCTTCCTCTAGGAGGAGACGGACGTGCTCGCCGCGGCCGGGGATGCCTGGCCAGTAGATGAGCTGGTAGGACACGTCCTTGGAGGACTTTTGACGCTTTGCGCTGGGAGTGTCGGACATTTCTTTTGGTGATTTGAATATTTCAATGAGATGGATAAGCTGAGAGGAATCAATTGCGGCTCGGGGTAGGGAGGTGGTAGGAGTACGGCGGTGAGAAGGTCGGGTGTGTGTGTGAGGTGAGAGCTCGTACAAATGAACGCTGTTCCGTACGGCGGGCGGCTCAGCATGAAGTCATAGGGCTTACTCGAACCATTCCGCTGCCAGGGGCCACGGCGGGGTAGTGGGGGTTCTTGCAGCCGATGGCGGGGCAGCACGGCGCTATCGAGCCCCGATCCGTATCGCCCGAGGGGTACTGCAGCTCAGCTGTCCCCTTGTTACATTGATGTATCCACAACATAAGGCAAACAAGCCAACTACGCCCTCGAAGAAATCCATGGCGGCTTTTTTCTTTTTCAACAGAGAACCTCAAAAGAGCACACTGAGTTATCACTCCAGTAGGAAGCGTACCTGGATGCGGCATGTCCGTCTCTCATGATCCGTACATGTACCTACCCCCAGATCTATATCGCGGCACGACGTGGTAACGTTTACTCCCTCACCAGAAGGCACAAAAGCCACATCAGATAACCCGCTGAGCCAACACACACTTGTTTCCGAAAGGAGCACGATAAGTAAGTCGGCTAAGCCTCCTATGGATCCATCGACTCTAGAGCCTCCATATCATCTGTCATCATCTCACGTAAGCCTGCTGAGATATGCAGCCTGCCGGGTCTTTTGTACTCCCGCGAGGGGTCCCGAAGCCAGCACCTGTTCAGCTCCAGCCCCGCTATTACGCCCTGCGGACCTGATTCAGTTCCACTCCGTTTCGCGAGAACGATGTTTATTGTACAACTAAGCAAACCCGAGGGATTCTTGGCATTCTTTCATCTACAACAACTATGCCATGTACATGCTCAACCGTTGAGCTTTATCAAACATCGATGACCACTGGGAACCATGAGGAAATGCAACGCCGGCTCCATATCCTTGTCGCACATCCCTTCCATTTCAGATACGACTGCTTTTGGAAAGGCTTTGAAGAACCTGGCTGTAATCAGACGGAGCTCTATGCGTGCCAGGTGTCTCCCCAAGCATGCTGTTCCCATGCGTTAGCACTGGCTTTTTCGACGGTCAATATTATGAAATTCGGGGGACTTACTTCTGGCACCTCCGCCAAACGGCATGGTGCAGTCTTTCATTTCTTGTGTAGTGTGTTCCCATCTCTCGGGGTAGAATCGATACGGGTCCGGGAACGCATGTTCATCCCGGTGAAGGCTGTACGCCTGAGTCGTGACAGTGAATCCCTCGGGAATAAACTGCCCCGCGAGTTCCGCGCCGCCCGGCGGCACCAGCCTCGGAAGCCCGCACGGCAGCGCCGTATAGAGCCGCAGGGTCTCGTTGACAATCCAATTTACATACGTCAGCTCCTTGAGCTGTTCGTAAGAATAATTGTCCGGCAGGGCGTCGAGCTCCTTCATGAGCTTGGCCTTGATCTCTGGGATCTTGCACACCGCCCAGACCAGATAGATCATTGAGTTGGCGGTGGTGTCGCTGCCGCCGACGATGAACACCTGGGCGTTGTCGCGGATCTCGATGGGGTTCCAGGTCTCCTCCTCGCCGGCATTGTACAGCTTGGAGAAGACGGTCGGGTTCGGGTCTGATCCGGTCTCTTCGACGCGCTTGGCGTGGCGATCCAGAGCGCCCTGGGCGTAGTCAAAGGTGCGGTATTGGATGGCGGTAGCCTCTTTGAAGACGGGGATCGGGAGGTAGAGTGAGATTTTGGCGATGGTTGGGAACATGGACCGTAGGCCGCCGACAAAACCAAGACTGATGAAATCGTTGACAGATCGATTCTTCTGTTCGGTGCCATGACTGTTAGCACGTGGAGTTTCCCAGCGGCCTAATCAGATTCTGTAGTCAAGTAGCAACATACCTTGCCGCTTTCCAGGTTGCCAAAGGACTCGCCAAAGGCCAGGTCGCCAATCACGTCAAAGGAAAGAAACATGAACCACTTTGCAATGTCCGCCGCGCCTCGGGCCTTGTTCTCGTCACTAATACGCTGAATGGCCAAGCGAACCTTGCTGTCAATGCGAGGGAGGAACGTCTTCAAGCCAGTCTCCGACATGGGGTTCGACAACAGGCGCTTGTACTTGCGGTGGATCTCGGGACGGATCTCGTTGAAGACGCTAGAGGAGTCTGTAATGAGCAAAGAGTAGAATGGCGACTTGAAGAAATTGGTCTTGACACTGTGAATCCGTTGGCATGTTGTTGGATCAGAAATGTCGACCTCGTGTGGACTGTATCGCACCACCGGCCCGTACTTGGCGTGGAGATCATGGATCCAATCTGGATGGTGTGCGGTGATGACCTTGAACGTCGATGGTAGTGTCGTAAACCTGGTATACCATGGCCCTGGAATGTTCGACAGTGGGTTTGTGAGGCCGGCATAGACGTACTAGACGAACCCTTGTTAGTCTAGAACACGGACACGAATCACAATACCATACCGCAGCCAGTGCAACGCATACAAGCGCACCACCAAGGTAAAGGGGATTTGTTTTTAGTAAATCCATCTTCGTATCAAATTAAAAAAAAAGCTCTTTACTAGCAAGAACGGCTGCAATCTTGGTGTAGACCAACTCTCCATCAACTTTTCTTTATACCCCCACCCGGACTTTGCTGAATCTATCGACGCTCGTCGGAATCCCCCAACTCGACCGGCCAGCAATATTGGTCAGCCGTAACTCATCGTATATACAGTGAAACGACACTGACGCGTGATGCGTGTTCTACGGTTGCTTCGGGATGTTTGCTTCGGCCAGTCAGGTCAGCGCACAAGGGAACGCTGGGGCCACGGGAGGACAGCGGAAGTCATCCGGTCTACGAGGTTTGAAGCTCAGACACAGAGTCTGACACTCCCACCCGCACGATTCATACAGTACGTACCTGTAATCAAAAGAATCATCCCTAGAATTACCAGTTGCAGTAGCCCTCTTTGTGATTTCAGATGAAATACAGCACCCGCTAGTTCCGCTCGTTGAAAGACGGAGGTAGCGAAAGTCCGTTCAGGTGTCCGTCGGCTCCCCGGCGAAATTGAAGCAGAGTATTGTTTTCAGTTTGTGTCTAATTATTACCGACTTGCTCATCTTTTCTCGGCCATTTATGACCCGAGAAAGTGGTGCGTTACTTGTCCGTCTTCATCACCGTTGACAGGTAGAGTTAGGCCACCCTTGCGCCCCGTACTTGTAGATCGAAACTTTCAACTTAAATCGATCTGGTCTCGTTAACTCAAACTTCACTCGGGTGAGTTGATGCTACGTGGATGACAAAAAAGTCTACATTGGCCATCTACATCGGATAGGGCTAAAGTTGCACGGAGCGAATACGCCTGAGCTTTTCCGACCGACCGCGAGCGACAGAAAGTTTACTAGGAAATTCCTATTTAAGATTGACCTGCATAAAGATTTAGCTTATCCGCGAGTGGTATGTGCTCCGGACATCAAAGTTTGTTTCTAAAAGTGTTCATGGAAGAACGACCTTGTAAATGTAGTGTTTTGTTTCGCTGCGTAGTAAACGGCACGAGTGGAGGTGCCTAGGCCATGAGAGACACGCCGCGGACCGCGAGAGAGTTCAATTGGAGTTTCGGCAAGTACCTTGGGAACAGAGGATGATACACAGAGGTGGGAAGCTCCCGATGCAGATAGTTTGGATTTGGCGGGCGTGCCATCGCATTCGCTACTTTTGAGATAAAATGTTTCATCGCCTACTTTCCCCCATGGCTGCGCAAATGAGGCTGACTACTTGTTTGTGGCACAAGTTTGAACTCACATCAGTATGTGCATGAGGCTTTCCACTCTTTGCGTATGCGATAGCAGTGTTTCAATCGCACAAACGTAGCGAACGGTTCTCATCCGTTTATCCGACTAGCCAGTGACTGGGAACATTGTCTCAAGGAATTGGTCGCGTTAGATACAAATTCGTTTACATGCCAATTGTTACACGACGCGATGGGGCATGATACTCGTAAGAAGCGGACAAGTTGTTTCTAGACATGGAATGTGGTCCCGCAGCCAAGAAACTGGTGCGATTGAGCACACCTTTGAGTGATGTTAGATGGTGAGACATGCATAGCCGAGCTGACATGCAGCGGTAGCCGACCTGCACGATAAATGGAGTAGTGGAAGGATGATCCATCGTAGCCAATTCGAGAAGAGAGAAAGCCGAACACGCCTCAGCTGACAGTGGTGTGTTGGTACATGCACAAGGACTTTCACGAGGGAGCCTTCTCGGCTCTTTCTAGACTGGTCGACGCAGCACAGCTTACTCTCAGAGACAAGATGCTTCTTTTTAGCTAAAGGACAGCGTTTCTCAGAGCCTCAATCCCGTCAGACGCATTTGCGCTTCTTCAGGGTTCCAGGCAGAGCATTCAGAGCCGGCTGACGAGCAGCCACTGGGGAACATTCACAAATGATTCTGACCTCGGGTAAGGGGAACCGAAGCTGCTGAGCTATAATCAGGGAGTAACCTCGGGAGACTGGAATGGCTGACAGGTGACTATGACCCCAGCAACCGGTTCAAGGATACTCAATCTGTCAGGCCACATGCAGCAATGTGAGTTGAGACTATGGATGCCCAAAGAAGAGAAAGAAAAGGAGGCCGTGATTATCATTGAAAGAAGTTGCTATAGATAGCAGGCCTGTAGATGGCATCGCCTAATCAGCTGTTGAGCTTGTGAAGTGCCATTGAATCAATCCTAGCAATGATTCCGGGCTCGAAATGACGAATCCTGCATTGGAAATCCACACTTGCTACTTTCGTCTCCGAAATTTCGACATTTCAATTAACTGCGCAACTGGTGATTGTTCTTTAATTACTAACTATTGCCCTTTGTTGCGTCGTCTTGTTCCGCCTTTATACCAATTTGAAAGCCCTCAATCCCCATCTTGGATTTTCTGTGAGACTGGGTCTGATTTCCAATTCTGGAATCAACTAGTCGTGTGAGAGTTGGAGCGAAATGGCCGTATTGTAATACCTGAGTAAATCACATGTGTTTGGGTTCCCTTGCTGTTGCGTGCCATGCAACTTGCTTACTTCTTGTCGACTCAATTGAGAGGTCAAAAAACGGCCGTGTAAGCAGATTGCAAGGCGTCACCGATTTCAAGTAGTACCTGTCAGGCAACAACGAAAAGATTTATCCTGCTTTTTGCAGAAGTCGTAACAGCTGATTACTTGACGGATAGCAGCAGATCAGTCTAGACAACATTTCACACCCTGGACCACAGAGTACGTGGCAAATGTCTAACTACACTAGGCTGCCGTGCGCCTTCAACGTCAAATCTCGCATTGGTTGGCAGGCACGCAGGTCGAAGAGGCATCGTCGCACAAGACTGGCTTAGATGTCTCAAAATCAGCCTGGTGTCCCATCTCGAAGTAGGATTCGTTGATTGAATTTCTTGGCAAGCTGCTTGTGAGACCCCTATTATGCTATCCTTTTTCCATATATAAGTAGTTGCTAGACACTTTCGAGCTTTGCCAAATGTCCCGTTTCTTGTTTCCTCCATATCTTGACCGGCATTCTGACTACCTTGGATGCTTCATTTCTACTTGTGTCTTCCTTGACGTTCTGTTCGAAACACGCCGTGATGAGCTCGCCGCATTTAGAACTCCCTTTACAATACAGTAGAACCAGCTCAGATGAGCGCGAAACTCTACTGGTGTCGTCCAATATCCCCACTTCATATATTCCAGCCGTTCGTGTGGAAGATCTCTCAGCGTTCATACCGCTTGCCGATACACAACCTTGCACTGCGCAGACTGGAAATGACACTTCAACCAGCCGTCTCTCGACTCAATCAGACTCATCACAGCCGGCGCAGAAGGAACCTATCTGTGACGAATGGAGACACGCAAAAACCATTTCGCGAACAAGCTGGTCTCGTTTATCTTACGGATGGCTCGTTCATCTACCCGCTCTGGCGACAACAGGGGCCGTCCTTGCCGTGGGCACGTTGGACATCTACTGGTACTCAGATCGTGGTCCAAGTCCAAATGGGCGTCAAATGGACCCTGATACCATTGCCAACGTTTTGCAACTCGCAGCGAAACTGCATGAGATATTGATTGTTGCCTCACTCTCGGCCATCATGCTGTCCATGTTCCGCCGCCGTCTCATGACGAGTGGCGTACGTCTGGGGTTTCTCACCGGCGGCTACCGAGCTGGTGATTTGTACTATCTCGGCACATCGGCATTCAGGCGTCATGGTCTTCATCTACTGCAAGGCTGGGACCTTTTTCTTGCCTCTTTTCTCGTATTCACGACGGTTATGTCGACAGTCGTTGGCCCAGCATCGGCAGTTTTGCTTGTCCCTACCTTGGGATGGTACAACTTTACCGGTTCCGGTTTTGACAACGATGAGCTACAGCTTGCGTCTTATGTCACGGCAAAATACGCCTCTTCCAAGAAACCGCCCCCGGTACATATGGCGGCTTACCAATGCGAGAATTTCGAAGGCGTTTACCAGGAAGGTTGCCCAGCGGCGGGCTTCTCGCAGATATCCAGCTGGATTTCCAGCTTCGGGTCGACAGACCTCACTAATAACCTTACCTTCCAATCAACATCATCCGATATCCGCCGGCATCTACTATCGACTCAGGACGAGCCCTCCATTAATTCAGCTACGCTGAGCACAACCCCAGCGCATCATCTCATGGCAAGCATCGGCCTGTTCCAGAAATACATCGACAATGTCAAAATTGGTGCCATCTCGGAAGAGTCTCGTTACCGCCTCATTACCAGATCGTCGTCTCACGGCAATGTTTCGATTTCCCTTCATCAGCCGTTTGTACAGTCCAAATGCGATGTATACAACAAGAAAACGCTTTGGGAATCAAAGGACAAGGCTTACTACCCTGTCGACTTCATCAACTGCTACGGCAATGTCGACTGCGATCGTGTCAAAAAGCACGGGAAAGCGTACGCTCGTCCCATAATGACTGACCCGGCGTTTGATGATGACTCGCTGATCACAAACTTCATGACTTGGAACCCGAAATACAACATCTCAGTTGTCTTCTTGACCGGACAGCTCCCAAACTCCACAATAGTGAGAGACAAGAAGGTGGAGGAGCATCTCATCTACCTCTGCACTCTATCCGCCAGCTGGGCCCCTTCGACTCTATCCCTTGACCCAAAGGTAAGCGACGTCCTCCAGTCTAGTCTCGATCACGATTCCATGCGCGCCTTGTACCGTAACGTTCAGACAAGTACTATGCAAAATCCAAACGTCCACAGCATCCCGCTCTCGAACGAGTGGCTCCATCATCTGAACCCTTCCTGGGCCTTCGCCGACAACTCGGCAAACACGACGGCGCTGTCCCGCATCGTGTCGACCTTCTCCGCCAAGGACAGCCTTAATGGCACCACGCGATTCCTCTTCGCACCCGTGTCAAGCGTATCAAACGATACGGCTGCCGAGGCTCTCCTCGCCAAGGTGTTTGGCGTGTTCCTGACCGAGGGTCTCGCGCGTCTATATTTTGGCGCCACGACGGGCGTCATCACCAAGAAGGACGACACGGAACTGGCGTTTCTCAACTTCAATCAGCAACACGGCGTCAAGAGCGGGAGTTACAAGTTCACGCCGTTCAACGCAACACATCACCGCTTTGAGTATAGAGGCGTGACGACGGTCGCCAAGGACTCTTTCGAGACTGTAAGGAAAAGCTTTGATACCACGCTCCACATTGATCTGCACGCGGAGAGATTCGGGTACGGCACGGGGCAGCAGCGCGGCACTCTGATGTTTGCGCAAATCTTGATGTACATTTACCTGGGAGCCGTTGCGGCATACGGCACCTCGATTGCGGTAGGATGGGTACTCGAGTATTTTGGGGCGGTATTCAGGGGTAAGCGTTTTCATATGCTGAGTGTGGTCCCTTGGGCAGATTTGCAGGATCTTGTCATCCTCTTGCTGCAGACGCCGCCGTCTTGTGACGAGAGTATGAAGCATGCCAGTGTAGGGGCGACATCTTCCAAAGTCTGGGAGAAGATTGTTAGGTTGAAGGCGGATGATGAGCTCAAGATGACTTTGGTGTTGGATGAAGCGGACGATTCTTTACCAATCGATCAGACAGGACGGCATCGGTACTTTTAGGGGCTTGGTGTAATGAGCGCTATCGAGATATGCATGACACATGATGTGTTATAGACGACTATTTATACGCTACCATTTGACAGCAGATTGATTGCATTTTGACTCGGGGAGTATCTCACTCTTACCTTGATATATTGTCTATAATTGAATGCAAAAGAGTCTCTCTATGGCTTAGCCTAGGCTAGGTAGGCTATGAGACCCAGCAGCTGGATCAAGAAGGTACCCCAGAGGGTCTGTTACTATTTTAAGAAGAAGGTGTATTGATTCAACTGTACAGCATGCAAAGTTGACGTTGCTCTCTTTCCGCTAAGGAGACTACCCGTAGTTATATATCTATACACATGCAGTGTGGGCCAACGAGAGCTCCGGAAGATGAACGACACTCAAACCTAGCGCCAGCCCAGCACGCCTCGGCAACTTTTAGGATTGAGACCCTTGAGACATTTTAGCTAATAGCTAACAACCGTATCAAGGGTCGGAAGTTGCAAACGGAAGAAGTATTTCCTCCATCAGCCGAGCTAAAAGTGGTAGGTTCAAATGTGCTCAGAAATCGAAATACGGGTGGAACGAAGCAGACGCATACCGATTCGTCTATATGCGGGAATGACAGTGTCTCTGAAATCCGCAGCATTGCATTCCGCGATGTCTAAGGAATGAATCCCTCGGACTCGCCACAGATGTTTGCGGGAATTTCGTTGTTCATGCTGGATCTTTCGGCTTTCGGTAACAAATCCCCCCCACACGAGAAGCAGTTATTCTAAATAGCCATTCGAATCGCAGGTGAAGCGCATATCATGTTCAAGAGGCTCAGATGGAACGTATGATGGCAGTAACAGCTTCCACGGCAACTTTTGAACATCCCCGGAATTTTACCCCTCAAGGTGAGAAAGAAATGGTAGTCCTCTTTGCACTGGGTACAGTAGGTCTCGTTTCTATGGAGAGCATCTACCTGTAGTGTCGCCTGGCTCACAAATAGTTCACACGTAGCGCCGGCTTTACCTCGAGGCCTATTCGTAGTGCCGAATATTTAGTCCATTTTCTGCAGACGCCCAACGGTGGCAAGTTCGTCTTGGTGCGCCAGGATCGGCAGAGCTAGCACTGTAGTCTGACTCGTGAAGCCACAACGGCGACAGATCAACAAACACGATTATTGATAATCGATCAGTGTGCTTAGAAATATTGCAGTCCGGCGGGGAAACGATAGGATGGCATTTCCTTATCTTGTCAAGAAGGAGTGACCAGGTCGCCGGTAACGCATATGCAGACTTGAGGTGTAACGATGGAACGGCTGAAGGTCAAAGTCATCTATTCGGACTTGCGGACACCGCCTGCAGGGGTCAGAGGCCCAATGAGACGTGATTGGAATGATCCACATGTTGCTGATGTGACCCAGCCATGCTTGCTCCGTTCCATTTCGCGGGGGTTCAAAAGGTCTGTGAGGGGAAAAGATGGGATTTTTTGTGGGTTGCATGAATGCCGGGCGAATTCGGGCAGAACTTTTTTTTTGAAGCCCATGGGGAAACCCAACTTTCAAGAGGAAGTCTATCCAAACAAACAAATTTATGATTTGATGGGCAACGAGGAAGCAGTGGTGGTTTGGGTCAATGGGATAAAAGCTTGATTCGACAACTTTAATGATCCGTCGACGGGCTTCTAGAACGTGTCATTGTCGCACCAATTGTTACCCATGTCTCGAGCGCTACAAATCAGGGTTTTTCAGGCATCGTTTCCTTGATATTTGCAATCTTGCCAATTTTTCTCGTGCCCCCCCACATGAAGCCTAGGAGAGCCCTGTCGCGACGCCAAAAAGGGACGAACGAATTCTCGCGACGCTCTGTAACAGGGTGAGTGGTCCAGTTCGTATGGGTCTTGCTGTGCCGGTCTACGAGCTAGAAGGCCTCATCGTGGGCTAGCACCAGTCGGAAGTCTTTGCTTTCTTGTCAGTGCATCTACACTAGCGTGACTAGCTCGTGTTGCTCGCCGACTTGGCATCGCTCGATCGGTGCGGCCTCCAGCCTGTCTGCGGCGCTGCCACCAGGTCGACTTCCCAACCTCCCCCCCCCCCCCCCCCCGCCCCCCCCCGCCCCGCCCCCCCGCGCCATCTTGTTTTGCCCCCCCCGACACCCGCGCGTCCCCCCCCGCCNCCCGCCCCCGGCCGCCGTGGGGGCGGACCCCCCCCCCCCCCCCCCCCCCCCTGGCGCCTCACGGAGCGCCAAGCCGGCGAGATATTTCTTGTCATCAGCCAAGAATGCGGCTTTCGCATCCGGACCGGGACCTGTAGCTGGCGGGAGCTAGGAACGAGCCACCAAGCGGTCAGGCACGACGATGGGGGGATCTGGTGGTCCCGAAGGAGAAATGGTGCCAGCACGTGGTGATGTGTCAGACCACGTTCTCTGTAAAGTAATAGATACAGCAAGACCAGGATCTTGGCCAGGGGTAATTTCAGAAAGGATCTGAAAAAAAAAAACAATGAAAAAAAGGATACCAACTGTCGTTATTCCACGGATATCATGGCCGAGTGCGACCGGACCTCGCTCACGCTCGCTCGCAACAACACGAGCACACGAGTAGCTGTTCCCGTCATGTGCCGCTTCTAGATTTTCCCGGCCCCCTGGCTGGACCTTGACGTCAGCCCACATTGCGCTCAAGTCCCAGCAAAAAAACCTTCCCCAATCCAATCCCCAGAGGGAGAAATTTTAACAACTGCTTTCTCCACGCGGAGACTCCATACATACGTTTCCGTCGTCGTCACGAGAACGACCGGGTGCGGGCTTTCAAAAGTTCGGACTGTCACCGAGTGGATTCAGGACGCGGTGCCGGGAGAATTTTCGGTCAAACCACCCCCCCCTTCTGGGCGGGTCTCGCACAAACACTATCCTGCGCGGATGTGGAGTCGCGAGTCAGATGGGAAGAAGAAGAACGTTGTCGCGGCCTGATCTCCGGGGCCTGGGGAGGGCCCGGAGGAGGGGGGCCAGGGGGACCGGGGGGGCAAAGGGGGGGCCAAACACACTGCAACCCAGTCTCCGCGTCGCCCCATGGTCACGCTGTGCATGTGAGAAAGTCTGGAGCCCCAAGGGCAATAGAGCTCAGCGCCCGCAGCAGCTGCCCTCCACCCTCCCATCCTCCCATCCCCGAAATCCCCCCCCGCCCCAGCCTGCTTAATGTTCTCCAAGAGCGTGTTCCTGGGGTCTCTCCACTGGAGAAGAGGCCTGGAATTGCGGACAGTGGCCGCTCTTACTTCGGCCCTTTCTCTCCAGGTCTCCACACGAACACCAGACAAAAATTTCGGATGACGATGTTGGTGTCGAGGTTAGACAAAAGGCACGTTGAGAGTCGGACGAGGAATCCACATATCCATCAATGCCGTCTCCGGGTTGGCTGGCGTGCAATATTGGCCGCTTTTATTATTCATCTGCTAGCGTGTCGTCGTGTGTCGTCGTGAGGAGTCTGGAGTATGGAGGGTGATTTAAAAGCCCGGCTCGTCCCAGTGTCCTGGTGTTAGTCGTCTATGCTTGGCAGGTGTTTTTATATTCCCCCCTCCCTCCGGACCATCAGAGCCGCATTTCTTAGCATCAGCCTTAAACCAGATCTATCTGCCATTACCCCTTTGGGCCAATTTTTTGTCTAAACGAGGTCTTGGCTCGCGACCGCGCGGGAAAACGCACAACAAACATGCACGGAGTCACACTCGCCCCGAAGATTTCGGGCAAACACAACCCAGACAGCCAGAACGAGGCTCACGTCGAGAACCTCGCCAATGCTCTTCCCGGTGTCAACGAGAAGGACGCCGCCGCCATCGCCGCGGCCGGTGGATGGGAGGTGGACGCCTTCATCGACAGCATGGACCGGGAGTTGGAGGCCGCTGGTGGTCTGAATAAGGGCTTTTTCCAACTCGAGTTTACCAACACCAAATACTTCACCTGGCTCATTGTCGCCTTTGCCTCCATGGGTGGTCTTCTGTCCGGTCTCGACCAGTCTCTCATCTCGGGCGCCAACCTTTTCCTCCCGGGCGACCTCGGCCTGACAACCCGCCAAAACTCCCTCGTCAACTCTGCCATGCCTCTCGGTGCCGTCGGTGGCGCCATCATCCTCAGTCCCTCGAACGAATACCTCGGCCGAAAGATGTCCATCGTCATTTCCTGCATCCTGTACACTATTGGTGCTGCGCTTTGCGCCGGCGCCCAGAACTTTGGTGAGTCCATCGACATGCCCATCCCTCGAGTACATGTCTATTCCGAACCTGGCTGACCAATTTCCCAAAGGCATGATTGTTTCCGCTCGTGTCATCCTTGGCATGGGTGTCGGTCTCGAGGGTGGTACTGTCCCCGTCTACGTCGCAGAGACCGCCGAGCGCCGCATCCGTGGCAACGTCGTCTCCCTATACCAGCTCAACATCGCCCTCGGCGAGGTTCTCGGCTACGCCATCGCCGCCATCTTCATCCACGTCAAGGGCAACTGGCGCTGGATTCTCGGATCCTCCCTCCTCTTCTCCACCATCATGTTCGCCGGCATGCTCTTCCTGCCAGAGTCTCCCCGTTACCTCATGCACAAGGGCCGCACGCTCGAAGCCTACAAGGTGTGGAAGCGCATTCGCGGTACCACTACCCCGGAGGCCAGGGAGGAGTTCTTCGTCATGAAGGTCTCCGTCGTGGACGAGAAGCAGCAGATCGCCGAGGGCGCCAAGAACAAGCGCTACCCCTGGATGGACTTCATCACCGTCCCCCGCGCCCGCCGTGCTCTGGTCTACGCCAACATCATGATTCTCCTCGGCCAGCTTACCGGTGTCAACGCCATCATGTACTACATGTCCATCCTCATGCAGCAGATTGGCTTCAACGACGAAAAGGCTACCTACATGTCTCTTGTTGGTGGCGGATCCCTGCTCATCGGTACCATCCCCGCCTGCTTCTACATGGAGAAGTTTGGTCGTCGGTTCTGGGCCAACGCCATGCTTCCCGGCTTCTTCGTCGGCCTGGTCATCATTGGCGCCAGCTATCAGATCCCCACCACGACCAACACGACCGGTGCCGTGGCTTGCTACCTCATTGGTCTGGTCCTCTACATGGGCTTCTTTGGTTGCTACGCCTGTCTCACCTGGGTTGTTCCTTCTGAAGTCTACCCCACCTACCTTCGATCCTACGGCATGACCACATCCTCTGGTCTGCTGTTCCTGTCCTCCTTCGTCGTCACCTACAACTTTTCCGCCATGCAGGACGCCATGACCCGCACTGGTCTCACTCTCGGTTTCTACGGAGGCATCGCCATCTTGGGATGGTTCTACCAGGTAAAAATACATCCAATCTTTCGAATCATCCATCAAACGCAGACTAACACATCACACAGGTCATCTTCATGCCCGAGACCAAGGACAAGACTCTCGAGGACATTGACCTCCTCTTTGAGAAGCCCACCCGTGAAATTGTCGCGATGAACATGAGGAACACCACCCAATCTTTGGGCAACTTCTTCATGGGTCGCTGGGGCAGCAAGGCGCAACAGCCGACCCGCGAGTTCGAAGTTGAGGAGAAGAACAAGGAGCTTGCCGCCTAAAGCCTCAAATGTATGTTATGTATAATGAATTGGCTGCGGCCGAGATAGATACCCTGATACTTTATATAATGCCAAGAGTTTTGAGACCTTGCGAGTACCTTGCGTTCCTTTCGGTGGTGTAGATGCGGATCCTCCTGTGCATGCCCTCGCGCTCCTTGATTGGCCTGTACATAACTCCGGCCTGTCCACACATTCGGGTCCTGACCCGATTCCGCCCCGTTATCGTGCAGCTTTTTGCTGCAATGTGCTGCAATGATGAAAGAAGGCGTCTAGAAGATCTTCGTTGGCACTGAGAGTCTTGGATGGATCTCTAATTGTATCAATGATAAAGTGACTCAACGCTTTTGTCCTAGATGCTAATATCTTGCTGAACAACATGCATCTGATAAGGTCGCTTCTACCGCAAGTCATCCCCTCAATTCAACAATGACGAGCGCTGGCGCAGCAACCTCCCGTCCCCGCAAGACTCGTTGCTCAACTTGAACATTAGACAAATGGCTTCCATTGCTCTTCGCACCAGTCCCAGAACTTGGTGAGATGGCCAAGCCCCCCGTCCGCCTCAGGCTTCATGGCCCTGATGAGGTCCTTTCTTGGGCAATCTGCGTCGATGCGAATTCGTCCCCAAGGGATGACATACGCGCCATTGTTGTCAAGCGAAATCTCCGGGGACAGGCCGGCATATAACCCAGTATAGCCACCAAACTTGGTCTCGTGCAGGACGCGATTGATAAAGAACATGGCAAAAGGCGGAACGCCTTTGTACGAGCCAGCCTTCAAGTTCCCAGGGTTCTGTATGACGCTGATAATGTTATCGGCACCATAGCGGTCAGCCATCTCGCGGCCTAGCAGCCAATTACCGAGCTTCGACACGGCGTAGTTGCGCGAACGGTCTGGCGTGCCATCGTCGAGCAGGGTAAAGTCGATGCCGTTCTCTGGAGTCGTCGACTCCGCCATGTAACTCGAAGTCCACACGACCCGGGCCGAACCACCGGGGGCTTCTGCCGCTGCCGCACGGAGTTGGGGCAGGAGAAGATGCGTGAATAGCTGGGCGGCGATGCAGTGCAGGCCGATCATGGGCTCGAACCCTTGATTTGTCTTGGCGCCTTCTTCTCCCCTCAGAGCGCCCATGCCGGCGTTGTTCCAGAGGACGTGGAGCTTGGGCTCTTGCTGCGCGAATGAGGCGGCGGCTGATTTCACGCTCTCGAGATCATTTAGATCAAAAGGGAGAAAGACGATGGTGCCGGGGTTTTTGGGTGCTGGGGTAGCGGTTGTGATGGTCTCTATTGCCTTGTCGGCGCGTTCCTGCAACAGGCCGTTTGGGTCAGTCTTGGAAAGAAAGGTTTTCAAAACTTACAAAACTCAGATGACTGAGACTAGACAAGACCAAGATAGAAAAAGCCTTTGGGGGTAAAAACAGCCCGAGAGAGGGGGGTGGTTGACAACTCTCCAAAGTATTGGGTTTGCCCATTGAGACTCACTTTGGAGCGCGATGCCATGTAAATCTTGGCGCCAGTTGCAAACAAGATATTGACGAGCTCGAAACCAATGCCGGCATTGCCGCCCGTGACGATGAATACTCGACCTTTTTGCGATGGGACATGCTGCTCTGTGAAAGTCGGTTGTGGTGGAAACCACTGAGAGCGCATGTTGCGCAGCCCGGCGAGAGACATACTGGCTACCTCTTGAGCCCGAGGTTGTACAGAAACCCAGGTTCTCACTTATTCTCAATAATATTGGAATCCTGGACGTTGTTTGTGTCGTGATGTCCTCCTTCTGAGGCGTTGATGAAGCGACGAGGCGTTGGACGAGATGAAGACGGTGCATACAAACATTTAAAACCTTTGAGCTCACGATTCGGCCGAGGAATAAAAGCTGATCTTTTTTGGTTGATATCTCGAAGCTAAATGGCCAGAAGCTCTGTTCATTCGTATGCGAGGTGGACCCTAGACGTACAGGTTGCGGACGATTCTCCTCCTGTCAGACGAGATATTATAAACCAAGTTACTTCTCACTGGCAGTGTGCATCCCATTGAGGTAGTCATGCTTACCCGCCAAGCATATCTCGCGTCCCACCATTGGGTGGCCTTACGAAATTATCAAAGACCCTGGATAAACGTTGATGAACACCCTTGAAACTCCGCATTGAGTTGGGCGGACTTTTAAACAAGTACTGAGCGCTTCTCATCTCACCGTTCAATTCTTGTCTCACTTTTCGGCACTATGATCTTGGTTGTGGCTTAGCGAGGAATGCCGGAGTAGAGAATCAAATACCACTTTGAAGTTGAGAGGAATGCAACATCACGTATAGTAAACAGCACATAACAGGTGCCTTGTTGTTTGAACTTGAAGCCTCTCAATCTATTTTGTACGTGGAATCCATCCACTTATCACTCTGTCTCTATCATGGTCCTATTCCCCGCTGCTATGTCAGGCGCATAGCTAGTTCCCATACGGACGTATGCTGACATGTATCAGATCAGGGCAATGAGCCCACGAATAATCCAGCCCCACAAGCGCCAACTACCTTACCCATTTGGCCATTTGCGTGGTATCGACGACCAATTGTGATGGCAAAGACAAATGAACCGTCAGCCTTATGAGTGGGCGTGCTGCGCCCAGCCTGTCCTGCATGACAGGAGCCAAGAAACGTACCGGCGCATCCTCATGACTCCGCGTGCTGCTCGGTCGCTGCTTGGGCGAGCCCGGTATTCCTTATCAGTGTCCGTAAAAATGTGTCTTTTCTACCCTCCCTCGGCCCACCCCGCACACAAGGTGAGTAGTTGTCCTAGAATCTTACACATCATTTCCACCACACGTCCGAACGTGAAACTGTAGTCATACTGGTCGCTCCGATGGACGCCCTTGCGGCCCTCGATACCGCGGGACACATCCTAAGCGCAACAAGTTTCATTACAGAGATTGTCTCAGCTGCTCAGGCTATCGCACATCCGAATGGCAATAATGAAGAAACCAACCTGGACACTCTCGAAAAGTTGACCATCGCTCTGTCAGAGAGGCAGATTCTGCCCGGTAGTGATCTTGAGCCAGCAGGGAATCCGCTTTCGCTGCAAGATCTGCTTTTCTTGCGGGATGCTTCCATTGCGCTTTTGCGGAATGTAGAGTCCATCATACGACGATCACCCGAGAAGCCAAGAGGCCAGAGAAATACCCGGGACGTATTGGGATCTCGGCTGGCGGACACGCACTACAAGGACGAATCTGCTCGGCTCAACACTACTGTGACGCGTCAAGTCGTCTTGATTCTAAAGTACGCAGTGTGAAACCATCGCTATCAGACATTCTCGACTCTCTAATATTGTGTGTTCTAGCTCTCGTTTATCCCAACTCAGTCAATCATTGAAAGTATTAGAGAGTGAAGGGCGATATGCTCGACCAGAGCATGAATCCCGAATCGATGTTATGTCAAGTGACTTGGAACACTTGAGATTGCAAGCACAGAAGCAACTGACGGATCCAAATGCAAGCTACTCGGAGGCCGACGTCAAACAACTCAAAGTCCTGCTCGCTAGGTTGACCGAGTCAGAGGACGCCTTGCTCGCCGATACGATTGTGTCGAGTCTGAATTACAGCAGTCGACCGGCTCGCCTAGATTCCATTTCGCAAGCCCACCAGGATACGTTCCAATGGGCCTTTGACTCTCGGTTGTCAGAATGGTTCCTCTCTGGGAGCGGAACCTTTTGGATTTCAGGCAAGCCCGGCTCTGGCAAGTCCACCTTCATGAAATTCATCACCAAACATGCTCGGACGAAGGAGTTGCTGGCGCGCTGGGCAGGCCCGTCCAACACGCTGGCTATTGCAGCGCACTGTTTCTGGATCGCGGGTACGCCAATCCAGAAATCGTGGCAGGGGCTTCTCCAGTCTCTGCTCTATGACTTGCTCCATGGACATCCGTACGCTGTGTCCCTGGCCTGCCCTACTCGATGGGCAGCCGCCAAGGCTGGAAGATGGCAGACCGCTGCCGAACCTTGGTCCGTGTTCGAGCTTGCTGCCGCGTTGCGATCCCTGGCAACGGCCGATCACGTCCCGCTAAAGATGTGTTTCTTCATCGACGGACTAGACGAGTACGACAGCAACCACGCCGAGCTCTGTCAGGTTCTCCTCGATATGGCTAAGTCTCCCCACATCAAGATGTGTTTGTCCAGCCGTCGATGGCCCGTGTTTGAAAGGAGTTTCGGGAACAAGGACCAGGAAAGCCTTGATATTCACGAGCTAACACGGAACGACATTCGAAAGTTTGTAAATGATCAATTAAAGGCTGATCCTCGTTGGATTCTCGAGACATCCGAACATGCTACCCTCGAGAAGGCTGAGCTCGTCAACCGAATCGTGACTCAGGCTGACGGGGTGTTTCTCTGGGCCTTCTTCGTTACGCGGTCTTTGCGAGAAGGTCTTTCGAATGGTGAGAGACTCGAAGACCTGAGCAGACACTTTAGCCAACTACCGTCAGATTTGGATCATTTATTTCAGCATATGTTGGACAGCGTGAATCCTACCGACCATCGCAAAATGGCAGGCATCTTGCAGGGCGCGGTGCATGCCTTGGAGCCGCTTCACATTGATCTTTACTGGCAACTGGAAAGAGAATTAGAGGATCGCAATTCGCCTTCTCGAAAGATGGAAACGCCAAAACTCACGGAAGGCGTTGCCCTGCGCAGAGAGAAAACCATCCACAGCATCAACGAAAAGACAAAGGGACTGCTCAAGCTTGTCAACGACCGAGTCGAATTCCTTCATAGGACCGTAAAGGACTTCGTTTCGACAAAAGATATTGGCGACTATCTCCGGAACAAGCTCCCGGCTGACTACAATGGCTTCATCTCCATTGCTGCTGCATATCTTGGATTTCTTCGAGCCACGCGTCAGGACAAATCGCTCGTCGCAGACATCATCAGGCAAGGGCGAGGGATGAATAGCGGCCCATTCATTGCGCATCTGAACCAAGCCCTACTTTACGCGTCTGAAGCGCTGAAACAGACAGAACAACCTGGCTCGAACCAGAGTCAGCAGGTCGAGGAGCTGCTAGACGAGTATGAGGCAGCCATCGTGACCATGGTCAGCCTCGGCCAAGTGACTGTGAGGGGCGTCAACTCTCGCGGCTGCGATGCGAGAGTGCTGTTCCGCGAAGAACTCCTCCGGCACGACTTGGCACCGTATCTGGCAAACAAGATGCGCCAGGTGCCGGACTTCTTCGACGTGTTCGACGAGTCACCCCTATTCGCAGCGCTTGTGCCCATGTCCCGCGACAGTGGCGAGAGTCCGGCACCCGCATCCAACGTCCTCGATATCCTTCTCCGCCGTGGTGAGGACCCAAACTTGCTGCCGCGCGAATGGAGTATCGCGGGCGCACTCGATGCACCTTCGCCATGGGTCCTGTTCGCGCGCAGCACCATGTCCGTCTTCAACACGCTGTCGGGACCGTGCATGTTCCCTGCCCTGCGATGGAACGACGCCCTCAAGAATGCCACCTTTAGCCGCCTGCTGGCGCACGGCGCGGACCCCAACAAACCTCTGCTGGACCGCTCGGGGGCGCGCACCGTCTTCTCGCACTTTTTGGATATCGCTCTATCCAAGTTCCTCTGCGAGGAATGTTTCGAAGACTATCTCAAAACTCTAGACTCATTTTTGCGAGCAGGCGCAAGTCTGGGTGTGCCCGAACCGGCGGCCACCGAGGACGGTTCACGCGTCGATGCCGCCTTTGGGAACCTGGCGAGAAGACAACCAGACGAGTCCATCCTGGCGTCGTTTTGCAACGAACTCAAGGGCCTCTTGGCACGATTAGCAGCCGACCCGCCGAGAGCCACATTTACCATGTCTGTCTTGGAGAAACTTATACTGCACTGTCGTGGCAGAGAAGAGGACCTGAGTGAGCTAGGTTTGGCCATATCACAAGGCTGCCCCGCCCATGTCAGCGAACCCCTAGCACGGTTGATCGGTTCTGAGAAGGCTCTTCGTCACGGACGGGAATCTACGCTGGAAAGACTCCCCAAACGATTAAGGCGATCGTGATATATTTGATTACAGGGTTGAAAGCTCGAGGCGGGAATAATGATGGAAATGATCCCTACGTCTCATCTGTGTCGCGTCTTGGAAATTCAGGGAAGTGGTTTGGCATGCGATGCGGTAATCCATCATAAGTACATGTAAGTAGAAGTTGCTGAATAAGTTTAATCACAGTGTTCCAAGTGTGTGGCGCCTCTAATTACTTCGCCAACACAAGTCATAGATAAAAGATTAGCTGTCTTTAAATAATGCTCATGGATCTTTGTCGTTGATAATCTTAATGGCCTCATTGGCCGCTACTGTCGACAGTATCCGTCATTTACGATGATACCCATCCTCTCCGGCCGAACCCCCAGCATCTGTTCACCTAGTCTCGCGGCCTCCGTATAAGCCAGGTCCAGGTCGTCGACGCGCATAGCTTGTGTGACAGCAAGTCTCTGCTAGAGGAGCGTTATATGCAGACATGGACTGTTCTTCTTTTCGCACGCTGACCACTGGTGGGTACCCTTACCTAGCACTGTACCTCTATTGTAGTGTACATTCAATCAACGCAATTCCACCGCGAGCTCCATGCCTTTGCGGATCCTGGGGGCGAACATGGTGCTCCCCACACCATGCTCAAGTTGGGCGAGCGCCTATTAAAACTACCTGAGACCGCCCAGCTTTCCATTCCCCGCCCAGGTGATAACTGTCTTGGATCTGGTGTACCCATCCCCACTGGAACAGTAAGCCAGCGAACACACGCTATAGGCACCCTGGTTCAGAGAGTCGCACCTCTGAAACTGCCACAGCCATTCGGCCATACCGAGCACACTTGGGTTGGTCCCCGCCCATGCTCAGGTGCCAACGTTAGGGCCCGGCCGCTGTCATCTCAAGTTTCCAAAGGTGGTGAGACAGCGAGATGGGGATTCCACGTGGGTATGGTCTTCTTCCAAGTTTCATTCTGATGCCAGATAAAGTAGCTCGTCTCGCAAAGAGTCACGGTAGCCTCAGATGATATGCAATCTGGTGTATTTTCTTCATTCTCTTTGTTGCCTTCCTGTTGGGCTGGAAGCAAGTCTTCCCGACATTTATTGCACTACGCATGCGTTGGTCAACTCCGCACTATGAACATGTACATGTATAAATTGTACGACTAGCACAAGCCGAAAGATTAATTTCTTGGCCAAGACTCGACTTTTTTCTTCGACTATTGATCTAACAAAGATGCAGTCGATATGTCGTTCCACGCCGGCATGAGCTCAGGAGGTCGACAAGGCATCCATTGTCATACCGAGCTTGATAAGAAGCCCAGACGCACTTGACGTTTCGAGCCACCAACGTCGATCACACAGGTGGATTCAATTGGCAAGACGTAAGCTTGACGGCAAGCTTGACACTCTGGTGGGATTGGTGCGTGCCCAAGAAGGAACTTTATATTAAACTCGTGAATCTTCGCAAATCTTCAGTCGATCATTACTTCAATTCGCTATCAATTTGACATATTATTTACAGCTTTTTATTCTATCTGTTGCCGGCCAACCTTTTTTCCACTTCACAACTCAACCTTTTTTCCACTTCACAACTAAACCTTATTTTCCACAATGCAGCTCAGCATCTCCTCCATCTGCGTCGCTCTGTTCGCCATGAGCCAGCTCGTGGCCGCAGTCCCCGTAAGTAGCACCTCACCAGGAACGGGTATCAAGGAGCATGGGGTTGAATTTGGCATCAAATCAGGCCTCGAAACAGCAAAACAGCGTCCGCGAACAGTTCAAGCAACAAAACTGCAAGAGCCAAGCCTGCCGTGACTCTGTCGACTCTGGCTGTGCCCTCAGCAACATCAATTTCGAGCTCGGGGGCTGCGATGACCCTAGCCAATGATCGACTCCAGGTAGCGGTCCTTTGGCAAAGGAATACGGGGGGGATCGATCCCGACTGTCAGGATAGCCTAGATTCATACAGCATCCGAGGATAAAAAAGACATCTTTTCCCAACGTGCCTGCCGTAGAGCCCGTTGTTTGGAAACTCTGAGCATACATGTATGTCTTGAGTGGTATTCTTTTGTTACTTTCATTTTGGCTGTGATCATCATGACCAGGACTGATTCTGCCTGCATTGATTCCCTCTGGCTGACACGGGCTTTGAATGTCGTTGATCTGATGAGAGTGTAAGTGCAACTGGGCTTTTCCGATCAGTACTATGGGTAGGTATACCAGAGCAAGCCTACTTCCACCCACGACAGAGCCATGGCAGTCATACGGTATCTAAAACGCCGCAGAGCTTAGGCAATATGTCTCGCAATCGGCTCGGGACTTTAATAATATCGACAAAGGAGGCTGTGTTTGGTAAATAAAAGAACTGTGCATACCGGATGCTCGATTTCTACTCTCAGCATGTTGCTGATGAAAACAATGCGATGCTACAAATATCCCACCCAAACATGACCATGTACCAACGCCCAAGTAATACTTACCAAATACCAAAGATATCCCTAGAAATTCAAACGCCTGCCTCCGCTCGTACGACGTGGTCAATTGCTTCCGCAACCCTGAAGACGTTTTTGCTATTCACTGCAGAGAAGATCAGTATAACAGCCACGACAGCGACCAATCTTGTACTCACATCCTGATATAGACGCCCTCCCTGTTGACAAGAGATAGATATGATGCTGCTCCCTCATGGTTTTGACTTGAGAGGCAGTAAGACCAGTGTAGGAGAACATGCCGATCTGCATACAATGTTAGTGTAAGCAACCGTAAAGGATTAAACCTGATATTGCAAGTACCTGATCAATAATGTGTCTCCAAGAGCCAGGTGTGCCTCGCTTTGTGAGCTCGACGAACAGGAACGCCCGCATGCTCTTGACGCGAGCGTTCATCTTTCTCAAGTCCTGGCGCCACTCCTTTGTGAGTTCGGGATCATGGAGGATGGTCGAAACAATCCGTGCACCCCAGGCGGAAGGCGTCAAGTACTCGGAGCCGATGAATTGAAGCAGGTTCGAGCGGATGGCGGGAACCGCGGCGGAATCGTGTGCCAAGATGTGGAGGGCGCCGACACGATGACCGTACAGACCAAAGCTCTTGGAGAAGGACTGAGCGACCAAGACCTCCATGGTTCCTCTGCCGACAAAGTGACGGACGGCCCAGGCATCGTGATGGTCGTCGCCGGATGCAAAGCCTTGGCTGGAAGGGATCGGTCAGCGGCGTTGCAGACGTGTCAAAAGGTCACGGTACTGACTAGGCAATATCCAAAAAGGGAATGATCCCGAGCTCTTCGCAAATATTGGCAATGACTTTCCATTCCTCCTGCGTTGGGTCACATCCCGTTGGGTTGTGGGCACAGGCCTGCAGAATGATGATGTCGCCCTGTCGCGCGTCCCGCCTGAGTGTCCTCGTCATGCCTTCGAGGTCAAACGACTTTGTCTTGTGATCAAAGTATGGGTAAAACCTTCGTTGAGTCCTTGGGGAGGCATTCTCCCAGATTTGCTCATGGCTTGCCCACGATGGATCCGAGATCCAAACATTCTCTGGCCTGACTGCCTTGTCCAGGAATAATGCTCCCATGTGAATGGCTCCGGATCCTGCAATGGTCTGTACGGTGGTCAAGCGACTGTTGACTGCCTCGAGAACATCGCCAAGGAGGAGTTTCCTCGCGGCTTCGATGAATGTGGGAAGCCCCGCGACAGGTAGGTAATCGTGGTTATCTTGAATGCGGGCTTGTGCCTACAGCAAATTGTTATCAGCGTTAGGTCGAGTACTGAAAGTTAGTCGGCTAGGCTAGTACGACACCTTTTTGACAGACGGCAACGTCCACGGCTGTGCATCGTCGTCTCTGTAGACGCCAAGACCAAGATTGACCTTGTCAGAGGTTCTATCTGCAGCAACTGATTGCATAACAACAAAAGCTTCGTCATAGGGAGCCTCAACTAGGCTAGAGAAATGTGACTGAATAAATAAGGAACCCATTGTTGCAGTGCGTGATTTGGTTCAGGCGGTGTGTTTGAGAGAAGCCATTCACAACATTCGAACACGTGGGATCTCGTTGTTCTTATGGTAGCCTCCCACATGGTGGCCCGACCGCCGAATATGTGTGAACATGGGGAGTTGAACGAACAAACAATCGTCATATTGAGCTCCGACCGCCGAATGTGACTCCCGATCCCAGGGATGTGACAGAAACAAAGATTAATGGCATTTGTTCGTCGGATTTCAGGGCGATTGGGTTGATGATACAAGGGTTACGCCACACCGCCTTCCCCAGTTTCCTTTTGCCTGGCAAGGGGCAAGCAAGGGTTTCTTTTGTCAAGGGTGTGCTTCACTTTGCGGACTCGCGGAAGTAGGCACATCTTGTCCGATCCATGGTTATGGAATTCTGCCAGAAAAAAGCAAACAATTTTATATTGACACTAACTCAGTCTGGTAATGACAGCCGTCGGCAAACTTACTCTGGACACAACTTTTTGTGAGACAGTTGAGATCCTTTTTCCAAGTACCTGGTTTGAGCGGTAATCTCATCAGGAGATTGTGCCAGAGTTGTCCGCGCAGTTGAAAACCTTCGAAATCAAGCCCGACGCATACGCGTCCTTGATGGACACGGCGACACTATATCTGTGAACTGATGAGTTTGGGTTCTCCAGGAAAGGAATATAATATACTTACGTCCCGGCCACCACCATGAATAGGCCCACAAGCACAACGAAAACGTGAAACACATACATTGCTTTCTTTGCTGCACCTCCCTTTCGGTACGACGAAAAGTCCTGCATCCACAATAAAGCCGGAAATATGAGACTGAAGGGAGCGAAGCAGAGAGCACCAGCGAGTCCCAGGAGATAGTTGAGAATGGGGACCGCCTCTGCCACAATGAAGGCGAGAATTCCGAGTGTCATGTTGCTGCCAACCCAGGTTGTCCAGTGAATGACGGTGTTGGCCTGAAGATGTTGCGAATCTCTCAAGATACGCACAAACAGGTACTTGGCTGCCACGTGCTGGTAGATGCCGACACCGATGATGAGGCCGGGAAGCGCAACACCGTACGAGATCTTTTTGAACAGCGGGCCAGCACTTCCAAAAGCAGGAGTCGCGAGCCAGACGCCGCACCACCGATAGATGACCAGCGAGAAGGAGAGATACATTGCCAAGACGAGGACACCCGTGACCAAAGCAGCTTTCCTGTACTGATCCGGGCGACGCATCTCCGAGATAATGGGCAAGTACATGGAAGAACCGCTGTTGCTGATGAAGATGTTGGCGCTGGCGGTGATGCCGGCAACAAAAGTCGGGTGGGCGATAGCCGTCCAGCCGAGGTCAAAGTCGCCTGGAGGAGCAATGGCAGGACGGTCTTGTTGTGTGACCGCGACGACGAAAATGAAGACGGCGATGAAGAAGGTGGTGAATCCCACCCAGGTGAGCCAGCCTAGACGGCTGAATGTACGTACTGCGGAAAACAGGGTGATGAGGATCGCAGACACCAAAGTGAAGATGACGGTGCACGCTCCGTGGTTGGATAGTGCGTTGAACGCGGTCGAAATCGAAACAATGCCTGCTGCCGAGATGAGGACTTGGGCGATGAGAATCTGCAGTCCGACGAGTTCTTTGCCGACGCGACCCCAGAGGCGACCACACATGTCGGCCAGAGCTACAGCCATTAGTACATGAAGACGACTCTTGCGGTAATGAAGATGAATATGGACATACTGTGACATTCGGGATGGCGATTGCGGAATTCGCCCAGGATGACTGCGGTATCTGGATGTAACGGTCAGCATCGCAGTCGCTGACGTTGAGTCTGACGAGACGAACAAGTGTTGAGAACGTGCCATCCGACGAGAGAAAGGGCACCACCAACGGCACCAAGGGTAGAAAAGGCTCCAGGGACGCTCAGGATGCTCATGGCGAATTGAATCTTGAGGAACATGATCGTGGCGCTCTGCCAGCTGACCGTACGGAACTGGACGCCATCTTCCGTATCCTTGAAGACCTCGTGCGTCGTCAAGGCTTGTCCCTTGAGGGAAGATACCTCGTTGTGTACGGAAGGCGGCCTAATTTTATCGTCAGTCACCCCGGAAGGCATGGCGCTGCCGTCATCGACTTTGTGTACAGTCATTTTGGGCGTTCTAGTATTGGTGATTTGATGCAAAGCAACTGGGCCAACTCCAAATCCAGAGAGGGTTGGCGTCGCTGGTCCTATTAAATGTCCTATTGCCGAGTACTACCTTATCTTGACTTACCAACTCTCCCCCCATGTCTTTATCATGATGCTAGCCCTTGAACAGGTAAGTGTAGCACTCGTTTGGTCCGTACCCTGGCCAAGATAAGGGTAGCTTCGCCGAGATAATCCATGAAAATGCATACAGTGTGATCGCAAGTCGGGCACCGTCTTTACATCCCGACTCAATTCCGATACTCATCATCACAAAACACCATGATATCTTGCGGTTGGGGACCATATCCGGCTGCCGATCGAATAGAGTACGTAGAAGATCATGTGAACTCTGGAGGTCTGACGTTCTTATCAAACGCTAAGAGGATGCTAATAATGCATGCAGAGTGTTGTCCCGGCACTTTGGTATCCGATATCCAGGCTGGCGGATGTGCCAGAAATCCGGGCTTTTTTAGCTACCCAAGTCAATAGGAGACGATGGACCCTGACTCTGTCCTGACCATCAATGTTACTGGACCGTTGCTGTGGCATTTACTTGGCCAGGTTTTGACCCCTGAATCTTTGCCCATTGGGTTTAGAGTTCACGAGGGACCCATGCAGTTGTAACATATTCTACAGCAACAGCCGAGATGTCGTTTTATCAGCTCGCAGGCGACTCTTAGCCACCCACGCACTTGAGCAAAGCCTCTCAGTGCTTTTATTGTAAGGTGTCCCGCCACGCGATGTCAGAGCCAGCACATAAAATACCCGGCTTTCCATCGGTGATTTATTCAGAATTGTGGTTATGATTGTTTGTTTCACAATGGTAACTCCCCTGAGTGTGTGACATTGGAATTTCAACACTCATTCTCTCAATTTCAATATGCCGGCTTAGGCGTCACTGAGTCAAGGGAAAGCCAAGCAAGCAACGCCAGTGACACCAGGCGCTATCTAGATCATGTTTGAAGAGAAGAGTCTCAACAATAAGAAGGTCCATAAGTACACGCTGAACGTTCTGAAAGGATGTTGGAAAAGAGATGACGAATAATCAGCAGCTTTGTCGTCCATCGTTCCTAGTCATATGTGAAGGACCCAGCTCTATCTACATCTGAGGAATTGTCAAAATCAAAAATTGAACACATGTTCGAATACATCGTTCGTTGAGAGGGTACCGAACTACTTACTATCCAGTTTAACTTGTTCCTACCTTGTGTAGCTTGTAAAACATTGCGCCACTTGTAGCGGTTCTTTTTAAACTACTTAGGTTAGTTACATGTACCTAGTGACCAAATTGCTCAACTCACCCAACTGACACAGGAATCCCACGGTCAAATGTGCAAAATAAGTAAGTAGGCGCAACATTTCTACTGCCTGGGCTTCCAAAAAATGAGGCACGACAAAAATAGAACATGCGGCCAGTGTGGATTGAACACACGACCTTCAGATTGATTGATTGAAGTTTTCCGGTCATGAAGCCCGCTTCAGTCTGACGCTCTCCCAACTGAGCTATGTCCGCCGCTATTGTTCGATGCAGGACGCATTGTCCTACAGGAATATGGATCATTGCCCACTGTTTTGGTAGTTGAGAAGTGGCCTGGAAACCATTTAAGCAAGTGATTCTTGTCGTCGCCGACCAAACTATGTCCTGCCTAAGGTACGCCCAATCACTAACCGAATTCAGGGTCTTGTCACCTTGTGGCTTGAAAGTCTCAGACCTGCCGTCGTTGTACCTGTTAATATATGTGAAGGGCTGGCACGCGTTTAGAGGCAACAGTGGCAACCAGCACACCTTGCCAACCTGGCTATTTGCACAATCGAAAGACTATTCACCCAAAAGTACCAGTGACATAACTACAAGCCAAGTACTTTTAGCTTAGCTATACTTAAGTAATACGGGACCGGTTGGTGGGTATAGCTCCCGTAACAATGTAGGTCGTCAGAGTCTTTCGATGCGTTGATGTACAGCGAGCTCACACGCGAGGCCTCTGCGACATGAAATGTCGGGGTCTGAGAGGATGCTGACTAGATCGACCGGACCTCGACCGTAGCCAATCAAGATCATAGATGGGGCAAGCTTTGGCGGCTATGAGTTTGTGAAGCTACTCGTCCCATGGCCGGTGTTTAGGCTTTTGACCCCAAGAATAGGTGAGTCTAGGTCCTCTTGGCAGACGCACCTGTTGCGACTTCCTGGTGGATGTCAAGGCATATAGACGTAAGAATTCTTAATTTGGCCGGGGAGTTTTTGGTGTGTCTAATCGCACGTTGATGTGTGAGTTATCGATGGTTCAGCACTTTAGTTGTTCGTGTAAGCATTCGCGATTCTAAGAAACGAAGTCGTGCGGTTTCAAAGTCCAGTTACTCCACGCTCATTCAATATATAGAGGGAAGGTATTGCAAAATTTCAGATTTAACCAATGATAGTCGTTCAGGTTTTCCTCAATGACTTTAGCTACATTAGAAGGTGTGAGGCTTGACGGCAGTAAGTTGACTCGAAAGAAACCCCCCATATACCATTTGCTGCATTGAACCGCAATCTTCTCCTAGTATCATGCCTGAAATGCCATGGGGCAGCCCCTGGATTGACTGATCCTCTCTCTCGTACGGTCCATATAGTCCTTGCCTTTGCACCGCTGCGCGTCGGGACCGACCTCTGGAATAGTATATCCATCTGGGTGGTATTTTGAACCTTCATCGCCCGGCAAATGCCCGCCAATCAGCCTAGTGTATAGAGCAGAGGGACCCCATCGCCAGTAGAAGCTCGGCTTGATATAGTATGGGTGCGCGAGGTAATTCGTCAAATACATTCGGCCGGTCTTTTCGTCGACATCTTTGAGGACAGGATTTGTCCACCATTTTGGTCGCGGAAGGCAGAAAAACTTGAGGAAGCCGCGTCTGAAGGCTACGAGATTGTCGAAGATGAAGAAGTCCAGCTTGCTTGGGGTTTCGTACCTGGTACCAGAATTGGTCAGCTATTCACTCCACTTCTGAAAGTGCAGCCACCACGGCTACTTACCCCATGGCCTGTCGCAATTGGGGCTCCATCAAGCAACGCAACTGTCTGAATGTGAAATTGCGCATAAACTCGGGGAAATCCATGAGGAGGAGAGTCACGTTCGCGTGTGCCAGCTTTTCGTTTGAGATGGCGTAGACCATGTTGTGCTCCTGGTACTTCAAACACCATTTTTTGAGCGCTTCAAGCCATGCCAAAGCATCGTCCTTTTGGTTCATGTGGGGAACCAAGCACTCGTAGGAGATGCCCATTTCGTTGCCCACATCTTTCCAGAAAATAGCCAAAGCGTTCTTCTCGAACATGGTCAGGTCCCTCCATTCGTATAATGCTATCCAGCGCAGGGGCTCGAGGAGAAAGAGACTGAGGGTGTAGAGCATGTCGTCATTGGAGATTTTTCCGGCTTGCCTCCAGCGGCTGTGAAGGAAGTTAACACGAGAGATGGCGTCGATGTTGCGTCTGGAGTCTGGTGCGTTGTAGATGATTTCAAACATCAGGACTCCCGTATCTGTTCTACGCTTTGAGGCCGTGCGATCTCCCGAAAGCTGGCTCGTGGCTACCAAAAGTTTGGAGATCGTTGGGATCCCATATGTCTGTGGTTGTGTTAGCTCGAAGCTGCATTTCTGAATCATCTTTTCCACTACCGACCTTGAATAGTGCGAAGGAAACAGAAGTATAGAAGGTTACGGGAAATTCCCTCTCGGACAGTTCACGCAGCACTGAAGCGGCTTCTGATAATGGCAATGAAGCCATCTCTTCCCGTGTTTGGTACTGCGGGAATCTCCGCTGGAAACCATCGCGGCGTCGATATCGTAGCGCCCGAACTAGGAACGCGTAAATGGCGATGGCTGCAACAAGGGGTATAAAATACATTCTGAACGTTTCCTGGACTTGCAGGTGAATAGTGAAAATTAGATTGCGCAATGTCGCGCAAGCGACGTCGACGGGACCAAACGACCTTTGATATAATATACCCTGAGGATCGTGCAGTGCGACTTTGGGAAAGAGTTCCCTCATCTCCGCCAGACAATGCTGCCCATTTAGCCCATCTTCTCGTTTCCCCTGGCCCTCGGGTGACGCCCTAAGGATGTCTTCTTTTGACATCAACCATGTGAGTCAACTTACACGTGGAGTGCGGGGGTGTCTCAGAAGTACCAACCATCAGACTGGGCAAAATTCATGCAGTAGTGCAGATCTGCCGGGACGGAGCCCAGTGAATTAGAGCACGTGGCAATGGGGCTAAATGTGGTAAGAAACCGGAACCCGTCGGGATTCCGGACGCAACTATCAGACGAGGCGTGGACTACATCGAGTTAGCTGGTCAGTTGGAGTCAGACTTTTCGATTCAGACCTGATGGGATTGGCAGGCATGGAGCGCCATAGCGTCGGACAGGGCAATTCCCAGTCTATCAGGTCACGCACACAGACCAAGCACTATTCCCTCCAGTTCCGGGACCCGGACGACAGCTGATAGCCTCCCGGGAAAGCAAGGTTTCAGAATTTGCCCCCTGTTTGCTGTCATCAGGCTTGAGAATACCGGTGCTCTGATTCGTCCATTGATGACTAAGCTCGCCATTTAACTACTTTGTTGTGGGTAAAATGAATAGTTCAAACTTTGAGATGCTCCAATTACACTGTGGAATGGCATCTGGAAGACACTCACGACAGCGGGCAGCGGGCAATATTTTGATTAAGCTCATGGGGCAAAAAGCTCAAACTTCGAGCTAAGTTGGCAGCACGCTCACCCACGTAGGACTATGAAATGAGGCCGATAATTTGACAGCAGAACCATCGGGAAATTCCCACTGTCATTAATTTCGGCCCATAAATCTCCGTCACCCCGGGGAAGTTTCTGTGACTCTGCTGGCTAATATTATGTGTTGATCCATGAGGCGGTAATAGGGGGCATATCCAGCCGGCAGGATTTGGCCACCAAGACAAGGTGGGATGCCCATTTTTTGTAGGTAGACACTAATTGGAATTTGATTCTTTGAGTTGCTGGGTTGCTGAGGACGCTTTGTGTGCCGACGCACATATTTGATGCGCGGAAGCGAGGTGACATGAGGGTATAATCAGTACAGCCTGTGAGAGATGAGAACACTCTGTCGAATCCTGCGTGATTCCAGGGTCTCGAAGCCAGGAAGCTTCCCCTTAAGTCACCAGATTCTAGCTGTATCATCTGCTGTTTTTGCTTATTGCCCTCCCCAGAATTCGGGACTGGCATCAGAGACAGCAAGTCTTTTGAAGCTGACTCACAGATGCCATCGGCATATGAAGTGTGGCCACAGGCACTCATATGTACTAAATCAATTGTCAAGATCTGTACATGCAACTAAGTCTATGAGCGCAAATTACGTTATAAAACGTGTTAATGAAGCTGTTGGTTAAGGGCAATTGTCGTGTATTGTGACGTAACCGAAGGTAGCGTCAAGGAATGCACCATGCTCCGTTCCTCTGGCATACCAAGCCCTCAATGCCTTTTCATGACAATTACGTATCACCTGGCTGTCTCAGGTGGTTTTTGGAGTTCCAGCTTTTGCCAAAATGAAAGGCATAATGGGAGGACAGAACTATGACCAAAAGACTCCGCAAGACATACCTTAATTTGAAAACTAGTGACTCTTTCTTGAGTCAGACGATAGCTGACCTCAAGGTATTTCTTACATGCTATAAATCCATCTCGGCCTCCCTTTCAGGCAAGTTCTCGAGAATGGCTCCTCCCGTTTCTCTCGAATGAAGGATGTTCAAGAGACGTAACCGCTCAGTATTATAGTTCCTCGTAGGTTTTACAGCCCCCTCAAGTGTAGTAGAAAGTCTACAACAGCACTACCTAAATCGGTGGCGGAAATTGAGCCCGATTTATATGAATTCAATCACACTCGTGATTGGAAGATTGACACGGTATCAGGGAATGTAAATGAGACGACAAATTGGCCTCACAGAATTGAACTGACAAAATTGAGGTCTCAAACTCTAGGTTCGAGATTCTCCGGCAGAGTCAAAAGGCTTGGACTGCAGTTACTGTGATGAAATCAGGAGATAATGCGGTTTCTGATTCAAAGCACTGCTTGATATGGATTGCCGATCGATTTGAAGTCAGTCTATGAACCCCCGAACCTAGCAATTTCGAATTCTTGAAAACCTTTGTTTCCACTATTTACATGTATGTTTTTTCTTTTCATACATATAGAATCTATCCGCACTGTGTATGGTCCTTCTTATTTATTTATTGTCGCTGGCGTGACACTCATCTTGTGCTCGTCAAGACGGTTACAATGGCAAATGTTCTATATTATACTTTTGACTTCCTTAGTAACAGGAGTAGACCTCAATGAGGCCGAGCTGATACTGTAGCTAGCTGCCAGCTGCTGCGTCTGATAGCTGAAGGCTTTCAGATCCTCTCTGCGTTCAGCTATACACATGTAACATTTTGAGTGGTATTCTCTTGGTTGTCTGAGCCATGCCGTGTTATTCAAAAGTGAGTATCGTAAAGTTTGACTTAGACAAGAATGTTTAAAAAGCGATAAATTCTCATGCTCGTTTTCCATATTTCAACGTGATAATCTAAGCCCTAAGCAGCAGCCGACAGCTGTTGCTTCTGTCAAATAAGCTCCTTGGTATAGTTTTGGTGGCTTTAGTTACATCGGGATTTGGTCCGGTGTGTGTGCAGCAAGAGGATACGCCAACTGTCTTGCTCCACAATGGAAGTTGGGTAGGGAACACACCAACCTCATCCTCCGAGAACCGTAACTTAACGTTACCCCGGGGTCCAAACTTCTCAATCAGTCGGACTTTACTAAAGCAGACCGTTTCTTCAACATTGATATCTCCTGTAATAAAATGCTCGCTTAAGCGTGGAAACTGTAAACGACTCTCAACGTCTAGGGCGTAGAATCAATCATTGTGAACCCACAATTTGGGCTTGAACAACTGAAACTTGCGGACTTACCTCATATTTACAAGGACATCGACCAGCCTACATATTCAAATCTAATGCGAGGGAGAAACGGTCCGCCAGTCCGCTCCCCTGGACAAAGCCGCATAGTCTCACCGAGACCGCGACATGAGTCATTTGCTTGGAAAGAGTAATGGGAAGGGCGAGCCGCCGCCTCCCCTCGTCGCCCTGGTGGAGAGACCAGGTGTTCCAACCCGCATTATATCCTCCACGAATCCACACAGATCAAACGGAAAACCTGGGGGCTCCATGGGCAGCGTGGTACAAGAAGCGGGTTCTCGCAACCCATTGACGATCCATGAACTCGTGTCTGGCCTGGTCACCAACGTCATTGGCCCACTGCCGCGCTTGAAGTAGCAGGGAGTTATGCGGGGTTCTCTCCCCGGCATCAGACACCGGACAGGCCCAGCGTCGAGCCATTCAATTCCTCCCGAAGTTCACGCGGATGCTGCCATTCCCCGGCCACCGAAGATCGAGCTGACCACATCTGTTACTTTCGACGCCAAGGAGAAACGCACCAGAGCACTATGGCTCCGGATATGATATATAGCAACAGGTTGCCCGTCCACCTAGTAGATCTTCTGCTTGGACATAACCATCCTGCCTTCATCCAACTTTGTCCTCCCTGGTATCCATCCAAGAATGGGCCAAACAAGCGAAGCAAACGCCAAAGCCGTCGGTGCTGAACTGGCGGCTGTCCTGCCAGACATTGGCCCCTGGTATAAGCAAACTCACATTTTACGCCTCAACCTCTGCATTGCCTCCCTCATCATGTGTGCCTCCGCAAACGGATACGACGGCTCCATGATGAACGGACTTCAGGCCTTGCCCCAGTGGCATGCGTTCATGAAGCAGCCGACTGGCGCCTGGCTTGGATTCGTCAACGCTGCCTACTCCCTCGGCAATGTTCTCGTGTACCCCATTGCCGCGTGGGTTTGCAACAAGTACGGCCGCAAGATGGGTATCTACGTGTCCTGGGTTTGTCTAGGTGCTGGATCGATCCTGCAGACCGCTGCACCCAACGACGCCGCATTTGTCTGCGCCCGCTTCATCATCGGCTTTGCCTCTGGGTTCTTCCTTTCGGCGCCTCTGCTGATCACTGAGAACGCATACCCGACGCACCGCGGGTTGGTTTCCGCTTTATACAACTGTGGTTGGTATTTTGGTGCCGTGGTGGCGGCCTGGGCAACATACGGCACAAGAAACCTCGACCACTGGGCATGGCGACTGCCCTCGCTGTTGCAAATCACCCTGCCCGTTCTCTCAATTCCCGGCCTGCTACTCATTGGAGAGTCTCCACGCTGGCTGGTGTCGGTGGACCGAACCGACGAGGCAAGGAAAATTATTGCTCGCAATCATGCCGGCGGCGACTCGCACTCACCTCTCGTCATTTTTGAGATGATGGAGATTGAAGAGACTATCCAAGCCGAAAAGGAAGCCCACTCGGAAACAAAGTGGTCGGATCTCTGGAGCACCCCTGGCAACCGACACCGTCTCTTTATTTCTGTCAGCTTGGGAGTCTTCGCGCAATGGGTAAGTACCATCTGACTCGTACGCGAGATGGTCTGCTAACTCGTCCTAGTGTGGTGTTGGTGTTGTCAGCTACTACCTGGCCATGGTACTTGTGAGTGAACCCACCAAAACACATGCACCTTTAGCAGAATAGAACCAAATCTAACGTGTGGCATACTAGTCATCTGTCGGTATCACCTCTGTCGATGACCAAACTCTCATCTCAGCTTGCATACAAATCTGGAATCTCATATGCGCCTCTACCGCTGCGATCATGGTTGACAGGGCCGGCCGGCGAGGCTTGTTCTTGGCTTCGGTAAGTCGTGATAGCGTGTAGTTTTCCCCAAAGAACTCCATTGACATAAAGACAGGGCACCATCATGTTGATCTCCTTCTCTATTGTTACTGGTCTCTCCGGCAGCTTTGCCAATACTGGCAATGCACCAACTGGCACAGCAGTGATTCCGTTCCTCTTCATGTAAGCTCCAGTCCTCATCGATGCTTCGGCCCAGACCAAGACCAACTGACAGATCTTCTGCAGATTCTACCTCGGCTACGACATTGCCCTGACCCCACTGATGGTGTCTTACCCCGTCGAGATTTGGCCATATCGCCTACGCGCCAAGGGTCTCACGGTTGCACTAATGACAAGCATCGGCTGCATCTTTTTCAACACATTCGTCAACCCCATTGCCCTCGAGACTGTCGAATGGAAGTACTATTTTGTCTTCCTGGCCGTTCTCGTCATCATGCTCATCAGCGTCTGGTTCTACTACCCCGAGACCAGAGGCCGCACTTTGGAGAACATGGCTTATCTGTTCGATGGTGAGACTGCCGAAGTGGGCGCGGGCAATGCCTCATCCGCGCTAAAGGAGGCGGAGGCATCCCATGTGGAGGTGACAGACAAGAGTTAGATGGTGGCTGATGGGCATAGATCCAGATTCGTATGGGTCTACAGAAGAGTGGAAACTCGAAGTCAGGTGTAGGATGAAGCTTAGTGCCAATTGACAATGATCGAAACATTAATATGAAGTTCGAGAGAGAATGCTGATCGAAAACTGCTTGCGGGAGAAATCAAAGTCGCGCCTAGGGTGGCCGGCACCGGAAGGTTCCCATATCGAGGGGGACCCGCCTCGTCAGCCCGGAGAACACAACTTGAGATCAAACTAGGTCAGTCTGCTGTAGCTAGAGCATAGCTTGCTGGCCAAGAGTTGTATACACAACGTTGCAAATTTCATAGGGCCCTCATATACACACAAATATCCATCTCTCAACAAAATAACAGTCACTTGACTCCCTCTCATGGGGCATTCTAGACAAAGCTCGCTAACAGCAGGGATCTCCGCTTTCCAAGAGCCCATCTACATACAAACCACCCCTTGTCTGCTCCATAACAGCATACCAAATACAAACGCTCATTGGTCACAAATCCTCCTCAGCAGCCGGGGTGGGTAAGAATCCGGCGGCGGCTCCTAGCTTCGGCATCGGACGCGGTGGTACCACCGTGCCAGTCGCCATCTACACGCTCGGGACCAAAAATCTTGGTTCGAAAGAAATCAGCCAGCGCGGCAATTGCGTCCGACACTACCCCCGGACGTCTCCTCCCACATACTCATCGAACCCTCAGCACGGGTACTCTTTCCGCGGCGAGCTATCGCTAGACTGGACAACAGGATTTCAACTCTTTGACCAAGGTGCGAGTCGGTGAGAAGATGAGCTTGCAATGCTGAGCTGCTGCCAAGGCCTTTACGCATGCCCAAAGAGTCCAACTCCGCGTCCCGCCAAGTTCCCTGCGAGGCAGCTGCAGCCGCCCTTTGTGTCCAACACAGCATTCCCACGCAGGACCTTCTGAATTGTAGAAGAAATACTGACGCCCAACGGCGCTATACTCGGCCTTGGTATGGGAAAAAAGAGGGGATATTTGCCAAAAAATCTAGCCTCAGCAGCCAGACTGGGGCATGGTTGTCTTCTATGCCTCGCATTGAACCATGCAACCGGCTCTTGCATTCTTTGTACCGCGGAAGACGCGGAGATTCTGGGGGGAAAATGGTGCTGGACAGTGAAACAAGCACATCTCTGATGGAACAACTAATCAAGCTCAGAATACGGCGTTCGATCAACCGATTCATCGTCGTCGTCGTCGTCGTCGTCGTCGGCAGCATCAACCCGCTTGAAGAGCCTCAGCACCCCCTTGTTCCCACACGCAGCGGCGACATCCACCGGCGTCTTCCTCCCATGGTCCTCTAGCATAGGATCCAGCCCCTTCGCCGTCAGAGTCTTGAAGCGGGCGACGTGACCCTCCGCCGCAACGTGTAGCAAGCTTTGGCCAGCATCGTCCCGTGCCCCGAAATCCGCGCCAGCCGCCTCAAACGCCGCTATTGCGCCCTCCTCGTCGTATATCTCCGGGCCACCTTTGGGCGCGTACCAATTGCCCCTGAATCCCGCGTAGTACCAGAACAGCGGCGTCTCGCCTTTCGAGTTGCGAGCGTTGACTTCGCACCCGCGCTGGAGGAGCGTAGTGAAAAGGGGCCGCAAGGGGGAGACCCAGAGCATGCGCGATAGGACGTGCAAGACGGTGTTGCCTTCTTTGTCTGCGATGAGAGGGTCTGCTCCGGCTTTGAGCAGTGCGTTGGCTGCGGTTGTCGTCTTCTCGTAGAAGGCTCGTTCGATGGCCAAGTACAACGGCGTCTTCCCATCTTGATCTTTCTGATTGACAATCGACGGGTGATTTTCCAGCACGTATGTGAGTGACCCGGTGATGACTGGTATTCGCTGGGAGAAAGGCGACGTAGGGTACCTAAGCATGTGGTGTAGCACGTTCTGCCCCTCGTTGTCTTGTACTTCCACATCTGCGCCGAGGGAGACGAGATGGTGGAAAAGAGATGTCTCTGTCGATGTTTTGGAATCCCATGGATCTCCTGGGAGCAGAGTAAGCGGCACGTCGGGGCCTCGCGTGGAGCGGCAAGCAGCGAGGAGAAGAGTTTGACCATTGCCGTCTCGATGATTTGCGTTGATATTCGGTAACTTCAAAAAGGGATGCACGATCTGTCCGTCAGCGAGGAGTTGGTGCAAGACAACAGACTCTTCGTGTAGATGCGGTTCGAAAGCGTAGTCCGGGTCGACCGTAGAGGCGTATCCATCAGGCAGGTTGCCAAAGCGCATTCCAATAGACCGGTCTTCTGCGTTTCGCCTGGCATAAATCTTTTTGTGGTAGCAATCTTCCCCCTTGCATCTCACGAAAGTAGCAAAGGGATCGGCTCCATGCGACAAGAGGACGTGGATCAACTTGAGAGCTGCTTTGTGCAACTTTGTCCTCTCCACCTGGTCATAAATGTTCTGTCCTGATTTGGCTGCGACATGATGCAAGGGGTACCACTCGGCGTCTGGTAGATCTCTCTTGGTCCACGTATGAAAAAAACGCCCATGCTGTATCTTCCAGGGTTTTTTGTAGTTCTTCTTAAGACGGATGTTGGCATCACCACCCGCCGACAAAAGAGCATCGAGAACGTCGGGTTGCTTCTCGTTGATAGCACTAAAAATTGCATCGGCTTGAACCGTCGCTCCGTGTTCGACTAGGAAACGAGCCATGTCGACCTCGCCGCGTGCATAAGAAAGACAACTTCGTCCCGTCTCGTCCACGGCATTGACGTCTGCTCCGCCCAGGATAAGATGACGAGCAGCGTCCTTGTGGAATAACCCGATGTCATTTTCCGTGCTCAAAGCCATGTGAAGTGGTGTCTGCCCTTTGAAGTTCTTGACCTCGAGATCTGCGCCTTTGCTGATGAGGTACGGAAGAGCTTGGGCGACGTGCCACCAGTGGTGGCCTTTGGCCAGCGAGTGAAGAGCGCTATCTGTCGGCGAGTCAAGTTCGTATCCATCGTCAGTCTGCTTGTATTCTCCATGCAGCTCATTCATGTCAACGCCGAACTTCTCCACGAGAAGACAGACCATATCGAGCATGGGCAACTCCTGGTGGACTGCCTGTAACAGAAATGGTTTGCGATATTCGTTACTGATGTAGTCTGGCACGTCGTGAATCCATGTCTTATTGCGGCCGAACCCAAGCTGGGTTGCTTCATCTGGAGCGGGCCAAATGCCTTTTTCGACTTGTTTCTGAGCTTCGAGCAAACCAATCAGGTTGACCAGAGACGTAAAACCTCCTTTGACAAGGGTGCCCAAGTTGGTGAGCCCGTGGTTCATGTGAGGGGCCAGGAAATCAACTCCCAATTTGAACAACTCTTCCATCACATCGTACTCACGGCGTCTGAGCCGCGTGATGAACAAATTCTCATTTGCTTTGCCTGATTCGATGACTCCAGGCTCCCTGAGTGCTTTGGATATGGCTTCACGCCGATGGGGGATGAGCTTCTCGTCAAAGGTGGGCATTCTCTGCCTCCGCCGTGATGAAACTTTTGAGCTTGTCAATGGTTGTTTTTTGCTTGCATCCGATAGGCATTTTAGCGCATAGTCTCGACAGTCGGATGTTGTGTCAGTCATGGACCCATATCCTCGGTCGTCCATGGGCCAGAAACCTCGCTCAGCCAGATCAGCGCCATGGTCCAAGACCATCTGAATGATTTCCTCGAGTCTTGCCGTGTCGTCGAGGGGATCGAGTTTATGTCTTCCGTCGCGTACGCAGCCTACATATGGACGTGTGAGATCTCCCTTTGTAAGACCGCCACAAGCTCCGTTCTCCGTGTCGTGGGGGACTTTCCTACGCCAGAGTTCGAGTTCTCCCTCGAACCCGGTGACTACGGATCGTAGTTTTACTCCCTTGACATCCGCTCCAGCCTCCAACAGCATAGACACGACCTCTGGTCGTCCTGAGAGACAAGCATAGTAGAGTGGTGTGCAGTCACATCCGTCAATTGTTTCATTGGCTGCGGCGTTGACTCCCGTGATTGGGCGGGCACTCGACCGTTTTAACCAGTCTCCTTGCTTTGTTGAGCTGCCAGGTGGCTTATCTGAGTCCAGTAAGCAAAGAGCGTCAAGAAGCATACCCACAATGTTGCCCTGTCGAGATCTGGCGGCGAGGTGAAGCGGCGTCAAACCCTCGTATGTCTCGATCGTAGGGTCAGCGCCGGCGTCAAGAAGCTTCTTGGTGAGATACTCTGACGCAGTAACAGCCAGATGTAACGGGGCGATCCCTTCCTTGTCGCGAACATTGATGTCTTTCATGTGGGAAATAACCAGGTCAATCGAGGACTCCTCCTTGTCAACGCCACGACCACTGTCAGTCTTGGTGCAAAGCCGATGAAGCGGTGTTCGGCCACGGTTGTTGGGCCGATTAACATCAAGGCCCAAGTTTAAGAGCATCTTGAGCATGGAGATGGTGTCGTTGGTGTTGTAGTCGGTGTTGATTCGCCAGCATAATTCGTGCAGTAAAGTATTTCCCTGGTAATCTGTGCCATCTATGTCGAGACCCAGACTCACGAGGAATTCGAAGCGGGAAGGTCCAGGCTCTGCTGGACCGAAAGAGGCCCGCCCCCCTTGTTCCGACTTGATTACCTCGTGAAGTAGGGTCCTGCCCTCGAAATCTCGAGCTTCTAACAGAGCGCCGCGCTCCAGGAACTTCGTGATAGCACCTTGGTAATCCTTTTCTGATCCGGAGGCACGCCCAGAGATCGTCCGCAAGAGAAATGTGGCGCCATCCTTGTCCCTTGCGTTGATGTCGACGCCTGCTCGAATCATGACGTTCATCAGATCAAAAATTCCTGAATTGTGCGAGAACATGACGTCCAGTGGTGTCTCCCCAGATTTGTTCCTCAAGTTGATGTCTGCGCCGGCTCGTAATAGCGCTTCAATGATTTCGGGATTGGAGTTGGATGATTTCAAGGAGATGTGCAAGGGACCATTGCCGTCGTTATCGACGATGGTGCAGTCGGCGCCGTACTCGATGAGCTTGAGAGTCGTGTCTGTGTAATAGCCAACGAGCGACAGAAGGAGGGGCGTTTTTCCAGTGGAAGCTGCCCTCTTGTTGATATCTGCCTTACCAACTTCCACGAGCAGAGACAGACAGTCGACCGAAACCTTCTCATGAAGAGCAGTGCAGCCATTGCTATTGGCGACATTGGCATCGACGCCTGCGTCAAGCAGGATTCTCAGCCACACGGGATCACCGGTCGTTACATGTAGCAGAGAATTGCCGGAAGGAGACCGATCATGAATGTCGGCCCCTTTTTCGATAAATAGCTCTAGCAGGCTCTTGAGCTCGTCTGGCTCAGCTTTTGGAGCCGTTCTTCCATAGTAGTTTTCGAGCGCGGCGTACAGAGCCGTAAGGCCAACGACTCGGGATTGGCCCTCTTGTTCATCATCTCCAATACGGAATGGTCTCATGGCTCCAAAACCAGCAAATTCTTCATAAAACTCGCATCTTGTTGTAGGATCAGCTCCCTCTTTCAAGAGGAGTTTGATTGTTTTGATATGTCTGCTCCGGCTTGCCATGAACAGAGGTGTCCCACCGTGGACCTTACGGTTGATGCTGACTCCGGGTTGTTTGAGGAGCCGCCGGACCAGGTCGTCTCGGCCGGCCGCAGCAGACCAGGCCAGGGCTCGATGAAGAGCTTCTTCATCCCTGAGGAAAGGCAAAAATGCCTCCAGGGCTTCCAGGTGACCGTTTTGGCAAGCATACTGCATGCAGAGTCAGCGAGATAAGAAGATTATGTACATGTACACGGACGCTAAGGGCATTGTCACTTACCATCAGAGGCGTGTGCCCGGTGGAACGCGGTGCGTTACCGCACCAATTTCCCGGGTTCTCCTTGGTCTTCTTCGTGAGTGGGTCAACTCCCGCACCCAAAAGGACCTTGATAACCTCTGGGTAGTTCTTCGAGGCGGCTTCATGCAACGGCTTGCAACCCCTGTTAGTCTCTTCTTGATCGGGATTCGCACCAGCGTCTATCAAGACCTGGACAACGTCGGCCATCCCGCTCGAGGCAGCCGACCACAGAGGAGTCTTCCCGTGGACGTCGACCGCATCGACGTTGACACCTGGAGACGAAAGCAGGTGTCTTGTGTATACAAGAAGCCCCGTCTTTGCTGCGACGTGGAGCGGTGTGATCCCAGAGTCGGCATTGCCTACGGTGAACCACTGAAGTTTAATCCAGGTATCCGTGGAGCCTGGATCTCGCATCAGCTTATCCAGCATCATGTTGACGTCAGTCTGATCATGACCCGCGGTTGTCGATCTAGCGATGTGAACATGCCAATTGCGCAACGCGTAAGCTAAGAAAGGGTATTTGAGCTTCACTTTGATGTCTTTGGTGTCTTGTGCTTCCTTGGTTTCGTCAAAGACACCGGACAGCAGGTAAGTCAGGCACGCCGAACCGAGGCTGGCCTGCGTCTCTCCGAAATGAAGCACCGGGTAGCCGCCATCATCATCAGGCGATCTAGTCGTGCCCTTGAGGTACTCTGTGAAGGAATGGTGTATGACACAGACGGTCTCATCGGGTAAGATCTCCAATAGAGGGCCGCACGCAGCCCTGACGAGGTCCTTGGTGGCCTTTAGGTCTCGTTCGATGTCGTTGTAGGTGACGTTGATCATCTCAGCGATCTCAAGGAGTCTGAGAGGACGGGTCGCGTGGGTTACCCACTGCAGAATCAGCCGTTGTATGGCGTCGGGGACTCCGGATCTGCGGGAATGCTCGTGAAGCAAGTCGGTGTACATTTGGTTCATATCAGCTGGCAAAGACCTGAGCACGGCCTTGATATTGGCTCCTCGTTCGAGGAAGGCGTCCATGGCCAACTTGGCGTAGAGGAAAAGACCATTTGCCCGTCCAGGAATTGCCTCTTGGATCAGCTGTTGATCATTGTGGGGGATGTTTGAAGTCTTCAAACCCCGCCGTACAAAAGTCGAAATATCGGCATCAACAACGGTCTCTTGAAGGCGGATCTGGGTGCCCTTTGCATGGCGCAGAGGACCCTCAACGGCAGGGACTGGGCGGCTTGTGATAAGCACTTTTATCTTGCCTGGGCTCCAGCTGCCAAGCTCAGCTAGTGCTTGAAGAAAAGCATCATTGCCACGGTCCATCTCGTCGAGAGCGTCGGCGACACAATAGACTTTGCCGGGAAGTCCAGAGAACGCCAGTCGAAGATCTTCCCAGAGGTCTTGCATTGACATGGTGGCAAGGGATCGGGTTTTGTCGCGGTAACCCTCCTTTACGACGTATCCTTTCAACTTCTTCTGCAGTGGCGGGCTGTACACCAGTACCTGGTCCAGCCAGTCTCTGAGAAGTGCAACCGGTTCATGATTTGCATCAATGATCTGTCGAAAGAAGAAGTAAAGTATTGGGCACCCGGGGTTATTGGCAGAGAGTTCCTTGACGATGCTTGAAGCCAACACCGATTTCCCGGATCCTGGGATACCCTTAATCCATAGCAGCCCGGTATCTTCGCCCAGCAGCCAATCTTTGTAGGATTGACTGTTCGTCAGCCATTCGCCGGTGCCCGGAGCGTGCGAACTCAGGTGCTTGTGGTACTCGCTGCTTTCGAGGTCGTACGAGGTGGGCTTCAGCCAGGCCCTGAGCTTTTGAATCACCTCGGGAGGCTCGGGCAAGATGTGTTCGGGATTGTAGTTACTGACATCGTCGCGGTCAATAACGACGGCTTCATCTCCACTTTGCGAAGCCATGGGCTGCTTGAAAACGAGCGTATTTCAGTCCGAATTATCTGTACCCGGGAATTGCTTGGATTTGTTCGGATTACCTTGTGATTTCCTCAGATGAAGGAAGGGATTTTTTGCAAAACGGACGCATGATGAGATGGCAGGGGCTAAGACGCAGTTAAATAGAACTGCAGAAGTTGACTTTGGCGCATCAACAAGGCAACCAGGCAACCCACCTGCAGGTCGAGGGGGAGGGGTGAGTTGTAGCCTGCTGTACTACTGAGTAAGCGAATTGGTTAAGGCAACTGACCTGTTGGTCACCCCACGGCTGCCTAGTGGGATCGCCATGCAAGAAACAATTGTCTTGGCTGCAGCGTTCCCATACGATAGCAAGAGTGCGGAAAGAAAGTCGACGAGTGAAGGAGGGTTCTATGGCTTTCAAGACGCTTGGCACTTGGCATTTCTTCAGCGCACAAAACTGGCCAAAAAAGACTGAGGCTCGAGAGTTTAAAGCCTACTCTTGAAAACCGATGTTGTCAATAACTTTAACAAGGAAGCATAATGGCGATATATCCGCCCGAGCAGCGTATTAGTAGCCTCATGACGAGTCTCAAGTCCTCGAAGTCAGAGGGCGCGTTACGTCTGAATCGGGACAAAGCTTCCCTCAGGTAGACACAGGGGCTTGATTAAGTTGATATCCTGGCAGACAAGATAAAGTCGACATCCGGTCGGGCGGCTTGCAACGAATGAGCGGTATATCATTGGCATGCGAAGATGCCTCTCAAAAGCTTCTGCTGGAGCCGCTCAGAAAATTATGAGCCTGGTAGGATGAACTACCTCGAAAATCTCTCTTCTTAAAGATGAAGATTTTAGAAACGCTGGATTATTGGATGAATTACCTTGAAAGGGCGTATGAGGGCACGTTTTAATCTACAACGTATATTTATATACTGATACTGTTGACCAGGTGATGTTCCCCGTCTTCCATTGTCTTGGCAGCCCCAGTGGAACCTTTTGAAGGGCACATCCGCACACAAAGCTGGAATGTCCACAGGGCACCCCGCAAGACAAGCGCCATGATAACCGCGTATCCGTGGATCCATCACTCAGTGGTGTACGTCATCCTCCTCATGATAGCCCGGGGTGCTGGTCCAAACAGAGTCACCCGAGACTAAAAAGTGTGGAATGGCTGTGTGGTCGCATCGCAGGAGCCGTCTGACCAGGCCATGCCATCCATGTCGATTGAGGCATGAAGACCAGAGCTGTCAAAGAATGGGGCAGGGCTGAAAGCTTTCGGCCGATGTATGCAGTTCAGTGACACTCAAATGGTTGCCTGCAGCCCTAACGTAACTAGTCGGTGGTTTGTTTGTTGGTCTCCAGATTAACGAGTTGTGACCCCAGATATCCACCTCGTCGGATCCGATTATTCGCCAACACCGATGCTGCGCCAGGGGCTAGCATGAATAGGCGAAGTAAGAAAGACAGACTCGCGGATAACCTTCCCAACGCATCAGATTCAGCGAGATCGAGGCTAATGTTCGATGAATCCCGACAGTGCTAACAGAGACGAGGTGTGGGTGCTGTTGATATTTCAGCCGTCTGGGCCCCTGCGTGAGGGGATGACGAATACACGGAGCAGTACCATCATGGTCCAGCACTTGAGCACGACTTCCCTTGCTGGCAGATACAGGATAACAAGAACTCCTCATTTCTAAACACAGAGAAATCCCAAAAGAAATTGGTAAATTGCCCACTGACGGGAGGATGGAAACGTGGATGATTTGGAATTTCGATGTTTCCTGTTCAGCTTTTCGCAGCTTCTCGCAGCTCGGGGGCCCAAGGCCCAAGCTCCCGTTCGGACTGGGGTAGCACGGGCCATGTACGGACGCGAAGCTCCGCCTCGTGATCTTGCTACATCCCATTGGCTGACAGCTGCACCACGATACCTAGTGACTTTGGCTCTGCACTGACGTCATTGCCCAGTCACTTGTGCTGTGCTCGTTCATTCCTTCCCGAATAGCTTTGTCTGTCGATCGACCTTGATGGTGACGATTTTCAACAACACAGCATCAATCCCACCTGAACAAACTGGCAACAAACAGGCGACAAACAGGCGAAAAATCCAACAGCTTTGGAAAATTTGGCAATTCACACACTGCCAAGTGCATCAATAGCCAGCGCAGGCATCAGCCGCTTTCACACTGCAACATGATGTCCTTCTTTGGATTCGGCCGCCCTTCGCGTGAGGAGCGCGAGCGCGAACCTCTACTACCGCGCTACAACGACGACACAGCCTTACAGCAACGCCTTCACGAGAAGCTGCATACATATCAGATGCTCCGCGCCATTGGAAAAGGTTACATGCCATCCAACGAGCAACTCATCGTCAACCTGCGCAGTCTCTTGTCTGCCGACGTCCTCAACCCCGATACCCCGGACCTCAGCGACTCCGGACGAGCTCTGGTTCTCAACGTCAAACTTTTGATCAAGCAACTCATTGAATTACTATTGCACAAGAACGGTAAAGACCAAATCCAGGATTTCATCTGGTATCTTACCAAGGCTCGTCTGTCGGTGGATGCGTACGACATTGGTGCACGAGCATCCAAGGCAAAGGCGAAAGCCGACACTGTGGCAGGTGGGTCATCTCTGTCTAAATAACACGAGGAACCCACGTTCGCTCCAACCTAGGAAAGAAAATTTGTTCAGGGTTTAAACTGACAGTTACCAAGCTTACAAAAGCTTACAAACGGTGGGCTCCTTAATATTAACCAACTCGGATTTCCGCCTACTACTTTCGGATCTTAGCACCATTGGTCGAGAGGTCTTCCGCGACACTGCGTTTACCCTATCGGACGTCTCGAAGCAGGCGGCCAAGGATATCGAACCCTCAAAGGAGGAGGAGGAAGCTGTCAAGCATCCCAACGGTGATTCGAAGCCTCCCCCGACGGAAAACGATTTTGAGAATGAGGTCGTTGACGTTGCAAAAATTGTCACTGACGGCGTCGCCCGTGTTGCTGACGAAGCGGGCCAGAGCCTGGCAGAGCATGTCACTGGCGACGAGCAAGAGACGTTGGTCCACAGGCTGAAGAGCACGATTGTCAATTTGCGTGAGAGAAAAGATTACTCTGACTCGGTATCGACGCTCTCACTACTCATCCGGCGCTATTTGCTGGCCTATTCCCATGCAGTCTCCGAAACCATCCAGGTCGCTCAAGAAGACATCGACACGAATCCAGAGGCCGACCGCGCGCTTCACAACTTTTGGTTGTTTTTGACATCCTTGGGCAATCGCGAGCACTGGAATGATGTCGAAGGCCAGTTCAAAGCGGTCATGGAGCATGGTCGCAGCGACCCCGAGTTCGACAACCTCGTCAGGCAAATCGGTAACCTGCTCCAAGACATTCTGACGGATCCCGATTTCTTCGATCACGCCGAGGACCGCTTCAAGGAGCTGAGGGCCAAGTCGAGGCAGTTGACATCCGAGTCCTCCATACGTGATGATCTTGATGCTTTGTTAGAGAAGGTCTACCTCGCATTGAACTCTGTGCTCCAAGATACGGACATCAAGAAAGCTATGAATACCACAAGACGAATTCTGCAAATCTTGTCGCCTGCACATCAATACACCAACGGGGAACTGGTCTCGGATTCCATCAACATTTTCATACCCATGATAGTGCAGGCTATTCAGTACATTCCGATCCCTCGGGTAGAGGTATCGGTGCCGGCCATCGATCTTCTATTGGAGAACCTTATTTTGGAACCGGGACGCACCGTCAACAACAGCTCCTTCTTGCCGTTCAAGATCAATATTTCCACTCAGAATGATGTCGAGATCCGCAAGGCCCGCTTCCGTACCACGTCCTCGGTGAAGACTCTCATGAGAATTACCATATCGGGATTGTCAATTGCCGCCGAAGACCTTGGATATTGGCTACGCCTCCACTCGGGGATATTGAGGCTTGCCGACGCTGGCATTGCGGGCTTTTACCTGGATGAGCGTGGGATCGATGTTGCTATCGATGTGGAGGTTGGAAAGGAGCGGCTTGAAAACATATTGACGCTGCACAATGTCCGCGTCCGCATCCACCACCTCAATTACAGTCTCCGAAAGAGCAAATTCTCCTGGCTCGCTTGGCTACTCAAGCCTCTGATTCGGCCAACGGTGAAGGCCGCATTGGAAGCTCAAATTGCTGCCAGCATTGGCGAGCTGCTTCATTTCGCCAACAGAGAACTGCTTTTTGCACGGGAACGATTGAGGGCCACTCGTATTGCCGACCCGCAGGATTTGTGGACATTTCTCAAGGCCGTGGCGGCGAGACTGGTACCCCCCCAGGACCCAGATTTGTACACCCGTGTGGGCGTCGCGCAGCCTGGACGGGGAGTTTTCAAGGGCGTATACGCCCCTGGCAGTCTCGTCAAAATGTGGAACGAAGAGGCTGCGCTGGCAGGCGACAGAGTGCACGAATATCAGCGAGACGGGTGGCGCAATTCCATCTTTGATGTCGGAACGACAGGTACTACGCTTTAATGTTGCACCGAGTGCTGCGCGCTGGTAAAATGGCGCAGTCGCAGTCACCCAGGGGGAGGGAGGGAGCACGACTGAGGCAGCCAAGACTGGAAATAAAACAAGACCAGGCACGGTATGGACTCGAAACTGCAAGACGTTTTTTTTCTAATGTATTTCTAGAGGCAATAACACATGCAGGGAGAAACAGGACCTAGGCAAAAATAGCAAGTCGTAATCCATGACTACCTTATCCGTATGAAAACGAGCAAATGCATGTTGGCGTGCGCTTGAGCATTGAAGATTTGGGTGGTGGGTTGGGCTCCAAATGGCAGTCTAACCGTTTAATGCGCTGCACACTGCAAGCCACGCAGATCACAGCAACGTTCGGCGCAAAAGTTCCTCCTTGCTCATTGCTCACACGTCCGTCCTCCGTTTCCAAGTTGATGGGGGTGCATTGACACACTATCCAAATCGAGGAGGTGCACTATCACGATATCGTTGCAAAATAATGCATGATGGACTCAGAGAGTGGTAATCGCTCTCCTTGTGCTTCCGAAGGTGAAGGCAACGTCGCATTTCATAGAAAGTTCGATTCATCAGCTTCCATATCTAGAACTTGCTGCCCAGCGTCGTTTCAGTCCCCGGCAATCGGTAATCAACAACAAGAGGCCCCGGCAGCGCGGAACCCACGGTCTCAAATACGAATGCTACAGAGTAGTCGACTCGAGTCATCGGCGCATACCGAGTATATTGCAAACGCTGACCTGGCAGCGCGGCACCCGACGCGTGACATCTGCTGCGGTTCTCTCCCGAAACCTACGGACGGGCCACCCGAAACCTACGTGTGCTTGAAGTCGGGACGTCGTTTTTGCAGGAAAGCGGTCATTCCTTCATTGAAATCGCCGAGGCTGAAAGTCGAGTAGTAAAGGGATTTCTCCATGGTCATCCCGGCATCGAGATGGCTATTTTCGACTGTAGCAGGGTTAGCGGGTCAGAATACGGGGTCCGCCCAGGAGCCCGCCCCCTCGAGCTTGCTTGGCTGGATTCGGAGCCATCCTTTAGTGGTCTTGGAGCCGGGGCTACCCACCTGTGAGAACCGCTTGTTTTGCGGTTTTGGTTACGGGGCCTGACATGATGGCGATGCGCTCCGCGAGCTTCATGGCAGCTGGCACGACCTCTTGACGAGAGAACACCTTGTTGACAACGCCGAGACGCTCAAACTCGGCCCCGCTGGCTGAATCGCCGGTGAGAACGAACTCCATGGCCTACGGCTGGTCAGTTTGTCGGGTTTAGAGTGAGAGCGACCATGTCGGCTGTTGACCTCGGCCAACACGAGTCAACCGACTGACACTGGCCACTCACCTTGTGCTTGCCCAAAGCACGGGCTAGACGCTGAGTGCCGCCGGCGCCTGGGATAGTTCCGATCTTGATCTCTGGGAGTCCGAACGAAGCATCTTCTGCGGCGTAGATCATATCGCACTAGATCGTGAGTGAGCCGTTTAGGTTCTACCTCGCAGAAACATGCGGGGGCAAGTCTTGACTTACTGCTAGAGCGATCTCGCAACCACCGCCCAACTTGAGGCTCTCACGTTAGCCTCATTTCTGTGGGGTATGCGAGGCAGCAGAAAAAGAAACCAAGCATAGGGCATCGGGGATCGGGGGGACGGCATCCAACCCGGACAGTGCAACTTACTGCAAAACCAACCACAGCCGCAATGGTGGGCTTGGAGAAGTTGGCAAAGGCGTCTGTTAGGTCCTTGAGAAAGGCGCGCTGGTGGGCCGCGGCCGTGGAGATCTGCACCAGCTCGTTGAGATCCATGCCGGCTGCACCACACAACGGATTAGCCAACGTCGCGCCTCCATTAGATTAGATGAGAAGGGGTCCCGTCAGTGGGACCCATGTGCAATTTTCATGACGTTTCAGGGACTTGGAAACAAGAACGACAGCGGATCGCCCCCCGTGTATCACGTCCGTGGGGAATCAGCTGGAGTTGAGATGACAGTTGCTGGGCGGGAAATCACTAACTGCCGAGTGCGGCGCCAATGAGGAGAGTGTAGATGCACGTGGAAGGGTGAAGGAAAAGCAAGTGAAGCCGAGAAGAGCGAGTTGAGGACAGAGATCCGACGACGGGGGTATGCTTGTTGCGTCCCCCCCCCTCCCGACATGGTTTTCAAAAGCCAAACTCTGAAATCTGTCGCGACTGGTATGAGGAGACGTGCAAAACATACCACAGAAAGGTCCATCTGGGCCACCGGTGACAACAACGACGCGGACAGTGTCCAAGGCATCGAGATGAGCCAAAGTCGAAACAAGTTCGCCGATCATGACCTGAGAGAAGGCATTTCTCTTGGCTGGGCGGTCGAATCGGACGAGGGCAACGCCCTTTTCGGAGTCTACCGTCAACTGGAGAGTGGTGAGGTTCTCCATGATTCTCGGGAGTCGGAAGAGTAACCGCAGGAATGGACAACAAGGGGGGGAAAAAGAAGTTTAGGGCTAGCGGATCACCGGAGTGCAACGACTGATTAGAAAAACGTGGAAATTGGAGGGAAGGCGAGCGAGGGGGGCAGTGGTAGAGACGTTGATGGTTTGTTGAACAGGCGTGCTCAACACATGGCAGAGAGACAGAGAAGTCGGAATTTTTTCTTCTCCCGGATCTTGCTTCTTTCTCCCAGAACCCTTTTCTTCTTCGCCAGCAACACATCGCCGCACTTTATTAGAGAATGCCACCCTGTTATGACCGAATTCGGCCAGGGGACGTTGGCCTGGAGCAGCGTCACATCTCAGCTGGGGGAGCAGAACAGAACTGGCAGGAGGGTCGCCAAGGAAGAGGGGTGGGCGGCCGAACAGTCGACAAGCATGATGAGCCGCGGAAGCCAGGGTTCCCCCCGGGACGATGTGCAGACAGGGCACCATCCATGACAGAATCAAGGCACAACCCGCACAAGCGTCTAGCCTTCCCTCCTCCTCCTCCTCCTCCTCCTCCACGATTGCGGCATGTTATGGATGGCACATGTCCACCTCCAAGACGTCAGTCCTCCACTGCCGTACCCCTTGTTACGGCCCAAGGCAACGCCTAGCAAGGTGCTCCAGCGACAAGACGGAGGGTAACAGCTGCCGCATTGGGCGGATCTGGTCCGGATTATCCTCCGTTTTACCCGGATTTGGACGTCTGGTCCGGCGTGGCCCCGCCGGGCGGCCAGCGGTTTCGTTACCGCGGCATGGAGTTGTCGTTACGATAAAACTTCTGCCCACCTCCAGGGGGAGAGGAGGCGGATTTTCGGCTGCTCCAGACGCTCCCTCGGCAAGTTGGCCTGTCACGCCTGTTCACGATGGAAGACTCTCCCTCTACTCTTGCACTTTCATCCGTGGTCGAGGATCCGCTTCTCCGTATAGCATCATACTGCATTCGTTCATCGAGGGACCCGGATCACCACATTCTTACAAGGTTCCTTGTAAGTGACCCTGTCTTTGGCTACGCTAGTTTACCAGAAGTCGTCCGTTCTCCACACTATCTAAAACATTTGTCTGCATAGGAAGGAGCTGAAAGAAGAAAAAAGGCCAGCCCTGAATTCATCCTTGGACCATGGCTTGACGGGGGCTCTAGAATATGGAACCTTGTTTGAACACGGAGGTTGAGGCAATCTAGGCAGGCTTTGGCGAAGTGACCAAGCCGAAAAATGCAGTCCCCCACAAGGTCGGACAGAGTCTGGCGTTTCTCCGTTTCTCGAGGATATAGGCGCACGAACACACAGACGCGATGGACCCGGGAGGAGATATATCTGGTTCGAGGTGCCCACCTCTCGAGATGCACCACGAGGCGTTTCACTGGTAGGCACAATCACTGCAGGGCATCAACTTTCAGGAGCTTCTCATCATGGTTTCCTCGCGTTCATTCCACTCGCTGGAAAGCCTGTCCCTGGCGGACAGAGTGCTCTTCAACCAATTCAGCAGAGGACCGAACGATGTGATCCCCTACCAAGTCGTCCACCACGCCTTTGAGTCCATCGCAGCGGCACATCCGGACGTCACGGCTGTCCGACACTACGATGGCACGACTATCACGTACCGGGAGCTCAACCGCAGGGCCAACGTGCTCGCCAACGAGCTCAGGGGAAGATATGGCCTCAGGAAAGGAGACCGTGTAGTTCTCGTCTACTCCCGCTGCATCGAAATGGTCGTCTTCATCTTTGCCGTTCTCAAGGCGGGTGGTCAGTACGTCCCTCTCGATGGCGGCATCATCCCCGAAGAAACACTCGGCTACGATATTGCCGACTCCAACGCGCCGGTTGTGCTGTGCCTTCCCAAGTTTAGGGAGAAGGTTCTGCGCAGCGTGCCCTCTGAAAGGCGGGACCTTGTGAGAGTGGTCGACCTTGACGCGAGCAGTTGGCTGTGGAAGCACGGCAACAATGGGCATCCCGGTGTCATTGTCAAGCCTGAGGATGGAGCCTATGTGATTTACACCTCGGGCACTACCGGACGACCCAAGGGAGTGGATGTGAGACATGAGGGCGTGACCAACACGCTTCTAGCGGAGCCTTCCAAGCTGGGTATCCGTGTGGGAAAGAACGTGGCGCAACAGTTGAATGTCGGTTTTGATATGTGTAAGTCAATGTCTCAAACTCTGATGTTTAGTGTCCGACCACGCTGACGCGGCAATGGATATTTAGGCGCGTGGGAGATTCTCGGCACGATGATGAACGGCGGAACACTTCACATTAGAGGCAGCGGCAATGATCTCTGGACGGATTGCTTGCAGCGTGTCGATACTGTCATCGCGACACCCTCCGTCGTCCTCAAGCACATGCCCAGGCGAGAGGACTTCCCCAACATCAGGACCATTGCCGTGGGCGGCGAGCCTTGTCCATTGGCACTCGCCGAGCAGTGGGCGCCCTACGTAAAGTTCTGGAACGTGTGCGGTCCTACCGAAATCAGTATCCTCAACACCGCGCACCTTCACAAGCCGGGAAAGACTTTGTCGATTGGCAAGCCTAACCCCAACACTAACGTCTACATTCTCGACGAAGACGAGAACCCTGTCAAGATTGGCGAACCGGGCGTCATGTGGGCCGGCGGTCCAGGCGTTTCTAGGGGGTATCTCAACTTACCGGAGCTCACGGCACAACGATATAAGGTTGACAAGTTCGCAAAGGATGGGTTAGTTTGCGCCTCAAGTTTTTTTTATCTCCGTTCTTCCGGCCGAGACTTGAGAAGGGCACTTGTTCGCTAACAAAACGAAACCGTTTACAGTCGTATGATGTTCAACACCGGCGACTTGGCCCGCTGGCTCGAAGACGGTAGCTTGGAGCCCCTCGGCCGTAAAGACGACCAGGTCAAGATTTCGGGCTTCCGGGTCGAGCTCGACGGCGTCTCTCGCGCTATTGAAAAATGCCCCGGCGTTGTCAAGGGATGCGCGCTGAAAATCGATGATCGTCTGTGGGGCTTCTACTCTGCCCCTGCGCCGATTGACCAAGTTCAGCTGAAGAGTGTCGTCGGCGAGGGCCAACCGTTCTATGCCGTCCCGACCGTCTGGAAGTACCTCCCCGTTATCGAGCTAACCCCGAACGGCAAGGTCGACAAGCGGGCCCTCCGCGACATCGCGGCCGGCACAGCTGAGACCCCTCCGCCGCTACCTCTGGCGTCCATCCCGACGGGCATGTCGACGCCCCCGGAGTCGTCCAGCGCCTCGTCCATCAGAACGGCCGTCAGCCCAACCAGCGAAGGCGGCTTTACCCTCGTGGACTCTCGCACGTTCACCGTCGTGGATTCCCAGCAACGAAACATCGACTTGGAGAAGACGGCCGCTTTCGTCGAGGAGGAGACCGAGAAGGAGGAGCACGAATACGAGCTGCCTTCCAAGAAGGGCTTCCACGGCTGGAGGTGGATCCGCCACCGCGGGCTCAATGCCTACCGCAAGCTCTTTGGCATCATCTTCCTCTCCAACCTTGCCGTCTTCGTGTGGATGCTATGGGAGAGCCGCCTCAGCAACTTCTCCCTGCCCCTGAACCACCTGGCCACCGCCGTCGCCGCCAACCTCCTCGGCGCCGTCCTCCTGCGCCAGGACTACGTTGTCAACTTCATTTTCTGGCTCTGCTCGCGCGTGCCCACCTCTGTCCCGCTCGCGATTCGCAGGCACTTTGCGCGTGTCTACCACAATGGCGGCGTCCACTCCGGCTGTGCTGTCTCCGCCACCGTGTGGTGGGTCATCTTCACGGGCGCCGCCACCGGCAACTTCATCGCGGCCCAGTCCCGCTACTCTGTCAACCTCCTCACCCTCGTCCTCACCTATCTCGTCCTCCTCCTTCTCGTCATGATCCTCGTCATGGCCTACCCCACCATCCGCGCCAAAATGCACGACCAGTTCGAGTGGACGCACCGCTTCGCGGGCTGGTCCGCCCTTGCTCTCGTCTGGGCTCACGTCATCGCCACCGCGGCCTCCATGTCCGCCGAACCCCTCGGCCCGGCCCTGGCCAAGACCCCCGCGCTCTACCTCGTGGCCCTCACGTCCCTGAGCGTCGCGCTGCCGTGGATGCGCCTCCGCCGCGTCAAGGTCGTCCCCGAGCCGCTCTCCAAGCACGCCGTCCGTCTGCACTTTGACTTTTGCACCCCCGGTCCCTGCACCTCGCGCGGCGTCCGCATCACCGACCGGCCCATGGTCGAATGGCACGCCTTTGCGGCCATCCCGGAGCCCAGCGGCAAGGGCTTCTCCATTGTCGTCTCCAAGGCCGGCGACTGGACCAAGCGCATCATTGAGAACCCGCCCACCTCGCTCTGGACCCGCGGCACCCCGGCCTCGGGCGTCTTGGCCGTCGCCCCGCTCTTCAAGAAGATGGTGCTCGTCGCGACGGGTTCCGGCATCGGGCCTTGCTTGCCTGTGCTCATGGAGCGTCGGGTGCCCGCGCGGGTGGTGTGGTCGACAAAGAACCCGCTCAAGACGTACGGGCAGGGCGTCATGGACCTGATTCGCAAGGCGGACCCGGATGCGCTCATTTGGGATACGGACGAGAGGGGGCGGCCTGATTTGGTGCAGTTGGCGTATAATGTGTACAAGGAGAGCGGGGCCGAGTGTGTTGCGATTATCTCGAATGGGCCTACGGTGAATAAGTTTGTGTATCGGATGGAGGCGCGGGGGATTCCTGCGTTTGGACCGATTTGGGATTCATGAAGCCGTTTTTTTTGGTGGGAGTCACTTCCTTCTTGTTGGCGGTGTGCTTTGCTTTTTAATTCTGGCGGGGGTTTGTTTTGTTTTCCGTTGTCATACCAAAGTGTCTTCACGGTTGTCTCGTATAATAGTATCATGTACTTTGGCAAGCTGGGAGTTTTGTTTTGCATCTGGGAGGTGTTGATTGGGCTATTTGTAATTACCAAAATTGATATCTTGACATTGATTCATCCGGACTTGAGCCCCGCGCAGGCTTGATTTCTGTTATTGACACATGGTAGTCTGAATCTTACAGGTATCTGCTGCGTTGAGCCCTTTTCGGCAGCGATCATTCTACGCGTGTGACATAGATAGCGATACTCCTTCCTCTCCTCTGGTGTCATGACTTAGACCGCATAGCTGCATATGAGAAGTAGGTGAAAACACGCTGAATTCCGGAGCATGAAAGCGTGGTTATATCTATTCAACGATCCTTCGCCTGACCCATGCTTCGAGATTACACAATTATAGCTCGGAAGGGTTCTACTTGGTCCTACTCCAATGGCTCTGGGTTTCAAATTCAAAGAGCAGAGAGGCAAACGGAACTGGAAATCCGATGAAGCGTCGGGCACTCCATAATGGAGTTCTTAGTTGCCGGAGTGGTTCAACCTCATGGACCACTTACTTCTGACCTCTCATGTGGACGTGTAGGTATGACCGCAGGTTGCACCATTTCCCGACATCTTCTCCTCTGCTCTTCTGCAGCCTGCTCTGAAAAGACCCATGGAGATTTGAGCTGGCTTAGGAACCATACTAGCTGAAAACGGAGTTTAGCTCAGTTTGAATGCATATATGAGGCACGCGTATAGTCATCTCGTGGGGTCATATGCAGGAGAAAAAGATTCGAGAGTCCCTTTTTGATGAGTCGAGTTGTTCACCACGAAGAGACTAAACATCTGGGTTTCATGCAGCGAACGTCAATTTCAGGTGGGAAAAAAGACTGGGCCGACGGACATCGAAGTTCAACAGCCGCCTTCTTGCTTTGCCCGATTGAGTACCTCGCCGACTGATTCTGGATCCTGATGTCTAGAGAAAGTCAACTCGCCTCGCAGGGAAGCTGGACGGAGGAACGTTGTTGGAGGAAAGAAAACCCATCGAAAAGAGTTTCTGAGTGCATTTCAGATTGGAGTGGATTCCTTTCCATACTTGTCTTTCTTCCGGGAATCGTTTCCTAACTTGGCAAATTAGCAACTATGTGGAATACGAATACTAAAGTTTTCCACAATTTTCCACGCACAATTCAGACCGTCCAATTCAGCGACTTGGACACAATGGTCACTGCGCCTCATAACGCGAGTCAGTGGGGGCAAATATCTTATTCGATGAGAACAGACTTCTGTCACCCGGCTATCAAACCCACGAAGAGAGTGCAAACTATCCTCAAGAGTTTTTGACTTTTTGGCAGCTTGACAACTCGGTTCGAACGAGAAGCACAACTTACTCGATCACAAGGTGACACGAGATAAAATATTTGAGAATTTCTGCTTCTCAAGGTGCGCAACACTCTTGGGTGGCTTGACGGAAGCGTTTTCAGACCTGGGACTCGCTTCATCTCAAAGTCAGCCCTCCAAAACGAGTCCAAGAGTCCAAGACAAAGGCTTGGGCAGAACCAGCTGAATCGCATTCTGCATCCATATGCTTACGTCGCCCTCCCCGCCGGAATTAACCTTAGCCGGAACGTCTCTAGAACCACTTCGTCCCATCTTTCGCGACGGTTGGCCGTAGTCGTCGGTCGTTCGTCGCTGACATTTCGTGTCATTCGTATCAAGCCCGAGCAGATCAGCAATAGATATGCTGATGTTGTGGCCTTTTGCGGTCTTTTGTGGAGCAAGCCCGCAATCTGACGAGAAATCCCATCTTTTGAAACGGCCCGTGGACGGGGCGGTTTGCATTGTTCTGACGCACTTTGTGGTTGAGACTGGAAGCTTTTCTGTCTCCCCAGCGGCCCTTGCATATCACACACGGACACAGTAAACACACACCCGCGCTCCGCTTCCATGACACCCGTCTTGACATCAAGTTGTCACCAAAATGGGGGAAACAATGACAGATTATCTAACATGTTTGGACCCCCAGGAGGGGCCAGACAAAGGCGGGGCGGCAGCATAGCCCGGGAAGTTTCGTAGAGTCATTGATGATGGTTTTGTCGCCGCCGCTGATGAGCACGAACCAAAACGGTCCTCACGCGTATGATATTTTCAGTATTTTGCGTATTCCTACCCCGTATCCGTCTCCTTTTCCGCCGGAAAATAGTCCTTTTTGCTTTTGCTTTTTGCATGCTCGCTCACTTTCTGCACGTCAAACGGTGGCCCTGAACCTCTTTTCCAATCTCATCTTTCTTTCACTTGAAAAAAAAAAAGAAGGACCCGACTCATCTATACTTCCAAATCCCAAAGTTGGAATCGATACTTCCTCTCAACTACGACCGCCCGCCCGCGCTAGACCATGTCAACGCGCTCGACGCAAACCGTCCTAGAGACGCCGACGATGCTGAGGAAGAGATCAGGTGTCATGGTTCTTGCCGAATATGACAAGGCCGGAGCCCTCAAAACCAAGTACATAGAGTCGGCTCCGATCGCCGGATCATCTAGGGTCGATCTCCAGGTAAGCTCCGCCAAGTTACATGGGGGACCCCTGGACCCCCCGCCCCCTCTCCCTAACTTCCATCGATATGTTGATGGGGAAAAGGTTTACATGTGATTTAACACTTATTCGTATAGCTCCCGCCCAAGAGAAAGAAGCCTTGGCAAGAGCTTCTCGAAATCTTCTTGCCCGATGGGTACCCGCATAGCGTAACAGACGACTATGCTGAATATCAGATTTATGTGAGTAAACTCCAACACAGAACAGGCATGTGTCCAGTAAGCTCATACTCAAGCAGGACTCTCTTCAAGCATTTGCTGGCACAATTGCCGGCATGATTTCTTCGCGGGCTGTTTGGGAAGGTAAGCACTGCTTTATTAAATCCCGGCTAAACTTGCCACATTTGGATCTCGGGCTGGACCAAACGTCATAGTGTAACTCCTGGGCACGTTATGATATCCTGTGCTAATCAGTCCAACAGGTCTGGGTGTTGGCGACTCATTAGCATCTCCAACCGGGGCTATGCTCATCCAAGTCACGCGAGAGTCCATGGGAAGACTTGCTACCATTACATTCGCTCATCTGTTTGCAACCTCCATCGAGGCAGAATGCAAGGCATACCGCATGGCATGCGACCTTTTGACCGACCTCGCGATGGTTCTCGACTGTGCATCTCCCTATTTCCCACAAGAGGCCAGGTTCGTGGTTCTCTGTCTCTCCAGCGTTTTGTACGCCGCGTCAGGAGTCGTTGGAAACGCATCAAAAAGCAGTCTCAGTGGTCACTTTGCCAAGTGGAACAATCTTGGCGAGCTGAATGCTGTAAGTGTCGAGACTCCTTGCAATGCCGACTTCTGTAGCGTTCCTGACAGATTGTAGAAAGATGCCAGCCAAGAGACGGCCATTTCTCTGATAGGAATGCTCGTAAGTCAAACAAGAGATACCCCTATCTGATATCCCTTCAACTATGCTAATAGATGCGTAGACGGGCACATGTTTGTTGTGGTTCCTCACCAATGAGACAGCATCATGGATTGTGCTCTTTGTCCTCCTTGGCATTCACCTATTCCTTAACTGGAAGGGTGTTCGAGCGGTACACTCACGTCAGCTGAATCGTCAACGCGCCAACATTGCTTTATCGGCATTATTCTCGAAAAACGAGGTCCTCACGCCTCTAAAAGTTTCCCGGAGAGAACTCATCTTTGAGAGGCGTGGGGGTGAAGTGTTCCGCTGGAACTCAGGGCCCGTATTTGGCCACTGCAAGTACGGAGTACCCCTCAAGACTTTGCTCCAAGCCTTGGCCTATGAAAATTACGAGACATCTTTTCAACTATCTAGTATTGACTTGTATACACTTATGGACGTCTTTCAAGGCGAGGAGTATATCCTCTGGTGTCTGGTGTCAGCCGCCTCAAACGATGCGGCCTCCAGAATCAAGGTCATTGTTGTCTTGAAAGAAGGCGTGTCGCCAAGGTCACAGCTGAAAGCTTGGTTCCATGGCTTATTACTGGCCAGAAGACTGAGCGAGCAGGAAGAAATTGACTTGGTGCGAGCTGGACTTGATCAACATGCAATGTTGGATCACGTGGAGGAGAGTTTGCACATTGCAAACGAAAAATACGAGGTCTACGCGAGGAGACTGGCGTCTGCAGGCTGGAACATTGAGGTTCCTCTGCTGGAGACCCGAGCAGGTTCTCGCATAATCCGTGAACCTGACGAGATGAGAGCGCACTAAGCGTTCCCGCAGGGGTTGTTGAAGAGATGATCTAGATAGGCTCCATCAAACACACAACGGTTAGATTTGGTCCGAAGTCAACAACATGCGATGTAGCGTCACAACTATTTTTCCATATTAGTTATCTGGGTTGTCTGAAAGAGCTATGCCGTATTCCTGTGAGATGCGTCTGATAACCTAAAAATGCCCGTTTACTTGATATGTGTGGATAGATCAGCAAATCATCGCCTTGATGATGCAATCCGGGCCAAATGCGAACAACCCTTGCGACTTATTGCTGCAAAGTAAAAGGATAACCCCAGAACTTTACGCGAACGACACGTGGACTATCGAAAGTGTGTTGTGGGCACACCAAACACTGGCAGCTCTGCAGTTGGCAGCCACAGCCCACACCACACCGATCAGAGCGGCACGGATCTCTGCCGACCCTTCTTCGGGTTATTCTCTCTCTTTTTGCATTATCTAAAAATAAGAAGGCTATTCTGCTCATTAAACTTGATACTCTGCCATGCATGTAGGCCTGCCAGCTGTGCTCAAGTTACGACAATGCAAATATCTGGTCGTTTTCGCGTTGGGGGAATCCAAGGGTCTCTACGTTGTTCAAATATGCGCAGTCCAATCTTGCTATCGATAATTCGATCATCATCTAGGTGCCGTCTGCAACACCGATCAGTGCCGACACACCTTTCAACCCGTCCCGGCTTCCTACCAAGGGAATAGCAAGTGCGGCCGCTACTTGGCGCGCCAATGCGCCAAACGCCATGGCGGTGGCCGTGCTGGTCTCCTTCGACGTCGGCAATGTTCACCCTATTGACCCGACTCATTCCTTGGCTGGGTTATGGGGGGGCAAGTTTGAGGGGAAGGGATGTTTGCAGTGTTCGTAGACCCCGCTCGTATTAAACCTCGCATTGGAGAATGGAAGCGACTTGTGAAAGCGAACCCGAAGAGTATAGCCCAGACGACTCGCCAACCATCATTGACGCATTACAATTCTGGAACGGGTGATGTATGAGACACGTGAGATGGCAATGTCCATGCCTTTCTGGACCCTTTGCAGCCTCCGTTGGTCATCATTGGTCGAGCTCTCGACCTCGGGTTAGAGTACTGAGTTGAGACGGTTCAGACACTGAAATTGATCTTTTTCTGAGAACCTTGAAGCGCAAGCCACCGTACAAGGTAGCTCGCGACGTATACGGATACGCAGTCGCGACCTTTACTTCACGCCTCTTTGGGATTGCGCATGCGCATAGATAAAGAAGCATGTCCGACCACCAAGACATATACGTGACGACACATGATCCATTTCTCATCCTTACGCCCCTAGCTTCTTTCCATTGTACTACAAGATGAGAAACCCAACTACGGCTTCGCGCCCGAGCAACAATCAGCCAATTGAAGTTCGAGTTCGAGCTTTGGAAGTTCGCGACAAAGAAGCCCTGCCTCGGAGCAAGTCCCATCACCAGCTTTCCACTCGCGCCGAAGTTCGAGCTTCAGAAGCTTTACCGCGGAGCAAGTCCCATCACCAGCTTCCTCACCCCGAGAGACCGCAGAATCCGGTGCAGCTGCAGGCGTTTGAGTGGAATCTGCCCGCCGACCACAAACACTGGCGACGGCTCAGGCGCGCGTTGCCGGCGCTCAAGTCCGTCGGGGTGGACAGCCTGTGGCTGCCTCCCGGAAGCAAGGCCAAGGACCCCGAGAGCAACGGCTACGACATTTACGACGCCTGGGATTTGGGAGAGTTTGACCAAAAGGGGTCGGTCCCCACGAAATGGGGAACCAAGGGAGACCTTGTGTCCCTTGCGGCGGACGCGGAGAACCACGGCATCGGGCTCATCTGGGACGCGATTCACAACCATCGCGCCTATGCCGACGGCACGGAGATGGTGAAAGTTGTCGAAGTGGACCCGCGCGGTAAGTTTCAATGACCATGTCACCTCACTATAGAGAGCTCCCGTGTGCTCATGCGTGATATACACGCTTCAGATAGACGGAGAGACACCACAGAACCCTATGAAATTGAATCATGGACCAAATTCGACTACAAGGCTAGAGGGGGCAAGTACAGCAAGTTCAGATATAACAAGTCGCATTTCAACGGCACAGACTGGAACCAGAAGAACCAGAAGCGAGCAATCTACAGATTCGTAGAAGAAGGCAAGAACTGGCACCAAGACGTCGGCGACCTCCAAGGCAACGCCGACTACCTGATGCTCGAGAACCTTGACTACACCAACCCGGAGGTCGTCAAAGAGCAGCATCAATGGGGCCGCTGGATCGTGGACGAGCTGGGGCTCAAGGGCTTCCGCGTGGACGCCGTGCAGCACATCTCGTGGAACTTTATCAGCAAATGGGCCGAGTACCTCAGGAAACCGACGATCCGAAACGACCTCATGTTTGTGGGAGAGTTCTGGCACGGCGACGTGCGTGTTTTGAACAATTGGTTGGAACATATGCCGGCGTTCTTCAGCCTCTATGATGTGCCTCTCATGTATCACATTGAGAGATTGTCATGGCACCAAGATACCGACTTGAGGCAGGTGTTCAAGGACACCTTGGTAGAGCAACGGCCCAATAACGCTGTGGTAGGTTTGTTTCATATCTGCAGAGTACTTCTCCTGACTAACATTCTGTAGACATTCATTCGGAATCACGATACCCAAAAGGGTCAACAAATGGACACACCAATCTGCAGGAGTTTCATGCCTTTTGCCTACTCCATGATTCTCCTCAGACGTGACGGTCACCCATGTGTCTTCTTCGGAGATCTATACGGAATCGAGCTTACTCATCCCGAAGCACCCATCCAAGGCCTTCCCAATATCCTATTGGCCAGGAAGCTTTACGCATACGGGGACCAACAAGATTACTTTGAGCGGCCCGACTGCATCGGATGGGTCAGACGCGGAACGGAAGAGAGACCCGCTGGTATGGCCGTCATCATGAACTGGACCCAGTTCGAACACACAGACACTCGGATTTCCATGTCGGTTGGTGCTGATCACGCTGGAGAAATTTGGACCGATGTCCTCGGACTGGAGCCGGCCGCTGTTACGATTGACGCCAACGGGATGGGTTCTTTCCACTGCCCGAGAAACAACATGGCTTGTTTTGTCAACGCGGAAGCCAAGGGAAGAAGGAAATTCCCTGCGAAATTCGACTCTGATTTTCACAGCTTCGTTGAATAGAGCGATCGTGGCGCAAGACTTGGCGCCATGGATTAAGAACATTACTGTAGCATAGAATTCTTGTACACATTTTGATAGCATTACTAGCGGACACAGCCTAGGAAATACCCTCGTCAATATCATTTATTTCTCCTATCAACATGGAATACTCCACCCTTTCATCACTACTGGGCGTTGAAGAGTTAGTCTTAAACTTTACTACATCTTCTCATTTTGATTTTTGGGCCTGGCTTCTTTCGGCATGGGAACCACGCGGAAGGCAATAAAGAGGAATGTTTCACCATAGCCGAGGGAAGAGTCCTGTCGTCGCCCGATACAGACTTGCTATTCCTCTTTGAATGGCAGATTTCGCAACAGTAAACCAAGTTTGGAATCTTACCACCTCGACTACAAAGGCAATCACCCATGCTGCGATGGACAGGTAGAAGCCATGGGGTATGGCGTCTGCAAAGATGAGAGCCCAAAGTACAAGCCCCGCCGCATATGGAATCAACGTTAAAAACAGCAGCCAGCAAGGTGAGATCTCGAGTGCTTGTGCGAGTTGAATGGGTTCCGTAATTGCCATTGTCTCCGGCACGGTCGATGATGGCTAATTCAGTAGATGGTCAGTCAAACTTGTCGACATTGAAACTTCATTGAGAAAATTGGCGATGAGACCGCTTACAGCATGGATAGTACCTTGCGGGGATTGAGCTCCAGGCACATGAGGATTCGGCTGTAGGGGAATGTCATCCGGATCGACACTCCCCAATGTAGGCGAGGGTGAGGTCTCAGGCACAGCATCAGATGGGATAGACATATATCCTTTCGTCGCAGCTGCAAATCAGGGGAATCAGCAAGCAAGTTTGGTTGTCCAGAGGTTCTTAATTTTGACCACTCCATCCGCAAATTGAGACAACTTACATGAATATGCCTCAGCAGCTGTAATCAAAGGGAGCGCCAGAAGAAATAGGGGCACAAGCTGTCCAAAATTCGGCTGGATCGCGCCGAGCTTCAGACTTGCATCGTTGAAGAACTTGAGCAGATTGGCAGTACCGAAAGTGAAGTAGAAAAACAACCACACAACCTCCCAGAGGAAACTAGACTCTAGGAACTTTACCCAGATTGACAACATCGTTAGGTAGTGTTTGACGGAAAACGACGGGCGTCTGTTGACATTGATATAGCCGGCAAGCGTTCTGTTCCTGGTCAAAGCCAGGTCTTTGAACGCTTCTTCGGCGGCAGGCCCAAACAGGAATCGCAAAGAGCGACGCTGCCAAAAGTCTTGTTTATCACGGGCCGAAGGGCAAAACAACTGTAGGATCCTTTGAACGTAGCCAGACACAAGGATATACGTCAGTACTGATAGATTGAAGATGATGATGACTCCGTCAGAAAAGAAGACATAGTTGGGCCGTTCTCGGTCAACCAGCTTGAAATGCTTCCTGGCGCATTTGACTGAAATATGACGGTTGAAGCGAAAGGTCACAGAGTCCGAGATGATCATACAACCAATCATCATGGCGAGGAAGACAACCATCAGGATGGTTCGGAACGTCCGCAGCCGTTTGTGTTCGTCAAAGTACTCCCATAGCACGGAGAGCGAGCAGAGGTGGGTAATACAGGAGAAGTAACCGAGTCTCGTCGCAATCTGAAACGAGTAAACCGAGAAGCTCTCATCGAGGCCATGTACGCCGGCAAATATTAAGGAGGTAGCCAGCATGAGGGCCATACCAGTGACCAATTGCTGGTCGCTCATTGATAACATGAACGACTCGAAAGCGCGGATCCGTTGCGCTCTCTTGGCATCAGAGTCTGCGGTAGTTTGGCTTTGATGACCTGCCGGTATTGTACGTCGGTAGCACGGTAGGCAGGTCGAGTAGGACCACGGAGGCGAGCCTTTGCGGTGGGCAATGTCGTCTATTGAGTTGTACCGATACTGAGGTAGTGCATTTGTCGCATATGCTATGATTATGGCCACCATGTTCATCACAATCGAGAAGCAAAAAGAGGAAAGGATCTTGTAGAGATTAGCATCAGCTGATGAGCCAGCAGAAGTATCCTTGCGAAGTCTTACCCCCCAGCCAGTAATGTCAGGATCAGGCACATCCTCCTCCTTAATCAGTTCGCAATAACCTCCCTTGACCAAATAATCGGTTTCCATCTTGTTAAATGCTTTCTAGTAACGGCAGGTATATTATGCGGCGTTGATGGCCGTTGATCAAAACGTGAAACTCCGTCATATGACGGTCTTAGATAGACGCGGACAATCGAGTTGGAATCCGACATTGACATTGAAATCTGGGAAGCATGCGGGTTTTAGGGACCGTGGCAAGATTTGCGACCCAATTCCTTAAAATGAGGCAGCCATTAGTAGTAGGTGGCCAGGGGTGGAAACCAGCCGGGGAACAATGTTGCAAGCCTCAAGCCTTGCATGTCTTCTGCCATGATTGTGACAGAGCCCAGATGGGAATACGCAACGGGGTGGGTAGGACGAGTTTCCCATGGTTTGATTTCAGCAGCAAATAAGGAAACACCCGCTTATCTATCTCAACAGGAAAACCCCATGTCAAGGACAATTCGACTTGATCTGGCTGAATTCGCTGCGCGCTTGTAGACTAGTTGCAGGCAGAGATCGTAATGGTTGCTTATCAGATTGGCTGCCTCCGTCTCCTGGGCCTTGTGGCTATGTATGTGCTGGGAGGCTGCCTAGTCTGCCACTTTTTTTTTTGGCAGGGCATTATTTGGCGCCTGAGACAAATGACGTGGAACGAAGAAAAGCATTCGCCTCACTTTTCTGCGCCATATTCGGCAAATGTCAAGGAAAATCTTTCAGCTGAAGGGGGGCTGATGCGGCGCATGCAGGCCAGGCCACCAAGGGTTCTTCAGCTCGCGTTTTCTGCGGCTGATGCAAAGTTTGATGCAGAATGGCAATCACCGAAGCCGATACCAAAAATTTGGAGAGTGTACCAGCAATCGCTATGGGTATCTACCTTGTGCAGAGCCTTTTGCTGGTCGGCACATCGTGACATTCTCTTATCAACCTCACATCCCAGAGAGGTTTGTATAAAACGCCGTTCAAGGAAATGTTGGGCCGAAGAAGAGTGGGGACAGGGATTTACCGTGATGAAATCAATCTTTGGACAAGGTGGAGAATCTGTGAATAGTAATTGCACCTTAACAACTTTACATTCAGCCAGCTGTCTCTCACTAAAGTAAGTCGAGAAGCTATCCGGACTGCCTCAATCAAGACCCCAAACTCTTTAACTACATCAAGTATGTCCAGCGAAATTTCGGGTGTCTTCGGACTGTTCATATTCCACCTGTTTCAGATAAATTGATTACTTTATTTCCACCATTTATCCAGCCCTATCCAAATTCATCCCGCTCATCAACAACCTTTTCATAGCCCATCTTCCATAACCTTGTCCTAGTCTAGTTCCAATACTCTATTTTATAGCATATACGGAGTTACTCATAGTACACGCCGCAGTCCAGGGGAAAGCGACGGCCTGTTGGTTCAAACCCTTCCCACTCGAGCAAGATATCCGATTTGGCCTGTTCTGCCTGCTCCGCGCTGCTGAGGAGCCCGAGTTGGAGAAACAAATCATTTTGATCGCTTGTCCACTGCCGACACCCGCGCCCATTCTCATCAAAGTCGTACTTGTCCCTCCCATTCTCCTCAATAGCGCGGATAAAGCTGCCAACTCTACATCCTGTTGACACAGCCATAGTCGCGGCATGCTGGGCGTCGTTGGGCATCTCGCGCTCCACATGGCTGACGACAATCGTCGCCTGGCTGCCATTGCGTAGCATAGCCCCGGCAAGACCGCTCGGGGCGCAGTCGACCTGAATGAGGGTCTCCATGTCGCCGTGCTGGCCAACGTCGGGCGCAACTGTTAGGTAGAAGCACCAATGGTTGGCGCCGCCTTCGAGTACATTGTGGGCAATGACCTTGGCTCCGGAAATCGGGGTGCTTAGTATTGCCTCCTCTTTCCCTTTTGGAACGTAGACGATTGGCTTGGTGACAGACACTGGCAAACTGAAGCCTTTCTGAGAGGAAAAGCTGGAATCCTTTGAGGCTGTCGGGGAGTTATTTGGTGGCGTTGGCATAGTCTCGGAGGGGGTTCGGATTGCTTCGATTTTTTCTTTCTCAGTGGTCTGGAATTGGCAAGACAGTAGAAAGGCAGGCAGTTGAGTGCCAAAGATGATTTCGGCGATTGATTTTGAACCCAGGACTATGTTACCAAATATCTATGGGTGCGTCTTTTATATCCCTCTCACGCACAATCCTAGTTGGATTCAAATTGAGGTAAGAGCAATTGTTTCATATTCGACTCTGACAAGTCTTTTGGAGTGGCACAGCACAAGGGCGCATATGGCTTCGGGTACGATTGCCTCAGTCGAAGATGGCTGGACTTCAGATTGGTAGTAGTCGTCCTCAGAGGCCCATACCGGCGCTTGTTGGGTTGGTCACGGGCAGGGGATGCTTCGGCCATGCACCGCTGCTGCCTAGCTTCTCGCCATTCCGAGTAAGGAAGATGTTCGTTGGACCCAGGACGACACCAATCTAAAAGCGCGCATTGCTCTGGGCTGCCTGATTTGCTCGAATCACTGGATCTCTCGATGCAATAAGATGACACCTAGAATGAAGCATCATCCGCCCTGGCAGATCTAGATAGTTTTTTGTCAGGAAGAGTAACTCTTTAGTAACAAAGTAGTGTTACTAATTACCAATTATTCAGATCCTGGATCAGTAGATGGAAAAGGTAGGTTCAGGCCTATGACTGTATCACTGCCTCAAGACAGCAATGTTGAGGTGAGCCGCTGGAAAAGGCAGCTTCGCCTGAAAGACAGAGCCTGCCCCCTTTACAGAGACCTACGAATCAATGTCAAAATAACAGGCAAGCTCGTAAACTGAAAGGTAGAATTATTGAAATGGTTCCTTTATTATTGATTAAAGTGCGAGGACCTAGACGCGTGGTCCAAGAAAACATGCTTGGGTTTTGTACATGTCCTAAGCCCAACAGAAAGGCCAGATGTCAAATACTGTTGCAGAATTGTAATCCCTTCAACTCGGTAGAACCACTGCGATTTTACTCCCTTTTTAAAATACACTGTAATAAGAGTTGAAGAATAATCTCCGGGTGTAAAGGCGGCGTCGTCTCGATATCCCGTGGATCCTGGGAGTGGAAACCACGTACGGCTTAGGCGCGCATGTGGGAGTGTCTCAGTAGCCGAGAGCTGATGTCGGTGTTTGGAGCCGTCACTTCCAGTAGGAGCATTGATAGGTAAATAAAAGGACCGCTGGCCCCAGGCCAACGCGCACCTTTCGGACATGGGCAATTTCGACTTGCCTTCCTCCTGTCATGGTTGGTATCAAGTGTTTGTCAGGCTTGGTAGTTGGTGAATAATGTCCGTAGAGTATGTTTCGCAGGCACCGTCGTGCCGAACTTGACGCCGGGGGCCATGGCGTATCTTGAAAGAAAGTAGTATCCGAATTATTCGATGATGATGATGGGGTTTCTGGTACGAGTCGAGTAGGTGGCATCCTTTAATAATGAACTTTTGTTGAACCTTTACACCGCTTTGCTCTTGGATTCTTCTTGGCCGGGGATTTCTCCATCCTCCATCGTCCCTGGTCGCTCGGCGATGGGCTCCACAGCACCTTGTTCTGGTGATCGCTTGCTGGCCTTCCATTTCTCCGACCGAGCCATAGCAAAAAGCCTCGAGGCACCGTAGAGCTGAGTTGTTATCCACAGCGAGAAGATGACCGGAGTGACCACTCTCCATACACGACCCCAGCGGTTCCAAGACCTGTGCAAGAGGTAGATCGTAACCGCGGTCTCTGAGATAGCGCCAACGAGAACCCACACGGTGCAGGCGGAGGCAATGTAGGACAACAAACGATGGTCGCCGCGCTTGAGTCGCCAGATGATCATGGAAAGATAGATGGGCAGTTCTACTACAACGTCGAAAGCGCCTGTGTCGAAGAGTCAATTACACGTGTTTGCAAGTCACATAGGAGTCGGAATTTGCTATCAACATACCCCATACCATGCACATGTAGAACTCGATCGTTGCTTCGGGGTGTCTCTCGGTGTTTCCAAAGAGGGAGAGGGCGGTCTGCGTGATGGCCAAAAGTCCAATGTGATGCGCGATACTGAGAGGACTCGCAAATTGCGTGCGGTAGCAGAGCTCAAAGACGTAGTAGGCGCTGTACGTCTGCGAAACCGTGAACAACAGATCGCCGACTCTGATACGCCTCCCCGGTCCTGGAACCACGTCCGTTGATAAGTCGGCGGATCCGATGAGAAAGTGCATCACAGGGTAAACACCGATGCACAAGAGGGTGAGCATGATGATGGCGCCAATGTGGTAGTAGGTGAAGGATCGCCGTCGCTTTTCGTTCTCGGGACGCATCAAGACTGCGTATACCTCGCCGTACACTCTTTCCAGCAGCCATCGCTCGAGGATGTTGGCAATCAGAACAATGACGATGACGCTGGAGACGAGTAGTAGCGATCCATATGACTGGAGACCCGATATTGGTCCGTTCTGTATCGTCTCGATCTTGGGCAGTGACCGGGCAGCCAGGCTCGTTGTGAGGTCCGCCATGATGTTTGGGTATGTACGAAGCCACTCACTCCTACAGGAGGTGGCAAGCAAGGAGAAAGAAGGAGAGAGAAAAAAAGGGAGAAAAGCGCTATTCAAACGTCAAGGACGAGGGTATTTAGCAAACATGCATCCTCGGGGGACAAAGAGAGAAACAATGAACGGTGAACACGAATGGGCAAAGGAAGATCCGAAACAGAGACTGATAAAAAGAAAAGGAAATGCAGTTCTGGAGCTTGAACATGAGCGAAGCTGCGTCAGCCCCAGAGAGGGCACGAAATGAGCGCCTCCTTTGTTTAGGGCGAACGGCTGTGCTCACCGTTTCGATGGCTCAATGTCGAGGCGTGGCGTCCATGTCATGTTCGCCCGGCCTGAATGTGTATTAGTCCTGGCCGCGGGACCCGTCTTTTACAAAAGGGACCCTCTCGGGCCTGGGGCTCGGGCGCCGGCAGTCTTCAGACACTTTGCCAAAGTCTACATTGTAGAGGCCACCGACATGTGTCGTTCCAGCCCTAGCTCCTGGCACCACGACGTCTGACCAGGTACGCGTCTGAAGTCTCTGGACCATGTATCCCTGGAGACGTCAGCGGCCCAATGAAGGGGCTCGTAAAGTTGCCGTCCAACCCGCTTTGGCTTGTAACGCTTGGTTTGGTTCGCGTTACAAATATGGAACAAAGGCATGAGCATGCGGGGTGTTTCTCTCCAAGGCAACACGGCACCACGGGCATGCCGCTGTAGCCATGGTTGACCTAGGATGAAATCGGTTTTCGGCACCCGGCACCTAGGCTTTAAGCGAGCGGTTTCTGGGTTAGGGGCGACTAAATCACCGACTAAGCATCCTCTTGTCCTCTTCTGGCAGATCGTCAGGGGCTTGAAATAGAATACATGGGGATTTGGATTTGTGTCGGAAGAAAGCGATGGTGCGCTCCCTTGCGGCTAGCTCAATGCCAAGACATCGAAACGTACCTGGTTTGTCGCCTTGTGCGGGCTGTCCCGACATCTTGCCTGAAAGACGCGATGCCAAGGATTCTAGAGCTCCTGGCAACTGCTGTCAGGGCGATCAGGGCGATCACCCACCGTGGGGAACTCGGGCACAGCCCCGGACTGTAATCTCATATTGTGGACACGAGACGGCGTGGGGATCGCCCTGTTTTGGCCTTGGGTCAAAGAGATCGGCTCTGGCTACCTCGAACAAGTTGGATAGGTCAGGGAGGCCTTGCTGCATTAGCCTGACGGAAAATCGGCTCGCTTGGGGCACATCTCGTAACCCAAAGGACGGCGACATTGGTAGGATAAAAAGATGGGATGGGAGATGATTCAGGCGCTGATTCATAGACTCGAGAGTAACTGGCGAGAGATTGGCCGGAGGCGGACCCTTTGTGAACCTAAGGTGTCTGACGAAATATGCGCCCCGGGGGAGGGGGGTCGAAGGGGTTGTTGGAGCCGACCACAGCTGAGGCCAGTGGCTGTGGAAGCTACCTACCTAGGCGGCGCTGACTGTGCAGTAAGCTGACTAAGGCAAGGTCGGGCAGCTCGTGCTCGAAGACGCCATGGCACGTGCCCCATTGCCTCCTGCAACGCCCGAGGAACTCCCGTCGCTTACTGTCCGTGCACCTGGTTCGCGCCAGGGAGGTCCGTCGGGACTCGGGAGCTGACATCATCCCAACTGCCATCATGAATTTGCCCTCGTTCAACACACCCTCAAACTAACTAATACGGCTAAACTCATGGCGGGGACTCTGCTGGGACTGGAGGTTGCCTTCTATCTCTATCCCTGCGGCCTCTTTGTCACTCTACTCGCGGCCCAGTCCTACCAATTCTACCGAGATCGCCATGGCGTCACGCGTCAGACCGCGACCGACGATGAGCAGAAGAAAGCTTCGCGATTGTACGCCCGGATAATCCGGAGCTTTCAGTCCATTCTGTCTCTCTTATTCGTGAGTCTGGGAAACATCTTTTCGGAACACGAGGCGCCCTCAAAGCTCACACAGATTTTCAGCTTGCTACCATCATCATTGCCGTTCACGGCGCGATTGCTGGCCAATACGATGGGGCTGGCAAGGTCGTCTTCCCGTTCAGCGCTTACTTGGTGAGTGGGTTCTACAGTATACCTGAATGTGAGACTCCGATGATTCGAGAGTGTTGACATTTGCATACGGTAGGCATCATACGTCGCCGTCTTGCTGTACTACCTAGCCGGTCTACTTCCTGACCCTGAAGGCCCTTGGACGCCAACATCGGCGCATTTTTATGCATGGATCGTGGGTGCGCTCTTTGAAGCCTTCATCGCAGCTGTCTTTTCTTCCGAGAAGAACTCTTTCCGCGTTCACAATGGCCTCCTCGATGTCCTGGATATCGTGGCGGCTGTCAGAATCGTTGTGTTGGTGGCTATGATGGTCTGCCTCATCCTGAGGGACTACAAGCTAAAGCCCCTGCAACCCAAGTCGGACCCCGAGGAAAGACAGTCCCTTCTTGGAAATGGAAGTGGGAATGGAAATGGAGCATCTCACAACTACGGCGGCGCCCATCCCCGCGGGCCTACTGCTCACAAGCCTCCTGCCAGAACTCAGGTCTCTGGCACGGGGTGGCTTGACTACTTTGCTGGCTTCCGGGTCCTGTTCCCGTACCTCTGGTATAGTGGCCCTGATCCCAATTGCTTCAAAGAATTTTGCCAACTGACTTTGTACCAGGCCCAAAGACTCTCCTATCTACCAGGGAATTGTGGTCATTTGCATCATACTTCTAGTTGGTCAGCGAACTATCAATGTCTTGGCGCCAATTCAGCTCGGAACTCTCGTCGACTCGCTCGGCTATGGCACTATTCCTTACAAACAAATCATCCTCTACGTCGTCTACCGTGCTCTTCAAGGCAATCAGGGCATTCTGGGCGCCGCGAGATCAGTTCTTTGGATCCCGGTATCTCAGTCACTGTTTCGCAGACTCTCATGTGCTGCGTTTGAACATGTGCTGGGACTTTCCCTGGAATTCCATTTAAACAAGAAGATTGGAGAGGTCACCAGTGCGCTTAGCCGAGGGTCCGCCATGAACACGTTTCTGGAGAATTTCTGTTTCCAGGTTTTCCCAATGGTGTTCGACATCTTTGTCGCTGGCGTCGTCTTCTTTGCCAAGTATGACGCCTTCTACACCATCATCGTCTTCTTCATTATGTGGTCGTATATCTTCCTGACCATCTATGTGGCCAAATATCGTGGCAAGCAAAGAAGGGATATGGCAACCAAGAACCGCGAGATGGAAGCCACCAAGACTGACGCCATCATGGCTTATGAGACGGTGCAGCACAATTGCGCAGTCGTGCCCGAAACTGAGAGGTTCAAGGAGCATGTGGTCGTATACCAAAGGGCGGAACGACTGGTGCAGTGGTCCCTCAACTTCCTTAATCTCACACAGAGCTCAATCTTCTCCCTTGGCACCGCTTTGCTTGTTGCAGTCTCTGCCTACAAGATTTCCAAGGGCGAGCAGAGTGTCGGCGATTTCGTCAGTTTGATCAACTACTTTGTGCAATTGCAAGGCCCCCTCAACTTTTTCGGGACTTACTATACCATGCTGCAAAACAATCTCATTGAGGCAGAGCGAATGCTTGAGCTGGTGGGTACTTCATCTTTTGACAAGACACAGACTCTAGAATACTGACCTTGTACAGTTCAAAGAAACATCTGGCATCGTGGAGAAGCCAGATGCCGTCACGCTACCTCCCGTCAAGGGCGAGGTTGCCTTCAATAAAGTCAAATTCTCTTATCAGAGCAAGAAGGGCGAGCCCGCGATCGACGGCGTCAGCTTCACTGTTGCGCCGGGCACCAAAACCGCCATTGTCGGAGAATCTGGTAGTGGCAAGTCAACCTGCCTGAAGCTTCTCTTCCGCTTCTACGACATCAATGAAGGGTCAATCACTGTCGACGGTCACGACTTGAAAGATCTGAAGCTTGACAGCCTGCGGAAGAATATTGGTGTTGTGCCGCAGGACACGGTGCTCTTCAACGCGACCATCATGTACAATTTACTCTACGCCGACCGAAATGCTTCGCAGGCCGACGTGTACGAGGCTTGCAAGGCCGCCAACATTCACGATCGCATTCTCGCATTCCCAGACGGGTACGATACAAAGGTTGGAGAACGTGGCCTCAAGTTATCCGGAGGTGAGCGGCAGAGGATTGCTATCGCGAGAGCGATTCTCAAGGATGCCCGCATCTTGCTGCTCGACGAGGCCACTGCATCTTTGGATTCGCACACTGAGAGGCAGATTCAAGACGCTCTCGAGCGTGTCACTGCGGGACGCACGACGATCACCATTGCCCATCGGCTTTCCACCATCACTACATCTGACCAGATTGTGGTGCTTCATAAGGGAATTGTCGTTGAGCGTGGTACGCACGCCGAGTTGTTGGCGCTCGGAGGCCGGTATCATGCCATGTGGGAGAAACAGACCACTATTGAGAAAAAGAATACGGAAAAGGTGGAGAAAGAAGGGGAGTCTTCGGAGACTGGATCCCAGCAGTAGAAGCCAAAGCCGAATTCGCTCAAGGGAGGGCCAAGGCCGGCGAGGTCAGCGTAGGATAGGAAGGTCAGGTAGATGTGTGATTAGGTGTGTAGACAGGCAGATGTATCAACAAGGGCCCAATTTGGAGACTTTCTGTATCGGATTGTCATATGATTCTCACGAAGTCAAGCAAGGCATTGGTAGATTTCGGTCTCCATCACCCAAGGCCCCTGGTAGCCTAAAAGCAAGAAAGCGAGACGGAGGGTCAAGGCAGGGAGCACTTACAGGACACTATCCACTTGACCACTATTGATTGGTTCCCTCGCAACTGTCCGAAAGGGGAACCGTAGTGCAGGCCTTCATTGCACTCGGGCGACGCGAATCATGCCTTGAAGTCCACTTAATATAGGCAGCAGTTTTAACAGTAGAAGAAGAAACTTTAAATCCACAAAGCTGCATTACCTCTGCGTTAGGCAGACTGGCAGACGCTCTGGGTGTTTTCGGACGAATAACGTGCCTTGAGAACGATGGGCGCCTAGGTGGTCTCTGTCATGTCGTTGATGTGCTGTTGCTAAACCATGTCTGCGCCTCTTTCGCGTCTCACTCCGTCGCCGCTGGTGCCCTCCGCGGCGATGGTTTCCTCACTCTCCCTTCCTTCAATTATCTGACGGGGCCCGAATTCAACGATCCAAGCAACTGTTTACTGCTCTCCGTTTTGCGGACAGCTTTTCCTACCAACCAAGTCGGCATCCCTTCCCTACAGGGACCCTAGTACTGAGCCCGCCATCACTCTACCCCCCTCCCCTAACGATGATGCCCAGTGTGCCCGGTATCACGGATTGGTAGAGGAATATTCCCACAAGAACAAGTCGATAGGCAATAGAAGGAATCTCGCAGTGGAGTTTCTGATATCCCAAGGAGACACTAGAGATTCAATAATTAGCCTGTTGATAGATTCTTCAATACCTTGAAGACAATGAAGCTTGTCTTGCACTTACAATGTCCAAATGGGCAGCCAAATACCCACAATTTTGAACAACGTGTCTTTGCCGAAAACATCGTGGCCAGGGAAGGGTTCGAAGTCCGAAGGCTGGGTGCGTCACCTGCGATGACGAGATTGAAAAGGAGGCCGAGGGAGATGAAGATGCCGCCAAGAAAGGATTTGACGATGGAGTCTGGCTAGGAGATGCTGACCTTTGCGATGCCGGATTGGTTTAGTAGGTAGCGTCTTTCACGGAGGGGGGGTTCCGATTGGGATGTAAACCTGACGGATTTCTTGTGGGCAGAACGCTTCACGACTTGGCGCAGACATGACGGTGAAGATAGAACAATGTGCTTGAAAACATACAAGTTTCAATCGAGCATGCCCTTGTATCCACTAGTAGAACAAAACTTTGAAGGCATCTTGTTGATGCCGAGGATGAAATGATGGAAGAGCCGGGAACACGCGAACAAGTTGCAGTCAAGACAGTCGGCAATCAGCTTACAGAGGAATACCGCCATTTCGGCTATTATAACATGATTTCCGTTCCACCGCCCAGGAATTCTGGCGGATTTAGCTTCTCCTGAGTCCTGACGTGAACACGACATTGTGGGTGGAAAGGATGATGACTTGCGGATGATTGGCATACTCCCCGCAAGGAGACCACATGATGTTGATGTTACTAGCTCCCTGATTGAATCCGTATAATATTGCCAAACTCGACGCGACTCTTAACCTCAGAAGCTTTATGGTAGACCGTCTTAGGTATTCAGTAAGAACCTGACGCAGGCCCAGAGAAGAGATGAAGCGCAAGAGACAAAGAGCATCTAAATCGCAGCACAAGAACTAGAATACATGTAGGACACCCCGCATCTGCTAGAACATGTTTTCTCTCAATATAGAATTGCCGTCAAATGTTTGATAACCAAAGACACTTCCATGCATTTCAAGACGCCTTGAGGGCTATGCAGTGAAGTAGAAGCTAGTTAGCAACATCCCCGACAGCCACTAGCTGCGCTCTGAGCAAGGAAACGGTTGTTTGATTAATGCACATTGTGAAGAAACTGCGCTGGTGTGTTAATCTTCCCATTGAGAAGAAGTTGTACTTGTTTGAGCAGAGGGATGCCAGTATGCCAAATTGGAGTTCTTGTTAGACGTGGGCTATGCTGTCAGAATGGCAGTCAGTTCAAATCATGTGCCAATAAAGAGTGCTTTCAGAGGTATAAATCTAACTGGAAGGTTCCTCCGGGACATCAGAAGTACACCATGAAGTTTTTTCAGGCTAGATATACTGAATAGCATTTGTTTTGCTACGTCGTGCCTTTATATAATTGCCAGTAATATCATTTCCGAATTCACCAGAAGTTGGAATGCAGCATTGCAGCCTTGCACTAAACTCGATCGACACCTCATTGTCAATTTAAAGGCAATTGTTTCTTGGCGTAAACGCGATTATCCACGCCATGGCAAGAGACACATCATCAATTTTCGTTGATCCGGGCTATAGCATTCTGCCATAGTCAGGATGAGACTACGAATTCTGTGGAAATACCGGAGAACTGAGTCTTGTAACAGCCCATAGAATGTAGCTTTATCTTGATCAGCTACCTCTCTACCATTTTTATCCGCACATCTTGCATCATTATTACCATTTCATGATCGTATTTGCGGTTCGATGAGCTTCTTGGCTTGGCCTGCTCCTCGAGTCTCCATGTTTTGGAACCTTTATAACTGATCAAGGCTCCGGCTCCGGCTCATCCTGAATAGCCGCTGCAATCCCCGTTTCTACAGAATTTTCATTCGAGTCGTGGCGAGAACTAGGCAATGGCAGGCAGATCAAATAGTATGCGAATGCTCAACTTGGAACTTGGGTCTCACCGTGGATACGAGCCACCGTAACAGTCTACCCGAACCATACTTCTTCGGAATCTATCAAAGATGCTGGTGGCTGTCACGTGAACTGCCTCATGCCTAACATGACCTCGTGCCAAGAGCGTAGCCAAACACTATCCACATGGCATGAATTTGAGGTGCGCACCAGGAAATTCGAGAAAAGCCCCATCCTAGTAGCCTCACAGTTGACATCCTACCTCTTACACGTTAGTGGATGACGAAGCCAGCCGGAGGCACTGTTTAACAGTCTCATGAACAGGCATGTTCCTAATTGTCAACCCCTAATTTGGGCTTAAAGTGGACCCTGGAGCTCGCATTCTCTATATGTGGAAACGATCAGAGCTGTCCACAATAAAACACGTCAGCATAGCTTTCACAACCATGATGTGACTTGTACAACTTTATCAACTCAATTAGCGATGATTTCAAGGGTGAACCAGGACACCTGCCCATCGACGATCGGCTGAGAATGAGGCGCCATGCTTATATGTGTCGCGAACTGGATGGCACGGACCAGGATACTGTTAGCTCGTCGGACTACGTGTATGACAGTGATTTGGCCTTCTCAGTGCCGGTTCGATGGACGAGCATGGTACACATCCACTTGTTCTTTTCATGCAACGAATATCCCTCGACTATCCAGCTTCACCATGTTCAGTCGTGGAAGGCGCCACAGATGAGCAGCAGAATATCCACAAGGAAACGTTAGATGGGCTAAGCTCGTTGAGCAGCTTTCCAGCTGGCGCACGGTCTTGCGGAGACTTGGGCTGTTCTAGGATTCAGACGAACCGAAGCGTCTCAAGTCCGTACTGTGTAGATGTATTCAATCATGGTTTTATCGTCAACGTTGAGAACATGAAAAGCAGCATTATTTCTGTTCGGAAGCTTGCTGGATAATTGGCATGGAGGCTAGTGGACAAGTCTTTCCCGCCAAAGATACTACGTTGATCTCGTAGAGAGCTTCCCGTTTGGAAGCTTTGGGCTGAATATGTTGTTGGGCAGGTCATGCAGACTGGGTTCTCCTACAACCACACGGACAGTGCTAAGATGTCCTGATCAATGCCATACACGCCGAGACGTGTGAACCTCCTTGCCTCGGCAAAAGCTATTCGGCAACTTCCCTGCAAGAACGAACTCAACAGCACAAACTACGTCACATCTGAAACCGACGCACACGCGCGCACACGCGGAGCTTGTGGTCCTTTTTCGGGTGAATATCAAGGCGGATGCTGCGCGTTTACAGCTGAAAAAGGCTGGGGGGAGGGGATGGATTAAAGAACGGGAGGTTTAAAAACACATGCGCGTTCGGTCCGCTTCTTCGAACGTGTGTTCCTCGTTTAAACGCCTTTTTGCCAAACCACAAGCCCAACCACAATTGTCGCCGTCATCATTTCCGAGTCGACATGTTGTACCAGAGTATCTCACATGCTATCGCATTATATCGGCTGGAGCAGTCCACGAAACATTGCAAAGAAATATACACAGGAAAGCCTAAGCCGGAGAAGGTTACCTTATTTTGGCACTTGGTAACTCTGTCACGGTTCAACAAGTACAACCCTCTCTTCACTACTTTTGCTGGAGGTTAGTCATTGGTCTTCTAGGAATTAAAACTGTAACGCTCACATCGGTATAGTATGGTCGGTTTTGTTGGCTGGAGCTTCCGAACTTGTCGATCCCAGTAGCAACATACAGCCTGCCTTTGTCTTCCGACAGGCTGCACTATGCTTCGCCGCGGCGTACCTGTTTTGCGGCGCCGGCATGGTCTGGAATGACTGGGTAGACCGAGACATTGATGCCAAGGTCACTCGAACTAAAGACCGTCCTCTCGCCGCCGGCACAGTAACCACTACGGATGCCATGCTGTGGATGGTGCTCCAGCTGCTTGTATCTTTGTCTATTGTCCACAGTATGCTCAACGGAAAGGATGTGTATGGCCACCCAGACTTCCCAAAATCGAATGAATGCTGCAGTCAGATTTTCTAACATGCATCGTTAGGTTTCAACACATGTTTCCAGTGGTACTGGCCTCGGTTTTGTACCCTTATGGCAAGCGACCTATGGCCCTGAAGCTTCGCATTTATCCACAGTATATCTTGGGCTTCACGGTCGCATGGCCCGCAGTTCTAGGGCGATCCGCGATTCACGGTCGATACGAATCGATTGGCGACAGTATCGGCTATTGTCTGCCGCTCTGTTTCATGGTGTTCTTCTGGATCATTTACCTCAACACGGCGTACAGTTACCAGGACGTCGTCGACGACCAGAAGATCAACGTCAACTCATTTTACACAGTTGGAGGGCGCCATTTCCACCGATTCCTTGTAGTCTTGGTTAGTCCCATCGTCATGTGTATGCCTCTATATCTCCTGAGATTCGGTTCTCTGTGGCTTTGGTTCAGTTGGATGGGAATATGGACGGCATCCTTCGCAGCACAGCTCGCGCACTTCGACTCGGATCGACCAGCAAGCGGAGGAGGCATACATAAGAGTAATTTTATCCTCGGGGTGTGGACGATTGCGGCTTGCGCTGTGCAGGTTCTTTTGAGCGAGAAGCGGTATGTGAGATTTTGAAATGATACCAAGGTGGAAGTGAACAATCGGGGGCAAGGGATGATGGCTTTCCAAATAAGCAAGCAAGCTCAAAGCTGCTTAGTCGAAGGTCTGACGATGATGCTCTACTCAGCCATATATCGTTGAATTTTGCTGGGATTTTAGTAGACGACGGAACAGCGTTGTCAGAAGAATGTGAACCGGTCTATCTGACATTACATTTTGACTTGCGTAGTGTGGCAGCGACAGCCTCTTAAGCCGTCACTCAAATTAGAAGGCCAACCGTATCGAAGCGACGTCAACATGACGCACCGCGTCTTCGCTACTTGAATGAATAGCGCAAGCAAATAGAAGCGCCTTTGGTGATTCATACCAAGTTTTAAGGCTTGGAAAAATAAATCGGTGATACATTTCAGATAACTTAGCTTCCTACACTATCCGAATACACGTGAAACATCGTTGGCACGTGTGAATCAATAGCTCATCCTTCAAATCCGCCTAGCCTTGAAGATGAATGCGGTGATCGTTATCCGACTAATTGCTCAGAACTCGTACCCGTAGCCTCCTCCAATACGAGGTGTAACCCCAAGGAGGTCGGCAATCCATCCAAGGAACCCGACCACCCAGCCTAGGAATCCAATGACCAAAAGATCCGGCGTACCAAAAATGCGCTCTTTAAACCTGAGGCCGGGGACCTTCTGCTCCAACGTCCTAGGGTCGTCCAGATAGAAATTGAACTGCGTTTCCATAAGCTTAAAAGTGGAGTTGAGGAAGAAGCTAGCAGTGTAATACGTGAACGATCCGATAGCGTCGAATCGAATCTCGCCGTGAACACCGCGCTGCCGAAAGTAGTTCACAATCCGTCGCAGGAGACCATAGACCTCATCGCTGGTGAGATACGGCGTCAGGCCCTCAAAGAGGATCAGTACCGGTCGATCCGTTGGGACTTTGCAGTTGCTGAGCCACGCGTCCTCGTGGATATTCGGGTCCAGCAGGTGATACTCCCCTTTGCCTCCATCCGGATCCCTCATGACCTGCCGCCGAAGCTCAATCACATCCTGCCTGTCGGCATCAATCCACAAGCGGCCCTCGCCCTGCCACTTGACCCGCAGACTACGCGAGTCCATGCCGCACGCCAGATGCAAGACGGTGGCTGGGCCGGGATTCTTCCTCAGGAATTTTTCGGTGCAAATGTCCAACATGCGAGCGCGCATCGCGACAGAGCTCGAAAACATGTTTGTCGAGCGGCTGCCGGCCGTAGTGCGTTTGAAGTCATACCCCTGGTCTTTGATCTGAGAGACGATGTCGAGGGCGTATTGGTCGTTCAGGATTGGCCGCGAGGACTCGGCATCTTTGGCGCGGGCGAAGAGCGTCAGGAGGAGGGTCTCTTGCGCACCGCTGAGTGTCACTTTGCCCTTTCCGAGTCCGCCTGATGAAGTTGATGAAGGCATCGTGAGATTCTGCTGACCTTTTCTTCTCAGTGGGGTATGTAGTTGGTGATGATGAAAGAGGTAGCAGGCGCCATAGCGCTTTGGTTTTGAGAAACTTTGTTTGCAGTAGATACTGGTATGGGCCTCGGCACAGACTGATAGCCTAGGCTGGCAGCTGCTGGGGATTCGCTGGTCGATCCGTGCATCACGTATTTGTAAAGGCGCTCTGGTGGCCATGAAACTTTACACAGCTCGCTTCATCTGATACTTTTCTTCGCTGCCCACTGCAGGCATTGTTGACTATTTACATGCATGAGATACGCCATCGAATGAAACGTGTGACTATCCGGAAGCACTTGTAGTTCTCGGGTTCGCCATCGTACTCAAGCCCTCTTCGAAGATTGTGGAGGGGTTCGAAGCTACGGTGATGACGAATATATATAGTTTGGATGTGCGTTGGGATTGAGGATTATCGGGCGAATGGCTGCATCAGATAGCTGTCAGTAGGCGCAGCGTTTTTCATGTACCATGGAAAGTCTCCGTCAAATCCGGAACAGCATACAGCTCGCTTCCAGCTGGGTCAACAACGGTTGATGAACGATACCTAATGAAATTCCAGGAATCCAACTATCGTTTACGGATCACCGGGAACGCTGATGAGCAGTTGACACCGCACCCACCAATGTCTAATAAACAGATGGTTCAAAGCAAGCGCTGGTGAGTTTCGGAAATGGAGTGCGAAGATAAAGCAAAGACCTCCTGCTTATTGTACAAGTTTCGTGCAACAAACTAGTCGAGCTTTGGAGACTGCGATTGTCTCTGGTATAGAAACCATTGATCCCATCATCCCGTTCTTGGGGTTGTCAAAATAAGATGATAGAGACAGAAGTGGGCAGTTTCGGCAGCATTTCATCTTTGCTTTAGGAGTACTTTATGTCGCCGGTGAGTTGGCAATATTGATAATGTGTGCAAAATGCCGAGTCCTTGCAACTTAAGTAGCTGATCAAGTCTCACAAGCTGACTGCGTGCGCTTCTACTACGTCCGCCAATTAGCAAATGGCCCAGAGATATACCGGCAGTTCGCCAGCACACTCATCTGGTACGCCGTGAAGCCTTATGTCGCCATCTTTTGTGAGTGTTCATTGGCATGGCGGCATTTTTCAAAACGTTATTTTCCACATTACTCAGCCTTTCTTCATGGAAACCGAAATACCCAACCTGGAGTAACGGCAGGGACGTTGGCCAGGGAAGAGGGACTCGGTCTTCGTATTCTTTGAAGTCTACCGAGTGGGCATACCGGGTACAAGGCCACCATCACGTCAAAGGGAGGGGAAGAAGATGAGAGACGGGTGGTATCGGGAATGATTCAAAAAATGACAATGAAAGGGCCATAATACATGGATTTCCAGGTGGATAGGGCATCCGAAGGAGACCGAAATGCAGCACAAGGTCACCAGAACTTTTACCGACTAAAGATAGAGTTAGCAAATAGTGTATAATGCGTTCCTTGATCACTGGATCCTGTCACTTGCTCTTGATATCTGTGGTTTCTCGTTATGATTATGCAACCCGTGAGACGAGCTGCTAATAACAAAACCTGGGTTACTCCAGATCCCGAGTCCCATTCCGCCGCTAACCGCCCAAAAACTCCGCCAAATCAGTCTTCGCGTTCGACGGCTTTCCCGCAAGGTTGACCTATGCCGCGAGTGCTAGTGCCAACTCTACGAAAGCATAGGCGCCCGAGCATTGCAATAATGGCTCCACAAATACTTCGTTATCTTGGGGCTGGCGGAGTCGGAATTGAGTTCATTAGGGGTCGGTCGATGGTTCTCGCGTGTAAGTCGCCAGTCTCGTCGGGTTCGGTATCAAAATGCGCAGAGCGACAGCAAAGACGCCGGACCAGAAGGGGAGATGTTGAGAATGGCAAGTCTTCTAACATCATTAACGAGATAAACGAAAATCTTGTGACAAAAACGTCAATGTGTATTGAAGTTAACAGCAAGTCCTCACTCCTCACTCTTATATTTTCAGCAACGACCGAGAAAGCTTTTGTCAAAGACTTGAAATGTCCCGATACGCTGAAGCTTTCGAGAACCCTCGAGGACCTGGCGACGCTCGCCCTACGGCTCTACAAATAATCCAAGATAAAGACCTCGGTGGTAAACTCACAGGCAAGACGATCCTCTTGGCCGGCGCGAACCAAGGCATTGGCCTCAAGACCTTCCATGTGCTCTATGAGACGCGCGCCGCCGTGTTCTCGGACGTCCGGAGCCGCGAAAAGAGCAAAAAAAGCAATCGCCAACATAACCGCCGCTTCCAAGGAATCCGAAACCTCCGGAACGCTCTTAAGTTGTCGAATTGTCCCTCAACGACCTCGCCAAGAGCAGCGGTAAGCTGAACATCCTCGTCAGCAGCGCCGGCATCATGATCAGCACCAAAACAGAAGGCATATTGGCACCAACCACCTGGCCCACTTCTTCCTCTTCCAGCTCCTCAAGCCAACCCTCCTCGCGGCAGCCACCCCGGACTCCTGCTCCCGCGTCGTCTCCGTCTCGTCCATGGCCCACCGCGCCAGCAACATCCGCTTCTACGACGTCAACTTTGGCGAGTAGGGGAAGTTTGAGCTGTACGCCGCCTACGGCCAGTCCAAGGCGGCAAATATTTGCTTCTTCAACGAGGTCGAGCGGTGCTACGGGGCTGGCCTTGTGCATTCTACCTCTCTCCACCCGGGCGCTATCCTGATAAACATGGGTCGTCTCAGAAGGTCGAAATTGAGGCGGTCAAGGCCGCCATGGGGGAGGAGATGTTCAACAGGCTCATAATCGCACTCAAGAACCTGCCGCCATGAGCAAAGAGTGGGAAGGGGAAGGGCGGGCCCGGTCCTGCTGGGAAATACTCCGGCGCCAACAAATACCGGGTATACACCCTGGGCTTACGATGAGGAGAAGGCTGCGCGGCTTTGGAAGGAGTCGTGCAAGATGGTCGGGTTCCAAGAGGATGCTTAGGAGTTGTTGGCGGTGGCCGTGGTATTTTACCTAGGGTTGGTCTTTGACTCTCCAAGTACCTTTTGGAGGTCAGCGCTATGCACATTCCGGCCGGGGGCATAGACGCATATGCATGTCGTAAGCGCAGATTGGCACCATAGAGAGTACGTAGGAATACCCACTAGGGAAAATGATTAGACTTCCCCAATTAAGGTCCGCCGGACTTCTCATCTTCCAAGTGCTTATATGCAGCTGCGAGAACCGGCTATAATTATCTCCACATCAGCTTGGACGATCCGTTAGCCAAGGGAAAACACCATGATCTCTGAGTGTCTCTGGTTATTAAGAACACTTTACTTTTCTGTATCCTAATTCGAGTGACTCTGGAAATCGTTCAGTACTTTAGTTGTTCTACAGTATTTCAACTCTTTTCTCGCCGACTCCGTCTTCAAAAAGAAAACAGCTCAAAATGGCGTCTGGTTCTCTGCCACCAGACTTCTACGTCAAAGCCCTCCAGTTCACAAAGAATGTTCATAGGGACGAATACCCAGCCATCAACCCAGAATCGCCCGAGCTTTCGCTGGCTGGCAAGGTCGTCATCATCACCGGCGCGAGCCGCGGCATCGGCGGCAGAGTATGTCCTTGTCCATTCTCGACGCTTTGTGTTGTTTGTTTTCTCTTCTTGTTCTCCTTGCTCCTTGTACTTCTTGCTCCTGGTAGAGACTTCGAACTCACTGCTTCAAAAGGGAATCGTACCGGCATTCGCAAGAGCCGGAGCCAAAGCTCTCGTCCTCGTGGCCCGGTCGGAGAAGAATCTCAACGCTGTCGCGGCCGAGGTCAAGCAGCTCAACCCCGGTGTCGAGACGCTCGTCTACGCCGTCAACATGGCCGACGAAGACGGCATCAGGGCCCTCTTTGAAAAGGTGAATGCGACCTACGGCCACGCCGACGTCTTGGTCAACAACGCAGCCGTGCAAAACGCAATGGACCTTGTCAAAGTCAGCGATCCGAAACTCTGGATGGAAGATCTGGTGCGTAGATCCCCCCAATCCCCTCTCCCCCTCCCCATTCGAGGTTCAAGAAAGATCAGCATTCAATAACAGCCCCGGCACAACACAAAACAGACCACCAACATCAGCGGAACCTTTTATCCAACACACCACTTCCTCCGCTCCCTGCCCCCGACCGCTCACGGCACAATCATCAACATCACCACGATATCCCACTGGGTCGTGCCCTCAATGAGCGCCTACTTCCTCGCCAAGCTCGCGACGCAGCAGCTGGCGGCCCACGTCGCGGCCGAGAACCCGGACAACGTCACCGCCGTCTCGGTACACCCGGGCATGGTGCACACCGACATGACCGTGGACCGGTTCCGCCCCTTTGCGCACGACACCCCCGCGCTGGTGGGCGGTACCGTGGTGTGGCTGTGCTCCGAGAGGGCGCGGTTCCTGAATGGGCGGTATGTCACGACGAACTGGGATGTCGATGAGCTGTGGGAGCGGAGGGGGGAGATTGAGGACAAGAGGTTGTTGCAGGTAGATTTGAATGGTGAGTTTGGGGCGCAGCATTTTGCGTGAGAGAGAGAGGACATACTGTTGAGAGCTTAGGAGACGTGTGTACACACAACGGGCACTTTGGCATACAAAAACGAATGTGCAAAAGTGTTTCAAAAAGAACATGTTATTAGTCTAGATCCAAATCCAGATCTATGTCTATGTCATGAGATTTGCCCGAAAATCCCTATATCTACGCCATGCAATGCTCCAGGGTATACACTACTGACAATGATGGTACAAATGAACTCTATATCCCCAACCGATTTCCAACTTCTTTTTTTTACATACTCGCGACGACCACTACGTTAGGCCTCGGACCTAGGGGGCCACTTGACCCGCTTCTCGGCGCGGACGTACAGGTTGTTTGGCCGAATGAGCTGGAACATGGGGTCGTACTCGACGGGACCCTCCTGCGCCATGCTAAACTTGTAGCGGTAGATGAGCTTGGGCAAGAAGACCTTGACCTCCTGCAGGGCAAAGTTGAAGCCGATGCACATGCGCGGGCCCGTGGCGAAGGGGATGTACGAGGCGTTGGGCCGGTTCTTGACCTTGTCCGAGTCCCAGCGGTCCGGGTCGAAGCGAGCCGGGTTATCCCAGACGAGGGTGTTATTGTGGATGTGGTGGATGGCGGGGATGCAGATGGAATCCTTGGGCAGCTTGTAACCACCGGGGAGGATCATGTCCACCTTTGACGTGCGGGCGGGCTGGTAGGAGGGGTTGTGGCGGCGCTGGGTCTCCTTGATGTACTTGTCGAGGAAGGTCAGCTTCTGGGTGAGGTCGGCGGTGATTTGGGTGTTCTCGTCGAAGCCGTTGTCGATGAGCTCCTGGAGGAGGCGCTCCTGCATGCCCGGGTAGGCGACGATGCCGTAGAGGAGCCAGGAGAGGAGGGACGAGGTGGTGGTGAAGCCGGCGCCGGTGGCGACGACGAGGGGCTCCATGATGCGGTCCTTGGGGAGCTTGTTGCCGCGGCTGTCGCTGGCGCGGAGGACGTAGTCGACCATGTTGTCGGCCTGGAGGGCGGCCTCCTGCAGATCGAGGTTTTCGGTGCCCTTGGAGGCGTTGTTGATGGACTCGTTCATCATGTCGATGATGCGGCCGCGGGCGTCGCGGAGGCGCTGGGGATCGCCAAAGGGCAGGGAGGCGTACCAGCTGCCCATGGAGGTGATCTTCTTGTTGAGCTCGAGGGACTGGGCGATGCGGAGGACCATTTCGTGGGGCGGGGCGTCGACGGCGGTGAAGTGCTTAAAGTCCATGCCGAGAACGAGCTTGCCGACGGCCTGGGAGCCGAGCTTGAGCATGTAGGGGTAGACGTTCCAGGCCTCCTCCCTCTCGTCGAGCTCGTCAAAGACCTTGAAGGAATCCTCAATGGTGGCCTGCATGGTCGGGGCATAGTGGCGAACGGCCTTGGGGCCGAAGGCGGGCGGGAGGAACTTGTGAACCTCCTTCCACTCGGGGGTATCCGTGTCGCCGAGGAAAACGCCGGATTCCTTGTTCTTGATGGGGTAGAGCGGGTGGCCGGGGATGATATTCTTTGTGAAGAAGTCGCTCTCGGAGAAGAAGATATTGGCGAGGGCCGGGTCGTTGGTGTGGTAGATGACGGAACCCATGTTGTTGGTCTTGAATAGGGGGCCGTACTTTTCAAAGAGACGCTGGTGGTTGCCGAGATGGTCGGGATAGACCTCAAAGTAATTGCCGATGAAGGGCAGACCCGAGGGCCCGGGGACTTCGCGGACGGCATGGCCGTCGATGGTGATGGCGACGGGGCCTTCGGCGGCGAGCACATCGGCGACTGTTGTCAGAGCCTCATCTCCTGAGACGAAGGCGACGCCTTGAACAGTGTTAGTCTGGTGTCAGTCCAGTTTGATGAGGTAGAGCAGTGTGCTTACCCTTGTGGTCGACGACGGCAAAGTGGGAGGCGGCGAGATGCTGAAGACCCTCCTCATCTGTTGAGGCGGGAACCTCGAACTCTGTTGTGACTGAAGGGTCTTCGCCCAACAGGTAGAAGCGTTGTGAAGACATTGTGTGTGATGCGATGTGTGATTCGAAAGGACGAAGCGCACGAATGTAGATTTCTCGAAACACCTGTATTCAACAAGACGTATGAAGGAGTAGAATTGATAAGACGGATCTTCCAACTCAAAGGCTATGCTAGGTGGAGAGGGAAGCAACCGGTTCACGATATATAAGAGAGAGAAAAGATGGCAATCAAAACAGTACGTATCCATGCCATATCGCAGTATACGTAGCTTATCCAATCCGATCCTAGGCAATGTCAAATCTTTCGGTGGGCACACAGACCAAACAGCTGGCCCATGAGTGACGACAGAGAAAAAAGTGGCCTGCCGAGGTTCATCTCATGGTCCCCTTGACCCAGGGGGGGCAGTAGGAGCTGTTACTGTTGCCATGACTTCATGGGCGGGCGCTCAAGTCCGAAGAAACAGCGGGCCGTCTCGTGGCACGAGATCACAGTCTCGAAGGGAAAAACAAATGGGACGGGCACCATTCGAGTCTCGGCTCCGTGGCCGGCGTGGGACGGCGCAACAGAGTCCAGAGTCCAGAGTCCAGAGTCAAAAGGTGTGGGGGCGGACGGAGAAGAGCCGCGGTTCTGGCATCATGACAGCGGAAATCTGAAGGTTTGGTGGAAGGAGGATGGAAGAGAAAAATCGGAGATTTGGAGCACGTTTGAGGCGCGGCGATAGGGCTAAACAAGGGTGATCTGCGCTAGAGCCAAGAGGCGTCCAGATGCCGAGGTGAGGGGCCAGGGTGTGCCCGGACTTGGTGTTTTAGGTGATGTGATAAGCTCCTTTTTCCGAAGTTCGTGTTGAGAGCAGGGCATAGGATTCGTCCAAATCGCATACAGAGTGCGAGAGACGAGAGGCACGAAAAGAAGCTGCAGAATTTTTTGCAGGGTGCACAGGGGGCGGGCCAGAGGGCGGGCCAGAGTGGGGGTGCACCGTAACAGACGCAGGGTACGTACCGAGGCTCTGTCGCCGTTTTGTCGCCGCTCAGGCCCCGAAATCCGTGGCCTCGGCTCGCTTGTGCCACCTACGTAATCAACGCCCGTTTTCATTGGACCACGGAGCTTCGAGCTTTGGGTCCAAAATGGCATGATGCATCCAATCACCGGCCGTCTTCTTCCGGATACCGTCCGGTTGTGGGCCTCTGTTATTCTCGTCAGTCGTCCCCCTGAGACCAGAGACGGCATTTACTGAAGCAGTGCAGGCACGAATCTCAATGTTGCTACCCTGAACCGCGGCCCATCCCGGCAGTCTACGCAGTACGGATACCTACCTAATGCTTTTGGCTTTGCTCCGTACACCTCTACCGGTGTGTTAGTTACTCTGGGGGTGGCGTGCTTTGACAATCGCATTCTTTTGTCTGCCGCCCTTTTGTCTGCCTCGTCGTTTTCGCATGCCAACTCTGTATGAATTCTGCCCACGCAACACGTAAGAGCGCGTTATTTTGAAGCCAAATTGCCGTCTGCGACAAACACAGCGACTCGCGGATACTCTAAATTCAAGGCATTAACATTAACGCAAATCCACCCGCTCATCGCGTCGGGACCGCCGAGGCGCATCGCCGTTGTGGAGCCGGGCCCCGGCATCCAATCCCGTCGCTCTGCTTTGTCAGTTGCGCCCCTCCACCCGCCGACCACCGGCCGAATCTTTCCAGATCCATCTGTGCTCACTCCCAAGCTCAATCAATGCTCTTAGCTTTTTCAAGTTTGGCCGCCGATGATGCCCACACTTTATCTTTGAACCTCGGCATCTTCATCCTTCGGACATTACCCTTGTTTCTTATTCTTTTTTTTTTTTTTTTTTTTTCAATTCCTCTCCAATGCAGAGTGAGGTGTACCAAGTATGCTCTGACGACGATTCTGGATTCTCTTGTAAATTGTGGATGTACCTAGGCATCTTTTTTCCCTTTGCAATGTCGCCATGGCCTCGCCATCTTTCGATAAATAGAAACGCTGCACTTCCCCCGTTCCGAAGCCCGGCCCCCTTTAGGACAAAGGGGTCCTGTTCGTTGTAACCTTGTCCACACATCACAATCGACACGATCTTCCCTTTTCTTACCTCAGATAAGATAGTAAAAATCTCTTTTATATCATCAGCGCAACACGACGTTAAGAGTGTTACACTGTTTCCCACCCCGCTCCCCTTTCCCCTTTCGAGTCTCGACCATCTTTCAGAGATACCCACACACCACCAAATACACACACACATTCACAATGGCGGCGACAGAGTCAACAGTAGGCCCTGAGTTCACGGCCAAGGAGGTTGCCGCGCACAGAGAAGAAAACGACTGCTGGATGGTCATCCACGGTGAAGGTAAATCTACCTTCCAAACCCCCTACTGCAGATTTGACCTACAGGTCATGTCAGTAAACTAACGGGTGCAACAAAAAAGTCTACGATCTCTCAACATACCTCCACGACCACCCCGGTGGCGCAGATGTCCTCGTCGAGGCCGCCGGCGTCGATGCCTCGGAAGCCTTTGACAACGCGGGCCACTCCGAAGATGCCTACGAAATCATGGCCAAGTTCAAGGTCGGCAAGCTCAAGGGCGTAGACAAGCGCTCCGCTCCCAAGGCCGTCCGCCTGCAGCCCAAGGCCACCCCCGCGAAGCAGACCTCCGGCTCCGGCTCAGCCGCCCGCGTCGCATCCCAGGCCGCCGCCGCCGCCCTCTTCATCGGCCTCGGTGCCGTCGCCGCCCGCCACGCCTCCTCCACCCCGGCCGGCCAGGACGCCATCGCCGCCATCCAGAGACTCAACCTCCAGCTCCCGGCATGGCTCTCCTTCGGCGGCGCCGCCCGCACCAAGCGCACCGGCTTCGGCTTCATGGAGGGCTTCGCCGTCGCGTCCGCCTTTTTCGCCGTCGCCGGCTCCATCGCCGCAAAGGAAGCCTCCAAGCTCCTCCACTACGAGCTCACGCCCATGCACTACCGCCCGCACAAGAAGATCCCCAAGGTCGCAAAGGCGAACCCCCTCAACCAGCGCGGCTGGCTCGACCCCGTCTCCTACCACCCGCTCCCGCTCGTCGAAAAGACCCTCCTCGCCCCCAACGTCTACCGCTTCGTCTTTGAGCTCCCCACCCCGACCACGGTCCTCGGCCTGCCCATCGGCCAGCACGTCGCCATCAAGGCCGAAATCGACGGCAAGTCCGTCAGCCGCTCCTACACGCCCACCTCCAACAACGCCGACCTCGGCAAGCTCGAGCTCGTCATCCGCTGCTACCCAGACGGCCTCCTCACCGGCAAGTACCTCGCCCACCTCGAGGTCGGCGACGAGGTCCAGTTCCGCGGTCCCAAGGGCGCCATGCGCTACCGGCCCAACCTCGCCGCCAAGATTGGCATGCTCGCCGGCGGCACCGGCATCACGCCCATGTACCAGCTCATCCGCGCCATCTGCGAGGACGACCGCGACACCACCGAGGTCAGCCTCATCTACGCCAACCGCTCCGAGGCCGACATCCTCCTGCGCGACGAGCTCGAGGCCTTTGCGAGAAAGTACCCCAAGAACTTTAAGCTGCACTACCTCCTCGACTCGCCCCCAGAAAACTGGACCTACGGCGTCGGCTACGTCACCCAGGAGATGATGGCCGAGCGGTTCCCCGCCCCCGGGCCGGAGGCCCGCGTCATGCTCTGCGGTCCGCCCGGCATGGTTAACGCGGCGAAGAAGTCGCTTACGAACCTGGGCTTTGAGAAGCCCGGTGCCATCTCCAAGATGTCTGATGCCGTGTTCTGCTTCTAAAGCTGTTTGGCCACCGCGCCGCTAGGGAAGAGGAAATAGAAAGATACCACTGGAGAGATTGTTGTTATCGTTTTTAGGAAACATTTTTCTAGTGTCAACATCATGGGTTGCATCGTAACGGAGTCGAGGAATGGGTGCATCTGGGTCGGTGTCTAGGTTGACGACATCCATCTTACCATTGTTGATACCTACCTGTAATAGACTACTACATCTCCTTTGTCATCAATAGAAATCGAAATGAACAACCATAACGATCATCCCAGCTCCTCAATTACCCCATTGCCGCACTATGCTCCCAACTTCTATCAAGGTATTCTATACTCCCGCGTCCAGAGAGCCACCGCTGACAGCTTCAGATAGCGACTCCGGCCGCTCTTGCAGGTGCTCAAGCGAATACACTTTGCACAAGAGCTCGGGGAACAGCAAGAGAGATACATTTGCTCCATGTTTTGTAAGACTATGCCCTCGTAGAGAGCCCAGCAAGTGCCTCGATATCCATTATTACTCCCTTGCTCTCATTGCTCCCTGGACTGCTTCTTGCAAGCCCTTTCATCTAAGCATGGTGGTGCTGATTGATGAAATTGTCGACACCCATGGTGCAATTAAAAACCTCCCCGGTTCCACATCCCTTCCCCTGGTAAAGTAAAATATTCAGTTGTTTTCAATGTCAAAGATTACGCGTTCACTAGAAAGTATGTGAGGAACAACATCCGTTTTACCCTATTATATGTACGTTGAATTATACAACCTTTCAGCCCAAACTTCCACCTCTCTCGCCGAATGTTTTGTTTGATTACCTTTCCTCTGCTGTAGTCGTACGAGTCCCTTCAGGCGTAAATTTGGCCCCATTCATAGAAACAGGTCTCGACTGACAATCCCCCACCCACTCCCACGGCGACGCAGGCGGTGATGAATGCCTAAACGACGACCGTGTATACCCAACCTCGACATCGTATTCCTGTAGAGTCGGTGACCTACCGCCATGAAGAAGCGGCACCTCGCCGCTCGTCACCCTCCTCATCTCCGCAATCGTCGAAGGCCGCAGCGTCATGCTCTCGTCCCGCGGAATCATCCGCCCCCGTCTCGTCCACATCCTCGCCTCGTACGACAGCTGGAACTCCATCGTCTTCATGATCCCCGACGAGGGCGGTTCGGCCGCTGCTCCGCCCGATGAGACCGTCGATGTGGCGAGCGTGGCGTCGGCAGTGCGGATGGCCGGGCCAGCCCCGGATCCGCGTCGTAGCGGGTACGCCCACGACGCCCGACTCCGTGGCGGCGGCGCCGTCCGCGTGGGTGCCTGTGGACCGGAGATCCGGGACTCGTATGAGAAGTCGTCGAATCGCAGACGTAACACGTCCTTGGATGAGTCGTCGCTCCGGAACTCGTGCGGTCTCCCGCTTCGTTCTGGCCGCGTCATTGTGTTATTAGTGATTGTTGCAAGCTCTCGTGTTCGCCAGATGCCCCTTTCGTATGCCTGTCGCTGCCTCTTCCCGAGAATGTGTCTGACAAGCGGCGATAAAGCTGGTGCGCAAGCTGCTGTTATGCCGATTCCGGGCTCGATGTTGCTCCAGATGGATAGATATGCCGTGTCGCCTTTGAACAGTTAGTTAATATGCGTGTCAATTGGTCTACTGCGAAGCCTCTCCAAAGAACGCCATTGGTGGCCGGAGAGGGAGGAAGGACGTACGAAGAAAGTTCTCTTGGCTTAGCAATCCCGGAATGGTGACTGCACGAATAATGGTAGCAATACTTGCTCTACACAGAACAGAAGTTGTCAGTAAGCCTGTTGTAATGGTGATGTTAGCAGAAAGGGTCAGAGCAACGTACATGGATGCAAAGCCAAGTAATAGAATGGTCAGTAGCTTTGTCTTCAAGCGCATGTGCAGGGACCAGACGATCAACAATGGTAAAAGACCAAAAGTCCAGTCCGCAAGACAGTTCAAGATCGCGAGGGTGTAGGTGCTTCCTAGCACAACACCCGTGTCGAAGCAGCTGCCTGGTGTCCGAGGGCCCACGTCCCAGAATACGTGAATCGGTCTGCACTGGAGGATGATGAGAAAGAAGTACAGGGACCCGAATAGGAGAGTCGAGCAGAGAAGGATTCGAAGCGTCCAGATGTGTAACGGTATAATGGCGATTCTGAGCAGCAGGACACCAACGCAAACTTTCAAGAACAGAGTGGTTATCAGATACAGGATTTCGCCGGCGAAGAAAAGCTGCAGCTACAGTATCAGCCTCTGGTTCATCGTAAATCACGCCGAATCAGAGGTTGTTGTCTAATGCACAAGGACCCCGCCTGCACATACCTGAAGAGCTATTCTCCTATCCTCTGGCAGAATCTCTACAGCATCTCGTCCAGATCCGTACAAGACTGCCGCTATTTCCGTGAGAAGGTACGCGGTGAATGAGACCTGAACCAGGCATATGAGCTTGTCATCGAGCGTGAAGACCCGGGTCAGGAAAAGCCTCGAGTAGATGCGCAACGGTACTGCGATCCAGGTCAGGCAGAGACAAAAGATGGCGACCGCGAGGACACGACGAGGTCGGTTCGGGTCGATATCAACGTCTACCATGCCGCGACATCTGGGGTATTATCCTGGATTATTGCCACTCCTGCATCGGAGAGATCGCAAAAGAGCAAAAGAAACAAACAAGCAAGGAACAAAAGGGGGGAGGTTTTGGAACCCAGAGTAGGCCGCCCTCGATGGCATGCAATCCGTGGGAGCGGCACGCTAATGAAAGGAGGTCACCCCAGGATCGGAACCATTCTTGTTCTAGATGCGGGGGAAATTCCGCTTGAGCTAAAGAGGATGGCACGATGGACAGGAAGATTGACCTTCAACCGGCAGCTGGGTCAAGCTTTGGGATCGGCGCCACACCCCAGAGACCACGGGCCGACTGATGATGTCGGAAAGTCTGACTGACGGGAAATTCCTCCCGCCATTCTGAAGATACGTTATCCGCATCTAGACAAAGATGCCCCCCCATGAAACGTGGAATTAGCTGACCCAAAGCTTGAGTTAGGTAGCTGCCGGATGGGAGAAGAGGCACTGGCGCGTGTTCCGAATAAGCCAATGCAAATGTGGCATTGTATTCGTAGAAACGCGACGATCGTCCAGAATCCATGGCCCTACCCTTTCACGTGCCGCTCCAACTGTCCCGTGTATGTGTATAACTTTTGCATTGATCCTATTGTAGCCTCACTCGGTTGTTTTGGCCTGATGTCCTGACTGGTTTAGGTTTGTCGAGCCTCCAATGCAAAGTTGCAAACGGCTTATCACTGACGAAGCTGAATTCCAGGTACGCGAAGCATGGACGACGATCAGATGGAATGTCGGGGGGTTTGCCATGGATCATGTCACGTAGAGATGACATGGGTGAATGGGGCGCAGAGTGCCAGAGCTCATGAAGTGAGACATTTGGATGCCAGCTTTCCAATTTGGTACGGTGGCTTGGAGGACAAAAGGATTATGGGTTCTGGTCTGCGTCGACCGACGCAATAGGCAATAAATACGAGCTACACTGGCGGCAGACGATCTGGATCTTTTGCCCCGCGCCTGAATCTTCACCCACAGCCTCCGATATCGACCCGGCCATGAGGCTTGCGTCTAGCTTAGCCACCTCCCGCGATATGACCACGAACACATGTCCAAAGGTGCCAAAGCAGTCCAGTTCATCCACTGTTTGTCTGCCAGGCACACGCCAGATACGGCCCAATGCGAGATAAAGCGAGCATGATACGAGGCAGCCAATTAACCAGGGCAACTGATTAAGCCTCGTCCATCAGGGCCCAAATATCGCTCGGCGCCATGGCATTCTGCACTAACCCGGGAACATACAGGCGCCAAGTAACCAAGAAACGGCCACCCGCCAGTTCCAACCTCTGGTATACCAGTAGATGCTCGCGGGTGAGTTGCCGTACACGTCGGTGAGCTTGATGGCCCGCTTGCGGGTGAGTACGTAGTCGGCACAAACTTGATTCCCATGAGCGGACCGAGGAAGACGTTGAGGCTGCCGACCACAGTCACAAAATTGCCAGCGCTGTTGAGCAGAGACCACGGGTGACATGACGAAGCATAAGACGATGGCGAAGTATCCACCGCACCGGATCGTGAACCATCGCGCTAGCAGCGTAGCTAGATCGATGCCCGCGACTACGCAGTTGGAAGCTACCACCCTGCTAATCTGCGATAGCGTGAAGGCGATGTTAGCAAACGCGACCTCAGCTCGAGCCCCGGAATTAGCCTCGTTCTCGTGAACGGCGTCGAGGAAGGCATACGGCTGCCACAGCAGCTTCCCTTTTGTCGGGGTAGAGCGTAGCTGCACACGACGTGCAGATGATACCGATACAGGCAACGATGATGGTTCGTAGCGACACCATGATGAGCTGGTCGAGGACCTGATCCCCTGGCTTCCGCGCATAGCGAGTGTCGTCGGACTGGGACCACATATGCGTGGCAATGCCTCCAAAGTTTGCCGTGGCCGCGGCTACAAAAAGCCCAAGTCCAAGTCTCCCCCTCGCGCAGGCTTGATTCCCGAGAACTTTATCACGTCCGCGAGAGGGGCACCTCCACCACTGGCACAAGCTGTGGACCAGATCAGCAGCACAAAAAAGACTGTCGCTCGCCACTGTGGTCGAGGCAAAGGGAAAGGGCTTGCGATGGCTTTCTAGGCTAAACGAAATCAATGGCAGGCAGAGAAAAAAATAGAGAATGAAGGAGACGAGGTCATAGACTTTCATCGTCCCGTTCACGAGCTCGTAATCCAAGTGGAGGTACGAAGGCCAGATGCAGGCCAAAAGGACCCTCAGGCATTAGCTTCCATACCACGTGTTGGTGGCTCTCCATACAAAGGATAGAAAGATTTGAATGGGCTGGACGCGAGTTTAGTCAACAGCCTCAAATCTTGTTCAAATACAAGAAAAGCCCTACAATAGGAAAAAGAGAACCCCCAGATACCCTAGTTCTGCTTCATCCAAAGCGGAAAACCAATGTGCCACTTTGCGCCAGGATGACGTCCCGCTACGCATACAAATCGAACGAAGGTATGAGCGATAATGATTGCAGTCATCGATTGCTTTGATTTCATGAGCTTTTCTTTTTTTGCCTAGCAGTCAAAAGGAATGGTGTTATGAAGGCTAAAGCTTTTACCAAGACGTTGTGTCCCAGGGAGATCAAGGAAGATCCCGTTGCCCATCCTCAACATTGAAAGACATGGTAAACATCCATAGCCCTACGAACTTCCAAGGTTTGTAAGCTCGGCGGGATGGAGGCAACGGCGAATATCTTTGTTGACATAGATGCCTACATTGGCGTCGATGTCGCGATTAACCTCTACACGCCAAAGTAGACAGCGGCTTCACAATGAACTAGACGCTGTTGTCGTTAGCTTGTCAGTGAAGAGAATTGGGCTGACTTGAGACTATCAACCTCAAGAAAAGCTTCAATAATAGCGAGTCCTCCACATAGGATGAGTTGGGGGAGCTATTGTTATATAAGTGTCGAAACTTCGTGGGTACCTGACATTGTAGATGAATATGCATCGATTGCAAAGCGCTAGACAAGAAGTTTCATGGGAAGAAGCCTCATCATTTCGCTTGTAAACTTGTCATTGTTGGAGGCGTCTCGATAAGAAGCCGGCAACACTGCGGTTTTGGTAATCCCATGCAGATAGATAACAGCGGGGTATTCCTCCTCGGTAGGTTGAACTTGTGGTGTATTTGAGATCTGACAGAGTCCGCTGCTGTCCAGTAAGAGGAGATCTCATCAAGTTGAGCAGTTTTGCAGTTTATCCGTCTCGTTCCCCGCGATAAGATGCCGCCCCGGGAAGTGCTAGCCGAGCAGCGACGAGCTCACGCTTGCGTTGTTCACTTCATCCTCAACGGATGGGGCAATCTTCCGACCCTTCATATCTAAATTATTCAAGATTGCAGTACCGTCTAAAGGGTTGGGTTCAAAGCTGAAAATGATTGACTATTGACGGCAATTCGGCTGTATCATTCAAAGTTGCCAATCAACCCACACACATCAGAGTTTTTTACGAGAAGTCTACTTTGACTCTGACCTACCAAGCACTCAGGTAGTCCGAAATCAATCATGTCTGAAACTACTACTGTATCTGAGCCCAAGGCGAGAACCGTGACCCTACACAACGGAACAGTCTTCAGCTTCAACTCAAACACCTCGACAAGCCTGGAGAAGATTCCAGTCATTGATGCGTCAGGAATATGGAGCGACGAATTAGAGGATCGCATGGCAGTAGCCCAAGAAATTAGAGAGGCCTCCAGGAACATTGGTTTCTTCTACTTGATCAACCACGTGAGCGCATGAGCCCTGGCGGTTAGAAGTCGGAAATAAGCTAACACAGATCAAGGGTATTGACCAAAATTTGGCAGACATAACCATGGCGGAAGCCAAGCGCTTTTTTGACTTGCCGGTGGAGAAGAAGATGGAGGTGTTTACAGGCCTCGTGCCCAATGAGTATGTCGGTTTCCATCCAATGGAATGCTACAACCGCAACGGATGGAAGCATCAAGGTAAAACCACATCATTCTTGCGATGACGAGATTGGCATGTCGACTGACACTCTAAAAGACTTGAGTGAAGCTTTCAACTGGGCCTACGACGCGGAGAAAGATCCCGAGGCGGTGGACAAGACGGAGAAGTCCGTCAGCATCTGGCCTACTGACTTGCCTGGTTTCCGGGACAACCTCTACGCGTATCACACGGAGCTCCTCCGGCTCTCGCGCCGGCTAACTCGCATCTTTGCACTCGCTCTCCACCTGCCAGAAGATTATTTTGACAAATACGTCAAGCGACCGGAGGCGGGGATGCGCATTCTTCACTACCCGGAGCAGAAGCACTCGGTAGACGAGCAGAACGGTATCGGCGCGCATACTGACGTGGAGTGTTTCACCATTGTCACTCAGGATAGCTCCGGTGGCCTCGAGGTTCTTAGCAAGTCCGGCAACTGGGTCAAGGCGGATCCTATGCCAGGGTCTTTCGTCGTCAACATTGCCGATTGCTTCATGCGACAAACAAACGACTTCTTTGTGTCGACGATTCACCGGGTCATTAACAAGAGCGGTAAGGAGAGGTACTCGGCTCCGTTCTTCTTTGGGTTTGACAGAGAAAAGGTCTTGGAGCCTGTGCCAACGTGCGTGAGCGAGGAGAATCCCATGAAGTACCCCGTCATGACCGGGGGAGAATACTATGCCTGGCGTACGAACAGACAGAAAAAGACAAGTACTGTGACATCGAAGGGAGAGCAGTAAGTATAGCTCAATTTCAAGGTGTTTCTGCGCGATTATTCCATTCCGATATAAGCTACTAGTAGGATTGTCTGGGCGTTGAATCCTCGTCATGTCGCGTAAATTAAAGATTTCGTACGGCCAAGCAAAACTATTGAGTAGGCTGTTCGCAAAGATGTCTTATCCGCTATTTTACTGCAGTAGTACTTTTTTCAGACAAGGAGACCAAAGAAAGAGGCTGGTCTCTAGGAATACCGAAGTTTAGAACTGAGTAAGGCACGCAAGCCTCAAGGTCCATTAGTTGGGACGCTCGTTGCCTCTTCGCGGTTGTTGCGGCGGAATTGTGCGCCGGCCATTGGGACTCGTCGTGCAGACTGAAAAGGGCATATGATTCGTGGTCAAAGCCGAGATACTTATGAATAATTGCGTTGCTCCCCTTTTGCGCTCCGAGCAGTGCCAAGAAGCCTTACGACCGAATGAGGTTGACATCTGGATTAAGGACAGTCGAGCCGTCTAACCTCGGCAAGGTACTCTTGAGCATGACCCTGCGGTTGTCCAAGCGAGTAGTAGCAGGGCCACCGCTGTTTGGAACATAACTTGCAGGCTCTTTAGGTTTGGTGCCTCGGCTTTGGGTTGGCGATGACGTGTGCACATGACTCTTTGCCTACTTGCCCGGTTGCTGTTGATCCAATCAGGCACTAGATGCTGCGTTCGCGGCAGAAGTCGCGTGCTTGAGTAGTACGTCTAGTCTTTGGTAGAGATGCCGAGAGGCTAATTGAGAGGTGCTGAGACTGTTCAAATCAAGACTAATAAGCCAACGAAACAAGGTCAAATCCGTCTGGCCTACAGAAAGACAAGGTATATGAGTTGAATAATGCATGGAGGTTGCTGGCGTAAGAGGCCAACAAGTGAACGGGTTGGATGACTCACGGCGCCAGTCCTTGAGAAGGCACTAAGGGTCAATCACTACTCATCTAGACCACGCAATTTGTCGTCTTAGGTGTTGTTTTCAAAGCTATTAGATACGATTCATTGGTCCTGATTCTGGGCCCAGGTCAAAAAGGACAGATATCTGATATTGACACCAGACGAGTGGAATAAGTGGTCCTCAAATATTTGACAAAGACCTACTAGCTCTGAGACGATTAGATCAGAGTTCCTGAGACCAGGGCCAAATTCCGATGAACAAACTGAAAACCAGGCCACTTCCTTTAGGTTTTTTCTCTATTTTTGAAAACCTTGTGCGATGTTACGTGCTGGATGATCACCTCTCGGACCTGTCTTATTCAAGCGCAACCGAGGTACAAATCGGGAACTTATAGTTACGTCACTTTGTGAATCGACATCAGGTTAGGCTTCACGGTCTATATGGATGGGTGTGCTGGTTGCTACTGTTGCCCCTATACGTGGGCCAAACCTCCGCATACAATAATGATATCGCGTATACATCCTACATATTTCTATCACACTACGCATCTTTTATTCTGAAGACCACACAGTATCGGGGTTACTTACCTCGGCGATTTCTTCGTTGATCTGTGCGATCGGACTGAGCGGGTGAGGCTTAGTTTATATTCTACCTTACTCTAAAAGGGGGAAAGCGAATGCGAAATTTAACGTTTGACGCTAATTGATACTCGGAGTTTTCTCTACTTAGTTGAAGGCAAAACAGCAGTTCTAGCCAATGATTTGGCAATATTGCAAGTTTGGATATACAAACTCAGGTTGATCCCAGCTTTGCAAGGTGGAAAAACACACCTTGCAATTACCATACACTCATAGTAGAACCGCTGCAGCAAATACTGCAGCCACAGTCACTAGTGATTTCAGTCGCCCAATCATTTTACACGCTACTTTACTTCACAAGTCAGCCGACAATGCTCTTCCTAGGTTTACTAAATCACCATTGTCCACGCCAGCTGTTCGCCCGCACCACCGGCCGCGTATAATGACAGTCTGCCGGACTGGAGGCAGAGAATCTGCGTGATAGAATTGATGAGAGTCCATTATGATGAAGGCGACTAATTCCAGATCGTAGATGCCGTCACTGCGGACACTAAGATGATTTACCACCCAGCCTAAGCGTGCCAGGCCAATATTCAGACGAGGCGCACCTGGTCGTAATGGTCTGGTAGCAGTGGTAAAACCAATCAAACGTAGCAGTCATGAACTGTACCTCCAATGAACCATATCTTGCAGTGTTCATACCACAGTGAGACAATCTTGGTATGCTTAGGACGCCAAGTCACTCGGCCGGATCGGTCTCCGTCATGGGCCCGATGGCGGAGGCATGTCGGGGTCCCGCCCGGCACGACAAGACTTAGTGGAGTTGAGCCCGCAAATCTAGCTCGCCTTACGACACCGAGAATGTGAATCCGCCATCCACCGTGCTCAGACAGATTAGTAACAATGATTTCAAGGTTGGTTTCATTCATATGGGGCACAATTAGTCATTTTGCAGTGATTTACCAAGTGGAATCGGGACACCAGTTTCTAGCTTTGCCACCTTCTCCGGCCCCAATGATAGTTGTGTTACTACTTTACCCCTACTCATCATGTATAGAACTGTGGCGATATTAATATTCAACCCTATTAGCACATCAACTGCGTACTTTTTATTCAAGAACTGAGAGTGAATCGGCGATACTTTCATTATTTCCGAAACCTCAAATGTTGAATCGAGGTCCCGAAAACTGAGATGTTCCCGAACCACAGAAATCCACTGTATTTCTGACTGGGCCACTTTTACCGCATTTTGAGGCGGCAAAATCCAGCAAACTACAAGTACCTGTCTTGACGTAACAAGCCTTGGATCCTGTGACGCTGCTATTGCGTCCTACATCATTTCTAAGCAGCGTCAACTATGACGTGTCACAGACAAAAGTTGGGCGCGTATCGACTGTTTCTCCAGCTTATAAGTTGAGAGTAGACATCGATACCAAAGAGATTCTATGAACAACAGCAAAATACCCATCAGATTCTACTTCATCACTTTCAGACTAAATTGGACTACAACGAACTAAAACCTGCCCCAAGTCAAATCAGCCTTTCAATTACAATACATTTGCTCGACGTCTTCGCAATATGGCAGACCAGATCCCTCAGCAAATGCGCGCCGCAACCATCAAAGACTTCAACAAAGGTTACAAGGTCAAGGACGTGAAAACCCCCACCGACCTCGGCCCAAACGACGTCCTCATCAAGATCGCCGCCGCCGGCTACTGCCACACGGATCTCCAAGTTCAACAAGGCGTCTACGCCTCTGCCGGCGCCAAACCGGGCCTCGTCGGCTCCCACGAACCCGTCGGCACCATTATCAAACTCGGTTCCGAAGCAGGCAAACAGGGCCTCGAGATCGGCGACCGCGTTGGCTCCATCAATACCTACGGCTTCTGCGGCAAGTGTAACTCCTGCAATCATGGGAAGCAGGTCTGCGATAACCTCGTTGGCATGTTGGGCCTTACCCTCGACGGCGGATTCGCGCAGTACATGAAGGCCGACGCCCGCGTCGTGGCCAAGATCCCTCAGTCCATCCCCTGGGCCGAGGCCGCCCCTCTCTTCTGCGCCGGCGCGACGGTCTACGGCGCCCTCTGCGCCGCGCAGGGCCAGAAGGACCAGTGGCTTGCCATTATCGGTGTCGGCGGCCTAGGACACCTCTGTGTCCAGTATGCCAAGGCGTTGGGGTACAAGGTCGTCGTCATCGACAACCGACAGGAAGGTCTCGACCTGGCGAATGATGTCCCCTCACACCTGAAGCCCGACTGCACGTATCTTATCAACACCGACGAGGCTCAGAAGAAGGTTGTCGAGGAGCTCCAAACTTCATTCTACGATACCAACCCAGGCGTTGACCGCGTGATCATCACGACCGAGGCAAGATCGCTCGTTCGGTTTGGACAGCAGTTCCTCCGCAAGGGTGGTTTTCTGGTTGACGTTGGCCTTCCTGCAGATGGACCGTTCGAAGTCGATCCTTTCGCTTTGAACTTCAAGGAGCAGACTGTCCGCGGTGCTTTGATCTGCACTCCTGAACGGAGCAGGGAGATGACTGAGTTGCATGCGAAGAATGGTTGCAAGACGCACGTTGAAAAGACGTTCAGTGTAGAACAAGCTAACGAGATGGCCGAGCACTACTTGTCTAAGCAGCTAAAGGGTCGCTTGTGTATGGTCTTTTAGAGGAAGTGAGAGCAAAGCACGGGTTAATGTAAAAATAGTCACATGCAGTTATAAACTAGCATATTTCAGGAATGAATGATGAGTTGAAGATATAGAAACTTTCATACGAGTCCTGATGTATACTAAGATCGGTGGCTGAGAGAAAGTCTCATGTGCTGCTGATGTAAGAGCTACACGTTGGTAAATGTAATTGGTTTCGTCCCAGAGAATCGGTACACCAAAGTATGCATAGGTATATTAAACAGATGCCCAAAATCTTATTCTCTGGCTTATTTTGACAGACTCTCTTAAGTGAAGGCGCCTTCTATGTCTATTGTTGCCTACTGGCAATTTCAATATTAATTTGGAGCCGTTCGTTAGGCACCCACCTAGCAGCCAGACCTGTGAATAACTACGTTCCAGTTGGCCGTGGGGTGGAATGCTTGGCCGCTGAATGGCGTTGTCCAGTTCGGAGCGCAAAACTTAGAAATATGAGCCGTCATCGATGCAATATCCTTGAAACTGTTGAGAGTGATGGCGTGTGTATTCTATAAGTCCCGGTTGCGGGTCCGCCCGCACGTTGTCAGCCAACATGAATCAATGGATAGCACATCACAACTGCTGCTCTTCTTTCCCTTTTCTCCCTGTCACTCATCTCGTGCGCCAAAGGAAATAAAAACTCACATCGTTGCAAAACCAGATGGCCGTGCCGTAGCTGCAGCTGACGCGACCACAGTTCGCCGGGCCGCCGCTAGCCTGGGGCTGGCCCTTTACGCTCCGTAGATGTTTCACTCCCTCTGCGACCACGGGGAAGTGGTTGGTGGGCGGAGAGTTGTTGCAGATCACGTTGTCCTTGGTGATGATGGTTTGCTGTCGTCTTCGGAGCGAAGCAAACACGGAACGAGTAGAGGTTCTAGGTGCGGGGTTTGGAGGTTCGTAATTGGGATTCATCTGCTTCAGCTGGGCGAGGGCTTCCTCGACTGTGCCATTGATGTGGACTTTTCCGCCTGGCAACGGCTCGAACTCCCATGAAGGGATAAAGGCAGTGGTGCCTGGTCCTCTTGGCTCGATTGAAGTCGCCTAAAATTTCATATCAGATTGGTGATGTTGATCTTTACAAACTTGTGCGGTGGTAGTCTTACCATGGCGGCTGGGATAGCGGCAAGTAGAGTAAAGAAGTATGTGCTACGCATTTCTGATATTTGGATGAATGATTAAATGAATCTGTACGGGTAAAGAAGTGGTCGTGGTGAGTGACGAGATTGCAACGGGCTTGGAATTCGAGATTCTATGCATTTATATTTCTTTACAATCCATTTCAGAAAGCTTACATCCTGACATGTAGCATTAAGTGGTACATCACCCTCAATCTTTCACGTCATTAAGGGGTGATATTAGTCACACATCCCTTTCTCAGCTACCAACAAGAGCTCTTGCTTTGAACTTTGGTATGTTTTCCATGCGAGCTGCGGCGCCATTGGCAGGGATGGATGTGTTCCTTGACCTCGGACTCTGGCCTACAAACACTACAGTCATCGTGCGTACCAACTTGAATGTGTCGAGAAGCAAGTTTTACAGATTATGAAGATACGCTTGAATGAACCAACTCGGTCCGACTTAGTCTCAGAAGTAGATGGATTGCTGTACGATTCGAAAAGCGCGTCAATCTTTAGCTCAAAACTTTAAGCCAGGCAGGTGTGGATATGACCACTTTGGGCGATACTCAGCATTATTTTCTGGCAGTTCTTCCCAACCTTTCAAAGGTAAATGTCTTCTAGCTCCAGGCTGTCTGCGTTCACCCAAAGATTTGTCACATGCTATGAAGGTTTCAGGACTCGGACCCCAACCTGATAAAGCCCGTTGTTTATTCCCTACAAAGGCTCAAACACGGTGTTTGCTTCCGACGTCGATGTTTGGAGGGGTGATATTGTGGTACCGCAAAGCGAAAGGGCCCCAAGCAACCGTATCACTAATCATTATGTAGCTTCAGAGACTCATTCAATACTTGGGTGTTCAATGCTCAACTGATGTCAACTTGTAATCTATTGCTCTTGGCCTCTTCTGTGAACCAACTCCCTGCCGTAGATTGTATGTTTCCGGTTTTGGTCAGCATTTCCCCTTTCATCCATCCCTGAACGAAGCAGGTGCCACCAAACCTGAACGAGGCAGCTAGCGAGCGCAGGGGCCGCCCAGTCTGAACGCCATGATGGCACGAGACTGTAGAAGCCATCTTCGTCATGTCAAGGCTTTGACGTGGCGATTATGTCGAGGCTTCCGTGCCGTTTGGACCAGGCTGTCGCAAAACCTAGAAAACCCTGCTAAGAGATTTTGTTGTAGCCTTACTTGAATGTGAGTTCCTTATTATCCCGGGCTAGATTCCACAAAGCATATACGTTGTCTTTGCCGTCAGTAGCTTGAAAGTCTCGTGCAAAAATAGTGGCCTCCAAGAGGCCGGGACTGTCTTTCCTGACGGTTGGAGGGAAAAGAGAGGAGTAGACTCTTTTTTCAGCCATCAGATGCCTAAAATAGAAGAGTTTGCGGATGAAGATGATTTCGCCATGCAACAAGCCAATCTCTTCTAAAAGTGTTTCTGTATAAGTGTGTGTCCGTAGTCATCATCTGAGTCCTAATGACTGTGTTGAAGGCTAGCATAGCTTGGAGGCTGTATGCGGCGGCTTCGAGGGATCCAAAAGCGACAGCCTTCGGGTTGTCTACAAGCACCGCAAGATCCGATGAAATGTTAACCTCTTAAACAACCCAGACTCGTCTGAAGTATGGATGGCACTTGAACTTGTACAAAGCCGCACAACGAGTGGGGTAGATCTCTGGACCATTCTTGTTGTCATCTTTCCCCATGTCATACCGGCCCTTCTCATTCATCTCTGTCATGTCTGCTTGTTTGACGTTTCTAGCCTCGTTTGTAAACCTGGCAATGAAGTTTCAAAACTCTGCCTCCAAGGTGCCCATGCTCTCAACACGCGCCGCATCTGACGCGCAGCTTTTTGTGCGGGTAAGGTAGACTCCAATACTCGGCGGACCCAAGAGCGAGATGCTTGCTCCAATTTTCCCCCCTCCATTCCTGCGGGGTAGAATCCACAGTCCACAATTTTACCAAGTGGAGGTCTTCGGTCTGCATTCTCACGAATCACTCAGTTCCGGCTAAATGCGACTTGTGGAGGCGTGGGGTTCAATCACTTCAATGGCTCAACGCACTCTTGGCTCAGCTGGCTATGGCTATGAAGAGCAGTGCAGTCTTTAATAAATATCAACTCGGCCATTACTGCTCTGGAGATGGGTTTGAACCGGTTTCTCAACTCTGCATTGGCCAGCAAAACCGATTGTGCACTCTTGAAATCATAATCCACAATGCCTCACGTCAGGAATCCAATCCTTCCCGGGTTCAACCCGGACCCCTCGATATTGAGAGTCGGAGATGATTACTTCATTGCGACGTCAACCTTTGAATGGTTTCCCGGCGTCCAAATCCACCACTCCAAAGACCTGGCGAACTGGGAGCTCGTCACGAGGCCCCTGAGCCGCAAGAGCCAGCTCGACATGCGCGGCGACCCGGACAGCTGCGGCGTCTGGGCCCCCTGCCTCTCCCACGACGGCGACACATTCTGGCTCGTCTTCACCGACGTCAAACGCAAGGACGGCTCCTTCAAGGACACCCACAACTACATCGTCAGCGCGCCGGCCATCGAGGGCCCCTGGTCGGACCCGTTCTACATCAACTCGTCCGGCTTCGACCCGTCCCTGTTCCACGACGATGACGGCCGCAAGTGGTTCGTCAACATGATGTGGGACCACCGCCGCCGCTTCCACGCCTTCACCGGCATCGTCCTCCAGGAGTTTGACCCGCACGCCGGAAAGCTCGTCGGCCCCAAGAAGAACATTTTCCGTGGGACAGAACTGGCCCTCGTGGAGGGCCCGCACCTGTATAAGCGGAACGGGTGGTACTACCTCCTGACCGCCGAGGGTGGCACCGCGTACGAGCACGCCTGCACCCTCGCTCGCTCCCGCACTCTCTGGGGGCCCTACGAGCTCCACCCGCAAAAGTACGTCATCACATCAAAGGACGCGCCCGATGCGGCGCTTCAGCGCGCGGGGCACGGCGACATTGTGGACACGCCCGATGGCAAGACGTATATGGTCCACCTGACGGGCCGTCCCACGACGGAGAAGCGGCGTTGCGTTCTCGGACGCGAGACAGCGATCCAAGAAGCATACTGGGGCGACGACGACTGGCTCTACGTCAAGAACGGGCCCGTACCGTCTCTGTACGTCAATGTTCCGGGGACCAGAGACGACACGTCGTACTGGGCGGAGAAGAGATACACCTTTGAGAACGGGCTGCCCAAGGACTTCCAGTGGCTTCGAACGCCGGAACCTGAGCGAATCTTCTCGACCGAGAGCGGGAAGCTCACACTCATCGGGAGGGAGTCCATCGGATCCTGGTTCGAGCAGGCGCTCGTCGCTCGCAGGCAGACGCACTTCTCCTACGACGCCGAGACCACTGTAGACTTTGCCCCCACCGACGAGCGCGAGTTCGCGGGCCTGACGGCGTATTACTGCCGCTACAACTTCTTCTATCTGACCGTCACGGCCCACGAGGACGGCAAGCGCGAGCTGCTGATTCAGAGCTCCGAGGCCTCTTGGCCCGACAGCGACCTCACGACGCCGTTGGCCGAGTCGGTTGCGCTGCCGAACGCAGGCAAGGTGAAACTGGCGTTGCAGATTCGCGGACCAAGCCTTCAGTTCTACTATGCCCTCGAGGGCGAGGAGTTGAGGGCCGTCGGTCCGGTCTACGATGCGTCTATCCTCTCGGATGAGTGTGGTGGGCATCAGGCGCATGGCAGCTTCACGGGTGCCTTTGTTGGTGTGGCTGCTTCTGATCTCAACGGCACCGCGAGACGTGCGACTTTTGATTATTTCACATATCGACCTGTTCTTGATGAGACCGACCGTTATGATGCTTAATGAAGACATTTTGTGGCCCCCGCTTTGGAGATCGGTGCTACAGCCGTAAGTCCATATTGAGCAAGAGATTGAGGGGAACTACATGGGCATGAAAGGTATTTGAAGTTGGCATTGAAATCTACCTGAAAATACGATTTAGGAACGTCTCCTATCCGGGACTCGGAAACGATACATTGAACCCCAGGCACAGCCAAAACCTCAATGTCTTGTCTTTGACATCTGCATATGGGACCCTTACCGAGCCTGAACGGCTCATGCTATTCAACCACGGCGAGAGCACTGTTGACCTTGTTGTTCCCCTCATGACCCATGGCCCAAGGAAGCCGGTTCCCAACCAACCTCAAATCAACGCCCGGCCGGAACACCAAACGATGCGAACTACCCCCAAAGTGAAACATCCCAACCTCCTGCCCCTTGACAATCTCCTCCCCAGCCTCGACGGTCACCTCGCAGCTCAACACCTTCGTCATGCCGACAAACACAACAGCCGTCAGCCCAATCCCCGGGATTCCTCACCTGGATATACACCACCGCCCTCGTCGCCACGTCGCTGAAATACAGCTGCAACCGACACGGCGCCTGCGGTTCCGGATCATCCTTCCCACCACCATCATCGTTCCCATTGTCCATCAGCAGGAGCCGTGGCCAAGCCCTGATACCGATTCACGCTGAGATACGTGCCGGGCACCATCTCGACCTTGACGACCCTCCCGCTCACGGGCGCGTGCCAGCGGTGGTAGCTAAAGGCGCTCAGGTAGGCCTGGTAGACCGTCCCGTCATCGACTACGGTCCCCAGGGTGCTGCCGCTGTTGCTAGGCGGCTTTTCGTCGTCACTGTCCTCGTCGTCGGGGTTGCCACCGGCCGGATACCCTCCCGAAAGCGCCGCACAAGAAAGGCATCCCAGGACTCGAAGCCGAGATACTCCACATCCAGGGGATCGGGACAGACAAACAGCTCCCGGAAACTATACCCGCCGACCTGGCTCTCGCCCTCCCCCCTGCCATCAACCTCTGCCCAGAAGCCGACAACCAAACCCCGCAAACACCCCCTCCTTGACGTCCGCGAGGCAAGAAATCGACCCCCAGCGATCCAGCACGCCCATCATCGCGGCATTCACCTCGGCCCGGCAAAAAAAAGGCGTTCCCGGCCTCTGTTGCCCATGGGCCAGTTTAGCAGCGCGTTGATCCGGGGCCGCGACGAAGCCCATGGCGTCCTCGTTGCCCGGCCGATCGAAAAGGACTGCGGCCCCGCGCACATGAATACGTTGACGACCTGCAGGAACTGGCCAAAGCTTTTGCGACGGCGGGCTGCTCGGTCGGGTTCGCGGGGGGCGGAGGGCGGACGTCGTCGGTGAACCATTCTGTCTGCTAGCTCGGCGAGCGTGGGGTCCATTTTTGGACAATGGTGCAGGAAGTGGGCTAGGCTTGGGTCGAGGTTGTCCAACGTCTTTTCGTTAACGATTTTTTGCTTCGTGGACTTTGTTCGCTGGCCATTCTGTGGTGGTTGAGACAGGCTTGGGACGGAGATGGGTTTGTAACTCCCCGCGAAGCCTGGCCTTCTTGTTCGACCCAAAGCCATTAAGTAGAGAGCACAGCATGTCGAAATCTGGCCTCTGGTAGGTTGCACTTGACGGTGTTCTACTGTTAAAGGGGGATGACATCGGTATGTGCTCCAGCAAGTAGCGAGAGCGGCCAAAATGTCGGTGAACACATTGTATATATATATATTACTTTATTCGATTTGTGTCCTTCTAGGAGACGTTCTCGATCAGATCTGGTGCTCCGGTGTCAACTTTCCATGTCTCGCAAGCAGCCAACGCATTGGCAGACAGCATGAGACAAAAGTGCATCTGTCCTACTGCGGGAAGCAAAAGACCGTCTTCCCCCTCCAATCGGACCACGAGAAAGGCCAGTCGCCGTGGCTGGGGGTATGACGATTTGCAAAGCTATTGACATCTCGATGCCCGCTTTCAGGGCCGGCGAAGCGACGCCTCGACATGGCTTCCAAGTTTCCCCGTCACCGCACAATTGAGCATTCGTTTCGCTTATACGTACCGTGAACGACACGGGCCGTCCCATCAATGCTCGCAAAAGTTCCAATCGCCATTCGTAATCGTCTCCATACCATACTCGGCAATCGTCGTCCTCTCCTTCATCAGCTCGGCCCGTAGCTCCTTTGCCTCCTCGATCCCAATCGGGAAATCCGTGTTATCAAACACCATATCCGTGATCTCGGGCGGCAGCGAACCCAGCCGAGCCCCCTCCGTCGCCCCCTCCTTCCACCACCCCTTTTGCTGTGGCGGTACGTTGGCCGTGCCAATGATGGGGATCCTTGGGTCCACGAGGAACAGCGCGAGGATCTTGCGGTGGCCCGCCCTCGTCTTGTCGACGAGCTCGAACGGCGCCACGCGGTGCTGGTAGACGTTGGGGAACGCGAGAAGCCTGTCCTCGCGGGTGAGCACGCTGCCGAGGCGCAGGTTCGTGTCGCCGCGGGAGTCGATCCCAAAGGTCCGGTCGATGCTGTGGTGGTCCCCTTGCTGGTAGCTGAGCTCCCCCATGAGATCCTCCTTGTCGGCGACTGTGCGGAACGCGAGGTGGCTGTCGGTGATGTTTTCGTTGTCGTAGTAGTAGAGCGCGGTGGCGGCAATGTGCTCGTTCAGCTGGCCCTCAATGTGCCAGGACCCACCGTCGTACGTCGGCTTCTCGGGCGTAAGGTGGATGTTGGCGAGCTTGACAATGACCTGAATGCGGTCGGCATGGTTGAAGAAACCGGACTCCAGGTTGACGTCATTGGGCTGCAGCGCCATGGGCTTATACTCGGGAACGGGTGGTTGTTTGGCGGGATGGGTGGCATTGAACCAGATCTCGTCTCTTCGCCAAACTTCCCGGTCAGGCTCCTCACTGTTATCTTGCCAATCGTCGTCGAATACATTTTCTGGACGTTCATCCTCGTCTGGGTCCAGTGGACGGTTTTCAGGACAGCAGTTGTTAGTGCATTCTGCCAGACATTGCGTCTCGACTTCTTCACAAGGGATTCGGAGAGTCTCATAGTCTTCGTGCCATCTGTAGATCAGGTCCCACATCGGGAGAGCTTTCTCCAGCACCTTTTCAATCGTGGTGTAGAGGCCAGCATGATGCCGAGGGTGCAAGTTGTTGATATAGCTCATGATCTTCGGCTTCCCTTCGTCAATGTCAATGTCGCATGGAAGCCACTGAAACTTGACAGACCACAAGTCTTCAGACGAGTGGTGGTCGGTATATCTCTTCTTGGGGACAGGGATGATTTCTCCCGTGCCGCAAGCCGCCAGAGTATCCTTGAGCAAGATACGCTTGTCAGAGACGATGCGAGACTTGCCAAAGACAAGAGGCCAGAGTGAGGGGTGGACAATGTCCAAGACCTTGCCGTCGCTGCCGGGGTGCCAGTCCTTTTCTTTTTCGGGGACGTTTTCGAGAACTGCCACGCCCTTCCTGAGTTCCTCTTTTACCTCTGGAGTGATGGCGTTATCAGACTTGATGACGACGGACGAGGCGTCAAAAATGGGGATGAGGCCAGTGGCTTCATACAGCTTGGCTTTCTCGCGAAGCTCAGCGAGAGACTGCAGTGCCGGTCAGGAACATTTTTCAAAGGGGCGCGCCCAATTTGAGGCTCGTTACTTACAAATTGGAACAAATCGTTGTTGAAATACGCATGTTTGAGGCCAACGGCTTCCCAGTCCACGGCCATGACCTCCTGCTTCCACTTGGCGATAATCTCCTCGTTAAAGACCTTGACATGCCAATCGGGTTTGTTGGTGATTTTCTCGACAAACCACATGATGGCCAGCTCCGCCCATATCAGCGTGGAGGCTTTCCACTCCTGAACGGCGCTGGGGAACGCGGCATCATCAGCGGGCATTTCGTAAAAGTTTTTGCCGAAGCCTGGACGGATCAGGGGGCCGATCTCGCCGTCGTTCTTCACTGGGATTAGTCATTTGCTACCATGTAACAGGAAGAAAAAGATAATCAAGTTGGATGGGGATGTCTCACGTAGGCGTGGAAGTCATCCGTCATGTCCGCGCGGTCTAAGACTGTCCGGATGTCGGCTTCAGGAACATCTTTTCCGAACTCGCTTTTGACCCATTGGGCACCACGCGTGAGAGTTGGAGTGATGCCGCCCAGGCTGTCGGCCCACTTGCAAAGAGTGAGCCGCTCGCGGACCGTCAGCGTGGAAGACATAACAGCCACTGCCCGCTACTTTTGCGGTTGAGTGAGACTAAGCTGATGAGGAGTTCGAGCCAATCTTGGGTGGTAACGAGACAGATGCTGTGATGATGGGTTTACCAAAGGGGATCGATTTCCTGAGGTGCGGAAGAATCTCGAGCTTTTGTAATGTGTTTGAAGGATCACCGCGAGGATCGCCAAGAAGGGTGCATAGAGGGGTTCAGGGTTGAGGGTTGAAGACGGTGGGATCCTTGCGGGTCAAATTAGGCTGCGACGCGTCTCGACCGCAAGTTCAGCTGGGCTGAGAATGATGGCGGTTGGCGGTGGAAGAGCTACAGTACAAAACGCGAGATTGCCACGAGGTCACGTTGGTTGTAAGTCCTCCCTTTCCCACAAGGTAGCTGAGCGTGCTGTTGCCTGCTGCTGCCTGTCATGGTGAACCGTCGGGTGGGACTGCGGAATTGACAGAGTCCCGGAGCCGAGTGGCCGACCAATTAGAAACGGTTTAATGCCAATAGTAGACAGACTGCCACGAATTTGGTACAGGTGTCTCGTCTCCTCTCCAGGCATCGCCTATGGGTCAGAAGTGCAGTCAAAAGTGCAGTTTAAAGTGCCCCCGCATGCCGCATCGTCTCATGAGCACGTGATGCGTGCAGATGCTTCGTGGACGGGCCCAGAGGCCGGAGACCCGCTGTGCAGATGCGCCGGATGGACTCCAGCCCGGAGCGGAGCGGCGCGAACAAGATCGGATGCCGAATCTTACCAAAGCCGCGCGCGGTCGCGGGTGCATGGGCCAATGAGCGCGAGATGTGGATCACTGAATTCACAAAGGGCGGTCGAGGTGACTGTCGCACAGCCCGCTTCGGGCTTTCAAAGAGCTGAGTAAGGTAAGGAGGGCCGCCCGGCCAATCTAGGAACGCCGAAATGAAATCTCTTCAAATTCATGGGTCAACATTGTGCACAAGCCCAAGACGTGGTTGCGGTGACTGGTGAGTGAGATATTCGTCTCGGACCTCAGTTGTTCATAATGCATTCCCCTCTGCAAAATTATGAAGTTGCTGGCATCTGATGTGCTCTTGAGACTGAGGGTAAAGAAAGCGCTGGGGCTTCTATTATGTAAGGTAGCCAGAACCCGCTACAAGTTGTCTCCCTATCTCTCCAGCGCGGAACTTCCGGGCCAATCCAGCAGACCCCAAATCCAAGCTCCGCCAGCCGCGCGGTGTACTTACAGGCCTGCGCTACGCTTTTTTGATTTCCGAGGGCGAACCCATCTGAAAACAGTTTAGCCTACCCGCCGCGGGCAATCTACACACCAACCTACCTAGCATATCGCTCGGATGGAGGGGCGGCGGCGGCGACGGCGCGCGCGCGCGCGCATGATGCCGGGATAAAACCTCTCTCGAAGCAAACCCCCTCCCTCCCCCCTCCGCGCCTGAAATAAACGGAAAGAAACTTCCTTTTTTCTTTTTTGAATTCTACTTTTCTAAATATCATGAGAGCGTTGGCCTTTTCTGGTAGAGGTTTGTCGCACAGTATCTATCACCGCACAGCTCATCTCATCCCCGAGCCCTGCCATCGCACCACAGCTCAGAATACGCTCTGCGCCTTTACCAGTACTCGATCCTCGTTCCTTCAGCTTCGGGATATCCGCAACTTCAGCGCCATGTCGTCTCAAACCCAAACACCTACTACGCCGGCCAAGTCCCAATTGCCCCCTCTGACCCCGGCCGAGTTCAAGGTCTTCAACCGGATGGCAGAGAAGATGAATTACTTTGTGAGTATTCACCCCCTTCCATCTTGCGCATCTCTCAACACCTTTAAACCTCCACACATTGATCAAAAAATAAAAATAAAAACTAACAACCAACTCAGCACAACCACTTCCGCCACCAATGGACCCTCCTCCACGACGCAGCTACCTCCGGCCGCCGTCCCTCAAACATGACCCTCAAACAGTTCATCGATACGGGTCTCCAGTTTGCCCGCCACCTCGCAGGTCACCACGGCGTCGAGGAGGCCCATGTCTTCCCCGTACTCGCCCGCCGCATGCCCGAGTTCCGCGGCGGGAGCGCCGGCGAGCTGCTGCAACAGCACAAGCAGATCCACAAAGGCATGGACGACTTCGAGGCCTACCTCCGCGCCTGCCGCTCCCGCGAGACCGAGCTCGAGCTCTCCGTTCTGCGCGAGAAGATGGACAGCTGGGGGGAGGTGCTCTGGACGCACCTTGATCAGGAGGTCGAGACGCTGGGGGCGGAGAATATGAGAAAATATTATACCATGGAGGAAATTAAGAATTTGCCATTCTGAATGGGTTTCCATGGTGTTCATTTTTTTTTTTGGTCTTTCGTTCCCCCTGCTGGGAATGGGCGTCTTGGGACTGTGTACCATTAGGGAAAAAGAGACGTGAGGGAAGGGGCATAGCGTTCATGCTTTGGGTTCTTTATTTTTTTGTGAAATTGAAATCTATTATATCATAAACATGAAAGAGATTGAAATTCGTGTCCATAACCAGCGAGCAGGTTCCCCCGCTCCGCGCAGCAGTCTCTGATATACTTATGTGCTTTCCATAGGAAAAGCCATCTCCTCGAAGGCGGTGCGTCTATCCGTCCTGTATGCAAAGTTGACCTCTATGTCGATTCCAGTTTTGTTCAAGGACTCCTATCCCTCCTCCCTCCAAATCTACACCCTCCCCCCCCCTCTTCAAGCAGTCTCCTTCCACAACTGCCGCATCTGCACGATACCAGGGATGCTCCCCAGCAACCCGATCCCCATCTCCGGCACGAACCCCTTATCCATGCTCCAGTGTAACGTGAGCGGGAACCACGAAGCCTGCCTCGCCAGCGTCCGCGCCCACACGTCCGCCCACGCCCGGTACTCGCTGCTCGTCACGTCCTGCTCCCCGCGCCGGATCTTGCCCTGCCGCCGCAACTTCTCCACCGCCAGCCGCCCGAGCTCGCTCCCCACAAACACGGACCAGAACCGCACGCTCCACCGCGCCGCCGTCCCCTGCTGCTTGGGCGTCATCGGCAGCACCCCCTTGGACGCCAGATACGACGAGCTCTCGAGAGACTGCAGCAGGAGGCACACGACGACCTGCAGCCACGAGAGAGCCCTGTCCAGCGCCGCCTCGGACGCGTCCTTTGTGTTCTGCTTCTTCTCCTCCTCGGTGATGCTCGGCGTCGTCATGAGCCGGCGGAGCCAGAGGTACAGCGGCAGCAGCGCCCACAGCCTTGTAATCGTGCGCGCCTCGCTGAGCAGCGACGCCAGCGCGCGGAGGTGTCCCGCGACGCGGATGCCGCGGCTGGCGACCGCAGCAGAAGGCGCCGGGGCCTTGGAGAGGAGTATCGTCGTGTCGGGCGGCAGGGAAAAGGCGAGGGCGACGAGCTTGCGGGCCGAGTGGCGGAGGGCGGAAGCGCTGAGGGCGTCGATGACGGAGGCGGTGAAGCGCGAGGTGTAGCAGATGAAACAGAGGACTGCATCGATGCCCGACGGGGTAGCGAAGCAGCGGTTCAGGTGGGCGACGAAGGCGTCGACGTTGGAGGGTGTCGCGGCGAGGAGCTGGCCGAGCGTCGGCTTCTTGCCTTTCGGGGCTGCTGCTGCTGCTGCGGTCGACCGCGATGCGGCGGCAGTGGGCGGTGCGGGCGCGGCGGGGATGGGGTCGCCGGAGGGGAGGTCGGAGACGGCGGGTGCCTGGTCTGCCGTTTCTGTGGACATGCTGGGCGAGCGGTCGGCCTTTTTGGGGGGGTGGGCTGTTCTACGATGGCCAGTCTGTGGTGGTTTCTTTCCGTCCAAGTAGAAAGAAATGGGAACGGGTGAGAAGAAGGAAAAAAAGTCTCACGACGATCAAGGATTTGTGGGAGAGAGCTTCTGGGGTCGTATTTTGGAGCTCGGTGTCGGTGGTAAAGCTTTATCCCGAAGATCGGAGGGGGAAAGCTGTGTGTGGGCTCTCCTCGTTCGACGTCGATGGCACATCAAGCTTGTGAAGGGGGATGCTCAAGAAAGTGTGAGGAGCTTTGGTGTTGACAACCCCTGGGGGAAAAAAAAAAGAATTATCCCCAATATTCACTACTTTGTTCGGAAAGAAGAGGAAAAGAGAGAAAGAAACGGGCTTGGAACGCTAAAATAAAGCCTAGCTGGCAGCTGCAAGAAGAACCAAAACCGTTGTCCCAATTGCTCATGCGCCGAGGTGGATGCTCGTTGCAGCGTCGGCCGGGTCGCTGATTTACCGACGGCACACGCCGATGGATGGTCACAGGGTTTGTTGGTAGACAGCTAGGTAATCGCCCAAGGGAGCAGGTAAGCTCTTCGGCTCGTGTTTCTGCGACCAAGCAAGACGGCGCCGCTGCTGGCGGCGGGCCAATGTGCCATCCATCGCCTTGGTGCTGCAAACCTACATAGGTGGGAAAGTTGTTCGGCAGAGGCTTGGAGTGGGTACAACTGACCTCGGTTGATTTTGATTCGGCAAACGCGGCGGGCCTTGGTGGAGAAGGGCTCGGAACTCTACTATGTAGCTCGGAATGAAGAAGGAATCAAGTAACGTGCTCAAGTTGCCCCGGATTTTTGGCTGTTATCAGATCAAATTTTCAAGGGCGCACATGCCTCGTCCATATCCCTCTTCGTGGTGCAATATCCCGCGTTGGACTTGCTCACGCAATGCTTCATGAGCGCATTTTCCTACGGAGCTTGTCAATATCACGCAATCGCGTTCAAAGTCCGATGACCCAAGACCTAGTTAGGTATGCCCGATGAGATGCTCAGCCCCGTGTCGCCATGAATGGGATGCTAAGTGGAGGAGATGAGGAGATTACGACACCCATTGTCCACATTTCTACACAATGGTGTCATTATCTTATCGATCCATCTAATCGCCGAGTTTTCCTCTCCGTGAATGACTCAACTTCCTCAACAATCTCTTTCTCCTATGGATTATGATGTACATAGTAGAGTAGCCTGCCCCATCCTCTTGTACATCCTTGAGCCATACTGAAGCAAGGATAAGCATGGATGATGGTGTCACCGAGCAATTTCGGCAGGCTAAAGATATCTGGGTGAAAGTAAGAGAGATGAACGGACTGACGTGAAGTCAACACGAGAGCTTGACAACAAGAGACGATCGAACGGGTGCAAATATTCCTTCCGTTTTTTCCCAGATTCGACACAACAGTATGTAGTGATGTTTTTGAGCCAAGTATTCTACTAGGCGACCGAAAGTCATGATCAAGAGTCATCACTAGCTAGCCTTAGCCTCAAAACAACTCTACCTTGTACTAGAACAGCAACGGATATCAGAACGGTTGGCGTCGTGTGAATTTGTATTTGATCTCGCAACCTCGATCGGTGTATTAGTGTAAAGAATTCATCAAACGAGCAAAGAGAATTAATGGGAACAACTAGGCGCCGAGCGCCGAGAAAAACCAAGGAGCGCGCGTTGGTAGCAAGTAACACTGCCGTGGCAAACATCCTCGAAGTCGATTCTACAATGCCAACAGGAGAGCCAATAAGGATTTCGAACCGCTTCAACTTGCACTGCATTTTTTAGCCCTCCAAAGAAGGCAGAACCCTTCACGTGCCCTTATAGAATTGGTCGGCTGATCGAGCGTCTCTACCAATCTGCGGGCCTTCTCTACGTTACACATCTTCCTACCTAGCCGGAACGAGCACCGCTAATAGCACGCTGGACAGCAAGAATCATCAAAAATGGAAATGTGCAGAAGATTAACCCGTGGAATGGCTTTGCCAATCGCGGTGAGGATTTGAGCCTCACGCGGGGGTCGAACCCGCAACCTTGAGATTAAGAGTCTCACGCTCTACCGATTGAGCTAGCAAGGCGGGTCATATTGATGGATCCGAAGACCCGTTGTTGCTGCGAGAACCAGGAAGCCAACTATAGTAGCCTTGAGTAGAAGCTCAAAGGAAGTTTCTCTGTTGACAGCAAGTTTGACGGCCCAGAAAAGGCTCATGGGATTGAGGCTTTGATGTTGGTTTGTTGAGGCGGAGTGAGCCTGGTGTCAAGTTAGGGGTCAGTCGAGAAAGTTCCTAGATCCGAAACTCTGCCTGAAAATTCGTTGTTGCAGCCACAGGAAAACTCATCAGGGGAACACGCGACTACGTTGATTGCGGTTCACTAAGATACACACCGAAATTATTTTGTTGCTGACTGTTGCTCTTGAAAGGCCCGAAGGGAAATTGTTACAGATGGTCTTTCTACTTTACGATTACTACGACATGGAAACGAGCTCAGCCGAAGCCAGTCAATCGTGATAACGGCTAAATCGTGACATTCATACACACTCGGCATCGTGGACGTGACGTAACTCTATCAGCTTCTATTCCCTGAAGCTACAAACACCTAACCAGCCAAGGCTCTTTTCTTTCTGGAACCCCGCGCGGCCGGTATTTTGGATTAAGCAACCCAACCCTAATGCAGATACAAGCGTGAAAACCCCAAGAACCCGTTTCAATTCTTCCACTCTCAACCCCGGACCGCGGCACCCAACGCGCCGCCAGTGAACTGAGTACCGCCGGCCTGCCGTTGGGGGTTGCCGCCCGTCCTCGCGCCTCCTCTGTTGCCGCCCCTCGCGCCGCCGCGTCCTCCACGGCCGCCGCGGCCGCCCTGTCTCTCGAATGCGTTGGCAGAGCCCTGGGTGCGCTGCTCCAGTGTCCGCTCGTTGGTCTCGATGAGCGCGCTGGCCTTGTCTGAGAGGGTGAGGGCAAGACTCTGCAGACGGCTGAGCTCGACGCCCTTGCGGAAGATGACGGTCGATGTGACCTGGTCCAGGGAAGCAGCGAGCTCCTCGTGGCTGATCATCTTGCTGACGATTGCGAGGACCTTGCTGGCGTCCAGCTCGAACATGTTGCTCAGAGTCTCCACGGCCAGGGTGTCGTAGAAGGGAGCGTAGGTGAAGAGGTACGTCCGCAGACCCTCCTCCTGGATCTGCTTGGAGAGCATGGTCTTGATGTCCTCGGCGTTCGGCATGAGGTCCCAGATCTTAATGCTGTGGATAAAGGCGGTGGACTTCTTCCACTCGCCCGCAGCCAAGGCCTTTGAAGCCTGCATGACGTGGTCTCTTGTGTTCTCGGGAGGGCCGGTGAAGATCTGGCGCTCGTGGTACTCGAGCATGCGGCGGTAGGTCTTGCTGATTACACGCTTCTTGACGTCGGGGGAGGAGCCGGTCTGCGCCAGGAGGGGAATCTCCAAGAGCATGCTGCAGGTAAGGTACACGCACTCGAGAAGCTCGAGGTTAATGTGCATGTGGAAAGGAAGCTGGCGCTGCTTCTCGAGCTTCTCCTGCTCAGGCGAAACCTGACTGTATCTCTGGATCATGACACCCTGAGCGAGGAGCTCTTTCTGGCGACCGCTGCCGCAGATCTCCTGCAGAGTGTTCTGGGCGTCGTAGACAAGACCCTGGCGGAAGGCACAGAGACCGACCTGGACGAGGGTACGGTTGTAGAGGATTTGAGAAAGGACATCGAAGTTGGGGATGTTCTCTTGCAAGTGAGACATGAGCATCATGTCACGAGCCTTGTAGTACTCGTCGTGCAGAGCAAGGAAGTACACTTGGCACAGCATGGCACGAGCGCGGAGAATGCCCTCGGCGTTGGTGAAGAGGTAGTTGCAAAGGACGTTGACGAGATTGTTGGCGTCCTGAGCCTGGTCGCGGGGGGTGATGACGGACTCGACAGTAGAGGGGACATTCTTCCAGCAGTTGTCTTCGAGGATCTTAACAACCTGTGCGGGCTTGAAGTAAACGTGCTCGAGGCGACGGGTGACAACACGGTTGATGCTCTCCTGGGGGATCTCGAGCTCGGCATCCTTGCGGAGGTACTCGTAGTAGAGCATGCCGCGGAAGACGGTGTTGTAGAGAGCGCCCTCATCGGTAAGACGGTCGATATACTCGGAGGTGTGAGGGTCGATATTTTGGAGGGATCGAGTGAGCTCGTCGTCGAGGCGCTCGACGTAGGAAACAATGCTTCCCGGAACCTTGATGTACTTCTGGCCCTTCTCCAACGCGGGGGGCTTCTCGTCGTCATCCCACTCCTCGGCGTTCTCGACTACAACGTAATCCTTGTTCTGCTCAAGGACCTCGAGGAGAGAGTTGAGCTCCTTCTCAGCCGCCTTCCAGTGCTCGACGGGCATGTAGGAGGCACCGCCGGAACCGAGGTCGAAGCGGGTAGACACCAGGGTAAGAAGGACGCGGATCTTCTGGTAAGGTGTGTTGGCGATCTCGTTGAGCTTCTCCATAATCTTGATCTGCTCCTGCTTGTCGGTGTTCTTCTTGCCGCGAGTCTCCATGATGCTTCTCAGGTGCTTGAAGATGCTCTCAGGGGTGAACTGCAGCGTGCGGCCACCCTTTCCAACGGTGGCGAAGCCCTCATCGTCGTCTCCCTCGGCAGCCTCCTCGGTGGTATCGACGAAGCGGGCAGTCTTCTTGGCTTTAGGCGCGGGCTTCTCCTCTTCCTCCTCGGACTCCATGAAGCCATCCTTGTTGGCCCTGTAGGCATCGACCTGGGATTGGTAGTCCTTGACGATCTTCTTGATCTTCTGCTTGACTGCGTTCAATCCACGGGAAGCAGTGGCGTTTATCTTCTTAATGGAAACCTTTTGCTTGGCAACGGCCTCGTTCATGTCGTCCTCGAGCTCAGCAACGATCTTAATGTAAACCTTGGGGGTCTTGCCACCATCTTGAAGTTTTGTGACCTGGCGGTTGAGCTTGTCGAATTCTGCGCATAGACATTAGCGCCCACGCTCCGGCATCACGAGGTATTCCGGCGCATCTTACCTGTGGAAATGGAAGCCCAGTCACCAATCTTTTGGCCGTTCTCGATAAGCTTGATGGTCGCCTCGAGCTCCTCGATGCGCTTATCCTTGGCACTCTTGACCTTTACCCGCTCCTCGTCTTCACTGTCTTCGCTCTCTGAAGAAGCATCGCGAAGGAAACGCGAGGCACCAGCCTTCTTTCCACCGTCACTGTCGTCGGAATCAGAGTCGGAGTCATCCTCCTCCTCCTCCTCATCAGAGTCCTCCTGGTCCTGCTGCTCCTCCTCCTCCTCCTCCTCGGAGTAAAGCTCCTCCTCGTCAGAAGACGAGTCGGTGGAGCTGTCGTCTCCGCCACGGAAAAATCGAGACATATTGGCGATCGCTTTCGGTTCGTTCAGGCGACGGTTTGGCTGATGCGACTGGGAAGCGCGGGATCGACGGGAGTTATGTTGTCGTCGGACTTGTCACGGGGGGCCTTCGGTCAACCTGTCGAGAGGGGCTCCTCAAATTCAGGTTGTGCAAGAATTTGACGGGAATTTTTGGTGGGGGAGGAGGGTTTAGCGAACAACAGCTGGCAAATCGTGCTCCAGGTGGCAGCGGGGTGTTTGGCCGCAGCATTTTTACCAATGTTAAGCTGGGCAATGTGGATCTGACGGGTGGCAGACAAAAAAGCCCCACTGGAAAAGTTTCAGGCACTTCCTTCCATTCACCAGGACTGCCTGCCTATGGTCGACTCACCTCTGAGATTGTGGCCGTGCCGCGGGAGTGGGCAGCATCAGCCACGCCCGAGAAAAGCGGACCCCAGACCTGGGGTGAGCTCTCGCCCGCCGGACTATCTCTGGCGCCGTAAGAAACTTGAGCTCACGTCCTCACGTGATATGATCCCCCCGAAACAGGCTAGCGCATAATCACCTGGCCTATTCTTGCTGGGACAGAGCTGCATTACCCAAAAATTTCGATGGCGCGGCGAGGTCAAGGTCGATGAACTCATCAACGATCGCCTCATACCAACAACGTTGCGGCTTTGGTCTCATCGCCGTGAATTTTCGCGAGACCATCCGACCAATTTTCCCATCCCAACGCAGCTCCAGACCGATACCGAGCATCGAGTTGAATTGCGCTGCGTCTTCCTTTACGACTTTCGCGTCTTGAAAGTCGCGACTGCGACTGCGACTGTTCTACTTTGACGACCTCCTTCCACACACGCACGCGAGACGAGTCAACCATCGAGTCGAGATGTCCTTTCCCCCACCACCACCCCCCGGATGGGGTCCTCCTCCACCGCCGCCTCCTCCTCCATCATCGTCCCTCCCTCCACCACCAGCAGCACCAGCTCCCCCGCCACCGGGTTATCGCCCCCCGACCGATCCCCAGATCGCCAAGTTCGCCCAAAAGAAGAAGGAATGGCTTCGGAGTCAGCGCAACCGATTCGGCGAGAAGCGTAAGGGTGGCTTTGTTGAGACGCAGAAGGCAGACATGCCCCCTGAGCATCTGCGCAAGATCGTCAAGGATATTGGCGATGTGTCGCAGAAGAAGTACACAAGCGATAAGCGCAGTTACCTCGGTGCATTGAAGTTCATGCCCCATGCTGTGATGAAGCTTCTCGAAAATATGCCCATGCCGTGGGAGTCTGATAGAAAAGTCAAGGTCCTGTACCATGTCAACGGCTGTTTGACGTTGGTTAATGAGATCCCCAGAGTCATTGAACCTGTTTTCTTTGCGCAGTGGGCAATGATGTGGACATTTATGAGGAAGGAGAAGGCCGACAGACGTCTCTTCAAGCGCATGCGATTTCCCCCTTTCGATGATGAAGAACCACCCCTGTCATGGTCGGAGAATATCGAGGACGTTGAGCCCCTGGAGCCTATCCAAATGGAGCTGAACGAAGAGGAGGATGCCGCCGTGTTCGAGTGGTTTTATGACCACAGGCCGCTCCTCGATACTCCTCACGTCAATGGCGACAGCTATAGGTCGTGGAATCTTAACCTACAGCAGATGGCTACGCTTTTCAGATTGAGTCGGCCTCTCATCTCTGACGTGGTGGATAAGAACTACTTCCACCTCTTCGATCTGCGAAGCTTCCTCACAGGAAAGGCTCTCAATGTCGCCCTGCCCGGTGGACCCCGATTCGAGCCTCTCTACAAGGATATTGATCCCAACGACGAGGATTTTGGAGAGTTCAACGCCATCGACCGAATCATCTTCAGAAACGCCATTCGCACAGAGTTCCGGGTGGCTTACCCCTATCTGTACAACTCTCTCCCTAGAAGTGTGCACTTAGCATGGCACTCCCACCCTCAGGTGGTCTTCGAGAGATCAGACAACCCCGACCTACCTGCTTTCCACTTCGATCGCAGAATTCATCCCATTTCTTCGCGTGCGGTGGCGCCAAAGAATCTCACAGTGAGCCACGAGGATGAGATATTCGGAGCTGGCAACAACGAGGAGCCTGAAGATGACGCGTTTGAACTCCCTGCTGAATTTGAGCCTTTCCTTGGGGACGAGGAACTGACCAACGAAGACACTGCATCGGCAATTGAGTTGTGGTGGGCTCCCTTCCCATTCGATCGTCGTTCAGGTCGCATGGTGCGGGCTCAGGATGTTCCTCTTATCAAGCAATGGTACTTGGAGCACCCTCCATCAGACAAGCCGCCGGTCAAGGTTCGCGTCTCTTACCAGAAGCTGCTCAAGAACTTTGTCTTGAATGAACTCCACAAGAAGAAGCCCAAGGCACAGCAAAATCAGAACCTGATGCGCAACCTGAAGCAGACAAAGTTCTTCCAGCAGACTGAGATCGACTGGGTTGAAGCTGGTCTTCAAGTCTGCAGACAGGGTTTCAACATGCTCAACCTCCTTATTCATCGCAAGAACCTGACCTACCTTCACCTCGATTACAACTTTAATTTGAAGCCTGTCAAGACCTTGACCACCAAGGAGCGAAAGAAGTCCCGTTTCGGAAACGCATTCCATCTCATGCGTGAGATTCTGCGGTTGACCAAGCTGATTGTGGATGCCCAAGTGCAGTACCGTCTTGGCAACATCGACGCTTTCCAATTGGCTGATGGTATTCTGTACGCCTTCAATCACGTTGGACAGCTTACCGGCATGTACCGCTACAAGTACAAGCTTATGCACCAAATTCGTTCATGCAAGGACTTGAAGCACTTGATTTACTACCGCTTCAACTCCGCGCCCGTCGGCAAGGGTCCCGGCTGCGGTTTCTGGGCTCCCGCCTGGAGAGTCTGGCTCTTCTTCATGCGAGGTATCATCCCTCTTCTTGAGAGGTGGCTTGGAAACTTGCTGTCCCGTCAATTCGAGGGCCGTCACAGCAAGGGCGTTGCCAAGACAGTCACCAAGCAGCGTGTGGAGTCTCACTTTGATCTCGAACTCCGTGCGTCTGTTATGGCTGACCTGATGGACATGATGCCCGAGGGTATCAAGCAGAATAAGGTCAACATCGTCCTCCAGCACTTGTCTGAGGCTTGGAGATGCTGGAAGAGCAACATTCCCTGGAAGGTGCCTGGTCTGCCGGCACCCATTGAGAACATCATCTTGCGTTACGTGAAGGCAAAGGCTGACTGGTGGATTTCTGTCGCTCACTACAACCGAGAGCGTATCCGCCGTGGAGCAACCGTTGACAAGACTGTAGCCAAGAAGAACGTTGGTCGTCTTACCCGACTGTGGCTCAAGGCCGAGCAAGAGAGACAGCACAACCACATGAAGGACGGTCCCTACGTTTCTTCAGAGGAGGCTGTCGCGATTTACACCACCACAGTTCACTGGTTGGAGTCTCGCAAGTTCTCTCCCATTCCTTTCCCCAGTGTGTCTTACAAGCACGACACCAAGATCCTCATTCTGGCACTGGAGCGCTTGCGAGAGGCTTACTCTGTCAAGGGTCGTCTCAACCAGAGTCAGCGCGAGGAGCTGGCTTTGATCGAGCAGGCATATGATAGTCCTGGCACCACGCTGGAGCGTATCAAGCGTTTCCTCCTCACACAGCGCGCCTTCAAGGAAGTCGGAATCGACATGAACGACAACTATAGCACCATCAACCCTGTATATGACATTGAGCCCATCGAGAAGATCAGTGATGCCTACCTCGACCAGTACCTGTGGTACCAGGCCGACCAACGCCACCTCTTCCCCGCGTGGATCAAGCCCTCAGACTCTGAAGTGCCGCCACTTCTGACCTACAAGTGGGCGCAGGGAATCAACAACCTCGACAAGGTCTGGGAAACCGAAAATGGAGAGTGCAACGTCATGATCGAGACGGAGCTGTCCAAGGTCTACGAGAAGATTGAGCTTACCTTGCTCAACTCTCTGCTTCGGTTGATCATGGATCACAACCTTGCGGACTATATCACTGCCAAGAATAACGTGCAGCTGACATACAAGGACATGAACCACGTGAACAGCTACGGCATGATTCGTGGACTGCAGTTCTCCGCATTCGTTTTCCAGTACTACGGTCTTGTGCTCGACCTTCTTCTCCTGGGCCCTCAGCGGGCGAGTGAGATCGCGGGACCTCCTCAGAGCCCCAACGATTTTCTTCAGTTCCGTGACAGAGAAACCGAGACAAGACACCCTATCCGTCTCTACACTCGTTATATTGACAAGATTTGGGTCTTCCTGCGTTTCACGGCCGATGAGTCCCGAGATCTCATTCAACGTTTCCTCACTGAGCAACCTGATCCCAACTTTGAGAATGTTATTGGTTACAAGAGCAAAAAGTGTTGGCCTCGTGACTCGCGTATGCGTCTCATGAGGCACGACGTCAACCTGGGCCGAGCCGTCTTCTGGGATCTGAAGAACCGTTTGCCGCGGTCTGTCACCACCATTGAATGGGATGACAGCTTTGCTAGCGTCTACAGTCGCGACAACCCGAACTTGTTGTTTTCAATGTGCGGTTTCGAGGTTCGCATCCTGCCCAAGTGCAGAAATCAGAATGACGATTTCTCAGTCAAGGACAGTGTTTGGTCCTTGGTTGACAATACAAGCAAAGAGAGGACGGCGCACGCGTTCCTTCAGGTCACGGAGGAGGACATTCAAAAGTTCAACAACCGGATCCGTCAAATTCTCATGTCTTCGGGATCGACCACATTCACCAAGATTGCCAACAAGTGGAACACTGCCTTGATCGCGCTATTCACGTACTACCGCGAGGCAGCAGTTTCTACCGTGAGCTTGCTCGACACCATTGTCAAGTGCGAAACGAAAATTCAAACGAGAGTTAAGATCGGATTGAACTCCAAGATGCCTTCTCGTTTCCCTCCGGCAGTGTTCTATACTCCGAAGGAACTGGGAGGTCTGGGCATGATTTCCGGCTCGCATATCTTGATTCCTGCCAGTGATAAGCGGTGGTCAAAGCAGACTGACACTGGCGTGACACATTACCGCGCCGGAATGACGCATGACGAAGAAACGCTCATCCCCAACATCTTCCGATACATCATCCCATGGGAGGCCGAGTTCATCGACTCTCAGCGAGTCTGGACGGAATATTCACAGAAGAGATTGGAAGCCAACCAACAGAATCGTCGTCTGACCCTCGAGGATCTGGAGGATAGTTGGGATCGCGGCTTGCCGCGTATCAACACCCTTTTCCAGAAGGACAGGAGCACCTTGAGTTTTGACAAGGGCTTCCGCGCTCGCGCAGAGTTCAAGATCTATCAGCTCATGAAAAATAACCCTTTCTGGTGGACTAGCCAGCGGCACGACGGAAAATTGTGGAACCTCAACGCTTACCGCACCGATGTCATCCAAGCTCTCGGTGGTGTAGAAACTATCCTGGAGCACACCTTGTTCAAAGCAACAGGTTTCCCATCATGGGAAGGCTTGTTCTGGGAAAGAGCGAGCGGTTTCGAAGGTAAAGTTGGGCCTTCTCTTTTTATGTGAATGTTTTGACTAACTTTTTGCAGAATCCATGAAGTTCAAAAAGTTGACGAACGCTCAACGATCCGGTTTGAACCAGATTCCCAACAGACGCTTCACCCTCTGGTGGTCGCCTACAATCAACAGAGCCAACGTCTACGTCGGTTTCCAGGTTCAGCTTGATCTCACGGGCATCTTCTTGCACGGAAAAATTCCCACCCTGAAGATCTCGCTCATCCAGATTTTCCGAGCTCACTTGTGGCAGAAGATCCACGAGTCTGTTGTCATGGATTTGTGCCAGGTCTTTGACCAAGAACTCGAGTCCCTTGGCATTGAGACGGTGCAGAAGGAGACAATTCATCCCAGAAAGTCTTACAAGATGAACAGTTCTTGTGCCGACATTCTGCTCTTCGCCAGCCACAAGTGGAACGTCACTCGACCTTCACCCCTATTTGACACCAAGGATGTGATCGAGCCTACCACGACGAACAAGTTTTGGATCGATGTCCAGCTGAGATACGGCGACTACGACTCTCACGACATTGAGAGATACACTCGTGCAAAGTACCTCGACTACACCACGGACAGTGCCAGTATCTACCCTTCGGCAACCGGCCTCATGATTGGTATTGACCTGGCTTATAACCTGTACTCTGCGTACGGCATGTACTTCCCCGGTCTGAAGGTCCTCGTCCAGCAGGCCATGGCCAAGATTATGAAGGCCAACCCGGCTCTTTACGTCCTGAGAGAGCGTATCCGCAAGGGTCTGCAGCTTTACGCCTCCGAGAGCAACCAGGAGTTCCTCAACTCCCAGAACTACTCTGAACTTTTCAGTAACCAAACGCAGCTCTTCATTGACGACACCAACGTCTACCGTGTGACGATCCACAAGACTTTTGAGGGCAACTTGACTACCAAGCCCATCAACGGTGCCATTTTCATCTTCAACCCTAGAACCGGTCAACTGTTCTTGAAGATTATTCACACGAGCGTTTGGGCTGGTCAGAAGCGTCTCGGACAATTGGCAAAATGGAAGACTGCCGAAGAAGTAGCGGCCCTGATCCGCTCCCTTCCCGTGGAAGAGCAGCCGAAACAGCTCATTGTCACCCGCAAGGGTCTGCTGGATCCTTTGGAAGTCCACTTGCTCGACTTCCCAAACATTGCCATCAGAGCCTCAGAGCTGCAGCTGCCTTTCCAGGCCGCCATGAAGGTCGAGAAGCTTGGAGACATGATCCTCCGTGCCACCGAACCGCAGATGGTGCTCTTCAACCTATACGACGAGTGGCTCAAGAGCATCTCGTCGTACACCGCCTTCTCCCGTCTTGTCTTGATCCTGCGTGCCCTCCACGTCAACCCAGACAAGACGAAGCTCATCATGCGCCCGGACAAGACGGTCATCACCCAAGACCACCACATCTGGCCCTCGCTCTCCGACGAGGACTGGATCAAGGTCGAGACGCAGCTGCGCGACCTCATCCTCAACGACTACGGAAAGAAGAACAACGTCAACGTCTCCAGTCTGACGAGCAGCGAAGTTCGCGACATCATCCTGGGTATGGAGATCTCCGCGCCCTCCATGCAACGCCAGCAGGCGGCCGAGATCGAGAAGCAGCAGCAGGAGCAGCAGCAGCTCACGGCCGTGACGACAAAGACGCAAAACGTCCACGGCGAGGAAATCATCGTCACGACGACGTCGCAATTCGAGCAGCAGACCTTTGCCTCCAAGACGGAGTGGCGCACCCGCGCCATCGCCACGTCCAACCTGCGCACAAAGGCCAACAACATTTACGTCTCGTCCGTCGACAACGATCTCGAGGAAATCACCTACGTCATGCCAAACAACATCCTCAAACGCTTCATCACCATCGCCGACCTCCGCGTCCAGGTCGCCGGCTACCTCTATGGATCCTCCGCCCCAGACAACGACCAAGTCAAGGAGATCAAGTGCATCGTCATGATCCCTCAGATCGGCGGCCTGCGCAACGTTCAGCTGCCCCAGCAGCTCCCGCAGCACGAGTTCCTCGAGGGCATGGAGCCCCTCGGCGTAATCCACACCGCCTCGGGCGCAGAACTGCCCTACATGTCCGCCGCCGACGTCACAGAACACGCGCGCCTCCTCGACGCCCACGGCGCCTGGGACAAGCACGACACCGTCACCGTCAACGTGGCCTTCACGCCCGGTTCCGTCTCCCTCTCGGCCTGGGGCCTCACGCCCACCGGATACAAGTGGGGCGCCGACAACAGGGACTTGCAGAGCGACCAGCCCCAAGGTTTCACGACGAGCATGGGCGAGAAGCGCAAGCTCCTGCTCAGCCCGCGCTTCCGCGGCTTTTTCCTCGTGCCGGAGAGCGGCATGTGGAACTACAGCTTCATGGGCTCGGCCTTTGCCGGCATGGAGAAGAAGCCCGTCCACGTCAAGCTCGATACACCCCTGCCGTTCTACAGCGACCAGCACCGTCCCGTGCACTTCCACAGCTTTGCTGAGCTGGAGGACATCTGGGTCGACCGGACGGATAACTTTGCTTAAGGCGGCCGGCCGGCGGTCGCAATCGTCCTACACGCCGCGGGCGTGTGTCTCGAGGCAAACGGACATTTTGAGGCTGGGGAAGTTTCTGACTTGGGAGAGCCTTGACCTGTCCAAAACAGACATTACACGCACACACACACACGCATACCAAAAAAACAAAACAGCACAAGATGGAGGAGGCCTGATCAATGGGAAACTTAATGCATTGTGGCTTTTTTTTTATTTTTAAGAAACGATTTGTGGCAGGTTGTTTTACGTTGATGGGGCTCTGAGATAGAGCGAGAGAAAGAGAGCAGAATGGCAACAGGGTCGCACATTGGCAGGGGAAGAACGGGGTGTACCGTGTCGAAGGGAAACGCGAGTAACGCTGAAAGGGAAGGGGGGGAAAGGTTGTGTGATTAGGTATACCGGCGTTTGAAAAGGTTTTTTTTTTTTTAATTGCAGCCGGGGTTGAGACCAACTGTACTTTTTTTGTTCGAGTATTTTTAAAAAAGAAAAAAAGGAACTTCTGTTGTCATGCAATCCATGGCTTGTCATTGAAGCGTCACTCTGAATTTTGACGTGTTAAGTGAGCTGGCAGGCGCGAGGTGTCATTGAATCAATCGCAAATCGACGAACAAAACGTATGAGAAACTTGCTGCCAACGATGTTTCCATATCTGCCCCCTGCCCCATCTTTCTTCGTCTAGGTAAGTTGCTTCGCTGTCAACTCGTGACTACGAATATGCTGAAGAAAGCACGAATAAGACGCATGTGAACTGGATATGGAATCTCGTCTATTGCGTAAAGAAGTCATTGCCGTTGCCTATGCACTCCCGACATACTTTAGCGATATCCGATAAACGTGAGGATTATCAGTCGCACATAAGAACAAAACATACGTATACTACATACGTTGAAAAGCTGCGCCTCCATGGCAACCGGTTCATGCGCGGCTCCGAGATGGGGATAGTATCAGTGGCAGTAGTGTATTTTGGTTACCATGAATAGAAATTTCCATCGTCTTCTTCCAAGGCTTCCATGCAGGAAACTCATCTAGGGGATGCAGCAAGGCCGGCAGGGGGCCCTGCGTGCCAGCCCTTCCTCTCCGGCTCCCCCATTTCCCCCCCGTTGCGCGCATGCGGAACGCATGCAGGTACAGGCGGAGGATGCCGAGAGCGAAAGGGATCATCTCAAAAAACAGGTACACAGGCACCCCATGGACGCTTGTGAACGCGGGGCTAGGGTCCAAGAAGGGAGTTGAGTTGCAAAGTGTCACCAAGGGTGACGACAGTCTGTCACTTTGGGGAGATGTGGAGGCGATGTCGTCCACTTCCTGCGGCCTGCGTCCCTGGTGGTGGTGGTGGCCTTTGACATGCCGTATTCCGCTTACGGCTCCAACCGTTGGAGTTTTCGCGCGACGTTGATGCTTGTTCTTCGGACGACGTCGACTGCAAATGGTAAGGCGGCGGGAAGGCCGTTGAAGATGGTGGGTAGTCTAATTGCTGATTCAGCGGGGTAGATGGTCCGCGCAAATTGGAGACTTCATGCGTTAATGCGCCCGGACGAAAATAAAGAACGGGAAGAGAGAAAGAGAGAGAGAGAGGGAAAAAGGGCACCCCCTGTCTGTCCCCCCCGGACGGACGACCAGATGTTCAGCACCGATGCGATGGAAACGCCCTCCCTTGGATCGGTAGGGAGCGGCTAGTTGCCCTGTAAATATTGCGACTGGGGCGGGTTAGTACAGAGATGATAAAGAAGGGTTCATGGCCAATATGTCGACAGCGTGGTCGAGATATTGCCATGGAAAGCGAACGCGTTTCCGTCTCCCTCGGGCGTTTTTGTCTGGGTCCTGAGATTACGAGCACGGAACGAAACGTCATCGGCCTGCGGCATCCTTGGAGATGGAGTCGGGATGGGCTTAAGGTGCGGCTGACAATGGCGACTCATTTCGTGCTGGGCGTCTCTTGGCCCAGGCCGTCGGGAATGGGGGCTCATTCTGGCATCCTCGTTGGACAAACAAGGGTTCGGGAAAAGCAAAGTACGGCAAGGAGCGGACGTTTTTGGTCGTGGAGATGTGGCTGTTTTGGGGGCCTAAATTGGCGATCTGAGAGGGTCGACGCCGCACGCGAGCAGATGTGGAATGAGCCACAGGGCGGCGCATGAAGACATCGAAATAACTTCTGGGTCATCCCCCGTCGACTCACTTGAGGCTGCACTGCATCGGGCGAGCGTAGGGACGAACTATTGGGCTTGGTAGGTGGAGATGAAGCAGCCCGGAGATGGTTCTGACGCTGGTTTTGCTACTGTACTTTGGTAGGTAGTGGACTTTGCGTCGTGATTGCTGTGAAAAAGTCCTTCTCGGCATTTATCCAGGAGGTCAGCCGAAGCCGGCAATTTCCTTGGCTAGCTCGCCATCGTGTCGACATCCTTCTCCTCTTCTCAGCTGATGCGAGGCTGGGACGCAATCTTGTGTTTCCGGTCAATCGAGCCGAAATGTGCGTGGTGGCGTAAGGTAAATCAAACGTCTTGTGAAGGGACTGTCGCGGATCTCAGGAGACGCTCGCTCGGAAACGGTAGGCCGGCGCAAACCCGCGACATGTTTGCAGCTTTAACCTTTAGCTGGCGGGCAGCTGTTGTAATTTGGACAGGGCTGGTTCGTGAAGGATACCCGAAAGGAAAGCACTGACCAGTTCCCTTGAACTAGAAACTGGGTACCAAACGCAGCAAAGAGGATGAAGACTGGCAACCCTGAAGCGCATTCAAGGTTGTCCTGCTGTTTAGCACAGAAACCCACCAAGTTTAGTGTGAGTTGTGACAACCTCGGGGATCCCTACCCGGGTGCCTGCAAACACCCAACGGGCTTCTCCAAAAATCCCCAAGAGCCAAGCGGCAGTAAGGCCTCGAGACAGGTGGGGCGGAGCGCGGTCGGCGGAAGCGATTGCTAGCTTCAGCCCCGGCGGACGGGCTGGAAACCCTAGATTCGTTGCAAGACTTTGGTCAAGAACAAGCCGCGGCTCTTTTATGTAGCACAAAGTCATGTTGCGGAAGTATGTACATGTGGTGGGTGCAGTATGCGGGGTGTAGTAGCTACCTGGCCTCGGACAAGGCAGAGGGGGGATACGCCATGTAACACAAAGGCAATTAGTAACATTGTTACTGAAAAAGACGGCTGCCGCTGACCGCATACCCAAACCGCCAAGCGGTCGGAGGTTCATCAAGCTTTGGGCTGAGGCGACACAGGCCCTTGGAGGCTAGCTAGGCGGTGCACGGGCACCGCTGCCAGACGACCGAGGGTGGTCGTATGATGCCCCGTCTCTGAAGCGCTGCAGGCTTTTTCGGCTCGACTCCGGGGAGAGGCCCCTCAGGTAAGACCAAGAAACGACCGCGGGTCTCCCTGGCTTGCAACAACGACTTGTATACAGGCACAACGCCGGCTGTCATCCGGTGTTTACCGACGGTCCGGCCTCATGATTGTGGAAGAAGGTTTGCGACGGGTTCGAGCGTCCAAGACCAGGCGAAGAGGGTGATCCCAGACACATGTAAGAGAGTAGGAAAAGTATGTGATGAAAAGACGATGCGAAAGCGAGGCCACAAAGCGGCGTCATGTTCGTGGGGGATCGTGGTCCAGAGGATGGAAGACAAGCTGAACGGGGGGAGGGCGTAGGACGGATCGGTACGTCTGACAAGTCCATGAACGTGGGCGAGGACGATGTGTCGCCAGTAGTCGCAATCGCAACCCTACCGACCACTTACTTCCCTTTCTGAGCCGAGCTACCGAGATGCAAGCCATGCGATGCATGCAAGAAGTCAGCCTGGCATACTGTAAGGGGCTCGCATGCTGCAATGGATCAGTCGAGTGCAGCGGTGTCGTCGCCGAGATGGATGCCGGGTAAGGTAAGTGTTGACGTGCTTGGACGTTCCGGGGGTCACTCCTCAGGCTTCGGGGAGGGTGTTGACTATTGGCAATAGCAATCTATTTCGATGCGGGACAAGAACGATGACGAAGATTACGGTGCTCATCTGGGCTTCGGATTGTTGGTTGTTGCATGTGCTTTGGCGATGGCGGGCATTGACGATGGAAAATAGGGAATGCCATCCCATCCCATCTTTGCGTGTCCGACATAAGATGAGAGTAACCTAAGGCAGCCGACCTCAAATTAAGTTGCCTTGGCTTTCTTGGCCAACTATCCGTACCCATTCTTGGCCTAAGGCAGTGTTGAACGGGAAGGAACTACCAAACATGGCAGTTCTATTTCGTTCTTACACCTTTACCATAAATTTTCTTTTCCAACTGCTCGTTCATTCCTTCCGTCTCTTGTGCCCATCTCATCCCAATCCAGATGCGATGCACACACGTAGGGCAGGCAGGGTACGGCAAGTTAGGGGCGAGCATCCCGCGCTACCTTGCCGTTCCTGCCATCACTTACAGTCCCGGACGTCGGAATTTGTGAGGAACCCGGTGTCAGGGCGCCCCTTACCTTACCTAAGGTGCCTCCTCCCGTTCTACATCAAGACCGGGGGGGGAGAAGGGGCCGGGCTGAGGATCAGCGACGAGGGCTGAAGAAGCCGTCGTCGAACCTTCCCAACTTGCTTACCCGAGGCGGCTGGGCAGGAACAGGTCGATACCTACGGATACCTGGGCAGAATGAGAACCATGACAAGTGGAGGCAAGAGCGGAACACTGCAGTACCTTAACCCAGTTCGGGAGTGGAGAAAAAGAGTGGGCCACAAACCGAGGGTTGCTGCTTCCGATCTTTCACAACGACCTGACACCTCATTGACGCGCACCCGCCGGCCCCATCTGTCAAACCATCGCGGCTACCTTAACCAGGCAGCCTGCGAAGTACCAGACAAGGTACCTTGCCTGGCCTTGTAATTCGTACCTCAGTGTGCCTTGCCTCGCCGACACACGTCGAACCTCGAGTCTTCGTCCTCAATGCGGACTGTGTCTGTTCCAGCCCGTCATTTGGACAGTTTGGGCCGACTGTAATGTCTCACATCGACTGACATGAGGTGATGGAGATGACCATGAGACTAAGGGACCGGTATCTAGATCGCATCTTCCACTTTCCTGGGAGAGACAAAGAGCCGAGACAAAAGTCTCGGCATCAGGATGGCACACCTGGGGAAAAGTGAATATCGGTAACCCATGTACCTTTCCACCTGATTTCCCAGCAAAGTGACTTGGAAGTGACATGAACTTGACCCAAATCTGAGACCCAACCAACCTAACGCAACCACACTTTTCTCGTAAAAAAAAAAAAAAATAAACATCAAGACTGCGGCGTGCCGGCAGCTTCAATTTGGACCTGCATTTATCGCATTTTCCGTCATGGTGCTTCCAAGATTCGCAATCTCTTCCTCCTTCAATCATCTTGGACGCAATTCCTCGCCGCCTGCCTCCCATTCTCTGAGGTCGGAATTACGTACCTCATTTGTTAATCCTGACCCTGTCTCTTTCTTAGGTTGTCTCCGTCTCCGTCTCCGTCGCTGCCTCCTCTGCGGCCTGCCTCCTCCTCCTCCTCCTCCTCCTCCTCGTCTCATCTGCCCATCTGTCATCCGCTCCGTTACTGCGCATCTAGAGACCCTGCATTTTCTCCAATCTCCACCTTATCACCACACATCATCGCCGACTCCGTCACCTCCCAAGCCCTCCTTTTGCGTGTGATCGACATCCCCGTACCCACAGAGTCGACTGACCTACCCACAGCCCAGCCATCTGATTCGCGGCCCTTGCCCTCCTCTTCAGGAACCGCCCCAAAAGATCCCCCCCTAGTCGTCGATTTCAAATTCCAAAATGGACCCCAACTGGAGACGAAGGAATAAGGTGAGCACACGCTAGAAAAGAGTCCCACTCCTTCTAGAAAGACTGCCCGGGATCCCTGGATCGCATAATTGATCTTTTAATTGCCAGGTAGGCGTGAAACGCGTTTCCTTCATGCGATACCCGTCTGACCCCTGCTCCAGCTTCAAATCCCCCCCCCTTCCATGATCCGTCATGTCTCGACGAGGTAAACTTGGCCGCCAGCGCCAGCCGCATCTCGCCCACTCGAGCCAATTCTCCAACGTACCGCCAAACTTCGACTCAGCCATCCGTCTCCTTGCCGTCCGAGTGCCCTCCTTCGTCACCCTCCCTCCACGTCTTCGTCCCAGGTTCCTTCGTCCAAGCGCCCTTCCTACTGGTTCGGCCCTACTCTCCCTGACGAGCCAAGGCACTTGCAACCCTCGCCTTCGCCCAGCGGCGGGAAGAGCGAGCCTGTCGAGCCAGTCCTCAAGTCCTTTTTTTGACCGACCTACCATCGAGCACCAAGGGCCTGGGATGTGCATTGAGTCGCACAATCTCCTCATTGCCGAAAGCCGGGGTTCTTTTGCTATGTACCGTCCTCCTGTTTACACCCACCACATTCCCGGCTCGCGGTTGGTTGAGAGGCGGATTGTACGGTCGTGTGGGAGGCTGCGGGAGACTGTGTGCGCTGAAGACGCGCACACAGTCTGGTAATCTGGGGATGCCTTCAAGTTCGTGAGAAAACTAGAGGAGCTCGAACTCCTGGCGACTCTGTGCACGTTTGCGCCCGCCCGCCCATACAAACAGACGAATTATCACTTCTAGCGAACTGCTATCATCCCATGGTTTCGACGACGGCACCATCGTGCGACCTGGTCGTTGAGTCGCACACGTCCCAAGTCCCCAAAAAAGAATATCCTCATTAAAAAAAAAGTTGTTACCCCACAGGCTAACCAGTCTTGTCTGGCCCGGTGGAAGTCAACCCTTCGGCCATCCCATCTAGTCGACGCGCGCGCCGCCCGCCTGGTCCAACAGCCGCCGCATTGCCGAACCTGAACCTCAACCATGGCACCGCCGTCATCCTCATCTCGGCCATGTCCATTCACAGTCGTGTTACTTCTGTCTCTGCGTCTGGCATTGGCATTTGCCTGTGGGACCTGCCAGATTTGAGCGTATCGACATCGAGGCGATGGCCGACTGACAAGCCTTCTCCGGCGTTTGGGACGCAAATCCCCCTGCTGCGGACGTCTTCACATTGGATCAGCCAGGGTTGTTTGCCTCCTGGGACCACTGCATTTCTCTTCCGAATCGATTCCGAAGCTTTTGACCGGGGCTTCGGGCGTAGGTGCAGGCTCTCACTGCCACTGGTGACTGCAAAAGGATCAGGGCTAAAAAAGAAAAGGGTTTTTTTTTTCTCTTACTGACGTAGCGACGAGCGGCTTGAGCTGGTGCCCTCCGTCTTTCTCACCCGGTAGTCCCTTGTTCTCACCCCTCGGCAATCTGCCCACTAGGCCGAGTGGCTGTTGCAACCTTACCGCCTCTCTGGCCCTATCGCGTACCGGAGCGGCGATTTCTCTTCATGGTTCTGGTATACCCTCCCTATATCAGATATACCCCCATCAGGGCCAAGGCATGACTTCCCGGTGCTCATCCAGCCATTTTCTCTCCCAAAACCTGCTGTTTGCCCCCCAACAGACTCCACTGTATTCTCCAGAATGGCCAGAATGGGCAGAGCTGTCCAAGTTACGCTGTTCGCTGGTGTTTTTCCACCCAAAGCAAGCCCCCCGTCAAGGACGGCGGCCAGGGGAAGGGTGACCCAGGGACTCTGAGCTTTCGAGCCCACGCACGCACACACACACACACACACACACATCCGCACTCGAGAGTCAACTGCCTTGGGCCAAGAGCTGCCACCCTGGTCCCTTTCACTATCCCCGGTGAAGCAGGGGGCCGAGCAATATGGGCGACCTTCTTCTGAATCGTTGTTCAGTTGTCATGCCCTTCCCAACCAGCGAGCGCATGGTAGGGCTCGTTTCAGCTTGTATCCCTCATTCGGCTGAACGTGTTTGGATTCCTTCCATGCGTTTTCCAGACCTCTCTCTCTTTTCCTCTCTCTGGGTTACCTGGCCTCCCTTTCCAGGGTGGTATCGAATCCATCCGGGGGTTTCTTAGATTTGTAAAGCTGGTCATTGCTTGTCCCCCAGCGGCCCTGTCTGCCCATCATTCTGGGCTGGCCACTATCACGCCCACCCATCGCCCGTTGCATCATCACCGCCGGCCGGGGGGACTTCTACTTCTATATCCGGCAGCGAAACCCATGGCATAAGATCCCCAAATTATGCTACCGTCGTCACTGGGCAAGGTTAACTTGAGTCTCCGCAACCTACTTGGGAACAGAATACGTCTCGCACATGGCGGATCGCGTATGTGCTTCAAGTCGGTGATAAAAGCGGCGGTAGTCGATGTACCCTCTTTCTCTCGCCTCACCCCTCCCATGCATACTTTCCCTTTCTCCTTCGTCCCCTTCCCTCTACCCCCAGAGCAAGAGTCCACACACGGCCCTCTAGTCCTCTTTTCGATAAGACACATCGGACGATATAATGCAGCCCTTGCCCACGTCCGCGCTTCCTGTCTTTTGACCCCTTCACTACAATATTACTTGTCCAGGGTCAAACGGGATTTATAATAAGTCAAGGGAAGATCCCGTGAGCTTAAACGGCGCGTGACAACAACCAGTTGAAAAAGGGTAGCATGGTTACCTCGACTTTTATTTCGTCTAAATAATTTTTTTCCCACCTTACGCCAGTCAAAGAGAACTATCCGTCCGGCCGTGCAGACAGACAGACAGATAGCTCTCCACCACCGGCAGACCAGTTTTACGAAACCGCAACACCAACTCTGGACTTATTTCTCGTCCATCATTATCATCATTATCCTCCTACTCCTCAACTTCCTCCTCCGCCTCCTTTCTCCTCAACAGCACTGCCGCTGTAAGCAACCTGATCAACACGACCACAGACTGTGGCAAGGGCTCGGCCATTGTCACAAGACGCCATTCTCCTCCTCATCCGCCACCGGCAATACCGCGAAAATTCTCTCCACACCTCCCGGGCACGAATGTTCGCTGAGTCTGGACGCGGGGTCTCATCACGGCGACACCATAGCGCTGTTACAGGATCGAAGTTCGAGAGACTACTACCACCACCATCGCGACCCCGCAACGTCGCACCAGCAGCCCTCCCCTCTCCCGACACCGCCTGAGAGGGCCTTCGCTCAACCAATTCTTTCACTTCAGAGCCCGGCGACCGTCCAGAGCGGTTCGCTCTGGCGGGACCCATGTGTCGGAGGCACGCTGGCGGGCAACTACCGAGTAGGGGACTACAATGTCGATTATTCTGCACAGGCGTCGCATCCGAGCGACCAGGGCCACCAGCAGCATGGTTATGACACGACGCCCTCCCATCATCACCGGAGCTCGCTCCATCATGGCGCCGCCCACACGCCCACTCTCCATGAGCCGCCATCAAGTCACCACTCCCATCACCCAGCCATGCAGCAGCAGCATCAGCAACATCCTCACCACTCTCACCACTCCCATCAGGTCTTAATGGACCCGGGGCACCATATGGGCCACGCCCGGCACTTGGGCCCGCCTCACTACGGCGCTCCGGGTCCGGTTGTCGCTCCTTTGTACCCTTCCATGACTACGCCTACACAATCTCATACGCCGCATGGAGCACCGAAAAGACCGAGACCGGACGAGCTTGACCTGTCCGTTCCCGGAATCGACCTAGAACAGACTGATCTCGAGACCATGCAGCAAACACCTTTGGGTACCGCCTATGCGCAGGCGGCCCAGCAAGTGCAGGCACCCACGCACCATCATCACCGTCTACCCGATACAGGACCCCCTTCTAAGATGATGCGGCGTGATGGTGACGGCGGAGACAGAGGCGGTGCTCCGAGCGTTGTGGGACAAGCAGGCATGCCGACTCCGGCACCGAGGCCAAGGGGGCCGAAGCTAAAGTTCACACCCGAAGACGACCAGCTCCTGATTGATTTGAAAGAGAATAAATCCCTGACATGGAAGCAAATCGCGGATTTCTTCCCTGGGAGATCGTCAGGAACACTGCAAGTGCGCTATTGTACGAAGCTCAAAGCTAAGACCACCCAATGGACCGACGAAACGGTATGTGCTCTTCCGTCCCCTGACTCCAATGCCAAGCAGTCCATCCAGCCGGAATAACATGGCAAGACGGCGCGCAGCTTTCTGACTTGATTTCTCCTCCAGGACCAAAAGCTTCGAACTGCTCTCCAAGACTACGAGAACGAGAAATGGCGCATCGTGGCTAACAAGGTCGGAACGGGATTCACCCCCGTTGCCTGCCGAGAACGCGCGCAGGAGTTAACGGGTGCTCCCTTATAGCATTCAATGTCTCCACCGGGAACTTCTGAGCCCCCGGCTGGCGACACCATCTACACGCAGCAGCTTCAGTGATGAAGAGGAGCTTGCCTTTAGCGATGATCTCCATCATGCGACTTGGAACGACACGACCCATCCAGAGCATCCAGATCGACCTCCACGAACGCCATCCTCCCACTTCGACTCAGCGAGCTGGTAGGGGAGGAAGAACTGCAATGATTTGCTCAATGTCGATTCATGTAACAACCTGGGTCAAAAAGTAGAAGGAACGCAAGGCCAAAGATTTGTGCCAGCTCTCACTGGAACCATTGAGGCCACACACTTCTTCTCCTTGTTCACTTCAGCTTCTATCTCATACCTGCGACTCTCGAGCGGCATAGTCCTTTTGTTTTGCTGGATTTCCCCATCCGCCTAATTCTAGAGATACCCCCGAATACTACAGGTCACCTTATTTTACTTCATCCTTTTCTCGACCTACTTCTTTATCTCGACTCATGACACAACGCACAAATTATAGATTTTGGGGGGCAACACAGCGAACCACGCAATATACGGCCTCTCAGCTTTTTTTTTTTATCTTTCTCGCCGCTCCTTAGGACGACTTTGGTTTTGTTCTTCTTTCGACGATTGTATCGACTTTTTCTTTTGCAAGCATCATTAGTCACCAATCCTAATCCCCTCGAAATATTGTGTACTCGGCGGTTTCCCTGCGGCATTTTTGGGGTTATTATACCGAGAGGCACGATTCAAGCATCGATTCTCGACGACGCACTCGTATTGAATCCAATGGGTGAAAGTGTTTGGTGGTTGGTTAGGTTCACCCATGCCTGGGCGTCTTGCGGATAGAAAGAGAAAACACAAAAGGGGGGAAAGAACGCACTTGGAGAGACGCATTTTGCATACAAGGCGGATGATAGGCGCGCGGTTTTCGCATTCATGACGATATCTGTTTTGTTTTGTACCCTTTTTGGCCTTTGTTTTTTTTGTTTTTTTTTTCTCCTAACCACTCATTATAAGCCCATGTATGTTTTTGTTCTATTTTTCTTTTCACATTACGCAAATGTACTTTATAGTTTTTATAGCTCTCTCAACCCCCCTTTTTTTGCTTCGAGCTTTGAGCACTTTTGAAAAATCCTCGCAGTCTGCACCGTGATGAGTGAAATGGTCAAGAAGAGGTACAAGTTGGGAGTTATATCTGAGTTTCCGTAACGATTATGTGAACATGAACGTGCCGAAAGACGGCAAGATCAACCTTTATTTTTTTCTTTTTCTTCTTGGTAGGATGTAGTGGGATTGTAACCAAATCGGTCTGGGCGTGTCTATTCGAGATTTCCATCAAGTATCCCAAAGTGGATCTCGGGACAGCTACAGTATGTGATCACATTTGATATCACACACTGCAAGGAAACCATGCGCCGACCGCTTCGGGGAGTCGGGGGAGATGGAAAGAAGCAAGACGTGGGCACAAAAAGCAACATGGCCACCCCCCTGCCCCCCTATCATCCGTCCCCATCTGGTCAGTTACATGCGCGGCGCATTATATGCCCTACCGTTGCGGCACCGCGTGCGCTCGACTTGGGTAAAGAGGCCCTTTTCGAGAGAGGCCCAAACAAGGCCTTCCAAGGCCCCCCGTCCCCCCGGCCTGTCTCTGGTCTTTCCCACATTAGCGCGGCCCTGTTTTGTGTGGCCTGGAAACGGCCGGAGGTTTTTTTCTTTTTTGGGGGGGCGATTTGGCATGCAGTTGGCGTGTGGTAGCATCTAGATTAATAATAAACCCGTTTTTGGCAGCCGTTTATTGCCTGCCGCCCGCGCCCTCGACCGAGTTGAGTAAAAGTCTGGGGAACCAGGCCAGGGGAGGAGGAGGAGGAGGGGTGGGTTGGAAAAGGAATCGTGGGCGGGCGGACGGGCGGACAGCGTGGTTGCCAAAAGTCGGAGAGGTGAAGGCTGTTTGTGGTTTCTTTTCAAGCGACGTTGACAAGTTGGCTCTTGCTTCGTTTCACGTCCCGTTTCTCTCTCACTATTTTTTTTTTTTTTTTTGCTGGTTCATTAACGTCAGGCTTTCTGCTGTTATTCAATGTTTCCCTACCTTATGTTGGGCTGGGCTGGCGCGTTCGCTTTGGTTTTGGGTCCATATCGGCTTGGCGAGTATTGGCGGGAACAGGAGCGGGTGGGGAGATGGGAGGGAAGCGGCGGGCAGGAGAGGGGGGAGAGGGGAGCGAGCCTGTGAGGGTAGGCGAGATCCAACGGTACGAAGAGCTCAGAGACGACGGCAGGGGTTGACAACAGGCCCTGCTTGCTTACCTACCTGCAGTGAGACTCTCCCTCTCTCTCTCTCTTTCTTTCTCTCTCGTCCCGGCACAGGGTTCACCACATACCCAGATGGGGACTGATGGGGACCGTAACGCAGAGCCTGATGTCTGTTGAGTCAACCAGGACCGGCTATTGAGCAGAGGGGGGAAAGGAAAGAAAGCTGCCCTGTTAATGGTTGGCATCTGGCTCCGCATGTGCCGATTTGGGTCGAGCAAGATTGTAGCCTCAACGACTTGTTGTCCTCCCCGCCCCCCTCCCCTCCATTCCTTACAATGAGCATCCTATGATCTGGATCTCCCGCTGGCTTCCAGCCTCCAGTCGTCGAATCCATTGATTACTGTGAGTGTGCAGACTTTCGTTTGGTTCTGCATCCACCCAGAGAGGCTGGTTTGGCAGCGGCTTCTGCTCGTTGAAACACTCGGCCCCAGGCTTGCGTTGGTTATAAGACCCGGGGATTCTGATATATCCCCCCCCTACCTAGTCATCTCCCAGTCCCCAGCCACCCGCCAGAAGGCAAATCCAGGGAAGAAAGAAGCGGTCAATCGCCCCGGGACGTGGCACGCGCGGTGCGGTTCCCACATGTTGTCATGCCCGGACCTCCTCTTTCTCCGCGGGCAGAAACGCAGTGCATGCACGCGAGGAGCGAATGAGTGGACGTGAGTCGCGCGGTGACAAGTGACGTGACGGGTACGCCTTGGTCGAGGAGGTTCCTGCATGTCACCCCCTATGCAGAGTGATTACCTGCATCACCGCATCGGGTACGAAGACCTACGCGGCTTTTTTCCAACAGTCTACGCGGGTCATGGTGGGAGCAAAAAAGCCAGGCCCTGGGTCCAGACGTCGGCTCTCGGCTGCTGCTTTGTGGATGGGAGGTTTACCACCAGACCGAGCCACTATCGGCCCCCCCCCCCCCTCCTTTCCAATATGGTGTCCGCCGCTGTATCATCAAGACATTTTTCTTTGAACACATTTAAGCTCAAAGATTTCGTGACTCCCGAGACCACTTTCTGATTGCGGGGGGGCGGCAAGTCGGACACCCTCTCGCACTTCGCGCAGAGAAGTAGGTAGTCGCGAAGCTCAGAAGCCGTCCGCGACGGGTGCGGTGTGCCAAAGTTTTTTCTGCAAAGACGGCTAAGCTTTTACCAACTGTGACGATTGTAATCAAAAAGGAACAAGTACCGTATCGCATGGCGCAGATCAAGCAAGCCAAAACACCAGGCGCCACGATGTCGCGGCTCGAGTTACCCACGGAAAATTGCCATGTGGTCATGCAGGTGACGTTTGAAAGAAAGAGAGAGGAAAACAGGGAGAAAACATTACCCGCTCTTCTGACAAAAAAGCCGAAACCTTTTTTTGTTTTTTTCCCACAACCCTGCCCCGTCCTATGCCCCGTCAGCAGCTCACTGTTTCTTCGGACGAATGTCAATGGGTTCGCGAACTTCATGCTGAAAAAGTTGACAAGCTCAGTGTATGAGACGTCCCAGGTGAAACTCCTGATCTGCGATTGATAGTGGGCCATCGCATGTCAAAACGGGCTAGACAGTGAGGATGCCCGGTATACTAAGCCGGGGGATGCTGGCCTCGATTCCTCGATCTCCTTGAGCGCGACCCAAGGGACATGGTTCATGTGTGATTTTCGGGGCGCCAGCATCGTCATGTCGCGGCCTAAGGCCTAGTTGCTGGCTGAAGTGGTTTGTCTGGCCGGTCAGTCGGCCGAGTGAATACCCCAATGTACTCGAGATCCAAAGGTGACATCGAATCGAAAATAGCAACAAAGTCTACATCGACGTGCTCCAGCTCTCTTGAATCCAAGATATTGCTGAAGTGGGCCAAAGTGTGACTTCAAAGTCGTTGTCAGGGAACCCTTGCGCCGGCCGTTCTCCCACCCGGTTCCTCCGTCTGCCAGCCCGGAAAGCTTGGATCAAGCGGCTGACTGAGCCGAGCATATGCCGGGTTTCTCCGGGTCCGTAGGCACAGAGCCAACACTGAGCAAGACTTTTTTTTTTTTTTTTTTTTTTTTTTTTTTTTTTTTTACTACTAATCTATACACCGTAATGGTGTATTTAGCACTCATGCTCTAAAAATTTATTTTTTTTTTTTTTTTTTATGTTTTGTGATTGTAAAAATATTCCGTGTTAGCTTTGTTGTTTTCCGAGCATTGCGAACAGATTTGTTCGTTAATGGCTAGTCAAGACATTCTCTTCGAAGGTGTGTTATTTTTTTTTTCTTTT